GGGCATTGGCAGTGTGAAGGTACTTGACACAATGGGTGAACTCGACTCAAGTACAGCAGTGTTCTAGCGATCTCAGCACCAGACTTTGGCCTTAACCCTCAAGAAATGTGACCCTGCAGCACGACGATTTTGATTTTTAAGTTTTCATCTGCATGGTGTAGTCGGCAACCTGGAGAGATAACTAGCGATTAAAGTTGGCTTCTAGACAGATTATATTCTTTCTTAATACCTCGTGAATAAAGGTTTTGGTGTGTTGATTATAAGCTGTTGGGATCGAGAATTGCAGGAGGACAGCTGTAGGCGCTGCTTCGCTTTTACTAAATCGCAACTTCAAGCCAAACCCACAGGACGGAATACATCACTATGACGGCCGCCCCGTTGCGACTTTAAGTTTTCTAGGCTTGCTATATATTATCATCGCAGAAACTGTCCAAGCGCACTTTTATAATATTATAACGAAAAAACCAAAGTAATTATTTTTGACACACGGCATAAGGGAGGATATTGAGTTTCGGCAATGCCGAAAATCAGGAGTTTCAGGTGCGCGCTACATGTAGCAAAAATAGCCTACTTTTGCCCGTATATAATAAGAACTTCTCCTCCACCTCTATTACTAGAATCAATCAACTCTTTCTACCTGTTTTCAGTGCCTCCAGTTGTTTGGAGTGCTCTACTTATATACCCAGTCGGCAAGATGAAGATCCTGGCGGGACGTGTGCACGTTTAGCAAATGTAGGACACTCTGCACATTTCCTAGCGCGAGCTTTTTGAAATATTATTGTTATTTCAAACTATTGAATTGATGTTGTATCATCAATCTCTCCCAGGTCTATAATGACTGTTCCACTTTCCGACCTTAGTGTGGTATTCGGAGGTGCTAGGATGTTTGTTATAAGATAATCTTCAATATCGTACCACGTAAAGTGCTTGCGAATAGAGGCTTCCCACCCCTCCGAGTTCTCCTCCTCTGGTAGTTACGAGATCTTCGGCAATGAGAAATGCACATGAAGTGTAATATTCTAGCTCCTAGACATAGTTACGAGAATCTTTATATATATAGAGATACATAACAACATCAGTTGTATTCTTCTACTCAAATGTTTCCACAGATAATACCGCTATCCCACAGTTGGACTGCTGAGTATATCAGCAGACATATCTTTAGGAGCCAGGTTCCGTATAGATAAAACCAATCGCCCGTAGCGTACTCAAGCATCGAGCTTCGGCGCTTTGCCAGTGCTCGGGAGCTGTGCTTCCAGCACAGCGGTACGATGCCGGATGGGCTGTGGAGAAATGGTTCTCGGGGAGGCAAGTCGCGTGTGAGAGCGTCTAAAGGGTGCAGGATGTGCCCTCAAGGCCACGAGGGAGCAAAGCTCTGCTTTAAAGGCCCACTCGATGCCAAATCTGAGTCCAAGTATTTTTTTCAAAATAGCCCAGCGACCCGGAAACATGCTGTCCACGAACATTTCGATGTCGATCAACCATGGGTATATCTGGTGAAGTCCACATGCCCACATGGAAAGTTAGACAACTATGAGGAAGTTCAACGCCATGGCCAACCAGATACCTTCAAGCAGGCATTGAATGCTGTATCCAAGGAAGTCCGGGAAACCAACTGCTTCGAATATATATATTTTTTATGTTATAGAATACTAAGTGGTCTACGACTAAGTTCACGTCGTCTTACCGAGTCGCATGCCAAGTGAGGTGGACCGTAGCCGCTCGAACTAAAGTGGGTTTTGTTCCGTGATAGTCTAATCTTTTATATCTGATAAGGTATGCCCCGTAGCTTTTGCATGGCAAGGACCCACTCTCTGTTCGTGTTGGCTCTTGACTTCGCACTTAATAGACGTTCTGGGTTAGTGAAGCTGCGAGGGAGTGGGTATACCGGGTATAGCGAGAATACCATGTTGGGGCGGAGGAAGACAGCCAACAACATTAGAGTTACAAGGAGGGCGCTACGTTGGCTGCTTTATAATTCCTAAATAAGTTATGTTTAAGATGTAGATAGGAGGTGTTTTAAAAGCCTCATAACTAAAAAATATCTTAAGCGCTTTTCCCACATTTAACTTACCAAGAAAAGTTGATACATTTGATCGAGTGCCTCGTGTCCGCAATAAAATCCACTTCTCTATAAGCAGCCGGAAATCTTTGATTCGAAGTTCACCCAAGATGGCGGAACACAGATATCTAGCAAATCTAGATCCTCAATGGTTAAATGTTAGTTCACCTGCTAACCCTCATTAGCTACAGTCTACAACCACCCCCTAGGAACTAAAATCTGTGGGATGAAAAGGGAGCGTGATCCAATCACCCCTGAAGAAGGTCTTGATATTGTGGAATTTTCAGTTTAATCTCGAGCGAAGCACTCTATAACCACCTAGTCTTATATTCCAACCGCGGAATCCGGGCTTCCTCTGATCACATATATGCAGGGCAGTGGATACGTGTTCAGGGGCCTTGAGAACGGTTCGCCACCATTTCCCTGAAACCGGAATATAGCGTTGAAACAAAACGGGAATTAGATGACGGGACTTGTCGAGCGATGTCTCGAACTTTAAAGGCGAGCGTGGTGAACGTGGAGTACCGATTGGCACCTGAGCATCCATTTCCTTGCGGTCTGGAAGATTGCCAGGACGTTCTGCGTTAGGTGAGTAATTTCTGTGCCCCCAGTAGCAACTATACTAAGTCATCCAGGCCACAACCGCGGACGGGATAGCAAATCTCAAACAGACCTCCATAAAGTTTTTATCCTTGGTGGCACATCAGCTAGGGGGAACTTCGCCGCGGTATTATCTCACAAAGCAGTGCTAGAGAATATGAACCCGCCACTCACGGGCTTGGTTTTCATAGCCGCCAGTATATGCCATCCATACATTCGGCCAGAGAAGTACAAGGACCGTATCTTGAGTGTTGATGGAATCAACGATGCGCCTAGACTCACAAGAAAGAGTATTAATCACTTTTCTAGTAAAGCCGATTGCCCATCACGTCATTCGGTACGCATAGCTGATTAAATGCAGGCAAATATGGAGCTTCTCTAGGAGACAAACGGGTGTCGCCCCTGTTATATGGTTTCCATGACTGCTTAACCACAGAAGCATATTTCCAGATTTGCGGTTAGGATCCCAGACCCGATGAAATGCTTCTTCTATATGGGCAGATACTGGCAGAGAATAAGATTGGAACCAAGAAGAATGTCTATCCGGGCCTCCGCACGGATGGTGGACGACGTGCCCCGGTTTAGAAAGCGGCAAGACGTAGCTGAGAGATTTGCTTGCTGGTGTGGAATAGCTGCTAGAAGCGTGGCCGCCGGCAGATACCTACCTACTTTTATATGTTTGGCTTCTGGCAAGCGTAGGGACTAGGTCGAATTTAATGTTTTGTCTGTTAGTAGAAGTGCAAGCATTTTACGGAAGAGCAGTATGGCAACCCGGAAAATCAAACGGCTAGACCAATTCGGGAAAACTCAAGTGAAATATTAAGGAGGATGCAGTTCGGGTTTGTATGATTCGAACATATATGGCGTTTTTAAACAGGCATGGAACACCTAGACAACCCACTATAACCCGGACTGGGCCAATGTAGTTTACCTGCTTGGATGGGTGGCTTTAAGCTCCAATATATGTGCGAGGTCGAATAATCCATCGCCATCTCGTCGCTGCGGGGTCTCTGTAACTGGGACATTTGGGATCAGGCCGTAAACGACCAACGGGCAACGCCTGGATTTGCAAAAGCGATTGATATAGGTTGTTTATCGTACAGACTCCATCTGAAAGCCCCAATCTACCCAGACTCCCAAGACCCAATATTGCACTAGCATTCCATCCATGGTTGCATTTGCATCCTCGCCATCCTAGGCTATTATACAGGTTATATCGATGTGCTGGACATGTCTTCCGTCTCCGTGCTGCAAAATTTTCGTCTCCTTTTATATGAGCTGCTTGACTGCGCTAACGGCGAACGGGGCTGCGATGTATGTTAGCTAGCTATACAATGTATATAGACCTAGATGGACGTACATAGATACAGCAACACAGCTCCAACAAGGACTTTTTGGATTGTGAGGCTGGCCTCTAGCTCTTGGGCCTTCAATTCGGCGGCGGTGAGTTGGGGTGGTGCTGTGGCGCGGTTAGATTCCAGATAAGCTTATTTTCCATCGTGGGTGATCGCGGGCGGTAATTGAAGGAATACTCACGTCCTCCGAACATGTTTGTGGTGTTGATGTTGATGTGGGGATAGAGTACTTCGTAGCGCTGCGTGTATTTGTATATATCTTGGACAGGAGAAAGTCGCGACGTTATTTTTCGCCATCATCGGGATAAGCCGACCGAGACCGCCCCCGTTAGCGTGTGTAAGGGGCGGCTAAAAGCGGCATACCGAAAGTCACTTGCCTACATGGTTGTTTCTGCTTTAGAGAGGTTTGTTTACTTTCCAGTATTGTTTACTTTCTAGTTTCCATATAGAGATTAGTCCTTTTGGGATAATTAGTGTTTTTGTTTTAGCCCTTTTGATCTTTTGATCTACTTGAGTAAAGATATTCCGTAACAGAATTTGATAGTGCCGCTTTTACTCGATTAGGTCATAGTAATGTAGACCCCTGTTTTCGACCTGGTGGCGTTGGGGTCGGCACTTCCGCGCGTTGTGATTGGATGATTCGGCTATCAAAGCTCTGAACTTTTTTGATAACTCACCTCCCAGAATCGGACAATCACGAATACCTGGGGCGGTTTCGGGAATCTCAGAATCTTAGCTAGAAACACAATTATTCCCCCCTCAATCCTGACATCTTCAGCCTGCAGTTATTTAAATATTTCTGCAATCTCCTAAATTGATCGGGCTTGTAACATACCACGATGAGGGCCTGCTTATTACGTTGCTCCTAAACTGCCCGAACCCCACCTTGTCTGTGTACCAAGTACAAACACTTCATTCCGCAGATCGGCCATACACCGACTTTTTCTACCATATTAACGCTTCAACTTGCCAGATCCAACACAATGGCGGCTTTGTCGCTTGCTCTTCGAGTTCAGCTTCGAAAGGCAGCGACACAGGGTAGAAGTCCAGCACTTCAATGCCCGTCCCGGCTCGCGCGGCCATGGCTTCCCCGCCAGCCGTCGAGGTCTGCGATGACCTCTGGATCGTTGAGAATTGGAAGTCGTACTTACTACACCAGCTCTCCCAAGGATGAGACGAATACGACACCCTCCGTGGCAGTTTCTCATTCTGCCTATGCTCCCCTAGATACTTTCCCGCGCCGGCACATAGGTCCTACACCTGATTCGACCGAGCAGATGCTGAAGGCTTTGGATCCCCCGGTGAAGAGCCTGGACGAATTTGTCAAGCAGGTTCTGCCTAGCAGCATTTTGTCTTCCGCAGATCTCAGTATCCAAGCCGCGACAACCGGCGGACAGGAAGGTTTCACCGAGTCGGAATTGCTGGCACGGCTTCGATCAATTGCCTCAAACAACAAAATTATGCGGAGTTATATTGGCTGTGGATACGCGGGCACACGAGTACCAGAAGTTATAAAGAGAAATGTGCTGGAAAGTCCGGGGTGGTATACCAGTTACACCCCCTATCAGCCAGAGATCAGCCAGGGCCGGTTGGAATCGTTGTTGAATTTCCAGACACTTGTCTGCGATCTTACCGCCCTGCCAATTGCTAATGCTTCATTGCTGGACGAGGGAACTGCTGCTGCTGAGGCGATGACTCTGTCCCTAGCTGCACTTCCAGCGTCCAGGCAAAAGAGCGAGAACAAGACATTTTTCGTCAGTCATTTGGTTCATCCTCAAACTAAGGCTGTACTACAAAGCCGAGCAGATGGATTTGGTATCAAAATTGAAATAGGAGATGTCCTTGCAGATGGAGGCAGGCGTGTGAAGGAGCTTGGGAACGATCTCCTTGGAGTCCTTGTTCAATATCCAGATACTGAGGGAGGAGTTGAGGATTTCAGAGGTCTGGCTGATATTATCCACGAGCAAGGTGCAACATTCAGCGTTGCTACTGATCTTTTAGCTCTAACCGTCCTAACCCCACCCGGCGAGTTTGGTGCCGATATTGCCTTTGGAAATTCTCAGCGGTTTGGTGTGCCCTTCGGATATGGAGGCCCTCATGCTGCATTCTTCGCCGTGAGCGAAAAACACAAGAGGAAAATACCGGGACGTCTTATTGGAGTGTCGAAAGACAGATTGGGAGATGATGCAATGAGGTTGGCCCTTCAAACTCGAGAGCAACATATCCGAAGAGAAAAGGCTACTAGCAACGTTTGTACTGCACAGGCATTGCTTGCAAATATGAGCGCTTTCTATGCTGTTTACCATGGCCCTCAAGGGCTTAAGAGTATTGCAGAGAGAGCCATTCTTGGGGCACGAATCGTCGAGGAACGTGTGAGGGGATACGGATATGATACTGGCTCCAGAGGGAAAGGAGAAGATGGAAGAGTGCTTTTCGATACTGTGGTTGTTAATGTCGGCGAAAAATTGGCGGGTGCCATCATGGAGTTTTCGGCAGTGAAGTACGGTATCAACTTGCGGCTGCTTGATAACTCTCGGGTGGCGATCACCATTGACGAGACGGTCGATGCCCAAGACCTCGAAGATATCATAACGATTTTCAGGCACTTTGCCCCCAGTGAGATGAACCATGAGGGTATCGCTATCGATCAAATCATTGAGTCTCTGCCTGGAAAGGGGGAAATTACAATCCCGGGCCCATTCAAAAGAACCTCCAAATATCTCACTCATCCTGTTTTCAACTCCCATCACTCAGAGACCGAGCTTCTCCGCTATATCCATCATCTACAATCCAAAGATCTGTCGCTCACACACTCTATGATCCCCCTAGGATCATGCACCATGAAACTTAACGCTACGACAGAGATGGCGCCTATTACCTGGCCAGAATTCTCATCTATTCATCCTTTCGCTCCTGCTGACCAAGCCAAGGGCTACAAGATTATGATCGATGAGTTGGAGGCTGATCTGGCTACGATTACTGGGTTTGATGCTGTATCCGTCCAGCCGAACTCTGGAGCGCAAGGCGAGTTTGCGGGGCTCCGCGTCATTCGGAAGTATCTGGACCAGCAGCCGGGGAAGAGACGAGACATCTGTTTGATTCCAGTTTCTGCTCATGGAACAAACCCAGCTTCAGCGGCCATGGCTGGTATGCGGGTGGTGACTGTCAAATGCGATACAAAATCTGGAAATCTTGATATGGAGGATCTAACCGCCAAGTGTAAGAAGTATAGCGAGGAGTTGGGTGCGATAATGATCACATATCCTAGCACCTTCGGCGTCTTCGAACCTGAGGTCAAGGCTGTATGCGATGTAGTCCATCAACACGGCGGCCAGGTTTATATGGATGGTGCCAATATGAACGCACAGATTGGTTTATGTTCACCTGGTGAAATTGGCGCTGATGTGTGCCATTTGAATCTCCACAAGACGTTTTGTATTCCGCATGGCGGTGGAGGACCAGGAGTTGGCCCAATCGGTGTTAAGTCACACCTGGCACCATTCCTTCCAGGCCATCCTCTTATCGCGACTGGGGGCGACAAGGCCATCCCGCCTGTGAGTGCCGCTCCCTGGGGAAGTGCAAACATCCTGCCTATCAGCTGGGCTTACATCAAGATGATGGGTAAGTGACTCCTACATATATGTATATTTCCAATCTGCTAATGCCTTCTAGGTGGACGAGGATTAACTCATGCCACCAAAATCACCCTCCTGAACGCAAACTACATCATGTCCCGCCTCCGTCCATACTACCCAATCCTATACACCAACGACAACTCCCGCTGTGCCCATGAGTTCATCCTCGATGTCCGAGGTTTCAAAGCGACCTCAGGGATTGAAGCCATCGATATAGCGAAGCGTCTTCAAGACTACGGTTTCCACGCCCCAACTATGAGCTGGCCTGTGGCCAACACGCTCATGATTGAGCCTACCGAATCCGAGAGCAAAGAGGAATTAGATCGCTTCATAAACTCCCTGATCTCGATTCGAAAAGAGATACAAGCCGTGGAAGACGGCACTGCTCCGAGGGATGGTAATGTTCTGACGATGGCGCCCCATTCCCAGAAGGATCTCTTGATTGGCGAATGGAATCGCACATACACCAGGGAACAAGCTGCGTATCCATTGCCATGGCTGAAGGAGAAGAAATTCTGGCCTAGCGTTACAAGGCTGGATGATAGTAAGTCCCCGTCTCAGTCCCTTCACCTGATAACTTATTTTAACCCTTCCTATAGCATACGGCGACTTGAATCTCTTCTGCACCTGTAGCCCGGTAGACAGCATTGAGGATGGCGTTCATGGCATTTAAAACATCGCTTTATCCTGGCGCTAACATGCATCTGCATTTGCTCAATTGCACGTACAATAGAAGATTAGCTCGTTAGATAGCTAGCTAGGTTTAGCATAATTTCAACATTAGAAGGCGATGGGCGAAAGCTTTTGGTGGGTTTGCCAGGAATCCCATGGACGTTTCGAGCGTGGCGTTATTAGAGCTGTGTGCATGGCTTCAACTGCCATTATTAGATAGGAATGAATGGAATGTGTAATGAAATTGCTACACTTTGTCAAAATCCTGTCCTCAGAATTCAAATGGCAGATTTTGGTGTAAACCTCTTTTCGGCAGTACTGTAAGGCCGAATGGCTATTACATAGGTATAAATCTGATATCGTATTAATATCTTACTAGAATTTGAGATATTCAAGTCGTGTAAATATCTAACTGAAATGAAGATATTTACGCTATCTATTCTCTGGGTAAGGCTCGTGGGTTTATATTATTAAGTGAGATATACATGGGAAAATAGGCATCTAACGAAATGCACAAAAGTTTAATTAGAATTTGATAGTCCGTAAAGGGCAGAAGGCTCCTGTAGCTATGATTTTATAACCCATATAACCCATCCTCCAATCTAGGCCATTTTAATCTTTGATAGTTTCCTGCCTAATCTCCTCCAACTTCCTCTTCTGAATCCCGTGGCTATCAAAGTTCCCCTCATCTAGCCACTCTACAAGTGCCTTTTTAACACCAGCCTGCCACTCATCATCCAGGATACTGAACCAAGCTGTATCTCTTCGTCGACCTTTTACGATCATGCTACGTAGATATCAGAGATCAGCACGCAAGTTCATTCCGTGGCGATCTGTCTATGTCTGTCTGTTCCGTTCGGCAATGATGTGGTTTCCTAGCGATTGGGTTTCTGGGTGACCGCTAAGATGCTTTTCCACCCATCCACCAGCCTCAGTCCTAAAGGCAAAAAACCACACTTGACTAAAAGAAATGCAAAACTTACTGTTTCCTGAACTCCCCCTCGGCCACGAACCCCAACCTCTTCGCCGCCGCCTTGCTAGGGCCATTCAAGGCATTACACTTCCACTCGACCCTCGAATACCCCAGCACGTCAAACGAATACTGTAGCAGTAAGAACACAGCCTCCGTGGCAGCGGTGGTACGCTGAAGCTGCCGAGCGTAGGTTACATATCCGATTTCTATGCTGCGATGAGCGGGGACGATGGCGAGGAGGGTTGTGATCCCCACAGGGACTCCATCCGCAGTTCCGTCTTCCGGACGGAGGAGGATTACAAGTGGGAAGATGGCCCCCCCGTTGCAGAGGCTGCTGATATAGCTTGTGAAAGATTCGAGATCTGGATACGGACCCCCATGCATGTACGTCCAAAGTGCATCGTCTGGTGGACCGCAGAGACACTTAAAGAGCAATGGCGCGTCGGAGGGCGAGAGGGGACGAAGGGTTACGTGCTTGCCGTGGAGGATCGCGCTTGGTGATGCGGCATTAGGTGCTAGGGCTGGGCTACTGGATGTAACGGGTCCCACGGGTTGTGATTGTGACATGTTGAAGACTTCCGTGGATGTAGATAGGATTTAGGAAAATATATTTGAGAGTGAAGTGGTAAGGATTTATACTGGAAGGGAATACGAATAGTGTCACGGACTCAGGGGGTGAGTCATTAGGTGCAGAGATTAGCAACGGCGGGGGAATTCAATGAAGTTGTAAATTTCCATCATGTTGAAAAGGATGAGAATGTCCACCGCAAATTCCTGGTCTTCTGATGTAGATATATTGTACAAAAGTACTTTGTATCATGCTGGCTCCTGGTGGAGGGAGACTAATCACGTGATACTGTCCGCCTTTGTCCCTATCGTAAGTACTCAAAACAGAGATAAGTCATTCTATTATATCCATGAGGGTCACAACCAGACAGCTTCTTAAACCTGGTGCAGCTGCTTATCTAGGTCGAGCCACTGTGAAATATTGATAATACCCCACTCATTCTCTTCGATGTCTTCTCCATTATGTTTTAAAACCACGTAAGGTATCTCGGTATGCACCATTCGATTGATGAATCCACTCAGGCCTAGGACGATGCCAGATCGCACGGGGACGACTGTAAAAACGGCATTGAAACGGAATTCCGAATTTGAGAAGGCCACATACGCATCCAGCTGGACCATTGTGCCGGACTCATTCCGGTATGGATCGTGTGGTGGGTTTTCGAGATATTCGGCAAAGTTCTGCGGGAGATCACTCGGATCCCCATCAACGCCGGCGAGACGTAGGGAGCCCGACACCACGGGGAGAAATCTTTCAGTAATTACAGCGGGAATTTGAATTACCATCAGATCCTGGCGAGAACAAGCATGCATAACGTGCTCCTGATACTATGCTAGTGTCATATCGTCTTTAGCCTGGGATTCGAACCGGAGGCGGTGCTTTGCTCTGGGCGAGATGTCTGGTAGGGAGGCCTTGCGTTTGATCCGCTCGATAGTCGGGTCGGATATCTCAATTCTAGTGAGATATTCATACAACTTGAATATCTCAATTCTACTGAGACATTCATACAACTTGAATATCTCAATTCTAGTGAGCTATTCATATAGCTTGAATACCTTAATTCTAGTGAGATATTCGCGTGACTTGAATACCTCAATTTAAGCCCTCTTTCGTCTCTAGAGTCGCATGTGGAGGCTCAACGACTTTTGCGAATGATGTTCTAATCGGCCGCCCTTCAGCAGTAATAGATGACTTAGCGGCTGGTCTGGCTGAAAAACTAGGACGCTCTAAGAGAAATCTAATAACCCGCGCCTCGGATTGGTCGAAGAAGGCGAATTCTCAAATAGCCAATCGAAGCTCCACCGGCAGTTGCTGAAGGAACTTCTTAAGACCTTCCTGATGTGCTTTCGTTATCGGTGGTAAGATCATAATTTCTTTCTCCAGGGGCTGAAGCACCTGGGATGCTGTGGCGAGGACGATATTCCATGTTGTGTTGGAAGGGTCGAAGGTCTTTAGCTCTGGCGCATCTTGCCTAATCGCATCTACGATTTCCCGTATACCACCTACTACAAGAAGTTCCAAGGCCTGAGAACTTTCTGCGGGTTCCATGATATGCGGTGTAGACGTCATAGGATGGTGGACATGAACCCTGAAAAGGGAAGGTATTAGCAGTTGATACTTTTTTCGTGCTGGCTTTGACTCACTGTAGGGGAGGTGATATTGATAAGGATAACTTGACGAGAGATCCAAGCTTTGGTAACATGGATTTTAAAGTTGACGCACAAGCTAGACCGGGTTCGATAACTTCTAGCCCTACGCGGCCTAAATTATCGTTAGTGGAGCTCTAGTAGAATTTGGATATTACTCACTCGGAGACTTCGAGACACAAACGCTTCTGCCGCTTGTGAGGAGGTGAGAAGTTGGTTTTAGGGGCGGCGGTCTCCTTGACCTGGTCGATACTCCGTTATGCAACCGCCATGTGGTGCTGCGGCAGTGGTGGCGATCATCAAGAAGAGGAAGAAGACGAAGAGCAAGAAGAGGAAGAGGAAGTAGTCGGAGGGGAAGAGGAAGAAGAAGAGGAAGAAGAAGAGGAAGAGGAAGAGGAAGAGGAAGAGGAAGAGGAAGAAGAAGACAGGCAAGCAGCATGTTTGTAGACCCAGAGATGGTCCTTCCTCCTGAAACCACGGGTCGGGTCGTTGTTGCCATGAAAGCTGATGCTTTGGAGGGGGATGGCTTCGAGATACCGACACGGGGGTTCCTTTTACTTTTGCTTAATTTACTTTGCCCGGAAACTGAAACATGTTATTTACTTCGTACTTTTCCCGGGAACGGAAACACATTAGCTAGTCCTGTGCGGTACTTGGGACTAGGATCTGGGCGCCTGTAGGTGGGAATCCCGGCCTCTGGTCTCATCGGAGCTGAGCGACCTACTCCTCTGCACGCCAACCTAACGCCCTCCTCAAGACTTTTAGAAAATACATTCTCGTTGCAGCTAATTCTTGCACTCTCAGACCGGCCTTGTCAATACCCGACTCACGAGTATGAGACATATCCCGGGGTCGCGGGGCGTGTACTCGTCGCGAAAGCAGCTTTAGCTCTCCTCTCCGCCTCTGTCTTAGCATTCTTCGCCGGCTGCAGAGGCGCCTGCTGCGTCTCCCACTCCACATAGACCTTTTGTATGGCCTCCAATTCTCGCTTCAGATGATTCAACTGGGTCTGATAATCCTCAATAATCTGGAGGCGGTTAGCAGCGCCCGAGCCTTAGGGTGATATTTCCATACCTTCTTCGCCTGTCGAGTCATTTCCTCGTCCAAGCCATGTACGCTGTCTGAGCTGCTCTTTTCTATTTCGGCCTTTAACAATTTGGCTCGCTCTTGAACAGTAAGCATTCGCGCCCAGATCTCTTCGCCTCTTGCACCGAGTCCCGGGTCGCTAGCACCTTTTTCAAGGGCTTGCAATTTTGTCTTCAGGTCCTCTTCATCCCCTCCTAGTGCATACCCTCTATTCCGCAATAGCTGGACTCTTGCGGCTAACGCTAGACATCTCTGCTTGAGTACTCCATGTTTCCTTCTTGCATCCATAGCTCTTATGCTTGTTTTCGTATCATGATTTTGCAGCATCATTGATAGAGAGTTGTTGATTTCATGAAGTCGAGCATTGTAGTGTGCCAAATTCCGCTGTTGATTCTTTATCCTCTCTCCCAGCTGAGCGAAGCCAACACAGAGAACTGGGATGAATCCAGGCCCAGGCTTCTTTGATAGCGCCTCATCCCAGACTTTAGGGTCTTCATTAGGACCCGGTCGATAGAAAGGTACCATTCTGTCATCGACTTTGTTGTAGAAATAATACTGGAAGGCACAGTGCGGGCTAGCAGTATCCCATTTTTGGATAACGGTTGCGATTTGGTCTGTTACGCTCTTTTCACCTTTGATTGAATTAGTTAAGAAATATACGAAGGGGAAAAAGCGTCTTACGAGGATTTACTGCAGCATTAGGCTGCCATAAAGACCCGCCAAGTTGACTTTGGCCAAGCGGAGGTAGAGTTTGCTGCGCTGATTGGGAGAATAGACCGGGGCCTTGTTGCTGATTTGGTTGATTGCCAGACAGGTTACCGAATAATCCTCCAGTTTGCTGAGGCGGATTTTGTTGTTGACTCTGACCCATGCCACCAAACAATCCTCCACCTTGCGGCTGTTGCTGTTGTGTATTCTGACCTAGTCCGCCGAACAATCCTCCGCCTTGCGGCTGTTGTTGCTGTGTACTCTGGCCCAGGCCACCAAACAATCCTCCGCCTTGCTGCTGTTGCTGTGGCGGTTTCTGGCCTAGCCCACCGAACAATCCTCCACCTTGCGGTTGTTGCTGCTGCGTACTCTGGCCCAATCCACCGAATAAACCGCCCGTTTGCTGAGGGTTAGCTTGAGTGGAACTACCAAACAAGCCACCAGTCTGCTGTTGGTTTTGGTTATTCTGTCCAAGTCCACCAAATAAGCCCCCACCCGCTTGTTGACCCCCGGTTGTAGGTCCAAATAATGACATCTTGATATGCGGTGGCCCGACTCTTGCAGACAAGCCGCAAGTCGAGATGCGATATTCTGATGGATGTGTGAGATCTGCAGTTTATTCCGGATTTCGTAAGTTGGAAGGTATTTCGCTGCGTTGCTAGGTTTCGTTGAAGAACCGCGGTCGAATCTTGGAGGATTTCCAGGATCGTTATCTGGAGAGCAAGATATTTCGTAGCTATATCATGACGCAAATACGATAGGTAAGAAAGCAATGCTGAAAGGGATGTTGTAAGTTGGTAGGTTGCAAAACTGAGGACAAGGCGTGGTTGTTGTTGATGTGAAGTCGCTCCTCGATTTGTTGTCGCGAAGGTGAAGCTCTGGGCTCGCGCGTTCCCAAAAAATCCGTCGCTTGAAACCTCCAATCAGCGGAGCCGCGTTCCTGCTAAGCTGACCTCACGTCAACCAGCTCCGAACCTCGAACTATCAATTGAGTCTGCCACAAACCTCTTGACCCCTGGGTAAAGCTTCTACAATGTCGGGAAGACAGCCAAAGTAAGATATATACTTCTATAGTGGTCGATACTTGAGGCGCATCCGCTAACACACCATAAAACAGATTCAGTCAGACGACTCTGATCGATACGACCCCCCTCCCAGCAGACATCCCGCCCGTCACCGAGATTGGAACAAGTTCAGCACCTTTGTTGTCTGCCAGCTTCTTTATCGGAGCAAGATGCAGGCCCTACAATGATGATTTCATGCAATGCAAGGACCAGAATCCGGGCAGAGGAGAACTGGACTGTTTGAAGGAGGGTAGAAGGGTCACCAGATGTGCCAAGAGCGTGTAAGTACACCCTGGAGACTTAAAGCAGTATTCAATGGGGACCCCATATATAAGAATTGGGGCGGAGATGCAATGGGATAGTCCCATGCATTGCGCTGCGGAAACTACTACGAGTTTGAGAGGAGGATGTGGTGTTCCTTAGTAGACTCAAGAGCATGATGCTGATTTTCCATTGCCATTACAGGATAGAAGACGTGAATAAGCACTGCCTTACTGAATTCCGAAAGCATTGGACCTGTCTGGACAACAACAATCAACAACTGTGGCAATGCCGACCACACGAATGGAACCTCAACAAATGTGTCTTTGAGAATCTGGTCAGTCCCCCAATCATATCCGGAATATCAGGAATGGTAGCTCTTGCTAACGCCCTTGATTGTGCAGAAACTTGAAAAAGTCATACCAGACACACCTAAAAACGAAACTCCCGTGCACCTCCGGAAACACCAGATCTATTCACACCATGGCCCTTAAGACATCCCGGGATATTGGGAGTCGTTGAGGGTATTTTCTAGGAACTGCATGTATATAACATCAAAGAATAAGACTTCAATCACTAGTTCCCAACGTGATTCTGGCCTCTACATATTATCCCTGCGAAACTAGTTGAGATGGTAAATGGGTCAGAACGTCAAGTGATGGAATGGCTGGTAGAATTAACTATTGCCGAACGACTTTCGGGTTACGCCCCTTTCCAAGATGTATTGGATTATACAAATCAGGTAAGTTATTTGATTTGCTTAAGGGCTTGTATGCAGTCCTTTCAATACCGATATGCACTCCCTCCATGTTCTCTCTATCCTATGCTCAAACCAGCCCTTTCCTTTAAATTATCTTATTATGAAGATTTGGCCCTATAAAAACAACCGGCCGAACATAGCGAAACATCTCCTCCGGTAGATTGTACAAATGGACTTGTTAATGATCCCAAATTAATTATAGAAAGCCTCGCGACAGGGGGATTGTGTAGAGTAAGAATATTACTTAAGCACGGACATATAAGTGAGCGACAGTCAGAATTCACTATTCGGGTAGATCGTTTTACCATGGTTTAGCCCTTGCTTGCCTTATGCCCTCAAGCTTTTCAGATACCTCACCAAGTGCTTGCACTTCTACCTCGTTGGCTTAGCGCCATTCTACAAAATACAAATAACATCGGGGATCTTTCTCTGTGTCCATTGCTTTTCCTTACCTACTTACCTCTCTTTCGAGAGGGAATGCTGAGATTATGCCGGGGCTTTTTCTGTTCTTTCGCGACGGCCATCTACGCATTCACAAATTTTTGGACATCGATTACCCGTTAGGGTACAGGACTAGGATGAAACCATCTAAGCCGGCATTAGTCAAACTCTAAGTGTTGCTTGCAGCAACTCCGATGATTGTCGCCTGCAGAAATTGGTGCACTGAGTCTACTATACTGTCCCTTGTCTCTCCAAGAGGAGCGTATGGGTCATGCCTGGGAACTTTAATCGTCGTTCCTGGTACCGTCCTATATTTTACCTGGCTTGCCACAATCAATCGGCATCCGGATCCCTACAAGGTGGATATAGTAGAGACTGGTAGTAATTGTTCCGTCTATGCAACCCCCACAGTTAACGCTTTCCTATAGTGTCGAAGCAACTCTAGTTTTCTCCTTCTGGAGGCGGATTTGGCCAAGTTGATGGCCATGGTAAATGAAAGGGTTGAGAACCCATATATCTATTATATCACGTTTAAAAGAAGAGCCCAGAAGCTGAGCGTCTTGCTTCCTAATAATGTATTCCTTTCTTCTTTATTTTTTAATCAGAGAAAACGACTCTGTGACAAGTCTGGGGTGAAACAATCACCATCTAGTCGACTGCTGCCATATACCTAGCTGTTATCATATTGAGATGATATCCTAGCCCGAGACAGCATACGATATCACGACGTATGCGACGGGAGTCAATATGTTGCTATTATAGACGATCCATAACGTGCCCAGAGCCACCAAGGGGAAAGAAAAGCCACCGACAGTGAGGGGCACGCTCAAGAAGCAGCGCGCGGTGCTTTTTGTCATGACGAACCGGCGATCTAGAAGTACCCATGAAAATTTTGTAGTTGGTGGAATATCTATTCTAAATACGCAGGTGAATGGTGCTACTACCCATCACGAATTACAGCCCCTATGCAACATATATTTTACACTACATGAGGTAGTATGGCGATGGTTAACCTATTATCGCCAACTCTTCATCTATACCAATTTACTAAACCACGGTTCAGCTACTTTAGGTAGTGTCTTTAGGTCATCGGTGTTCATATCAGAGAGATTTCATGTACAAGCGGACGTCGAGAGTTTTATGTCATGATTTGTTTATTTTTGATACTCCAGGAGTGCCATAACCTTGTATTAATCATGATAAGGCATTAATAGTTGTTTAATTAGGTATACTTACAGAAAACTTCCTTCTCCGCCTTCGCAAACTCGTCAAATATAGTGTCCTTCCTACTCTCGCTCCTGATCTCGATTTCACACGGAAAAGGGTGAGCACAAACGAGAAAACCTTCACTATAAGCCGTCACTGGATCCACATCTGGCTCGATCTCCTCACCATTTGCGCCCTTCCCACGCTTGAAGTTAAAAGCCCAAAGTAATTTCGCCATACCGAGGAAGAGATTTCTCTCCGCAAGATGGATGCCGGGACATAACCTCCTTCCTGAGCCGTAGCCATAATGATCCCGTGCTTCATAGTCCGCAGATGCTGCAAGCTCAGGAGCGAGTTTTGTGACGCCTTTATAGTGATCTGGGTCGAAGATCCCGGGGTTCTTGAAGGATTTTTCGTCGTGGTGCAAGCCCCATCCATTAATAAGAACTGTCGTTCCTTTTGGGATGAGCTTGCCGTCAATCCAATCATCTGCGGGATATTAATACAGAATTCAATATAGTTTCACTAAGGAGGCACTATCCTACCTTCCGAGGCGGCGTGTGGGAACGCCAACGGTACAACAGGTCTCCATCTCATAGCCTCCTTTACGGTTGCGGCCACATAAGGCAGCTTCTCGTAGTCGTCCCAGACAGGAGTACGGTCCTCTCCAACTACGGAATCAATTTCTGCCTGTGCCTTCTTCATCACTTCTGGCCATTTCGTCATGGCGTGAATAAATGCAATGATGACCGAGGAACTAGTGTCACTGCCACCCTCCATCATGACTCCACCAAGGAAATACAGCTGATGTCGATTGAACTGCAACTTATCACGCTGGTCGAGAACTTTATCCATGAAGGACCCATTGTCAATCCCTTCTTCCCGGCGTTTAATGGTAATGTCAAGATACTGCGAGTATAATTCGTTCATCTCCTTGTTGACATTTTTAGCGCGGGACTTCCAATTTCCAAGCAGTTTCTCGGGAACATAATGAAGGAATGGAAGTAAATCCACTGGAGGTGTATTCCCTGTTTCCATCACTTTGGACCAGTTTTCCATCATGGCGTATAATTTCGTCATATGTGGGGTTTCTGTAGTTGGAGTCCGTATACCAAACACTTTGATCATTAGCTACTTCCTATCTTGGTTTGGAGGAACCGGAAAACTTACACAAGCTCATAACAACAGAGTTACTGAATCGCTTCGGGTGGTCCATATGCTTACCCGGCATAATCAAAAAGTCTCGCAGCATTTGCACCGCTTCAGCATCCACCAGCTTTGTATGATGATTTACAACCATACTCTCCATGAAGTGCTGATGGATGACCTTCCGGAACGCTCGCCAGGTGTTCCCGTAATCCATCACGAGCAGATGGTCGCCACCGGTGATTAGGCCATTCCCGACGTATGAGGCTGGTCGGCTGCTATAGATCGACGACTTTTTGTCGATAAGCTGCTTGACGAGTCGCTTGTCTGTCAGGACGACCATTGTTCCTGGGCCTAGCTTGAGGGAATACATCCCGCCGTATACTTTTGCCCATTCTGTGAACCTGATCGGTCAGCACTTGGTTTGTGACTTGGGGAGAGTGGAATACTTCAAGTGCGCATTTTTGGGTGGTATCTGATGGAGGTTTCCGAGAAGAGGTATAGTTGGTGGACCTGATAGCTATGAGTGAGAAAAGTCATTACAATCAGACATTGTTTATACACACCAGGGGGTAGATTGCAAGCTCGTCTGCCGACAAAAAGGAATATGTAGGCAAGACCCGCGAGGGCACTAATTCCTAGGATAAGTAGGATGGCCATGACTGACGTTCGACAAGATCTGAGTTGTATAGGAGGAAGTTTGAAGGAATAATAGAAGCAGTAGGTGGACAATATAACAACCGGGAGATGGCAAAGAAGCCGGGACAGGAGTGTGGAGGAAACAAGGCTGGCGGGGTAGATCTGCGAAGCCTCAATGCGGAGTATACTAGAGAAATGACCCGATATGGAATTATTCATCAAAGTAGGTAAGTGTGCCTCCATTAACTGCTTTATACCTTAGCATTGCTGGTACTTGGCAAATACAACCCCGGGGCAGTTCTATACCAAGCAACATTAAGGTCAGCAGTACATTAGTGAGTAGTACAAGAGCAAGTGGGTAGCACAAGGGTGAATGAGTAGCGCAGTGTCAATTTGAGAATTACAAGATCTCCTGCCATAGATCGCACCAATAACCGGGTGCCAAAAGAAACCGGAAATTTAATATAACAGTTCTAGTTCCAAAGGGATAAGCTATGACTCCGAAGGGGCAAGCTAAGACTTTGTTTTGCGGGGAAGGCGGACAGATTTCGATTCGGCATGATTTCGGTACATTTTGAACATGAACGATTTTGGGGCGAGAACATCTACCACAGGTAAGGTAGGTAGGTAGGTATGGAGTGCCGGGTTAATTTGAGAACACCACTTGGGATTCTCCAAACGGGACTTTTAAAGGTTGTCCGTCAGTGTATTATTTATACGAGCACCTGACAGTGGACTAACAAAGAATACCGTCTTCTATTTAAAGTGACACGATAAAGAACCCCCTAGAGTATCAATCAAATAAAGCGCTGGAGCTATGAAAATTACAATAATGCCACTTACCTCCTAACTTACAGAGTACAGGCGCTGTCTAATCGTTTTAGTTAAACTGACTGGAATTTGTTTGTTGCCAGTGGTGAATATTTTCGCATGTTGTCTACTCCTGTTAATATTTGCTATCGCAAACAACTGCACGTATGCCAACACAATCTAATATTGGTAAGGAGCCCACTAAGATGAGATACAAGGGAGAAAGGGTAAAATAAAAACATGTAAGCAAATGGAATAGTGCCCTTGTTTGTAATTGTGACTTGCCCTCGGATATGAGTGGGGAAAAACTGTGCGATAGCAGACAAGAAGGCGTGGAGATCACAAAACAAATCTTAACAAGGTAGCACCAAGTAGGAAAAAAAGAAAAATTAGATAAATCATATGATTTTTTGAATTGCCCACAGACGGAATCGAACCGGCAACCTCGTCATGTCATTGTATTAATGTTACTAGTGACGCGCTCTACCATTGAGCTATGCGGGCTGTTTTGTGATTAAATTTGTTTAATTAAATATATTTAGTATTAATTTAGGCACGTGCGTCCGTTTGCAGCATGTTATCGCCTTAGGCATTAACCGCCTAATCTCCAAAATCTACGTAGTGCTTCGTAAAGGCTCGCGTTTATTACAACCAACGCGTCCGGCATCAAACCATCCTTGCAATCTCAACTCAACTCCATGATGCGTTCTAGGTCGCCATCAAGAGGTAGGGCGCGGACGCGCTCGCCCCATCCAGATGTTCAACGACCCGAATCAAGATCAGTTTCTAGGCCCGGTCGCTCGATCTCCCCTCGCTCGGTGAGCCCCAGTCGCAGTCGCAGTCGCACTCCGCGGCGCAATGGCAGATACAGGAGCGAAACCCGCAGCGTTAGCCGTGGCAGAAGTCCAAGCCCAGTGAGGAGCACAAAGGCAAATATTCCTTTCTAGTTATACGGCTCACTCTAACTTTTACAGGTGGTGGTTGAGAAACTTACCAAAAATGTCAATGAGGATCACCTTCGAGAAATCTTTAGCACTTATGGTCAGATTCGAGATCTAGATATTCCCATGAATAGGCAATGTAAGGTCCCCAGCCTCGGTTCATTTACAACTACTGACCTTACAGTCAACACAAACCGTGGCACAGCTTATATCCTCTATACCTCCGAAGCCGATGCCGAAGCAGCAATTGCCCACATGCACGAAGCGCAGATCGACGGAGCAGTCATCAACGTATCGATCGTCCTCCCTCGTCGGAAATTCTCCCCATCACCACCTCTCGCAAGAAGGGGCGCAAACATTGATCCACGTGGACCTCCCATCCCATCGAACTTTCGGGGGCCACCACCACCTCGTCGCCGTTCCCCACCCCCAGCCTACGGAAGGCCGGAGAGGAATTTCGACACCTATAGACCAAGATCCTTATCACGCTCGCGGTCTCCTAGGCGTCATAGAACTCGTTCCAGGTCATACTCTTCTCGATCTCGCTCTCCACCAAGACGACGGGGCGGTCGACGGGATAGCCCGGGACGAAATGCTGGCAGAAGAAGAAGGAGCCCGAGCTATAGTAGCTATAGCAGCTATGATGATAGGAGCCGAAGCAGAAGTCGGGCCCATGGAGGAAGGGGGCGGCATTAAGTTGTGAAGGGACTTTTTATATGATAGCGCGGAGTTTGGGATTTCGGGAAAATTGTGAGATTAGTTTAGGGTGAGAACTGTACTATGTCGTCTCAAGGGTTCTTCAAGTCATCAAAGATACCAATGGAAAATTTAGACTACTGAGCTCCATAGGGAGTACGATTATGAATTCCGTAAAGCTCTGCACCCACCTTCGATACCCAATATAGTGCCTTACATATTAGGCATGAAACATAGCCCACCAAGCCACCAAGTGAACGACATCGCTAGCAAAAAGGAACGTTCACTTTCCCATTGTTATTCTGTCAAGCTGGCTTTTCATTAAATTTATTAAGAAGTTAGCTTTCCACGGACCGAGGAAACGGAAATGAAGCAAAAAACCATCCCAAGGAGTTAACGGCTTCACACCCTCTGAGCCCAGCGACTTCAAAAGCTTACGGAGACGTCACATCTGAACGTCTGAAACTTTCCATAAAAGACACCAGCGGCCAATAGGGAGCAACTAGGTGATTCCTATAGTTAGACAATGCCGTCAAAAGCAGAACGTTTCATGTGTCTTCGGTGTCGAGCATCAGGACACATTGTTGCCGACTGCACGACATCACGGGCAAGTCCAAATGCATCAGTCAGAGAGCAGGTATCAGGCAAGAAGCTTCCCTGGTGGAGACCTACCAGCAAGAAGTCAAAATTATGCAAAAGGTGCAGAGCAATCGGGCTTTCCTGGTCAGCAGTAGGCAAAGGACGACCGTGGGCTGCCGGCATGGAACAACGGGATAAGGTTTGCGCAAATCTTGGACCGGCGGAAGGGGCTGTCTTTCAAAAACATTGCCCATTATGCGTCCTGCTTTTCGAAATAACACCGAATCCTGTGGAGCATCAGGAAAAAGATCTCGTCGTCATAATGGCATTTACTCTCAATCGAATTGGCAAATCTCGATTTACACCTACAGTTCTGGAGCAAAATGATATGAAATGGACTGAATGCTTGTATACTACTATTCAGGTATATACAATAGATCCCGCACTCTGCAGCCGTGCGCAAAATGCCATTAGCCGCATTCACAATGGCCAGACATCACAATCGAAGATACTGGGTGGACAGGTTGTCCCCGAGGAAGGGGTCAACTTTGACCTCATCAAGAGCTGGCTCAGTCGGTGTGAGAAGCATCACGGACAACGCTGCGCACCTGAGCGGAACGATGCACTTAGAAACATACGCCTAATCGATGTGGACATGCGGCAGGTAGTAAGTTATCCTGATAATGGCTATTGTAGCTACTTGGCTCTTAGCTACATGTGGGGAAATACTACCCAGCCAAGTTACAATCTGGGCGCAGACATTGGCCAAGTTCCCCCAACAATTGAGGATGCTATTACCGTGACAAAACGACTTGGTGAACGGTTCCTTTGGGTAGACAGCATCTGCATCAATCAAACAAGCGGCTCCCACAAACAGAGCCAGATCAATATAATGTCCAGTATCTACGGTGGTGCTCGTACCACCCTTGTGGCGTTGTCTAGGAGTGATGCAGATTTTGGGCTTTGCAGAGTCCAGGTCAGTGGTATAAATTCGACGCATGCTGAGGATGAAAAACATCACCAAAGCAGGTGCCGACAAGTACTGAGAAGCATTAATGACGAAGAATATGTTACAGTTCTCCCCACGCTTGACCAGCAGATCCATAAGTCTCGTTGGCGATACAGAGGCTGGACTTTACAGGAAGCCCTGCTTTCTCCTCGATGCTTGTTTTTCAGCTGTGATCAAGTATACTTTCAATGCAATATCATTCAATGTTGTGAGTCGCTCGATGACTCTGACAACCCTATTTTTCCTATTAAGGGAGATTCGCAAGCTTCCAAAGTAGTCTCTGAGGGAGGTTCAATGGTATTTACGCTTATGACGGATTATCCTACTGGATCCTTTATAAATCCATTCAATGCGCCAGAAAAAGAAGACGGAAGTGTGACGGCCAACGTTAAGCTATTTGATCAGACATATCTTTATGATTCTCTTTTAGAGCAATATTCTGGTCGAGACCTGAGCCATGACTCCGATGCCATTGAAGCATTTGGCGCCATACTTCAGAAGTTCCGACAAAAGTCGGGCTCGGAGATTTTCTATGGCATTCCTATAGCCATCATGCCTTGGGCTCTTATGTGGCAGGAAGAAAGCTATTGCAATCGTCGTCGACAAGAGTTTCCAAGCTGGTCCTGGGCTGGATGGCAGGGCCCATTATTGCACGGTCTCTGTGGCCTCGAAAAACATGGAGTGGACAATCCGCAGCCGGTGGTGCATATCTGGAAGATTCAAGACCAACAACCCGTCAAGCTTTTCTCGCCAGAGGCGTCAAAGTTGGAGAGCTATGACTTCCGAAGCTGGAACTTCGTCTTGTCGGACATGTGGAAGCTTCCAGCGAGGACCGACGATGTCGACTTGACGCAATTCCCGGACGCCGAAAAACGGGGTCTCCTTCTCATCGACGGCATCATACTCCAACTACCCCTTCTTTGGTCACCCCCGCAACGCAACCGACACGGTTTGCCAAAATGGGAGTCCTACACACACATCAAAGTTCACTTTGGCAACAGTAGGTATCCAAGACTATCACCGGAGGAAAGCGAGCTTGGAAAGCTTAAGGACATGGTCGGGCAAAGGCAGGATTTCCTTGTAATGCTTGGTGTAGATATTGCCGATCATCCAGCGTGGAGAAGCAGTGCACTCTTTCTAACACTAATCCTGCTACGTTGGGAAGGCAATGTTGCGTGTCGTATGGCCGTGATGTATGTTCGTATTGATGGAGATCTCAAGAACGACATCAAGGATTTTAATCCCCAGCGGAGGCGTATTATGCTAGGATAATGTGAGTCCTATACTTTTGAATACCCTATAACCATAGAAAGGATTTCGGAGCTGATACCTAACTCCCTAGCTCCCCACCTGCGAGATGAGGCTGAGGGCGCCCAGAGGCTAATGGGGATTCGTTAAAGTACCTGGGCAAATGGATGAGTTGTTAGCATAGCATCCGTCATGCCCTTTACTTACTAGCGCAGGGAGTGTAAGCCCTGGATTTGACGAACAATCGGACGATCTCAAATGTCCCCTATGAAGGAGCTGACATGCTCCGCGACGAAGAGGATGGAAAACCACATACGACTTATATCTGAAGTATTGGGCCAAAAATATTTCGCGACGGGTCTGTAATAACCAGGCCAGGATTCCCGTAGTGGAGTCTGAGTGCCATGAAAGGTCGGGCACAGGATCTAGAGGCCCTGTTTGCGAGGCTTGAGCGCGTATCAGACCAGTCTACAAGTGCTATTGAGATGCAGGAGGTTCTCGTACAAAAGGCACACGAATTTACTGTTGGCGACCTCATCGCAGTGCTCCGGGACTTCCCAGGAAACCCAAGTTTGAAGAATCACCTTCGAAATGTGATTGGTAAGCCCCGCCGCTATTATTCTGTCTCTTCTGAGCTGGTCTGTACTGCGAGGGATAGGTCGTGCTGCATCTTTCATAACATCCAATCTCTACTTTCGCCTTCATGACGGCTTCCAAGGGCCACGAACCCACGGCCGGCTCTATGGCAAGTGGAGTTGGCTAGATTGGTTAGAAGTTCCCCTAGAACAGCGCTCTAGCCTTGGAATCATCGTCACCAACTGAAGGACAGAGATAGATTACCAGTTTCGGGTCATGTCAAAGGCACCTAAGCGACTATGTTACCACCCAAACGAGAGCGTCTTGCTGCCTTCCGTACATTGGACCTCGCCCTCGGGTGTCTCTGCCGACCGTATGCCTCCATCTCCAATGCCCCCCCCTCGGACCTGCGAAGGCCTCTAGCGCTTGCGGGACCGGGTCGTCTGCGTTTACCACGTACGGAGCAGATACCGCCCTACTCGTACGTTTCGCCTCTCGATTCCCGAGCCACCCAGACGGGAGAACAGCCAGTGGTCGACACTGTAGCTCTCCTCAATATCGGACTTGCCCAACTACCTTTCAGGTAGCAGGTCACGCTGTCAACACCATCGCTCTGGATACAACTCGACGAGCCTGCCCTCTTCGTAGATTTTTCTGCTGCATACAAGGCTATCTATCAATCACCCCCGCAGGAGAAACCGCTGTAGAGGGTAGTAAACAGTATGCTGCTGAGATTGATGACATTCCGATTGCCTCAGAGCTGCAGCTCGAATGTCCAAAGGGATCGGACAAACTGTCCGTCTGGTTTCAACGCTCTTAGAGCTGCGTTGTTTGCATAAATTTTGTATTGAAGAATTCTTGAACCTTGGTCTTGGTCGCAGGGCAACGCGATACGAAGTACTGTCCAAAGTAGTCGGAGATATGAGCATCGCCGTTTTTGTAGAAGCTAGGTACTTTCTACACAGTTTCCGCATGAAACTGAGCCTGCTGAAGGCAATGGTGATACGAATAGCGGAACATTTGGAGAGGTCCCCTCAGGACCAGCGGAGACTGGCTGCTCCGTATGGCGACTAGTCATTTCTCCACTGGCTTGTTGCTCCCAAATTTTTAGGCTACGGAAGGAAATATGAGCTGTGCACCTTCATTCTTTAACTTCTAAGACGATTTTAAGTTCTATTTTGGACCTAGAGATGTTCTGTGCCCTACATAAGAACGGCTTTTACGGCTTTTACCCACTAGTACTATTTAAGATATGGGTGTATTTTATGTAGAGCTATCAAATTATATAATTGAAAACCATATATATTTGTGATCTATATATCCAGCCGTAATGAAAGCACTTCTGAAGTTTTGATATTTCGTTTGTTTAAACGCGAGTAACTAAGCCAGTTTTGCCTTACACTCTCAAACTTCTTGCATGCCAAAATTCTTCCAGATAATCACTGAGTAACCCGTCATCAACGCCATGTACTTTGGGTTCCGACATGGAATACTCTACCTCCTCATCACCACTTTTTATAACCTGAGCTCTTGGATCTACTCCGGATCCACCACAATACTTCTCGAATGTAACCCCGCCCCATTGTCCACATCCTACACTTGTCATTCCCCATATAGTTACGCAAGGCTTGTCTTCAGCCGTCTTGTAACTAGGACCACCTTCATAAGTATCAAAGTTGTTGATAAGGTCCCCGGTTTTCCTATTCCAGAGCAGGTTAACCTCAAAGCTTCGTTCGACTTTAAACCAATGCCTTACAGCATCATAAAGAAACCCCATCCGCAAGCCGTTAGAACGAGGGATAATAGTTCGGAATTCTAAGTCACAGCCTACACGTCGATTGACATATTGAACAATCTCTAGAACTTCGACAGCTGGTTGACAGACAAGAAGTTGTCGCCATTGCCAATTGCGGCACTTGTCTATGTGTCCGTGTGGCCGTGGTTGAAGAGCCATTGTTTCCTGTAGATGTATCTCTGACGGATCATAAATTTTCGGTACATCGACAGGCATTTCGTTGCTTTCCTTGGAACGAAGTTTCTTCTCGACATTACTCTCTGGAATACCCACTCTGTCTGATGCCTCTCCGTTGATTGGCCAAAAAGTTGAGAACTTATTCATCAATACATCAGAATATGTTTCTGTGTACAAAGCCGATCCTTTAGGCCGAGGGCGCTCAAATAAAGCAGCTTTGATTTCGACGTGTTTGAAAAGGCTTGCCCATGTTTTATTGACAAGTTTGGCTTTGAGTAACGAGGAGTGAGGCAGCTGAGATAGAATGGAGATAAGGAGGTCTGGAGTGGACAACACTGTTTTTTGAGCATTTGAAGGCATCCCTTTATCTGGAATCATAGGTTTTCCGTGACAGGATGTTATTGTAATGGAAGCATTAGGCAGAAGCTGTAAGATAAGTTATTTTACTGTAAGCATTGTGAAACATGCCTAATTATACCAGGTGCTGCGCACAGCAGAGAACGAAGTGAGCCTATTGGGGGGGTTGGGGGGCGGGGTCTGACTGCTTGCTAAGCGATTCTAAAGCGTCATATGAGTTTCATATGCTAAGGGCAGCAGTAAAGAGCAGCTATTCATGGCTCTTTAAATAAACGCATGGAAGTATGGAGGAATAGATATCAGAAAATGGGAATTAAGGAACTGGAAATCGAGAGTAGAGATATAGTAAAGCTAACAAAATACATATGATGATTCATTGCTACTATGTCCTGAGGATGCATAAAACGGCGACCTTCGACAGATTTTCAAAACTACAAGCGTAAACCCCAACTATACCCCTACGCTCCAAAGAAATTCAAAAGGATCGAAAGCTCTCCTCTCAGCAATTGGGCACCGTCACTGTCTTTCATATGAAGTGAACTTCCTGAAAATACACCCGAGCCGAACCGTGCTAACTAACCTACCAACTTATGCCTGGCACCATGAGGGGTAGTATTGGGAAAAGAGTCGTATTTCCAAAGTCTACCGCATGAAAGAGTTCTCTGATTATGATATACTTAGATCTTGAGTGGCTATGACCAATGGGTTCGAGCCTACTTGGCAAAACATTACCAATCTGTAAAATGTTCACTGGATTGAAGACCACAAACTACACATAGATATCGTATTCCCCGGTGCCGGCTATATTGCCACGGTAGGAGAGGCCATTCGACAACTTACTAGTTCGGAGGATTATACTGTTAGGAATGTGACGATTAGTGTAGTAAGTGGACACTTGGACATGTTCTTTCTCATGCGCTTCCACAAACGTTCCCTGCGGCCCTTAATCAAAGCCATAAAACCTCTTGATCATGCACTACCAACTCAAACTACTCCAGGCCATGGTATTCCCAGAGTCGAGAGAACTAGAGATGATGACTAGTCTTTCTCCTTCTAGGGTTACTGGTGATGCTTTTGGAACAGTAGATGGCAAAACAGTCCTTCAACTCAAGGGATTGAGGCTCTCTCCCGTGGAAGGAAATGCACCTGCAGATGCCGATCCTCACGCAGCTGTTGAACTCGAGTGGAAGCCCGATATTGATTTCTTGGAAGAAAAGAACTTGATGAAAGTGTTCAAGAGTGTTCGCGCTGATCATATGCTTAACGAGAAGCTGACCTATGTAACAAGCGAACGCCAACTGGTGGCAATTACAAAGCTGATGAGCAGCGCTTCGGAAAGTTTATGTTGCGGGTCGAGGAGCAAAAGCTGCGTATTCTTAGTGGTAAGTACCCACTGGTTCCAGACGTTGGTGAACTCGCGAACCTGGACCAGAGTGTTCGAATGGAGCGCATCGATACTCTGTAGCGCCTATAACCAAACACAAACCACAGATGGCGCAGCAGTGGGTGAATCTCTGTTCCGAGTTCTTGAGAATTTTGAGAAAATTCTAGAGGGCAGATCATCGCACCACGAAGGACGAAACACGAGAGCTCGTGGAGTACGAAGGCTTGGCAGAGATCTAGGAATAGAAACAGTTTAGAAGCTCGATATGGGAGACATATATGGGTAATGACCGTGGGTGCCTGGTATTTCTAGCGAAAGAGTTCTGCACAAATTCCCCTACAATGCGCCATATCATTGGCTGCGTAGAACCAAAAAGGGGCGGTAGGCGAGAGATAAGCTCTCGGGCATTGTGGAGCAAGCCGTCGTACCCCGGTTCGGGATTTCAGACCTTCGAAACACAAAGACCGACTAAATCTCCTGGCTTGAGAATCAGGAGATGGGATAAACACATATCAATATCACATAGGGGAGTCGACCTAGGTGTAACGTTGCAGTTGAGGGCCTAGCCGCCTATCGCTTGGCTATGTAAAGTGGAAATAGTTATGGTGCGCAGGCGAAATTGTCCAGAGCGTAGCGCAAAGCAAGACCAAGACAAAGACCAACAGAAAAAAAGGAAATACTATACTCATCTTCTTCTCGTTACAAGAGAGCAATCCAAGTTGTATTCGACTATGGCTGGGTGAAGACTCAGAAAGATACACATGTAGTGCCATAGGACCTGGGGATTCAGTTTGTGTTCACTTGCCTAATCTACCTACCTAGGTAGTGATAGGCTCGTGATGCCTGTGGTCCTCGGATAGCTGATGGTGATCTTCACAGGATGCGATAAACCCCTTCTGTGCACCCTTCCTTTGGTACATACCACTGTCGTTGCTGGAATATAAGGACACCACGCCCTCCACTCCCGTATAATCGGGGTAGCCGAATAACCTTGGACCACGATGAGACCATAAGGCAGCATGGCCCCTCACGTCAATGAAAGGAGCACTCGATGCTCGTCGCATCTGCAATGCAATGACCGCAAACCCTCTGTGGCAACCATTGTGCCAGACGGCGATGTTCCCGACTCTGAAGGCCTAGCGTCGATGAGGCTACTCTCATAGCCCTAGGGTACAAGCAAGAATTCAAGAGAGAGTTTTCGCTTTGGTCAACCTTTTTGTGTCTCTTTTGCTGTCTTGGGACTGTTACCCAGCTTTGCGAGCACCCTATGTTACGGAATGGGATATGCTGGCACAGGAGGAATGATCTGGGGTTGGCTCATAAGTTGGGCCTTCATCCAATGTGTTGCTATGGGTATGGCAGAGCTGTGTTCTAGTATGCCAACCAGGTATGAATAATAACAGTGGATATTTGATAGCGGTGAAGCTAAATTCCACAACAGCGGTGGATTGTACTATGTTGCAGCAGTGTTAGCTCCTCCAGGATGGGGCCCATTCGCAGCTTGGATAACAGGTTGGTCGAATTGGATAGTCCAAGTGACAGCAGCGCCATCACTCGACTATGCTCTCTCAGCCATGGCGCTGGCAGCAGCTTCCATTGCCAACCCCAACTACGTGCCGACCGATTACCAGACTTTCCTCCTAACTGTTCTCCTCATGATTATCCACGCGTGCATTTCCAGTATGCCGACGCTCTCGATCGCGAATTTCAACACCTATGGATCGACGCTGAATATGATTGGATTGTTGATCGTCATCATCATGATTCCCGCATCAGTCACTGGAACCGAGACGACCCCGAAGTTCTTCCCTTCGAAAGACGTTTGGTCAATCCAAAATGGAACTGATTGGCCAGATGGGATTGCAGTGCTTATGAGCTTCATTGCTATCATTTGGACTATGTCTGGCTATGATGCGCCTTTCCATCTTTCCGAGGAGTGTAGCAATGCGAACGTTGCATCCCCCCGTGCCATTGTTATGACGAGTGTGTTCGGAGGGCTAGTAGGATGGGCATTGCAATTGGTCGTGGCATATACAGTTATAGACATCCTTCCATTATCGAGTCTGATCTCGGCCAACCATGGGCATCTTATCTCGTTCAGGTTATGCCGCAAGAGACTACTCTCTCTATTCTGGGTCTCACAATTGTGTGCGGTTTCTCCATGGGACAAGGGTGCATGGTTGCCGCTTCGAGGGTAACATTTGCATATGCCTGCGATGGGTGTTTCCCTGGGCCGTGGTGGATCAAAAGCGTCAACAGACACACATACACCCCAGTAAACGCTGTATGGTTCAACACCACTATTGGGGTCCTATTGCTGCTTTTGATATTCGGTGGTAGTGTTGCTATTGGAACTATTTTCTCTGTCGGAGCAATTGCAGCGTATGTTGCGTTCACGATTCCTATTTTTATACGTGTGTTCTTCGTCGGGAATCGTTTCCGTCGAGGGCCATGGCATTTGGGCAGGTTCAGCAAGCCGATTGGCGTTGCGGCTTGCGCCTTTATTCTTGCTATGATACCCATTCTATGCCTCCCGTCAGTTCGAGGAAACCATCTCACAGCGGAGCTTATGAACTGGACTATTGCCGTCTATGGTGTGCCGTGAGTAGTCTATCCTTGTACCAAAAGGTGATATGCTGAAACAAGGTAGTATGTTGACGGTAATCGTCTGGTGAATTATGTCTGCTCACAGATGGTTCAAGGGCCCTGTAATTAACATCGAGGTATGATCCGGAGGAAGCTGTAAATATAGTGAAAACTAATAGGACCCTAGCACCATATGCTTGGAAGAAACATGGCCGTGAAAGGCGTTGAGGCATCTTCAGGGAGTGTTGGGCCAAGTCTCCCAGACAGAAATGTCGACCTAGGGGCCTTCTCCGCCGAAGGACAGGATCAGGTAGATGTTTGATCTAGCTTTAAATATTAATCTTGAGGAGTTGCTTGATCCCGATTTCGTCCAATTTGAGATACTCTGTTGTATACCGCGCGATGCCTAGATAACCGAGATGTAATAAAGGAATGTCAGCTCGACTCCCATCGTAATAAATATAGCGTGACTAAAAGCTGCCAACGAGTTGGCGAAGCTGTACTGTGCTTCCACAAGAATGAAAAACCCGGTCGTACGAGGTGATAGACCGAAGGAGTCTTTGGCCTTTGCTCCAACGTATCATAGTCCGTATGGAGAATAGAGTTGTATTGGCACAAGAACTGCCCTCATGCCATAAGTACCTTTAGGTAGCGTGGTTTGAAGAAGGACGAGCACTCTGGTGAGGTTTATTAAGAAGTTCAGGCTGTGACGGGTCGCTGAGCCACAGCCTAAATATAGTATCCTAGTGGCACGGCTACGATGCTATCGGAGTTTCCTTGAAAGGACGACACTCCTACTCAAGTTAAGCATGGAGACCACCCACCACATTCTCAAGCCATCACATTTCTATATATTTTCCCTCCCCATGCTTTAAGCAATCGCCTATCCGCATTCCTCATCATGCCGCCGGCTCGGGACACCTCATCAGCATTCCTCTCCCCAACCAATTTCGATGACGACGCTTCGAGTATCCACAGCGAGCGTAGTGACCAAGATACTGACAGCGAAGATGATGAAGTCCTGATGGGGGCGCGCACGAGCGCAGATATCCGCGAGCACGACCGGAGCGTACTGATCGAGGAGGAGGAGCGTGATAGGTTGCTGGAAGAGAGCTTGAAACGCGGCCGTAGAGGAAGCGCCATATCATTGCCAGGACCCTTGAAGAAGTTATTTACGAAAAGTTATACCGAGTTGCCTGGAGTAGACGCAGGCATCGAGATGGGAGAAGGAAAAGAGGATAGGGGTGATAGAAGGGAAGGGCGGAGACGGCGGAAAGATAGGAGGTCCAAGAAACGAGGGAAGTTGATGAGTGAAGCGCATGATGGCGAGGACGGAGGGTTGATGTACGAGATGGAGGAAGGTGGCCTGAAGGAAGGTAGTTCGACTGGAAGCAGCAGCGAGGCGGAAGGTAGCGACGAGATTGATCGGCGAGGGTTACGTGGTCTACAGGATGAGAAAGTACAAAGGAGGCGGAAGTGGAGAAAGTGGTGTTTTATACACCTATTAATCGCCATTGGGTTCTCGATACTTGTTCTATTGGCATGGAAGCTGTCGCTGAATCGGAAAGGCATGAAGATGGATCAGAAGATGCTGAGCAATGGAACGGCATTGTTTGCGCCCACCACGATTTTGATAAGTTTGGATGGATTCAGAGCCGACTTCTTGCGGCGAGGCATCACACCGACACTTAACGCCTTTGTGAAAGAAGGTGTTTCGCCAGTTTATATGTCGCCGAGCTTCCCTTCCGTCACTTTCCCGAATCACTATACCTTAGTCACCGGACTGTATCCCGAATCGCATGGTATTGTCGGAAACACTTTTTGGGATGACGAGCTTCAGGAAGAATTCTTTTACACAAACCCGCTAGCCATGCTACCAAAATGGTGGGGTGGTGAGCCCCTTTGGGTCACAGCAGAAAACCAAGGGATCCGAACTGCCATTCATATGTGGCCGGGCAGCGAGGCTCATATTATGGCAGTGGAGCCGGCTTTTCTGGACAAGTATAACGGCAAAGAGTTATTAGCAAGGAAGGTTGATCGCGTCCTTGAGCTGCTGGATAAACCAGGCCAAGAGAACAAATTGGCCGAAGTAGTTGACATGAGACCTCAACTCATCGCAGCGTATGTCCCCAACGTGGATCAGGATGGTCACCTATATGGTCCGAACAGCACGGAAATTAACACGACGATCAACAATGTCGACAGCATGCTCGCTCAACTTTTTGAAGGGCTAAATACCAGGAATCTGACAAACATTGTCAACGTAGTTGTCGTTTCTGATCATGGAATGGCAACGACAGACACAGATCGCTTGATCCAGCTAGAGGACATCATCGACACAAGCCTGATAGAGCATATGGATGGATGGCCCCTATATGGTCTTCGTCCAAAAAATTCTTCGCAACTACAACAGCTATATGATACCCTAAAAGATGCCCCAAATAATCCGAACTTTGATGTCTATCTCCGCGATAAAGACATGCCTGAACGCTACCATTTCTCAAACAACCATCGTATTGCGCCGTTATGGGTTATTCCCAAGACAGGCTGGGCTATCGTCACCAAAGCCGAGTTTGATGTGGCAGACGCAAAGGAGAAGAGTATCGTCTACCACCCTAGGGGCCTGCATGGCTATGATCACGAACACCCATTAATGAGAGCTCTCTTCGTAGCTAGAGGCCCAGCCTTCCCGCACGAGCCAAACAGCCGTGTAGAGCCATTTCGTAAGTCGAGCTTCGATGATCTATTTAAATTTGTTCGCTAACCGCATTATAGAAAATACCGAGGTCTACAATATCATCTGCGATTCTCTGAATATCGTACCGAAACCCAATAACGGGACTCTTCGGCTGCCACTCAAGACAGTCGGTCTCCATTCTCCTGAAACGACGCTAGAGGAACCCAATGACCCTCCATCTCAGCCTGCTTCTGCATCCCAAGTTTCTCCACCTTCAACCGCCACGTCCTCCGATGCTGGCGCCGATGCAGTTATTACCGTCTCACCAGTCGAGGCAAGCTCTGCTGCAGACTCTGATGCGGCCCCACCGCAAAAGATAGGTGTAGATCCTCCCGCAGATCCAAGCACTATAGTAGGGGGTGAGAAGGAGATGACGCAAGAAGAGAAAGACTTCTGGGATTGGTTCTCGGGAAAAGTTGATCAGGTGAAAGAGTGGTGGGGGGGTCTGTCAAGCAGTGGGAAAGGGAAAGAAGAAGGTGGAAATGGAAGGTAATGGGCTTCGGGGTGTGTACAAAGTATGTACCATATTAGTTGGTTTGTGATTGTGGGATTTGGAGTTGGCGACTGATTAGAGCAAGGCGTTGGGTGGTTATGGCTATTCCTTAAACGGTATACTGTTCCGTACGGAGCTTGAAAAACATCTACATAATATGAATACTAAGTAGGCATATTGAGAGCTCATAGCCTTGGAATGCCAGGCTGGATAGAGATAACTATGGTCACGTGAGTCTGCGGTGGTTCTGCTGGAGCTACGTACCAGGTAGATAGACTATTGCCTTCTTATGTAATCCTACCTAGGTACTTTGTTGGTTCACCATGCTTCCTTCAACTACTTCATCCTTTTCGTGTATTCGGCATCCTCAACTCTTTTAACTGCAATTTTGATCTGTCTATGGGCTGTATAACCCGATGATCTAGCAATCGACGATCGATATAGGCATCCAGGTACAACTAGGTTGCACCACCTAAGTGAGAGTCTGAGGGCCACAAAGTTGGAGACATGACCACACTGTCCCTTGCTGCATCAGTCCTGTGCCCCCGCACTCTCTCAAGAATAACGTTTGAGGGGCCAGAGGACGCGGTATCCAGCCGCAAAGATGCCTAGTGGGCCGGATTTTGAGGTAATGGCCTAGCAAAATTACGTCTTGACCCGCGTCATACATCTTAAACCGATTACTCGCAGCTGCGGCGTGTTGTATTATCCATTGGAGGGTTCTAAGGGCATATATATAAAGACGGGTTCATGCCATTCTTTTATCATTGACCTCCCGATTTGACTTCCTCCATTGATCATAATAAACCTAACCCAGTTTGGTGGGTGATGCCATCCGGGCGTCTCCAACACACGGCGGATGCACTCAATCGGTTTGCTGTCCAGCTTGACGTTACACGACATGATTGCAAATAGTCCTCGGAATATCCCATGCATAGGCCGCATGACCGACATTGGTGTGAACGAGTCAGGAGTCAATAAGGACCTGTGTTGCACGTCCAACAAGTCTCCAACAAGTCACTAGAATCAGGATCCTAGAAAACGACATATACCATTACACAGCGTCTTGAGAGAGAAAAGAGCACCAATAGTATGCCCCAAAAAAACAAGTTTTGATATTCAAACACTTTTACTAACACCCCCATATAGATAAATATTGGCCAGAAAGCAGAGAAACAACAAAACCCAAACAAACCAAAATCTATCATTACGCCGAAGACCTGCTGGTGCCGTTCTAATGTCTCAGAGATTTCAAATTCGCTTGACACTTCTTCTTTGATCTTGCTCTCCCCCTCGCCTCTTCTCCTTCTTAGGAGAACCCCGAATAGTCATGAGTTTGGAGGGATAGTTTGGATTTCGACTAGCTTACTCCACGAGTTAACTTTCATTGTTAGCATGAGAACGGTCATCACCATACCTGCAAATCTAGCATGCTGTACCGCAGTAGCCGCAATATTTTCCTGGAATAACCCAGCTCTCCTGCCCATTGGAGGCACAAGTTGGACATTTCACTCCACTCATCTATGAATCTGTCAGCTCTATATTGACGTTTCCGCAACGGATCTTGAGTTATCTGACCGGAGCTACTTTCACGCTCGGATTTGTCGTTGGCGCTGTCCCCCCTCGGCGAATAATGTTTTGAGCTGCCTCTGGACATCCGACTCTACATGGCCTCGAATTGCAAACCATGATCGTGGTTTTATTGCTGGGCTGGGCTCTTTGGCAAGTGCAAGATGTGTGGAATGTGCTGATGAAGTGAGACTCCTGAGAAATCTTGGGAGTTGGATGGAAACGATTGAGGATTGACTCCAGACTTCGGGGGAAGTGGCCCTTCTATACTGCTGAGATCGGGAACAAGCTCTATGTAGAAGCACGAAAAGTAATTGCTTGCTTAGGTATGCCCGCCGATCTCTGCATAAACGGTTCGCCTCGTGACTTTAACAAGTTGCTTGTATCCTACCGTCTGCAGGCAAGCATGATGAATATCTGACAGTGCTATGATAGCTCCAGATGCTGGAAATTACAGGTGGAAGGCTACATGCTTCTGACAGAGGGTCGTGCCTCTCAATACTACTCAGACACGAGGCGATGGCCATAACACCCAAGAAGTCTAAGGTGGAGAGTGGGGACAATGATGAGCGTACCCGTTCGGATACCTGCGGGTCGCGGAGGTCAACAACCGGACGTACATAGCAAGGGTGAGCCGGTATCGAGAGAACCTGACTACTGCTACAGATTGGAGGTCAAAGTCAGACTGGTTCATACCGGATACGATATGTCAACTCGTCAACAAATCCCAGGGTGGTGGACCCTTAAGCCAGCATTCGCGCCAGGACCACTGCTACTACCGTCATAAGGCTTGTGCATTATTGTGGAACAAGACTCGTCAAATTCGGCCAGGTGCCAGTCGGGACGTCTACCATGAGTACTATCTAGCTCGGTTTCTCAAGCCAAATATGCGGGCTATGTACTCAGGGTCCAGTCACCCAATGATGTTGCGAGAAGCACCAAAATTCTGTTCCGGCACTCCAGGTCATCCCAGTTCCCACGCAGGAGAAAGACCTCCGTAATCGAGAGTGTGGGGCCAGCAAAGTCCGGAGGATCTACGAAGTACCACGGAGTACGTTCGGAGCACCGAATATTGCTTTTCCGCCCAATAGCCAAGCAGGGTGCGCTTTGGCCAGATTTCCTCCAGTCTCATTTACCTCACGCAAAAGTGTTTGGCATGCGGCACGGCACTATTGTTTTGGCCATCACTGGAGCCTTGTGTTCGAGGAATTTGCAACTGTGCAGAGCATCCTTTGCTACTACTTGACCGGTTTTGGAACAAGCTGCCAAACACAAGCCTCATCATCCGATATCTGGAGATGTCCGGCAAGATGCTGTAAGCCACGGCTATACCTTGCCGAAGCCGTACCTCTTCCAAAGTTCGTGGTTGGCCAGACTGGCTGGCTTGTGGCGATTATGGTGGCTTTTTCCCACTCACGCCTTCCAGTATTTGATACCCAGGTAACCCATGTCAGGGAAGGAAACCAATAGCGGGAAGCCTTGGCAAGCGAACCCAGATTCCGGATCACTCATCAGCACGATATCTTTGGAACAAGATCTCATCGGACAACTGCTCCCGTAGGCTGCGAAAGATCTCCATATGCGACTTGCATTTCCGGGAGTCTCCCATGCAAGCCTTATTTCTAATACATGGCCTTTCCAACGGATCCAGAAATGTGCCTCCTCAGACTTTGAACTTCAAAGTGCAATGTAAACTGAATAATGGCAGGACTGTCGCTGAACTTTCCTTCGCAACCTCCAAATAGCGCCGCCTAACAGCAAACGGCAACTCGACACATACAATTCGCGCTGCGACTTCATGGGGCGCAACGCGGGCACCCGGTTGACAGATCAATACCCGTTGAGTTTGGTCTCTAATTACAAGTTCCCAAACACGCAGCCAGCCACGAAGCGCAGAGATATTGGGGGCCCCCAACATCTCCAAGCCATCCAGGCTCCCGAGCCCAAATATCAACATTCGTTTTCCCGGGGATAGCGAGGAGAAGATCACCAAGCGGGACGTGCAACAGGACCTTCGTGCTCAGCGCGAGTATTTGCTGTTGTAACCAAGCTACTGCGGCCCAATTGGCCAAGTTATTTCAAGCGCTGAGAGTCGCCACGCTCTATCAAAAGCCGGGCTAGGTTTCTAGCTCCCCTATTCGTCTATTCTTCTGCCAACGACCCAAACATCGCGTTATAGCATCCCGCGTCCCCGAGTGTCGGTAGCAACCCGATCCTAGATCTTGTGCTACAAAAGTCATGAGTCTTTTTCGGTCCCATGGCCACGACCCTTGCCGTGCATATGACAAGGGCCCCTGTCCCAGTGTTGGTGCTACGTAGCACTACCTACGAACTCTGTTCTCGAGTTCAGTTACATCAAATCCGACCCTTTCTTAGCGACAACCAACCGAAAATGTACATCTACTAATGTACTGCCAACAGCTAATACTAAGACGCATGTACATTTGTGAATGTACCTCTTCCCGCCCTCCCTTAACCGTCGGATCCCGTGAGCGCCAAACCAAATGACAACCTCAACTATCCATCCGCATATCTTTTAATTGTCATAGAACTACTCCTCCGTACTCACCATCCCGATATTTGCCCTCTCCTCTGCGCGCCCTACGTTATACGTTATGCCGTCAATGTTCGGGAAATCCCTTTTTTTCCACAGGATTCAAAGCGGTTGGCTGCATTCGCAAGAACTCTCGGTGGAATTGCTTTACTCGCCGGGAGAGAATGCCTTTTCATTAGGGAGATTAAGTTCTCCCCCGGGATCAGGTTTATCTCCCCTCCGAAACTTCAGCGAGTTGGTTTGTTAGGCCGATATGCCCAGTTTATCTCCCCCGTTTTGTTGCTTCGCAATTCGAGGGTGTTTGCTCGTAAATCTAAATCTGGAACGAAACCTGATATCATTTAATGATTTGGAAGATTATACAAACAGAATGAAGTCTCTATGCCGTTCTACTACGTGTCAACTATTTTTACTATGTGTTACCTAATCCCTATTTTCGTTATATGTTTTCCTAAGTTATACCCTGTTCTAAATACTCTTTGCTGACCCAATTGGACTGGACCGACAATCATCTATGCAACCAGACGCTACTCAATGGGTATCCTTACATACCTTCCTAATCGCCCGTATAAAATTCCTGCACCAAAAACTCACTAGAACAATTTCGTCCAGAATTACGTAGTACGGTACCAAAATATACCTGACAAGCATTACATCCTTGGGTCCTACTTTAATTCCTTCTCAATCTTCACCATGAGCATACCAGCCGTCGCCTGTCCCTTGGTATCGAATAGGTGGATGAAACGGTAACCTTGCTGGATGCGGTCTAATCGGATACATGCCCAGGCTGCCAGGTCATCTTTCCCATATTTCGCATCCGCGACTTTAAACCTAAAACGACAACACGTTAGTAAGAAGATCATTAAGTAGCGTGTCTAAATGCGAGTTTGTAGTGAAAAGTCTCGACGCCGAGATCGGGCGGGTACTAGTTTGTCATTGAGCAGCAAACACCCGTTCCCTGCAACGCTGCGTGGTTGCACGCCAACGCATCCGTTAACGGGTAGCTGGGACGAAAGTCTCCACGAGAATCATAACCAGGTCCTCGGGTTCCGAGGCGGTGAGACCCTTATTCATGGCCCCTGCACTACTCGTGCATGACTGGTGCAACCGCATATATCAGGATAGTGAGACGTTAAGTAGGCCCGGGGAAATAATGTTGAGATATTCTTCCATGTCACATAGGAAATAGGGACTCACCTAACAAAGCTCAACTGCTCAACGACCTTGGGAATTGCCGGGAACGAGAGCACGATGCCTTCATGCCCAAAATCAGGATGATCGCCTTTCATATAGGGGGTCCTTTGTTTGTACTCTCCTTCCTTGGCACGGCTACCTCCTTCGATGGCGTCCTCGTCTTGCTTTTCTACATGAAGTTCGCACTTCACGTACGGATGGAAGCCACTGCTGCTCTGCTCAGGGGGCAGTGGAATATGCTGGCCCGCATAGACTGTGATCTTCAAGTCTAGGGTCTTGAACTGTATTGGTTCCGAAGGATCGCTGCGATATCCCGGAGGTTTCAATACCCATCCATGCTCGCCAGCGAACATGCCTTCGTTGAGCATCATTCCCTCATCTAATTTCTGCCAGTTGAGAGCAACCATCTGGACGCCCTTTCGCCAGAACACAGACGGGTCGAGATTTGATGAATCGATACGGAACCCAGCGGGATAGGCACGCATGAAGTAGTCCCGGTTATGGCCAAACATTTCCGTGTTCTTGGTTTCGTGGAGTTCCAAGATCTGTTTTTCGCCGATAGAATAGATGTGCGATGGGCTCGTGGCCGACTTCGCCTCGAAGCTGGAGAAATGCTCGCTGTGAGTATAGATACCTAGGTCGCTGAGGGCTTCGCAAATTTTGACCTTTTTCTTTGTGCTACTTTTCTCGTCTTCTGAGCCAGATTGACCAGAATCACCTGCATTTCGGGTCGGCATAGGAGAAAGAGTTGCACCGCTTGAAGATGTGTCCTGCTTGCTCGCAGCGGCTCGTTTGACTTTGATGAGAATTTTATTGAGAAGTTCTTCGAGACGCGGCACTCTGTCAACTGGATTGCATGTCTCATGTGGCTCTTCAACGAGTAACCCAGCCCATTCCTCCTTCATTATACTGACCATTAACTCCTGCTGGTCCCGATCCGCGTGAACTTCGAGGCTGATGATTATTGGCAGGTTGCTCGTCAAGAAGGCAGTCTCTCGAATGGATTTGCATACTGCTCGGAAACCAACAGGGGCCGTCAGGGTCCAGCCATGCAAGACGAGAGGTTCTCCACTCCTTGCAGATCGTACAGAAGCCGATCGCTCCTCCGATTGTTCAGCGGTCAATAAATCCGTTGTTAAGGCTCGTCCCCGTTCTTCTGCAGCTGGATTCTCTTTTCCCAACCCAGTCTTCTCCTTAATTTTTTGCTTCGTACTATCATATTTCTCCTCGGCTCGTTCTAGAGCATGTGCCGCTTTGCTGGATAATGTGCTGCCCGAGATGTGCCGTTTATGGTCGTTCTTGGGAGGAGAACCAATTTCGGGGGTCTTTGATTCTAGGGGTTCTCCATTGTGTACATCGATCTCGATGCAGCGGCATCCACGGATAAGGACCTATTGAAAGCTAAGTCTTGGCATGTACCATGGACAGCTCGTGGAATAGCTTACATTTTTATATGCCTCCGTAGAGCTCTTAGAGGATAATTGATTCCCCATCAGATATGTATTGTGGCTGCTGCTGATATAGTAATTACTGATCGGCTTGGTCGTGTCCTTCTCATCGCGCTTGGGGGGCTTCGTAACCTCAAAACCCCAACTATAGTAGACCGCCTCCAAAAATTGCTCGAACTTGTATTCGTCTTTATCAAGGTCGGGGATTGAGTGGTTTTGCACAGCAGTGAGCCACGCATCGAATCTGACCCGGGACAGATATTCTTCCCCGTCTCGCAAGCCATCATAGACACGTCGTAAATGTTCCTGGGTGTCGTGAGACAGATAGAGTTGATGCTGGGGACTCTCAGCGACCTCCCCTCCACCAGCTTGCACTAGGGGTTTGAAATGTGCATTGTGGCTGGGAGATAGCATTGTCGACATGGCCATCAGCTTGTGGAGCGAGAATTGCTTGCCGGACGGTGTGAGTATTGGCATCGCTCAGCTATCGCAGTCTTAAGGTACTATTGTAAGGGTCAGCGACTTGAGTCAATTTCAGCTTCATGGCAAGCTGCGGGGAGAGTAGGAGTAGAGTTGAAAATCAGCAACGCATGTCATTCTTGTTTTGTCTGAGCTAGTGTCGCTGATCTGACGCTGAGGAGGCTGACGTGGGTTTGACAGAGGAGCTGGACATACCTTTAGATGGATAATTGGAAACCAGATTCATGAGGGCCAGGAGAAACAGTAACAACCGTGGAGGACCATAATGCTGTTAAGCAGAGGGAAAGTGGTGACAAAGATGGATTGCTGGCAGACATGGCAGGCTGCTACGACTGCACATGTTTGGTGAGGCTGTCGTTCAGCTGTGGTCCACCAGGGCTGAGAAAGCTCATGTTGGCCGGGCTGTGCTGTGCTGAGCCAAGCAACCCCTTTGCGAGCGAACGGCGATTTCTAGAATGGCAATCTTGATTGATGTGACACTAGACGGGGCCACAATTATGAAATATTATGCCGGTTCGCCATATTTTAATTTTGTGATGTTGATATTGGTCTTTAATATGGCCTTGGGCGCCCATGGGGATGGGGCGGGTCGAGCCGAGGTTCTACCGCCAAGTACATCATTATCCCCAAACCTGTTCGCCTTGTGGCGTGGACAGCTACAAACTATAAATTACAACTACATCGTCACCATTATTAGAGAACAATGGCGTCAACGTCGCAGCATGACTATGAATCGGAAGTCCGATCCTGGGGATTTGGACATGTCTTTACCTGGACTGATAGGCCGTAAGTTGAAATAAACGCTACCTTGCACAAAGCTAATTGTTCCCCCGCAGAAACGCCCATTATCCCCCACACTCTCACAATGGCCTCACGACCCATTTGATACTCAAAGGCCAACTTACCATTACCCATCCGCAAGATAAAGATGCCGAAAAGAAAACCTATGGTGTTGGCGACCGAATTGACGTTGATGCAGGGCGGACACATGAGGTTTGGATTGGTCCCGAAGGCTGTACATATGTGATAGGGGAATGAACGATTCGCTGCCTGCCCCGGGATTACCCATGAGTATACGGTATTTAGTTCTTGATATGGTTGAGAAAGGGCCCCTATACCGGTGAAGGGTCCCACGGCTTGTCCGTCCGGAAAACGGGCAAATCAACTAGCATGTCAAGCGTCATATTATTGCACAGTTTGGGGCTATCTGCAAGCCCTTCCGCGCACCGTCTAATCAGACGGTGCGCCAATTCTTCTGCATTAAGCGCCATATATAGAGATATATCTATATATGTACTTGGGTTGTGGTGGATACCTTACTGGGAAAGCCGACTTATGCAAAGGGTCTAATGACTGATCGAACACCACCCCGAGCTATAAAACAAAATTACATGCTGCTTAAAGCTCGATTTGTTATACATCCTCTATAGGGGTCGTGCGAACTAATTATGGCTTAAAGGACTAATGAAAAATGGTAAAGCTATGATTGACACCGCTCTGGCCACCCTAATACCCGGGCAGTTAGCTGGGTGAGTTCGCAGCGGTTGCGGCCAAGCGTATCCCAAAATAGGCCGCTTATGTCTTAATGATCTTGACGATATCTCCCGAGGCAAAATCAAAGGATCGTCATTCGCAAAAGACGTTCAGCCTCCACAAGCGACTCTAAAGACGAAAGAGGGTTTAAATTGAGATATTCAGGTCGCGCGAATATCTGACCGAAATTGAGATATTCGCACGACTTCAATACCTGACTCTTAATGATAGCATAATTGCGTCATATTTTGGTCATGGCTTCTTAATGCAACTACTTCCTATCTCGTTATATATTGAATAATCTGCTCCTCTCTTTCCTCCGTACCTTCATCAATTCAACAACACTAAATCCCATACAATTTTATCCAGCCCTCTCAAGACTACATCGCCAATTTACCTTTGACCATCGGCCCTAGCTTTAAAATAGCCCTCTCGGAGATGCTGTCCTCGCTGGAGGACCAGGCTGGATGCCAAGGCTCAAAGTCAGTCACTAAAGCGCCCTCAGAACCCCTCACGGGAGCTACGCCAGCAAAAGCTCCAAGCCCACCTGTCAAATTATCAAGTTTTACATTGTTTCAACAACTGCCGGTGGAGCTCCGATTGGCTATTTGGGAATTCGCCTTCTTCGACGAATCCGAGGCGCGGGTTATTCGGATTGATAACAAGCGGCAAGGGTCCCCTCTTCCCAATAATCGTCGCCTTGATAAATGGATCATCTCTAGCACTCCCCGCCTGATACGGGCTTCAAATTTCGAGTCACTGGAAGTTCTTAGGGCGACTATCGAGCCACTCTTACGAAAGAGGTTTGATGTCTGGTTTGGGTTCTTCAATCCAATGTGTGACCATCCGGGCGATCTACATGTTATGGCCAATCTCGATATCGACACGGTATCCGTGGATTTCTCTGATTACACAGACTTCTCTGCATTTGTGGATTTTAGCAGTATCCGGCATTTGGCACTTGGCGTCGAAAAGTCAGGCCCAAATGGAGACGACATTATTTTACCTTCTGCCTGGCTTCCTCTATCCACGGGACTCCCAAACTTAAGAAGCCTAAAGTTGGTCGTCGGACAGAGAAACATCTCAGATCCTTCCGGTGGATGCAAACCCAACTATTGCCTTGTTGATATTAATCCACAATTTTCCGGACTAAGAGGTCGGAGGTTGTACAGCGAACAAATGACGAGGAGCCTCACCAAGCTCGTCCATATGGTTCGGAATATCGAGTCGTACAGAAAAGCCTTTCAGCGCTTCCGCCACACACATGAGGATGGGCAACGATGGCAAATTCTCTCATTTGGGGTTGCATGCCTTGTGACTGGACCATTAAAGCTGGAGGATCCAAATTCTCGGCTTCACTGTGCTGTTTCACACAGGATCTTCACGTCTACTCAATATCACCAACAAAGAATCTCCACGACTGAGGGAGATAGCCAAATCGAGCCTGTCAAACATATCTTTGAACTACAAATGAATGGCATGGGTGGAGGTATAGTAGTGCCTCGTCACATGCGGTAGAAAGGTGCGAAGTTAGTAAACCTCCCTCAAACCATTAAGAGAGGGCTGGGATATAGGTCACATGCCAACCCACCGGGGGCTTCAGAGACGGATTATGCCTTGTAGGTATGCCTTCCAATTTAATAAAACCTTCTTACCTTAGCTACAGGTTCCTTCCGTAACCACCGCAAATACATCTTCCTCGAGATCAAAGGCGTCCAGCACATCCTCATCCTCTTCAGCATCAACATCGTCGCTCCTCGTATCAACATCCTCATCAGAATCGCCATTAACTACCGAGAAAACACCACTTCTCATCTTGGGCCATCACGGAGGACGAAAAATTTCAACTGCCGCTGTCAACCGCAAAAATCCAGTCAGCCGCCACTGCCTCCAGCAACAGATCATAGTCGCCGTCTCGAGAATCATATAGTAATAAGGAAGATCGCAAGTTCTAGAGCTATAGCTAGGTTATCACCCAACATAAGAAAACGCGAAGCTGGGTGTCGAGATGGCTGGGTTGTCCACCGAGGTCTTCCCCGGGACAAGCTAGTGCATACAACGCCAAGATGGCTAGGATGGTGGAAATATGGTTTATGATGCTAGTGGCGGGCATTATATGGTTCGTGAAATGGGTTATCGAACGTCGGTATACTCTCTATTGTCCTTAACTATGTGCTAAGGTAACACTTTTATAGCCTACTGTTCGAGAGACATCGTTAAAGTCTAAATAAGATCGATTGGAGTGGATGTCTAGTAAGCAAAATGAACACTCTATTAGACAAGTGCTAACTAGCAAGGCAGCTGTGTTTTCTTTCTCTCTAGGACCAGTTTGTTATAGCTTCGTACATCAGGTGTATTATTGGGCATTTACGGCTTGAGGGTATACGGCTTCGGGGAATGCTTGAGATAATGCTTGTGCCAGCGACCTTGTATTAATATTCATACAGCTTGAATACCTCAATTGCAGACTCCTTTCAAAAGCTATGATCAATTCTTGTGCCACTTCTGTGCTCTTCATCCATCTATCATATTCCGCCGAGAATCCTTGAAATCGTATCAAGTATTGAACGAACTCACTTCTATGTGCTCTTCGCAATCGCCGGACTCGTAAGATCTTTTCAGCAACAGGCTCTTGTAACATTGTCTGTGGGAAAGTCTCATGAATGGATTATCTGCAGGATTGGGAGTAGGTTCAAGGTGCGCAATACTGATGACCGGATATATTCTCATCGTAGAAGGTAACTCGATCCGATATGCAAGACGGCCAATTCTTTCAATAGTCTTGAGCGGGCCCGCGAGCTACTGCTCTATCTTGACATTTCGATTTTTGAGGCTAGGGATATAATATCCGCGATATAATCGCAATACTGCGAACTCGCCCAGTTTAAGAATATCGGCTTATAATACACATCGTACTGTCACTTCGTAGTTATCGCTGCCAGTATAATTGCACTATACACATCAATGTATAACGTCTATAATTATTGAGATATTCATACAGCTTGAATACCTTAATTCTACTAAGATATTCCTATAACTTGAATACCTCAATTTTAGTAAAATATTTTCACGATATTAGATTTATATCTAGGTAATAGCTATTGGGCCTTATAATACTAGCGAAAAGAGTTTTATACTAAAGTCGCCCAAGAATAGGCTATTGGCGTGTGGTCCGATCTCCAAAATGACACACGTCTGTATACTGGGATTTATGACGTTCTTCATAGCCATGTAGAAAAATACTGGAGATTCCAAATTTGATTTCCAGTAAGCTGCGTCGAGTTTGCCGGCTTCCGTGATTGGTTTTCCAGTAACACTTGATATCATTGGTATTGTCCGTTTACGGCTAGTAACCTTGTGTTGGGGGAGGTTTTGGTACTCTTCTTCAGACTCTTGCATATGATCTAATACTGCAGCGAGTTCTTTATACAGTGTCATTGAAACAATTCCGCGAATGATATACCTTTTCGACACGAAGAAGACGATTGAATACATCGGGTTTATTTCCTTTCAGAGCAGCTATAACCTCGGTGAGCTTGTTTGTATCGCCAGATAGAGTGACACTTTCTGGACTGATTTCGCCTGCGATTACAACGCCGGTGGTTAGATATGGGGAAACAGTTTCACGACCAAGACCAATAGCTGCCATTCTCCGGATCGGGTCTGCTTCTTTGTGACTTGGCCACGGTAATACGCAATGAGAATTGCTTCTTCTACTGTGATTGCGTTGGCTGCATAAGCTGCAGCAATCTCACCACTGGTTGGAATTTCGGTATGTCGTTCACAATTATGGAGAGTGCGACTCACCTTGAATGGCCGATAACACAAAGAGGTGTAACATTCCAAGAGCGCAACAGATTGACGATACTAATCTGGACCGCAGTGCGTAGTGGCTGCGCAAACTCTGCTTTGTCAGGCGAACTCAGCTTCTACGTCTTAAGCAATCCGTCTATTTTGGTTAGCATAAATAAAGTTAGGGGCAACCAAACCAACCTGCCTTCGATATTCCATGCCGGAGGGTGAGGGCAATTGGCTAATACTGCGTCCATAGCACGAATATCATCGCAGTAGGAAGAGTAATTTCCGAACAACTCCTGCCCCGTACCAGCCCACTGGGCACCTTGGCCTGTGAAGACCCAGATTAGCAACGGAGAAGCCCCACTCTTTGTCGGAGATGGGAATTCCATAGAATCTGTTCCGTCTATGACAGCGAATGAACGATATGGCAGATGGCTTCTTCATGAGCTTACAGTGTAAGCAAGGTCGCCCAGTGATACATACGTTGTATCAATGTACATCTTATAGTTTTTTGTGGTTCTCCTGAGCGACTCGGGTGATGGGCTGAAAAAAACAAGCAATTCCGGGCACGATGCAGTAGCCCTTGGGGTGGTGGAGCCGCCAACATTGAAGGATGCCGCAGAATCCATAATGAGATGCTATCCACTTATTAGTTTACATATTTTGCTGAAGCTAGATATTGTTACTTACTGCATTTGCGCCCGAAATGCTGAATGAGTTCACCCTAACTCTTTCTCTAGCAGAGGCGGGCCATGGGCTCGCTGCCATGGCAACTGAAAGTTTAGCAGTCTCCCATGGAATCTTTGGATTTGGAGTAATAAACAGCATATGCGGAGGGATGGTATATTTCTCCAGGGCCAAAACCATTTTCATGGTGCTAGTCAACCCCCAAGCTCCTGTATCAATATCTCGGAGTCAGTTTGTTTTCTTATGGATTACTTGACAGTTGTAATATATACCTCCTCCGTGGCCAACGTTAGGTTTCGCCTATTCTATAATCAGCCGAGCTGTTTTTCGCACAAGACCGGGCGGGGCGGGGGGCGGTAGGGTAAGTACGTTCATGGGATAGGTATTTGGATAGGGGGCAGATAGAGACACCAGACTTACTGAGCCAATGATCACTCATCGTTCCCAAACACTCGGGCAACAGCACCAGCCTCGAGACGGTTGCCCACAGGAGTGCCAGTCCCGTCTAGAAGAAGCGAAAGTGTGAGTTATCGGCTTGTATATTCAGGAGAACCGAGGCAGGATATGGTGACTTACGACATTCCACCATTGCAGTGCGAGAGAAGTCATCGATACCCGCTTCTTGATAGGCCCTCCGAATGACGGCTTTATGAGCTTCAGTATTTGGAAAGGATATTACTGGTGTTTTCCCATCGCTGTTGGTCGCGGAACCACAGATGACAGCGTCGCTTAGTTTCTTGATGAAAATTGCATTGATAGCCTCACCCCGTGCAGACCCATCCGCATTGGCATCGATTGATTTAGAAGTTCTTGTTGGCGACACAACTCCTTGCTGTCATGGCACTTGGCATTGTAGGCGACATGAGTATATTTGTGCCGCCGACAACTGCGCCTTCACAATCCCTATTTCTAGTTGCCGCGCATGCCGTATGGATCGCGATCAGGCTCGAAGAGCATTCGGTGTTGATTGCCAAGCTGTCACAGTATCCATCAGTATGTTGGCATCTGGCGCGGAAGAAGTTGCCTGCCTGGGCCCTTTGAAGTCGAATTCATATGATACGCGGTTGTGTTCGACGTAATCCCCATGACCGGTGATTCTGTATAGGCCCATGTCTTGGGGATCTCGGATTTGGATATCGAGCCAGACTTCTCCAAATGTCCCAACATAGCAGCCAATGTTCTTCCCTCGCCAGTTAGTCTAGCCGGCGCTTTCCAGACACTCCCAGGTTACTTCAAGAAGACCTATTTGTTGTGGATCGAGTCTATCGAGTTCCGTTTTAGACAAGTGGAATCAACCTGCATCGAAGTCGCTCAGGTCGAGTTCTTCCAAAAAGTAGCCGGAGTCGGTCACAATAGTTTCGGGTTTGCGGTACTTGTTGTAATATGATGCATTGTTCCATCTTTCTTTCGGAATCTGGCAACGTGCGTTTTTCTTCTTATCAAGAACCCAGAATGATTCTGGGGAGCGAACTCCACCAGGGAGTCGAGTTGCCATACCAACAATCGCGATAGGCTCTACTCGTCCCTGTTAACTTGGCTCCTACTCCTAGTACGTACTGTACCTAGGTATGTAGCACCTAATCATCGCGGTCATACTCTGTACTGCCTACCTATGGGTACTTGTACTGTACGCACTGCCTAAAAGCTTATCTCTCGCCTACGAATACCCCCCTTTTAGTACAATATAGGTAGCTAATAAGACTGGATGTATTATCGTGTATAGAACGAATGCATTATACCGCAGGCTTTAGTTACTACGTCCTGCCTGATCTAGATGTTAGGTAGAAAATCCAAATAATGTTTTAAGGCCGTATAATTACTTTTGGAGAAAGTTTATACCAAGAACACAAAATGTAGGTAAGATAGGCACAAACAATGCTATGCGCTTGCTACTAGTAGCCCTGCAAAGTACAAACTGCTTCACCTAGTAGCCGCCTATTGGAAAAGACGAACGGATTTTATATTATAAGTCAAGCACAAGCACAAGCACAAGCGGTCGGTCTTTTTAAGAATCTTTACATTTTGCAAATGCAACTAGATGATATTAAACCATCATTATAGGTAGGAGGTGCCTAGGTATATATATCCAACCCATTCAGGCTCCACCCCTGTCCTACTCTGACGTAGCTGGGAGTCACCTGACTGCGTACCTGGATTAACGACGCGAAGCGCGAATGTTTGTCTCGTCGGCGCCTCGCGGGCACTAAGTTCTCAGCTTTCGATTATTCACAGAACTTCACTTTCAGCCTCGCTTTCTTAAAGCAGTGCAATGGTTCAAATTTTCTATGTCACCGACTGTTTCATAGGCCTTTTTCATGCAGAGCCATTTCAGCAAAACATCCGCCCTCCCGTTCGTCGATAAATTGACGCCTTGCCTACGGAGCCTCGTGAAGCCGCAGCCTGTCGCCACACCAAGATGGCAGAATCTCACCCGGCCACATCGGCCGCCTCCCAACAGGCAATGGCAGACCTTATCAGCGAGATCACTTTTCAAAGGGTTCTTTTGTCGTCCATTGATGATACAGTAGGCAATCGAGCGTCTGCGGAGCACGAAGTGCGTCAGGAAATCAAGAACCTGGAAACACAATTGAAATCTCTCAGGCGCGCGACGGCCACCACCTCCAGCTCCTCTGCCCCTCAATCTTCTCAACCTGATCACTCGAATAGCCCTTCTTCAGGGAATTCTTCTGCGGACACTGGTGCGTCCACGGCATCGATGAACGGCAATCAATGTGAGTTTCGCTTTTGCTTTTTCCTCATGACCTGATGTGGCTTCGTATAAATTCGCAGCTCTCAGTTTTGCAACCAACCTACAGTACACACTTTAACACATATCACAGATCAAGGCGGCGAGCGAGCTCAAGGAGCAGACGATTCAACTGCGTCCACCCCCAACTCTGCGGGATCGCCTTCTGCAATCATGACCCCTCCTCGATTTCTCATCCCTAGACGAAAGCGATCTCATCCCGACAATCTCAATACGGGCTTTACTCCAGGGAGGGTGAGCAAGTCTCAACGCACATCTCCCAGTCCTCGCTTTACAGCCCCCTCTCCGATGAGCTCAGGGTAAGAAGATCCTCTCCTTGCTGGTAGTTACTTTTACCTCACCTTGTTTGTCTACAACTTGCTTCCCCCTTACTACCAGTTTCACCCGATGTTCCTACATTCTAGCTAAACCAGGAGCTAACTTTGGCCTTTTAGGGATGAGGCATTGGAGCTCTTCGATAGAGAATTCTTTCAACAGCAAAAGGCCGAGGAGGAGAGGATTGAACGTGAGAAACTGGATGCGGAGTTCGCTCGCAGTATCCAAGATGAACCGCTAGATCTTCCTGCTATAGTTCAACCCACTTCCTCGGGCCCCTCAGCTTTCGATCGAATCTCTGGAATACGACCTTCAGCTTCAGCCTCGTCAACACTCCCATCATCCAGCACAATACAGGCTAGTCTGCCTTCATCATCCAGGAAATTGCCACCGATCTGGAATGCTGCTGCCTCAGTGAAGCCCGAACCACACTCCATGGCCTCTGCAACAAGAACCGAGCTGAGCTTCAGCAGCAGCCGAGATGGTGCTACGAAGTTCATGGTGGCCGGTAAAGATGTTCGGAACATGCCTGGCTCTTTTATAGATGACCTTTCCAGCGACTCTGAGATAGAGATAATCGCTCCTTCGCAGTTTCGTGATAATGGTCGACGCCAGGTACCTGGAGCCTCGACTTGGTCAAGCACACCCCCAGCGGCTAACGGAGGATCGCAGAACAGCAAACGCCCTAGCTTTTCGTCTGCATCTGGGTCTCCCAGTACGGATGCTTTGCGCCTGGCAATGTATGGAAAGCAGCCGGTTCCGAAATGGATGACCTCATCTGAAGATGACCAACCGTCAATGTCTTGGGGCTCGATGCATTCCTCCTCTGCCCAACCTGGCATGGGGATGTATGGCGCTGGTACTGGACAGTTTGATTATCCTAACCATTCCTTCGGCAATGGCGCTATGACTGCTGGCAACGCGACCTTTGGAAATTCAAACCACCTAGGGCGTGCTAGTACCATGTCTAGTTACTCTGGAACCGCATTCCTGCCAGCAGGACGTGGACTACCAGGACCGAACTCGCTTTCGAGTAACGGGTATGGAAGTCCATTCTCAGATATAATTGATATTACCGGTAGCCAAAATTTCGACCTATCAGCATACCCCCGCCGTGATTTTAACCAGGATCTGGTTGACCGGTACGATTACATCATGAATGACCCACGGAAAACGAACGCGGAGATAAAGGAGCTTCTCGAGAATATCCAGCCTGATATGGATCTATCGGCCGAAAATAGAGAAGGGACTCCAGAAGGCCTTAAATACCCTCTAGTGAGTAGCTCCCGAGTGAGAAATTGGACAAGCAAATACTAACCCCTGCTTAGTACGAGCATCAGAAAGTTGCTCTGACTTGGCTGAAATCGATGGAGGATGGTAGCAACAAGGGTGGTATTCTCGCCGATGATATGGGACTGGGAAAGACAATCAGTGCTCTGGCACTTATCCTCAGTCGCCCAGCTGATGACCGTGTGCGAAAGGTGGGTGCTCAGCCTTCTCCATCCCTTTAAATAATCTAACATCGAGCAGACTACCCTTATTGTCGGCCCTGTAGCCTTGGTTCGGCAGTGGGAGAGAGAAATCCGAATGAAGATCAATGTTAGCCACAGGCTCAGCACACATATGATTCATGGCCAAGGCAAAAGACTTGATTGGGACCAACTTCGTAACTTCGATATTGTGCTGACTACTTATGGAACCCTTGGAGCGGAATTCCGGCGCCTCCAGGCTTACACGGAGAAGCACAAGGGCAACAATCAAATGGATCAGACTCCCATGAGGAAGCTATTTCCTCTTCTAGGCCCGAAAAGTCTCTTCTACCGTGTCATCCTCGATGAAGCTCAATGCATCAAGAACAAGAATACCGTTGGAGCCCAGGCGGCATGCAGTCTCAAATCTCAATTTCGGTTCTGTCTCACTGGAACACCGATGATGAATAATGTCGGGGAGCTGTACTCGTTGATACACTTCCTCAGGATCAAACCCTACAATGCCTGGCCCAGATTTTCAGAGGTACGCAACTCGTTGTCTTCTTTCCCTGAATCCCCGTCCTCCGGTTTGACCTGCCACCTTCTTTCCCCTCTCTGACCATCCTTTCCCTTCCACCTTATATTTCTTCCACCTCTGGCAAACTCCACGCTTGGGAACCTTCTAACTGGAGATATAGGATTTTGGCCTACTATCTAAAGGGGTCGCAAGCAAGCGTGAAACCCAAAGCGCCATGCGAAAACTTCAGGCGGTCATCAAAGCTATTCTCCTCCGCCGCACTAAGACTACGAAGCTTGATGGCAAGCCAATCATTGAACTGCCACCAAAAACTGAGGAAATTCAACATGTTGTATTCAGTGAAGACGAACAAGAATTCTATAATGCTCTAGAAACCAAAACCCAAATACAATTCAACAAGTATATGAAAGCCAATACGGTCGGCAAAAACTATTCCAACATTCTGGTCCTACTTTTGCGTCTCCGACAATGCTGCTGCCACCCACATCTCATTACCGATTTCGAGGAGGTGCCTCAAGCGGGAGTTCAACAGTCGGCCGAGGTTATGATTGAGCTTGCCAAAAGCCTCGCACCAGATGTTGTGGGTCGATTGCTCATTGCGGAAGGATTTGAAGTGAGTGAATTGTTCACCCTCCTGTAAACCGTCGACTAACAATCTTCAGTGTCCTGTCTGCTACGATGGTGTTGAGAATCCCAGTATTGTCATTCCATGCGGCCATGATACTTGTGCAGAATGTCTGTCAAAAATTTCGGATCAGGCGGTTCAGCAGAACGTTGCCGCAGGCAACGAGGCTGGCGGCACATCCAAGTGTCCGACTTGTCGCGGAAAGATCGAGATGAACAAGGTCATTGATTATGCCACGTTCAAAAGTGTTCACATGCCAAACCCAGACGCCAAATATGAAGAGAACTCGGGGGATATTGACAATGATATCGATGATGATAGCAGCGACACCGATTCAGATTCGGATTCGGGTTCGGAGAGTGATGCAAACAGCGATGGGGATTTGAGAGATTTTATTGTTCCAGATGATATTGATGAGAAGTCCGAGGCCGATATCGATCCGATCAAGGATGATGATGATAATGGCGAAGCTAAAGCGCTGCCAAAGAAATCTAAGCGCAAAAGCAAAGGGAAGAAGGAGAAACGCAGCAAGAACAAGAAAGACAAGAAAGGAAAGGGGAAGGGAAAAGAGAAGCAGCATTTATCGCTCGCTATGCTCAAGAAAGGGGCATCGCACTCTGCAGAAGGACGTCGACGCTACACTCGATATCTCCGCAAGAACTGGCAACCCTCAGCAAAAGTCACCAAGTGCGTTGAGCTGCTAGAGAAGTTCCAGAGAGATGGCCAGAAGACCATCGTGTTCAGTCAGTTTGTCTCGCTCCTTGATCTTCTTCATGTCCCCATCGAACAAAATGGCTGGGAATGCGAACGATACGATGGAAGCATGTCTGCAGAAGCTCGGAACGATGCGATCACTAGATTTACCGACAAGCCAAGTTGTAAAATGATGTTGATTTCCCTCAAAGCCGGCAACTCGGGTCTTAACTTGGTGGCGGCCTCCCGAGTGATCATCCTGGACCCCTTCTGGAACCCTTTCATCGAGATGCAGGCTGTTGATCGGGCTTATCGCATCGGCCAACAGCGAGAGGTTGAGGTTCACCGCATCTTGATCAAGTCTACTGTTGAAGATCGTATCATTGAGCTACAGGACAAGAAGCGGGAACTTGTGAACGCTGCCCTTGATGAAGGCGCTAATAAGTCCCTCGGTCGGCTCGATGCGCAGCAACTGGCCTTCCTGTTTGGAGTTGGCACCGGATGATTTATTTCTGTTACAGTACCGTTTGTTATGATGACCAAGTCTGCTCTGTGTGGAGCCAAGTGCAAGTGCAAGTGCAAGACTTCTATTTGAACTGGCTTTTAGTGAACCTTGCTTGTAGTATTTGGAACTCAGATTTGTATTGGAGTTTGTTGCAGAGGTAGTTACATGGATGGCGAAATGAAGGTGTGGGAGATTGAATTCGGCTCTTTTACTTTTTACATTACAACGATACCCGTCACCGGTGGCTTTTCGGTGGAGTTATGGCTGGCTTTGATGGAGAGATATACCTTTTTGTGGTAGACACTGGCGCAGCATCGGATGGGTTTGACCTCGTTGAACTAGCAAGCGAGCATATATTAGAGGAGAACCTGGCACATAGCCACTGGGTTTTTAAATTGTAAACCACTAGCAATACACTATGAAATAACTTGATAAGATCAATGTGATAGTGAGGGATCAGTTGGTCACTATTGTATTTCGGAACTATTGTCCCCGTTGCTCATGTCGACCATATCATACGCAAGTGCCTCCATCCCAGGTGCTATGAGTACTTGACCTGCATCCTCACTTTCGACCCGCCTTTTTCTAGCTAGGTTGCCAAAAGGATTCCTAGTAGTAGGCAAGTGGACTCCGGCACGTGGAGCATTTTACATCCCATTAGAACTGCGTATATAAAATCAGTAACAAAATCTACCCAAATTGAAGTACCGAATGATGGTGCCTGGGGAACTTTGGCCAGAGGGTATTAAACAGAGATGAACAATCCCTACTGTAAGACGATAGCTTGGAACATAAACTTAKGATAGAAGCATGAAACACGACGAATGCCCGACATATATAGCGATCTACCGAGCGTGTCGTTCCATCGGTTTTTATCCCAATGACATGCCTGATGCAGTGGAGCTCTACGCAGGGAGGACAACTTTCGATGACTTGATTTGTCACATCTCATCTCAAAATTCCTGAAAGAGATGACGGACTGTTTATGTATTTCGAATATAATCAACGCAGATCAACTTTCACCTATGGAAGCTATCGAAAAAATACTATAAGCTGAGTTATCAGGCCAGGAAATTTGAGGGAAATCGCAGCTAAATCAAGCGGGAAAGCGCTAGATACTATCGGAAGCTTGGTAGTGTCCCAATTTATCTGGGGCATTGTAGTTATCGGGTTTATAAGTCGTATAGTCGCAGGAAACTATATCTGGTCGCACAATTAAACACAGTGACGAACTGATATACTGATTAGAAACACTCGAGTCTTGGGGAAAGCAAAATGCATTCGTAGACGAAGATTAGAGTGATGACGAGACTCAAGCTAAAGTGGGGGAAAATATGTAAATCAGTATTATGATGAAATTATATTCAAAATACATTATTGCCAATTTGTCACTTTGTCAATAAACCAGCTTGCTGCCAATCCAGGCGCTGTTGTCAATCCGAGAACCAGTTGTCATATCCAAAAGCTTAGAATAGTAGGAGCAGCTACCGCAACTTAAAGATAATAAGGCTTAATAAACTGGAGGATGGGCATGGGGAAAATAGAATATAGTTCGAAAGCATGCATGAAATGGACTCCTCTCTCCGTCTTCGCTCCTCCCATGACTCGTATCGTGATTCGATAGGGCGTCGTACGGCATCCTCGTGCGACATCGCGGCCAAAACTCATTCCTTTTCAGAATAGAATCTGGTGAATACGATACCTTGTGCAGTTGTATTTTTAAGAGGAAATTAAATACTTGATTGTTAATTGGTAACTCAATAGCTAATGTTTCGATTTAAGTGGTCCAAATCTAGTATTATATATAAAAGCATTCCACCATTCTATCCTCAAAACATAAGATTTTAGCTTTGGAGGAACACAGGATTCAAGAACACCGTAATTGAATACAGCGTTAGTGTGCTTGGAGTGGATTATCTTGCTTGGGTTAGTTTGGATGCCTGGCAGGAGGTCAAATTATGAACTTCGATCCGCTGTAAGACTAGAAACTATGTGAAGAGGTACAAGGTGTAGGCCGTGTGGGACATATAACCTAGGCTTATAGCTGTCGAAACTAGAGAAGATATAATTAGGGTAGTAAGATTGAACAAGTAATTACGAACCTAGAAATCATCGTTCTGCTTGTTCATGTATAATAGGCTATTCGGTCAATACATACATACCGCACTAGTCTTTCCTGGCATAGATGTTTTCTATTTAAGCAATCTAGCAATCTAGCAATCTAGCAATCTAGCAATCTAGCAATCTAGCAATATCTATTAAACTCAAAGGGGTATATAAAAACTGCTATAAAACCGCAACACCTGCTCGTTCATACCCCGCCACCCTCCGATTTACGAAGGTTTAAGAGTGATATGTAACACTGAACACCATAAACCCCTCCTTCGGCACCGTAACAAAAATCTCTCCCTCGCGACTGACACCCAGCGCAAGTCCCCCACCCATCCTACCCTTCCGCTGTCCATTAAGCGTCAGACCATCTTGGGAAACTCCCCTGGGCATCAAAGCATACCCCTTCCCGGCCCCTAAATCCACAATCCTAAATACCTCCGCCATGTCCACAAAATCCGTAAGCTGCTGCGAACGCGATATATACCGCCAATCAAACGCACTCCGCAGCACAAACAAATCCCCTCCTGCATCACCAACGAGATGGGCAACCCAGCGCTGGTATACACTGTCATGCCTCGGTGACGTGGGCGTACTAGTTACGTGCATAGCGCTCCAACCGGCGTTTGTGAGCGCGAAACCGTTCATCTCGAAGGTTATATAGCGGCCTTCTGTTAGGGAGCCACGGACTTGTTTGAAGCCTTCCTCGACGAGCTTTGCGGGATTGGCGTTGGCGTTTTGCGGGCCGTAGGGAACGGGGGGTTTGCTGGTGCGGTGTTTTGCCTGGCACATTGCGGCGCCGATGTAGTTGCTGCTTGTTGAGCCGAGGCGGCCGGAGGGCCTGGTGTTGGGGCTTCCATAGGTTAGAGGGGAATCGACGTGTGCGATATGCGGGATGGAGTAATCGGGCTGGAAGGGAGGTTAGGTTTCGCTCTGCTTGTTGGAATATACGGGGTTCCTTACATGCTCGAAATCGAATGCATAAAGAAGATTCGACATGTGCTCTCGTCGCCACGGAGACATCTCCTTGCTTCGGATATTCTTCTTCCCTGTAGCCTCAAGCCATTCTTCGATGAAGAGGATCTGGGAATTATGATCTGCATGCTCTGTGAAAACGTGACCCCCTCGAGTCCACGGCGAGATGATATAAAATGGAAGACGGAAACCTGAAGGTTTGTTAAGGTACATTCATAACTTGGCGGAATCGATTTACCTGGGCCGATTGGCGTTTCTCCTACTAGGCCATATGGATCATCGATCCATTCGCCCGGAGTGCCTTTGGGGGCATGAAAAGGGGTGACATGATCTCCATATCCTCCAACCTCTACCAGAGCATCTAGATCAGCTTGTGATATAATATTTGAAGAAATGGGCTGCCTTCTTACCATCATAACTGATAATCAACGCGGTTTCATGATATGCAGGTCCGTTTACAACAGCCTCGACAACCTGCTTTTGCAGCCATGCCCCATCACCTGGCAAATATGGTGAATGCTCCGATAATTCTGCAGGCCCAATAATGATGCTAATTTGCGGCAAGGTGCCATTAGCAGCATCTTCATAAAATTGGTCCAGCCCAATGTAAGAATTGCCATGCAAGTTAAGTGGCGAATCTTCATTTGCTCTCTGGTACTGATCAAAGTACGCGAGCGGATTATCCTCGAAATTGTCTGCGTCTTGATAGACCTGCCAAGTCACGCCTGCATCTTGCCAATACTCCGGAAGTGTCTTCCAGGTGAATGGAAAGCAGTTTAGATGCGGTCTCTCACAGCCTATGGCAGTCATAAGTTCTGTACTTGGTAGGGTTTGCTACAGTTAAAAATTTCACTAACCTGGCGATGAATGGTTGTCCAGAATCATATCACCCTCACCATCGATATTATTAGGTGTGCCTGGGTTGTTCAATGTACCGCTCATCCAGAGCACACGATTTGGAGACGTTGCTCCAAGGACTCCCTCCTGCGCGATATCATTAGAAAGGGAGCTCTTGCAAAGATCGGGGTATGGCGTACTTGATACATATCGCCCACCGTCCAACCTTCAGCGATATCAAAATGCACCGGGATATCGCTTCGGTTGAGGTAGCTCCAGCTATAAGGGGTATTAGTGATTGCCCATTTATTTGTCAATCCGCCGTTGAGAGCAAGATGCATGGCCTCCCAGCTATTCTCGCCGGCGCTCAAACATTGCGTCGCTTGCGGCCAAGTCCCACCGAGATAATTTATGTGCCATGGAGTTAACTGTGTAGCCAACTTGGTTTGCTTAGGGGTAAGTAATCTAAAATCGCCAAGCAGGTTAGTATTACTGAACAAATGGAGAGAACCTGACTGATAAAAAAAAAAAGCTTACTGCTGGAACGTGGTTCTTCCATCCGGGTTGATTTGTACATTTGGGTCCGCAAAGCCACGGACACCAGGCATGGTTCCAAAATACTTATATATGTGTCAGATCTCCTTCAAGGCAAATCAAGTGTCACTCCCGTTCTTGGAAAGGAGATATATATGGTACCCACGTGATCGAAAGCCCGATTTTCTTGCATAAACAAAACAACATGTTTGATATCCTTGAGCGAACCCGCCGCCGCAATGCGCGCGGCGGTGGCGGCGGCGAGGAACAAGCACCGGAGCATGTCCGCTTTCTTTCACCAGCTTCCTACACACCTACTCGGACATGATCTTGGTTGAAAGGTTTGTGCCTGGGGTAGTCCTCGTATTATACCCATTCCATTGTCCTGGCCCAGATAGCAGTAAGAGTCAAGTCTTTCCTCGATATGGAGTTATTTCCGTAGATAACGGACATGGGATTCGCGTCCTTTTGCACTAAAAACGGGAGAAACCATAACCTAACGACTCGGGTCTCACGACAACCATGATATAGAACGCGGCAGTCGAAGCCAAGACAAAGAAGAACCTCTCAGCGGACGGGGCCGCTGACGTATGTATGTTTGTTTGGCTGTAATTAATAGATAGCCATCATGAGGCTCGCCATAACGCATATATTGTATTCATCGACTCGCATCAACGCTGGTCGAATAGGAAGCCCCAGAGCCGACACGCTGGTGACGCTTGTGGATTGGTGGACGAACCTTGTTGACTTGATTTCCTAATCAGATCCCGAGATTCCGAACGCAGCGACATCGCTTCCCCGTATTCCCGCCGTTTGCGTCTCCGATAACAACGGATCTCCGGCTTCATGTCAAGGTACCGGAAGCAGTGAAGCAGTGCAAGATGCTATGCTGGTTGATAATACACCTAGGTACGGCATGGATGCTTCCGTACCGTACTTCAAAAAATTATTTGCGATTTGTTAAACCCATAGAATTCATCCAAAAAGCGATCCTGCTCCGTTGCACTCGCTTATGGAAATAGGAGAAGGGGGCATCCAATTTGGCGACCTGGTCCTTTTACTGTACCCCTTTTTAATTTTTGTTGAAAAACGCAATGGCAAATTCAGAAATCACATGTGATTATATAATGTAGAGGAGCAGTAGAATGCTGTATGTATATAAATATATATATATATATATGTACGCTCAAAATCTCGCCGTAGCGGCAGTAGCAGCATCAGCAGCAGCATTAGTAGCGCGCTCTGATAATGGTTTTTTTTTTAATTTACAGCATTGATATGAATGCTCAGGGATTTGATTTTGGGTTTCCCTAAACCTTAGATCGAGTTGAGTGATAAACAAAGACGCCGTTATCATGGCTTTTTCCCCCTTTCTCCCATATTCGACACCGTAGGTTGCTCGTCATAATGTGACAAGTCAAGACGTGTCATTCAGCATGGGTATTTCCCGATTCCTTGATCGCCCTTTTTTTATGAATCCCCGTCCCAAAAACGCCGTTTCCCCCTCAGATAGTCGGGTGGGTTGCAATTATTATAGTATACAAAAACATTTGTCTGAATGATAGATATGTAATCGTGAGGGTGTGGTGACCGAATGGTCAATTAATGTTGGCTCGTTTCAGATCTGTCGGATTTCAAGATACCATGCCATCCATGTTGAATATGGGCGACTCTCCTGGCATATTTGACATGGATCCCCGTGGCCGTTGCTGGCTAACTGCTTGTTGCCTCGACATCACGAGAATCTCAAATGCATCGACACGGGCTTTAAGCGCCGAGTTCTCTTTCGCTAGATATTTGTTGCGCTTCTCGAGGTGTGCGATGTATTCCGTTGCTTTCGAGAGAACGGTGGCCTTCAATTATAGTTAGTAACCGAATGTTAATGAGTTGGAGAGATTAGGCTCACCTTATTGAGCTTGTGCGCCGGTGTAAGGCCCTGGAGATCCTCCTCTATTTCCTCTCCTCGGGAGTTTTTCTTGCTCATGACTCTTAATGAGGGGACCGAGTCGCGGAGTGCGGCAATCTTGTCATTCAGATTTGTCCGGTACCGTTTCTCGATCATGTTGTGGGCCGTCTTCTTGACCGGTGGATGCCTCTTGTTTCCGACAGCTTCGGTTGGGCTATCCTCCGCATCCTCGTCAATGCTGGTCTTTCTCTTCCTTCGGTTGTTGGTGCAGGGCTCCGGTGAGGATGCCAAAGAGGGTGATGCCGGGTATTCCATCTTATTGGACGGGGATCGAGAAGGCATGGCAATTTCGCGGAGGCGTGATTCTTGTTGTGGAGAGAGTCGGCCGCTGTAGGAGTTGGGGTTTACAGCGGTTGGCAACGGACGCGACCAAGAAAGGGGTGTGGAATATAGATTCTCTCTTGGGGGAAGGTCTGTGACTGGAGGTTGGATCAAGGCGGTTGGGCTCTCGAATAATGGTTCCTCCGAGAAGGCATCTCCGCCAAACACGACGCATTCGTCCGCGGAATTGATACATGTCCCGAAACTTCCAATCCCACTGCCTTGGAGTTCCAATTCCTCCATGGTAGGAGATGATGGTTCGGCCTTGATATCGGGGAAGAAGTTGGTTGCTTGGGCAATTGTCGGGTCGCTTGGGTCGTCCCACCGCATCCAATCCTCAAAGGAATCGAAGTTGAATGCCTGCTCCGACTTGCTATCGTCTTTGGGTAACGAGTACGGATTGCCTGGATAGATGATGGGGCTGGGCGAGGTTGGTGACGGTAACGTCGACTCACATGAGTCTGAACTCACGAGCGCCGGGTCGTTATAAGGGTTGGAGTCCCAAGAAAATGCGGGTGCAATTGAGGTATCGTTCTGCTAAGGGGAAGTATGTCAGTTAATATTCAATGGTGGATGACATATAGTAAAGGGCGTAAATGTTTTTGGATGGAGCTAAATGTGGTAATTGGACGTACATGAATTCGTTGTCTGTTGAGCGAGAAGGGATCCGGACCTACCGCCGTTGGTCTCTGATGGCTTATAATACTGCTTGCCATTGGGAGTTCTGACTTCTTGAAGTGCGTCTCTAAATGGACAATTGTGCTGGCAGCTATGCCGTTTGCAGCAGAGAGGACGATGGAGGCTAATTGGATTGGTTTTTTCCTAAAGTACTTTGATTGAGCTTTGGAAATGTCGAGGCTCGATGCCGGGTGCAGGGGTGGAGCGAGTGAGTGAGTGAGAGGAGCTTGGATTAGGCCTAAGGGTGGCGTGTCGGAATTGGTGATTGGGATATTTGGGATCTCCAGATATTGTTGGATGTTTGTTGGATGTTGGATGTTGGATGTTGGATGCTGGATATGGTGAACTGGTAATGTCAGGTTGAGGGGGGGGTGAAGCTCAGGTTATTAGCTGTTGGCGTCATTGTGGATTGGGGTGAAATGGGAGCGGAAGAGACGGGGTGAGACAGCTATAACTCATTAAATAGCTTGTGCCTCTCAGAATAAAGTATTTACTTGCGAGCAGCAGCGGAAGGCCGGGGCGCCCCCAAACGCGCAGCCGACCGGGGCGCCGTCGCAGGGCCGGTTCATCCTCGCGCTGTCATACGAGCATCAGGACGGTATGACGTGAGGCGTTGGCGATTCTAGACGCTCAGTTTGGACGGCGACAGGAGCAGATGTGAATCTGGCGGCGACCTCCGCGGCCCAGCGACCAGCGACCAGCGTCCAGAGGCCAACGCCTGGGCTTTTGCTCGGCGCTCCTCCTTTGGAGCGTGTGTCTGTCGGACGTCTCGGGAACACGGATATTGCTATATCAACCAGAGGAACGCCAATCGTCCAGTCGCCCGGGTGTGAGGCCGGCGGTGGTATCGGAGGAGGTGGTGGTGGTTGTTGCCTTGCTGCTATTCTCTGTATCTCTCTCGTTTTTCTTCCTTCCTTTCTATCTTGTTATCATCACTCGGTGTATTTTCGTCGCCGCTTGTGCTGCAAATCCAGCTCCTCGGCGCCCGCAAATCGAGTGCCAGTCGCCTAATAGGCCCCATACTCTGCATCACCACCAAGGAAAAGGGGCGAAAGGGCAAGCGTACGCTCCTTGGCACATGGCTGGGCCGCCTGCAGAGTACAGAGCATGCATTGGGATTATTGACGAAGAATTCTCTTCCTTGGAAGCTGCATGATGGAGAGGGGAGAGCATTGGGGATCCCCTCTTCTTCGACTACTACTTGAACCGGCGCAACATTATTCAGTACAGTACAGTATCTACCTAAGGTACCTACGTAAGATCGCCAGCACTAGGTACGGCACCTATAAGCACTGTGAGGGGAACGAATTTTCTGCTATTCTGCCATGCTGGAGTACTCCATAGGCAGCTCTACTTTTGAAGAAAGATGCCTAGATGCCTTCTAGTTCGTAGGGGTGCTAACTTACTCAAAGCCACTCAACTCGCGCATCTTCGACGCATGTGTATTATTACCTTTCACGCCGTTTTCATATTTCCTAGCTTTAATTGCTCAACGTGCCTATAGATCCCAGTGTAATTACTATTAAAAGCGGCCGGCTGTTGCAAACGGCTCTCTCACGATCGATAGGACCAATACAAACAATGCCTAGGCACTTGGGATTCCGTGAACGGCAGGATAGCTATCATCGGTCCTCCAACCCGCCCAGGCTCTGCTAAGGCACATGACGTACCAGCCAAGGCATGTATCCCTTGGGTGCCTCTATTCTTCGTGCATGCAAAACTATCGATACAGTAGCAAGATACTCTCTCTTTCTTCCGAGGCTTATGTTTGCCCATTATTGCAGACCGGTCTATTGTGGAATAATACCCGACTACCTATTAACCCTTCTCAACCTTCTCTACCTATCAACCTGTGATATTGCCACTTCCTCCTCCTCCTCCTCCTCCTCGTAACCAATAAACCAATAAACCACTGCCCGGACCTCTCCTCCGGCACTCAGCGATGCGCTGCACGTGGCAAGACTGCGGAAACGCCCGCAACGCGAATCGCAAGCGAACCTTGGCTGGCATGATGAAGGTCTAGAACGCGCTCTTGGTCACTCCACCATCAGCAGCTTTCTCGCAAACTCGCGCTCTTTCTCGCGGGTTGGATCGCCTTCTGAAATTTCAGATGGCAGATTCTGGCAGATTCTGGCACGGCATTTGGTTTCGCATTTGGAAAAAAAAGGGGTTTAACTTGCTCTGCGAATCCCTCAATTATCCGGTGGCGCTGCCAGTATCAAAGCCCAAAGGCCAAATGCCGCCTCTAGTTGCCGGTAACTTTGACACGTCGAAGCTGGCTGGGGCGCTTGGGTGAACCCCGTTTGGTAAGTCCTGGCAGAGGACAATATGGGGTAGTCCTCGAAAATACCGAGGTACCTGCTCTCAAGTAATTCTCTGCATACCTTATCAACACCAGCCACAAAACCTATAATTTACAGCCCTACGTGTCGGGATCCCCTTTAGCTTCCACTTCTCGACATGCAGTGTTTCTTTTCCAAGGGATTCGATGATCTGGGCTCTCTGGATGATTTGGACTCACGATGATCTGGGCCCTCGAAAATCTAGGCCCTCGACGGGCCTGCATCCCCAAAGAACGAGAGCGGTTGTACCGCCGACCTTCTAGACCAGCTCTTTGGCAGCCTGGGGCTGTGATTTGGAGGGGTAATAGTAGATTCTACTGGTTTTGTATTGTTTTTATCTATCCATGGACCGAGCTTTGGACGCAGGTTGGAGGTGGCGCAAAAAAGGGACCTGCTGCTATTATTAGATGGTATTAGAGTTGACGGCGGTGACTTTCTTTATCGGACGACTGCCAAGTCAACAAGAGTCGGCAAAAGCAAAACATCGCAGAATTTCCCCACGGATAGCTAATCACGAAACAATCATTGGATATGGCTGAAGTAGCCATCGAATCTTTTGAATTTATTGGTTCCCAGATCGAACTCCTCGCTCCATAATGCATTGTGTACGAGAAGTCCCGTACGATAGTGAAACTTACCGATGCCTAGAACCGGCACCCCCGATAAACTTGGCTTTTATGAAGCTCTCTCCCGGTCGCCCTAGCAAAACACACAGGTCTCGATTCCCCAAGATCAAGTCACTAATTCCTTTTCTTCACCTGCTTCGCAGTCATCTTCCTAAACGCCTCCATACCACCAGCACCGATAGGTCTTGCCAAAGGATCCAAACCCTTGGTTGGATCAAAGGTGCTTTTGGGTGCCACAGTGTAACTCGTGTTGGAAGATTCCATTCTTGCCCTGTTACTCCTGATCGGCTGAGCAAGAATGCGTTGGCGGTCAAGCTCACGCTGGGAGAGACCTGGTCGCTGAGATGAGGTCGACTGGGAGGCTTGTGAAGCTCCGGGACGGAGGGCGAGTTGCGCAGCGCTGGAATTGCATTAGTCAAGATCTTGAACGATGGGGGGATGGAAACACATACTGATAATCGAATTCTCTCGTGACCACTTTACGTTGTTTGTAGTCATCACTTCGCTTTAGAATCGGCCTCGACCAATCTCCCAGTAGTTTCTCAGCAGTTCTCTTCACTCCAATCTCCGGCTTCTTGCTCTTGGTATAGAAAAGCACAATCTTGCCAATGCCGCTGCTCAATAATGCTTCTTTCTCGATAGGCAGTCGCGTAAGCGCCGCAAAGAGATCTCGTTGGATGTTATATGCTGGGAGACTTCCATCAGACAATGGCTCAAGGAAATACTTGACGGACTGGAGGAAGTTGGTATCGGGGTCGACGATGGAATGTTGGACCGTGTTTCGATTAAGAAGGCTAACAACCTCTGGGAGCATCTTCAGCTTGTGAATGGCGGGTTGTCCATTTTCGCGGGCTTGATTGTCGGCTTCGCAGGCCTGCTCCATGCGGATTTTAAGGTTTGCGATTTCTTCATCGAATGCTTCTTCAAGGTCCTTCAACAAGGTTAGTACAATCAAATAAGACGGGTTGAATGGGACATACCACTTCATCCCTCTTGCGTCTCCGCTTATTCGGATTCTTTAGAGCAGCATCCATCGCCTTGTCCAGCGCCCGTCTGCGCCTCTCCTCTGGTGTCAAATTCTCATCATTCTCAGGTGTTGCCACTCTCTTCTCTCGAGGCGCATCTCTACTCTTCCTCTCCCCATCAGCCTTTGGTTTTCTGATTCTCTTCCCCTCAATACGCTCTCCATCCGGATCCTCATCCTCATCCCGGCGCCGCTTCTTCTTGTCCCGTTTGCCTTCTTTAGGCTTCTTTCCTTCGCCAGCCTTATCAGCCCGCTGCCGCTTGCCTGCCTTTAACGTTCGCGCAATATCCTCATCAATGTCAACCAACGGCCTATCCTCAAGGGCGACTGTTGTAGGATCGAAGTCGGCGAATTCAGCTTCATCGACTTCGGAGAGGTCATCCAGCGAGTCATGGTCCATGTTCTCGTCGTTGTCCATGTCCAGGTCAGGGTTGGCGATGGGAGGAGGAGGCGTGTCTCTTTCTTCTGACATTGGTCTATTAGGATCTCCGGCATCATTGCCAGCTTCTGGCAGCGGCGTGGTGGGCCGCGAATCGTGGTCGGAATCGGACATAATTGTGAAGGTGAGGGCGGAAAGTGATCAAAGAAAAAGCAGAGCCTTAGAGCTCTGGAAGTGATGAATCTGTATACGGGATAGACGGCGTGGTAATTTAGGTTCCCAGGGGATGAATCAACGCGTTTTCATAAATATTGACGCCGGAATGTGTCGTGGCGACGTAGGAGCTGAGATTGATGTTGAAGTTGTTCTTGATAGCAGGGACGTAAAAAGCTTAGCGTCAAATCCTTAAATCCGGGGCAACAAGCTTGTTTTGTTTACTTTGGCCGAAATCTCACCTTCATCGCTTTTCATTCACCGTCGGTCCTTCCTCCCTTCAGAACACCAAATTCTGACCCTCCAATATGTTTTCCAATATTCAGGGCCAGAGACGTACGCATGAAAGCCCTATGGACTTCGAATGGCAGACAAAAGGACCCGCTGATCCTAACTCTCCATTTCCTCAGTTCAAGCCCCAGCAGGGACATAAACGTAAGTTCAACACCCTCCCCCCTAAACATTTGAAAGCTGGCAGCTGATCCAAAGACAGCAAATTTTAAATCACCAGCACCCTCAAGCTCTTTTGCGACAACTTCTTCTACACCCGCGCCACAGTTCCGAAATCCTTCGTTCACTACACCACGAAAGCCATTCGACCCCGACCTGTTCTCCGAAGCATCAGGAGCCGAATCGTCCCCCGCCGATAATGCTGATGCAGAAGACACCCCAGAACCGCAAAAATCAAGCACAACCATGGCTGTTTTCAATGGAAATTCAGACAAGAAGCCATTGTTCGGGCGGTACGGCGCAGGATTCCTAGGGAATAGCCCAGGGCGGGGCGAGCAACGGAGAGGCAAATACGCAAATACAATAGTGAACAAAGTCCGGAAGCGCAAGAGGATAGAGCGAGACTATTCTTTAGCCAGGGCATTACGTGGAGAGTCAGACTCGGACTCGGAATCCGGAGAGTCAAGACCGAGGAGCAAGTCCGGCAAAGGGAAGGCAGAGAAGGAGCCTGGCTGGTTCGCATCACTTCTAAGTGGCATTGAATCGAGGCCTAACCTGCCCCATGTTCTCTCATATTATACGCAACTGGGCCTGAACTTCTTTCTACTAGGTCTTACCATCTTCGGCATTTACACATTCTGGACGGCCGTACGTGCGGATGTGGATAAAGCATCTGAAGATGCCCGCGCAGAGGTTATGGCCGAGATGACAAAGTGCACCCGCGATTACGTGGATAACAAATGCGGGAGGGATATGCGACTACCCGCTCTGGAGACCGTTTGCAATGCCTGGGAGCTCTGCATGCATCGCGATCCGAATGCGATAGGAAGGGCGAAAGTGAGCGCTCATACGTTCGCGCAAATATTCAACAGCTTCATCGAGCCTATTAGTTACAAAGCGATGGTATGTCTTCCTTTCTCCTTCCACATCTTCTATCGAGTTGTGATATGGCACTAACTCCGGTTAGATCTTTGTCGTTCTTATCGTTACAGCATGCATCGTGGCGAATAATCTCGCCTTTGGGATGTTTAGGTCGAAACACCCGGGTATGCCCACTGCACAGTCCTATTATCCTCCACCACCCCAGCAGAGCTTCCAATGGGGAGCACCGCCACAGACGCCGCAACATAATACTGGATATGATCCGTGGACTGGACAGAGTTTCCAGGCAATCATGCCGAGTCAGACGCCGGGTCAGAGGAGTCCCAGTAAAGGGTCGAGAAGCCCTAGTAAGGGGAATAGGAGTCCGAGTAAGGCAGAAATGTATTAACTAGGTAGCGAAAATGGGCGTTTGTTTGGTTCTTGTAACGGAAATCGGGGAATGGGGTGCATCTATGGGTCGGTAGCGTGTACAAATTGACGCATGCATTTGAGGGTGGCATTATGGAATTCAATGAATTATACATGCAGACGAATTCAAATACGTGTGCCTCAAAATTAAGTGATGTAAATTCTGGGCGTTGCTAGTGGTTATTGCAAAATGAGTCCGCTGGATACTGTGATAAAAGTTCATTTACCACTTGAAAACCTAACTGGACAAATTGTTACTAAGGTAAGAGGATAGAACGCTACATAGAGCGCCAGCGTAAAACCGCTTAATAATTGAGGTCTCCAGGAGGAGTGCGCTATACCTGTTGGCTAGCCAACGGGCATATGTTACCTCTACTTACTTACTTATCTTCCACTGCCAAGTGACTCTAGCTTATATAGACCATATAAAGATGGTCATATACCTATCACATGACTCTCGGCTTTGATCCCTAATCTATGGCATATATAAATCAAAATACACAATTTTGTGTTAGGGTAGGCAAAAGGCGGCCTCTTGGCTAAGTGATTCAGGTCAAATTGCCTCGCGCTAGAGGACCGTAGGGACAAAATCGACAAAACACGAAAACGACAAAAATCGGCAAGAGATGTAGGCATTCGACAACGGGCTGAACTCTTTTTTGCTTTTGCTTTTGAAGCAGTTAAAATTATTATATAATTTCCCCTCTCCCTTTTCACTTTTTTGAGGGCTGTTAAGTGACTTTTTTGTCGTCAACGTTTCACTGATTCTAGGACGCGGGTTGGAGATATTAAGCGGGTTACTCGAAGAGCTTATGCATGGTTTGGGTCTTTAGATCGAGAGATATCTGGTTCTGATGTTTCATTAGTAGTCCCCGCCATGTTATAGCAAGCGTAACAAAGAGCCGTATCGTTAAGCCACTTGCATATCGAACTGGTACACAAAGCCACTTTGCATCACACTATTTGGACGATGAACAACGCGGGTAAGTATATACACAGACAGAATAGCAATATAATGGTCACAGGTTTACTGGTTTGGCATTGTAATACCATAACCGCAATACAAAGGAAACGCCACCCATTGCCCCGTCTAATTTGTGAAGGTTTAGAGCTTGCAAAGTCTGAAGGTGGTTTCAGAGATTGGACATAGCAACGTTGGAAAATTTATGGTAGACCATAGCTCAAAAGATTGTAATACGACAGACAGTGTGAAGGCAGCAAACGAAATGGAAGACAAACGAAACCAAAGCAGACTTTTTATATACCAAAGAGCTTCTTATATTGACAAAAGCCCCACGGTAGGTTTTCATGCACTCCAACATTATAATAACGTTATAATTCTAATATTATGGTTTGTTTGAATGTGTCTAGGAGCCTAGCCATCGCGGGAGCGGGAACACTAAGTACATAGTTAGAAGAGCATCACCACCTTGATGACCTCTAATTGAATACCTATGTACCCCACAGTTGGACCCCTAGGGTTTTCTGAGTCGCTACTAAATACTTGGTGTATATTGGGACTCGTCATTAGGAATTCTAATATTGATTCCTGGATTAACACAATGATTTGTAGCAGCCATAACGACAGAGATATATTGCACCGTCGACGATTGTGGTATTCAAGCCACGCGTCAAGGCTGCGGCGGCTTGTCGACTTACTGGTGATGGTGGATGAATAAATTTGGGTTGGAAAGGTACTGAACTTGGGTTGTAACCTCTCGACATCGACATCTCGCGTCTATCGTCTTTTCCCTATACCACAGTGACTTGCATTTTGGCCACATATATTACTAGATATTCTGAATTAAAAATAGGTAAGGGATACCTTGGTCTTTCAATCTTGTGCTTCGGGGAGTTGGCTCGCGCTGTGATAGTTAACATCAATACAAGCCTGTAAACAGTTAGTCTTATTCGATCAGAGCTAACGAGAACAACAAGGAGGATTTTAACAGTTCAACGCTGACACCTCTCACAGGTACCAGGACGCCGAAATTACTCAAAGACGATCTTGCATCAACCACGAAAACACAATGGACAAACTGCCTATCCCAAACCACGAAACAATTGATATGGCAATCAACATGGCACCTACATCAATACAGCCTATTGCCCGACAAGGTGTGCAATGGGTTCGGCAGAAAATTGGCCCTTTGAAGGAGTTAGAAGTTCAAGAAGGGGTAGATCAAGAAGCGCCATCCCCACCCCCAAGCCCAGAATCACATCTGGGGCCGGAAATGACAGAGAGGAGGCAATTTTCATTATCGCCGGAAATGGAGTTACCAAAAAGCTCAGAGGAGCTTGACGGGTCTGCCCATATCTTCCCCGCAAAGATTCGAATCTCGCCAGAATCTGAAAACCGTGTTGCTGAGGAGCTGAAGGATGCCATGTCGAGGGATCTGTTCCAGCCACTGTGGCCGTATGTCAAGGAAAATCAACTGGGCAAGAGAGAGGATAGGGGTGGTAGAGGAACGACAAAGGTACAGTGTGAAGAAGAGGAACTGGATGAGAGTATAGTATTCTCGCCTGAGCTCACAGAGGAGGCGATTAGAAGGAAGGAAGAAATAATGAGGGGTTGGAAGGCAAAGAAGGACAGACCTCCTTCTAAACCAACAACAGGCTTCGGGAGTTTGAACGACGAGGAAGTCAACAGGAGACTGGAGGACTTGAGCATGTTCAATCCTACGCTGCCGCCACATTTACGGTTCCGGCCAGTGAATCGAGATTTCGCCGAAGACGGAAAAAGCTCCAAGCATAAGTCTAGAAAGGGGGGTGAGGAATCTGGCTTTCTGAAGGAGGAGCGACAGTCCGCCGAGGCAAAGGCACCCAGGCAAAAGTTTACAAAACAGACGCAAAAATCAAGCCAAGTCAAGCAGGAACACCAGGAGAAAGTGTCACAAAAGCACTCAAATCAAACGGACAAGCATCAGGAGAAGAATATCTCCCAAACTTCAAACGAGTCTGAGAGCCACGCAACCTCGCAACGTCTACAACGCCTCCGGATGCCTAGATATCGCTATGATGAACAGGATTCTGATGACGAGTTGCCGTTTGCTCCGAGAAAATGAGTATTGAGTAGCAGTATATCGAGAATAATATGGTATTGAGACTAGGAGCTTCCCTTGCCGCGTTTCGGCCGGCCACGTTTTGGCTTGGCCTTAATACTCTCCTCTGAAGATTCGACTTCTCCGGCCTCATCAGAATTTTTTTCTTTGATATCCTCCTCGGCGACATCGCGCTCATGTGGGCGTTCATCCCCTGAGCTTGTCGCTCCATCGACAGATCCAGGCCGGTCCTTTTCAATTCTTTCCTTCATTTCTTGAACGACCTTTACAGCTTCATCTTCTTCGCCATTCCAGGCCCCGCACCCAAAACATCTCCACTTCCCCAACTCCGCAGGGCTCTTCGTCCCAGGGGGCGCTTGTCCGTTTACCAGTCTGCAATTAGAGCAGATGAGGGCCATGCGATTTTTCGGCGACGTCTCATCATCTCCAAGCAGTAAATCAAGCACTCTATCATACCAATGTCCTCCAGCATTGGATTCCCCGCCGTGGGCATATTGTGGTGGAGAAGGAAAAGCATTAGGAGCAAATTCGGCATTTCCCCCTTGTGGTGATGCTTGGACAGGGGCTGGGCTAAACTGGAGTGGAATATCTTTACGAGGTTGTGGCTGCGGAGTAGATGGTTGACTTGAGAGTGGCCCCTGAATTTGACCAGGTCGCTGTATATTCGCCGTTGGAGGCGGTGGCCCCGCTCGTATCCTTCCTAGCTGAGGACTTCTGCCTTTGGGACTCTTAGATGTATTTCGGGGTTTCTTTGGCTTCGGTGGCGCGGGAGTAGCGGCATATTTTTCTAGCAGCTCTTGCGTTGAGTTGTATTTCGTAGCTGCCTTGAGTCTCTCAATAGTCTTCGCCCTTTCTGCTTGTTGGTCCTCCAGCCGATGTGTAGCGTTATCGACTCTTAAATTGTAATAAGAAGTGATCCCTTTTCGAACGACGTAAATCCTGGCAAATGTTAGAGGAGTCTATTCAACCTCTGCCGCATGCAACAGTACGTACAGTAAAGGGCTTCCCGCAACAGCTGTATATTCCACTGCCGTCCAGTTCCTCCACCCTACCACTATGAAGAGGATAATAAAGCAGAGTAGGTAGGCAAAGACAGCATAAAGCGTCCATAGTCCCTTGAGACGACGCCCACGCTGTCGCAAGGAGTCGAGTTGGGCCTGCGACTTGGATATTTTAGTGGCGAGTGCCGACAAAGCCTTTTCGAACGAGGCTGGGGATGTGTCCTCGCCCTTGGATTGTATGGTCAGTGTGGATCATAGAAACGAAGAGGCGGACTCACCTTCCAAGGCCATAGTGAGACCATCTTCGGGCTGGCTGGCGCTGCTACCTAGGATTCACCGCGCAATGTCATGTTGTTGAGGTCGTGGTCGCGTGGATTGAGTACTGTATCCTTAGTCGAGTGTCTACGTAGTACTTTGTACGCAATTAGCTACAGGAATTGAACAGCTTCCCTGTCAGCCGGCGCACAGGCCAGCAAGCCTAGTCTCACTCCTGCTTCGTACTCCTGATGTCTGTCAGGGTCCAGCTTGTTGACAGGTATTTGCTTTGGAGGCATCCACTTAATACATACGTTGTCGCATTATGACTGTTTCCTATTAGGTGGTTGTAAGGACAGCTAGTGAGCTATTGAATCAATAGATATCGCCGGAAGACGTGGCCACAATGTTCCAGGTAACTATCCACCAAACATGTCGTAGCCTTGCAGGCAGATCACCATCCACTGACTTGTTTATAGCGACTTAAAGGCGCAATAGATTCCCGCATCGCCGAAGAACAAGCCCGCCAGCAGGCTACTACGGCTACTCCTGTATCGAGATCAAATTCTGCTCGGCGCCCTACCTCTCGAACTGCGTCGCCGTCCACACGGCCTCGAAGGGCCAAACCAAAAGAAACCGACGGAGCACCAGCTCGCGGCCCAGATCCGTCCGAATTCGAGAGTGCTTTTGCTATAGAGGATGATTCGGAAGATATATCCAACGGAGTGACACCAGCAACCGACGAGAAGCCCCCTACAATGACGGACACTACTGTGACCCCGGCGGATAACGCATCTGGGGATGTCGGCGACAAAGGGATAGAAAACGCTGCGGCCACGCCGCCAAAGCCTGCCGGATTACCTGCAGAAGTGCGTGCAAAGTTGCGGAAATTGGAGACTCTAGAGTCGAGATATAAAGGTAGGACAATATGTTATCTTAATCGTGACCAAGCTTGACTTCTTCGATAGATCTCCTACGGTCCTACCGAATTGCACATTCCCGCGCTATATCAATAGAGCCATTTGAGAAGGCTCTGAAGGAAAATACTCCTCTAGCAACCATCGCAGACCCCGATGCTTTGATCGAATATGTAAATCAGCTCAATTTGAAAGGTGATATGGTGATGGATGAGCTGAAGCGCGTATCCGCCGACCGTGATGACTATAAGAAGAAATTGGACGAATCTGAAAAGAAAGCCTTATCGGCACAGAATGAGCTTGAGGCTCTCAAATCCGCCACGCAAAGCGATGCAACTACGACCGGCGCGCATGAAAAGGCGGAAACTATGAGCATTGATACGCCAACAGCTTCCGTGAAATCCCCTGTGTCCTCAGTGTTGGGGATTTTTTCACCCAAGCAAAAGCCACAAGCAACGTCTGAAAATAAAGACGTCAGCGAGGAATTCTTTTCGTATGACGATGAGGTGCCTAAACTTCAACAAGAAGTTAAAGACAAAACCGCTGAAATCGAGGAGTTGAAGTCGAAAGTTGACAGCTTAGGAAAGGATCTTGCTGTGGCCCAAGAATCAAGTTCTGGCCTGGTTGAGAGTCTAGAAAAGGCGACACGAGAACTCAACGAGTCCAAGGAAGCTGCAGTAGATGGCCAATCCCGACTTAAAGAGCTCGAGGCACAGACCAAGGAACTTGAAAGCCTGAAGCAGACTTTACAGACGAAGGAGAAGCAGCTTGCAGATCTGGAGACTGGCCTCGCAAACCACAAGAAAGAATCAACCGAAAAGATCGCCTTGTTGGAGGGTGACATTGCAAACCAGAAGAAAACTGCAAATGGAAAGCTTCAATCGGAGATAGATGCTAGGAAGGAAGCAGAAAGCGCTCGCCAAATGCTAGATACTCAAATTAAGGATTTGGAGAAGTCACGGGTTGGTGATACAAAGCGCATTTCAGAGCTCGTCGAGTCGAAGAAGCTGCTTGAGAATCAAGTTAAAGAGAAGACGACACAGGAAGTTGACGGCAGTGAGGGCAAGAGCGTAACACCTGCTAGTCAGCCCACGGAAACAACAGCTGGCGCAGCAACAGGCGCAGGAGGTGGTAAGAAAAAGAACAGGAAGAAGAAGAAGGCCGGCAATGCTGCAGCTAGCGCTGTCAAGGAGGCTCCAGTGGAGAAGGACCAGGAATCACTCCCCAGCACTCCGGCCACCACCGATTTGCAAGCTGAGATATCTAGGCTCAAGGATGAAGTGGCGGACCGAGATACCCAGATAGCAAAGTTACAAACGAAGCGAAAGACCGAGGAAGATCTACGAGAAGAGCTTGAGCATATGCAAGACAACTTCCTTAATATTGGCCAGGAGCATGTCGAAGCCAAGGATAAAATCAAGGAGCTTCAAACCGAGAAGACAGCCCTTCAAGAGAGAATCAGCAAACTAGAGGGAGAGATTGAAACCTATAAGAACCAATCGAAGGGTGCGGATAAGGTTGGAGCTGATTTCAAATCCTTGACGGCAGAATACGAAGATCTCAAATTGAAATCTGCTACACTACAGACGGACCTTGGAGCGGCCCAGCAACTTGCGACATCACGCTATAGAGATTTGACGGATCTCCGGGACGTCTTACAACAGGCTCAGCCTGAGCTCAAAACACTACGCGCCGAGAATGGCAACTTGAAAGCCACCAAGGACGAACTTGCCACCCGTACAGCGGATTTGAGAAGGTTGGAGGCTCGAGAAAAAGACCTGAAATCTGATGTTGCAAGCTTCAAGAAGCAAGCCGCGGATCGGGAGAACAAGATCAGGGAACTGAACGAGCAGGTAACTCAGGAGACGAACGGCCGGCTTCGAGCTGAGGACCAGGTTCGCGTCGCGCAGCGCGATATGAGGAAGTCCGAAGCAGAGAAGATCAAACTTGCTGCTTCGGGAGAAAAATCGGCATCAGAGCTTGAAAAGGTCCAAGAAGAAGCTGGTAAACTGAAGGTTAAGGTTCGGGATCTTGAAGATCAAGTTTCCAAGCTCACGAGCGAATCTAAAGGGCTCCGAGAGGAAGTTGAGCTACGTGGCTCGCAATACAACAATGCTCAGGGACTGTTAGGCAGCATGAGAGATCAAAGTTCGGAGATGGCCATGCAACTGAAGGAGGCCAAAGAGCAATCCGAAAGCCTTGAAGACGAACTAGCAGAGATCCAAAAATTACTGAGTGAACGCACTCGTGAGGGCGAGACCATGCGTAGACTTCTAGCGGACGTTGATGACCGGGCTGAAGCTAAGATAAGGGAAATGAGAGAACGTATGGAGGCTGCTATTGAAGAGCGAGACCGTGCGGAGGACGAGGCGAGCACAAACGGCCGACGAAGAGCTCGCGAAGTGGATGAGCTCAAGACTAAAATTCGAGATTTCGAACGGGATCTGAAGCGAGCTCAAGACGACCGGGATGAGCTGCAACAGGCCGAGAAAGAATGGAAGCGGAAGCGTGATACTCTTGAAGGAGTGTCCGAGAAAGCTGCCCAGGAAGTTAATGAGATACGGTCAACTATGGGCGAGCTTCGCAATGCTCTTGACGGCAGCGAGAAGCAAGTTCGAGAAGCTGAAAAGCAGCGAACGGATCTACGTCGACTCTTAGAAGAAGCCAATCAACGATACGAGAAACTTCAAAAAGAGTTCAAGACGCTTCAAGCTAAACAGTCGCGGATGAACGACGTTTCGTCCCGATCATCGATTGACAGTGGCAGGGCGGGGAGTCCTGTCAATGGTGCGGCAAGGCAGCAAGCAGGACAGATGGATTATGTCTACTTGAAGACCATCCTCCTCCAGTTTCTAGAACAGAAAGACAAGAAGAGACAGGCCGACTTGGTCAAGACGGTTCTTGGGCAGTTGCTACGTTTCGACAAGTAAGTTTTCCCAGGGCGTTTTCAGTATTTCAATGGCCGCTGACATCAATTATAGAAAGGACCAGGATAAATGGATGGCGGCAATCTCAGCCAAATGATGACCTCATTACGGTGTGGCTTGTATTTAATTTAGCTGTTTGATTGCGGGGTTGAAGAATAGCGATGGGTGGATTTATTTGTTATCGATGACGCCCTGTTTCATGGAAATCACGGGGGACGATGCATATCAGACATAGTCCATAACCTAACATCGTAACGTTGTACATTATTACCTCTAGGAATGGGAATTCTGAATAGAGCAGGATATCTGTTCTAGGTCCCATGTTATCTTCCTGTTTGATAGGTTGCCTTCCCTTGCTATTCCACACGGAAGCCAGGCCCAGGGTCGCGTTTCGAGGCTCAACGGAGCATTACTGTATGTCCACGGGGCGGTTACATACCAGCAGATCGGCATCTGACCAGGAGACGGAGAATGTACCCCTGCCTATCAAACCCATCATGTGTAGCTCCCATGTGCAAATCCATGGTCAATGTGCCACTCGGCGGGGAATGATTCATGGCATAGAGCATAGCATCCCTAGAGTAGGCACCTTAGGGCGTAGAGCATAGAGCATGGAGAGATAGATATAGCCACACACACCACCAGGACCCAGGACAAGGGATCATGCCTTCAGGATGCAAGACGCAAGACGCAAGATTCAAGATGCAATACATAATCAACCGTGGGATTCATTCCCAAGGCAGTACAAAGTGCAGATTATGTATACAGAATGTACAGCGTACCCAGAAAGTACAGAGACAGTACCGTAGCATCAGAACTCCCCTCTACGTACTGCATTGCTGCCAAACCCACCCTACTACAGTAGCAACTCGTTAGTGAGAGCTGGTGGAGCAGCTCTGAGTTCACGCTGCCCAAAGATCTCGCATTCTGGGCGAATAGATCCATCCGTCATCATTGGCTCTGGCGCGGCGGATTTATGGGCTGTGCTGGTGCTGGTGCTTCTGTGTATTATATTTATCCCCGGTTGCCGCCGCCAGCATCGATTGCTCCCAAGCTCCAAGCTCCAAACCCCATTATCTGGCTGGTTGATCGTATTTATTGATTGATGCTTCTGCCTCTGGTCCTCGATCCCTGCGCTGCTCAGTGCCCTTGAAACACGCCGTTGAGAGCAGCCCCAGATCAGGTACACGACACTAGACACACACACACGCACCTTGGATCTCATTACTCGAGTATTTGTTATTATTATCATAACAGTTCCGCCTCGCCAGTCCGAGCTCCTGTTCTTGCGCAGCGGCTAGCAGCGAAACAAGTCTAATCAATCCAATCTTCCTCGACGAATTGCCCGGCTGCTGTCCGCCTGAGCTGGCGGCCATAGCCATATCGATGCGCGTCTCGCCCTGCCCGTTACCCGAACCCAGCTGTCGCTGTCGCTGTTGATCGCATCCACGTACGTGTGTGAGTGCGAGTGTGTGTGGGCGCATGGCCAGCGTCGTTGCGTGAAAAAAGTGCAGAGTGGAGAGTGCAAAGTCCAAAGGAATTCAAAGGGAAGTCCAGGCAAAGAGTTCTAGAATACATACCGACAACTATTCACTGCATTCATATTGCCACTACCACTACCACTCCCACCTCCAGCGCAAAGTTCTTCGAGTCCCTTCCCCCCCGCCGCCGCCCTGCCCGCGTCATAGTCGGCACCAGAGAATCTGAGAATCAGAATCAGAATCAGCATCAGCATCAGCATTAGGATCCGCATCGGCATCAGCATCAGCATCACAACCTTCTACGACGTTGAAATCCCCCCACCGGAAGCAGCGCAATCCATCTCCATCCCACCGCCTCCTTGCATCGCGACCTGCGACGATCCGCGACGATGAACGGATCCCATATCAAGCAAGCGGCGATCCAGAAGGCCAAGCAGGTCGCCAATACCGCTTCCAATGGCGGCACCACTAAGAAGCGGAAGAAGGAATTGAAGCCCATTATCACCACCGAGGCCGAGGGCCTCCAACAAGATGCTCAGAGCGCCTCCAGTATGGCATCGTCGAACCCAGCGGGTGCAGGGTAAGTCCAGTTGCGCCGCGTGTTGTTGTGTTTGTTTTCTCCCCTTCCAGTTCGTTTTCGTTTCCGTTTCTGCATCAACACTCAATGCAAGCGCTCGTCCGCATTCCCCCACCTTGGAGGAATCGAATCCGCGGTGTGCTTGTCGGCTTGGTTGCTGCTTTGCGCGAAACAGCTCACCACCTCACCTCACCTCAACATCATTATCACTTCACTCCACCTCACTTCACCTCCCCTCTGCGCTCGCAGCAATTTAGCACGAAGATGATCATGATCCCGATCCATCCCGCGATCAACATCCCACCTCCCGCATCTCGCATTCCGCTTCCACTTCCATTTGCATACCCATCAACACCAACATCAACATCAGCATCATGACTTCGCTACTCAAACATTTGCTGACCACAAATAACCATCCCCACAGATCCGCCGGCGCCTCAAATTCGAACCTCCACCCCAAATCTACTGCCAACCGCTCCCCTTCCTCCTCCTCCTCCCGCGAAGACGCTGCCGAAACAACCGCCGATGAAGAAGACTCCGAAGATTACTGCAAAGGCGGGTATCACCCCGTCACCGTCGGCGAGCACTTTAAGGATGGGAGATACACGGTGGTCCGCAAGCTGGGTTGGGGTCATTTTTCCACCGTATGGCTCTCCCGGGATAACGTCAATGGCAAGCACGTTGCATTGAAGGTGGTACGGTCGGCGGCCCATTACACGGAGACCGCCATAGACGAGATCAAGCTGCTCAACAAGATCGTAGCCGCCAAGCCAGACCACCCCGGCCGGAAACACGTCGTGAGCTTACTGGACTCGTTCGAGCATAAGGGTCCGAATGGCACTCACGTCTGCATGGTGTTCGAGGTCTTGGGCGAGAATCTACTGGGATTGATTAAGCGCTGGAACCACCGTGGGATACCAATGCCGCTCGTCAAGCAGATCACAAAGCAAGTTCTTCTGGGTCTAGACTATCTACATAGAGAATGTGGCATCATACACACCGATCTAAAGCCGGAGAATGTGTTGATAGAGATTGGGGATGTGGAGCAGATCGTCAAGACATTTGTGAAGGACAATGTTAAGAAGGATGATAAGGAGGATAACCGCAATGGACGGAGAAGACGCCGGACTTTGATTACAGGCAGCCAGCCATTACCGAGCCCGCTGAATGCTAGCTTTAGTCAAGCGGATCTGATGAGGTTTCCTGGAAGCACCGCAAGCTCTCATACGAGTCTCAATCAGATGATGCATGAAGGTAATGAATCTCCTACCAAAGACAAACAAACTGCTGTTTTGGACGAAGTCGTAATGAGTGGTGCAATAGGAGGCTCGAAAGACGCATCGCCCAAGAAGGAGAAAGAGGACGAGGAGAAGCATGGCCAACGAGAAAAGACCGCGTGAGTAGATATCGTCCCCAACACTTCTCCTGCCAGAGACTAACCTTGAAGTAGTGATCTCCTGACTCGAGAAGTTTCCGGCATATCTCTGGACAAGACGAGTGAAAAGAAGAAGGCCGAAGATGCGGTTGCTGGTGATATAATATCGGTTAAGATAGCAGATTTGGGCAACGCATGTTGGACAGGTCACCATTTCACAAACGATATCCAGACACGGCAATACCGGTCCCCCGAAGTTATTCTAGGTGCAAAATGGGGCGCTAGTACCGATGTTTGGAGCATGGCTGCAATGGTATGTTGATCCCGCGGGCAGCTGCTGGTGCCTTGTTGCTCGACCAGCGCAAAGGATTTGAACTGATGAGATACAAAACAGGTGTTCGAACTTATAACTGGTGACTACCTTTTCGACCCCCAATCAGGCACCAAATACGGCAAAGATGATGATCATATCGCCCAAATCATCGAACTCCTCGGCCCCTTTCCCAAGTCTCTCTGTACCTCTGGCAAGTGGAGCCAAGAAATCTTCAACCGCAAGGGGGAGCTTCGCAACATCCACCGACTACGTCACTGGGCACTTCCCGACGTCCTCAAAGAGAAATACCATTTTAAGGAGGATGAGGCGAAGCGGGTTGCGGCCTTCCTCACCCCGATGCTCGAATTAACACCAGAGAAACGAGCCAATGCTGGCGGCATGGCGGGCGTGGAGTGGCTTCAAGATACACCGGGTATGGTAGGTATGAAGATCGATGGGCTGGAAGTTGGGTCTAAAGGCGAAGGAATCGAGGGTTGGGCGTTTGAGGTGAAGAAGAGATGAATGACCATCTCGATATTCTCCATTTTCCACGGCTATCATCCGGGACTGGATACAAGGGCGAAGCACAAGAAAGCAAGCGCATTTTCTATCTGTGCATACACATGCATATCATTTTCGCCTCTTTTCTCCACAGCCGGATAAACCAAACACGGGCAAGAATTTAGATGCGCGTAGAACACTATGGAACCCTTTCAATGAATCTATGGAAAAACTGCCAAAAATAATAACCGTGTGGGGGAAATCGGATTTGGGGTGGAGAGGGAAAACACCTCTTATTTTCTTTTGCTCTTTCTCTCGCTCTTATCTCCTTTCCCTCATCTACATATTGACATCTGCACCCCACGCTCGCTTTTGACATCATGTCGAAATGACTATTATGATTACTTTTTACAAAGCAAATATGACTCTCCTTGTGTAGAAATTCTCATAGGCGTGGGATGGACTGGGGCGGCGCTATATATTGCGGGTGGGGGACTAGGCGGAAGGGAGGCTTTATATACATAACAGAGAGCTGAGCTACTATTACTGCGAGAACAACATCAGGGGTTGATTATGTGCTTCTTTTTTGCATCGCGCGCGCCTTTTGAACAAATGAAAGAATGCTTAGCTGTTTGATTTTCATTTTGGCTACTTGCTTCCTTGCTCTTGTTTGATGAATATATATCTTGCAAAAAGATGGATCGCCTCTCTATGAGCTACATACGCTGGGCCTGTTTAGATCGACCTTGTTCTTTTCCGCTTTAGCTATTTGTTATTTTTCTTGCGGTTTAATCATAAGATAGTGCTTTGAGGGATACTTTAGATATAGGTGTATTTTCTTTTAACGAGTTAGGGAGGAGAAGGACTAAACGAACGGAAAAAATGAAATGATTGTTTTATAGATGCTCCGACGCCTTGCACTCATGCCCTCCCTTTCTTTGCTATTAGGTTCCGCGGCGTGTAGTGCAAGAATGGCTTATTTAAAAAAGAAATTATGTTTTTGATCTTATAAATAGTAGATTTTATACACGAGAGGAATTTCTTTTCTTCTGGTGTGTACGTGATATGCCTACGTAGGCTCTAAAGACTACAACGTGCAAATACTAGATAGTAAGATTTAGACACTTAACTCTGGGGCTAGGGGGCACGATGATATGCTGGAGAGGCTGATTGGCCCGGGTTGTATACAAACATTGTCTTGGACGTGTTGATCTAGAGGAGAGGAACAAATCCAAGTGGACTTCATCCTGAGATGAGTTAGGTCGGATACAGAGCGAGGGCCGTAGGAAAGTACACGTTTAGATAATATTACTAGGCTTCAGAAAGAGAATAAGGTTGTCAGTTTCCTCAAATTTGAATGCTACGGGGGCGATCTAATCCGTACGGCGATAGTGTGAGGCCCACCTCAGCAGAAATTAACCTTCAAGATTGTGTAGTATTAGTTTGGTACTTTATGGATTCCGTCTAAAAGTATAGCATTATTCCTTGGAGATAGAGGGAATTTTGTCCATATCAAGCAATAGTGTAGTTCCTGCTTGAACCGTTGACAAAACATACACATAGCTGTCTACTTTTATTCCTCCCTTTTCAACCGGGATAGTTAGTGCTCTATAATATGGTAAAAATACGTACGAAGATTTGCCAATTGCTGGAGACATAGTAGCAGAGATCAAAATACCTCCCTAAGATGAGACCCGTTGATATACTTTCCTCCTTCTATTCCGTCTAGTTGCAACAGGTCCGTAGCTGGTGGCAACATTAACTTGCCGTTTGAGCACAATTTTCAACCTCGGCATAGAATCTAGGGATCGATAAATTATCCCTACTCATCTGAGCTAGTCGAGGGGATCTCACTTCATACAACTCTGCCATCGGGCTAAGTGGCTCCCAAACTCTTCGCCAATAGCTTTTGAAAGACAGTATCCCTTATACCTATTATTAGATGCCCGATCCCTGGGTTTGAGTTTATCCTTAAAGTTATCCTTCTGATATTAAGCCACATTGCATTCAAGTATGTTTCGGCCTCAACTTTGTCGGTCTGTTTTCTATGTCCAATGCCACTAGGTGATACTTTTTTGAAGTTCCATTTGGCTCCTTTAATCTGACTGTGGTCAGACTAAGACCACTTTACCCTTCATCAATTTGGCCTTTTGCCGCCGCCGGCGGTAGGGAATACTAAGGGTCGCGCTTATAATAATGGTAAGGAAAATATCTCCAAAACAAACTGTCAGTCTGATTACCGTACCTTGAACTGACTCTGGAATCGGACGACGAGGATTGAGCGGTGGCAGGGGCTGGATTGGGTTTCTCGGTGGTATATGTTGTTGCTGCGGTTTTAATCGAAGAGGATGAAGAAGTGGGTGGCGAGGTGGATGTGAATGGCAAGCTTTCTAGGGCACGAGTGCTTTTTTTGGATTTGGTAGCTGAAAGCTCAACCGCAACGCTACCTTCGTATTTCTTCTAGTCAATTGGAGGGCCTCGGCTTCTGGTGTAGCAATATGAACACGCCCCTCCATTGGTGTCGGTGCCACCAACTTATTAGAGATATTCTGACGTTCTGTAGCTTTATCAAAACCTCAGGGTGGGGAGCGAGCGGGCAAAGGACTCTCATAACAGCTGGATGAAATGGAGGACAACCATATCGGTCTATATCCGCTGGTGCATCTGTTCTTAACGACCAGAAGTTCGAGTTGAAGTTGGTCTCTAAATTCTTCGACTTGAAGGTGGCTGGAAACTAAGTACTGTTGACGGGTACCGCGACAAGGAATTTGAAATGAAGGAGGCAACCAGCTTGGAACAAGTGCCAAGTTCTAATGAACTCTAGCAACGCACATATTGATAATAATGAGTGTTATGGCTTAGGTAGAGTAAAGGATGGGGAGGAACGACTGTGTCCTTCTGATCGACTGTAATACCTGGTTCCTATACTACCACGTCGTAGAATGGCAACCACTATTGTAATGACAGTTTTGTTGCCTTGGTATGAAGCGCAGAAAGGTCTTATTTTGGCACCATATACAGTATATACTATGCTAGAGGTGGCACAGTTGCAGACCTTAATTGTAGCTGAACTAGTTAATAGATTATAAGCTATGGTTATTCCAGGACAAATGAACAGGACACTCCACAAATGTGAGTTGGTCGTCCACCTACCTTGCAATCCCCACGATCACTAAAGCGATGAGGAAGTATACCCCCGATCGTTATTTCCCACAAAAGTGAGACGTGAACAACTCTTCGAATTGAAGTCTTCAACAAGGTGAAGTCTAAAGGGGCCTCGACGATTCACAATTCTTTTGCTCGGTGATGTCAGAAGTGATGTTGTTTATGTTAGGAAGTTAAGTTCGATTTTACGAGGCCGAAACACACACCCATGAGGGCACACTTGCAACCACAGTTAACCTATACCTCGATTACGATCACCTATCGAGGACTAACACATACCGACAATAGATAACTCGGTCACTACAAAGCTTCTCTGAAAAAGGTTTGAAATTGCAAGTCTTCTCAAGTGAAGTATGCCCCTTTCCCCCGTTATTTTCCTTGTCTCTGTTCTATACATTGGCGAATTTCATGGCTTCGCAATTATTCCACCCCTACATTAGTCTTGGTATTAATTATTACTTTGGTGCTGTTCTTACTCGACGCCCATCATGGCAAATTGGCAACCGAGCGGCACAAGGCAACACATTTCAAGGGTATTCATCAACACACCCACGTGGTTCAAATTGGAATATTTAGGAAATAACTATATTAGTTGAAGTAGTTCGCTAGGTGTGCCTGGCCTATATATAAACACCTATTACAATGTTAGGAATTCCTCCAGTTCTCCTGGCAAGTATCAACTCGCTAACAAACAAAAGAAAAGCAGTTTGGAATTCTATGGTCAAAAGGCTAGTGAGTAGTGATAATCTACAAAGAGCCCTTGGATTTTTCAATGATCTCGTTGCCGCTAGATTGTTCTGTAAAGGGAAGACTTTTGAAGCGAAGAGGAGACTTCAAGATGGGATTGATTGGGGAGGCTCCCATCCAGGCTAGCCCCTCGCTGTTCGCCATCCTCCCTCTCGTCGGATGTTGTACTAGGTGCTTCCATATCCTCGTCATTCTAGTCTAATTCGCCACGTACAAGTGCATAATTTAACCGGATTAATACAGATGCAGTATCATTAACGCGTATGTTTAGTTTGGTTCGATCGTTTAATCCTTGTGGAAAGAGCCACCTGTGGAGTGTAGACGAAATATCAAGACCGTCCAGGCAAACTTTTCCTTCATTGCCATCCTCTTCTTCATCGGATGTTATTCTAGGAGTCTCCAGTTTCTCATTATCGTTTAATTCGCCATATGCAAGTGTAAAACGGGCATATGCAGTAGCTATAAAATCATGAGGGACTAGGATTTTTCCATCCTCTCTTTTGAATTTTGTACTAAGAGTCTCCATATTCTTATCCTCCCTTGATTGGCAAATTGGAAGCATAAAGCGGTCAAATGCGGATCTAAAATTATGAGGGACTCTGCTGTTGCCCTCTCTTTCGCCGGGCGTTGTACTAGGGTACCCCATGTTTCCGTTCTCGTATGCTGGGCCATATGAATTTGCAAATTGGATAAATGCAGGTTCAAACGTATGAGGGCATGGGCTTAGTTGGGATGGATTTTTGTTCAATCCATGTGGAAAGAGCCCGTAGTTCATGGTATGTGCCATGTTTAGTATTTCGCGGGTTTCAGTCATAAAATATGCTAACATTCCATATATTATCTGGCGACTGTCACTCATAAACCATTTGCGAACTCCGTTTTTGGTGCAGCCATCGGAGAAAGCGGATTTCATGATGTCTCCATGCATGCGCAATAGCGCTGTCGCAAGCACGTCGATGATGCCCACTGGCCAGCGCTTGAAAGTAGCTTTGGCTCTGCGCTCAGCGTCCTGTTGAGAATAGCCCTGTATTTCCATGAAATCTCGAACTAGGATGTAGTGCAAAAGGCATAGCCGGCGCGGGATATCGCCTAAACAGCTATCGCAATACGCCTGTGTTAGATCAGTAGCACTTTGCTTGGTGAAATTGCGTTTTTCCACAAGGTGTCGAATCATGTATCGGCGCGCCCGATCAATATCAGGACGGCCATTATCAATATCAAAGGGGTATACGCCATTGGTGGTAGAGGTGGAGTAGTCGAAATAGTTGCCAGCGGCCGACATGATTGCGGTGCGGTGTATAATCTTGTCCCTTCTAGAGGAGTACAGAAAAGTGATGGTGGCTGAGAAGATGGAGTATGAAGAAAGTATGGATATGCTGCCAATGTTTATGTACCCAGTTAAAAATCAAGTTGAGGAGCTACAAAGAGATAAGCACAAAGGAACAAGGTCAAGTTTACTGAAACACCCTGATTATTATCATCGCCATTATCTAGAATAAAGAAGACAGAATAAGAGAAGCTTTTCGGTTGGTTTGAAATAAAGAGGTTATTAGGTAGCTACGGAAATTAGAACAAAGACCGAAGAAATAGATAGGGGTCAACAGATAATTGTAATTTGGTAAACCAATGTGCGTGGTTGTGATACTTGTCCCTTAAAACAAGAGTATAATTACTCGTGTTAAAGGCTAAATATGTGCAGTAAATAGGAGTTGTGAGTAGCCTAGATATCTTCTTTTGTATCATTTAGTATAATATACATTTGTGAGAGTGCAAGCTGCCTGGGTATTAAAGTGTTTTATAAAAAGATTATTGTTACAAGTACAAAGGGGTTGGTATTATTTAATAGGCGCAATAGTAGGCCGTAATTATCTTGATTAGGGTAGTCTGAATTCACACGTGGATCCGGCATATGGAAACAACTCGATTCATTAGAGTATAATTAGTAGTTACTTGAGTGGACTTGCAATTCGTTTTGGAAATGTTTTGATTCTATAATTCTATTTCCATGGGGTATTTTGTACGAAGTTCTACCTGGGTATCCAGTTAACTCTTCTGTTCGACTGACCAATCCGAGAAATGACAGACGGTGGAGTCCATATCCTGCATGGCATCCTCGAATATCAACATCGATACTAGGGCAGTAACTTTCAGCTATTATCAATGCGATTCTTCATGGCGGCGCCGGCTATCTGCAGTATATCTGTTGGCATATCTTTCAGCTTGCTCAGCACCGAGTCCTGCGAACCTCAAAGACTCGACCTCCTATCCTTATAGTTCTAACCCCGAAACCACCATCATCAGAAGGTTCATAGCTGTCCCTGGATCTAGGCGGTGCTGAAGGTTCACGAGATCTATGCTCTGTGTAAGACTGGCTCCGCTGAGGCGGTGGAGGTCCGGCGCGAGGAGGACGGCAACTCCTATTTCTCCATTCTTCGTATGATTCGTGTCTACTATGAGGTGGAGGAGGAGGAAAATGAGTGCTAAAATACGATTGGCTGAACATCGGTGGTGGTGTTGCCCGATCATAGGAAGGTATATCACGAGCACTGGACGGACCGTAGGATCGATGCGAAGCTGCCCTAGGTCGGCCTCCTTGATTTCTATCTCTCCCATACGTATTATTACCAGCCTCAGGCCCTCGAGAACTCGAGCGATAGTTGGGCTCATTATCAGGTGAGAACTGTGTCCGCCCATTACTGGATGAACCGTAGGGCTCCCTCGATGAGGGCCCGGAGCTTGGACTACCGTCAGTACGCCTTCGCCCTCTGGCCGCGAACTCCTTATCTACCCCGTTGTGCACAACGTTGATTAAAAAACTGGTGAGTTGCTTGCGAGTCACGAAGGGTTTGAAGCCATTCCATTCGGCTTCTGCGACGCTAATAGTATCCGACTCATCGTCATCGTCATCGTCATCGTCCTCATCAGCATACGGCGCCGGTCTTTTCGATCCACTGCTTCTGCCTGTGTAGCCGAACATGATTTCGAAGAAGCTACCTTATAATTTGTATTGCGCTACTTTTGTACGTAACGGTTATTGCAACACTCAAGATATTAGTTAAGGATGTACACGAGAAGTTGGGAGTAAATGTAACGAAAGTTCAAATTTGGAGATATATAGAACTCAACTTATTTCTGTTCTCGTCGCTAAAACCAAGTAACAAGGTTATTGTGTTCAGTGGAGATGAAAGAGCTCACCTTCCCCCTAGAACAGGATTCCCTTTGTTTGGCTCTAGAGCTCTAGACGTTAACAAAACCAGGCACGGCCTTTGTCCTATCCACCTTCCAAATCAAAAGAAAAGCATCCTTTTAAAAGTACTAATTGCTCCCCTCATCCCAACAAAAAATACGTAAGCAATGAAGCGCTATCGCGACCGCGATCTCGGAGAGTTAGAGCAGTAATAATCCTTTGGATGAAAAAAGGAACCTAGATCTTCGCTAACGAATAGGCCCCCATCCTCTCAGTAGAGAGGTTGAGCGCGCTTTGCCAATGGAGCAAGGTGTGTAGTGCTGGAGTGGTGTAATGATATGATATATACTTGAAAGAAAAATAAGGTACAAATCATAACAATCCATTCCACTTAGATAAAGCATTAAGGATAGGTTAGAACTTCTAAACTAATGCCAAGGAGATTAATTAAGACAAATCCACTCTCGGCATCTTATATTGCTGAAACTCAGTATGCATATCTCAATAACATACTGCGCAGCTCTAGAAAAGAAAGAATAAAGTAAAACTAAAGGCTGCATTAGTCTTGATCTAAGAATCGAAATGATGCTTATCAGAAATAATATATTCAGGGGTTCGCTTGTTGAGCCCTGTCACCCCTTTCTAGTACCCCTAACGCTACCCCACAAATTCCACAAACTTGACCTTGTGGTCCCTGCCTACTTTAATCTTCATATGCGCACCATTCACGACAGACGTGTTTGACAACATTAAGCGTCAATATAGTTATTACCTGGAGGTAAGGAAATTCGTACCCCTTCCACCGACCGGGTGGGTTCCATGGCTAGGCTGAGAACCGGGACTACTCAATTTATCCTCCTTTACACGCATTTCCCATTATTTCAGGCAAAGCTGGAAAACGTGCTAAATAATCCACGAACGAGGGACATAATTTTGTGTACCCAAGATTCTTGGTGCCAATTCGGGAACGTCTTGAGGAAAGAACTTCCCCGCACATCACCGAATATCTTCCCTAAAGTTTGCTAAAGCTGATTTCTTTAAATTTTCATTTCGAAAGTCTTCCTTTATTTCATTTATGCATAATGAAGTTCTCCCATCTCCTTCCCACCATCCTCGTCGCAAGCGCTGTTGTCCTAGCTCTGCCAACCGAAACCACCGAGTCCGCTGAGATTGCCCAGCGCGCCGACTCTAGCCTTGTAGGCTATCTTGGGATATTCTTCCTCGGAAATGCACCAAATATATATTTCTACCTCAGTAATGGCAACAATGCACTTTCTTTCAAAGGATTGAACAAAGGCCAGCCGATACTCAAACCATCTAGCGGGACGGGAGGGGTGCGTGACCCCTCGATTATCAGTGGAGCTGGAGCAGAAGCCGGAAAGAAATGGTATATTATCGGTACGAATTTGGATATTGGGAAAGTGAGTAGATTTTGTTATGGAATATTTGACTAGATGGTCCACGGTGCTGAAATGTGGGCGTGGAATAGACGACGTGGGATAAAGCTCAACGGAAGGGATCCTTGAGTATCTATATATGGGAGAGCACGGATATGATCAATTGGGGCGCTGAACGACTTGTAAAAGTCGAGAATGATAATGCAGGGATGGTCTGGGCGCCAGATGCCATTTGGGACCCGAGTAAAGGTAGAATCTTTCTTTTTGTTACATCATCTGGATTAGTATTTTACCAATGCTGACTGTCTATAGGCATGTATCTAGTTCACTGGGCGTCAAAATTCGTAAGCTGATTGCACACCAATGCCTATCTCTCCGTCCACTAATATCAAATACCAGTACTCCGCCTCAGACTCAGGGCATACTGGCAATCCTGGCCCTGATCAAATCCGCTACGCCTACACCAGCGACTTCAAAACCTTCACTACACCCCAGACATTTATTTCCGCCTCCTCCTCGATAATCGACCTCTCCATTCTCCAACTAGGCGACAACAGCTTCGCGCGCTTCATCAAAAACGAATCAGCGACAAACGTCTACATGGAGCGATCCGACACCGGCCTCTTTGGTACATGGACACGGCCAGGCGGAGCCACATCTTACATCAGAAGTGGTGTTGAGGGCCCTTACGCGTATATGGACAACCAGGTACAGGGGCGGGTTATATTATTGTTGGATTATTTTGGGGGAGATGGGTATAGGCCATTTACGTCGACTAACTTGAATGCTAATTCATGGACGGATGCGGATCGGAGCTCATTTCCAAGTAATTTGAGGCATGGTAGTGTTGTTGGGATTCCCCAGGATAAATATAATGCTTTGAATACGAAGTGGGGGTAAGAGCAGGTAAATAACGCGATGCTGAAGAACAAGATGGATGGAAATTGGTTGGGAGTTTATCTTGAACCTTATACGTTCCTAGACAGCAGAAGATAACGTGCAACTCCAATAGATAACTGCTATTTCTAGACCTAGTTTATAAAGGTGCTCGAGTATGCTATATATAAAGCTCTATCGATCATCATTTAGCCTACAAAAGGTAACAAAAATCCATTTACTAGCCCTCAAGGCTCAAGGCTAGCCTAAGACAGAAGTAGATGCAATATAGAGGAGAATAGGCGTTTAAATGCCTATCCAACAGATATATATCAAATATTGCTTGTAAAATCAGGCAATCCAAAAGCTAATCATGAAGCGCGGAGGGAAACCACCGGGCTAATACCGGCAATACCGGCGCGTAGCCTGTCCCTCTGGATAGGTATATAAAACCAATAAGCGATTTTAGGTTAACAATTAGAGACTGGTGACATGGAAAGACGGTCGTACCGGTCAGCGTTTAGGCCGCCATAACCCACTGCCAAGGAGGACCCAGGACACTCTGCCAGAGATAACACAAAAAATTGGGCTTCTCGGCACCGCTAAATCCCACTAAAAGGGCGGTATTTCTTTCTTTTGCTATTTTTTCCTTTGATCTCCTTTTTGGGGGATTAGAGGAGATTAATTTAGAACTCGGTTAAAACGAGCTTGTTAGGGAAACCCAGTTGAGAGGCTAGAGTAGCCGAAGGTGAGATCTCACATATCCTGTGTAATTCGAGAATCGATTTAGGAAAGATAGATAGAGGACCAACATATCCCTTGCTACTAAGCGGATAGTAGATACTTTTATCGAATTCCATTTTTAAGTGCATAGAAGGACGAGTTTAGGGGTGGTTGGCGGCATATTAGACTGTAAAGGCAAACAAGGGGTAGAGAGAATCAAAATAGGAAGTTTTAAGGGGTCTGTGGCATTTTTGACTTTGTTTAATGCGGTCTACTGTCCCTTAATGGCAATCTTATCCCATGTCGGACGACCATCACTTGGCATCTATTTGGTATCTAATTCGCAATCCCATAAAAAACAAGAGGTATCTCCCACGCCAGCAACGCAAATGGAAAAAAAGACCGAAACCAATGCAAAATAAATAGAGTCCACACCAGCACTTGGCATGGGGCTCCCGGTCCGGTTAATGCTAGCATGATGATGATTTCGCTTTTTGAGGTGGGTTGATTGCCTCTGGGTGCAGCGTTCTGTAGTACATGCTGGGGCTGGTAAAACAAAGCGGTAATTCGGGTCATTTTTGGTCGAAATAAATAAGGAGTTTAGTGGCTGGATTGAGACCTAGCGAACGAGGGGAGTTGGCCGTTTGCGGGAATATTTGGTCGATGCCGTAGGAACCAGATAGCCATGGATCCATTCATTACGGGAATGATATAGGTTTTAAGAGGTTGTACAACCTGGGCCGACTCCGTCCGACAAGTCATCTTTGCTTAATTCAGGATACCAAGGGCATCTGCCGTCCTAGGTCTCTGGTTTTCGATGCCCACCGCGGCCTGCGCCAGTTGCCTCTGCTTCTCAAGTTCGGTCCCAATCGAGCCGTTTCCCCTAGCTCGAGCACCAGCAGCAAGATAACTATCGCTCTCCTCCAACTCCAGTGGAGTGATAGGTCCTGGGCTTCCACACGGTGCTAATCTCGGACCAACCGGCTTGGGCACCGTGAGGGCGTGGGAAGCAGTGGAGGCAGACGCCACCCTTGCCTGTGCGATCATATCCCGTTGGTATTGTTGAAGCTTGCGCTTTATGTCGCTGTTGTGTCTCTCGTGTCCTGGGGTCTTCTTATTCCTGGAACTGGCGACTTGCGGAATGGACAAGTAAGTGGGAGGGGCTGAGGTAGGCATGCGGGACGTGGAGGCTGCTGCTGTAACGGGTGGCATATAGTTTGAGGGATAATATTTTCCAAGTGGGATGCCAAGGGCATCAGTGGTTGGGAACGTAGGACTATTGTTGCTGACGATGGGGGTGAGGACTGTAGGAGGGCCCCGAGGCGTGATATCTGAGCCAGGCGACGAATGGGATGACGAAGCTGACATGTTGGATGGCGAGCCGGGAGTTGAGGTTCCAGATCTCTGGTGTGGCCCAAACGGATGAGGTTTGAAGGATCCTTCGTCGTGGTCCGGGAAGTAACCTCTGTACCAACTAGTCAGTACGTATTGTACAGCACGAAGACACTCTAGCGTCAAGATTTGATTGGTGCTTGTGGATTTAAACATTTAAGAGACATAACTTACCCGATCAAGTCCCCTCGTCCTGTCAAAGGGGTATACGCAATAGGGGCGCTTCTGTGAGGTAACTCGATTGCGATGGGAGTGCTTCTCTTCCGCGATGGTGAAGCTTCGGGTTTGAGTTGTGGACCAGGAGGGCTATTATCACCTATAACTCGTAAATATAAGGACTAAGACAAGAACCACAAATGGGTGCGTGGCTGCCGGGCGAAGTGGGTATTACAGTAGTGGGCTTTGTAGCGCAGTACTACACTCCACATTCCATCCCACGCTTCCACGGCACGACGGAGAAGGCTTACCAGAGGGGTCACGGCGTGAACTTGCCCCGCCACCACCTACAGTCTTCCTGTCTCCTACCACGGCCGCCTCCTTGATATCGCCGCCGGTATTCAAAGATCGAAATGACGAGAGGAAGGCGTCGTCGCCCTTCGTCGAAGCCATGGACGAAGTTGGAGCGGACGTTGAAGTGGTGCGTACGAACGGTGGTCGAGGGCTCCGGGGTCCCTTTTGCTGGGCGGCGGCGGAAGCGAAGTAAGACGCTGACTTGAAGGATCGACTACTCATTTTCAACGCCCGGCAGTTTAGGGAAACAAGTATCCCTTTGGGGCAGCCTTGTGTTGTGGCTATACTAGGGAGCTTGGGGCATTGGGCAACTGCTAGTCTGCGAAGAAATCGAAATCGAATGTCAAAGTCGACGTAGAAATCGAGGTCGAAGCTGAAGTTGAAGTTGTTTGCTCTTAGTGTGATGGGGGTTGAAGTTGGCGTGCGAGCTGTGGCGATAGATATGCATATGGGTTAGAGTCATAAATCGTGAAGACTTGTTTCGTGACAACGCTCCCAGGTTCAGATTCACAGGTTTCGAGGAGGGGTTCAGATTGACGAGATTGTCTGGCTGATGGCGACTGTTTCGAGGACGAGGGATGAACTAGGTACATAAGAAAGTCGGGTTTGCCCAACTGGCCAGTGTGAGAGGTGAATTTCGGAATTCGGCGCCGGAGTCGCTGGCTCCTAGTGACGATCGGGTTGCAAAGCCAAAGCCAAAGCCATACAAGGTCGACGCGAAACCTCCAATATGCCGTGCAACCGGGATCAAGTCGCTTGTCATTGGTGCTTGCGCGGGCTTGCTACTACTCGTAATGAGCCCAACATTATGTTCTTGGCAGACGAAGTGTCTTCAAGCCGCCCCGTCTAAAGAGGACTGCTTTGCAAGGCGTACGTGGTGCACTACGTAGGAGTGGCCTCCTTTACGCCTTCATTTCGCCTCAATACCTCTCAAGCACCTTTATGATTATGCGAACGATGTCTATTGACAAAGGTTACACAATGTGTAGAGTTTACATATACTGAGCTTCTCTCCTGCTAGTGCTGCCGATACTTTCCCTCTCGATATATAGCTGCGCTGCCGAGCGGTTAGGGTCCTATGCTTTAAGCCTCTAACATTACGGGCCGCCCCCTCTTTGAAGTTTGAGTGTGTGCCTCTACCTTTATGTTACGGAGGGTTATTAGTACAGTTATTGATTTCCACCCCACAATGACAGGATGGAGAAAACAGGAAGCCTCCGTATTCTATTACGAATACTAAGCTTAAGAAATTTGCCCTGGCCAAGATCCTTCCCCTAGACCAAGAAACCCGTTACATACCGCACAACTAAATTGCCTTCATCACAGCTTTCATCTGAAAAGATTAACGCATGGGATGTCTCTAACGAATGGCAAGATAATCCGCAGATCCCCTTTCTTAGGGCACGGCAGTGGCGGCAGCGAAGAATTTACTCAGGGTCCTTCCTGGCATCTGTCATTGTTGCTCGGTGCTGTATGATGACGACATCGTCACATTTCAAACACGAGTGTCTCAAAAAAGACAACATACTTTGCAACATACCCCCACCTGTATAGGACGAACAGGAATTTCTTGAGCTCGTGTCTCTGTTAGAATGTCTACTTTTGCACCTTGGCTTTTGCAAATACGGAACAATTTCCTAAATTTAGAACTGACGGAACCCCTTTCTGAGGGTAGTAATGATCACCCGTATTCGTACCGGGTAGTGAGGCGTCGCCGTGCTACGGTAATATTCAGTTCACCCTAGACTCTGGTAGCTTTAAAATGACAAATCGACGACTTCCTCTTACATGTGCTTCGTTATGTACTTCGAAGCCCCTTGCGTCTCTCCACATATCTTTTGCGCTATATACTTATTCCCCACAATTCCCGAACTCGTCATTGATGGCAATATTACCCCGCTGAAGGAGAGTGTTGATTCCGGCGACGTCTCGGGAATCTTTTCCTCCAGTTTAGCAGTGTACTTTATATTTGCGCCTCATGGTATGCCCGTGGCCTTATGGAGCTTATCTCTACACTCGGGTAGCACTTTAAATGGATCGATAACATTAACAGGTGTTCTAAAGGAGGCAGCTTAAGAGCGTCATACGGCAGAGTAATTCGGAAGGTCCTGGGCGAGATATGCCTCTATTTAGGTAGGTACAACATGAAGTGATCGATAATGGTATCTCTTGTACGCAAGGAAACGCTGCAAGTGGTATATGGATAATGGAAACCCCAAACAAAGTGGAGGCCACTACTTGTGAAAGCTCGGCGGATGAGGGGCCTTCTGCAAAAGTACCACGCAAAATATTAACTATACCCTCCTGCTAATCATTAAAACGTTTTAACCCCTTTCCTCAGTTCTCTTCTTCCCGGCCAACCCCTCAAACTATAGCCCGCCCAGTCCACTGCGACCTACCATTTCTATGCTTTAGCCAAAACACCACCATCCCCACGGCGCTTATCAACCACAATAGCGCATTCGTTAAGTCAACCCACACCGCATTTTTCATGCGCTGCACCCCAGAATCTCCTTCGGCTTTCTCGTGGATATACATATTACCGAATACACCGAAGAGGGTGATCCACAGGATGAAGAGGATGCTGTCCCAGACGAAGAGGATGGCGATCCGGGAGACGAAGGGGACGAGGTAGACAACGGCGGTCACGGCTGAGAAGGAGCCGACAACTACTGCGTAGACCTGTTTAGATATCATTTGTTAGCACATATTGTTAAGCATAACACAGGACGGATGAGTAGACGAACCCATTTCCCATCGGAATGGCCGTGCAGTTTATTCGCCTTATTCAGATCCACGCCATAGAGGCCGCAGACCGTAAGCGCGAGAACTAGCTGGAGGAAGCGGAATATCGAGTGGAGGATGTAAGAGAGTGTCATCTCGAAGCCAGTTTTGACGCGCATTTTTGCTGGTGTGTCTGAGAGGGCGCAAAGTTATTTGATTGAGAATTTGGAGAGTGTCTCAGTGGTGAGGATGTGGTTTTCGCGATGTCCTCGTCGCGGAATGCAAAGTTGTGGAATGCTGCGATGGGTCAATAAAAGTGGTTGGGTCGGAAGAGAACTGGAATGCGGTAGTCGCGACTCGCGATAGGCTTTGCTTATACAGTACTTCGTACAGACCTTGATATCATAGCAGGTTTTGCGGTGAATCAGGAACTGTCAACCCCAAGCCACACCCCGTCACAGTCCAAGTGCCGACCTTATTATGCACCCCGCCACCACTGTATCACACTCGAAGCAATTCGACCACTTTACATCGCACACGTCCTACAAGGTGTGGCGGAAAGCCACTTACACACTGCAAGACATCAACTCTTGCAGCAGGGCCAATCGTCGGGTCGGAAATCAAGTCGGAAATTGGCAATGGAGATTTCACGATAGCAAAAGACCGGGCATTCCAAGGTTGGGATGAAGTCGACGATGACGGCATTGTGCTTCAAAACTATCAAAAAGCACAGGGTCCCCAGCGCCCGTAGACCCTGCAAGCCGCAAAATTACTGGGCAGATTCACGGGTCCGGGCGGCTTCCGATGCGCTATAGAGACAGGATCTATTTGCTGCTTCGTACAAAGTACAGGTAGAGAGATAGAGCCGAGGGCGTTATTTGACTCCAGACTCAAGTTGGCCAGAAACACATTTAATGGAAAAGGGAAAATATCGTCTCTTGAGAAATACCCCCACTTATCCCGGACTTCGGGATGTACTTGGCAAGAGGAGAAATATTTCCAGTTCTATCTAAAGCAAAGGAAGTTTCCTTTAGGGGTCAAAAGACAAGAGCGTACGTGGAATAGTGGGATATGATTCCCCGATGTGAAAGCGCAAAGCAATAATACGCGAATGTTCTCAAGAATAGCATCCCATATCCACAATCTCAGATCTCAGAGATATATGGGGATGGCCGCGTTTATTTATTTCAATTTCGGGCCACGAAGTTGAAATCTCCATTGTGCCCTTTGGATGCCTTCTATTATTTCATGTTACTTTACCTTGTTGTTTAGTTCATCAAGATCTACAACATATGTGACTTTTTTTCAGCTGCCCACTCAACTTTTATATCCACATCTACTTTTGTACCGAGTGTCTTAACACAACACTCGCATTCAAAACATCCTAAATTCTAATTTTGCACCCAATAACTTAACACAAATCTCAAATTTACTAAATCAATGTTACAAAATCCTGGAAACAGTCACTTCGCATGGCAGCCGTTCTTTATGTTGTCATTAACCGCCTTTGGCTGTATTTAACAGACGGCTCGTGCTAATCCTGGGAGACCATTTCTTTATAATAGAACCAAGGGTCCCACCAACAGCTTAGCTGGTCGTGCAGCCGCCGCCACGCCGGTACTCCAAAGAAAGACTGCGTGTGTCTGGTGCTGACGGAAACAGGCTGGTAACTAGAATGCCAGGCGAGGATACGTTTTGTGCAGGTGTTGACGGACTACATGAGGTGTACTCAGCTTAAGATGTGTTGTCGCGTTTAAGCCGTTTATCACTATTACTTCTTCATCTATATATAACATGTTAGATTTGCGTTTTTGTTAAAACAAAAGCCTGACGGAGCACTTTGCAAGTTAATTCGACCTACAACTCATTTAACGCCTTGCGTATAATTTTAAAAAGTGATAAGATGTTAAGATAGATACTGTGTTAGCTAAACCTGCCAAAGCCTGAGCTGCTACAAAGCTAGTAGAAGTAATAATCTCTGACTTTGATCATGAGGGCTGTTGAGATATAACACCAACTATATACAATGGGCCTTCCAGCGAAGCTTTCAGAGAACGTCGTATTAAAAAAATATTTATAATCCATTAGAGGTTTATTTTCAGCGGCCTAATTTCCTGGTGTAATTTCCTAGTGTAAAAAATCCGCAGAATCCTATTTTGGAGACAGGACGGATGGTTTCTCGAGATCTCGAAGACATTTGTACCGAGTTTCGAGGTGCTCACTACTCAACAGTGTCAATACCTGGATATATGGTATCTAATTCAGCTCCGGATTCTGCATCTGTAAAAAACTAGAAGCTATAACCATCCCGCTCTAATCAGTTATCCCAAGGACCCAGAGCCCTGCTTTAATAAGGGAGTGAAAGTTCTAGGGCATAGATGAGATGCCCTCAAAAACCCAAAAGGTTGGAGAATAGCGAGAAAAGAAAACCAATGCAAATATGCCATGGGTAACTCAGTCGACAGAGTGAGTCGGCTGTAGGTGTTAGTACGCGGAAGGCTGCGTCTTGCAATTTTATGGAAAGGAAGGCACTCACTTTGTATCAAGAAATTTTATAGTCTATAGGAGTTTGCGCATCAAAAATGTTTTTAGTGATTCTAGTAATTCTTCGTGATACCCTAAATACCGTGGAGCTTTGGCAGTGCCGCTTACGATTTAGGCGGCGATCAAACAACCTTGAAGCCGGCCCAGTCCAGGAACACCCGCTGTTAGAAGCAACAACACCAGAACTAGGGACTGGATAGCTGGTACCAGTGCCATATACTACTCCGTATTATCGAGTCTCAACTACGTAGTATATATCTGGCCCTTTAAGACTTGGCTCTGCTTTGTTGCTGGCTTCTGGTCTCTGGCTACCACCTGCAGCATTACATCAGTTGTAGAACCCACACACCAACGCACCTCACGGAGGGTTTCGTACCTGTACATGGTGGAGCGCTTCGACTACCAACTGGACCAGTGACCGATGTGGGTTGCCTGCTGCCATGATCTGAGCTTGTGACAAGACGCATCTCTCACTTGCTCATCACAACCTACTGGAGACTCGGAGAGGAGACGCTCAGCCCAGTCCAGCCCAGCCACTGCCAACCTCTCCATTATTATCGCAGGTTCGCCCAATACCAAGCGTAGGCCGTCATCTCGCCCAGTCCAGAAATACTGCACTGCACCATTGCTCACTTGGTACAGTACCACCTGTCTCAGCCTCCCAGCCTTATGCCACTGTAGCTTACGTCTTACTCTCGCAGTCAATCCGGTCTCTGTGATCACATCTCTACGTAGATCCTCCATCGACATCAATCTGACCCCGCAATCGTCACCCAAGATCCGAGCTTCGATAGCGATAACAATCGCTTCCCGCTGTGACACTCCCCCACCAAGTCCACCTCACAGAAGCCATGTCGCGGCGCGGAGATGCGGTTTACGAGGAGCACGATTATTATTCACGGCAAGGCCCGCTCCCCGTCCGAACCAGAGAACGCGAAAGGGAGTACGAGGAGACCGATGTCTATTCCAGGCGGGATGAACGAGACAGCCGACCAGCCTTTCTGCGAGATGACTTCGGCAGACAAGAGCCAGGACAGCTGGTCATAAGGGAACACGATACAGAGAGCTATACTACGAGTCGGCCTCTTGAGCGAAGACCGCGATCGCCATCTCCAGTTCGAGTCCGCGAGCGAGAGAGGATCTTCCACAGATCTCCAAGTCCGCCGGACAGGCTGCGAGCTCGGGTGACTGAAACAAGAGAGAGGGTGAGAGAACGCTCTCCATCGCCAGTGCGAGTTCAAGAGAGATTCGTCGAGAGAGTACGGCAACGCTCTCCATCGCCGCCACCGGACAGGTTGCGCGCACGAGTGACGGAGACTCGAGAGCGGGTGAGAGAACGCTCTCCATCGCCAGTGCGAATTCGGGAGAGATTCATAGAGAGAGAAAGGCAGCGCACTCCTTCGCCCCCACGACTCGACACCTCGGTTCGCATCCGCAATATCGATATCGAACAGCGTGAGAGTAGACGGCCTTCCCCTTCCCCTTCTCCATCCCCCTCACCCCCCAGATCTATTCGTGCACCCCCCATCCACCAGGAAATCATCACTCACCATAGGCACATCGACCATGGTATGTCCAAAGTTCACCTCGCTCTTTTAAGTAACGTAACTGCTGACATTTGACAAGGCTTCGAACGGGTGCGTGTTCCATCTCCGCCCCCACCACCTCGCCGTAGCAAAGAAACCCGAGAAACAGATATCGACATTCATACCTCCCGTGACAACACCGAAATCGACATTACTCGGAGCAAGTCTCGATCTAGAACACCACAGCCAGCCTCAAGGCCGCGACGGAACGATTTCTTCGATGACAGTGACATCTACGATCAAGAGCGAGACAAACTGCGAGTTCGTGATACAAGAGTAGACATCGATAGACGACGCAGCGTAAGTGCTCGACCAGACACTAGGGACCGGGACATGGTCAAGGTTGATATCCGAGAGGACTTCGGACACCATCATCATGACCACCTCCATGATGACGATGACGAGGCTGAGTACTATCAGCGAAAGGTAGCGGAACGAGCATTCATCGGAGAAGCATACAATGGGGCCACGAAGGACTGGGCGATTGTGGACGTCCCGCCTGGAACAGAACGAGTCCGTATGGATGGTGTAGGTGGAGCAAGCCAGGACATTACATGGCAACGATATAATGGCGTTCGTCGGAGCAAGTTCATCCCTGAGCGCGAACGAGACCGGGTCGAAATACGGGAGCGCGAGGAACCCCGACGAGAGAAAATTGATGTACGCGAGGAAACCAACCGAGAGACCAGCAACCTCGAGATAGAGATTTCCACCTCCAACAACCGTCGCCACGATCATGGCCCTGTTTACGAACGAGAACGAGAATACGAGAGGATCGAAGAGACCAGCGATCGACGGGTCGGCATGCCTCGCCCTCCCCCCAAGAACCGCACCGGAGATCTCTGGACAGAGATCACCAAAGATCTCGTCGTACGAGAAGCCATCGAACAAATGGGATATGACTTCGAGGAGACGGAATACTTCTACTACATCATCCAATACCTGCGCTATGTATACCGCCCCACTTCCCCCTTGACCCCACAACATATAACTAACACACCACACAGGAGGACGTCCTAGAACTCGTTAAGATCTCGGAGCACATCCGACGGGAACGACAACACCGGATCCGCGAAATCGAGCGGGAGCGCGAGCGCTTCGAAAAGCGAGCGCGTGAAAGGGTAGAGTGGGAGCGCGCTGAGCGGAGGAGAGAACGTGATCGCCGCGATGGCAGCGAGACCGTCTTCGACGATGAACGTATCATCGAGCGCGAGATCATCTATGATTCCGGTGGTCGGAGACTACCTCCGAGAAGTCATCGTGGGGGTTGGTAAGAAATTGGACGGGGAGTGGCAATCTGTGACGAGCAAACTTGACGAGATGAGATCAGATGAGATGAGAAACGAACGTAACGGCTGTGAAATGATTGCATACCTAGGTATATAGCGCCTTTAGCCTCCTGGACTTTTTTATATATCTCGTTTCATACTACTATACTACCTTTCCATAAGGTACATACATCTGATTTCCTCCCGTGCATCTGTTTTACCCCGCATAAAACCAACTAGTTCTTTATCATAATACACTCCACGCTACGTACGCCACCTAATATTTCTTTACATCGTATCATCCATCCATCCATCCATCCCTCTCTTATCATGACCTCTCATTTTTCAGCACATACAAGCGCGCCCACCTACGTCCTCCCTATAGCCAGCCCGAGGAAATTCAAATAATACCTCAATTTATAAACCCCGTAGAGTTTTATTATATTTACGGTCCTCACCCTTCCTAGACAACATTTTGAAGGACTTGAAGAAAAAAAAACATCAAAATGAATTATAAGTGAGACTGAAATGAAAATTTAAAATAGAACATGAAAATGAAAAACGAGAGATCTTGCAGTGAGATGCATAATAAACCAACCCTTCAGCTCCCCCTACTCCCCTTTGAACTTCTCCCGGATATCCAGCTCATCTCACCAGCATCTCTCAAACCCATTCCTTCAAACCCATATCCCTCAATCCTATTCTCTCAAGCCCATCTATTTAAAGTAATACACACACACCAAACCCATTTAACGAATTGTATTAACATGTATTTTATTTTATTGACTGCCAGTATCGACTTTAAGCCCCCGTCTCTCTACTTTAAACACTCGAACGTTTAACCTATTTAATACCAAGGCCTAATACAATGCATGCCTTTCCTGTTGTCTAAGCATCCTCATGTTTCGTCAGGTTTAATAACCGCTAACACACATATGATGCCTAGCAATACCTCTTGCAGTAATGCATATCCCCATCTTTATGATTAACTCCTGTATCATATCTTAAAACCACCCATCCATCAAACGCCAATGCAACCTCATTTTTCACCAGTCTGGGCGTTAAAGAAAAACTCCACTATCCCCGCTCCCTCCCGTGATCCTCTTCCTCCGGCTGCTAAGAAAAAGCTCCACCATCCTCTTACTACCCATAACCTGCGCAGCCCTTTCACTCTGTTCACCGACATCAGGTCCCATCAACCCAGCCCCATCCGTCCCATAAATATCATCAGTTCCTCCGGTCAAGGTCATATTCGACTTCCCGTTCTCTCGACTCGTAGAACGGGCTGGAGTTCGCGATCTCGTAGAAAGGGAACTAAACTGTTTCTCGACTGCTGAGTTGAGGCTTTCGCCAAGGCTGGGTACGGGTGGGAAACGTCGACTATAATTCTTCAACACGTTTACTGGCGTCTCGAAGCTTCTTACGCTTCGAAGGGTACCTCTCGGACCATGCCTGTTGTGAAGGGAACGCGTTCCATCCATACTTGAGATACTGCTTGTTGGGTTGTAACCATTGGCAGAGCGGCAAGGGGTTTTTGATTTAGGGGACCGAAGAGGAGAGCGAATAGGAATTGGAGGTGGAGGTGGTGGCGGGACGGGAATTGGGGTAGAGGATATGCTGCCGCTCGTTGGCTCTGCATTTTCGACAAGTGAGACCTGAGACCTGTTCTTCAATATAGGTCTCGGGAAGGAAAGATTTGAGATGTTAGGGTTCTGGTGAGAAATAACTCCTAAAGGCTGCTCCACAACTATGGCCTGCTGCACAACGATCCGGTCGTCTGCTCCGTCTGTCTGGGCGCTTTCAAGGGTATGTTTAGTGTGAAGGGACTTGGGCATTGTAGGTAACGCATAATTGACATAAGAGTTGCTCGGTTTATTCTCTTTGGATCTTTCGAGTTTCGCAACCTCCGAGGACATCCACCTCTTCCACTCGTGGGAGCCTGCTGATACGGTGACGTGATTGCCATAGCTATTTGGCATCGATGGACGGTAGGTAGCTCTATCTATAATAACAACATCTCCGGTACTCATGTTATGCGGTAGCGGATCTGGAGTATGCTGTTCGTCCACGAGTAACGATATATTGCTATTGGCAGGGCCTAGCGTTTGTCCCCCTGTAGTTCGTGAATATAAACTCGCGCTATAAGCGCAAGGTGAGTTCTCATTGTCGATATTCTCAGCCTCGTCTGTAATCTGTTCCGGCTCTTGAAAAAGGCTATTTCCACCCGGAGAATAGCCCGGAGCACCGCCATAAACCGCTGCAGGATTGTGTTCACTTTCAGCCATTGCCCTTCGAAACGGACTTGTATTCCTCGAAATTGTGACTTGTGATCCGCCAAAGAACGCTGATCTTGATTCTCGACGAAGCCTACGCTCCTGGATAACTGGCTCATTCCGCAGCGCAATTTCTTGGGGGGTGTGGACTGAACCCCCAGGGATGGCGTAGCACGAGGGCTTAGTGTTGGATTGTCGAGAAATAATTAATGTAGAGGTATTAGATGAACTCTGTCCTCGATGTTGCGCATCTGGAGCAAAGCCCTGGGCGAAAACATCATCATCATTTCTCACGTGTGCCCCATGAGCAAGATCAGATGTTCTCCATTGGTGTGGTCGCGCCCCCGTGTACCCAGGCACAGCTCCTGTCTGGGCAGCGGGAATCGAACTGGGGTGTGGCCACTGATGACCGCGCCTGATTGACCCTTCAACGTTGGTGGTATGGCTGGTAGTGCCTTCTTCTTGTACCTGTCTGATCGTGGTTCCTGTCTGATTACCACGGCCACTGTCGACAGAGCTGCTAGGACCCTGGACGTTTCTTGGGGTAGAGATATTTTCCAGACTGCCCCTGCAGGACTCCGGAAGGATTTGATTTGGACTGTTTTCATCCAACCGTTTCATCAGAGCCGAATAGACTCTGGCGCTATTAACAAGCCTTAGAACCGGAGGTGGTGCGTCCCTAGAGCTTCTCCCTGTGTGCCGGGTCATGGGATTGACTGAAATTTGATTCGTGGAAGGGAGGCGTTTGAAGTTGGACGAGGGAATATGCGTCCCATGTTCTCTGATTATGGAAAGGCGCTGCTGCTCTTTCGCAGAAAGTATCCGCGCGCCCTGACTTGTAATGGTATTGGCGGCTGTGCTGGTCCAGCTGGTAACACGGGAAGCATCGCCGCTATGCTCTGACCTAAGGCTCCTAGCACTTCGACCACTTCTGAGGCTGCTGGGGCGTGATCTGAGGTTCTCACTCGAAGTAGGACCACGCAACGACGTCCGAGAAGCCGCACGCGAGCGCTGAGCATCGTCTGGATATGGGATATCAGAGTAGGCCCCTTGAACTGAATTTGGACCGGGAAAATAATCTTGAACGTGTGTGTCGCGTGCGTCAACTTGCTGGTTAGGAACAGTCACCGGCTTGTCCTTGGAAAACCCAAAAACCCGCTTGATTTTGCTTCTGATGCTTTTCGAAGCCTGCCGAGCTTTATCTCTTAAACTTGGTTCCTTCGAAGTCACTTGTTGATTGGCCGACGCAACGGGCAAAGCACTGCTATTCATGCTGCTGCTTCGAAGAGACTTCCGAAATGGCTTCTCTTGTCTCTGGGCCCTAGATCTGAACAGAAAAGATGGTTGTTCTCGAAGGCGCTCTTGGGTTGCTTCCTGGAAGAACCTGTCGCGTGCCATTTGAACCGCCTCGTCGTTTGATTGCCGCAGAGTACTTGTCCTCCCGCCCCTGAGGAAGCTCATGGATTTTGGGGCACGTAACGGGGCCTGGTATTGTTGACTCTGAGGTGTCCGAGAGCCAGAGAGGCTGCTTCGACGTCGGTTATATGCGGATGAGTACCCGTTGGGACTTCCAGTCGAATAGAAAATGCTAGGAGGCTTGAATAAACCGAAGGTCGATTTGGACTTGCGGATACGACGGTATGATGATGGAGTCGATGGGATTTCATCCTCGTGCCTGTAGTATTCGTCATATGCTGAGAGGGTTGTAACGAAGCTCCCTGTGTTCGCTTTCCCGATTGAAGATGAACGATCTGGTGGGCGATATGCCCCTGGGACAGAAGCGTCGGTGGTGATGGCGACTGGCCTTAAAGCAGATGAACTAGCTTTTGACTGTAGTGAACTCGACGTTCTTCTCGTGACAGACCGCTTTCTTGGTACGGCATTTGGACCAGCAAAGCGAACACTAGTTTGGCGGTGAAGAGTAGGTTCGCCCTTGTTCGAACAAGTAGTTGTTGACTGAGAAAACGAAGTCTGCTCAGATTGACTCGACGTGTTTTGCCTCGATCTCGGGTTACCGTGGCTGTAGCCCATATCAGCACTGCTTCTCTCCTGTGCTCGTGCAAAAGCTAACGTTGCTGCTGCGTATGCATGGCGGCGAGCCATGTCTGGGTCCATGGTGTCAGACTTGCTTTGAATTGATGCTGTTGACTTGCTCCGACTGAGCCGTTTAGACCTCTTGCGTCGAAGCATCTTGGTGATGGGTGCTCAGAAAAGAGTAACTGAGATGAGTCTGATGGAATGCAATAATAGCTTCTGGTGATGCTCCGCTTGACGTAAATATTAACCAAAAAGTTGAGCATGGAGTTGTAGAATGTTGTCGTGAGATATCTCGCCATAAAGCCCTAGCTATAGCAGACATGCTGAATGGAAGGTGCAAACCTTTGTAGAGGGGGAGGAATATGAAAGCTGGAGAAGGAACTATCTAGCATGGAGTTGTGGGCACCTTCCCGTTAACCCATCAAGCACTTGCAAGGAATGCATAGATATGTCCGAAGAACGAAGGCGATTATACTGTCACCCATGAGAGTCACTGTAAAATAATGGTTGCTACAAATTCCGAGTATTTGTTCTATTGTATGTTCTAAGAACATGAACCAAGGAGAGTTGTGACGCAAGGAAACCTGTAATTCAAATAAAATGCATACAGTAGGAAACCGAACCACCACCATCCAGCTCCAAATCCGTGACAATGCCCAAACTGTAAAACAAAAGCACAAGGGAAGTCAGGCCCCTAAAATGCATCATTCAATGCTGATAGATCTTAACATATCATGTCATGCTATTCACATGTCAAGTTCCTCAAAGAACTCCTCGAGTTCCTCATCCACGAACTGCTTGATCTTCTTGGAGAGCTTCTCGGCGTGGGATGCCACAGACTCGGCGCCCTTGACGACCTCTCCTGACAACATGTTGAAGTCCTTCTCGATAGCCTCCTCCATAAGCTCGATGGTGGTTGGCAGCTTCGCGGCAGGCGTCTTGACATTCTTTACCGCGTATCCGCCGGCCTTGATGATGGAGCTGTAGTTGGAAGATCCACCGCCGTTCCACGCCAAGATGTTCTTGGTGTCGGAAGGAACATCAGACAAGGCACCCTCGGTGGCAATGCTGATGAGGTTATCCTTGAGCTTCTTGGGGGTGATATCCGCAACGGCGTAGGCAGAATCAGAAGCGGGCTGGAGAGACAGGTAGTAGGCCAAAAGACCAGCAATATGGGGCGAGGCCATCGAGGTACCGGAGATGGTATTGATGGCAGTGTTGCTGCCAATCCAGGTGGATTGGATGTTCAAGCCAGGGGCGAAGATGTCATTACATGGGCCGAAGTTGGAGAAGTATGCGCGGGAGTCATCAAGAGCCGAGGCACCGACGGTGATGGCATTCTCAGCAGCGGCTGGGGAGTAGCTGCAGGAGTCGGCATTGTCATTTCCGGCGGCCACGGCGAAATGGACACCAGCGGCGACAGCGCCGTTGACAGCACGATCAAGAGCTGGGGACTTGCCTCCACCAAGACTCATGTTGGCAGCGGATCCCTTGAAGCCCTTCTTTCCCTTCTTGACCTTCGCGGTGTGAGCGTTGGCTGCCCACTCGACACCCTTCACGACGTCGGCCATGGTTCCTGAACCGTTGGACTTGAGAACCTTAACGGCGTAGATGTTGGCCTTCTTGGCAACACCATACTTCTTGCCACCGACGGTACCAGAGCAGTGAGTGCCGTGGCCGTTTCCATCCTCATCGGGATCATTGAGAGGGATAGTCTTTCCCCAGTGTGCTCGGCCTTCGAAGTCAACGTGGTTAACGTTGGTTCCGGTGTCGATCACGTAGACATCGACGCCCTCGCCTGCGTCAGCGGCGTAGAGGTACTTGTTGAAGGTGCTGAAGCCAAGGCTATCTCTGTGGGAGATACGAGCAAGACCCCATGGGGCGTTCTTCTCGAGCTTCCCCGAGTCATCAGATTCATCACCTAAGGCGTGGACGACCGAGTCTCTCTCGATGTAGTCGACCTGAGAAGGGAAGTTAGCATTTTGGTGTCTAGTGTAGTGGCGAATATAGATAAGGGAAAGCTGGGCATGGATTGGGAACAACTCTGGAGATGACTCAGAGCCGAATGGTGGCCCATCACCCTCTCACCGTGGGCATTTCATAGATGATGGCGGCAGATGACGGGCAAGGCATGATTTGGGGACAGTGTACTTACATCAGGATGCCTTCGCACCTTCTCGATGACCTCGTCATCGAAATGGCCGGAGTAGCCCAAGAAGCCGCCGGCGATGTTGTATGTGTGTTTCAGGCCAGCGAAGATGTCCGTGGCGGTGGTGGACTCCGACCGCTTTCTCAGCTCGGTGCGGACATTCTCATTGGTGAGATGGGCGTCTTGCACCCAGGTCTGGTGGTGGGAAGCGGAGGCTGCGTCGACGTGCTTCTTGAAGACGACGATGTAGGAATCCGGGACGGCCTCGGCATTGGACGAGGAGAGCAGCGGAGCCGCGCCATCATGGATGGTGTCTGTGTTGAAGGTTGGGGCCGTTGAAGCCAGCAGCGGCAATAGCGACAAGGCGATGAGCCCACGCATGATGAAGGAAGGGTTGGGGGGGGGGGAGAGCTGGGAGCTGGAGTTGGAGCTGGTGGTTGTTGGTCTACCTGCGACGCCTTGGGGGATAAACAAATGAAGGGCGGAGTAGCTTGTGAGTTGTCGATATGGATGCTGAAGATGGAGATGAAGAAACGGATGAAGGGGAAGACGAAGACAGTTTGCGGTGCTGTCTCCGGAGGGGATGTAGGTGATTGTTGTTGCTGTTGTGATGATGATGATGATGATGATAGGGAAGAGGAGCAGGAGGAGAGGATGATGAGGATGAGGAGGAGGAGGAGGAGGTAGGTTGAGGATGGCGGGCGATGGGGCAACGGGGCAGCAGGGCCACAGGGTAGTTAAGGGCGAGCTTGGGCCAGTGACAGTCATCGATTGGGGGGGCGGAACGGGGGGCGGAGCTGTCGGTGGGTTCGTGAGCCACCGCCTGCCTCCCGGATTGGACTGGAATGGGTTGGGTTGGACTGGACTGGACTGCGCTGCTTATCAGATTGGGGGATTGATCATGCGGATGCGGACGGCCCTCGGCGCATGTCTATTACTTACTACTGATAGCTAAGGGAGACTACTGTAGGTAGACTGGACTAAGGCGGCACCTTAGATAACAGCTATCGGAGGGGATTGATACTGTACTGGGCATGTAGCTGCTTTGTTATTATGGGAGTTACAGTACGTACAGAGTACAGAGCACTTGCCTGTGTCTCACGCAGAATGGCACCGCGCAGGCTCTAGGTACGAGTACACCACACTGCGTACGACGTAAGCCCTCGCACAGGTACGAAAGTCAGTGCTACAAGGTACCAACCAGGCACCGTTCAGGCGTGCGCGTGAGCGTGACTGACCGTGGCGATGGCGTCGTCGGGTCGACTACGGCGAACGACGTCCTATGTACGTACCACTGTACGATCTACATCCCGGTTGCGGAGTTGTTGTAGGCGGCTGAGTGTAGTGTAGTTCGCTGTAGTTCGCTGTCTGTCATAGTGTACGGTAGACGGTGTAGTTTAGTTGTACATTTACTACAGTACTTTATGGGTATCTGCGGAGTCGGAGATATGGAGATAAGCACTGCGACCGGCGTCCTGTACTGCCCTCCGTACAGAGTACTCTCTGTACAGCACAGGTGTACTGTACATCGCAGACCGCCTATGTACATACACTTCCAACGCATACGCATACGCATACGTCGAGGCCTAGAACCTAGAACCTAGAACCACTACAGCTAACAATAAAGAACAGTCCTCGAGCACGGAGTAGCTGTAGATACATACTGGCAGCCAGTACCTACTTCATCCCCAGAAGTACAGACAGAGTAGGCACATGGTCAGGCGGTCACCCGGCTGGCTAAACCAAGAATCAAGGAAGGGCCTGGCTGCTTAGTAATATCCCCCTCACGTGAAACATTTCCCCCTTCGGCTGAAACCTGCCGCTGAGTCGCTGAATCACCGAATGCAGCCTTGAACCTGGAGCTGGAGCTGGAGCTGGGCCTGGAGCTCCAGCTGGAACCTGGGTGCTCTGACAAGGCCGCGGGTCTCTTCGACAGAGCACTCATGTGCACCTCGTCTCTTGACTCTTCACTCTTGATCGGGTGCAGCATGTGTACTCCATACGAGTAGCACTGTAGTATCGGGGTATGCACCGAGGTAGATAGCAGTCCTTTTGAAGAGATACCAACATGCCTACGGAGTCCGTATCTACAGTACAGTAGTATCTATCTACTATCGAGATAGAGCTCAGCCTCTGCTGCCTCGCCCGCTTACGAAAGTCCGGAGTCCACCAGAAACACAGCCCTGCAGCTGGAAACCTCGCAAGGCCACCACCCAAACTGACCCAACTGACGCCAACAACTAAATCACTCCCGAAGCACCGTGTTGACACTTCACCAACAGCTCCAATATACCCCGTTCGTGTAATCCTATTCCATCATTTTATACCCCAAGACGCAGGGAACCCTACTATCGCCCTTCCCTTCCCCGTCGTTTCCGAGAGCTCTCCGTCTCGCCTCTCCCCCGCTGGATGTGAATCCACTCTATAAACCTCTGTCCGGCTTCCTGCACTGCACCCTGCGCCGGCACAGCTACGTCAATGCTACTCATGAGGGCCGATACGAGCACTTAGAAGTCATCTGGGAGTTCGGGCTGGAGGGGTTTGAAATAAAAACAGAAGCATGTCGACTCGAGCGCGGCGCCATCGCTCATCAACAGTTGCATCATCCCCACCAGAGACCACCAAGGCGACCGCAGAGCTCCAACTCCTCCTCGACGACCTCTCCAACACCCTTTGCATATCCCAAGAACCTCCAGCCGGTGCATACCCGGACCTACCCGTGCTGATCGACCAAGTCCAGTCCATCCGCCAGTACCTGATTGCCTCCGCGGCGCCTTCGCGAGCCAACGATGACTTTCGACGTCTCAACGGGTTCCAGGTCCTCCTGGATACCCTCCGTGCTTTCTCCGGCTTCTACCACCCAACGAATCGAGAATTGAAAGAGAAGGCTCAACTATTTGATCTCTTAGGGGCTATTCTTGGGGTTCTGGCGCAGACATTTCGGGAGCACTATGGGAATCGGAGGTATTTCCAACGAAGGGTCGAGGGCGGTGGCTGGGCCGCCTTGGAGCAGACCATAGCCAGTATTGGCATTGGCGGCAGCGAATCCGATATTTGGGCCGAGGGTCAGCTCTTTGGCCGGCTGCTCGCATTTGCCCTGGATGACAAACGGTTCGAGATCCTCTGCCAGAGCGCCGCCGAACTACACACCTCTGCGAAACAGCCTGGTAGCCCCATAAGAAATAAGGGTGCCGATTATTTTGGCCGGAGCGCCGAACAAATAAAAGGAACCTCGTCATCCGGCTGTGAGGCGAAGGATGAGGCCGCTCTAGCCTTGCTGGCTTCCAATCTCCAAGGAATTGTGCAAGAAAGGGCCTTGCTTTATAATGCAGACGTGGTGCCGATCATCATAGATTTTTGGAAGACCATCCCTCGAGTGCCCGGAACATCTGTGAATCCGGCTGCTCTGGTTGTCATTCTGTCCTTGACTAGGATTGCCTCCGTGTCCAGCCACAACCTGTTGGCCCTGCATAGCACGGGAATCGTTTCAACGCTCCTCCCACTGGCGTTCGATTCCGATTCACCTCTTGCGGCTCCCGAGAGACGCTCTGTAGAGCGTCTTTGCAGCTCGCTCATGTCCCTCGGGGTTAGCACTTTAAGCGATGCCCAATATCTGGTTGGTAGCAAATCATCCACGGCGGCAGATTTTCTTCTGCAGTCTTTAAAGGAGTCCCATAAACCTGCGTATCTCCAGTTTGATCTCTCTTTAAATGGCTATGCATCCGTAGAGCTCCCGACCCTGGGCCGGTCATTTCCTCCATCCAATGCCGCCGGGTATACATTCGCGGCGTGGATCCACGTAGATCATTTTGATCCGAATTCTCATACAACGGTCTTTGGAGCGTTTGATTCAACACAAACCTGCTTTGTTCTTGCGTACCTCGAAAAAGATACCCACAACTTTATCCTACAGACATCTGTTACATCGTCTAGGCCAAGTGTGAGATTCAAATCTACTACTTTCGTTGAGCAACGGTGGTACCATATTGCAATTGTTCATCGACGACCGAAAACTATGACTTCAAGCAAGGCAGCTCTGTATGTTGATGGAGAGTTCGTCGAGCAGGTCAAGTGCCAATACCCTGCACAACCCCCTCCCTCCAGCACTAGCAATGATACTTTTGCCTCCTTCACCACCGCCGCTGCGAAGACCAACCCTGTCCAGGCATTTATTGGTACCCCGCAAGACCTATCAACCCGCCTAGGACCAGGTGTTGTGTTCTCCCGCTGGTCATTAGCATCGGCACATCTTTTTGAAGATGTGCTTAGCGATGACCTCGTTGCGGTTTACTTTCGGCTTGGGCCACGATATAATGGTAATTTCCAAGACTGTCTCGGTTCGTTCCAAACTTATGAGGCTTCTGCTGCACTGGGCATGCGCAATGAGCTCATGCACCCAGGAAAGGATGAGAAATCGGATATTATTAGTGCCATCCGTGAGAAGGCCAGCAATCTGGTCCCAGAAAGTCGCATCTTGCTCAGTATCCTTCCTTCAGCTGTTCTTGTGGATGGGACCCATCATCCCTTACATGAATCGCAATTACTTCGTGGCTTGAATCGAACAGCGTCCAACAACCTGTTCCAGCTGACGCATAACACTGGCACTTCTTTGGCTATCAACGCCGCTGTTCCCTCCATCAATGAAGCCTTAGTCCGGTCTCAAGGGGCCGCGGTGCTGACTGGTGACCCGGTTATTGTTGTTCCCCAATCGCTGGACCATACCCTATGGCGCCTCGGGGGTTTAGCTGGTATTGCCTTGAAACTAGTCGAGGACGCCACTACCAAAGAAGGTATTGTACGAGCTGTTGATATCTTGTTCGAGAGCATCAAAGGCAGCTGGCGGAACAGCGAAGCCATGGAGCGCGAAAATGGATACGCTATTCTTGGCGCTTTGCTCCGCGGTAAACTGGGCGCTGGGACGGTTATCTCATCAAGAGGAGGCCGTATAGATCCCTCCCCTATGACCACCGATGATCGAGAGCAGCTCGGATTTCAGCTACTCAGTCTGGTGCTGGATTTCGTTGGCTATAATCACGAGAAACCCGAGGAGTCGTTCATTATTAACCCCTTGGCATATCGCATTCTGCTTGTTGATTTTGACATGTGGAGGAAGACTGCTCCAATTACGCAAAAACTGTACTATAAACAGTTCATCACGTTTGGCGTGAACAGTAAATTCCACCAATTCAACTCTCGGAGGCTTTTTCGAATGCGTAAGTTTTCGAACACCATAGGCTGTAGGGGAGACCGCTGACAAAACTAGGCGTTGTCAAACGATTCCTCGATGCTCTCAAAGCGGAAACCTTTCCTCGTGATGTTTTCCCTTCCTTCATAGAAGCGTTTAAAAGCCTAGTAAAATGCAATATGACCGCTGAAGTGTTCCGGTCGCTTGCTCTATTCATCACTTACGCGTATCACCAACCCGCAAGCTCCGCATCGAGGACACCGAAATCCCAGTATGGTACCTTACCAGCTCGATCTGGCTCGATGATGAATGATGCTAAACGGCCCACCATCAGTGTCTTATTCGATGGGAAGGATGTGGTCTCTGCTTATATGACTAAACGAGAAGTCGGAAGTAGAGTGCTTGAAATGTATGCAGATCTTCTGTGTGAAAAGGGTAGCACCGCCAATATCAAGAAGTTTGCTAGGACTGTGACGAATAAGGTATATTTGACCTCATATCCTATAATGACATATTTTCTAACATCAACAGTGGCTGCTCCACCTCTTAACAGAGGATGATCCCGAAGTCGTAGTCCTCGGAACGAAAATCTTAGCCCGGCTCCTCGTAGTCCATGGTTCAGGCTACGTCACGAAATTTGCGACGCAGACGGGGGGGTTTGCTATCATGCGGTATAGATTACGAAGATGGTGGGATATTTCCACGCTATGGCCGATCTGCTTCAGTATCCTGTTGGCTCGAGATGTCGCAGATATCGATTTCGAAAGGCCGTTTGAGTTGTTCAGCCTTCTTGAAACTTTCAGCAACTGCAAGGTCGTGTATCCGGGCGTGCTGCCTGTGATTATGTCTATGCTGCAGCATGGCCTCAATGATGTCCTTCGTCACCAGGATGACCCGGACTCGCCTCTAAAGGACCGGAGCACCCCGCAAAGCCCGACGTCGAGTCTTGGTGTGCCAAATGGTGGTTCCCGTCGTAGGTCCATGTCGTTGACTAAGGAATTGGAATCCCGCCGTAAGACCATCTATATATTGAAATTGTGGAATAATCACTAACCCTTCTCCAGAAACACAACAAACCAGGCAGGTTCGTATTGGCGGACAAGCTACAGTTTTACATACAGTCATCCGCTTTTTCGCAGACCTGCATTCCAAGTCGTCGGAATTTCGAGAATTTGCAGTATCTTCCGAATACGTAAGGCTTCTGGTCGCAGTGCTGTTCCCAGTCATCGTCAGCGCCGACGCCGTTAGTCCTGAGACTGAATTGAATTCTCGAGACTCAGCCTTAACATTCGAGGGCGATGATGTTATCATTCGACCTATCTCCCGGGCGACCACCACTCCTACGCCAATTGTCCGAACTTCAACTGTAGAAACAATGCTTCCTCCAAGCCCGACCGCACCAAGAGCAACGCCGCTACGGAGAGGATCTTCGTTCATTCTGCTCACTTCCAGACCATCAGAATTTAGCCCTTCATCTGCGAGACTGAACCTTGTCATGTCGCCGAAGAAAAAACTCACCACTCAGAAAGTTAGTAATGCTCTCGTTGAGGGGTTACTCGAGCTTGTGATCAACGTCTTTATTGATCAGGTTATCGCCCGAAAAGAATTCCCGGGGTTTGGCCTCTTCTTAAAGGTGCCTCCGGGCTTCCAAGAGCACCAAGCCTACTTCGAATCATACTTGCTTCGCAACACCATGTCGCAGCTTGGCAACACGATACAGCTAGATCAAAAGTCTCTATGGGAACCGAGACTGCTCCAAAACATGGCTCGTTTTGCTAGCCACATGGGCGAGGCTATTTTTGAAGGATGGTTCTTGAGCGGTGCGGAGCCTTTACTAGACTTCGCAGGGACGATCCTGGAATATCTCCAGCGTCCTGAAATCTCGAAAATTAAGAGTGTGAGGCTTTGCAGTCAGGCTGTCCTCTCTATCAAGAGCGTCTTCCTGCGAGTTGTGCTTTTAAGGCTCTCGGAGCTGGATAGTGCGCAAGTTTCTGAGATTGAGGTTCTGGAATTCATGGACAAGCTTCTCTATTGGCAGACTGTCATGCTGTCTTCTAATGGCGACGAGGAGCAATACCTTAATCTCATATGTTATCAACTGTATGTCAAGTTGGTTGATTCGCGGGAAAGTGTACGCCTTGCAGCGTCCAACCTTTGGCGTATCATGCTTGTTCAGAAGCCTGAAGAGACTTCGGCGCTGTTTAGGCAATCGATGTCTAATGAGCATAAGCATTTGACGTCCGACTTCAAAAAGCTTACGGAGCTGGACAACGAGACATTTGTGGCGTGGGTCGATGAGCAACGCGCGGAATTAGACGCCCTGTTCTTCGGAGCAATGTCTAAAGCATGGGAAGACTTCGTCAGCACAGAAAACCTACGAACTGAAGAGACAGCTAAGACACGAGTTGCAAAACGGCGAGAGCGGCTGAGACAATGGCATACCGAAGATCTCAATGATGAAAAAAGCCTTTTCCAGCATGATCTTACGACCTCCTCTTGGATGAAGAATATCTACGCGTCAGAACATCTCAAGCATCAACGATCGCAGCAGGATCAGCAGGATAATTTTAGCTTCATAGCGTCTACGTTTGCGAAGATGGATCGGGAGCTTCATAGACCTTGTGCTGTGTTTGATAATGGAAGTGCCACAAAGTGGAAGTTGGATAGGACCGAAGGCCGCAATCGGATGCGTCTTCGTATGTTGCCCGACCGGACGGCGCCCGCGTATGATTATCAGCCGAAGCGAAGGACCACGGATACGGCGAGGAATGGGGCTCTTAAACTAGATACGAAACTTTCTACGCCGACCTTGGCTTTGGTTGGGACGACCCCAGCTTCTGCAGCCCCGCCTGTTGGGTTTGACGGCCAGGAGGATGTGCTGCCTGGTGCTCTCTTGAATGTGCAACAAGATGCAAAGACTGGGCCTGAAGGGACTGTTCTTCCCGAAGAAGATTTCGAGTTCGTTGAAGGGCCACCCAATGAAAATGGAGAAGGTGATGAAGGCTACGAGGATAAAAACCGGAAGGTTATGCGGAGTCTTCAACGAGGCGATCAGGTGCAACAAGTCTTCAATATCTCGCGAATCATAGGGCTCGAGGCTTGTGAAGGGTTATTAATCCTCGGCAAGGATTCACTCTATCTCATCGACAATGTCTTTCAGAGATCGGACGGAGAAATCGTAAATGTCTCTCAAGCTCCCCCAGAAGACAGAGATCCATACCTGCAGATAATTGCTGGTCAGCCTGGTACCAAGGCTGCACCGAAACGGACGAATCAACCGATTAGGGCGGAACAGGAATCTAGGAGTTGGAAATGGAATGATGTGATTAGTATCTCGAAACGCCGATTCCTCTTTCGAGATGTTGCGGTGGAGGTATTCTTCACTGATGGTCGAAGCTATCTTTTAACTGCTATTTCGCCTCCGGTCAGAGATGATCTTTATGCAAAGCTCACATCCAAAGCACCTCATTCTAATGGAAGTTCAAGCCTTCCCAACCCAGAGGATGGATGGCGGCTTGAAGCTTTGAGGGTCTCTGAAGACGGCCCTGCGTCCCTTGGGTCGAAATTTGGAAGCATATTCAATTCTTCGGCTTGGAATCCCGCGATGAGGCGATGGGCCAAAGGGGAGATTTCGAATTTCCATTATTTGATGCTGGTCAATACTATGGCTGGTCGGACTTTCAATGATCTCACTCAATATCCAGTGTTCCCGTGGGTCCTGGCTGATTATACCAGTGAGGAGTTGGATTTGGATAATCCGGCGTCTTTCAGAGATCTGTCGAAACCGATGGGTGCGCAGCATAATTCTCGATCGGCGGATTTCGTAGAACGGTATAAGACGTTTGCGGATATGGGTGATCAGAACACGCCAGCGTTCCATTATGGTACTCATTACTCGTCAGCTATGATCGTTACCTCATATCTCATCAGGCTGCAGCCATTTGTGAAGTCATTCTTGTTACTCCAAGGAGGTAATTTCGACCATGCAGACCGAATGTTTTATTCGATTCCGAAAGCTTGGCAGTCTGCTTCCAAGGACAATATGACAGATGTCCGGGAATTGATTCCTGAATTCTTCTACTTGCCAGAGTTCCTCACCAATCACAACGACTTTAATTTCGGGCTTAGGCAAAGCGATGGCGGATCCGTGGATACTGTCCAACTCCCGCCATGGGCCAAAGGTGATCCGAAGGTGTTTATTGCTAAGCACAGAGAAGCGCTAGAGAGTCCATATGTCAGCAAACATCTTCATCAATGGATCGATCTCATATTTGGCTGCAAGCAGCGTGGCGAAGCGGCTATTGAAAGTGTCAACGTCTTCCATCACCTTTCTTACCACGGCGCCACGAATCTTGATAATATATCAGATGAGGAGGATAGGAAGCGTACTATCAGCATCATCCACAACTTTGGACAGACGCCTTATCAAGTATACTCCCGACCACATCAAGCTCGCGACGAAATCCGTAACCGTATCAAGAGACTCGATACCTCCGCCGAAGCACTGACTCGACTTCCGTTCCCGCTCCTAGAGAGTAATGAGCGTGTTGCTTCGCTCGTTTACTCATCTAAGCTAGACCGTCTTCTCTGCACTACGACATTCAAGCTGAATCTCCCTCCGCAGTACGATAAAACTCTAGAATGGGGCTTCGCTGACAACAGCATCCGGTTTTATTTTAGCGACAGCAAAAAGCTCGCAGGGCTTTTTGAAAACCTCCATCAAGGCCAGATATCCTGCGTCATATTCGCTTCATTACAGACGCTCATCACGGCCGGTGAGGATTGCGTGCTCTCAGCACATACAATCGTTACATCGCCCTCTAAACCCGTGGAGCTGCAACCTCGATCCTCTCTCTTCGGGCACAAAACCCCCGTTACCACTCTCGCCGTTTCAAGATCCTTCTCTACTCTCTTGTCTGCATCATCCGATGGCGTAGTCCTACTATGGGACCTAAACCGACTAGAATTCGTGCGCAAGTTAGCCCACGGAAGACCAGTAGAATGCGCCCGAATCAACGACGTCTCCGGCGACATTCTCCTCTGCCGCGGCCAAAAAGTCATTCTCTACACACTCAATGGCGAATTCATCCTCGAGCAGAACGTATGCAGTGATCACGAAGACTATATCTCTTCCTGTGCTTGGTACGAAGGCACGGGCAATGAATGGCTGGAAAACACACTGCTCTTCACAGGACACCGTCGAGGTGTTGTGAATGTGTGGAAGAAAGTCGTTGGGAGAGGGAAAGCCGCAGGATGGAGCTTGGAGCTCGTTAAGAGATTGGAGCAGGGTGATGACAGGAGGAAGGGCGATAATGTCGTCGGTACTGCTGTGGGCGGCGTGAATAATAGAAGTTTTGGCTCCGATGCCGCTATTACGTGCATTGCGCCGATGGCGCAGGTGCTTTATACGGGGGATGAAGATGGGAGAGTGGTTAGTTTTTCTCATTTCTTATCTCTTTAACCCCGTCCCCTATGACTTCCGTATATCCCCACTAAGCTTCCCACGAACTTCACTAACAGGTGTTTTCGTTGCAGTATCAATGGGATCTAGTCCGTAGAGAAAGATAGATTTGGAGGAATTCAGCGCTGAGGGTTCAATAGATGGGGATATATGTAGAAAAATGGGGAAAGACAGAATGAGTATGTATGTGTGGGTGGTAGAATATATATGAATGACTTGATGAAATGATTAAATATGCATGGATATGGGTATGGCGTTCGGGAGGTGATGCTGGCGGTGGTGGTGGATGCTTTAGATAAAGAAGGGTTTATGCAATGATATAGGAAATGGAATGAATGTGCATTTCCTACCTATTGAATAGGGCATTAGATGTTGGGCGAGATTGTGGTAGTCCGTAGGCAGAAGGTGTACTTCGTCTGGTATGACTGACTAAGCGTGTGCAACCTCAAAGTGCTTTCCAAAGTCAGGTTGTAGGTCGGCTGCTGACCTCAGCTAACCAGCCAAGGCACCGGCCAAACCTCGGCTGACCCTAGACTCCCGCAAAGTGCACTTTGATGCGATGTGCAACAAAACCTCGTGACTTAGCTAGTCGACCAGGTGACATCTCCACGTGATGAAAACGACAACTACTAGAAATATAAACCTTGATAACGGGGTAGGCGGTCGAGAATGTCGACTCACTGGGGCAATTTGGTGTTGTGTTTTTAATAATAGTTTATACTAAGGCTTTATTTGCGTTAAGGTTTCTTCAAGTACGTTGGTTAGAGACTGGTAATAAGATACTGGTAAGGTGGTTTTGCGCCGAAGGGAATAGTAGAACTTGCACCTGCGGAAAATAGTTTCACGGTCGTGGCTTAAGGATCATCAGCTTCGGAAGAGATGAGAGCTTAATAGCAGATTAGATGGAACTTCTATATGTTATAAAAATATGAGACATCATCGTTACACCATAAAACCCCCGCGCCGGCAAAAGATCTAAGCATTCTCCGTCTTAACCCCTTCTACATCACTGCTGCTCGGACTCCTCGTCTCCTGTTTCTTGGCTTTCTTCTTACTGCCCAATCCACCTAGCCCCTCCATGGCCTCCTTAAATGTGTAGGCGGGGTTAAACGCGTTCAACGCCAGACAAGCAACAATGACCATAACGCCCTCAAATCCGACGAACAACCACTGCTGCTTGATCAAGTGGCCCGTCCAACCTTCCGCCAGTTCAGCAACACGGTACACGCTTCTCCAGAAGATGCAAATGGTGGCGAGCGTCAACGCGGCGAGGAAACCTTTGAATTTGAGGGACCTGCGGAGTTCGATGAAGAGCGGGTTCTGGTCGAATGCTTGCTCCCCCATAGACTTGTAGCGCTTCCGCGTGCGGATCGTGAAGTCGATGCAGAAGCCCATGAACGTGAAGAGTGTGGCTACCTGGAAGGCGAGCCCAGCTATCATGATGTTGTTTCCTACGGTGGGATCATGCCCGCTATGAGAGGCGGACGAGGCAATGCCGCCGCCAGCTGCTTGTAGGAGGAGGGAGAGGAGATCGCAGGGGATGAACTATATTGAGAGTTCTAGAGTTAGCATTTTGCGATTTCCATAGGGGCAGAAGTAGTGGGGTAAGGAAATAAATGTAAGCGCACAATCCTGGTATATGATTCTGGAGCGATCCGGGAGTTCTCTGGTCCAAACGCATATACAATTCTCCTTAAACAAAGATATATCCCCCCGGCCATGAACGCAGGCGCAATGGTCAAGCATACAATCTGCATCAAGAAGCCCGTCTCAGCCCACTGGTTCTTCCAACTTGCGATGCGGCCGTAATACCCAAGAACCTCCAATACCGTCCCGCTGATCATAGCGGCGGAGAAAGCGTTGGCTCGACGGGTAAGAGCAAATGTAACGACGAAACCGATGAGAGAGATGGCGAAGAGGGAGATGAATGTCGCATTTGCGGCCAGGTTGACGCGGTAGAAGTAGTAGGAGGTCCAGAGGGGGCAGGTGTCCAATGTACACTCAGCATATTTGTCGCGCAGCGTTCCGCGGCCGACCAGCTGGATGGCCGAGCTCACGAGAGATGCCATGCGGTGCTTCTTGATATGATATAGGATTTGGTGAAGCTTTCGACTTCGAAGGGTATTAAGAGGGCAGGCCGAGGCCTTTATTTGCACAGCCCTTTGGTTTGGCTGAAAGCCTCGAGGATACCACCCACCTCGTTTAGGCAAGTCGGGATAGAAGAATTAAACAAAAAAATAGTGTGAAAGAAAGGCCAGAAATTAAAAGACAAACAGAAGACAAGATATGAGAGGAAGAACAAGAGGAAGGAGGATAAGCGGATAAAAAGAGAGGCGAAGCGAACGGCAATGGGCCTACTAGTAGCTTACGGAGAGTGGGGAGAGTGCGTGTCATAGCGGAATTTATTGACGGGATTTGTTTACAAATTCCATATTCCATACGAAACACTGCAGGGCGTTGGCAGATTTGTTTGCAAATAGCCATGGATAGCGACGTTGGGGGTGCGAACGAACTTGCGGGAAGATTTTGCCCCGAGACTACTGTAGGTAGACTAGATCTCGGAGTGTTTAGAGGTCCGGGCTGAAGACTTCGCGTTCGCTTGCTACCCGAGCTGGATACAACCTTGTACCTCGTGGAACCCCGTCGGATATGTCGGATAGGTCGGATATACGATTTAAGCTTGTTTTCTTTTTCTATAAAGTACAAGTAAGGCGGCGAAGAAGTATTATTGAAGTAATCCTCAATAAGCGCGGCGTAGCTCTATTTTCTTCGTGTCTAGTGCAGTGGTACAGCATATGTACGCCGTCGTTCTCGCCGACGCTGTACTTCGTATGTCTCTTTGGAGCCTCTCCCATATATCTGGCGACTCTTGGCGAACCACTCCGTTGCATTGTGCGAATCGCTCCCTTTATGAGGGATGACCTATTCGATTCCTCCGAAGTAAATCGGCGTTTACGTACTAAGTACTTCGTACACCCATAGGTACCAAGATATTGATTTATACAGCGGCGCAGTAGCCTCGTATGTCGAGGACTCGCATTCTCATTTTCCCATTTGCTCGGCGGCGGTGCGGTCCGTGTTCCACTACATCCCGCCGGCGTAGGAACTTGGAAGCTTAAACTCTGGTTTGGGTTTGTCTTTTAAACCTAAATATTATATAGTCTCCTTGCTTGGTTAGTTGCATGTATGTCTACCGGGTATACCCCGTAAGCTAGAGCCTCATCCCTCGTTCAAAACCGCTTACTAGATTAGGAATCTATCAAAAATAGCTCTCCGTTGACTCCAGTTAGATATTAGAATTATCAGCCACCATGCATATTTTCAAAGACGACAAGCTAAAGCTTCGGGCAACACCAAATACAAAGCCACATGAATAGCTAGGGCAGACACATATCGATGTTGTTTACGTCTTCCCTTGCCTGGTTCCTCATAGTGGGGGAAGCACTAAACTACCTCACGGCTAGCAGAGCTTTTGTGATGTCTCCAGAAGTGAAAAGGGCCGAATGCCCGTTCTTGTGGCACTTGGTTAAAATCGTTGAAGCTAGCAGAGCCAACAACTGCCCAACCTCATTTGGAAACAATATCAAATCCCACCCGACAACATATGTATCTATTTCTAGCATCATTTTAACACCGATTAAAATTAGACGGGCCAGACGAGCCGAAGAACCATTCGTCGAGTACATTAAACAAGGGTTAGGGGGCAGCTTTAGCATAGTTTAGTCGACTGTGATATTGATAACTACTTAGGTAGTGATTGAGCAAAATGGAACGAGGTCTATTCGACAGCACACAGGAACTTTCGCTTGAGTGAATAAAGAGACCCAGATTTCGCTATACACTTTTAATTTTATCATACAAATCCCCTGCCTTAGCCATTCCTTGCTTAAAAAATCACTGTATCTTCTTCCCACTCGTTGTTAGCTTCAATGGCACAGGCTTACTCCACAGCCATAACGCAACAAAAGCCACCCATCCCGTAACAGTAACCCCGATTCCGGTGAGCCAAGGCCAGGCTCCGCTGATGGCCCAACTCCTCGGCCACTCGTCGTGGGCGAAATGTCTAACTGTGACGGTGTTCTTCTCTTCAAGGTTGGTAAGGAACGGTCGCTTGTAGTTGATCTTGAAGTTGAATATTCCATGTTGGTCTGGGAGTTTGAAACTTGTGGTGTAGATTGTGGAGTTTGCGGTGGTGGTTGAGGGTGTGAGAGGAAGGCGGTGGAATGGTGAGAGCATGGAGAATTCGAGCTGGACTACATCGTCCGCTGGAGGGGTAAATGGCACCCAATGGTCCCAGGAGTATTCCGAAAGCTCGATTGAGTACGTCTAGAAAATATTTAGTTCCCTATAACAATTGGGTTAGGCGAATACAACTTACCACCTCGTTCTTAACTCGGTAGATCTTCGGGTTGATAATGCTGTCATCGGCCACGCCTTCAATCAAGTGGTGTTCAATGGCTCCAACCTTCAAAACTCCAAGCTCTTTGAATGTCCAGCCGGTCACCTCCTTGACAAACTCTCGATTGGAGGTCTGAACCTTCTTCGCACCGGCAGCAACATCACCCAAACCTGCGCTCCGCTTAACCTTGGCATCAAACCAAGTATTCTCCAACATTTCTGCGGAACCAATAACGGTAAAACGCGCCGAGTTTCTGGCTTGCATCGTCGTGATTAAAGACAATTGCTGGCCGACGGCAAATGGATCCTCAACACCCTCGACGTCCTCCTTCGGGTTGTATGAATACGCAGTTCGAGGAGCTCGGAGGATAGGTGTCAACAGAGGACTGGCATTCCCAAGAGTTTGTCCAACGCCACGGGGGAAGGCAATAACTTCTCCGCCCTTTCCGTCACCCTTAAAGAAGTTCTTGACAGCTGGCCGGATGGAATCTGGTCGTGGGACAAGGACAACATCGTGTGCCTCAGCAGCACTCAACGTATCATAATTGAAGTGATCAACTACTAGCGCTGTACGATCGGTGGGGAGATGGATATCGAGCTCGAGGAGTAGAGATACGACGGTGGTTGGTGTTGGATTTGAGGCGGAGAGCGTCAAGAGGATGTTCCCACCCGCATTGACAAAGTCAAGAAGAAGCTTCGGTGTAAATTGGGGCCCAAGACCTAAGAAGAATGGTCAGTTATAAACCCTACGTCTGGAAAGCTTTGAACTATGCATACCTTTCGATTTCGAAGGTAGAAGGAGTAGGTGGTCATAAGCTCTCTCGCCCAATTCGAACAGCGCGACTTTCTCGTTCTTTGGCGAATCGATTGTGATTTTGAAGCCTCTAGCTATAACACCATGAATTCAGTATCGCTATCCCAAAAGAAAATGGGGGATTGGACTAGCAAGCCCGCCAATTCGCACCTTCAAGATCCCCTAAGTATGTTGTATATTTCGACTTCTCGGCCAGCTCTTCAAGCACAACCAATAATTTATTACCACTGGAACTCGCCGCCTGCACGATGGCAGCTAGCGCCAGCAGACAGAATGAAAGAATCCACCGCATTTTCGTGCTTGTTGTTGTGTGATTTCCTCGATGTTACAGCGCGGCTTGTGAATAGGAAACGTATGCAATTCAATGCCAAGACTTGGAGGTGGATTATTGTTTCTCCGACCGTGTCCAAGCTTTGAACCACAACTTCAACCTCACCTCAAGCATGAGATTGAGTTCCCCAGCGTGCAATTGACTTACCACCACCAAGGATTTCAGGGCGCAACTCGGTACCTGGTTAAATAAGTAGGTCTATATGCTCCTCAATTCCTGGCTTTGTGCTAACCCCCCAGATACAACATGTCTGTCCGCCCACTCTTCTTCTCGCAACCTATTCGGTACCTCCGATGGGCAGTCCACGAGAAGCCCGCAATCTTCTTTTCAATAGCAATTGGGACTCTTGGGCCTGTGATGATCGCCGTAGTGCCGCCGCTGCGAGAGAGATTTGGTGATCCTAAGAGACCGCACATTCCGTTCACATATCCAAGTACGTCCCCGAAAATTGCCGATTACATAGGGCCACGGAGAGCTAACAATTGCACGCTGCCACAGTTCCTTCTGGCCCAAGAAAACCAATTTCGGGATACGATGACTGAGTACGGATGAATAAATTATGCTGGATGGATGGATATTGGAGGAGGGTGTGTACATAAGTTGGGCGTTTTTGAGAATGGAATGATTACACAGGATTCATATACATCATTATCACGGTGATATCCGCCCTATTGAATCAGGTTTTATGAGCTACCATACAGTGAGTTCTGTCATGATTTGACTCTACACGCACGGTACAAGGCATCATTCCCTACCTACCTTTTGTGCCAGGGACTCGAAATAACCCGACATGGCCCCTGAAATTGCACTCCATCGGCGTTTTCGTAAGGCATTGTTTTGATCAAATTGACGAATCGCCATTTTGGCCTATGTCCCTCATTTTTGCAACCTCTAGCGCGAATCCGTATGAAATTTGTAGCCTGTTAGCGGATCGCATCAACTTTGCAGCCTGTCGGCGAATCACATCAAATTTCCACGATTTAGGGGTTCTAAGGGATTTGCCTTCTCTTCTCGGCGATTCTGCTGTCGCCATACAATTTTAGGTGTAAACAGCAGAAGTGGCAAGACAGGTAGGTTACCTCTTACCTTTAGCACTATGCATCGTTGCAACATATCATCTCGATATAGGTAATACCTACCTAGGTGGGTACCACTCTATCTAGCCAAGGAACCTTGTACTTGCAGACAAGTATCAGTCTAATTTAGCGGCTATCTAATCGAGTAAGTCAAGAACCTATTGATTATAACAGTGGATCTGTATGTAGCTAACAACGCGACTAATTCCTCTTCTAATAGTATGACCGATTATTCGATAGACAACACGACCGATACCTTGATGAACAACGCGACTAATACCTCTTTCAGTAACGTATTCGATTATTCGATTATTCAAAAAGCTCTTGCTGACTTTCAAGTGCGCCTGCAACGTGCCTGCCATCTTTGTTCAACTCTATCTAAATCGCCAAGATGTCGTCTTCTGCTCACGCCAACTCTTCCTCGTACTCCAGCCCCTCACACTCTGACACTCTCCCACACCCTCCCACACTCGGACATAGCCTCGAAGCCTGAGGGTATTTTCTCGCACTCCGAAGAAGTTCTCCCACTGCACCAAGACTACGCGACCATGCCAGGTAGCAGCCGCTCCCTAGGTCGCAATATGTACATATTCGACGCACGCAAACCCAGCACCCAATTAGTGGCATGATTATCACACCCGGGGTTACGAAGTCCAACTTGTACTCTATGATAGAAATTATCATCATATTCGAGAATGGTGGCGGATTCACTGTGCAGAATGAAGACGGCCGGGCATATATTTCCGCTAGCATATGAACGAATTTTCGGAGGCTCTGAAACACCCACATATTCCTATTGGTGCCTTGGACCAAATTCGGGAAGATAATAACAACACCAGAGTTTCTCTAGAGAACCGCCTTGTTCGACAAGCTGAAATCGCCAATCACCTCCTGGCGGTCGTCCAGAGTATGGCTGGCAGCTTGGAACGCTTGACCCACCACCTTCTTCTTCTGAACTTTCAGACTGGCCGGAGGATCGCCAGCCAAAGCAGTAAAGCGATCAGGCGCAGCCGCAGGTTCAGGTGTGGCAGCCTCAGAAACCGAAGCAGCAGCGGGAGTTTCAAAGGCAGCAGGCAACTCAGGCGCATCCGACGATGCAACAGATAGCTCACAGGCGGTATACAGCTTGTCAGCTAGCTTAGCCGGCAGAAAGCTGGCGCAGTGAGGGTCCCAAGGAGGTAAAATGATGGAGGTGAAGTGGTCGGTCAAGCGTTCCAAGCTGCCAGCCATACTCTGGACGACTAGGTATGGCGCATTCTTAGGCGAATTTGGTGCAAACCTCTTTTCGTCAGTATTATATGGCCCAACGGCCATTACCCAGATATAAATCCGATATCGTGCGAATATCTCACCAAATTGAGATATTCGCCCAATAATGCGCTATACACTGGACTCACGTCAGAAATCGGCAGACCGGATTTACTGACACAGAAGGGAAAAAATGTCGTTATGACAACAAGATCGCGGGACTTCAGTCCTGTCATCGCGGACGTACGTGACCTGACAAAGGGGCATGAAAAAGCCCGAGACCTATGGATGAAGCGGGCATTTGAATTCGCCAAAAAGGCTCAGGTGTATGTTGAGATTTCAGATGAGGATGCATCGCTCAAGGAGCCTTTGAAACACCGACATGGCTTCTGGATGATCCTCAAAGGCCAGTAGATCAGCATCTCAGATGGCATTTTAGACAGGCCGTGTTAACGAACATGGGGGGTGCTGGGGAGCCTATATTTGAACACGATTCCACCTTCGGTTCAGACATGGTTGGTAATATACTTAAGGGCCCCAAGGGTGCCGAGCGCCTGTAGTTTGAGTTGTTTAATCGGATAGCTACACAGTTTGAGACTAAGACGCTTTAATATATTGATAGTAACATTATCCGTTTCGGAGCAGTAATTAGCATTCTGAAAACGACAAATGGCATCAAATTTCTATTCAATGGAGAACGTTTTATTTTCGGAGAATTAAATCTTTTAAATGCTAGGCACCATGGGGTGCCCATGGGTTGGGTTATAAAGGAAGGGAGTAGGTCTAAGGTTCTCAGGGGACGAAAACGTTCAAGACATCACTACATAGGTAGGGGGGTATGGGAAGGTTGGTAAATGGCGCGACGTCATTGTATTCATGTCCCTAAGTCAAACGATATAATACCCATCTGCCTAATTCCTTCATCGCTCCGAGGCGTGAAAGTTTTCCGCCCGTCTACCCTACACAAGTATGCAGCAGAGCAGGCCTTCGAGGTTCGGATTCAAGGTGTCGGTGTCAACAAGACGGCCGCACAAGCAGCCTGACATGTTCCAAATGCCGCATTGCAAGCGATGATCGAGGCCGGAGCCGTGGCTCCTAGAGTCGCACCCCAAGTAAAACCGGCTGCTCCGTAGCATGCCGTGACTACTGCCGCGCATCCTGCTTGACAGACGCCGTATCCCACGGGACCTGCAGTGGCAGAGTCAAGGAGGCAGAGGACCGCAAGTGCGAAAGCAGGGGTGAAGATACGCATCGTTTAGGTAGTCGGTGATAGAGATTTGATGACCTAGTAGGAGGTTCGGTATGTTCTCCGAGTTAAGTGATGGTTGTGGCTTTTTGACTGATGGGAGAGGGAGGTAGAGATCGGATTTGGTTGGAAAAGGTAATCGATGGGAGAAGTTGTGTATTAAATGGTGCGGGGTTGTGTAACAATTGCCTGTGTACGTGGTTCTTTAACACCGTGTAGCGCAGTGAATGATTCATATGTAGCAAGCCTTGCGATTATTACCATAACTTATAATCGAATGGCTCTATATGGATGGCCACCATGCACGCCTTTCTCTCCTTAAATTGAACACCTAGCTGCCTTGTTCCAAGTGGCCTATAAGACGACGACTTCAACCCTGAATTAGTAAGTATCTCAGTTCAACTATTTCATACTCCCTAGCTTACTCACCTAACGCCGGTAGTTTTGATAGAAGTAAAATCTTATGTAAAAACATTAACATAGTCTATATTCCCATAATGCTGGTGATAATACCAATATTGCCTAGCTATCTAACATTCTTTAGTGCTCTTCATATTATACAAACAGTCAACTTTTAACCGCGGTCTAAGAGGAAGTAAACAAATCCTACGAATGGTTTACATCCTCTCCACAGGACAAATTACATCCTCTCAAATCTTCTCCGTGGACTGAACAGAAACAGGGCGGAAAACGACAAGAGTCTTCGATCTAGGGTAGATAAACGAACGCCAAGAGAACCAGCGAGAAGCATCTTTATCCACGAGCTCGCAGTCATACTTCAAGATAAACTGTCCGACAATCATCTTCATAACGGCAGCAGCATAAAATCTCCCAGGGCTATATCATAAGTTAGCACGCAAACATGTGGTCACATAGCGACTAACGTACCATGCCATACGTCCAGTTCCCCAGACATGCCAGTGTTTATTAACATCCGTGAGCTGGGATGGCTCTTGGGATTTATGAGATCCAAAGCTCGAGTTCGTGAGATTGGCAAGTAAGTCCCTGTCCGCAAATCGGAAGCCATTGAACTGTAATGGGTCGGTAAAGTGCTGCTCATCATGCAACATTGCACGGAGGGGTGTACACGTCCAGTCGCCAACCTCGAGCTTCGTGCCGTTCGAGAATTCAAATGGCTGGATTGCCATGCGCCGTGTACTCACTATGAGAGAACAGTAATCAGCGTCTTGAATTGGCGTCCGTTGGAGTATAATAACTAGGATATGACTTACTTGACTCAACAGGCGTCATACGCATAGACTCCTTGATAAAACTATCCATAAGCGGGAGGCCTTTACCCACTCGTTCGAATTCCGCATAAGCTAGACTTTGGAGCTCATTCCGAAGAGGCTCTAGGTACTCTGGGTGGAGACAGAGATCATGCATTGCAAATGAGACGGTCTAATAATATAGTCAATAACATGGTTGCAGAATAGCACATGTTACCTTAGGCTTACCGTGGACAAAACATGAACTGATCCGAACCAAATAGCCATTAATTCATGCACGATTCTTTCAGCCGACCACGGAGCCTGCCGTGGTGCCGTCTCCATAATCCATTGGATACAGTCATGCTGTAGTTCTGTCAGTACAAAAACCAAGCCCATCACCTCAGTAGCTTACATGAATTGGTACTTTGTGGCCCAACTGCTTTTGAGCCTTCTCGAGGATTCGTTCTTCAGCGATGGGCATCATGGCCTTGTATATCTCCCGCTGAGAGGTCAATTGTTTTGCCATAACTCGCCCAACCATCCTAGTTATGTCAGATAGTACCATAGGATGTGTCAAGTCAAACATACGGAGCAATAGCGGTTGGTAGCAAGCGTATTAGCTCTGCTAATGCCAGAGTTTCTTCGATAAACCTGACTGCGGAGCGCATGAAATCTTCATTTCGACCTAAACATCGAGGTTAACATTAAATATCGTAAGCAAAGAAGGCGTTTCCTTTTACTTACACAGCTCACTTCCAAAAAAGGCTCGTGCGTTGGTGATAGCAGTGAGTCTCAGAACCATAGGGAGCAGTGGCGAGCTCTTAACACCTGATGAAATCTTTTAGCAACCGTTCGTATCAATGGAATAACAGCTTACCATTGACAACTGGATGAGAATCGTGCATCTCGTCTATCAGAGTCGAAATGGAAATTCGAAGTTGTGGGAGAACTTCTGGTAGGTTGTTTGTCAAGAGTGTCCGAAGAGCACGAACAAAACCAACACCCTCGGTTCCCCTCCGATCGAACCAACTAAAGCCTACCATGGTGTATTTAGGTTGAAGCATCTATCGCAAGTTAGATATCATATCGTATCAATATACCAATTAGTCGCTTACCTGTTTCGATGCTGCCTGGAGGGAGAGCACTGTGTCGGGCGCAGAGTCTACTTCCTTGATGTGTTCCTCTGTAGAAACAAAGACATAGCGGGCATCTGGAGCAAGAATCTCATAAGGTTGCCCTCTTGCCTAAGCGTGAAGTCAGATCAACGCCCTAATACAGGTGGATCCATAGCATGTCCTACCTTATCGTATCCCTCCTGAATGATGGCAGGGCCATTAAGCAGAAACACCCACGCCCTCCATCGATTGTGGATAGCAGTCCACACACTAAGCGTACAGGAGGCGAGGTGAGAAACAGTATAAACATAGCCGTCAGTGGTTTATGTAGCTATAGGGCAGAATTTCCATACGATGGGAGTCGTCTTGCTGTTCCTAGATATAGCCACCAAGCTCACGGCGAGAAAACAGAGAGTCAAGCTCGCTCTGCCATCCAAATCCAGGTACGGTGACAACATGATAGTATGGGGAAATGATGACTGGCAGCGTTCCTGAAATATCTAGTTGGACTACATGTGAGACAGACACTTTCAAAGGCAAAGAACTGGCATTTCTCTTCTCTTGTAAGAATAAATCCTCTCACATATCATTTCCCTTATAATGCAACGCAGAGATATAAATCTGGGGAGCATGGGTTCTCCAGATGTTGGTGGCACCGATGGTGCCCGGGCCCAGCCCCGGGGTCCATGGCTGTAGACCAACGATTGGACCCAAGATATATGACCATTGGTCACCCAATCTCTGGGTTGGAGGTATATTGTGAAGGAACGATAGTAAGCTCCAGCACCTCCGAATGCAGTTGGAATCCCCGAATGCCGGTTGGTGGTGGCGTAATAGGTTAGCTGGCCTGTGGATACAACGGGTTTGTGGGCTGATATCAGAGGAGGTGGCTAGTTGATTGCGGCTGGTAATGAGGTTCGCGAGGCTGATCCCCGCCCTTCATCCTGATTCTCAGTATGGCTATTTGACGCTATTTTCAGAACAAGACGCGGGAAGCGCCCCCTGAAAGAACCAGCAATTAATTCCAACCTCCCAGAACATGTATCAAAAGCTCCGGAAATCCCGGGAAACTGGAAAGCTAGAAAACATGCATAGTAGGCAGCCAGCGATACTCTCTACTCAGGTCCCACGGCGCGCTTCGTTAGGGTCACTGCTCGAGGTGGTATCAGATTCCATTGCTTCCCGGGCACTCGAGCCATCAGCCCGAGCTCGTAGGATGTGTCTGTGCTTCGTGGGCATCTTTACGTACCTGCGCTTGTGCCTGTAGGAGTGGCTTGGTGCTCTCGCTATATTTGACTCTGAGTGCATGGCGCTGAATCTGATGGGTGACTGCAAAGGCGCGGAGCTGGGTTGATTTCAAGACGGAGACGGAGTGTGTTGCACCGCATTACTAACTTCGCTCACGACATTTCCTTAGTTGGTTGGACTGGATACATGCAAGCCAAAAGCCACATCTGAACTGGTTACCTTGCGGACAAATGAATATCCGTTCCGAATAATATCATTCTTCACTTGAATTTCGCTGGTAAGCACTGCAACTGGTGCGAGTACCCGGAGCCTGAATAGGTGCGACGCAGAGGTACCAGTTCCAGGGCCAGTTCCCGGGTAAAGCGCCCAGGGAGACCGCTATAGGGACATCCTCACTGCCATGTTGTGTCCGCAAGAGACGTTTCCCTTGGCCCCCCCCCTCTTCCTCCACCAACTTCCGGTCCTTATCTGCCCATGGAGTGACTGACTATCTCCGGGTATCTCGTACTGTCTGTTTTTGCAGGCATAACATCCCTAATCACACTGCTTCGACATGATAGTTGTATGCCGCAGGCAAGTCTGCTTCCCATTGTCAGCGCCAGTCTTGCTTTGCAAAGGCACCGTTCTGTGGCCATTTATCCTGCAGCCATTATGTTTATTTTACGGAGCGATTCTTTTCAAAGTCGATAACGTCCATATACCCAGCGGTACTTTATCAGACTATTTAAACCAGTACGTACTTCTTACCAGTTTCCGTATTCCGACCATTGAATACACCAAACAAGGTTCTTGATGGATTGCGCATATGCATGCATGAACCTCGTGCCAATTGTCATGGTTAGGGATCCCGCCACCCCACTGGGATAGTGCATTTTCCCTTATTCTTAGGGATTGCTATCTTATCCGCTGTCCCCCCTTCTAGACATGCTTGTAATGGAAGGGTTGAACCTCGTTTTTCTGTTGGAAAGTCCAACTTTCGTGCGGCGGTCATTTAATCAACAATGTCTCAGCCGGTGAGGCAACGGCTTGACCCTTCCAACACACCTCTCGCGGCCAACCCGAGTGGTGCCCCGCCGAATTTTGCCAACCCTCCCTCTTTGGCAGACTCTGTGTTCTGGGTTGGTTTGGTGTTGGGGATCGTTACCACCATTTTCGTTGTTCTGCGCCTGGCCACAAATTTGAAGATTAATCGCAAGCTTGTTCTTGCCGACTGTACGACGGACCTTGCCGCCCTTGTTGCACTCCTAGTTGACAATAATCTTAGACCTTTGTATTTTGGCACTTACTCTAATGATATGTTACTATGCCTTGATTGCAAGCTGTGAGAACCCCCCCTCTGCTATCTGAGTGGATACAATGCTAACGGTAGAGCCAGTGGTTAATACAGCGAGGCATACGTGGGATGTTCCTCTAAGTGTCTTGACTCCTTCCTATCTCAAAGTAAGCTCAATCTTTTCATATATCAGATGCCGGGGACGACATTAGCTGATTACAGTATCTCCAACCAGAAAATCGCTGCTGAGAATTTCATCATCGGCCCAACTCTCTGGTCTTCAAAGGCCACTATACTCGCGCTGTACATACAGCTATTCGAGAGTAAGATTTGGATGCGATGGACATCAATCATTGCTCTCGTCACCATGTTCCTATTTTACTGGGCCAATACCCCGCTGGCTGGCGTGTTCTGCGTCCCACACAATGGAGACCCTTGGGATGACCGGATCTTGACCAGCTGTTCCAAGCTCGCGATGATGGGTCCTATTCAGGGCGCTGTCGGTCTTGCCGCTGATCTTTTTATTCTCATACTACCTCTCCCTAGTATGTGTGGCCTGACTCTTCCTTTTGGGAAGAAGGTTGGTGTGATGGTAGTATTTTTGGCAGGCTTTCTGTACGTTCAACCTACCTTCGCTGCGACCGTATATACTAACATGGTGTAGGGCTGTGGTTGCCAGCGCGGTGTCTCTCCATTACCGCGTGAGCACTTATACTGGGGATGATGCCCTCTGGAATGGATCTCTTGTCACTATAACTACGTGAGTATAACTGATTTTACACTCCTGCTGGCTGTTGTGTATATGAATTTTACAAATTCAATGATAGGGGATTACAAGGACTGACTGTCGGCTGGACTAGATTTGCAGAGGGGTTTGTGACCATCATCGTCAGCTGCGCACCTGCAATGGCCTCGCTTTGGATTAATATCATCTCCAAGTCAAATTTCTACACAGCCCTCCGCTCGAAATTCCCCAACTCTGCAGAAATCAGGAGCGCAGAGAACAGGAGCTCAGGCTATAGCCAAGAGAGGCTACCACCACGCGACTCATATCGTGACTCAAATCCGAATATATATAACAGCCAGGCGTACGAGCTTTCCGATGCAGCTTACGGCAGACTAGTTACGGATACCCATTCTTCTCGCAAGGAGATGTTGGGCCTGAAACCCACTATTACGAATTCTACGGCTAGTGATCAGATCTCGGAGATATCAAGCATTTCACAGATATCGAAGGCGTCAGTGCAGTATTAGAAGACAAATCCGAGATGGCATCGGAAATGGCGGTGCGATGAGGCCGCAAAGCAATAAAAAATAGACATGAATTGGGGATCACAATATTATCTTGTGAAATGCCGCTCACGGGGCAGCCAAGCTGGAACTTTGTGGAATGAATAATGGTGTAATGAAATCTTGAGAATTGATCTTGCAACACGCCAGCGGCTAGGTATCGATGTATCTAATAGCCGTTTGGAAGTTAAATATATAAATCTAGAACTATCAACAACCATATTTTTGAACGTCTTGCTGAAAAAGTGTCAGGGTGCTGTTATCCTGAGAGTTCTGTTTCTCATTGATAATTCAGCCAACTTGCAAATAGATATGTCTCATTATAAATCAAAATTAAACGCCAACAATAGGGACAGCGTCACAACAGCTATCAAAGATACATGTGCCTTTCGACCGCTATATTCTATTAGTATAACTTACGGTATAACCTCTACCTATATATATAGTCTCGAGTTCTCCTTGTGCTCTTATATTTGGCACTTTTAGATTTTCTTTTCAATATACGCCAATTATCCTACTGCTGTCGAGCAGCAACTGCCGTCACAGTATGTATAGAAAGACTTAGTTTATTAATGGTTTCTGAAATATTAAAATAACCGGGAGGTACAAAAGCGATAGAATTATCCTTCATTATCCCTTACTCTATATAGAATTCGACTATGTATAATTAATTCCGTATAAATTCCTATCATAGCACTCTATATCCTGTATCCCATACCGGATCATTTGATACTAATATCACAGCAGAGATTTCTATTGATACTATAATGCTGGCAAAACGCTCTATTTAATAAAATAAATGCTTTCAATTTGTCAAAAAGTTGCATCCGAAGGTTATTAGGCTTGAGAGAGGGGGAACTTTCCAAGTCCTGGCGTCATTTTTTCACGTGATTAGCCAATATCCTTTGCTTCTACAGGTTCAGGCTTAGGCATGTATTGTATTTTAAGAACAAGAACAGCATTCCACACGAAGCCCCAGGTCTATACAAGGGTCACTAGGGTTGCCGAACCACGCTGTCATAAGCAACTCCAACCATACCAAATCCCCAATTCATTTAACAACTAACCAAACTCCAAAGAAAGGGATGTATTGATACTAATTCATTCTTCAAGTAAATCATGCCACTCAGGAATCTCCTTAATGAGACTCCACATGTACTTCTCCAGTCTGACCGCACACTTGGTGTATACCGTTGTTTCGTCATTATACTTCCGACAGTTGCTAAAAATTAATTTGAGATCGTCGACGAGGTTTTTTGGGGTAAGATATTGATCCTGGTGCAATCTTTCCTCCGCCATTGACAGATCCATTGGTGATATAATGAAATTGTAATAATCAGGAACTTCGTCTCTGTTGACTGGATTGAGGAAGGGCCATGCTTGTTTGTGGTTTTGAAGTTGACCTAGAAAACGTCGAAGTTGATTGAAATGAGGTCCGCGGCGTGGTTCCCGTGCTAATTTGTCCATATCTGGAGACCAGCCAGTTGCCCGGATGGCAGGGATAGAGAGTGGATCGATTGGAGTAATAACGCTATTGGCCCATTGGGTAAGCGGTCGATGGACAATGTGGCTTTTGCTCACGGCACGAATTTTGGCTAGTACAGTTTCCTTCTGCTTGAGAAGCATACGACCAGCCTCAAGATAACGTATTCGGGGAAGCATAGAGCATTGCATAATTGTCCCTCCTTCGTAATCCTTGATATACCCCATCCAGAGGGACTTCTTGAGGGTGATATCTTTAGTAAAGCCTTGTTTTTGAAAGTACCCAGTAGCATAATTATCAGCGTAAGTTAGAAAATGCATTACTGGGGAAGTAGCTTTGACGTAATCTTTCAAATGGCCCATAAGGTGTGCTCCGTATCCTTTCACCTGCTGATCAGATGAGACGGCGCAAAAAACGATTTCAGCAAATTTGCGGTCTCGGAATTCTCGGAATGATATTCCGCCGATAACCTCTAGAGGCCTTTTGATGATGGCGATGGATAAATGAGTACGATCATAAACGAGACGTGCGATATAATCCTTGGGCATTTTCGGAAGTTGCTTTTGGAATAAGCATTTGAGACCCGTGAGAATAATCCAACTCTCTCTGGCGCCATCATTATTAACAACTCTGAATTCGATCTCACCATTTCTTTCTTCTAAGACTGCAGGCTTTAACTCAGTTAGAATGTTTCCTGACATTTAAAGGTCCTGGCATACCTTCTCTGGGAAAGGAACCCTCCAGGCTATAGCTGGAGGCTTAACATTTGGTTCTGTAGACCCATCATGAGAGCTTTTGATTCTTTTGGTAGTAGAGAGGGTAATTGGTTCTTCGGGGGCCTTGCGCTTCGCGACAAGGAGGTTTTGTTCGCGGTTGGCTGGAAATGATGGCGACTCTGCTTTGTCCATTTGCGGTGAATGCCGGCGAACCTAAACTGTTGTTCTATCGAGTTCACGCTTAAAGACTTAATATTTTGATTACGCTAAGAGGGAAGTCCGTCTTTCGATAACTCAAACTATGGCAGGTCAGCCTCGGGTTCTCAGAGTAGGATTTTGAAGATGCCGGGAATTAGTATACGCATATGAGTAGTAAGCGGACTAATTGGATTTTCTTGGGACTACACACTTAGTTGGTGTGTACTGAGTCGAATAATAGAATTGTTGAGTATAGTTGTTGGAGATTTGGGTGTCGAGAATATCTCCGTTCAACGTACTCCTCAGCACGTCAGAATAGGAATGGGCACTCCGTTACGAATGAACGATTACCCCAGAGAGCTTTTGACATACTCCAAAGCGTTATTGGGTGTTGGATTGATGACTACTTAATTAAAAGGTTGTTACTCTAGGAAACGATTACGGCTTGACGTCTGCTTTGTCTGCTTTGTCTGCCTGAGGAATCCACCTGAGGAATCTGCCGAAGGTGTTGGATTTATTAGTAGGGTATACTGTTAACACCTGGCAAATCAGGCACAAAACTCTTATCGAAAAGTTTTAAAAGTACCTATATATTCTATTTAAAATTTATTGTTTTATTCATCAAAGTTTTATTATTTTATTTATTATCTTTGATTTAATCTTAAACTACTAGTTATAAAGTAATTGGATATAACTACGTTCCTAGATATTAGAGTAGAGAAAAGCTATAATTATATCTATTTCATTAATCTCCTAGTTGTAGATAGCTACTCGAGTAAGGATAAGGCGTTAAGTAGTCGATCTAACTACCGTAGGTACTCTAAAATCCCGGTCAGCCATGCGCGGACCACGTATCACGCAGCCACCTAAATTCCCAGTATAAGGCGCAGGGCCCAGATCCTACGAAGCACAGAGCGCATTCAGCTTCCCGACCAGCCTCGATGGATGGCAACTTGATGTGCCTTGCCACAGCCCGTGGGAAAGTTAGCCGGGATTGTGTTGAGCCAGCGCGCTGTGGGCCAGGCCTTTCCCGATTGTTAACGCCCAATATGCTGACCCGGGCAATGCATGCACAACGTCTTCTTTCGCTGAAAGTAGTTGTATACCAAGGATACGTAGGTGTGCGGCCCGGCAACATACAAATCCCCGATATCTCGCTCTCTCGCTCTCGTTCGCTGGCTTTTAGTTCGGGTCCTGTCGGCATCCTCGGGTTCTGACCACTGGAAAGGATTCTATCCTGCTAGAGCTGTGCGTGGTAAACTGTTACTCCTGTAGTCAGCCGTACGCATATGAACCATGGGATATATAAATAATACGTCGAATGTGCTCTCCATATTGGGAAGGTTTGGCGGTGGTGTCCATTTGCGGCGTCAATTGGTGGATGAATGTGGTGAGGAGGCGTGGAGACCGGATAAAACGGCGAAGCATAATAATTAGAAACAGCACGCCGCACGTAGGTACACACTCCGTTGTATCGTGCTTCGCCAAGGAGAGTGAGTTACCAAGAAGTAGCCGTCGGACGAGGTTGTACCGCATAAACTCGATTAGGGGTCCTCGAGCATCTAAGCCCAAAGACGCCCACAAGATCGCGTATCTGGGGGTCAGATGATATAATTCGGCTTAAATATCACTAAGACTGTTGTTATATGTCCACTTTTATCAAAGCGCAATGCCCCAGGGTTCTAGGACTTTGGTTGGCATAGTTGGGGCTGCGCTATCGAGTTTATGCTTAATGGATTGGAGTTGAGCTGGAGTTGGATAGTCGATAGTCGATAGTCTGGGATGATAAGCTCTTGATTTAGGCTTTACCCCTGACACTCTCGCCAACCCGAGTCACCGACCTGTTTGCCTTTAACTCCAAACATATACTTCGTGACATGACTCCGTCCCTATGCTCTTTGGGATTACCGCCACGACCTGCACCGCACACAAGCTGCCCTGGATTGGGCTTGCATGCTGTGGACCATGGAAACCACGGTAGCGTTTTCGTATCCCTTGCATCGCGGGCCGCTTTTCCTCAAGTAAAAGCCAATTCGAAGTACCAGTAAGGGAAGGTTAATTCTCTATTTCCAACACCTCCCGCCGTTGCCGTTGTTTACTACCCAGTTGATCACCGGCTAATCATATCTGAAAGTTACCCAGCATGCGCGACAATAGGATTGCCCCTCAAGAGCAAGGACGAACGGGGCGGTTTTTGCTTTTGGCAGCCACTGAGAATGAATTCCAACCTGGCTTCATCGAGTGGCTTCATACACCGCGGGCGTGCCAGAATCGCAATTCGACGCCCTGGGGCATGAGCCGCAAAGATCAATCGTGGGATTGCCATCGACCTCCAAATCTTTCGTAGGTGATCTCCAAAACCCATAATCGGCCACACCGGAGCGAGCGAACCGCGGAAGATGTGTACTTCGTATGCGACCCTCCGTGCGCGCTGTGGTTAGTTTTTGCATCTGGCCACCTGGAGTGTAGCTTCTTTGGCGCCTTGGGCCTCTCCTTGCCTAGGTAGATACTCATGGTACGGCCCAAGTGGACTTTCCTACCAGCCTCTGGCTAGAGGGCTTTGTGTGCTGTGATATCGTCAATTGAAAAGTTGGCTTGGCATCTGGCGAGATTGCGTGGGCCAATCCATAATCAAATCCAACCTTGGAACCATGGCCTCTTTTGATATGAAAACCCTTTCCTCGGGCCCAGATATGGGGAGGGCTCACATTTATACCTTGAGCGCATTCCTGCACGATTTTAAGGCGCTCATCAATTTCACCCATACCTGGACTCCCGATTTAGACGCATATGTCGTTGCTGGGGGGGTTGTGTTCAAGGGACGGATCGGCGGTGGCCAATTTCGATCATGCAATGCCCCAGGTAAAGCTGACCTTCCTAGCACCATTTCTGCAGATACAACCTCGAATTTTCAGCATTCTCCACGAGGATTCGCTTTCTGGACTTAGTTTGTACTGGGCTATAATCATCTGTTAGCCAAGCAGACATCCGGTCCTACGTCTTTGCCATCCAGGAATTCGCCCGCGGTCGGGACCTGATGGGTCAAGTCGGAGCCCTTGGAATAGCAGCAGCTTTCTTTCCCCATGCCAGCGGCGCCAGAGACCTTGCATTTGTGCTGGCTACGGCCTTCCGATCTGTCACTGTACGGAGGCTGGACAACCTTGCAGGGGCGGGTACGGACACCCTCAACTTGAGGTCCAAGGCCAGTTTAGCTACGACCATGTGCCTACCCTACATACAAATGCCATCAACAATATCAAGATTTCCGAAGCGATACTGGATCGTAGAAAAGCTTGTGAAAACTGAGAATATGGCGATAGCAAAAGAGGAATCGAGCTAGCTTAGGTTCATGGATTACAGCTACTCGACTCAGAAGATTACATGTGCCAATGCTGTAACACGCGTGCTACATGTGTGTTTATAGCAACACGTACACACTTGTTCTGAAGTTGTGGGGTACATGGCATATCTGGACACCGACGACGTCTTATAGGAACTTGATCCGCAAACCATTATCGAGGGTCATCCGATGACGAAAATAACCTCATCAGAACTGGAATGTCTCAACGACTAGCAATGGACATTAGGCGTATTCAGAGATTGGTGGAGTTCTTAAAGTGTCGAGGATTAAATAGGCGGTTTCTGCTAGCCCTCATGACCAAAATGCAAAAGAAACACACACCACAGCAGGTATGCTTTGGTGGGCACTCACCCAACTGCTAACATACCTAACTGAGGCTTTCAGCAGAAAATAGTCAAATCGGTTCTAGCCAGCCTAGTAGGTAGAACGCCGCGGCAACTACCTCAATCATGTAATTACGGCCACCTCGACCTCTGGTAGGGGGGACTCATATTACACCGCGACATTGGATGCCCATAGGTGAGCTAAGGAAATAGTATAAAGAGCCACACTCCTGCTTTCATATTTCACGGCCACCCATCTACAATACCTTTACTTGTGTTTCAGTTGCTATTTGTTACAACACGACGGAAATCTCCTACCTTCAAAGATTGAATCGCTTTACCACAGACACGAGGCTATTCTGTGTAGAGTAAATATCTTTGACTGACTCAGAAGTTACGTTGATAGGAACCCTAATCTGAGGCTAGATTCGAGTATCATCTGCTTGTCTGAGCAAAAAATACTGTAAGGTAGACGGATAGCAACACTTGGCGGTTTCATCAATCACCACACCAGGTGAGAGTTCCTTCATTTATATAATATTTGTTACTATTTGCCGCGCCGTCGGCGGGCTCCAAAGGGGGGATACAGGGGTCTATCCTGTCCGTCTGACGATCGCCCCTTTTACATCCTTTTTGCATCTTACATAGTTACCATTCCTGCAGGTTGTCCCACCCCAATAATATCGTAGAACTATCTACTACTCAATGCTTAAAAATGTTGTTCGCTAGGGGATCGATATATACCTCACAAATATATATATGTATCCTTCCTACTATCTTTGCTTTTCGGCACTAAGCTGGAGTAAGCAACGGTGGTTGAATGAGGCGCGAGGTAGGGAAATTTCCTGCTTTATAGCTACTTGACTTGAATCTGAAGGGCTACTCAAATTTTACTTGTGTATGTCGCTAATATATTTGCATGCGATATTCCATTCGTACGTTAACCTAGCCAGTGGATGCTATGGCGCCCTCGAAGCGCCCAACACTTTGATCCGGCAAGGCTGAGGCGAACAGCATATCAACGCTACTCCGCCTTTCTCATGATTGTTTGCCAACCTGACTCTAGAGCTTCGGAGGCTGTCTTAACTACTCTGTACAGGCTTTTCGTACGAGACTGTCTGGAGGTATCGAGAGCGCAACATGTCTACATCTAACGTGGACCGACCACGGCGCCTCCTCTCTCTAGGTTCGTTCCGCCTGCACCATGCACTATCCCTTTACAATCACTGACAGCACATAGATGGAGGGGGGGTACGGGGCCTCTCCAGTATCATAATTCTACGTCACCTCATGGAAAACGTCAGCAGAAAGCGGGGTCATTGTGTACAACCTTGGGAGGAGTTTGATATGATAGCGGGAACAAGTACCGGCGGGTTAGGTTACTCAGCCAAATTAAATGTACTTAACGCTAACATGAAATACAGCCTTATAGCTATTATGCTGGGACGACTTCGAATGACCCTTAACGAATGCGAAGACGCGTACCTCGAGCTTTCTGAACGAATCTTTACCCCGAAGCGATCAAAGATCAATCCATGGCGCGCCAAAGAGTTTCTGCAGGCAGATGGGAAGTTTGATTACAAGGTACTTGAGAAAGCTATCAAGGATATCATTGCCCAGAAGCCTGGGTATGACGAGTCGACACTTTTAAAAGATCCAGTTCCTCAGTGCAGTGTGTAAGTCCGACTCGGGCCACAAGATCCATGAAATCAGTCATCTCTTAGCTTAATTTTGACCTCCCATCTCCAGGCTGACCTATTTTAGGTTCGTTTGTGCAACCCGGACCGGGAATACGGAGGTTGCGATCTTGAGATCGTATGACACAACGGAGCCCAAGCTTCTTTTCGATGAGTGCAAAATATGGGAAGCATGTCGAGCGACCTCGGCCGCTACAACCTTTTTCGACCCCATAAAGATCGGAAAATATGGCCAACAATTTGCGGATGGTGGGGTTCTCTACAATAATCCCATACAACCAGTCGAACGGGAGGCTTCGGCGATATGGCCGGGTTGTATGGAAAGTGCCGTGATTGTCAGTATTGGGACGGGTAGCGCCCCTGGAGGTGCTTTCAAAGGAAACCTAAAGAAAATTATCGACGGGATGAAAAAGATTGTTACTGAAACCGAAAGAACAGACAATGACTTCTTCCGGGCTCACCAAGCCATGTTCGTCCATAATCGACTCTATCGTTTCAATGTATTTCATGGACTTGCGGATGTCGGGCTAGAAGAATCGAAGGAGAAAGAAAAGGTGGCGAATGTGACTCAGACATTTCTCGAAAGAGCTGATGTTCAAAACCTAACCAATACGTGTATTGGGCAAATTTGTAAGCCCGCCTCCGCCGGGGATGGGCCAAGTCCAGTTGGTGAGTTGTATTTGGCAACATAGCTTAGCTATAAAAAATTAATATTGACATACTTCTAATTAGATAATATTGGTAGAGAACAAGTAACCCAATATCAAGTATGCGTTTGTTTATCTTGCATTCCTTATATATGCAGGGCGGCTAACCAGAATTGATGTTTATAGATGCAAGTGATTCTCAGAATGTATACTTGAAACAGGACCTGTCAGGTTAGTTTTGTCCCTATGTCCAGTGCAAGGCTAATTTGGCTTCCTGCAGATTGCATACGGTCGCTGAGCTTTAAGGGCATCACCAGTCGTCGAAACAATATAAGCCTAGCCCACCAAGACACCTGCGGCTGGCTGTTCGAAACCCCGTCATTTATGAACTGGAAACATGGGACTGATCTCCAAAGCAATAACGGAGTTCTCTGGATTAAGGGCCACCCTGGAGTCGGGAAATCGACTTTGATGAAGCATACGCTACTTCACTGCCAAGACAAATTCAAGGACTATCACATCGCGTTTTACTTCTTCAACGCTCGTGGTGGTTCTCTTGAGAAAAGTCCGCTAGGTATGCTACGCTCGCTGGTGGTTCAGTTACTGGAACAGGACGACTCCTTCCTGCAGAAACAGGTCATTCCGAACTTTCTGAAGAAGAAAATAAGGCATGAAAAATCGGAATGGGCATGGGAGATTGGAGAGCTTCAGGAATTTCTCCTACTAGCATTTAAACAGCGCGAGTGCAAAAACACTTTACTCCTCATCGATGCCCTAGACGAATGCAACGATTCAGATGTTGAAAAGGTTGTGGATTTCCTCGGAGATCTTAGCGAAAATGCGATACAATCTGGTTCGGGTCTCAGGATATGTTTATCCAGCTGCCATTACCCAAATATCGATATGAAGAAGAAAGTCCAGCTGGTTGTAGAGCGGCAAGCTGGGCATGATCAAGATATCGTCAAGTATGTCCAGAGCAAACTGAAAGCAACAACCGAGGATCTCCAGAAGGCAATTCTCGAAAAGGCACGACATATTTTTATATGGGTTGTCCTAGTTGTTGAACTTCTGAATATAGAGTTCAACAAAGGCAAAATGAACGCAATGTGGAAGAAACTAAACGAGATACCGAGTGATCTCGATGAGCTGTTCTCAAAACTTTTGGAAAAGGAGGACTCCGAAGATGATAAGAAGACAGCTATTCTGGTTTTCCAATGGGTGTTATTCTCGGTTGAGCCACTTAGTCCAACAGAACTTTACCTCGCTGTGCTAGCAGGAACGGATCCAGAGGATATAGCTGCCTGGGATCGATCCCGAGTTGGCGTCGGGACCATCAAGCGATTTATTACTACTGCTTCCCGAGGTTTAGTCGAAATTGTCTCAAGTCACAACGACCTCAGGGGCGAAGCTCCGAGTCAAGATATCGTCCAGTTTATACACCAGTCCGTAATTGACTTCCTCACCCGGAATCAAAGGCTTGTTAAGCTGGATCCGACACTTAACCCCAATCCTGTCGGTGCTAGTCATGCTCGCTTGGCGTCTTGCTGTATCGTTTATATTATGCAAGAGGAGATTGAATCACTCGCAATAGGCACATCTTCAGGTAGCTTCTCAGATGTATCGAGGGAGGCAAATCCGATGCTTAGATATTCTTCAATGTACCTTCTCGGCCATGCCGAAAATGCTCAAGCGGGAGGAATCTCCCAGGTCTCTCTCCTCCAGCGGCTTGAAAAGAGTGGGAATCATGAGTTTTTGCGGCCATTGGAAGTGGATGCCAAAAAATCGAGTCAAAGTTTCAAAGGAGCACAGCTACTTTACAAGGCGTCTTATCAGGGTTGCGATTACCTTGTCCAAGCTTTACTTCTTGGGCATGGGTCTGATGTTAATACCGAAGGCGGATACCATGGCACTGCACTCCAGCCTGCAGCTGCGGAAGGCCGGAAAAGTATAGTCAGGATACTTCTCGAGCAAGGGGCCAATGTCAATACCCAAGGCGGAGAATATAGTACTGCACTCCAGGCTGCAACTGCGTACGGCTGGGCAGATATAGTCGGGATACTTCTCGAGCACGGGGCCAATGTTAATACCCAAGGCGGAGAACATGGCACTGCACTCCAGGCGGCAGTGCTGTTGGGGATGTCAGATATGGTCGCGCTTCTTCTGAACCACGGGGCTATTACACCTTAGGTCTGTACGAAACCAAAGAATGCCAGCGAATTGGATCGCTCTGCTATAGACGTCCTAAAGCCGTTCGAGTGGTTTTGAATCAGGGGCCTCCTCCCTAGACGAGAATGTGGTCGTGTCATGATCGGACAGCGAGACCGCTCGGCTCTGGGACGCCGTGAAAAGAGCGGTGCCGAAGTTGCTCAGGGGGCTAGTCGACGACGATGAATCCAGTCGACTTCTCACCATACGCCAAGTTGAAACCAGATCCTGAAGATACAAAAACTAAGAAATCATGTGGTTGATTAAGGGTGTCTATGTGGACCTCAGGGCCGATAGTGTTAAGAAACATATGCTCGTTGAGGACAATAGCCCCTTGAATCACACCCCGAATAGGTGGCATAGTCTTCATTGGAAGCCAGGGCCCTTGACGGCCTTTCATCGTCTGAACGTATCGCAACTGATAACTTCCCCGCGAACTCTATTGGCTCGTAGGCCATCCATAAACTTGTTGGCATCTGGACGCGCGTCACCAGAGTGGGAGACGTATATCAGATTCCGAACCCCACTCGAGACCACCCAATCTGATATACTTCGCCCTATTCCACCGACACCACCCGCGAGGAGGTACGAGGCATTTCTTGGCAATATAATGCCGCTTGGAGCTTTTGGCATAGCTCGGGAGAAAGTTAGTTAGGGAGGCTGGGTTGTTGGTAGCCGTTGACTTACTAGGAGCTGGCCCTTTTGTAGCTCCAAAACGATCTTTTCAATATGCTTCCTAGTTTGCATGAGTGGGAACGAGTCCTCGATCTGCGATAACTAACATGATGTAACCTAAGAGTGCCTTCTTAACCCTTCCTAAGCGGACAAGCTTCATGTCAGAATATGGGAGTTATAGGAGGTCCCCTGCCAAGCTGAAAGTACCACTTTAGGCCCTCGGCACCCAACTTGCCACTTCTCCCCCACTATAGAGAAATTATATACAAATATCTATAATAAGCTAAATACTCAGCTAATATTATTCCGTATACTAATTATTATAGTATATCATAATAGAGATACTAGGTTACTACTCGGATATTACTAGACTTATTTTATTTGGTTATTTAACTTGTATATTTATTTACTTATATATAGAAAGCTTTTACTTTATAATATTATACTTTTTAATTAATATAATTAATCCTTTTAAATCTCTTATAATTTATACTTTTTAACTTTTTATATCTTTTTATATCTACTAATATATCGATAAAGTATTTAACTTTATGTTCATTTTACAAGGTATATAGATATTTTTCCTGATTTTCATAGCACTGCTAATAGGAATATTATAAGTGAGCATCCTCGCATGTAATGGTTCCAAAAAAGCGCATACGCGTACTCAATTCCTGTACCGGCAAACCACGTGCATACAGCGGGCTCCGATAACTTCTCTCCTGCTCGGGCTCCGCGTTCCCTTGAGCCCATCCACTACTTCTGCTTGCCGAAGGACGTGCAAGAAAAAGCAGCTCGAAATAGGGCGTTAATCACTAGATTCCAGCGGATTAATCTCGGTGCTCAGGCTTTTCATCGAGCTTCGGTCGCTCATATCCTGTATACAGCTTCAAGGGCCCTGTTGATGAAGCCAACAAGATGACAAAAGGTTACCTTGTGTTGCATCCAAAAAGGCATTGCAATTTTGGGTGGGGTTTCCTCGTGACATTGGAAGTTTTCTCATTCATCATTAGTTAACAAGATGTGTAATACAAGCAAGATACAAAAATCAACAATAAGTAATGTCACACTTTCGAGGCCATGCCTGACTTCGCAGGAGCTTGCCGCCACTGCTTCGTCTCCGGATCTAAGCACTCCCTCTGGGCATCCTCCCACTCTTTGACCACCTTCTCCGCTCTCACGCTCGATCTCGGCCTAATCACTGCAGGAAACTTCTCCGGCATGCATACAAATCCTTGCGTAAGCCTGTCCGGGTCCGGCAAGACCTTGTTCCCCTGCTCATCAACTTGCGGCTCAATATCAAATGCCCACAACATCCTTGACATCCCAAGAAACAAGCTGCGCTCCGCAACATGAATTCCCGGACAGATGCGGCGGCCTGCACCGAATGTGAACTGGTCGCGCTTGGTCGAGTCAGGGTTAGCTGCTGCGTCTGCAAGACTTTGGTAATCATTGATGTAACGTTCTGGGTCAAATGTCCTAGGGCTCTGATGCCGCTCAGGATCCATGTGGATGGCCCATACGTTATTCATAATTCCAGCGCCTTGAGGGATGAAATATCCCCTGTACGTGTCATCCTGAGTAACCGCATGAGGCACAGCACCGAGGATTGTGGTTGGCATCCAGCGGAGGGTCTCTTTCATGCACGCCCGAACGTACTGCAAGTTCGGCTCGTCATCTATGGTTGGCATGCGGTCGAGGCCTATAACACGATCGAGCTCTTTTTGAGCTTTCCTTTGGACTTCCGGAAATAAGAGCATTGCTTGGACGAAAGCATACAGTGTGCTTGAGGTAGTGTCCGATCCTGCCTCCAGGAGAGTGCCAGATATGTAAGCTGCCTGGTCGTCGCTAAAACCATCTGCTTTCTGTGCTTCTGCCATTCCAACACAGAAACATGGCTGTATGAGGCCCTTCTGGAACTCATCTTTAGCCCTGAGCCAGTGGCTTAGATACAAAGCCTTCTCGTGCTTATGCAGCCCTTTGGCCTTCTTCTGCGCTGGTGAGAGGAAATCTGGTAATTGCCTTAGCCACGGAAAGAAGTCGATTAGGGCAGCTGTGCCTGTTTGGTTCAGGTCGGCGAAGTCAGCGAAGCCGTCAAACAATTGCTTCATCTTATCGTCCTCATACGTGGGAGTTCGCCAGCCAAAGACCATGGTAGTTGTCAACGCGTTCGAGTACCGTCGGATGCTTTCCAAAAATAGATCTGGTTGGTTGAGCATTTCGTAGAGCATTTGCTTATTTTCTAGCATCTGATATGGGACATAAGATTTCGCAGCTGACACGTTGAGAAGTCCGTGGACCATTTTGCGAAACTATTGCGTTGTCAGTTCAATAATATAGGAATCTATCACGGTAATTCAAACATACTGTACGCCATCTCGGTCCATATCCCTTTGCCTTGTTAGCATCCTATTGTCCGAACAAGTCTTCAGAGGTCATAATCTTACCATCATCAAGAGCCGGAGATCACCACTGCAGAGTGTCTGGCCAATATACATCTCTTGCCTGTGAGAATAGATACCGCTCTTCTTATCAAGCAAGTCCTTAACTGCTTTACCACTTGAGAGCACAATCAAAGTCTTAGTTCCCAGTATCAGGCTGTATATTGGCCCATATTCTCGAGCCCATTTTTCGAATTGCAGATGGGCGTCTCGCAAAGGCATCTATAGTCACTTGCGTCAGGATTTAGATGTGGGAACTCTGGCTGGGAGACCCCACCTGATGAATGTTGCCAATTAAGGGGAGAGTTGGAGGTCCAGGTGGGTAATTTTTGGGCCTTCTACCAATCGAAAGAAGTCGCATAAGGATGGCAACGAGGCCCGCCAGTGCTAAAAGGGTGTAAGTCAACATCTTGTTCGATCAAGGAGCAATTACATCAGAAATAATCATGGTATCGGGAGATACCTTATATATGCCAAAAATCATGGGTTCCCTTCGATACCGTGGTCTCTTCCGTTCCATGGAGCAACTCCATCATAGTCGGAGACAATGTGGAGTAGAGCGGACGCGGGGGTGGGAGAGTATAGGGGCGGTGCGGGGGTGGGGGTGGCGGTGGGTTGATAATCCTTCCGATTGGGTGCAGTAGCAAGGTGTGGTGATTTAGCGCGACTAGATCAGATCGACGGACCATCGTACGGGAAAATGTCAGCAGCTCCGGCGATGGGACGAGACATTTCAATCGTCTAAAAGGAATGCAGAGTTCCGCAAAAATACCACACCTCAAGCAAATTATTTTCGTCTTTGGGTTTTAAATAATGATTACTGAAGCATTAGTGGTTGCTGAGCCAGGCTCGCCATTCATGTACCAAGAGGTACATGTGGATGATAACATTCGAGATGATGAAGTTCTTGTGGAAATGAAGGCCACAGGCGTGTGCCACACCGACCTTAACTTTCGTAATGAGAAGACGGTTCCTGGGCTATTTCCTGCAGTTTTTGGTCACGAAGGTGAGCCAGCCATTCTTTGCTGTCAAAGTCGCCCTCTCGGCAATTATCATTGGATTACTGACCATTTCTCGCCCAAATCATCCTCCACGAGAGTTCTATCGGAATTAAAAAGCATATTAAATTTCTGTAGCTGACGGTTTGAAATAAGGTGCAGCAATCGTCGTCAAAACCGGCTCTAAGGTCCGCACCACTTCTCCAGGTGACCACGTCCTCTTAACATATACGTGCTGCGGAAATTGCAAGTACTGCAACAATAAAGACACGTCCTACTGCTATGACTGGGAGCGCGATAATTTCGGTGTTGGGAGAGCCGACGGATCGAAATCCTATGCAGAAAAATCTGGAGCCGCCATCACGTCACATTTCTTCGGCCAGAGTTGCTTTGCCAAGTACGCAGTTGTTGCAGCGAATAGCGTAGTCAAAGTTGATAAAGATCTACCACTAGATTTATTGGCCCCGTTGGGCTGTGGTATCATGACTGGAGCTGGAGGTGTGTTTCACCTAGTACGGTCCCAAATTTTATGGACAGAAATTCTAACGGAGCAATTAGCAATGCTGAATGTAGTCAAGCCAACTGCAGGTTCAACGGTACTGATTGTAGGAGCTGGTGCTGTAGGACTGGCCGCACTGATGGCTGTAAAACTTGCCCCGTCAAAACCTAGCAAAGTTATTGTCGTTGACATTGTTTCTGAACGTCTTGGGCTTGCGAAAAAGTACGGGGCAACAGATGTGGTGAATTCGAAAGACCATCCAGATCTCAAGGCCACGCTCATGGCCATTACGGAAGGCAAGGGAGTTGATGGCGCTATAGATACAACAGGTCGTCCTGAAATCGTGGGAAAGCTTCTTGAATCTGCGGCCAAGAAAGGTGTAGTAGTGACCGTTGGTGTCGGCAGCGTGAGCATCTCCGGAAGCCTGGGATGGCCTTTACTCGCATCTTCTACCTCTGCTGATAAGATTTTAGCTTACTGCAGAAGTGTCCACTAATATATTCAACACCGTCAACTCTGGCCGAACTTATGTCGGGTGCGCTATGGGAAGCTGCTACCCTCAAGAATTCATCCCGGTGCTGCTTACTGCCTGGCACGATGGCAAATTCCCATTCACGGACTTGATCAAGAAGTACCCAGCAGAGGATATGGAGATAGCTGCAAAGGAGGTCTTGGATGGGAGCGTAGTCAAGGCGGTGTTAGTCTGGAAATGAAGAATATTTCAGGCGTTTGATGAAGATACTCCTACACAGTATAATTGAAGCTTCAGCTTTTTTGCGCTCCGACCCCTCGCCGCATCTTCTGCTCTCAGAATACCCACTCAGCGTGTTCAGGGGTAATCTTTCCGGATGCCTGTGCCTGCCAACCAAGACAAAGGCGTTGAGGACCGTATTCTACCACCCGCTGACAAGATTACGAACTACGAATAGGCCCAAAAGGGATGACTAATAAGTGGTTATAGTCAAGTAAGTGGTAATCCAGAGTATGGATCAGGACGATTAATCTAATTACAAGAGTATGGGCCTAGGAACCGGATATATAGGACGTGCGTACGCCAAGCCTGACTCAGCAACGCTAGTCCATATACGTATTTCTGACACCCGCTCTCAAGAACCGAACCCACGTGACAACCCCGCATTTTCATCACCTTCGCACTGACCCTTGAATGCAGATTTCAAGGTCTTGCAGTTACTTCCTCGTATCTAAGAATGAGAGGCTGATCTGCTCAGCGTCTCCTTAAACATGTCGAACTTCTCAGAGCGTCATCGCTGCTCCATCTGTCTAAAATGCTACAAACGGCGAGAGCATTTGCAACGGCACACCAGCTCTCATAGCTCTGACCGTCCACACCACTGCACCTCGTGCAGTGGGACTTTCCAAAGGGCTGACGCCCTTAAACGACACCTTAGGACGTGTGATGGGAAAGCAAACGGGCCATCTGAAACTCCTACCAAAAGACGAGCATGTGATCGCTGCGTGCATCAAAAAAAAGCTTGCAGCTCTGGTCAGCCTTGTCAGAATTGCCAGAAGAGGTCGTTGTTATGCTCATATTCATTTGCTTCGAATACCGCGTTGCCCAAAGACGACACAATTCTGCGCAGCGACCAGGTCGGAAGCCAATCTTTCTTTGGCAATGAAGCTTCAATGTTTTCAGACAACAGGTGTTCGATCTCGCTTGACTTTGATGATGTAACATTTGAGCACTTTGATGCGGATGCCCTTGGCATACTCCCAGATTTCGACCTTTCCGACTACCCAAGCGCAAATTGGCTGGACTTGATAAACTTGACGGTAGAAACTCGACCGCCCCAAGAAACCCGCGCTTTATCTACAAACAGCCATGAGTATTCGTTTCCTTTCCTGGATAGCTTCACAAGTCGAACTGGGTTCGTCTCTTCCTTTGATTGTGGATCCTTGATCCAGAGACAAGGAGTTCTAGTAGCAGTCCTTCGGTCTTTAGCCAAGGGTGAACCGGCCCTTTCGCAATTGGTGCCAGGGCATCTGGATTTTGGAACAGGGCATTCAAAAGATGCTACACCACTGGCTACAATTCCACTGTTACAATCTTCGTGGCCCTACGACCCTCTCTCGTTGAAGACGAGTGAAATTATCCTTCTTGTTAAAGAGGTAGTAACGGTGAAGCCACGAAATAGCGCCGTAACAATAACGTGGTCACTAGCATTAGAGGAAAAGTGTTCTGTGTTCTTTTCATCAACGAATCTTCGAAAGTTTCTGGAACTCTATTGGGCGATCTGGCATCCTAATGTTAATTTTGTGCATCGACCTACGTTCAATCCAGCGGGTTGTAAACCTATCCTGCTTGCGTCGATGGCGCTGATTGGTAAGTGTTGCTCCTTCTCTGCTGGTTCTTCTCTCACTGTCGCAGGGGCTTGCGTTTCACCCGACCCTGCAGATAACGAAGACGCGAAGACCTGGTTTAATTGTGTAGAGGAGATGGTCTTCATCGATGATGACTTCTGTAGCGACACGCTCTCTACTAACACTGCTCCATTCAATCCTCCATGGGATCGGCGAAAGATAGAAGCTCTTCAAGCTGCCTATATGGTTGTTCTCTACCAGAATTGGGAAGGCACTGATGCCAGCAAACGTCGTATGCGACGATATCGCTACAGCAATGTTGTTTCTGTAAGCAGTCTAGAGCCTTCCGTTTGGCAGTCTAATTTACATTATTAAACAGGCTGCTAGGGATATCAGTATAGGTAGTGCGAAGCACGCCAACTATAATCAACAAACCAAACAGGAATTCAATTGGGGTGAGTTTGTGGCTAGAGAAGAACTCATTAGGTAAGGCTCAGTACTCGATTTGTCTTCTCAGCCTCTGATTTTCTCTATAGGACATTCTTGTGGATATTTTTACTTGACCATGCTTTCACCATATTCTACAACCTACCTCCTCGAATGGTTATCAAGGAAATGAAGATGCACATGGCATTCCCGGAATCTTGCTTCCAAGCGGCCACAGAAGATGAGTGCTATGAACAAATTCAGTCTTGGATGTTAGGTTTAGGTCGAACTTGCTGCATTACTCTCCGCACAGCTGTTGAGGATGCCTGCGAAAAGGTCCTCGTGCAGGACACTCACCGGAACTTAGCACGCCTAGGGCCGCTCAATTTATTCGCGATAGTATCAGGTAAGGATTTTCAGAGTTTGTGTCTATCTAGTAAATCATTGACATGTCGTACAGCTCTTCACGCTCTGATTTTCCAATATCAGAACTCCTTTGGCGGAGAGGCCCAAGTAGTATCAATTCGGAATGCTCTAGGTAACTGGATACGAATCTGGAAAATTTACTCTACCGAGCTTTCTAGCACTCCGCCACACGTTCTCATCAACGACTGCCTTAATCCGGAAAACATGTGGAGAAGGGTTGGATTCTTGCGCAATTCTCTGGAGTATTGGTCACTCGCAAGTCTCATTCTAGATCGGATCTCAACCTCGAGTACCAACCAGCGAGATCATGGAATTACATCGGATACAAATCTAAGCCGCCGTACTGCTCTACAGGATGGACCCGCTTCTCCGATCCTTGATAAATACGACCAGACAAGTATGCGGCAAGTCAATGATCTAATTGCCGATTTTCAGAAGGTACAAATATGTTAGTATTTAAAGGACTGGGGGTTGGGGGACTTATTCCCAATTAGTAGGCGTTGGCTACAATAGTTACATTAGTAAGCTCATATTAGACCTCTTAGCAAAGTACAAGCCTAGGTACTTAGTAGTATTACGCTAAAGTACTTTACCTTATATAAAGGTAATTAACTTACATATACGAAGGATCTAGTCAAAAGTCTTATTGTGGCGGGGTGGAATTGTAGGGTATCACGTGAGTATACGACAAGGGGGAATAGGGGTATAAAGGAGGCTTCGGTGTAGTGTATTCTCTCCCTAGGTAGTTACAACTCCAAAAAACTTTGATTCGTAGACAAGCACTTCTACTCCTTCACACTAGTAAGCCTTATATCGAAGTAATTATAGAGGGGTTAGGACGGGGTAAGTAGATAAATAAATAAGACAAGGATGAAATCTAGGGATAGCCTCACAGTTACCTAATTCCGCGATTCCTGAGGGGGAGTGCTGAGGTTCGACACTGTCGAATATCAAGGCTTTTGAACGGTTTTCAGAAGTATACCCACTGTGGCAAATATAACCTACTTTTACCTGATATATTGAGGACTTCTCCTCCACCTCTATTACTAGAATCAATCAAGTCGTTCCATCGATTTCAAGGCCTCCAAATCTTTGACAGGTGGCGAACACCAGAGGCAACCTTTGTGACTGTGCCCCCACATTTATTCCCCAGATAGTTGTCACCTGTCGTTCTAATACAGATTAAAACGTTGCGGAAACTGTGGCCAACAGTGTGGACTTCGATTCCGACGTGGCCATCTACCAGGGGTTCGCCAATTGCGTTGCCATCATCAAAATAGAGCGACTTTAGTATTCTAAAAGAATCAATCTTAAGTTTTAGAAGGCGATCTGGCTGGTTGGCAGATTGCAGCTCTGGGATAATGGTCACAGAATTGGTATGAGCTGCGATGCGCATATTGTTGCCTGGATCCTCAAATAGGCGATTGATATATAGGGCGCGGCCTTCGTCAGAGAGTTCACTGTCATTGATGCCATAGCCCTTCCCCGGAACGAAGGCCTGACGAAGAGTAGCGCTACGGGCCAGTCCGCCGAAAGGTTGCTTACAGGATTTAAATCAACAGTGATACATGGAAACCCCCCTTGCTCTACACGAACTAACCAGGCAAAACCTTGAAATAGCGATAATCTAGATGGTGCTTTCCACTACTCTCCCACCGTGGGTGACCAAACGAAGACGAACTGTGTTTTGGTTGAGCCGCTGCAGGATTTTGAAACCTGAATGAGAGGTTTCTTGGGGGGCTATTGTCTAGCTCACATAGATGCCACAGATCTTGCCGTGGAGAGCGATATTTTTGAGGTTCGAGAAAGTAGACAATTTGGGCGAAATACCTTGCAACTCCAGTGCGCGCTTTGTTGCATCGACCAACATCTAGCTTGCCTCGATGCGGTTTTTGGATAGACACTCACCACTTGACGCGAGATTGGCATGGCTTTTATCGTGTCCTTTTCTGTCTCCTCGGTGGCTGTTGCTACTATGACTCCGGCCACATGTTCGAGCGGGCTCAAGACACTCGGTGCACTGGCTTGGAAGCCGTGAAGACCGTCTGCTGCAGCACATCACACTGACGGCTTTCCGTCAGAACAGGGCCAATTCACGCCATGGTTCCACTGCGTAGTGGGAATTGAATGCCCAGAGTAGCCGAGTGATTATAATTAACATTGCCTTGATTGAGTTGTGCTGCCCTGGGTCTATATAAACCACCAGTGTCTGCTAATGACGGTGTCGCCTTTGGGTTGACGAGCACAGTACGTCTTCGAGCATTCAGCGTACTGACGCCACGGCACCTCATTGGGAGCATGATGCAAGTCACAAGAACCTATGATAGGTAGTAGTCACGGCGGGCCGGTGGGAGGCCGCGGTTGCAACGATACTCATACTCGTAGACGAGTGCCGAGCATGATCGAATGCTCGTTGTGTAGGCGATGACGGTCCCTACGAGTAGCCGTGGACGCGGGGGTGATCCTTAATCTGGGGAAGATCCAGGAGCTGGGATAATATTGCGGGGTGTGGAGACCTAAACTTTCTTCACTTGTTAGGGTTGCCGCGGTTATTATGTTTTTACACGTTTTAGGTACTTACCTAGGTCAATAAAGCTTGTACTGTAGGGAACTAGAACTAGACATGTACTGGACTTAGATGTTACCAAAGTTAATACCAGTAAACCCTACAGCGACTAGACCACCAGTGTGGAATACAAGTAAATGTTTGGTAAAAGGCTACTAAGCCGTTACGCGTATGGTCTATAGATCTCGAGCTAAAAGGTGGGGGGACGATCCCTAATCCGGGGTAGTTTTGCGGGGTGTGGATAAACCCGAACAACAGACAGCTTCCCGTGTAGTCGATCGTCTCTGACATCCCTCGGAATTTATTTTACAAGTATCTCTTAGGTGAAAACGACGCTTGGTTGATCGGCCTGGGGGTGGAGCTTGTGGGAGAGCTAGAACTAGGCATTGAGACATCATGAGCGCCGATGGAAAGCCCCACGGCGACCATAATACAAGAAACAAATAAATGTTTGGCAAAAGGCTGAGCTGAACAGTCTGAAGTATCTTGAAGAAAATCTGACTTGGACAACGAGACCAACGAGATCATGTCACAGCTCATGAAATGGGCGGGCTCGCTGCCACTCCTCGCATTGTGCTGGGCTCCGCTCCTGATGCTGGCTCTCTACATTCTGCTCGATTACATCCGTGTACTGCGACTCCGCCGCAGTATGCCGCCAGGCCCATTTCCATGGCCTCTGGTGGGCAATCACTATCAGATCCGGCTGCCACGTCCCTGGTACTACATGGACGAGCTCTCGAAGCAGTACGACAGTCCGCTAATCACCCTATGGCGAGGACACCAGCCCATGGTAATCTTCCACGATGCCTGGTCAATCTCCGAAGTACTGGACAAACGCGCTGCTATTTACTCTTCACGGCCGCAGATGGTGATGCTGGGCGACTCTCGCAACGCTTCGGCACACGACCAGGCGGTCTTGCCGTACGGCGACGTCTGGCGTCAGCATCGCCGTATGATGCACAATGCGGTGGGCATGCAAGCTGTTCGCGCTCACCGGCCGTTCCAGGACAACGAGGTCAAAGTCATGATTCGTGACCTCCTCCAGACTCCCGAGCAGTTTGTCAAGGCCATCGAGCGCTACTCGGTTTCAGTCGTGTCGTGTATTGGCTTCGGGCGCCGCGTCGATCAGAGCGATGACAGCGTTGCTCAGATGGCGCTCACGTTCATGGAAGGCGTCGATCTTGTCATCCCCGGGCTCTTCCTCATGGAGTCGATCCCGTTCCTACTCCAGCTGCCCCGGTTCATCTACCCGTTGGCGTCGAAGGTCGTCAACAATGGCCGTAAGATTGTCAATTTCTTCACATCGGTCTCACACGAAGGTGCCACGGCCTCACAGCCCAACTTCTCCCAGCTGCTGGTGAAGGAGAAAGAAGCGGGAAAACTGAATGATGAGGAGATCGCCTTCCTAACAGGCAACCTCATCGGCGGCGGCGTTGATACGACGGCGAGCACGACCATCACTTTCATCTTCGCCATGTGCATCTTCAAAGACGTGCAGCGCAAGGCCCGCGAGGAGCTCGACCGTGTCGTCGGTTCTGATCGAATGCCAGACTGGTCAGATGAGTCGCGACTCCCATACATCCAGGCCATCGTGAGCGAATCCCTTCGGTGGCGAACGGTGACCATCCTCGGCGGTATTCCCCATGCCCCCATCCAGGACGACGTGTATGAGAACTACCTCATCCCCAAGGGCACCTGGATCGCCGGCAACGTATGGAGCATCCACCGCAATCCAAAGGACTTCCCAGATCCGGACGTCTTTCGACCAGAACGCTTTCTCGATGAGGCCCGCCCTTTTCCAAGTAAGAAGGGCCACAGCGCCTTTGGCTGGGGTCGCCGGCAATGCAGTGGGCAGCCTCTGGCAGAACAGGGGCTGTTTCTGACTATGGCGCGGCTGCTGTGGGCATTTGAGATCAAGCCCGCTCTAGACGAGAATGTAAGTCCGATCCTTGATCTAGGGGAGTTTTTTCGCCGTGACCCGAACTAACGATGGGATGCGTTGAATAGGGAAATGAAGAGCAACTAGATGTCTTCGCTTTTGGGACGTCTGAGAACATGCGTCCCTTGCCGTTCAAGGCGCGATTTCTACCGCGAAGCGACCAACATCGAGATATTGTTCTCCGCGACGGGGCCGAAGCGCGGGAGGCCCTGCGGCCGTTTGACGGGAAATCGGGGGTTCAGATGCCTGAATTGGAAATATAGATGTATGAAAATTCATTTTTAGAATATGAAGAAACGAATATATGTTCCTCGATAGCTCCCCTTAGATTTAGTCGTCTGAATATAGATATAAAAAGGTTTTGCATGATGTTCGTGTTGTAAGAACTTATGTATAATCTATAATGCGGAGTCGTGCACCGTAATATTCTTACGGCCAAACTTGGGTCGTCGTGTGGAGAATTTGGAAAGTAAAAGATAGATTCCAACCCTTTTGAACTCGGAACTACTCTGATGCTAGGACATAGAAAAGAGAATGAGAATCTTGAAGTAATTTTTCTATAGTAAACATTTTCTGATCACTGCAACGGGCGTTTCATCTAAGCTTTTTTAAGCTAACTCATCTCTCAGCTACTTGTCTAAGTGATTTAATGGCTTGCTGAGATTCGTTCACCACCCTAATGGGGACCTGTGACAGTGCTTATATAGCTGTTCAGATGTTGTCGATATTGTTGCCACTAATAGTTCCGATGAATGGATAGCCAAGGCCATTTGGAAGGATGAATTTAGTGACCACATTTCGAAGAGCAAAAAAAGCTTTCCGTTGTCGCTAGGTTTGAGGACAAATGTCTCATGCCATCTCCAAATTGTTTGTATCAGGTCTCATAGAGCTCCGTTGAGTAGACCCCTTTCTCAAGATAGAGTGAATGCGTGGTAGCCAAAATAGCAACGCAACCGGACCTCTTCGCCAGCTATCTCGCAGTATATCCAACCAAACGTGAACCGCCCAGACCAAAATGGGTTCAGTCGCTCCCTTATCTGACAGTTCCAGTGTGATATCAAGTAGGTTATAGAGTCCTTCAGCAGTTGCACAAGTCGCAACCAGAAAACATGCTGAACAGGTACAGAAGGATGATTGGGCAAAGTCCCTCCTGGCGATACAATATCTCCGATAGAATTCAAATCTAGGTGGTTTATTGGGTTGGGCTGCACCAAATCTTAATACTCTGCTGCAAGGGTTGAAGAACCGTCCAACTGATCTCATGGGTCGCTCTAGCAAAGAGGTAACGGGCAACACAGATCCCTTCGCCCATCGATAAATGTTTCAAGTCGGCAAGGTTGATTGCGGAGTGATTGACCCCCGACTGTGTACCATCTTTTGGGGCGGTGGGACTATTTCAAAATGCGTAAGGCGACTCCCGCACCGTCAGCTATCTAAACTGCTAAATTTCCCATCAGTGACGGGGTAGCCATTGTGTCGCACATTAAATTAAGCACAACAACGATGCCAATAAGAGCTATTTCCGAGGTGCAATCACTCACGAGAGCCGAAAAATGGCCCTGTTCGACAATCGACATCATGTGGACTCTGAATATATATTACTCTCTCTCCTGCAATCGTCCTATTCATCGTACAAGCCCACATCTCTTACAGACTCCCGTCACCATTCTGCATGATTGTATCAGCCATAGCGTGCAGTACTTTGGCAGATGATTTCGAACACCATTTCCCCATGCCTTCCATGAGACAGGCAAAGTCTAGTAAGACCCGGCGTGCTGAGCGGTAGTCACCCGAGACATTGTGACTCGAGAATGAGACGGGACCACCATGTCTGATGAAATGGATGGCTAGATCAGATCCATTTCGGAGCTGCTGGGTAGGAAGGGGGATGTTGGGATCTTCGGCATCTACAGCGTCCAGACCTATCGTGCCGACGCGGCCCCAATCTATCGGATCGAGCAATTCTAGCCGCTGCTCCGTGGAATCGGACCCGCCGATATCCGGTAACGAGTAGAGATAAAAGGCTAGAACGAGGGCAGAAATGAAGACACTCGTGATCGTGTCCAGTCGGACCCGAACGCCGTCGGATATTCGTCGGTTCGAAACGACGGCATAGACCTGGGCAGCATGCAGGCAGGCTCTGCGAGCAGCCGGTGTCCTAGCCCATACACCTATGTCTACCCGTGCCTTCTCAGCGTCTGGCTGGCCTTTACATCCGGCGGCTAACTCAAATAGGCGGGTGTTGGAGGTGAGACAAAGGCATAGATGGTGCCAGAGAGCCATGCAATTGAGGTCCGCACCGTTCTGGCAAGGGCTCTGCTTGAAATGTAGACTGCAGGTGAGCGGGATTAGATCGCGTGCTCGGAGGTCCTTGTTAAAGACTCGGCATGGGGCTAGGAAGTCCTCGTTCATGCCGGTGTAAGACGCTGCCGGGATAAGTCGGTGATAAGCCTCGTATATGCGTAGTTGAAAGCTACTCAGCAAGCTATACATGCTGAACGTATCTAGGCGGTTCGCCGTCTGGAATAGGCACGGATCCTGGACATATGGGCTAATGAAAGGGGGTATGATTTCCCGGCCAGCTAGTGAGAGTTGCCTCCATTTAATTTCGGAGTCGGCTTCAAACAGGATATTGTCGCAGGGTAAGCATATGTGAATCGCTTCGGCCCGGGTCGCTGGTGCTGTAAAAAGATAGTTTGAGTAGAAGTTATCCAACATTACGAGCGCAACTATTAGACTACGGCCCATCAGCAGGTGCGCGGCACAAGGAAGCCAGTGCTCATCTCACCGTTTAGTAGACTCTATCCGGGTCCACGCTCGCCACCGTTGCCCGGGATCCACCGTTTCGTCAAGAATCTTCTTTATTAGTTCGCTATCGTCGGCAGAAAAGAGACCACATTGCTGAGAAAACTAGCGAGACTATTAGTAAGTGTTGACACAATGGGTAGACGAAATTTACCGCATAGATATTGGCATAAAGGAACTGTGTTCTTGCCAATTTAGACTGGTCCTGCAATAAGGTCAGATACATCCCCATATGGCCCTGGGGTGTGAGAGACGACAGCTTTACGAACCTGCGTAATCGCTGCCAGGTTGACAGTTAGGCATGCCGTTGCCACCATTGACAGCTGCTCAGCCACTGGTCGGGACTGAGAACAACTGATCGCCATTTCCGAGCATGCACGCGTTAATAATGCCTGGATGGTGGATCTTAGCAATGAGAAGAGAAATAGAAGGGCGTTTTATTACTGGAAAAGAAGCTTCCACGAACTGTCTCGCGCCACTTGTGCCGAGAATGACAAGGCCGACGAGACAAATAGCAAAGAGCAATGGTGGCGGCGTTCTGCAGGGGTCGAAAGTGGGTGTGTGAATGAACGGAACCGTGGGATGGAAGCTGCGAAAATATAGGTCCAACGCGATATCGAGCAGCTCAACGGGTGGGAAGGGTAAATTGGGTCTATGGGACGATGGCAGCTCCAACCTGGGCTCATCAGCGCTCCCAGAATCATATCCGAATTCTTTCCTAAGACGTAAGTAGCATGCCTCGTCGAAACCCCGGCGCTCCCCTCGTTGCTCGTTGGCAGTTGGGCTAGGAAGCAGCGAGAAGATGTTATCGTGCGGACAGGAGGAGAGGCACGACCATAGATCCGATTTGAGGCGATATCCACGACTCGGATCCATCGGCCAGCATTCTTGGAGAATATCGCATCGCTCTGCCGACATGCCTCTGCTGCCGATGGAGGACTCGACTGGCGGCTGAAACTGCACTGGTAAACCGAACGTGACATCGTCCAGCACAACACCGTAGGCTCCCAAGCCGTTGCCTATGTCCATGGAGAAAAGATTATCGGTACGGAAATCAGACTGATCCAACCACCACCGCATGGCGTCAGCACTCTCATTGATCGTGGGCAGGCTGAGCTCGGAGGGTGTCCTCGCAGCCGCTTCTTCTAGAACACCGGCCGGGAAGTCTATACAGTCCGGCATGTTATTGGTGGCGGCATTATTAGCATAATCTGGATTCTGGCTGCATTGACTACGTCGGGTCAGTCTAGAGTGGTTGTTGGGGGCTGGTTGAGAGTGACCAGGAACATTATTGAATTCGAGCATCGCGATCTCGGATATCATGAGATTCTGTGAAGGCGACGGCTGCATCCCCCTCGATACGAGTTCAGCGAGGTCTGAACAGTGCAAAAGCTGGTTTGGTGTCTGTCCGGGAGAGGTTCCGGCATTTATCTCACGTCTCTGTTGTAGTTGTTGGGTAGCTTGTTCATATGACGCTGACCGATTGTTAAGTCCTGCTGGCGGAGAGTGGGCGAGATAGGCGCGGTGACTTCTTAAATGACGGAGGAGAACATCGCTACTCGTACACATATCAGTCAATATGCCAATCTCTATGCACAGCTAGGCCAATGGCTACTCCCTACCTCCTAGCGAAGCTCTTCCTGCAAAATTGACATTCATACGGTCGCTCTTTTGTGTCTAGAGGCTGGTTAGGAGATTGGTTGTAATTTGAGGAGGATTTGACCTACGACTCCGTATGTGTCGCTTCAGATGTTCGGTTTTCGAGAACGTCCGGCCACATCTTGGGCAATCTTTCGACGTAGTCATGTCTCAACAAAACGTTCCAGAGCCAGAACTAGAGCTAGAGCTAGAGTTACTCAGCTCCAACCATTGTCAATGGATTGAAATATCAAGCTGGAGTCTCGATCGACGTTGCGGACTCGAGGCACGTACCACTGACCACGTGACGGAATGCGGGGGAATGCTTGGTACGGAGGTCCAATGAGGAGCTGGGCCTTGGACTATTAGTTAGCCAACAACTCCTGTCTAATCCGCCAGCATTGGGATTCTGCTCTTTAAGCTTTGACCCCTTAGTGATGGTCTGTACTGCATAGTCTCAGCATAAATTCTTATTATTTTCCCTTTTTCACTCTTGTCACTCTTTTCACTCTTAACCTCTTCACTTAATAATCGACTTGCGGTCTGGTTCCTCATCTTGACATGCATAGGGAGTTCTCGTTAATGGAGTAGTAATTGAAAGAAGCCCTCAAGAAGTATCGGACTTCTTAACATGTACATAGTTCCTCGATTATAAAATCAACTTCCTCTGTAGCGTAAGTCGAAGCGGAGGAAAATATAGGCTCTACTACTATCAGTAACCGGAATATGATAGCAATGCGGAAACACTTTATATGATTTAGGTGTAATTAGTATGCCTAACAAGTGCATTTGTTGATTTATATGGCATGTAATGCAATGTACTATTACCCTATGTGTGTAGTGCTCCGAGTTGCCACGCTTGTATACGTAGTAGCTCAATCACTGGTCACCTAACATATTTCTGACAACCTACCTGGGTACTCTGTACTATAACATGCTTTGTAATTGGCACGCCAACTACCTAACATGAGCTTGAGAGAAGTGCACCCGGTGTCCTGGGCGACGCTTGCAGAGTACAAAGTATAAACGCCCTAAAAGGTGGGAGGGCTAAGAGGTGGGAGGACTAAGGATTAAGCCAGGAGCTAAAATGCGGGGGAAGGGATCCGCTTTAGCGCATTCGCTAGAATAATGTGGGGGACCAATGGCATCCGAAGTGGGGACCTGGGACCCCTGTTATATAGCTCACTCCCTACCCGCAGCGAGGAAATGTACTCTGAGCTTCATATCAACAGCCTTTTGTTCGGTCCTGTTCATGAGCTTATTGATACACACAGGACGGCAATATGAGCACCAAGCAAGAGATCTCGCATGTCGAGGAGACCGACTCGTTTCAGCTGGAGGATGATCCGCATCGAGCAGCCTTGGAGCTGAATCCAGAGGTCGCTGAAAGGCCTTCGTTGGTGACCACGCTCGCTGTTTTGGTAAAGCTCCCATCCATTCGAGGTCCAGGAGATGAATATACTCAGCTCATAACTCCTGCTAGTCCCTTGCCATCTCGTTCGCGGCTCCCGTCGGCATCGGCTTCACCCTAGTGGCGGCCGTCATTGTGCAAATCGGCGTGCAACTAGGAGATACATCGTCAATCACCTGGTTCGCGGGCGCCTGGTCAATTGCCTCGTCTGTCTCTTTCTCCATCGCTGGCAGTCTCAGCGACATCTTCGGCCGTCGCTACCTGATTATCGCGGGCAACGTAGTCTCTCTTGTTGGGGCGGTGAGTGCAACATGAAGATAGCCCGGTACATGCGTTAACACGTTGACTGTAGATTGTGGGAGGCACGGCAAAATCGGCCGGTATGATTATTGCCGCCCAGACGCTGTTGGGCTTTGGTTGCGGTCTGGTTTTCGTTGGTTACGCGGGCATTCCGGAGCTGCTTCCTAATAAATGGCGGTCAGTACTCAAGCGCCAGATCAGAAATCCAACCTGATGTGTTTTGACTTACCTTTCATAGTGGTTTCGGACTTGGTACAACCGAGTTCTGCATCGTGATCCCCTGGGGTGGATGCGCCGTTATCATAGCCAATCTGCTCAACAGCCACGCCAGCTGGCGATGGATCTACTACCTTGCTATCATCTACAGCGCCATTGCACTCGTAGGAACCACCGCGTTTTACTTCCCCCCGCGGCGACCGCAGCGTGATTTCGACAAGACTCGGTGGCAGCAGGTCAAAGAACTGGACTACATTGGCCTCTCGCTGTACACCGGCGGTCTGACTGCCTTCCTCGTGGGTCTTACCTGGGCCGGTACCCCAGCGCATCCGTGGTCCTCCGCATCTGTGATCGCGCCAATAGTGTTAGGCATTGCCGGCCTAGCCGCATGTTTTGCGTATGATTTTACAATGGCGAAGATGCCCTTCTTCCCACTACGGCTTTTCGCGGAGGTTCGCAAATTTACCGTCCTATTGGTTTTGGTTTTCGTCTCGGGAATGTGCTTCTACTCGATGTCGGCACTATTGCCCCAAGGCGCCTTGTACATGTACACCCACGATCCCATCGAGATCGGCATCATCTCTCTTCCAGGTGGTCTCGCCCAGGTGCTATCGGGATTCATTCTCCCCTCGCTCTCTCACCGCATCAAGCATATCAAGACCCAGATCATCGTCGCGCTCATCATCCAGACCGTCTTCATCGGCCTCTACTCTGCCGTCATCCCCGGAAACAAGCCTGCGTGGATGGCCTTTCAATTCTTCGGCCAGGGCTGCTTCCCGCTGGTCACCCTGCTCTGCTACTTGACCGCAGGGCTCCATGTGCGCCAGCGTGATCTCGGCATCGCCTCCGGGCTGATCGGTACCTTCCGCAGTGCCGGCGGCAGTGTTGGAAACGCCATCTTCAGCACAATTCTGAATGATGCGGTGAGCAAGCAACTTCCCCGGCGCGTGTCCGCTGCGGCCCTGGCGGCTGGCTACCCAGCCGATGATCTGGCCGCCCTGATTCCCGCCGTGATGCTCAATGGAGCCGGTACACCTGGCGCCTTCGCGGCCGTTCCAAATGCGACGCTCGAGGTGCAGGCCGCCACGGCTGAAGCCTTCCGGCAAGTGTATGCTTACGCTTATCGGCGTGTGTTTTGGGCCACGATTCCATTTGGCGTGTGTGCGATTGTAGCGGCATTCTTCATCCTCGATTCGAGTCGATATTTGACGAACCATGTTGCAGTTCACCTCGAGAACGAGACCGGTCCGACAGAACATCTTGAGGATGGGGAAAAGGTCGCGAATAGCACTAACTCGGATTTGGGAGGTAAAACGAGCCTAACGCCTCAGAAACAGCCCTCAGATACAGACTAGGAAGTCATGGTGTAATTTCTCGTTGGCTCGACAGTCCTGTACTACGTTAGAGTTGAAATCTGTCCGCAAGGACGTGCTCTTGTTAGGAATCTAAATGACAATATAGTAATAGTGGAATCATATTAGTTTAATGACTATATTCTCCGCATCGTAAGTTGTACATATAATGTGTGCCTGCATGAGGACCCGGATGCGAGCTATGTTCCTGATCAGCCGACTCAGTAATACTCTAGCTTAGAGGCTGAAGCTAAGAGTAATACGAGGGAGCGGAGCTGAGATTCCGTTGGAAAATCAGTACATATATGTGAAATGGAAAGTTTGAAATCAGTCGAGAGATTAAATATGGAACGAAGAGATTAACATGAAGTATAGTTGTCGTCAAAAGTAGCGACTCGGGTTAAACGAGCGTCATCCCCGAAGCGGTTGCGCTAAACCCGAAAAAGCAGTGCACTATGACGTAGGTACCTAGGTAGTTTACTTTACTAATAAGAAATCCGCTATTACCGATCGATAGAAGGAATTTGAGAACGATACAAGGGGGCTGAAATAGGATATCCAGGGAGTTACTACTAAATCGATTTCTGTCCATGTTTGCCAAGTTGGCAAGTACGAGTAGAGTATACCGACTTAAACTCTTGACTAACCTAAATTAGATTCACAACCTTACTTGAGGGTTAATCTTTATTATTCATAAACGCATCAATCACTATTATCATGATCTCCCCGCTCTAAATCGCCGAAATACACATCATAAGCAGGCCGACCAGCAGCAGAAAGAAAATCACTCCGTGACCTCAGCGGCGGCAGATCCGGCATACGCAGCCGGACCAGCTCAGTCTCGCGGCACCCACACGCCGGCGCGGCCCACATCATACGACCTACGACTCTCCCATTCTTTTCCAGCAATGCCATACCATTAGGAATCGACATACGGTACTGCAGCCCGGGTATCCGGTACGCGTTTGCGCGGTGCAGGTCAGCCGCGGACGCGTCAAACGCACCGACGCGGAACGGCACGGTGCGGTGGCAGGAAGCGCAGGTAATTGCCCACGATGTGGTTGAATTACTGGCAGTGCATGGTGTTGTAGCGGCCAAGGCTGGACGCCAGTCGACTTTCAGGCTCGTCGCTGGTGATGGTCGACAGCGATAAGGCGTTGGCAAGCCACTCTGCGCCTTCGGGGCCAGGAGCCGTACCGGCATTCTGGATTGTTAAAACGAGTGCAAAGAGCCTTTTCGACGGCATCGAGGCTGTTGGCTGTTTTGAGGGCTTCCATCATGATGTCCTGATTTGCGCCGTAGAGCCTGGTCCCGAGCGATGCGACGAAGTCGTTAAGATTTGGTCCAGTGAGCTCCAAGGTCAGCGCGGCGCGGCGCGCGAAATCCTTCATAGCGTCGCCCGTTTCGACTCCGCCATTTGCGTGTCGGGCCAGAGCAACAGTACACATCTTCTCGAGCCCCAGTGCCACCGTCTGGCGGTCGGCATCAAAGGACGGCGCCTCGATAGAATCCGGATTGCTCGTCTGCTCGCCCAACTCCTAGGTCTAGACATCGTTATAGCCGGCATTGACTGCGTAATTTCGATGGGCGCGAGGATCAGCACTTCCAAGCATGATGAGGGGATGGCTATAGTCCCCAGCCTCTATGCAGCCTCTTGCAAGTTCGGCAAGCTCCGTGAGGAAGTCGTTTCGAAACAGCATCTTTGGTCTTGCAGTAATGATCCCACTTACGGCGTAAAGGAAATCACCTTGGTCGCGACATCCTCGTTTCGAAAGCAGGGCATAGGCCATTGCGAAATTCGTCGTCCTCATCGCCTTGACTTCCCCTAGAGGCCCAAGATTCCACGGGACCAGATTTCGTCCCATCTCCACCTTGCGCTCCAGATCAAACACGCTCGGGTGCTTCTTGAGCTCCTCATCCCACACCTCCTTCAATCTTCCTAGGAAACCGGGATCGGACGGCTCGCCCAAGGCTGGTAGTCGGCGGTCATCATCCTGACGCGGCCGCTGCGCACGAATTCCATAGCGGTCCACATATGCCCAAACCACAGAGCATTGCAGACACCCGTCATGCCCTGCAGATGCTCCAAGGGCGAATTTCCATACCGAAGCTTCTGCACAAGGTCGTCACTCAGATCGTGGAAGTAGAAGAGCGTCGTGGCTGCTGAGCTGAAGATGGTGTGGATAGTGGCCAGGATGCACGTCTTGATCTCGCCGGTCCACTGTGGGACGCTGAAATAGTCATGCCACAGCTCCTCGCCGTCCTCGTCTCTTTTGTCCCGCATCAATCCTTCGTAGACGTGAATAGGCGACTCGATAGCTAGACGTCTGACGTCGGCCGGCTGTGGCGAACGGCGGTTCTGCATTTGCGCGACCCAGACTTGTGGATCCCAGACATGAGAGACACCCGTAAATGCGATATCATACTGCAACAAGCAGTCCAGGTGTCTGTCGTAAAGTATGATGTCCCTGTCGAGGTGCGTCGCGATGACGCCGCTACAGCCCAGAGACTCCAGCGATCGGCCGCCTGTCTGCCCGACTCGAAAAGTTCGAATCAGGGCGCTCTGTGTAAACTGCTTTTCGCATATCGGGCATCGTAATTTTTGAGGGTCCGGCTCGTACCATATCGTCTCGAGATCCGGGATGTTAGTGCTAGGGGCAACAGCAGCAGGTTGTTGGCTCATGGCAGCCGTTACAGAATGCGGGGCACGAAAAGGACAAGGATCTAGGGCCAGAAGTGCGGGGCGGGCCGAATGGCAGGATATATCATATAAGTACCTGTACCTTGAGATACCTTCTTAGTGGCAAGTTGTTATAGCTTATCAAATCAGCAAGCCCACGACGTAAAATTTATCTGCAGTCAGAAATAAGCCTTACGACGGTTCTAAAAATAAGTCGAACCGGGACGCCCTCACAAACTCATTCGTTGGAGTTTTCCGGCATTTGAATATTGGAGAGCGATATAATAAGGAAAATTATACCTAACTACTACACTCATTGGCTTAGAGGAAAACAACTCTCTCTTGGGCTGGTTTTTCGAGAGCGACATCGGCGGCAATGCTCTTGTAACTTGTAGTGGTATCCTCCCAATATCTCGGGGCAGTGTCAAATCCTGCGAAGTACGTAGGTACCTGGCTAGGTAGTAATTGAACTTTCGATTGCCTCACCAGCGCGACTCAAACCCCCAGCAAGGATGTAGACAGCGACATCTAGCCGAACCATTTGCTACGTTGACTTCTGATTTTTTTCTCTCCCATGTACGGCAGTAGCTACCTATTTTTTGGGCTGTATTCGGTTTGGTTGTGTAACTTTTATCGCTAATTGTCCCTACCCCTTTTTAAGCGAGGGGTAAGCTGGGAGATGATCGCAAGGTAAGTTTAGGTAGCAAAGTCGATTCTGTCGTTAAAATAACTTGATAATTGCAGTACTCCCATGGTGTTAAGGCACGGTGAATATCCCACTGCTCATTAATTGGCATTCTCTTCCCGTTTTCCGTTTAGTTTTCATTCTGTTTTTCTTTTGATCCTTTCAAGTCTTCGTCGACCTTGATGATGTTGCTTGCTCGGCTATAGTCTTCTCTAAAGAGTGATAACTATCAGTTGCATGGTAATTGGAGGTACTGTTGGTATATGTAGTTGACATTCCTCGTATTCTAAGTTCAGATTCACCTTGCTTGGTTACTTGCGTTGTGCCGATTGTCATGAAGCGTCTACATTGCATTCGACTAATATTATAAAATAGGAACATAAAACTCGAAATCGGGCTGATATTTGCAATCCTATTATACCATAATGGTATCCTGTTCAGGATCCAGGATATTGCCATTCGCTGTATAACCAGCATCCTCCAGGAGCCCAAGTCCATCCATCTCCCTCAAGGTGTACTCCACTAGGTAACTCTCGTCTACCAGCTCTTCCATCCTCTTGTAGTGTCTCTCCGTATATACTCTCAGCCCATCCAAAAGTTCCTTTAGACTCTTGTTCCCTTTCCCTCCCTTGACCTTCAGATTTGACAACCGAGATGCGGGATAGCTCTTTACCAATGTCCACAGAACCCTTTGGGCGACAGGTGCAGTTCTGGCATTAGTATTCCAATCTCTGATCCTGAGTAGTAACTTAAAGATTTGATCATCCGACAGGGATCCGAGAACTTCATCAACTGCCTTCAAGCCACAAAGACTGCCCTCTTCCGGAGAATTGGTGGTCACAACGGAAGTGAACAGAGCGAGGAGACGCGCAGGGTGGTTGAGCTGAAGTGCAAGAGTAATTGCGGAGCGATAAGACCCGGCGTGAATGTAGTTTTGAAGCTGTTGCTCCTGTTCAACAAACTCGGTCGCAGCAGCAGTAGACGCTGCCTGTGTTTGCGACGTGGTATCTTTCCAAAATGTCACGGTGGAGTCGCCACTGCCCGAGACAATCATATTCGTGGTAGGATGTACTGTCAGAGCCCACACGCGATCCTCATGATTATCCAAAGTAGTCGCTGATTCGCCAGTATTCGCATCCCACACCTTCACGAGTCCATCACCGCCAGCACTTGCGACGAGCACATGCTTTCGCCCATGTTCTTCCGTTTTAGGGGGATTAAGCCACGCGACTTTCAAAACACTATTTGTGTGCCCTTCGAAGGTCCTCAGGCAGCTGTAATCAGAAAGGTTCCAGATCTTCACAGTTTTATCACCGCTACCAGTAAGAATAAGGCCTTTTCCAGCCGCTGGCCCACTTTCGCCCACGATATTGGGCGTGCCATTTGGAGCGAATTTGACTGACCATACGCCGCGCCGGTGTCCACGGAGGACTCCTTGCACTTCGCCTTCCTCTACGGACCAGATCTTCACAGTACGGTCTTGGGAAGCTGAGGCAAATAATTGTGAGTTGTGATTGATGTCTATGGCGTTGATATCCTTGTCGTGTGCCTTTCTTGTGTATAATGCTCTTGGTGCCTTTCGAGCAGACTTAAGAGCTTCCTTAGAAGGTATATCCCATCGTTTTATTGTTCGGTCTTGAGACCCAGTGAGGAGATACTTTGGTGGGTTGTTCAGAGGTGACTTGAATGCGAGAGATGATTCTGGAGGAGCTGTATGCGGCAGCCCAATTGCACCAAGGGATTCTGCGTGGCCGGTAAACGTTGCGTAGCATTCAAAGGATGAGTTTTCAGGATCAATTCGCCATAATCGGGCAGTATTGTCCTTGGCACCTGTTGCAATCCAGTGTCCTGACCAATCAATATCCAGGCAAATAACTATATCATCGTGCCCCTTCAGTTGAGCAACATCCGCTCCGAAATACATAGAGTCATTTTCGGATTGAGCTAGAGATATGATTCTGATCTCTTCTGAGTTTGTGGCTAGAGCCAAAAGCGACCGATCTGGGAGAAGGTATCCCAAGTCAATAATTTCGTCATGGGTCCCTGATATCCGTTTCATTTCTTCTAGCGGAGGAATTGTATCAGAGTCCCCAACCCCTTCTAAGGAGGACGTGGAATGGAGGACCATGGTGTGGTCCGATCGTATGGATAAAATGAATGGGGATCCAGGAAGGAGGATGCTGTCAACAATTGACTCTATCTCTGTCTTCGGTTGCTGCGGCTGTGTGACTTCTCGGCCATTACCAGTCTGCCATATTCGAATGTTTCCATTTATGCCGCCAGTATACGTCAATTGGCCTTGCCCAATGAATCCAGCCGTTTCAATTTCCTCGAGAACCGGGACTACTTTGCGGACTTTCCAGGTTCTCGCATCCCACCACATGATTGTCTTGTCTCTGCTAGCAGTGAGGAGTGCGTTTTCTTCCGACGAGTAATCCAATGCACGAATGTCGGAAACGTGCGAATCTAGGGTCGAGATACAAGAACGCTTGTATAAATCCCAAATGCGAACCTTGCCATCTTGGCTCCCGGAAGCAAGCCGAAATCCTCGTCCGGAATCATTTTGCATATCTTCCTCTGGGTTGACATTATTTTGCCCAGACTTTTTGCGGTTTCTTGCCGAGATACCCATTGCCTCATCCCTTTGATTTGCAACCAATTCGAAGAAATGCAGGGCGGAGACGAGCACGTTGGAAGTCCGAAATGTATGCGTCACATATCCGCCTTCAATATCCCAAACTTTCACCGTTCCATCCGCTCCGCCCGTCGCCAGAAGCGTACTTGTTTGATCGACAGCGAGCACGACAACAGGAGTGGAATGGGGTTTTAAAGTTCGTAGAAGTTCGTAGTTGATTTCTAAAGTCGCGGATGGGGAAGGTCTCAGCGTGTATATGCGCATGGAAAGTGATCTCGAACATATTATTAAGTGAGATGCAGATGGCGTTACTAGAAACAGGCAAAAGGTTAGCAGTGCCCAAATATAGTGCGGAAGTAGGATGTATATATCTACATACATGTAAGGGTTGAGATCAGCTCGCCGTCCTAGATTTTGCGACTGTCAGTGTAGGTTCCCAATGAAATGGTCATCAAGTTGAGGAAAAGTGCCCATACCCCGTCAATCCTCGCCAGTTGCCTCCCCGTATTCAAATCAGTCAATAAGGCATCTTCGCCCAGTGTGGTAGCTAGAATGCGCCCGCTATGATCGAGTGCAACACTACCACCTGTATAGATGGGCTGGATGGTGTTCTCCACCTCGAAGGTTGTCTGGTACGGGGCTTTGTTGGCCATTGTCGGGAGATCGGCCGGTTACAGATGCTCTAATTTAAACAGCACCCCAATATTCTGGTGTGGCTATGGTCTAGAATATTATTTCGCATTTGTCGCAGTGTTGAAGCTCGGCTGCCGTTCTTCCTCGCCAGAAAAAAGATTTTGGATGCGATTAAGTCTGAATATTCGATAAGCCACATCGGGGTTAGCGCCCTGGTTCTGCCGCTGGTCACCGATTATAGGCTCACGTGACTATTCGATTTCCCGCTTCAGACGATTCCTAATTCTACCTCCAGCTCTGTCTTTAATTCCCATTTTCCTCATTGCCCCTAATTTAATACCAACATGACTGGCATCATCTCGGTATCTTGACACCAGATTTGCTCACATCTATTGTTAGTTGGAGACGCAGGAATATAAGTAGCGGATAGCAAGCGTGTTTCCACAGCGACAGAGGCGACTAGATATGAGCGCAAACACCGTTAGACATATAAAGCAGTAGCATCCACGTCGCTAGCCGAAATGGGACGACTTGAATCCTTGACTGCTCTGGCTCTTGTACGTATGCGTCATTTGGGTGTTTTCCATGCATTTATTTTTGCCCGTTGTCCAGTCTCCATATTTTATTTTTGTTTGTGGTTATGAAACGTCCGAACTCCAATTTTGGGCGTCACCGATAATAATGTCGAGATACAGGGTCGAGGGCCATATGAGGATGAAGTTGTCGGATTCTCAGGCGATGAAGCTCGCCCGAACGGCCAGCAATACAATGGGCATGGCCATCCGCGAAATCCCGAAACCAAACGGCGAGAGCGTGAACACGTGCGGGCCGCGAATGAGGTGATGCAGGTGACGGGTGTTGTAGAGGACTTGGTCGCCGCGAAAACCAAGGCGAGTGAATACCTTCTCAGCAGGAGTAGAGACACCATAACCGGCCTACGCTTGATGGAGGCTGGACGTGCCGTACTCGTCGGAGGGGTTTGGGGGGTGCTAGGTCTACGACGGCGCATCTTAGTGAGTCGTTACGTTCTTTCTCTCCAGCATCGTACAGAAGCCTACTTCGGGTCAGCAGGACTTACCGTCAATAGCTCTACCAGCCATATGCGAAATTCGGACTCCTACAAATTTTACGGTATGAAAAGGCGAGATATGGGCTCCTACATGTGATCGGAGCCGGACTTCCCGCAGTTTTGGCCTATCATGCCGCAGATTGGGTTGCATTTTTCTTTGAGACCGTTCTAGATGCATATTGGGAGGAGGAAAATGAAGATGGCCTGTCCCTACTAACATTGACACCGGCGCAGAAACGGGTTAGATTCGCTCTACAAATGCTGTACGTTTCATCCGTAGATGCCATGCAAATTATATTCCTTTCCACTGCTAACAGAATGTAAAGGCTAGACATCGGCTTCTCCTACATTACTTTGCACTTCCGGATGTTCGCCATTCTACAGCAGCTCGCCCTGGTCCCATCTTCTCACATCCTACCCACCCGCCGATCTTTTATTCCCTTTTCGGCCTCTTCACCACTCCAACTCCCTCTATCGAGGCCAACTTCATTAATCTCATGGGTGACAGCGATAGTTCGATCGGCATCCCCGATGTTCATGATTTTGCTCCACGGCAAGGTGAAATACCTTGTCTCGCGGGATCTCTACCACTACATCTATAGATTACTACCCCGCCCAACAGGGGACAGCATGTTCGCCGGTATGTCGGTTTCAGCCCCGACCGCCGAGTACGATACGCCAGACCGACACCCAGAGGAAAGATCAAGCTACCGCGCGGAAGATGAACCTACACTACGAGCACTTGAAGGACTTCCAGCGTTGGAACAAATGGAGCCTCACTCTCGTCCAAACGAAAGAGACTCAGATTCTAGTATTGGGGAAGATGCCGAGATCACACATGCCACACTCATTAGTTTTGATGTCGAGGCAACTGAGGCCGTGGACACTCCCCTCGGACCCCTTGGGACTTGGTCAGCAGAATTACGCAGTGCTAATGAACCCAGGCAATCAGATGAGCCCAGGTACCGTGTCACGGGACTGACAATGCTACCGCCAATTCTAGCGACGGAGGGATTGCGAGAGATTGCTGCGGGCCTTCTCGTGATGCCCTTTGAGGCTCTGATGGTAAGGGTGATCGGGCGGGCGTACCGGGCGAGTGCTGGTGTAGACGTGGAAGATATTTATTCAATAACGTCTAGCGTTTCGGGACTTGGCATCACTGGGTTTGGAAATCTCGTCGCCATGTTTGCTCTTCAATTGGGTGTTACTGGCATCGTTTGGGCGGGATTTACTATTGGATCCCAGTTGTGGGCCTCAAGATCACATACGAACGATGATCGAGGCGTGGTTGAGATATGACACAACAAGTCTTGGGTTTTAAACAAGAATGAAAAGTCGGCAATCGCGGGTAATACTGCTCCACGTAGCTGTTCTCTGCAAAGGTCATGCTCGCCATGTCGTAGCGTTGGTTATTTGAGGGCTGTCATGACGCCAGAAGCAGTACGTACTTGGATGTCATTACGGCCTAGAGCTAGAATCTCAGCTACAAATCGAGAATTCGAATGTGCAAATGACCTGGGAAGGGGGGGAGGGAGAAGTACCGCAAAACATTGGCTCGAATCTGGAGAAGAATGGAATTGTTATATTTCCCATGAGAGGACCCAAAAGCTCTGTATCATACTCTGGGTTAATACCAAACGACATGCTAACACCGCCACTGATGATACATCCAGCTCCAATGGTGAAGTCAAAGAGGTGTTCGTTACAGAAAAATGCAAAATTTTAGCCGCACGCGCTATCTTCTAACGCAAATACTGTGAACGAATGCTATTCTGCATTATGAGCTGCGAAAGTAGCGATGTTTATTCACACGCTGCTGTTGCTCTTGCTCCTTAGCCTTCGATGCCATTCCATGCTTGGCACTTCTTGCCTTGGGTAGTCCGAGCCGTGGAGGGTCTTCTAGCTAGTAGGGAGCACCCTTAGGGGCACCACTACTCTGAAACGAAACGAAAAGGGGGGTCGGTCACACGATGAGCATGCCAGAATTACAACTTATGCATGGTTTTCACCTATTTTAGCTACGCTAAACAGATGAACTATCGTATTGCATGGTGTTCATATTTGATAGGACGTATTTCAGGACCTTCCGTATGGCCACCTCCATTCCCCGTCCCGGGCATTACTCCCCACCTCCCCTTCCCCAAAAGTGTGGCATATAGTTAGCACTACCTACCATGAGTATTCAAATCATGTACCAGTTTGGGAACTTTCAATGTCCAATACAGTCAATAGAGAGGTAAAACAATCCGTTTATCCAGCAGAGCACTATCCTTGGCCACATTTATAGGCATACATGCAGGGTTTTTATTAACCAGAGCGAAAAGCACAGGTTTCGCTAGTGTAGAGGAGCTAGGAAAAATTATAGATAAAAACAACTAAATAACCGCAGCTAAGGTATAGGGATCAATTGAGCGGTGGACGTGGTATAGGCTTATGGTCATGTAGTCGAATAACTTGAACCGGAGCTTGACTTGCACACGGACTTCCTTCCTGTAAACAATCATCCCTCCCAAGCCTTAGTCCCCATCATTTGGGCTTTTGGATTTTCACTATTTTTTTAGACGGCTCCTCATAAGTGATGGCAATGTCCGTAGTCTTCTTCACTGCACTAACATCATGTAGAATGAATTCCTCATCGCTGGCATTGTGTAGCTGTGTGTGGGGATTGTTGGTAGAAAAGATATGTTTCGTCATAGCGCCCTTCCGCGGAAAGGTTTCCGTGAACTGGCTAGGATGAGAAGCATTTTGGCTTCTCATCGACGGGAAGACCATGGTGACCGCGGCCTTTAAGACTGGTAGACATGCACATATAATGCCCACGTCGATTTCAATGAAGAGCCAACTACTAGAGGTAGCTTGGGAGTCTGGATAAAATTAGCGGTGTCTTTAACCAAGGAGTAAGTAGCCATACACAAAGTATCTTTAGCAGTCATTGCAGGCGCGAGAGCGATGATTCGAACAAGGGTACAAGCAACGACACTGTATAGTTAACTTCCTGTGTATCTAATATGAACTGTGCCATCTTACAAAAAGCCTAGGCCAAATAGGACGAAGAGACCAATCTTCTGGAACAGGGGAAGTTGAAGACGTCGAAGTTGGTAGACTGGCAACAGGATAATCGCCAAATCGGTGATTATGGCCAACACGTTAGTACTGAGCCACAGGGACGTGACTGGAAGGCATTTGCCGGGAATAGCTTTATTCCAACTTCTCGCAATAGGCCTATAAAAAAAGAGCGGTTATTATGTCTTCTAGGTGAATGGTACACGGACGGATACCGGTACTTAATAGAGGGCAGGGAACTTACTGGCATTGTAGTATCGACGCAACCATTGTTCCCAAAGAGTATCCCACAGTAGTGAGGCCAACCGAGTAGGTTAATATTTTGAAAGTCCGGGTTTGAAATATTCGCAGATAGAAGAACAATATGCTGATTTTGGTGAAGCATGAAGCTGCTTTGTACAGTAATTGTTGGGCATACATGTACTAGCTATCTCAGTAACAGTTGCCTGTGGCCTAGAGCAGTCTCACCTTGAATGTGATCATGACGTGCTTCGGGTCCACTTCCTAGCAATTATTAGCCCTGGAAGAATGAACGTGTTGAACACGACCTACATGTGTAGACAGAGCGAGTCCATTTTTGACTGCTCCGTTGAATGCTGCGGTTAGACCGATCGCAAGAACCTGTCCTAAATTAGGTATGTACTACAGTGACAGCGATACTACTTACCATGGAAAGGATAATCATCCAGTCATCCCAGCCTGGTTTCCTTTTCATGAAGTGGCGGGTTACAAGGCGTGCGACGACGAAGGCAAACGCCAGGCAGATGAAGGCGATCGATAGATTGGAGAATTTCTGTCCGCGACGGTTGGCAGGTAGAGGAGGATATTGGGCATCACGAAGCGCGAGTGTAAGATCCATTGTGCAATGCAAGATAATGCGCGGCTACAACCATGGCGACAATATAAATTTGCATAAAGTAAAGTACTGTAGAAGGATGATAAGCTTTTATAATCTCTTGTGCTAGAGCAGCCCTACTGTTACTTAGCAAAAGGTTCGGAAACCGGATCCCGGTGGCTGGAATTGTGACGAAACAGCGGTTGTGCAGCGGGCTTTTTTGGTTTTAAAATCTTGCCAAGGAGATACCCCATACCCCACGAACTGCACAGATGGCGTGAACTCGGACCTTCTGCACAATGCGGAGAGGCCAAGGGGGAGAGGCCTGAGCTCCCGCAGATCCATGATCGACCTGGCTAGCTTCAAGAAACTTGGAAAGATCGCTTCTATGTATACCAGACGCGCTGGCGCTCTGACTTTCCCATGGCCTACATTCGTCCTCATTGGGCCTGGCCTGATACAGACAGGTAGGTCAAGTTACGCCAGTCCTTGTTTTCTCGGCGGCGGACAAAGCTGAGCTATTCGTAAACGGGCAGTCGGCGGGCAGGTCGAAGAGGGCTGGCTCCACTAACCGCCTCCGATAGGATTCGGTTATCTATCACGCTCGGCGACCTAGTATAGTCGTAGAAAAGGAGATAATAAAATAATATAATTATAGAAACCAATAAACAGCTTGCACTGAAATATAAGTTTTTATAAATCAGTACAACTATATTATAATATAGATTTAACCTATAGATATTAAACCTATAGATTGTATATAAGCATTACGCAAAAAAGAAATTATAAAAAGAAATCCCATAAGTCAAATATATTTGAAGGATCAAAAGGCTCAACAGACTCTAACGAATCTAAAGGTTCTAACGGTTCAAAGACTTCCCCTGTAACATTGTCTGAAGAAGACACTCAGAAAATAGTTAGCAGTACTAGTATAGTTAGTAGTACTAGTAAAGTAGAGAGTATATCAGTTAATTCTAATAACAAGTTATTTTCCCGGGTACTGTTTATAGAACTCAAGACAGCTACTTAGCTTGAAATTGTATTATGATTCTCGGGGCCTGATTAAAAAATACCGTGAAGGAGAGTCAAAAACCTTCGGTATTCGATTTCGCTTTAGATCTATTATAAATCCTCAAAGAGTCGCTCCTCGAGTTCTCCAGTCTGATTTCCCAACTTCAAGATATCCTCTTTGTTCAGAAGCCCTTGTTCCGAAATATGAACATCGATTAATTTCTCCGGCACCCATTCAAAATATGCATTTTTAATCTCCACCACCCAGCCCTCTTTGCGCTTGTTCTTGATTCCTGCAGCACCACTCCTTGGCCAACTTCCAATCACCTCTTCCTCATCATTAAATTCAACCTTGTGGTGGTCAGCCTCAAAACTCGAGCCGACGATCTTGTCCGTCTCATAGACTGCTACTACTTTGCATTCTGGATTTAAAGATTTGGCTAGAGCTGCCGCAGCCAGGCTGCCGATTTTATTGGAAACAGACCCGTTTGGAAGGACTTTATCGCCGCCAAATATGAGGTATTGTGCGTCCTGAATAACTGATGCGATGCTTGCATCCGAGAAAATTTCGACTTTCAGGAAGGGTTGGATCTCGGAATCTTGATTAAATGATGACAGCAAGGTGTTGATGAGTGCCACACCTTCGAATTTTGGGCGCGATTCCAAGACCAAGAGTTTGATATCGACCCCGTTTTTAGCAGAATTCCGAATCAAGCTTGATAGAGAGCGTGTGATTGTTCCCGAGGCTGAGAGGGTCACGATATTTATCGATGGCTTTGAATTTCCGCCTTCCTCCGCTTTTAAATCCTGCTCCACAAATTGCACAAACTTTTGGGCGAGTGAATCGAGACGATGCTGCATGGTGGTAATCCTTGACTCGATAGCTGATTCCACGGTGCTCTTGAGCTTTGATAGCGGCACCTTGTCAGCACCTTCAGCCCCATTGACGGAAAGCTCCTTTGCGCTCGCATCTAATGCTTTGAAGAGCGCAGCCTCGATAGAAGCACCCATGCTCGGCCTTCCGTTTTTTGCCAAGTGCCACGCCCGCCACCTCACCTCCCTCCAGAACTCATCCGACCTTTTGAGTTGCGAAAGCTCATCTCCTTTCACCATCTCAAGTAACAGATCCAATGCCTTCAGGGCAAGTCCTTGAGCTCCACTTTCGTGGTCGTCCTTCAAAACAGCCAATGCCCTCTCCGTCTCTGTGCTCACCGTCACCCTCCCAAGACCAAGCTCCAATTGAGGTACATGATCATAACTTTCCAAGTCCTCTGGCTTGATGAAGCGGTATTCGGTATGCTCCCAATCGAATTTAATGGACTTGGCTCCTGTTTTTAGCTCCCATGCAAATGGATGGATTGTCCATTCTGTCTTGAGCCCTTCGTCGGTGAGACGAAACGGCTTGCCACGGCGCAGAAGTGAGATATCTTCATCAGATAATGTGGTCTCTTCTAAAATTTCACGTTTTGCGGCGCTTTCGGGACTCTTATCCTTCGGATCGATGGAGCCGGAGCAGACCGCCCACTTGCCCCTGTGACATGTGATTATTAGCTAGATTTCATCTTCAATAGTCAACTGGTCCCAAATCCAAGACTCAAGAGAACCAATTTAAGACTTACCGGTAGGTTGAAACATCCTGGCTGCGCTTAAAGAGCGCAAATTTGAAACCCTCGGACGACAGAGGATGAGTACAAATATATGAAGATACAACTGAACGCTGGCGCAGATTTGAAGACATTTGTCGTTGGAATGTTCGAACGTGGGAACAGTGGATAATTTGGGTCAATCCAGCAGGGAGTTTTGGCATGACTTTTATATGGAATAATAATTGAACGATGATGTTTAGGGATTATTAAACGGCATGTCGTCAGTCCTATCGGGTTGCACCAGGTGTATTGGGTTAGTAAGCATGCCGCTCTTGGCCTCCTCATCCACACCAGCCAACGCTCGACCATATTCTAAAACGTAGATCGCGTCGGACCATTAGCTAAATTCTATATACGGATCCAACCAGCTAGGGTAATTTGAAATGCGCTCTTGGAAATTGGCGGGGCTCTGGGCACTGGAGCCCAATGCAAAAATAAACCCCCATCACGATCACGCAAGCCGTTCACACTTTATGCAGAGAACTTTGTTACTATCCGACTAAGTAATAGGTAGACGAATCTACTCTCCCTGGGTATCGCTTTATCTATAAACCCCTCTCAAGAGACGCCATGGTTAAACAACAAACACCCAAACACCATTTCTTGCGGTATTGATTTAGCACCAGCGTACGCTTCCCCTCTTCCAGCCCAACACCTCCTCAATGTCCTCATAAACCTCTGACAAGTAGTTCACATTTGTAATACTCGAGTTCGCATCCATCTTCAATCCACTCCCGGAAATCATTGCTACAGGATGAAATCCTCCGTCAAAAATCATAGCGCCAGCATCTCCTTGCTTCGTTCCCGCCAACCTATGTGAACTCTTGAGGTCCAAAGCCACGAGACAGACCTGGCTGATAGTCCTATCACTCTCATTGGTCGGTTTCAAGATCGATTCGATATCGTTTACCTTGCTAGCGACCCATTTCTGCGTTGTCCGAGAGGGTTGCTTGAAGACTATGTCGGAGGCTAGAAGCGGCCCCTGATGAAGAGTTCGGTGGGTAGGAAAAATTTCTTCCCAGTGCCAATCCACCCTGATGAGATTTTCGGTGGAGAAGCAACTTCGTGCGGATGGGTCTTTGAAGCCGGAGCCGTGGTCGAATTCGGTACTGTGGAAATGCTGGACAAGGAGGGTTAGTGATGATAAGACGATTGGAAAGGGAAACGGACGGGGTCCAAACCTGGTTGAGAAATTTGAGCCTGATTGCCCGGGCTGGATCAATTGAGACTAGAAGCCAGTCAGGAGCAATAGTCTTTGTACTAGATGCAGCATATACAGGACCAAGCTCGATCTTGTACTTCTCGGCAGCCCTCTGAGCTCCCAACCAAAACAGCTCTACATAGTTTGAAGGAGCAATGACGGAAACGATTTTATTTACGATCGAGCCAAAGGTTGTTGACGGCTTTTTCTTCGTCTCCAGATCCTTGGTCTCTTGATTAAGTCGTTGGACCCTCATTGCAATTGCATGCTTCGTTTCCATATGGTCGCCAGGTTGGGGAGAGGACACTGTGATTGTCTGGCCCTTTGCAAGTCCCCCCTCACCAATATTGCCTTTCTGATCACCGACATGGCGGCAAGTCAGAGCAAAGAGCTCAGATTTGCCGGAGGGCAACCGATGCTTGACATATCCGGTCAATGTTCCCACGAATCCATCAATGCCGATTGAAGAGCCCGGAAGAGGAAGGCGTCCGTTGCCGTCATGGTAGAGGCGGGCATAGTTCATAGATTGGTCGACGCATCGTTCAGCTGGACCAGAAGCACTACACACCTTCCCAACACTACTACCCGGAAATACGTAGCGGCCGCAGACATCAACATAGACCCTAGAGTATGGCTGGTTAGGGAAGAGTGAACAAGAGCGGGGCAGCTGTTTCTGCTTACTTTTCTTCGCCATCCCAGTACATCATAATCAGCTTGCCCAGGTCATCAACCAAATCGCTTGCTAAGCTATCAGGAAACTCGTTGATATCGTCAATTTTAAGATAAACGATGAGCTGGAGCACGATAGGACATTTCTCCTTGTCTGCGCTTGGGCTGGCAAATCCGAGACGCACGACGTGGAGAATCCAGGTGGTTTTACCCTTAGGGAGGTGTGTCTCAGTGCTACGGAGAACTGCTGCACGTAGGCCCTCGTACCAGCACTTGGTGAACTCTGGATTATCAGAAACAAAAGTGAACTTTGTCGGCGCATCGCCGAACAAATTGGGTTGACCGAGAACGTATGGGTTGTTGCTGGCTAGCACCGCCATGGGCATGCCGTAGAGTGGTCGCTCGGACATTGGAATGGTGTGTATCATGCTGATGTCGATGATTCTAATGCTTGTTGTGCTGGTTTGGTAGTTGTCGTGGAGAAAGAAAGTGTAAATTACTCTCTGTACGCGATCTTTGTGGGAGCTTGAATTACTGCCATTGCTATCCGCCTTCACTTGAATAGCCGAGATCAATCAATACTAACCGGCGTGGTATGCATAATCACAAGGTGGTTATAAACTCCATACCGCGGTCCTAATGATCTCCTCCACGTCTTGGGAGGGGGATAGAACAACGGAGCAGACACAGGTTTTTAGTGCAAAGCCACACCACCCCTATCGCATATGATGGGACAAGGACCGTTAGATAGGACATTCTAGTTTGTTCTTCAACGACTTGTGAGATCTGTTTTAGAGATTCGATCTTAGCAATTTCAGATCACAGGCCATAGAGGTGATAAGGGAAGTGCTAGGAGTTGATCATTCAGAGGAAAGAGAAAGCAAAATTGGGAAAACCTACTGGCAGTGAATATTATTCAAATTAAGGGAGGAGATCAAGACCTAGCCCACGGGGCATATGAAAATAGCAGGGACTAGTATGGTTTCCTTAAAAAGGTATACCAAACACATTGTCGCTGTAAAATCTCGATGGTCTCCTTTCGATGATCACCCATCTCATTCGACAGTATGTGGCAAGCCGTTACCATCCTTATTAGTAGGTAGGACGGTTTTGTTGGGGCTATCTAACGGTAAGAAAAACAAGACCAAGAAAGTGTGTCTACAACCTTAGTATTTCATCATAACTTCAATTAACTCACTCCCATCAACTACCTTTTGCTCCTTCTGAGAAGTTGTCGAGTTCGTGAAACCACAGCTTGTCGCTCCAGCAACCAAGAGGTAAATTCCCCGTGGCCAAGCTATCTGCTTCGGCCAAAAGCGCCAGGGGAGGTTTCTTCCCCGAATGGTATCTTTCGACCTACTCGACTGCGAACATACCCGCATGCCATCCATACGCTCGACTTAAGCGCCTTCCAATCCGCCTCGCATTCCGCAATGGTATTTTACCTATTGGATGAGGTTCATGGAAATGAATGCTGCGTTCTACATCGAGCGTTGAAGGTGTAAACTGCCAAACCGACCCATACAGCTTCTCCGGCCCAAACCCCGTTGAAGCCATGGCGTAGAGGAAATCTGCCCAGGAAATCTCGCCTGGTATGTCAGACTGAGAGGAGTTGTAGAACAGGGCCTTGAAGACTTTGAAGGCCCGAGTTTTGAGTGTGAAGATGGGTTGCGGGTCTTTCTCTAGCAATGGAGTATCCTGTATGGTACTTAGGTAGTCTTGGGCAGAGCCTCGTTTCTTGGACTTAATCTTTAGCCGAGGGGAAACGAATTTTAAGGGAGAGTCCGTAGGCTCAAACCGTGGTACAGAGAGTGGTTCTTGCAAGCCATTCTTATTGTTAACTGGGATCGTGGCTTTTATCTCTTGGATAGGCTCAACCCACTCGGGAGTTCGCTCCAATTGGCGTGCTTCCGTAAAGATATGTTGTACAGCCTCATCAAGCGACTTTCCAGTTTTCCGCCGATAGTGCCCGTCTACTTTCTCCCAGAACAAATCTAGATTGTATTCTGCCTTTCGCATACTCTCTGCGGTTTGTTTGGTCCGTCGTTTGTCAGATGGGTAGAAGAATCGGTTTTCTGTTGGTGACCCGACCTTGGCGACCGATAGCTCCTTGAAGTGTCGCTCAAGCTGTGAGAGTAAAGCAACCCGACGGGGAAAGTCTTTTTCAATTGCGTCTCGATGAAATGCGTATTCATAATCGAAACTAGCAGCCCACGGTTGATATATATCCAACTCATGACGGACACGTGCAATCAAACCAAGGTCAGAAAAGACCCGCGCAACCCAAGGTGAAAATTTTGCTTTCTCCTTAGGATCGCTCTGTGCCAGATGCTCAATCTCGTCCATGAGACTAGGGAGACCAAGTAGGCCAAGTTGTTGGTTTGTCCAAAGGCTATCAAAGAGCCACAACATCCGGTCCGACCCCGTATTGCTTCGTACTCTAATTATGCTAGACCCTGGGACATGGGGTTCTCGGGAGAAGCGGGAACGGGGGGGGGGGGGGGGGAGGCGGGAATTCCAGTTTTCAGCAGGGAAATCGGCCCATTCTTCGTTTGCTCAAGCATGTATCGAAAGGTCAACAGTGCCTTCATATATTCCGGCGGGAGGATCTTTTGTGGAGTGATGGTATCGGAGTAATTTTCTTGGAGAGCGGCTAGATGGGTAAGTTGTTCACTGATTATATCCCATATGATCAATGCCCCATAGGCATCCACAACGACGTTGCCTATAACTCGATCCCAAAACAGTGGTTTGTCTAGCACTGGGTGGCGAACTTTATTCGTATCCAGCAACTTTTCTTGCCTGTGCTCGCTCCAATCCCCTACAACATCCGCGAAATAACCTGGGTCTTCTCTCAAGCCCCGAATATGATCTTCGGCACTAGTACACTTCGCGGCAACCAGAGCCTTAAGACGAACGAAATCAAGTTGAGCAGGAAGTCGGTATGGGGCTTCTACAGCTATAGAAGCCAAAGTCGGCCATTCTGAACTGTCTGTGATTAAAGGTGGCTCCGGTTTGATTGGCCCCTCGCTGGTCAAGGCACTTGGGGTGGAGTCATGAAGAATGCCGTGGCAACACTCCAGGAGGAAAAGCAATATCCGCTGCTGTGCTTCTAAAATCAGCAGCCCCTCCCCGGGTTGATAACCCCCGAAATGCGACATAACCTTCATCATGGCATCTTCGTCATCATCCCAAGAAACAAGGCGTCCGTAAGTTTCGATTGTTTCTCCATCAAGTAACATGGTATGAAGGTTGAGGAACGCAGGCATGACAGCAGTACTAACATTACCCAGCCTCATGGCTTCGAAATCGGTGTGAGCGAATAGAGACGGCGAATGGCGGCCTCTGGAATTCAAAAAAAGGAGTAACGTTTTGCCTCTGACTAAATCTTCAACGTTGATATAAGGCCAAATGTATGCTTCTCTAAATCTCGTCCCTCGGGACTTCAACTGCGGACCCTCCTTGCGTAAGGCTTCATAATCCGGCCGGTGTGTAGAAGACATGTTTGGCCAAGCTCGTAAAAGGATGGCTGTTCTTTGCACTTTCGTCTTCTTAATCCAGCGCTTCCATAGAACATCCTCGTGTCTTTCCAATATCTAGCGCAAATTAATCCACCGCGATAAAACCTCCGTTGATCGTTCCCGAGCTTCTTGCTGGGCCTCTGCTGGAGTGGGCATCGACGATGGTGCTGGTAGGCCAAGGGAGGCAAAGTCTCCAGACGCAAATCGTTGCATCTCATCGTCGCTCATATCGATGCCGAGGTAGGGTAACCCTAAGGGTAGGAGAGGTAGTCCATATTCATCTAGCTATGGAGGGTGTAGTACGGCGTCCATGCTACCAACAAAACCGAAACGTACAAACTATCGAAGATGGCAATTAGAACCACAGGGCGACACGAGTAAGTATAAAAGTACTACTTCGTAAGGGGTGTAAAGTTCGTCGTTTGATGAGACTACTCTTCAAGGTACGAAGTTCCACATAGGGGGCGTTTGGCACTACTCGTATACAGGGGTTTAATCCATGAGTTCGTCCCTGCAAACACGCGCTGGGCTGTACGAGTACGAGTACGATATATATGTAGGTACCTTAGGTAAGGTAGCCACCAAAGGTCAATGATCGAAATTTAACAGTTGCAATTATGCTATTTAGGGGCATTCTGTCTTTCCGCATTCCGATAACTCTAGTCAATTATATACTATACAACCATAGTCTGCACAGAGGAATTGGAATATATCTACGAAGTACTTTAATTCTGTCCCGCCTTTATATGTGAGGACAATCAATTGAAACCTCGGCATACAGCACCGTGCAAATAGTTCTCCGATTCTCAAGAATCCGTCAAATGCCAAGGCTCCGGTTCTATATCGGTATATCCATCCGTGGGCGCTGGGCGCCGGAGGTGTAGCTGTTCGGCAAATCGCCGAGCGGGGGTAGTGAAGCGTTTGAACCACATGGAGATGGAGTCTCTGGGCTATGGAGTTGGTTACTAGAAGGAAGTGAAGGCTGTCCAGATATCTAATCAGCAATATTTTAAATGGGAAAGCCCCACTGTGAGGTTGCTCCTCAGCTACTAAGCGGAAGGTGGTTTATGCCAGGTTTGAAAAAAGAAGTAATAATAAAATTAATTAATCAAAATAGCAAAAGAAATACCGCTGTAGTAGCGGTACCGAGAAACATAAACTTTTCGAGTAGTCCCAACCATCTTGTTACAGGGCGTCAGACTTACGTGACGCACCTCCAGGCTTTCTTATATGGCGCATTCTTGGGCGAATTTGATGCAAAACTCTTTTCGCTAGAAATATCAGGCACCTACAGCTATTACCTACCTATATATATCTCCGATATCGAACTTCTATACTATTTCTATATACTAATCTAGATAGCGTAAATACCTTTATCTCGGTTGGATATTTATAAACTTGAGTATCTCAATTCTAGTGAGGTATTTATATAACTTGAGTACCTTGATTATAGTAAGATATTCATATAACTTGAATACCTCAATTTTAGTAAGATATTTACGCGATATCAGATTTATATCTAGGTAATAGCTATTGGGCCTTATACCAGCGAAAAGAGTTTTGCACCAAAGTCGTCCAAGAATGCGCCATATTCTTAGGCGCAAGGTTGCGTTATTGCGGAGAGATGTTCAACAGTTGCCTATAAACCTAGTCACCGCCCTTTTGTACCCGCTATACAACTTGGGGACGAACCACAATTTTGTAGTTCTTAACCAAAAGGCATAAAATTAAAAGGTATCCAACGGGTTTAATAATCTTAATAAAATAAGCTAGCCAGCACCCTTCTTTCAATTTTCTAGAGCGTTACTAGGTTGAGTGAAGGGGGGTGGCGGAAAAAGCGGTGACAAACTGTAACAGGTGAAACTTGGTATGGCTTTGGCTAAGATTGGGGTAAGCGGATAGCGAATAAGCTACAATTTGATGTTGATGGCTGTGAGGGTGAGGGGTGCACACCCACATATTGTGTGGAAATCCTACACCCTGGGATATGATAATGAAGAGATTATAAAGCATAGGGGCGAGTACCGCCTATAGTATCAGGTGCTAGCTAGGTTAGCAACAGTTGAACAACGCTTCATAGGTTTAAGTTAAGCAAAGTAGGTATTGTATTAAACAGCCGCATTAAATTACAGAGCGTCGCCAACTACTAACTGCTAGCACTGAATCACTTAAAGAGAGCATATATTGTGGAGTAAGACTTTTTGTATTTAGGACGACTAAACTATCCCATATTTCCACCACGGAATGCGTAGTTTTATTATGCTATGCTATGTTAGATGTGCCTCGGCCTCGATGGGCAGGAGCACTTCCGTATGCCATCAGCGTATGAGCAGGTATCGGCCCTCGTCCCATAGGAAGAGCACAGACAAACCTGCACGTAGACGCCCACGCGCAAAAAATCGGGCGAAAAAGCAAAAGCCTTGTCTCGAAGTATCTTCGCTCGAGGTATCGAAGAACTCCGAGTAGATCCACTTTTTATCTAATTGCGAAACCAGCTAAGCATAAAATCAATGGAAAACAAATGGTGTGCACGATCTTCTAGAGTGGAAGTGACCGTCGAATGTCTCGGAGAGCAAGAATATTTCGAGGAACATGACCATCATAATGCGTTCTGTATACCCAGGGTTTCTCTTCCCTTCCCAGGTAAAAAAGCATCATGACCGGTACGCCGTAAGTGACATCTCATGCAACTGTCTTTATCTCCCTTGAGACATCTATTGGGTATCGAGACGGGGGACAGCCGGGCACAAAAGACAACGCTATCTATTCGATGGTATGCCGTTCGATGGTCAAGACCACAACGCTCGGCTAGTTTGTACGGTTCAAGATGGCTGAAACGTGCTAAAAGCTAGCCATCGCTGCAGTCGTGCCGCCACGAGAAAATCGGGAAAAGTCGCAGTTCGCGGAAAGGATTCGCAAGCAAAGCGTATTATCGGAGTTGAATTAGCAAAAAAATGAATATTGATCTTACCAACAGAGACCTGTTGATATCCGTTGACGCCTCTGTCCCAGTTCTAGTGGTTGTATTGTACCATAATAGGAAAAGATCCACGAAAGAACCGAGATGCGCCGTTGGTGGAGATTTACCACCAGGACTGTCCGCCAGCGGATGGATTGCCTAATAATTTATGTTAGCGGCTGTATTTAGACATATAACGACAACAGATGTCAATAGGACGAGAAACTCTAGAGCAGCACAGCTCGTAGCTGGGAGTCACCCATGAAGATATTTCGAGCGGGACCTTGACAACATAATAGGAAATAGAGGAGTAACGTACCATAACTGCCATTACCGTATCCGCCGCCGCCACCGCCGAAAGAGGGGGCACCACCGTAGGCAGCTGGGGGAGGACCACCGGCACCGGCGCCGTATCCTCCTCCGTATCCACTCTGTGGTGGCCCGCCATAGCCTGGAGCACCGCCAAATCCTCCACCGCCTCCGACCTTTCGGAAATCACGGTTGCTTCCAGCGCCACGTCCACGGCCACCTGAACGGCCACCGCCTCGTCCACCACCGCCACCAAAGCTAGAACCCTCTCGAGCGATATTCTCGAGGAAAGCAGGAACCTCTTGGTTAGCTTCCTTCAGGAGATCAATAAGATCCCGAACAACACCGCGGTTGCCGCGGTTGAAGAAGGCGGTGGAAATACCGGTATTTCCTGCACGGCCGGTACGACCAATTCGATGGACGTAGTCATCAATGTCGGTGGGAAGATCGTAATTCACGACGTGAGTCACATTCGGTATGTCAAGTCCCTTGAAAGCAAAGTTAGCAAATGTTAGTCAATGTCAATTGTCACAGGAGTGGGATAGGAATGGAACACACCCCTAAAGATAATGAGTTAGTACATGGATCATTGATTGCGGATGATTGAAGATGTTTGAACGTTAGAAATGATCGTTTTGACGGAAAGAAATTTTTGACAGAAAGGAAAGTCCAAAAATCCGGGGCAATGGCGCACTATTCGAGCGTAGAGCTCGATGCCAAGTGTCTGAGCTTCTTGGCATGCCTGGGGCCCTTCAGATGGACCTGAAGCCTCGCAGCTGTGGAAGCAGCATGTTTGCAGATTGCGCACCAATGCGTCTTATTCGCGGTCGCATATTGAGAACCGCCGCCGGTTCTTTGGCGGGTGGAAGTTCCAGCGGCCTTTCTAATGTGTATAGGGCGCTGATTGTGTTCCAGAAGCTTTGCATTGGAGCGAAATGAGAGAACACAGACAGTGCATTGAAATTTCTGGTCGTCCAATGCTTTGTTCCCGTACGCCATTGTTTGAGCAGCATGTACGCCTGGTCCTTTATTTGCAATGTATTGTCGACTTTTGAATATCTTTCTCTCGGCATCGAGACGGTTGATCTCCTCACGTGAAATGTTCTGAGCACGGCCAACTACCTGTTCATTGATCGAGAAGTGTGTGCAGCAGCCATCATAGGTGAGGGTATCGCGAGGCCAGGGACACAGAGGAGGCATGAAATAGTCCTTTGTACGGCTCTTCATAGCCCAGAAACAGAGAGTAAAGCCGCATTCCAGTACTTGGAAGAGACATCGCAGTGCATATCTCTCTGAAGCAAGTGGTAGAGGAGTCCAGGCCAGCAGGCCCTTATGAGTGATGGCGTATCCATCTTGCAAGGAGGTCTCGACATAGTGGGGTATGGCATTATCAGGTTTCCCGGTGAGAGATCTCCTGTTATAGCTCGACATCCTGCCCTTAACGCCATAACATGATGCGGTGCCACTGCCTATGTAGATCTTCGGACGCTGTCCATCTTTCTCAAGTACCAGTAGATAGACGGCCCAGAGCTTGTCGAGATGCAGAGGCAAAGTCTTGAAGTAGGATATTGTAGGAGCCGTGCAGGACCGAATGATCTGCAGCAGGCCAGGAGCAAATTCGCATGGAGAGAACTGCATGACTTTCTCCATGTCATGCTCGGTTGGAAAGACAGTGTCGAAAACGAGGTTCTTGAGAGCGCGGTTGGTGAGAGACAGAGAGGCCCAAGCCAGCCATAGGACAAAGACCGAGATATCATCTGTCTCAGGCCCCATATTGGTTGTCATAGAGGTAGGCGGTGATTGATGCTTCCAGATGTCTGTGAGATGTTCGAGGATGTCTGCGAGATGTTCGACAATGTCTGCGAGAGATGTTCGACGATGTCTGCGGGATGTTCGACGATGTCTGCGGGATGTTCGACGATGTCGAGAGAGATGTTCGAGGATGTCGAGAGAGATGTCGCCGTATGTCCAGGTGTGAAGAAGGAAATTCCATCATGTCAAGTCCAGGGCTGGGATGGCCCTGTGTAGCACTTGCCATATCATTGATGTTTTGACAGAAAGAAAGTGAGGAAGGAACGAAAGGAGGAATACATACGAGCAGCGACTGCGGTGGCAACAAGAATTGGGCAACGACCGTTACGGAACATCTCAAGGGCGCGCTCACGCTCGCGTTGAGTGCGGTCGCCATGAATAGAGGTGGCTGGGAAATTCTGATTGATCAAGAAGTCCGACAAGGCATCGGCCATGCGCTTGGTCTCAACGAAGATGAGAGTAAGGCCAGCGCCATGAGTGTGGAGGATGTCGAGGAGAACCGACTTCTTGTCCATGTCTTCAACATATTCGACCTTCTGGGTAATGTTCTCGGATGTTGAACCAACACGGCCAACAGACAGGAAGACGTAGTCCTTGAGGAAATCCCTAGCGAGCATCTGAATGTCACGGGGGAAGGTGGCGGAAAACATGAGGGTCTGGCGGCCCTGGACGCCTGGCATATCCTCGCCCTCGACGATTCGGCGGATTTGAGGCTCGAAACCCATGTCCAGCATACGATCAGCCTCATCAAGGACCAAGTACTTGATGTTGCAGAGAGAAATGCGGCCACGCTCAATCAAATCGACCAAACGACCTGGAGTAGCCACGAGGAGATCGCATCCACGTTCGATTTGGCGAAGTTGAGATCCAATATCTGCACCACCATAAACAACACATGGGCGAACCCATGATCTGTATGCAAACTTGCGGGACTCCTCGAAGATCTGGGATACAAGCTCACGTGTGGGGGCAAGAATAAGAGATGTAGGGTATGCCTTGCGTTGACGTCCAAAGTTTCCGCCGGCACCGGCTGGGGCAGCGGAAGGGCCGTTGATGAATGCTTGCGACAGGATGGGGAATAGGAAACCGCCAGTCTTTCCGGAACCGGTTTGCGCACAAGCCATCAAGTCGCGACCACCCATGACAATAGGAATAGAGTATTTCTGGACGGGTGTTGGGACCTTGTAGTGTGCAAGATCGATGTTCTTGAGCAGGTGGTCGTCAAGAGGTGGGTTGGTGAATTTCAGAACTGGCTCGGGGACATCTGTACCCGAAGCTTCAACTGGGATATCATCATACTTCTCAAAGTTGATACCAGTCTGTTGCTTGGTTGGGTCGTCGGCAACGCCGAAGAGCTCGCGCTCCACGCGAGGATTCGCAGGGCCAGCAACGTGCTTGCCATCAACCCATCGACCATCGCCGCCACCGCGAGGAGCAGAAGAGCCGCCTCCGGCACCAGGGTGTCCATAGCCCTGACGGTTGAATGCGGCTGGGGGAGCGACGGTAGCAGTATCCCATCCTGGACGCGGCTCGTTGCCGCGGGGTGTGAAGTTAGGGGCGCTGGCCCAGTTTCCAGAACCGGCATCGGCGCCATATCCGTTACTGTCAGTTAATGTTAGCATTTGATGCTCATGCTATATGAAAGATCCCGAGTATCATGGGAGAGAGAGTAAAGAAAAAAATTGCAGGTATACTTACGGTGCTGCCTGAGCCCAGGCGCTGCCACCAATGCCACCGTTCATGGCAGGGCCCGGACCCGGGTGGTTTCGAGGATCCTGGGAAAGGACCTTGCCCCGCATGTGGGGAGGCTTGTAGGTTGATTGCTCGCTGAGGCTGAGGCCGTTCATGTTGAGTTGTTCCGCCATGTTGGGTAGTGGTTCGAAGATGAACTTTGACTGAAGGCTGAAACAGTTGGCTTTGTTTTGGGAGATCGAGTGTTGAGTGGGTATTATCGCCGGGGAAGTGACGGACTGAAGTCTAAGGTCTTTCAGGCTCTCGAACAAGATCGCAGGATCTAAAGAGAGTGTGGAAAGACGGAAGAAGAAAATCTATAGGGGCGAAACGCGATCGTGACGATTAGGACGAGAAAAGACTGAGGCTTCCTCGATTATCTCTTGGAAAAGAGAAGACGCGTAGGGTCGTGCGAAGTCTGAGCTGCACTGAGGTCCTCCGAAAGAACAACTGACTTTCAAAGGAAATAGAGGGGAGAAGAGGTTGTTGTGGATGTGTGTATGGGGGATGGAGGGAGTTGAAGGAGAGAGGAAATAAATTACGAGGGCGAAAAGATGCTGCAGTTCAAAAAACCCTTTTCGCCTCGCTTGTGACCTCGCGCTAGTGATATCAGTTTTGGGACAAGGGGGCGAATCGCGAATCGGGCTGAGCAAAAAGAAGAATTATGTTGGCCGCTCTCACCGCCACAAATAGGTTACACGTGGGGGGAAAAGAGCTGACGGGGTGTTTTGTCTTTGCATGTCTACGTGGTGATAATGTAACGCTCTCGTAGAGCAGTGCACGAAGTAATAGCGGTGCGAAGGCACGAGAACAGTCAAGGTACATAGGTACCTAGGTACATAATACCATTCGTGGAGGTGGCAATTAATACAGCCACGTCGTAACACAGCGAAAATATGACTTTCCAGGGCCCAGTAAGAGCAGCCCAAGATAGTCATGGGCCGGGCCGCCTACGAAACTGAAAACTCGTTCAAAGTACATAGTAGTAAGTATCTTTTATACACGTGATGCCAACGCACTCCATATCCTGATTCCACCTGGATGGCGGATAATCACTCTTGTAGAAAAAGGATGGACCAAGGCACGAGGACCCGGGTTGAAAGTAGCTCTTAGTTCAAATACGCCTTTATTGTAAGCACATTGGCAGGGCTCTTGAGGTGGGATAACTGCGGAAATCCCCCAGTTGCCACACACTCAAAATAGTTATCAGTAGAAGGTAGCGTCACATAACCAGGAGCGAATCCAGAACGATGAAACATTCATGAGCCAGGAAACCCGTAATCGCCATTCTTGATGCCCTGCTATAATACACCCATGCCATCCTTGATCAAACCACGACACCACAAGACCAAAACAGAGTACACTCCTCAGGGACAAGCCACCTTCTCATCATCCAAGTATTCTATTTCCTTGATCCCATCCTTCGTAATAACCTTGACCAGCATGCCCTTGAAATCAATCGGTAATCTCCTCTTCAACTCATCCGTACACATCCTTAAGATTTTGATTCCCTGCTCGTAATCAATATCCGGATGATGATGCTTATCGAGAATGGACAAGCAGTAGTATTGTGCATAACCGTGTGCAGCATATGGAAGGGGGGCCAACGACGCCAGGTAGTCGAGCCAGTATAACGAGGGCTTGAGGGTGATGGGATCAACGCCGCCGAGGAGCAGATTGACGTTGTATGGTTTACGGGAGCGGAGGGAGGAGGCAAGTTCGCCTCGGACGAAGTGTGCGACTGCAGAGGGAGAGAGTTCGATGCCGTTGCGCATGGAGTAGAGTTGCGCATTTGCTTGAATGTATTCTGCGAATTGCACTGGAAGAAGAGTAAGGTCAACAGGCGCTTCGCGCGTCAAAAAGACAAGATCTTGTCAAGTACCTGTATCTCCAGATTCTCCCGAGAATGCCATCAAGGTATGGTTGTTTAACTGTCTCGTCTTGTCGTCTGAGGCTTTAAGAACTGTTGCTCCTCTCATAGCGGCTTTCGACGCAGCTATGAGGGTGAAGTCCTTCCCGGTTATACCAAGCAGTACCTCCCTAATTAGATGAATACGTTAGCACTGCGACTGTGTAAATGCTGCTGCTGCTACAACCCCATACTAATACTCACATATTTGCGGTTGGTTGCGGTTGAGGTGTTAGATTGAGTCGGGCGGTGATGAAGGCTTCGAAGCTTTGGAGCTTCCAGCGTCAACTGTGCAACACGCGTGGAGCTGTGCTGCCTCTCGTAGAAACAATCCCTGTCGGCGAGAAGGCTTGGTCACGTGGTGCGGTGCGGGACCCCTGCAAAGATTCTCAAGTGCGAGGCAGAATTATTTTTGTGAGAAACTTCAGGCCTGCGGAGCATTTTATCATCGTTGTTTGACATCCAAACAGCCACGCCGCCATGTCTTCCTTCTTTACGATTCCCTCATCAGTGAAAAAGAGAAAGCGACCGGAAACCACAGAACCCCCTAAAAAGCGATTTGCTTCTACGTCTACAAAAACTAAAAGTAATGGCCGAGAACCCAAACAAACTCGAGCTCCCCGAAAACCGGAAAGAGACGAATCCATATCTGGAAGCGATAGCGGCGAGGAAAGCTATGATGAGCGTCGAGGGGCTATCGACGACGAAGACGATAATGAAAGTACTTCCGGCTCAGAAGTAGGAGAAGGGGAGGAAGAAACAGCTGCTGAGAGACGGCTGCGGCTCGCTGAGCGGTATCTGGAAAATATCCGAGACGAGGTCGATGAAATCGGATTTGACGCCGAGGAAATAGACCGAGACCTGATTGCCGAGCGATTGCAAGAAGATGCCGCCGAGTCGAAAGGACGCATGTACCGGAAACTAGCGGAGGCGTTATCTTTCGAGGATGCTTCACATAGCCTGTTCCGAAATGACAGCGATTCGATTACCAGTGTTGCTGCATGCCCGCCGCATGCATATACTGTCTCCAAGGATTTATGTCTGGTTAAGTGGAGGCTGCAAGAATTGCCCGCAAACCAATTCCCACAGAAAAAGAAATCGAAGAAACCGCCTCCCCCACCTCGACGGAAACCCACGCAGGTTGCATTCGTGCGCGGCGATAAGAGGAAAGCCAAGGACAATTCCTATGAGGGACATGTTGACGCTATCCTGGCTGTCGCAGCATCGCAAGATGGGAAGTTTGTGGTTACTGGAGGAAGGGATCGCAGGATAATAGTGTGGGAAGCGGAAACATTGAAACCCTTACGAGTTTTCACCCATCATCGAGATGCTGTTACGGGACTTGCTTTCCGGAGAGGCACAAACCAACTTTACTCTAGCTCAAAAGACAGAACCATCAAAGTGTGGAGTTTAGACGAGCTGGCATATATTGAGACTTTGTTCGGACATCAGGACGAGGTGGTGGATATTGCAGCACTCGCCCAAGAACGCTGCATCAGCGTTGGTGCAAGAGACCGAACGGCTAGATTATGGAAGGTTGTCGAGGAGACACAATTGGTATTCCGCGGCGGCGGAGGAGAGAAGAAATCAAGACAGGGATCAGGGCCAAGAGTTCTAGAAGGAAGCATGGATAAAGTAGCCATGATTGACGAGGAGACTTTCGTTACAGGTGGCGACAATGGATCGATCTGTCTGTGGGTCATCCACAAGAAGAAACCGATCTTTACGTTACCCTTGGCTCATGGGGTTGACCCTCCTCTTACGCCGGAGGAAGCCTCTGCAGAAGCACATCCGAGCCCAGACATCGTTCCAGCTGCCCAACCGCGATGGATCACAGCTCTGGCTACAATTCCTTACTCGGATGTTATCTTGAGTGGGAGTTGGGATGGCCAGCTGAGAGCATGGAGGCTCAGCGATGATAAGAAGAAACTAGAGGCTTTGGGCCCTGTTGGGTCTACTTCGCGTTCTGTCACCAATGGTGCAACGAGGCTTATTAATGGCAGCGGTGGTCTTCAATCGCGAGAAGAAGGTCACTCTGCGACCAAGGGTTACATCAATGACATCGCTGTCTTCGAGAGGGGCGATAGAGGTAAAGATGGTGTGTGCGTAGTAGTCGCTCTGGGCAAAGAGCACCGAATGGGGCGATGGAGAAGGGCCACAGGGAGGAACGGGGCTGTTGTTTTCGAGATACCACGAGTGGAGCAGAAGCCAAAGACGAACGGGGTTGGTGGCTCAGATGAGCATGCAGAGGAAGATTGATTGAATGGGTATTGAATGACTTGCATAGGCGTATAGGTTAGGTTCACTGGTAGTCATCTACAGCATGGAACTGGTATCATTATGTCCATAAGGGCAATGCCACTCAGGACGAGCTTCGTCTGAGCTCTATACTATAAAAAATACAACTACATCTCCGCCTGAGCTGATATTGAAAACACTTTCGTTGCGTCATCCCTACCGTCCATTTTGCGCCTTACCCTTGCCTTTCCCCTTGCCATCCCTCCTCTTCTCCCAAACCTGCAAGTAGGTCTCCCCAAGGTATAGCAATTCCTTCTGTGTCTTCTCCACAAACAAATCTTGGATCTGCACCCACTCGTCTCGACCCCGATCCCTCATCTGCACCTTCCATGTCCGCTTCTCTGTTTCGCCCTCGACACTATCCTCCCGTCCCCTTACGGCCTCATGCACAATGTTCGCAACCAGGTCATACCATATTGGCTCCCCAGGCTGATGGAACGCCGGGTTGGGCTCCACATAGGGACTCATATCCAAATTCCGAGCGTCGAATGTGACGATTGTGGGGTTGCGCTCTTCGACAAATTTATTCTTAGAGAAGCGCTTGACGTGGAAGAGAAGGTATGGTGGCAGAGGGTGTAGCAGACGATAGCGTTTCCGCTGGTTAAGATGTTCTTGCGCCTTTAATCCATCATATTTGGAAAGAATTGAGGTGAGCGGCACTTGCGGGATAATATTCCGTTCTAGTTCATCTTGGAAGAGGGGTGCGGAGGGAAGATCGAGCGTTAGTAGGAGAAAGCGATTGACGTCTATTTTGACCTCTGCTGCTTCCTCGAAACGCAACCGATCGCCTGCGTCGGCTTTGGCCGTAATGGCCTGGCTTTCAACCTTTAGTTTTCCTTGGAAACATTGCTGGGCCATGCTGCTTCCTGGCTTGGTCTTGCTACCCCCAAGCGCGAGATGGATATTGTTGAGGAACCAGGACAAAAACTCTACTGGGTCGGATTGTGCGGTTAGGGTGAACTTCTTGTTCGATTTAAGAGAGATCTCTTGGAGGAGTTCGTGCGGTGAAACGTGCGATTTGAAGGCTCGGGGGTTCCAAATCTTGCGGATGAGGATCGAGAGTCGTTTGACCAGTTCGGGTTTGGTTGAGAAGTCTTCGAGTAGGAAGTAATTCCGCAGAGGCGGGACGTGTGATAGGGCCTGCACTACGACATTGAAGTAGTCGTTGTCCTTAATATTGTTCATTCCTACAAAGCCGGGCGCATATTCCTTCCCTCCAAGGGTCCAGGCTACCTTTGCCTCGCGGTCCAGGGCCATGACCTGCTCTTTTGTGTACCTCGGATCAGAGACGAACTTGATATCATCTAAGCTCTTGTTCTTCACCTCGTAGCCTTCCGGTAGAACGTACACCTTCTGCGTCTGCATATTGATGTATACATGATGCCCGACCTCGAGCGCGTGGAAATATGCGTGCGACTTTGGGCCTCGGCCTTGATAGTATTTCCCGCAGACTAGGCAGGCATAGACATTGATATTCGAAAGGGTAACAGAACAGAGCTTTTCGAAATCAAAATCGAGGACATTCCGATTAACCGTATCGAGATATAGGTCGTCAAACCCCTCGGGAGGAGCTTCTTGCCGTATGGCTACTGGGGCATTGACTTCCTCCTCCTCCTCCCCATCCACCTCTTCAACTCCCCGATCGCTCGGAGTCGCGGTTGTTTCGTGAATCCTCAGGCGTTTCACCGCAGGCTCAAATCCTTCATCTGAAATATCGATATCCTTTCGTTTTCGCGATGTTCCATTGGGAGTTGCAGTCTCACTCATTTTGGTTGAAGGTTGGTGGCGACAAGAAAACAGTTGTGGTTGCTGTATGATTTTTCGAGCTTCGATGTTTTGGTTCTCCTCCAGCCGCCTCGCTTGCAGCCTTGCGTTGGCGTTGGAGTTGGCCTTGCTGGTGCATGGGGCAAGGGAGTTTAGTCAGGAGGTCTTTTTTTTTGCGCCTGGTGCAACATCATGCATCCAGGATCTCTCCCCCTTTTTATTCATTACTTCCGCATTCCATTTTCCTTATCACTTTATTTTCCTTCTTTTGCACGCCGGGTAATGTTGCATTTTCATGCATCGATGGGCCCATTGCTAGTGATCTTTCGTGGCCTTAGTAATCGAAGTTGAGTAACTGTCCCGATGCCATTTCTTTTTTGTCTTATCTGGCGTGTATAATGGAGGGTGGGTGCTTGTGGCCACCAGATTGTTGCGACTACTCAGTGTCAAATATTGGAGAGCATCATTCTCTAAATTCCAGTCCAACTATTTCCATTTCCATAGGGCAACGTTCCTATCGTCCTACCTTGCTTCCAAACCTATATAGGCTATATGACCCATCTCAATACCGTGGCAGCCTTGAAAATCCTCATAACGGGCGCAACGGACTTCATGTAAGCATCCCCTTTGCCATATAGGAAGTATTGATTTTCCCTCCAGCAGGGGCTCAATCTCATCGCACCCGATATCGTCAAATTATGAATTTCTCTCCTGCCACTTTGTTTCTGCAGTATGACTTTTCCATGCTCCCCAAAGAATCATGATAGATAAAGAGCTTCTAGTCCTCTAGTCCTCTAGTCCTCCAGTCCTCCGGGCCTCTCCGTTCCACTAGCCCAGTCGGGTCTCATACGACGGGCACACCTGGTAGGCTGGCCGCGCCTGCCTTGCTGTCCCACCTCATGTCGCACCTCAAGTCTATCTTCTGTACGAATTCCGTAGTAATATATATATATATATACCTGTCTAAGTTGCAACAGCACCAAGGTTTTCTGAAAATCTGTTTTGTTCGACTTTCACCAGGCATCGGGAACTCGAGGTGCGGCATCTCAGAATTTTTTACCAATCCGAAACACCATATTTCCAACTCTTATAACCCGCCACGACATCGCTTCCAACCTCCAAACCCATTGTTGGTTTCACAATAATGGCCGAGGGCTCCGAGTCAGTACCTGCCGGGCTCCCCCTCTGGAACTCCTCGCCGGAACCTCAAGTGTATAACGTTGAGCTAGAGAAGATTCCGGAAGAAAATCGGTATACGTACAGCAGCACCAATGGCCTCGATTATCTTATAAAAGGGCACACCGAAAGCTTAGAACAGGGCGGTACTCGATATCAATATCTCGCATTTCGATTATTCCGGATCGAAAACGCTAATAATTGGTCTCCACCCCTTAAGAGCTGCCGGGCTACAATATATGAGAACGACCAAATTTTGATTGTCAAAATCATACCAACCCAAGCACATCATATACCGTGCTAGTTTTTCTGGCAAGTGATAGCTATACAGCTTAGAAGTCAGGGAGTACAGCCACGAGAATTTGTATGTTGTGGGGGAGCTACATACAGCAGCTCCGCGCCCCAAATATCCTCAAAGGAGCCGGATATTGCTTTAAACCGTTCTGTACCCGACCGAACACGAATGACTTCCCAACGTTAATTATCGAGGTTGGGTATCCTTCGTCATTTGAGAGCCTCCGCCTGGATGCACGCTGGTGGCTGCAAGCCAGTCACGGCGCGGCTGCCTACGTTGTGATAGTATCTATAAAAGATACTGACCGGACACTGCGGATTGAACTCTGGGAGTTGCGATCGGAACAGTCCCGCAGACCTCAGCCAGAAATGATTAAAGAATGCGTCGTCTTCCGGCGTGGGACTCTTCTTGATAATGGGGATTATGATACCTCGAGTGGAACGCGCATTACAGATGGAACCCTTGTGACGAACGCATCGTTTGCACGAGAGCCAGTGTATGTCAAAGGTGCCCCGCTCGTCCTCGAGTTTATTAACAGACTTCTCCTTCGGCCACCTACACCTTGCGAAAGTGATGTTACATTCTCGTCGCTATTGTTCGCAGAGCTTTCGGGTTTGATTTGGTATTAAGCTTGATTTGGAACTGGAGTTTGAAAAGTGGCGATGGCGGTGTTGCAGACCCTTTGGCTCGTAGGGCCATAAAATTGTACTAATTACGAGTATTGGAAGGGTTCTTGCTCTTTCGCTCGTGCATACCTACATTACCTACCTAGGTAGGTAGGTAATGTAGGTAATAATTCTATCACGCTTACTATCAAATCCATCTTGTTTTCTGGGGTTGCTGTTTCGCCTACTAGATATTGATTCCATGATGCACCGGAGATGAGGCAGTGGTGCTTGTGGTATTAGAACAAAAGACTTCGCAAAGCTGAGGCATAAAGAAGGATAAAGAATCGGCCCAGGACAAAATAAGCGCGAAATTCGAGACAAGAAGTCGACACAGCGAGTGACGACGAATAGAACAGGCCAAGATTCAATCACGAGAAACAGGCTTGTTTCAGAACATAAAAACCCAGCGAATAAGTTCGGCGCGTAACGACCACAACCCCCTGGTAACCTCGTCTCTTATCCTGGGAGCGCATAGTGCTCTGCCACAACCCATCTTATTTGACGACGATAAACTAATGCAAAGAATGGTGAATATGAATGTATAGGTAGGGTATCTTCTCGAGATGATTTTAGCCGTGCTTCCTTTCTTTCTTCCTCCTTCCTCCTTCATTGTCCCTTTTGACCAGGCTTCTCGCAATTGATTCCCTTCTTTTCTCTTGTATCGAATGAACATGGCAGGTCCTCTTAATTGCACACTGGCTCCCAGTGAGACTAGCACCGACGCGGGCGTTGCAGGCGCAGGAGTATGATCCATCTATCCTCCGCAAGAATGATGATAGCTAAAGAGCTTCCAGGTCCTCCTCTCCTTCATCATTACAGCCGGCCTGTCCCTATTATTGAGTGGGATCATCATCCTACGCGAAGTCCACTGGCAATCCGAAGCAAAAGTAATCCGGAAGCTGCTCCTCTCCTTCAGCGATCAGCAAATCCTCACCGGAATCGGTATCCAAAGCGTTGGGCTTGCAAAGATGCACTCCATGGTTCCCTACCACTTCTTCATCATCTGGATGCTGTCGTTGCTCTCGACGGCTACCCATATTGGCACGCTGTTGGCCCTGGTCAATGATTTTAAGCGCGACTGGGTATTGCGGTGGCTGCGTCAGTTCTTCATGTTCGTGAATCTCGTCCTCTCCTGCATCTCGGGTGTTTTCGTCCTCATGGCTGTAATGAGGAGTTTCCCAGCGACCCTGCCAATTGCGTGTGTCTGGCAAGTTCCATCCAAGGACGCCCCGTCGAACGCTGCTATTTCTATCGCTGGAACAATCGCAGTCATGGCTGGGCAGTGCATATTGTTTGTGCTTGGTGTGTGGTACCTGCATGTCAAGGAACGCAAGTGGTTGAAACTAATTCAAATCGTTGGCCTGCTTGTAATTGTCGGGATCGGTGCTGGGGCGGCTGTTCGAGTCGTTCTACTGTCTCAGGCATTTGGATCTCCTTCCGTTCCCCTCCGGGATACAGGCGAGAAGGAATGGAGTTTTGGACAGCTCCTCCCCCTTCTACTACTTCTGCTGCCACTGGTCTCTGCGGTCGAGATAAGTCGCGGTAAGTGCTCCCTGCTCTACTCATTCGTCTGCGGATCTATTAGCTAATATGCTGGTCCGATATAGGAGAAATGAAGGTTCCATCTCCAGTTGCAGATGATCAGCTTCCTCTCGTAGATAGAGACCAAAAGCAAAGCTCCGATGTTCGTGCCTCGTTCCAGCCCAACCCTTTCTGGGGTTCGCAGGTCAGCCGCTGGAGTAAATGAAGGAGAACTTACTACTTATATGGAAATAAGTACTCTAAATTGTGAGTAACTTTGCTTGGAGGTATAGATATATTTGCTAAATTCCGCTAGTATTCTGGATATAGAATTGCCACTGACAAAGCAAATGGTCACGGTTTAGTGACAGAGAGTCACACAAGTGCTCTAAGCAGAGTCAAGCTATTCCATATACCATTGTTAAAGGGATATTGAGTATTGAGAATTGAGCTCTGCACAATCCAATGCTAGGAATGATGACGGTGGAACCAGTGATATGTGCCTACAAAAGGAGCATATGAAGCATGAGTAAATCATGTTGCAATGATACCTATGAGATATGAACACGAACAGAAATACACCACAGAATCAAATGATCACATACACACAAGTAGTCTCGTCCTCCTTCTACTATGTCCTCCAATCCAAGGCCTGATAAGTAACCCTCGCTTGATCTACCTACTTTCTCCTATTACTTTTCCAAGTCGTAATATCTTACATCTAGGACTCAGCTAAGGCGGCGAATTATACAGCCCTCCTCGATGGCCTCTTATTGATAAGTTGGAAAGTCATACTGCGCTAATAATGAATTGTTTTGATACTGTTCTATTGTGGCTATGGGTGGATGCGGAAGGGTATTTCTAAATATAAGCATAACATACCGAGCATGCATAGAAGCTCGAAGACGCAGCAAACCTCAGCAGCCGTAAAACCTGATCGTACATGATTATGCCGGTATTTTTGCCCCTCATCCATTTACATGCTATGCCGTGGTAACAAAGCCCCCCCCCCCAACGCCAGGCCGAAATCCAAATCTCTAATACACCACATTCATAGTCCTAACCCAGGTCACCAACCCAGCCCAAGTTGTCTCTATTCCCATCCATTACCCTGGCATACTCTAGTAATAGTCTATAGGTATAGATTCTCATATCCTCCTGCCTTAGCACCTTCTTCGCCCAATCGCGACCCTCCTCCGCAATTTTGTGCGCCAAATGATCTCTCCCGGTGCCGACGGGATATCCTAGGAAGAACTCCATGATGCCATACAGATCCAAGAAACGATTGTCAAAGGGCACGAAATGTTTCCATGCTATTAAGCGGCTATCATGCCACTCGCGGAACATCGTCGCCTTGATAGGCAGGCTGCCACTAATGAGGAAATCCCGGTAGCGACCCGAGAAGGAGTTCCCATCCACATCGGGCAAGTATTTAAAATTGTGCTGATCGCCCATCATGATCGGTTTGAGGGGAGACAGGAGGTAGTTGGTGTACGAACAAAGCCCCTCGGGTTCGTCGGGGAAGCACTTCAGGTTGGTGAAGCCGACCTCGGAGGTGAAGTTGCTGAGCCAGTTTCCTATGTCAACATGGCGTTCTTCAATAGACGAGTTCCAAGCTTTAAGGTTCCACTCATCCAGCGGCAAACTTTCAATGTCGATGAAAGAAGAGGAGTTATGCATTTTCAGAGCTTGTGTGCCATTCAACATGGAGATCAACCGGTGTCGATGGAAGCCCTTCCAATTATCGGCTTTACTGCGACCTCCAGAAGCCAGACCGCGCCACACCATGGCGTCCTTCTTCCTTTCCCAGGGTACAGGAGGCGCCTGCGAGGCATACTCCTCGTCGAATTTGTAGTACATTACGGCTGGGAGAAGAATTTCCGAGTTCACCCCCAGCTTGCTGCTGCCGAACATTGGAAAGAGTTTTGGTGATGTGGACACACTGATGGCTTCGATGAAGAAACCGTGCAAGTCGCGCAGATCGGGTTGATGGCAAACCGATGTGGATAGACTGTAATTGGAGACATAGCCTCTATACAGATGGGGCTTCATGTGCTCGATGTCTAGTTTGGGAGGTTCGGATAAGTTGGCATGCGTTTCGACCGTTCTCACAGTGCTATTTGGTGAACATGGCTGAATGATTCGCGGCCATACGGGATGTGACTTATCCCAAGGGAATTCCGGATTCTTTTCTGTCTTTGGGAATCCTACACATTATCACAATCAGCTAGATGTTCACCTGAAGAAACAGAACCTCACAATCTTACCACTATATGTCTGGTTCACCTGGTCAGGCGGCGGGAGTTTCCTCCCTTTATGCTCTGCCTCCACGTACTCCTTCATCTTCTCCCAGGGAATCAGCAGGCGGGATTCATCCATAGTATTCATAGCTATATCCATATCTGGCAGATGGGCTGCCACTGATTGGATCATATCCCTCCAAGTGGGCATCCAGAAATGGCCGTCGTCAAATGTCACATTTCCACCCCTGATTTGAAATATGGCTCTCTGAGCCAGCACATCTTTCTGCATATCGAGCGGATCAAGCGCCCACATCGGATTCACATCGTCGTATATCGGGTCCCAGAAATCCTCCACAATCATGGCGTGGTTATCCCGCGCATATTGCCACCATCTGTCAAACCCAGGAGGCGGATGCCGTCCCCGTTTCTCACGGTAGCGCTGTGCTGCGCTAGCGAGGTCGTACGTCTCTTTCTTAAGGAGGGCACGGTAATCATCATCCGCATGGTGAAGGAGTTCGACGATGGGGTGGCTGTCTTCGGCTGTGGAGGGAAGAGGGATGGTTTCTTCAGGCGGTAAAGGCGGGTCTGTCACAGTGTTGGCATGGTCCTGATATGAAATATCGTCATAGACATTATTATCGTTGGTATCTGCACCTGGGACGGCATCAATAGTGTGGTCGACGGGTCGCCGCCATGGAATCACTACTGTCTGAGAGAAGTCGCGTCCGAAAAGGGTGAAGGAGAGAAACAGCAGTATGGTGAGGCCGGCCACAAACGGCCATAGCCGGTGGAACTGCAGTGGACTCAGCATGAGTTATGTATCGATCTTGTCACCTAAGAGGAGCTATACTAGGTGCGATCGAGACATGAGGCGCCATCCGCGACACGATGCCGTTGTCTTGAATCTTGAATTCACGCCGAAGAGAGAAATGAGGGCTTGAACTTCCTGGATTATTGAACCCTGCAATGTACGTACAGATAATCCCTGTTAAACCGCGGTATGCCCTTCGTACTCGTACTCGCACATTTGTTAGTAATGGCGAACTTAGGGGGTTGTGGGGTTAGGGGTAACAGCACGAAGTACCCGCTTCCTTGTGGTGAACTTCTTGATATATATTTATTGTGTCCTGTATATTACTTGATTTACTCCGAAAATCCATGTACGATTATGAAATATACTAGAGCTCTAGATGTTCAACCTTTTGTAGCCCAAATATCCCCCCAGCCTGCTAAAATTGCTAACCTAGCCTAACCAACACCCAGTCAGGCTCCGCTGCGTCCCAGTCATTCTGAGAGATATCACCGACACTGACACGTTCGGCAATGGCATCTGGCTCAGCTCCAATATGGCTGATCAACATGACATGCATGTAACCGTGGCGATTGTTTGATAGAGCAATAAATTCGTATTTTCCATCCGACGGACGAAATGGGCTTGTCAGCCAGTCTGAAGGGAGGAGGATTCGATTCGTGACGTGGGAGTAGCGTTGACCGATAAAGTGGTCACACCATACGATATCTAAAGAATCGCTCCTCCTGTCGTTATCAGGCACCACGGAGAGAAATGCTCGGCTTGTATAGAAAAATAACAGATGTGGGGGTGGGGATGTTGAGGGAGATGTCATATTGGAGGCAGCTGATACCTCAACCGGCCTGTCATTCTGACACCATCTCGCTCTGGGCTCTGTTGGAGAAGTGGGTTGTATTTGCTGTAAGCCTCCGTCAATACTCCGGTCCGTATTTTGAGCGCTATTTGGAGATGGGATATAGTAGGAAACGTGGGATACAACGTCACGCTCATGATACCCGTGCAGGACATATCGATAGTCAATAGGGCCAACCCATCCAGCCCATGACCAGCTAGGCATTTGCAAATCGTCAGGGGCTACGACCCTCCTTCGAAAGTCCTTAACGGAGAGAGGTGTCTGAGACCGGATCCTCCGAGAGTTCCTCCCTGAGGACTGCGCCGGGGACCAGAGAAGTGCGCGATGAAACCATGGCGAGGGGATTCCAAAGTGGAAGTATGGGGTATGTGGATCAGGATTTAACCAACCGCTTTCACCATCCATTCGATACACCTCTCGTGCAAGTCCTCCAAATGCCTTCAGCACATCGCCTTCATAGGTTAGATCTCGCCGACTAAACCCTTCTACGACCTTAGTATACAACTCGAAAAGGGAGATCTCCATATCCGAGGAGTCGAAAGAATCGAGGAACACACGTTCTTTCTCCCTAGGGATTCCGAATCGGTACAACGGCAAGTCATCATACTCCAGTTGCGGATCATCAACTTCAAGAACCGTATCCTCACACCAGGTGTTTCTTCGACATTGGAAATAGACCTGCTCACTTGTAAAGTAGAGGAGCCTATGGGAGAATGCTCGTTCTTGGTATGTCCATCCGCGAGTATCCCACCTCGAGAAGGCGAGTAAGGGGAGCAACAATCCTCTAGCTACCGCAAGCTCTTGTGGCCCACCAGGGAGGTCGACCTTGAGGATATCCTGGAAATTTTCCATGTCCCGGGTTCCCGACCGAACTCCGGGAAGGCCTGCATTTGCATCAGTACCAGATGCCGCTACGAGAGTCAACGAGGAGCCGCTATATATATGATCCATCTTTGAAATATATCGTTCGCTGTCCTGTGGGTCGTCCTGGATGATGCATATTGCATCTACCCACAAGTATCTCTCGCCTAACTCTCGGGCTATAAGTATGGCGTCGTGGATGGTTTGAGGGATTTGTCGTGTGCTGAGGTCTAGTGATCCTTCTTGATATAGCTCTTTTCGGTTGGCAGTGGTCAAGCGCAGCATTGGTGTCGAGCCCCAGACGTATGAGAGTGTAATGTATCTTGACCCGGTAGAGACATCAACCACACAATTTTTGATAACATCAATGACTCTTAGTGTTGAAATGTGCAACTGTTCATGCCCAGGGGCGCATTGCGCTCCATGGTTCAGTTCACACCACGAGAGCCACTTTCTCACAAGGGAGAAACAGAGCTTCTTTGAAAGCCCAGCTGAAGACCGCTTGCTAAAAATCGGGAGCGGGTCAAAGAGCCCTACTTGTCGAGTAGGCGGCTGGACTTGCTGCAGCTCCGCAAATGTCTCATCTTCGAATCTATTCCCCTTGCCGTCCTGTGCCCACCCATACACCGAGATAGAGATGCGAAAATGCCATAAACCACGCATTAGGGAATCAGTACCAAAGCGATTTACAAACCTATCCTTGGAAGCTTCAGAGATGCTGGCAATCCTGTTACTCAAGGAGCAGTCTAGGTTTTCGCGGTCGGTCGTCTCAGCTGTTGACTTTTTGTTCGTTGAGCGTCGCACGCTGTCAATCGCAGTGATGAGTAGATGGCAGAATGGACATTGTGACTGTTTGGAATATACTTGGTCTAAGGATCCTAATTCGATGTTCTCGGACCATTCAAGCTCCTTTTCAAACAGCGCTTCAATCTCGATCGTTGAACAGATATCACATAGATCTTTCGAGGTATATATCTCGTTGTCTCGCTCGATTTTCTCGGTAGGATAGCTCATTGCATTTATAGAAACTGCAATAACGATTGGTTTGTCGTAAACCTGCCTTAATGGTTAAGTCTAGTGAGAATAGTAAAATAACTCGTTTGTCGGACATTGTAAGACGTTGTTCTGGAGCGGCGCTAGTGGCTGCTGTGCGTCTGGCTGAGTCGGAATGGTTGGCTGAAATTGCTTCTTCAGCCATGTTCAGGCGTGGAAGATGCTGTGCCAGTGGAATGGAATAGTGGGCGGTTTGCATTGGGATATACAATCACCGAGTCGGGGTTAACTTAAGTACGAAGTTGGCGATATGGTCCAATATAACTCGGATCATACTCTACCTGTTGCTCTGTGATTTAACGTTGCCTACCCGACCGTTTAGCGCACTCAGTGCCACTCCGGGGGGTCTTTGGGGCCTTCCGGGCATGGCAACCTGCTGCACTCAGGGGGTGAGTCCCAGTTTTGGGCGTTCCTTCACCAAGATAAATCCAACGACAAGGTTAACTTGTGCACAAAAGCGTTGACTGTTCAGCATACCTGTCTCAATATTTCCACTTGTCCGATAGCAGTTTGCGCTTTTATCATTCGAAGATCTAGCCCTTTATCCGTGTTTTTCTCAATCCAAAATGGCAGGGTTTGCGTGTTAAGTGGTGGCTTTGGACAGGACTCAGTGAGGTCCGTTTAGCATCGTGGGTATTTTCGATAACTAGGTCACTGCATCAACCCCGCCGAACCTTTAACTCTATCCTTTCATATGGCATAGCAAGATTTGATTCTTATAACTGGCTTGTGGTTGTCAAGCGACCCTTCTCGTGGATCGAGACAGCATTCCCAAACTTGAACTTGGAGTAGACAACAATGGGAGTAATGTAATCCACGGGATGAAAAGTCTCCGGAAACTAAATATGGTATAGAATATGATACTGCTGGCTTCATTTGGGTTTAGGAAGCTTGTCCTCCAGTGGCTTCTCGCCATTCTTCTGCATACTAGCAGCAACCTTATCCACGTCCCTCCAAACCCTCAAGATATTTCCGCCCACCACCTTTGCCGCATCCTCATTGCTCACTCCCCCCCGCAGCAGCTCTGCGACCAAGTCGGGGTATTTGCTTACATCATCTAACCCCGTTGGTGTGCTTCCAATGCCATCAAAGTCGCTGCCAATACCAACATGATCATACCCGATTAACTCCCCAATATGCATGATATGTCTCACCACCTGCTGTAATGTTGAGTTTGTTGGGTAGAAATCCGGCAGGCCGGAAGGGTTAGATGGATTTGCAACGCAAGATATGAAATCTGGGGCGAAGTTCACCATCACAATGCTATTCTTCTTCTTGACTAGCTGGAGAATATCGTCCGGGACATTTCTTGGATGGGGACACAGTGCGTAGGCGGAGGAATGACTATATATAGGAGGCGCAGCACTTCCGTCCCAGTCTGAGGAGCCGCCTAGAACGTCGCGCATTGTGTCCTGGCTTACATGCGCAAGGTCGATGATCATGCCAAGGCGGTTCATTTCATGGACTAGCTCTTTGCCTGCAGGAGAAACACCACCCCATTTGGGTTTTGATACTTCCACCCCACCGCGAGAGATTTCAGTTAGAGCGGCGTCGGCATAGATGTTATGGCAGTTGTGGGTGAGAGTTGCATAACGGACGCCTAGGGAGTAGTAGAGGCGGAGGTTGGCGATGGAATTTCCTATTTGATGTAGACCTTCGATGGCAAGAGGAGAAATTAACTGGCCGGATTTGAAGGCGGAGAGAGCAGTGCTGCTATTCAGTGGTGGGGAGAAGTGGGCTGGATAAGCGGCTTGGAGGCGAGCGAGTAGATCAATTTGGGTGAGGGTGAAGGCAACCGCTGTTGAGAGTGAGTACATGAGGGCTAACAAGGACCTACAGATGATGATAAGGAAAGAGGAGAGGGACGATGAAGTTATCTTGGCCTTGTGTAAATTCAAATGCACGGTCACCAAGATACCATCTGATATAGATCAAACAAGCGGAACATACAATCAGCATAATTCTCATTAGAGAAATCCGAACCATCTGCGGGACACGGGACAAATGCGCTCCAAAATGCGCCTCCGTTTTTGCCTTCCTTAAGACGAGGTAGGTCGACATGAAGGGGCATTCCACCCTCCTCGAAGGGCTTGGTGAATTTATCATCATAGATGTGGTTGTCATAGTAATATCTTATAAAAATGGCAAGATCATTGTGCCCATCTACATTGATATCAGAGACGGCCTCGTAATCTAGAGGGCAATAGATAACATACCAATAAGGGGTGTCTCGGTCAATATCTTATTAACACGCTCTTCAATAGTTCGGGGGGAAGGAAGAGGTTTCAAATGCTTAAAAAATTCGGAATAGAAATCTTGAGAGGTAATAAACACAGTTGTAGAGACTATGACGCATAATCCAATCACAGTCCATATAAAGTTTCTCGGAGGCTTTAACTTTCTAAACGACTGGAGTTCGGGCTCATATGCCTCCTTCAGGCTTGGTGGCTGAGACGCTGGTATTTCTGGTGCACGATTGCTCGTCGGCAACAGTGCATCCCCCTCAGTGTAGTGGCAGTAAGACATCATGAATGAGGAGTGTATATCAAGTGTTTCGGCGATGCCGTGAAGGGGTGCAGGGGCGTCACGTAATCAGAGCCGATATGACGCTAGTCCATTCTAGGGAAGCCTCGTGTGCAGTGCTGTCAGGAACCCTGGAACCTTCAAGATTCCTCCTTGGCGTCGTCCGTCCAGCACGGAGTCTCCAACTCAGAATACGAAGCAGCACCAAAACCTCATCCTTCATCCATCCTTCGTTCGCCGTTCTCTTCTATTCCCCGACCTCCGTTGGTGGCATTTACGCACTTGGTTCCCATCCGCCATTTTCAAGTTCGAGACCTGGATTTCATTTAATTTTGACGGAGAAGAAGCGATAGGGATCCCAGCTGAACTGGAGCTCCTGAACCTGCCAACTGTCACTCTTTCCAGCCATTCATTCGCGAATACACGATAGTGCCCTCGCAGAGGACGCGTTTTAAAGTCCCGAGCTCGTAGCTCTTCCAGCTTTCAGTAACATCACCCCTACAAGAGCCATTGCTCGGTCGCAGTCATGCCTGGGTTCGCAGATTCCTTTTGGACTTCTGGCGACTACGCAGGAGGTAAGTTAGCTTAGGACGAACCCGGCTCTGGTCACTAATGGATACCCCCAGGCCTCGGCGTACTCTTTGGCAAGCTCCAGCAAGGTGTCGCGGAGAACCAGCAGATCCTCACCATCGCACGACTACGCGCGGAGGCAGAGGATGTATATGGCATGCGTTTGGGCGACATTGGCCCTGCAACGGATAGGATAACTGGCGGATTCTCCCGCGACGATGGAGCAAGTGTTCGAAAGGTTCGAATTAGTATTGCTTATTTGTGAATAGGGGCTTACAGTTTTACAGGCTTATGATGGAGTGCGGACAGAAATGGAAGAAGCAGCAAAAAACCATCGCAAGATTGCCCAAAGCATCAGAGACCTCGTTGTCGCCCCGTTCAGCAGATGGTGCGATGCACATGAATCTCGAATTCAGAATTCACAGGATGATCTTATGGCACGAATAAAGCTTCACGACAAGCAAGCGGAGTCGGTTAAGAAACTGCGAAGCCATTATTTTAACAAATGTCGACTAGTCGAAGACATCGAGGAGGAGAATAAGTTAGCATTCCAAGATCCCGAAACCAGCCCAAAGCCGGCCATACCAGAGATCAAGGTGTCTGAGAAGGAAGAGGAAGAGGAAGAACCTCTTGATATTGGCGACGAGATCTACCAGCCAGAACAGGTTAGGAAGATCCTGGCGCACATCTTGCAGACAGTACAGCTCGGCGAGACAAAAGTTCCCATTCTAGGCACATACATGAACACAACAGCTGGGGCAGATATCGTTGAATACTTCCAGAAATATATGGGTACGACCAGCGTTAGCCATTCCGAACGACTTGGACAAGATCTTATTACTCACGGATTCCTTCGACTAATTGGAAATGTCGGAAACGTTTTCGCTAACAGCTCCAAGCTGTTTTACCAATGGAAGCCGAAAGCGTTTCAATGGTCTGGTGTGCTTGAAAAGAAACTGCCACTAAGCCGCACTTTCTCGATAACATCCAATACCGACAATCTAGATTCTCCGGTGGGCACTGTAACTGAATATTTGGCGGGGTGGAACCCTCTCAACACCTCGCATCCAAACGAGACACCGGGCGACCGACTTCGGAGAGAGGCAGCAGAGGCGGATGAGCGGTACAAGGCTGGAGTCCGAAAGCTGGACCTCTACCGTTGCCAACTGGAAGAGGCCATAATCGAACACTTTACATACCTGGAGCGTTGTGAGCTCGACAGGCTGAAGGCCATGAAGACAATCATTCTAGACTTTTCGGGCACCATAAGCAACGTCATCCCAAGCTTGCAATCTACCGTGGATAACATGATGCTCTACCAAGAAACCGTTCAACCACTTGGAGATCTGCGATACCTACTCGAAAATTACCGCACCGGTGGCTTTGCTCCCAAGGTCACTGTCTACGAGAACTACTACAACTCTGCGGACGAACAGACCTTTGGTGTTGATCTAGAGGCAAGGGCCCGAAGTGACAGGAAGCGCGTGCCGTCTATTATCACCACCATACTTACGTTCTTGGACAACCGATATCCAGACCTTGAAGGTGACGAGGCTCGGCGAAGTGTTTGGCTGGTTGATGTGCCTCTTGCTCAAACGCACAGACTACGAGAATTGCTCAATACTGGAAAGCCTTTTAGTATTGAATCTCTAGAGCCTTTTGAGGTTCCTATTATTGCCAGCGTGCTCAAATTATACTTATTAGAACTTCCAGGTATGCTTGAACCAGACTCGCTATGAGCTATTGCTAACCGCTACGTAGATTCCTTGGTTTCGTCACATGTCTACGAAATTATGAAAACAATCTACTCGACACCTGCATCCGAGAGTTCGGATTCTACCCGAATCTCTGTTCTACAAAATACCCTCAGCCAGCTACGCCTTGCCAACATCGCGACGCTTGATGCACTTATGACACATTTCACCAGACTCATCGAGTTGACATCAGCTGATGAAACTTACGTTGCTGCATTAGCTACAACACTGGCACCATGCATCCTCCGGCCGAAAGTAGAGACCTCTATGACCATGGAAGAGAAATATTCTTACCGGCTCATCCGTGATCTCTTCACTCACAAAGTTGCCATCTTCAGTGAACTTAAGCGTGCTTCCTCACTGTCGCACACAATTAGCGTCGATACGCGGCCGCGAGCCATTAGTACTGACGAGAGCAACCGAAAAGCCAATATGGAAGCGCGTGCTCGTGCGATCATAGCTGCAGGAGGTGGATCACGCAGCAGAAACCCAAGTCCAGCTCCGTCCCCACGTGGCCATCGTAGGGATCGCAGCTCTGGAGGACCAGAGACCCGGTTCCCTATACAAACATCTCCCACAGCTTCGAGAAGCGCTGGGCCGCAGCCCACTGCAAGACAAAGCCTAGAAGTCCCAAGCGATGCTGCTGTTAAAGCCACCGAGCCACCAAATGGGTCAGTTACGAATGGATCCGTAGAAGCCCAGACCAGCGCAACGTACATCCCAGGAATGGATGACGGTATGGGCGAGATTGGCGTGGAGAAACGGAATAGCCTAGGGAGACAAGGACCTGCTGCTGCCTCCCGGTTTCCTGCTCGCAGAAATCCCGGATTGGCAAGGATGAGCCAGAGCCACGAACAGGGAAAGAGGGACAGCGTTGGCAGTATAGTTGGGCATGATGATGGTGTTGGGGATAAATTTGGTCATGGTGTTACTTTGACAGACAGGCCTATGGATGATTGAGCTGATTTGGAGCTGGGTGGCGGTAGTCATATGGAGAAGTGGATATTGAATTGAGACGTGTAAGTATGTATGATAGCCGATGAGATTTTAATGTCGAATATGAAGCAATGGTTGATACCCCTTGAACATCACATAAGCTTGCAAACGGCGGGGAACGAATTTTCATTCTACCCTATAAAAAAAGGAAAACGAAAAGAAAAAAAGCACATTCCATCTATAACCGTTCCTTTTGGGGAACCGGCCCCGCCGACAACGCAAACAAACACCTCAATCAAAAAAGAATAAAAATAAAACAAAACAAAAAGGGCACCCCACTTCCCCCCGACCCTACCCCCGGGGTTTTTCGATCACCCAAAACGTCCAAATGGACCGAACTCCTTGGCTAAAAAGCCCATCCCGAAACCTACACAGAGCTTTATATCCGATTAGTGAATGTCACAAGTAGTATTCGTGTTTAAAAACCAGGCATCTAATCCATGTAGCCGAGGGGATAAGAGACTCAGGTAAAGAAGGATTCCTAACTTACGCCGCAGAACAAAGTAAAAATGGGCCAGAAGCCCAGAAGCGTCTCCTGCCGGTGGGGGCGCGGGCGGATCGGCAAAGTTCGGAGGAAACTCCTCCTTCTATAATTTTGCTATATATTAAAATGTTAGCGACCACTACAATCTCTCAAACCATTTGAGACATTTATACAACGGAAATCAACAGAGGGGAACAAAGAATCAATAATGTCTCTAAACAATAGAGATTTTTATACAGCAATAATCTCTCATAACTTTTGAGACATTCTTGCAATATAATTAAACAACCAGAAAACAAGTTAAGAATATTAAAGGAAGGGTCTTACTGAGGCATAGAGCCTATGCTCCCGTCTCTCCACCTAATAAAATTAATGCGGTTAGTAAATACAAGGCACCCGTGAACAGTTATAGTTACAATCTGCTGACAAGGGGACCCGAGGTCCTCCCACTCCCCGAATACGAGCATCGTGTTCGATATCTCCTTCTATGTGCACCCGTTAGTTGGTATTCCTTGACCAGCTGCTGATAAAGCTTTATAGATTGAAGTATCTATCCAAACTCCGTAGGGGAAAATGTGATTTTCTGATTGTGTTAACAAAGTTGCTTACAGCGGAGGGGATGCCGGCGGTGTTGTCGACATATTCTTCCCGATCTTCCACTATTATTGAGGTGGTAATGGTATTGTTGTTGTTCTTGTTGTTATTGTTGTTACTGCGATCAAAACTCCAATTAGCAGCTGATATGTGCGCCACTAGTAGGAATGGATATCTTACTTCAAGGCCAACTGGGCGGATTGTGTACTGCTAAGTAACCGTCAGAACTCAATCGAATACGTCGGAGTGGTATGGTTGACATACCGATGATTGGGGCTGCTAAAGAGGAAAGTGAAAGGAATCAAAAGGGGGCGACGTGTGGCAGATATACGCGTGTTGATGTTTACACTTTGTGGAGTGATCTGCCATTAGGCGAATCGGTGTGGTAATGATACAGGTGCCCGATATCAGCAGCAAACGATGCTGTCTTGTAGCGACAATCTCTTGAATTATTTGAAACAATTAGGAACTCGAGACCTGAGATATGGGGTTCCAGAGGCCGCATGGCTCTTTCCCTCCACAATGCTGTGAAGTTCTTAGCTAAGGAAGGTGCGGATGAGTGGAGGCTGTGGCTAAGATAGGCAACGGAAATCACCAACAAAATTCTATGCCCGTATCCCATTCCTACTACGGCATTTTCAGATTCTCGAGGAAAGAAGAGACGAATAAATCCAGGTTGTATGTATAATTGGCATCGTAACCACTGACGAAATTCTATGTCATTTGGATGGCGGTGCTATGCAACAGCACGCTGGTTGGTTTGAAAAGAACAGTAATATCCGACATGTGCTAAACAGAGTTCAATGCTAGCATGGAGGGACTGTAATATAATGTGGACTTGCGATGTTGTTTATTCTTAGGCGCAATATCCTATCTTTCAAACACCCAGAAGGGAAGCACATGGCCGAGGCTCCAGGCACTACTTTCCAGTGGAGGAATCAAGCTCGTATTGAAGCTGCTGGATAAGGCCGAAGATTATATGTGGCAATTTGGATGCATCCATATTATGAGAGAGAGAGTGTGAAATTATTTTACCAATCTGGTGGATAATAAGTCTTCAATCATTCTGGGACAGTTGTAATGAATTCTTCTTTGGCGCTCATGCTTACTCAACTAACCTGATTGTGTGCAGGTTGAATAAACGGGCAAATACAACCATTTGGAAGATGTGATTTCAAGTCACTGCTGGAAATACCAACCTCATCATTTCATTTATGGCCGTATCTGTATAACTATTCTTGGTTGCAAACAATACCCATAGTTAGGGTGAAAACGGTGACTAAAGGCGACTAAACGTTGCAGGTAGGAACAGCTCCAGAAGTGCCCATTTGACCTCGAAAGTGAATTTTCAACCCAACATAGATATATAGGTAACGGAAGACTGCTTCGACGGAATTAAAAGAATTAGTCAAAGGAATGCCAGGAGGAAGTCTTACACAGTGTGATGTTCACCGTAAACGCATGTCGTCTGAAATTGCTCAAAGCAGCAAGCGAGTTTCTGTACGCCATCGCATCCACATTCACCAATTTGGCATATTAAACGAAGGGCGCGATCAGATCGACAACATCGGGACGTGCCACGCATTCCCCACAGTATCATATTAATTCTTATTTTCACTTCAACGACAAGCAGTCGATTTCCAAGTGCATTAGTTTATAATGAAGATTCGGCGAAGACTTGCTTATTATATGAGCCAGAGAGCTGGAAGTAGGATGATGAGGGCCCGCAAGACTTTCACCTCAATAAGTAGAATATTCCCAAGGACGTATCTACCGATACTATAGGGCCATGTCCTACATACATGCGTCACCCGGATAGAGTGCTCCAATTTACATTGTATTCAAAAAGCCTTAGTTACAGGGACTATGTTTTATGCACAGTGTCTCAGGGTCTTAGTTGCTCCAAGGAGAGATGGTCTCGAATTATTCAAAAGATATCACTCTCCTACTGTATCCGCAACAACCTCATATTATGTTTTAGTTGTCCTACGAAAGCAGAAGATTTATGGTTATTTTTCTTGTACACGCCCACATCCACTTACCTAGGTCGAGTGATACTGCCAGAACACTTTGAAGATCTTGGCCCTTGGGGCTGGACTTTGCACTGAAATTCTGCCTTTGTCCTTATCCAGTCTGAATATAATGTGTATACGAGTAGGGCGGGGATATCATGTTGATGTCTTATTACGGATGATGAGTCTCAGCGCGAGGCTTCGCACCGCCCCGCTCGCCTGTTTTCCCTCGGTACCAAAGTGTTTGCTTTCCGGTTTGAATGGCTTCACACCGCTTCCCGTTTGGGTAATATTTTATGATTCACAAGCTCTCAGTCTCTCTGGCCAATAGGGAAAAAGCAGCACTACAAACACCAGCAAACTCTCGCAAGGCTGAGCTAGTCTCTCGCAATCACCGCGCTACTCGCAATCACTTCGCTACCGAAAAGCGACCTCGAGGCATATAAATACTGCGACCACCCACCCTCTTCTCTTCTCTTCATCTTTCTCCATCCATCCTGCACACCACACGTCAACGATCCATTCCCATCCCACCACTGCCTCAATCCATCAATCCATCACTTTATCATTCATCATTCTTCAACGCTTGCGAACGCTTCTCTCAACAGACAGGTAAGATACATTCCACACTCGTTCTTCCTTCCAAACCCTGCCAAACTCCTCGTGCGTGGTCAACGACACGCATACCCACACTCCCTTCCTGTCAGCAGAGACTACCAATGTCCAAGCCGCAATCCCCCCTACTCTGGGGTGTGTAGTCTCTCAGGTTGGTGAATGGGTGGGTCCAACTCTCAATGGGTAGACCTGGGGTAGCCCTGTCGTCACTGGTCACTTGTGGCTGGTGCTGTTGGACCTGGTGTCGAAGAACCACCGGGGAGCCCTTACATCCTTGAGGTGCGGTTTGTCGAGTTTAGTGAGCTTCGGCTCGAGACAGCATTGCTTAGGAATCTACCTTGGGGTACTTGGAGCTGCGTGAGGCCATTGCTCTTCCGATGCACCGGTGCGTTGCGGGTACGGGAGCTGCTGTCTGGGTGGTATCTTGCTCAGTCGTTTTCAACAACGGCTGACACTTTTTCTTTGATGCTTTTTAGGTCTCGCATCTTCACCGGCCGTCGAGCCCAAACACACTCAACCATCGATCGGATACAGTGGAGGTGAAGGGGGGGGGGGGGGGGGGGGGGGGGGGGGGGGGGGCATTGGTTCTTGGGAGGCCGGATTTTGGAGTCTTGTACTGTACATAGTTGAATGCAATCACTTTTCATTTCCAACCCTTTCTCTTCCAGAACGCGCAACTTCCACAGCCAAAAATGCCCCGGTTGAAATTATGAACCCGAGGAGCCCTCGTCGTCCCTTCCCAGTGTACGCCGTGAATTGGTGGAATTTCCATGATTTATCTACCTTCCTCTTCAGATGAACCAGCGATACTTCTGCGAATAAATCTCCTCTATCATTCCTCAATCATTTGAAGGCATTATCAATAAGCACTCGGGATACTTAAGACAACTACCGGTATGACAACTCCGATCGCGAATGGTTTTCCGTGGTTGAGATACTGCTCAGTGTTTTATGGTAAACAGCTTTTATTTCCTGGAGCGGCATGACTTCCCTCTTCTGTCCTAAGACAAACATTATCAGCGGCACGAAGCAGAACATGGAATTGGGTACAGGGTCCCTTGAGTTGGGGAGAAGAAGACCTCGAGAAACATGTTTCTGGCATTGTATGACTTTCTTCTCAACGATTTCTTTATTCCCTGTCCTCTGCCGTCTACTTGCTACTGTCTTCCACGCTCTGCATTTATTACTGAGGTTACCCTGACAACAACAATAACAGCGAGATGGCCGGGTTGTCAACCACGCCAGAGGGCTCAACAGAGCCAGTAAGTATTCGCATAGGTTGGTCGGCCAAACCCATGAGACGATCTGGAGCAACAGTGTGAGGAAGTATCAGCTAATAGGTGTACATAGAAGAGGTATACTCGAGCACTCGTACTACAAGAGGTAGAATACCACAATCCGGCAGGTCGTTCCAGAATGATACCATAACTGCCCATTGGTACCTCCATCGCTTCGCTTCCTCCCAGTACAGTTTCCTCCCAAAGTTTCGAACCCCCGCGGTACCCACGGCTACGACAGCAGGGAGAATAGCACAGAAGATGACCATAAATTGGTGCTCGGCCACTCGCCGAGCTGCACAAATGGTTGGGGCAGATTGAAGGGATGGTTGGGGCCGTGAGGGCTACGACATTGACAAAAGTGCGATCAAGGCGTTTACTGCTATCTGCATCCTGTCATAGACTTGGAGTAGCACGAATGGATATGAATTAATGCCATCTTATTGCGCTTGGTAGTTATATTGCTCGTTTATAGAATGCTGACTGATAGCTTTAAGGGCTTGGACACTAATAACTTTCCCGTAAGATCAATCTCGTAGCTCGCCTCTACGACAAAGAGTAGGTAGATACTGTCTTCAAACTCGCCCTGCTTGATATATCCTGTGTCGTGTCAATTATAGTTACCAGAATCACCTTATTTCTGGTAGTTCAGAAGAGTAATATCGGAAATAATTGGTTCTAGATCTAATAATCAACAAGAAGTTAACAACATCTAGATTCTAGTACGAAATTGTGGTATTGGAAACCCTTACCTACAAACACAATTCAAGATAACTTCATACACTGTGAGTTATCAAGGACTACGGAGGAAATAGAGGTCAACATGATTCGGTGAGGTAAAAGATACAGGAATACCTAGCGCACCACCGAACATTCATTTCCCAAATATCAAGAAACAAGCAAATCTTTCATTTCCTTTCCTTTAACCATCTATAGATAACGCCCAAGCACCACCAAGTGACGTATCGCTCAGTCATCTACCAAGCACAGGCTCTAGGTATTGCAGAAGCCGGCTAGGATGCCACTTATCCCGGAACTCTCGTGGAGTGAATAGGTATTCCATGTTGGACCAAACATCCCTTTGTTCCCTTTGATATGCTCAACCCCGCATCATCCAAGTCTTACTTTGAATTGTTCTTCAGCATCCAGCAAGCCAAAATGAAATATCACACCAAATGATTTGGCAGTAAAAAATTCGCAATCCCTTCCTTAACCTTATACTCATGTCCACAATTCCCACACACCAAACTTCCCTCACTAATCTGCGTTTCTAGTAACAAGGTATGTAATTCGCTTTGCATCTTCTCGTCTGCTTCGAGGGTCTCGGTGCTTGGTGGGGTGGGTGGTAGGGAAGGGAATCCCAGCTATTAGGTTCATCCAAAATCAGTTTTTTTATTTCTTGAATGGTATGTTTCTTGGGGACAAGGAAGTGATATAGCGTAGAGACGCGCAATAGTAAGAAGAAGACATACCTCTGAAGCAGTCACAATCAAAGCATCCCAATCCACCCGAGGGAGTATGTTAACCAGCAGGCTCGGGTTAGGCTCGATCGAGTCGGAGACGAGCTCGCATTCTTTTGGGTGAAGGGGAAAGGAGGCGCTGCTGGATTTGCAGGCTTTGACCGCGCAGGTTACGAAATTGAGGGTTAGGACTTTCATTTTGGCCTCGTGCAATATGGTTTCTGCGTGTGCGGTGCAATGGTTGGATGGTGGGATTGTGATGCGAAGTCGCGAAGGAACTTTTTTGGAGAGATCGTGGGGTAGATAAGATTAGATTTCGGTGATAAACCATCATCGCAACACGTGACTACAACCTCCTGTATTACTCCTGACTTCATCTTATTTCGCTATTCCTTTGAAATATTATTTTTGAATCTTAGTTGTACATCCCGGAGAACTAAATGGTTTGTGAAGAAGTTCATTTAAATCCAATTTAGTTGATTGCTACCAATCTATAAGATGCTATAAGGGTCCATAAATACGACTACCCCTCATACTATTGATAATTCGACATAGTTTTGTATATACCTATGCAAATATATATATATATATATCTTTAATCAAGCAAATCTTAACAACGCTTCACAGAACAAGCCAAACTAGCTTTGCATTAGGTCTTCTCCAGGCCATGCATTGCCACAGAGCCTAGCTGAGGCACTTGGTGGGAATGCAGTTCAGAGTTACTCAAGCCCGGTCTCTGGTGAGAACTACGAGCTTTAGATCCGAGCACTGACGCCCTAATAATGGGCTGACTACTCCATAATCTCGAAGTTCATCAGGTCAACGCCCCTCAGTTTCCCATTTGCAGTAGTTCCCCCCCGGTGGTTGTTGGCTCAGTCGGCTTCCCCGTGCATAATGGGAGCTAGAGTCGGGTTATCTAATGCCCTAAGGATTGATTCCCCAAGCAACGACGCATGTATCATAAAGTTTCCAGAATCATCATGGATCATGCGAAGTAATGTGTGCTGGTTGACTAGTTGACCTTAGTGGGAGATTTTAATGGATAAGGCGAACAATTGAGCGCGACAATGTGAAAGCAGGGGATCTTCATCCATGACACTGTGTTAATTAGCGATAACAGAAGACGATGAATAACTGTAATTTCTGAGCGTAAATGCAGAAGTTAGATGTGTCCCCCGTTGAAAACTTTAGTAGGCAAGAAGAAAACCAGAATCCTAACCAAGTGAGTTCAAGGGAATCAGCTTCAGGATAGGTTTTGACTAGCTATCGTTCAACTGATAGATAAGCGGCCGCAGATTGAATATCTTTCTGGATAGATTCTCGAAAGTAGGGCAGAGGATATCTTTAGCACCCTGCAGAATACCCAGACGGCAGGGAATCGTTTTACTTATGCCAAATCAAGTAACCCAAAGGGTTACTGGATCAAGAAATAAAGTACTGGAGGTGGCCATGTTCGGGGGCTATAGCAACTATATTTGGTTGACTTGATGGAGTAAAGTTTTGGGATTCGGCGAGACCAAATCGGGCTGTGGTGCCTAGCACCACCCACATCCCTCTCAAACAATTGTGATTGACTCCCTCTCTAATTTCTCCCATGGACTGAGAGGAGACACTATATCAACAGTGAGATCAGGGAAAACTCTAAAAACCCCCACTCGTTGGAATTCATCCATACCATCGTGGCCATCACGTTCCACTTTTTGAAGAAGTAGCCCACGAGGCTTGGGTTGTTCTACGAGCTTTCCCTTGCATTTCGCGACTAGCAACGCCCAGCAAGTTTTGATTTCCACCTCATGGGAGGCATCCTCCGCTCCCCTTTCGATATCCAGGTTCCCCTGCGCAACTAGTTGTCCATTGGCACAGACGCGCCACGGAAACTCAGTTTTCGGACTCTTCGGGGGCCAGGATACTTCGACTTCAAGTAACATCCCAGATATTTTGAGGAATCCACCTGCAACAGCTCCAAAATGGTCAAGCCCCTCAACTGTAGTCTGAGCATCGGATATCTCGCAATATAACTCGCACTCCTGCCTTACACAGAATCGCCAGGTCGGCCACTTCACACGCCCGTCAAGAGAAGCCCATGACCATGATGGGGCGCGGTATTTCTCGGGCTTTTTGGCCATCCCAACTGTAAGCCAAAATAAGTCGTGCATAAGATGATCCCTCCACAAACCAGCTAAGTAGTCCGACTGCACCTTCTTCGCAATTTTGTTTGCCATGCCTGAGATCGCCGGCAGCTTGTCTTTGGAATATGTCAACTGCCTCCTAGAGTAGTGGCCGCAAAGCGTTTGCCAGTGGTCAAATGGTGTGCGTTGCTGGTACAAGTAATCACCTCCATTTCCAATCCTAAGTGTATTCTCTGGCCCAGTGTGAGGTATCTCGTTAACAGTGTCTACCCAATCTGGGCGCGGTTTGCACAACATTGTATCCTCTACCCTCTCCACCGTCCTGCAGTCGAAGAAAAATTTACTCTCCCCAAACATAAGAACGCGCTTGGCCAGTCGCTCCTCTTGAAATGTCCAACCTCGGGTAATCCACCGGCCTACCCTAATTTCAGCCATTTTGTCAGTGGCCCAGTGATGACGATACCGAAAACCCAATCGACCTTTGACATAACCTGATAGGTTGAATTGAAAGGGAACTATACAGGTTGGACGTGGTAGGTCTCGCTGAAGGAAACTATCATAGCAAGATGCCCCTGCAGCAGTGATGACCGTGAGATACGCATTACTGAAAATCTCCGACATTTTGCTTGACTCCACTTGCCAGTCTAGTGAGTCATCCTGCACGATACACAGACTGTCAATCCAGATATACTGGATGTTCAATACTCGAGCAAGAGTCACTGCGTCTCTGAAAGTTTGCGGCATCGTATCCACTCCGATGCCTTGGAGTCTTTCGGCGATGGTCGCCCGTGTGGTCTTTAGAAGCCAGGGAGCATGACCAGAAGATGGCCAGCAATAGCTTAAAGCTATATAAGTCGGGCTGTTCGATTCTGGGGATAGATGTCCGAACGTCTCAAGAGAGAGTATAAGCCGCGGCTGTGCACCGCTAGTCGCATTGCCAACATCGAGGAGTCGGGTCGGTAGAAAAGAGAGCTGGTCAGCATCCAAACAGCATTTCGTGTGGTTCTTGTCACATTCATTTATCCAGCTCTGTATATTTCGAGTATTTCTTTCAGAAAGGGGAGAGGAATCCAATGGCCGTCGATGGATGTTGAGCCCCTTTGCCACAGGGTCATCTTCGTCGCCAAACAACTCAAATGCAACCTTGATACCAATTTTCCATGAATTTGGTCCACTGTCGGCGTCAAACGATAGTACTGCATGGCCACCAAACAAAACTTCATACAAGTCCCAAGTGGCTACGTTCTTGCGACCGATGGCCCATGGGGTAGGATCTTTCTGATATTCCAGTTTCTTGAGACAGATATCCATGCTAAGAGTTTGGCCGGGGACCAAACCAACAAATGGTCTAGGTATTTTCCAATTCCGTTCCCATAATTCCAAATCAAGCGTCCTTCCTAAGCCATCTTTAAGGAGACTGCAAAATGTGCAGGCACCACATAGCGCAGATGTGCCGTTTTGCCATCCCACAATCTCCAACCGCTCGTGGTGAGCGATTTGGCTATCGAATACAAAGTTGCAACGCAACTGGATATCAACTCGCCGCTTCGATAGAGATTTTCCTCGGCTACGCTGAGCCAAATTATCGACGTCGCCGTCACCAAGCGCGAGGAGAGCTGAGCCCTCAGGGCATATGATAGACATGAAGACCGAAGCAAACGAACGCAACAGTGCGGGCTTGGGCTCGGGTTCTGTCGCAGTCCGGGGTATAGCAGGATTTGTGCCCACGATGTTAGCGTTATGGTGGTGGAGGTTAATGACACAGTACTGGGATATCGTGGAGGCCTTCGAGGCTAAAACTGCAATCGCTGGCTGACTGTATCGAGCTGCACATTTTGATTGGTGGGGCCGCTCAAAACTAGACATCCCCGGGCCAAGTCTACCATTTTCCTGAAAATGCGAATGTTAAGAACCTAGGCAGGTAGCCATAACTTTAGCCCCATTCTGTCGTAGCTTGCATTCGAGATGATAAAGATTGATATTCCCTCCAAAGTTATGAAATGAGAAAAGAACATTTGGAACACAAATATAACGGCGGTATTAGCACTGGCGTTGGAAATGGGGGTAAATTAGGCGCGGACTCTGTCCAGGAACTGCTTTTGGTAAGGTACCAGGTAAGTTCAAGAGCAATGCAAATAACAGGTCAGTGACAAGACTCCATAAGCCACAGGGAGATCTTTATATTCCTCCAACCAGGTATCTTACAACCCCAAACCAGTGCCCTCGACGCCAATAATGCACCCATCCATTCTTACAAGTATCCCGTCCCAGCTTATTGTCTATCCAATCCTTTCGACTCTGTTCAATTTTCTCGCAGTTAGGATCTGATGAGGGTTAGTATATCCCAATCAAATGCTACTACTGAACCCAAACTCACCTGACTCCTTGTCCTCTGTCCTCTCACAGGTAGGCCCATAGCATGCCGCCTTCCCCGATAGCTTCCCATGTCTCTTAATCTCTTAATATTCTCGCGCACTTTCCTTCTCAAGTCGGTCTCGATGGTCATGGAAGAGAGCTCGGCATTGAGCGCCATGATTGTCTTAGAGGGAATTGTGCCGACCTTCGCTCTCGGGAAGATGGAGAACTTAGCCAGGACACGAGACGAGTGCTGTTCTCCAATTCCATAGAAGGTTTCGAGGGTTTTCTATCGAGATTGCGAACGTCAGTGGCATGGCCGCGGGAAAGGGAGTGGAAATGTGAGCAGAGGCTAGCAGTCGCACCTTAATCAATCGGTGTTCTGGGAAGTTAACCCCTAATATGAAGACCTAAAAATGTGAGCACGCGATATTGATATAATACAATCTATACTCACCATGGTGACAAAGGAGGAGGTGAAGCAATCGCGAGCGCTGCGGTCAACACACGTAATAGGGCGACGATGGAATTTCTTCCCCCATTTGAAGCTCGCAGCGCACGGGCCCTTGGCCTTAATGCCGACACGTGACAAAGGCGGTGAAGTTATCGACACCTATCCGAAACTGAAGCTCCTCGTACTTGTAGATCTCCCCGCCCACTATAAATCAAGGTCTTGCAACCTTTGATCCTCCAACTACAACTACACCCGAATCTCCTCAATTGGTAGCCAGCATGTTTACCCTCCACCGCTTTGTACTCTCTGTACTACTGATTCTCACCGTCACCTTCGTCTTCTTCGTCCAGACAGCCGAAGCCGTGAAGGGCCCCAAGATTACCCATAAGGTCTACTTCGATATCAGCCATGGAGATGAACCATTGGGACGCATTGTGATGGGTCTCTACGGCAAGACTGTTCCGAAGACCGCTGAGAACTTCCGAGCCTTAGCGACCGGCGAGAAGGGATTTGGATATGAGGGGTCCGTCTTCCACCGTGTTATTCCCAACTTCATGATCCAGGGTGGAGACTTTACTCAGGGCAACGGCAGGGGCGGAAAGTCAAGTATATAGATTCGCACTGGGAATACGGAGTTTTGTGCTAATAATTGGCAGTCTACGGCGACAAGTTCCCTGATGAGAACTTCAAGCTGAAGCACTCTAAGAAAGGTCAGCTGAGCATGGCCAACGCTGGAAAAGATACAAACGGTTCCCAATTTTTCATTACCACATCCACCCCAGGGTCAGTATTGTTCCCACATGTACACGTTTTATAGCTAATGCCTACAAGATACCTGGACGGAAAGCACGTTGTTTTCGGCGAGGTCCTCGAGGGCTATGAGATCGCCGAGAAGATGGAGAGCGTCCCAAGAGACTCTGGAGACAAGCCCAACAAGGCATTGAAAATCACCAAGAGCGGGGAACTTGAAGTACCAGAAGAAGGTATTCACGTCGAACTATAAAGTGCCTTTCCTTGCGACCGGAGTTGCTTAATGGACTCGCTGATTCGTCTGTCTCATGTACAGATGAGTACGGTCGCGCCGAATTCCAACCCGGCAAGGGGGAGGTTAGTGAAAAGCCATTGAAATCATCCCCTACTGGGCCTGCTACCATATCACCTACGCCGGTCGTCAATGCACCCATTACTGATGACGCGTCTGCTCAGGGCTTCAGCATTTTACAAAAGGGTTTATTCTTGGCGGTCATCTTGGGTTGCGTTGCGGGATACTTGCGCATGGGCAACAAAAAGAAGAGCCGATACAGTGAAAAAAGCATGGCCTGATTGTATATTTCAAATGAATTCTTGGTTTTATCTTCGCATTGTGTTTTGATGTCCTTTTCCCATCAATATTTTACCCTTCATGCTGCAATTTCTGGCCCCTCGCTATGAACAGTAACGTAATTGTTGTTATACGTCAACCCCATCAGAACATTTAGCTTCCCAAAGTTCAGATCTGACGAAGTTTATGCTCATTTCATGCTTTAAATACGAATCTGATTGCTGAGATTAAGAGGAATTTTCAAGGTCTTCTATACCATAAAATTTCGAGTGTCTCCTTGTTTAGCACAGCAAGGCTAGGCCATCCTGCGCAATCTTCTCTGTCAGAGTCAGTAGCGGAGTGTATTTATATGTTCTCGTTTGGTAATTTGTTTCGTGCTCCTTCCGAAGCCAAGAATCAAGAGTAATTCTGCCCAGTCTACCTCAGTCTTAACACTTTTACTTGAATGCAAGTTAGGGAATAGTCACTATAACGTATACTGCTTTCGTCTCCTCATCGTTCTATTGTCTCCTCTCTTCCTTGTCACTACCAAACTCACTAATTAGTGAACGTCCGAGATGGCATTGGTGTAGCGATGTGGCTGAGAACATGATAGTTGAAGGTAAAGAAATCCCCTGACTTGCAGGACAGAACACTAAGAAACGAGCTGTTCTCCATGTGCCACTTTCTACATTTTGCGAACCTGTTTACTTGATTATCTAGGGGTTCTTTTCTTTAAGGCCAAGGAGGCCTTAGCTTTGTCAATAAGGAATATTCGCAATTCCGCTTAATTTTGATCGTATTCCTACCTTCTACGAACAATTTCGTCGAGGCTTTGAAATATATATATACGAGGCTTAATTATGGATTGGGGGCTGGGGGCCACGATGTGCAGGTGTCCATATTCCTGCCCAGAAGTTAGGATGAAGTTGGAATGAAATGAAAGGGAAGCTGGAGTCCTTGAAGCATCTCGAAATGTTCGCGGCGATAATAAAATTCCACCAACTCAGTACCCGCTCGATGCTCAGAAACAAAAAGGGATCTGGTCGGTTCTTGAAGTCTGGTTTTTGTCGGGGGTTCTCGATTCGGTTCAAAACCACATCCTATCACTTAAAATGCTTACTTTACTTAAGTAGGCTAATAGGTATGCTTATAACGAAGAGCAGCTATTTATTTGCGGTTTCAGTGTTGGCTTGCATAGCTGGGCGATGGTCTGTTTAAAATTTAACAGTTACGATGCGCGTGCAGTACTTGAAGGCTTCGATTAAATGATCATTAGCTAACACAAAGATCGCAGAACAGCGAGTTACGGGGCGGATAATGGGTGATGAGATGGCTTCCTGGCGCCTGAGATATAGACATGGTAGAATATTATGGAGGTAAGTGACAGCAATAGGTTAGTGAACAGTCACATACTACAAATTTACTATCCACATCGAGGCAGAGGAGAAATCCAACCCTGCGGACCATTACTAGACTCGAGGACCGCGATGTGAAGTCTGCCTCGCTGGTAGCAATATCTCTTTCCGAGTCCTTTGCAATTGCAATTCTGGTATGGGTAGTGGCAAATACACTCCGATGTGGCCATATAGTATAAAATTTTCAGCTGCTTCCACCAACAGCGGGTGGGTGACTTTTCAAATACTTGGGTGATGGGAGTAAAAAAACATCCGGTCCCACCATGTGAGGCACAAGAAGTCTCTCGACGCCCCCATACAGACATGCCACTGGCCACCCACCATATTGTATAAGGCGATTCAAAACTAGGAATTTGAAAAGAACAAGTTGAGCTCTTTGAGTCCTGTTGTAACATTGTATAATATGAGTTTGTACACTAGGTACGGCTTCGGGCTCGGCTTGCCAATACACGGACAATAGGAGGCCAAGGGAGGTTCTCACCGAACGAAATAATGCTCATGGGGGGAACATGTACACCAGCTTGGGGATGGCTCCAGCACCAAATTCTAACTGGGATACATGGTACGGAGCATGATATGTAAAACAGAACGACTGTGTGGTACCGTGTTATGAACCATCCAGGGGGTAACTGTTGTTGGTGTCTGGGTTATCCGTCCTTCGCGCCTCTCATAGAAATTGATGTTTCATAAAAAGAAACTTTTACAAGGCGAGACTGTCCCCAGTCCTCGGGGTGAAGGATCATGAACGACTGCTGACCTGCGGACTTGAGGCCACTCCCTGGCACCTGGTACTACGGTAGTGGTTAATATTCTAGAACGAGATTAAAAGCAACTTGATATCGCCTGTAACGGTTACGGCAGTTCGCTTGGGCTCAGGTCCACCTGTCGCGTGGCAGGCAAGCATGGCATCGTTGGCAGATGCGTTTTGACCTAGTTCTCTCATGGCGAATGGGCAAAGTGAGACATGGCCTCCTTAGAGCAGGAGAAGTGGTTAAAGTTGAAGGCAAATTCTGAGCCGAAGCCTTAATATCAAGTTTTCTGTACTGCGTATACCCTTGGGCTTCCATCATCCTTCTGGAAGTAACCGCTCCGCAAGATAATCACTCCCGTTGCCGATCTTGTGTTTGAAGATTTTCCGGAGACGAAGCGGAAGAACTTGGAGTAGAAACCCCCTGGATGGGATAATAAAGGCGCTGATAGGCTGAGGGGCTAGCGCATTGGGGTTATATAATTAGACTCCGATTTGCGGTATGAAATCTGGTTTCAGCGGGGTTATGCAAAAGGGGCTGGCAAAATAGCTGCTCGTTTCACAGGAGCCTTGTCATCAACAGTAATCACAGATGCTTCGCTTGAGCCTTGAGGATATGGTATCCATCGCTTTCTCGGAGTCGGTGTGTTGCAGGTTGAGGGGGAGATTATTCTATCAGATATCGAAACGCCGATCTTTACTGCAGTAGAAACGGTATCGACAAAGGAGGCTCATCCTAAGCATCTGCATCCTGCCCCTTGCCGCATCAGCGTCCTCAGAGACTAAAAATAAGGCACGAATAATATGAATACTCCGTAAAGCCAATCTCACTCCTGAATGGCGAGACTGGTCCGGTGGCGCCGGCCTCAACTTGGGGGCCGTGCATGTATGGAAAGTAAAATTGGCAGATTTTCCACACAACCTGACTTGACGGATAAGCACTCAAAGACCAGGGACAAGATGTTTGCAACGCTCCACTCGGGAGGCGGCCGTAATTGGGTGAAGCCTTTGAGATGTGTCGATATCGGATCTGCGGTTGGAGGTGAGGAAAGGAGTGCTTCTGGAAGAGACACGCTGCCCCTGATCTCAATTCCCGAGACAATATTTGTTGTGGAGCTCCAGAGGGAACCTAATTTTCTTCCTCGAGCCAGGTCCCGGATCGCTTGATGGCTCATGATGGGGGGCATTATTCGGAGTTCTGCGTTCTGCAGATCTGATACGCCACTCTGTCATCTGTGCTCACTGTTCTGGTTATATTGGTTCGAATCGGCTTCCTCGCACGTACTACAGTTAGTATCCCCCTGACACTATCCAGTTAGTGTCTCCGTGGTTCCGTCCCGTGCTCCGCGCCATCCACGCTCATAGAGCGAACCACGGTACTTCCTGGCCCCCTTGCTGCGGTGGACAGCTGTGGTGGAGAAGCAGGAGGAGGAGCAGGAGGGTTGAAGTCGTGAACGTTGAAGCAGTCAGCGCCAGAGTGCCTGCTTGCCATCAAATTGTGACAGCTGCAGCACTGCCTGTACGAGGTACTCTGTTCTGCAGGCGTCGGCCACCGTGGCGCCATATCCCATCGCATCCCATCCCATCTTTCTTTGTGCCATCAACTGTACTTCGTAGCTGTAACATTATTACCGCCTCAATCGCCCGTCGAGCCCACTCGGTCCATCGTATCCATTCGATTGCTGCTTCCATCCCGTTCTGCCGACAACGACCTTTTGCTCCATCAAGCTGTTGTTTTTGTCTCGGTCGTCGATTCTTTGCATTTGTTATATCTCCAGGAATCATTATTATTGTGTTGTCGTTGAGGTGCACTAGAAATAGGAGTTGGTGTTGACTCTGCTGCTCGCCGTACTCGAATTTCCCAAAACACACTAGCGTCGCCCGCCCCAAGACGCTCACCTCCAGGTTCCTATTCCCGATTCCATTTTCCAATCCTCCTTCGCAATCACCAACCTCCCGTTCTTCATCCCCCACAATCATATCGTCGCTGTCGAGAGGTGCTATTCGAGGAGCTGAGGGTCGAGCTTGTACGATATCGAGCGATCAAAATCAATCGCATAGTGGTACGTCTGCCTTGCCTTTCGGTTTGTTTTGGTCCAGTCAGAGTGGAAACTATCCAGCACCCGGATGCGAAACGCCCCCATTCGCATTCATCCGCAGCCACCAGCAATCCCCAACCCCGACAGTGAAGGCTTGCACACTGCCCGCCTTGCGCATGCAACGACGCTGCAAGTCAATCGTTCCTCTATTCACATTTTGCACTTCGCTCTGCGCCAAATCACAAATCACGACCGCCGCGCGAAGTCTGCCGACCTTTCTCCTATCTTTAGGTCGGGGGCTGTGAGCTGAAGTTCTAGCGCTAACATTCAACTGACTTAGGCCACAACTCGTACATCTGACCAACCTCCATTTTACCGTCGCATCCCATAACAACACAACCTTCAATTTCACGAGTTCTCATTATCAGGCAAGATGGGCTGTGGTATGAGCACAGAGGAGAAGGAGGGCAAGGCCCGGAATGAGGAGATCGATAATCAGTTGAAGCGGGACAAGATGTTGCAGCGCAACGAGATCAAGATGCTCCTGCTCGGTCAGTACAACCCATATCATTCCCCATCCCCTAAATGCGCCCGCGATTCTAATATCTAAACAGGAGCTGGTGAATCCGGCAAGTCGACCATTATCAAACAGATGAAGCTCATCCATGAGGGCGGTTACTCACGCGACGAGCGAGAGTCTTTCAAAGAAATCATTTTCAGCAACACTGTGCAGTCAATGCGGGTCATACTAGAGGCTATGGAGTCGTTGGGACTTCCATTAGACGACCAGCGAGCTGAGTACCATGTCCAAACCATCTTCATGCAGCCAGCACAGATCGAGGGCGACAACCTTCCGCCTGAGGTAGGGACTGCTATCGCAGCCTTGTGGAAAGATGCAGGTGTCCAGTCTTGTTTCAAGCGGTCCAGAGAGTACCAGTTGAATGATTCTGCAAAGTAGTAAGTTCACAATCCCACCGCCCCGCCAGATGAGCGACTACTAACATATATCTCTCTAGCTATTTTGACAACATCGACCGCATTGCCGAGCACGATTATCTGCCAAACGATCAGGATGTCCTGCGCTCGCGTGTTAAGACTACTGGTATCACCGAGACCACCTTTATTATCGGCGACCTCACATACCGCATGTTTGATGTCGGAGGACAACGCTCAGAGAGAAAGAAGTGGATCCACTGCTTCGAAAATGTCACCACCATCCTTTTCCTTGTCGCCATCTCCGAATACGACCAGCTCCTTTTCGAAGATGAGACCGTCAACCGTATGCAAGAAGCTCTTACGCTGTTCGACTCGATCTGCAACTCCAGATGGTTCATTAAGACGTCGATTATCTTGTTCTTGAACAAGATCGATCGCTTCAAGGAGAAGCTCCCAGTCAGCCCAATGAAGAACTACTTCCCCGATTATGAGGGCGGAGATGACTACAATGCGGCTTGCGATTACATCCTGAACCGATTCGTGAGCTTGAACCAACATGAAACAAAACAAATCTATACCCACTTGACATGTGCCACCGACACAACACAGATCCGATTCGTCATGGCCGCTGTCAATGGTAAGCCTGCATATTCCTGCTTGTTCTACTAATAAGCTAATTCCTCCTTCAGACATCATTATCCAAGAAAACCTTCGTCTCTGCGGTCTCATCTAATCCTTGGCATAATTTTGCCGGCATGCGTACAAGAATTTTCCTTGGACTCGGATATATAGGCGTTAATCTTCCCGAATACGGCGGTCATTTATTATACCAACAACTGGCTGGCGCAATCATGCCCTTCGCTGCATTTCATTTTTGTTTCCGTCTTTGCTCCCAACTGCTGGGTGAAGGCAGATGCCACTATGAACAGGCGGGTATATTCGTGCCTACGACAGCAGCTTCGCGATCTGCATCTGCTTCGTTGTGCCTATTGTCTGCTTTTCCTTGTTTCCTTTCTCCATTTGCCTCGCAAGCGTTGCCGTCCTCGTTGTGAAAAGATTCTTCTGGGAGTGTTTCTCAGATTCTGTTGGGGAGGCCTTGATTATTCTAGTATATTAATAGTGGCGCTACGCTTTTCTCGAGTGGATCCATGATCGCTGGTCGCCCAGTCTGCATATGGAGTGGCCGGATCTTGATGTCGTGTATGTGGTGATGAGGGTTGGGATGGAAGGTGGTCGAAATTGTGAGGGTGGAAAATGTGTACGGCCTGAGGAGATGTATATGGGGAGCTTGTTGTCCTTGCAGCTTCGCGGCAGGAACAATAGGTTTAAGAATAGTAGAACATCGTGCTGATATGATAACTGAAGTTCCATGAACTATTTGTGTTCTGCTGTGCTAATACATTGCCAATGAAAATGACACCTGGAACTCCGTACATGATAGGATTGCTTGGCCTACCACAGGGCTTCGCTCACAAGGCATCAGCATCAGCCTCCAACTTCCATCGCAACTTACAAATGTGTCAACAACAAAAACCCACCTCTTATTTATAAGCACCTTAGTTTTCCCTCATCAAGCCCTATAGTAGCCTAAAATCTATCGCGCCCTATAGTAAAGCAAGGAAGCATGCGGTCCACAGCGATACTTGTGCTCATCCTCAGCACATCATGGTATCACCTGATCAGCGCCCTTGTTTCGCTAGAGACGATAAAAAATCTAACAACACTTACGGATGAGTGCCGGGAAAGGATTATGGATGCTAGAGGGGGCGTAGTAAGGCTCATGGATGGCGGAGGGGTGGGGGATGGGCAGGTTGTCTTCGGTGGTGGAGAGGATGGAGAGGAGGTTGAAGATGTAAGCACCGTTTTCTTTCCCCTTTCTCCAGAGGCCTAGCTTTTTGGAGGAAGTTGAGGGGATGGATGATGCAGTTTAGGTTGGGTTTTGCTCTATGTTTGGAAGTTAGTTGAGAGAGACATCCCTTGCTGCTTCATCCTTCCTCCTATTTTCGGTGTATTAAATTACCTCGAAGCTCCGCTAATGTATATCTTTTATTAGGCCGCTACAGCTGCCCTACGACTACTCTGTTCTAATCTCTTAATCGCCCTCGAGAAACCTCTGGATTATTCCGGTTCTTCTATCCTAGATGTACCTCGTCCCTCCCCTTCCCTCCACCATTCCCACTCTCTGCCATATCCCTAGCTCATTTCCTCAACTCCACCCATAACTCACCCCTCATTCACTTAACCGCCTATATTTTACTATGCTTATCATCCAATCCACAGACTCCTTCATCAGTGCAGCCTCAGAAGCAGCAATGTGACCAAATCATCACCGAGTTCCACGCTTTCCTAGCCGCGACAGTCAAATTTCTATATGAGATCCAAGAACGGCAGATGCGCTGGCAGTGGAATTCTCAAAGTCCCGTGTTTGATGGGGTGGCATGGATGCAGGGCCTTTGGGCGAGTAGGAAGACGGTATGTTATTTTGTTCGCCTGGCTGCTTTTCCCCATCATAATAGTTGCTCGTACGGGTATCACTTTTTGTACTGGTGGTTTGGTGGGCGTCAAATATTAAGACCCTAAAGGAGTTAATGATGGAATCGAAATTCCAATATTATGTGGAATGCTTCTACAGATACAATGGATGCTAACGAAGTGTATCTAACAGAATTCACAACAACGGAGTTTCATAGAGCAGCAAATGGTGCTGTATTCATCTACAGGCTGCTTTGGAAAGAGCAAAGAAGTGTTAAGACGGGATGTGGAGGTTGTTGAATATATGAATGATCTGATTGATTCTTTTGCATGAGGGGGGTGGTCGATTGGAGGGTTGGGTTGGTTTGCATCATATGTACTCCGGCAAGCCGAGCTAACGCAGGAGAAGGCCTTATTTAGACGTACGAGTACAAGGGAGCTCCGCCTAAAAGGACTTAATAATAATATTCTAGGAGCTATGGAACGTCGTCTAAAATATGGCTTTGTGCTGTTACTTACTGTACACTTGGTTGAAACTTTTTATCTTGCCTGGACATCCAAATGGAGGGTGTAGTTTTGGAAACGGAGTCCTGTATTATTGTCCACAAAGCGGCAAGGCTATGGACACAAGTTCCCCCCAAATGACTCTAAATCCATATTTGGTAAACTCAACGAGCGTTAAATTGCAAATGTAGCTTATCACTAATGCAGTCAGGAAATATCGGTGCGAATTACTGAAAAAAGTGCCCCATCTACACAGCTTAAGAAAATAATTCCTTTATATATACCTTCTGTAACCAAAAAGTATAATAGTACCCCGAAAGAATTTCATCTTTCTCTTCAACCAGCTATAAGCTTACTAGTTACTACCCAATGTTTATAGACGGGCTTTGGTTGAACCCAGGCATTAGTAAAAAGGTTGAGAAACTTGGTTTTATTGAATATATTTTATATTTCAATACAATTCTAGCATATACGATCAAACAGTTATTCATTAAATCCGTCTTTAGTTTTATTGTGGAAGGGGTATAGTTTCAACTGATATTTTACATGTCTCGCATCTAATGGTTCGTCGACATAGTGCTCTATAATCCATCGAAGCTTGACCGTGGCTATTTTTAGTCCTTTCATTGACTTTAGGGCTTAGATTGATACAGATGGGTCTTCGTGACGGTATCCTGTTGCTTAGATATCTTTCCGTCCAGGTTCCCGGGTGAGTGTTTCGGGCACGGCTACATCCCGTTGTCCAATATAATTTATTGTGTTAAGATCTTGGTTTTTAGAAGTGTCTAATTTGGGACTGGCTTGAGATGGAAGACTTGTTGTCCATTGGATGTCACAATATATGATAGGACTCTCACTCTTCGCGATAGTCCGACACTGGAATAGCCTTCTCCACTAAATCGGTTATTTTAGGAGCAAGGAAGGTAGCCACAGCTTGCTGTTGTGTTTCTTGAAAAGGAACAAACCTCGAAGAGCTGGAAGGAGCAATCATTCGAGCGAATCACATTTTCACAAAGGCACCACCGCTCTGAGATATGGGCATAAGTTTATCATTTGTCATTATTGTATTTCGATAAAAAAAGTCTCTCTCCCAATGAGATATTTGAAGGAGGGATAGCCAGTAGGGACGTGTTAAGTTCTTGGACTGAGTAGGAACTTACGTGGACAGGAGGTGGCTCTTGCAACATGTGTTGTAAGTGTCTTATAAATGTTGCAGACTGCGCTTGTTATCCTATATATACTTCCTTGTGGTCGTATCATTGAAGGCCGAGGATATATCCTAGGAAGGCGAGGTTGCAAGTCGTCCGGATTAGGGCCCTACCCTTAACAAACGGTCAAGTAGAACTTGAAAATATCGCAAGGCTCGAGTGAGACCTGGACGTGAGCCAATTTAGCGTGTGTTGTACCGTATTGAGGGGGAAATTGCGAGATGTGTATTCTGAAAGACAGGCGAACATGGGAAGATGGTGGTTATTGTGCCCACCCAGCGAATCTGAAGAAGTTAGTAATATGTTTGTTTATGGTAGAAGAATACAATCGAGGCTATTGCCATCTTACTTACCACAGAAGTTAGCCATTCCGTCAAATTTAACGAAGGGATATGCGACTTGGTAGAAGCTATGAAACCTATCCCCCAGATTGCACTGGACACCCGAGCCCTTCTCAAGCCGCAATCAAAGTTTTATTTCTAAAAGTTTGATATCGATATACGTACGTAAAGGCATCGGTGGAGAATTATTGTCTGTTGGGTACTCCGAGGTGGCTATGTCACTAAACCGTCTGGGCAAGAAGAAGATCGGGCGTCTTCATTTTGTCTGAATGCTATCTGCATGACTTCTTGCTCATTGTTTAGTTTGGTAACTTCTTGGTCAAATCTACTAGGTACTTGTGCTTGTACAATTAAAGAAATAAGAGATAGCGATAAAATAGTGCTTAATGCCATAAGAAAATACCTGAGCATAGAATCATGGGATTGACAAAAGTGCGTGAGGTAGGCAAATTTTGCTGGTAAGGGCGAGACCCAAGCACCGGTGCTTTGAACAAAGTAGCACCCGTATATAAAAGAGGGAGTGTAGGCCGAGTAAGATATTTGTGGATAGTATAACAGGAGCTGAGCCGCCGAGCCGCTGAGCGACTCTCGCGATCCATGACAAGTCCTATAAGGTTCACCGAGCCCCGGCAACTACATTCAAATTAGCTGCAATTGTTGACGCCCTGAAACTTCTAGCAGTTTCTTTTCCCGCAACAGCCGCCACCTTTTGATATGTACTGTACATCTGGACCTGCCGGCTGATGCCGAGTAGAAGGCCAATTGCATCAAGAGCCGTAGATGTCAAGGGGATAGCCAGAAGCCCTAGACTAGGAGTTCCCCTCAACCCCCACAACTGCTCAATGCTCGGGCGTCTTGGGAATGACCGCTGCCTATGGTATTCATGAGTGAGCTTTTAGGAATTAGGTCATGATGACATCTTACCTTCATGTACGGTCAGAGCGTGGGTTGGTTTGTTTTGCCGGTATCTTTGACAGAATGGCCCTTGGTCCAGAATATCAAAGTTTCTGCTAATGCATCGAAAGATCATCCAACACAGCAAAGCCGGGCGTATTTGAACTCAGGATGCCCTTTCCCGAGGCAATTAACCGGCCTTGGCCACCCATTATGGGGAAGCTGCCCGAAATCGAGAGGGGTTGGGTTGCGTGATGGAGGGTCTAATTCACTCCCAACCCATTGAGTGAAACCGGCGTTTTTGAATCCTATGTTTAGGTGAGTTCTAACACAAGAACAGAAAGGCGGATCAGCACTCACTAAGTCACCCAAAACATTGCAGTTCGGCTCGTGGAGCTCTGCAAACATACCACAAGCAGCACCAGTCCAACCATGTCTTGCTGCATAATTGACATACGCACCTACGTGGACATAGATCACTAGACATGGGGTTTAGATACTTTCTTTCCAGATGAGACAAAATCATAATCGGGACTGTGGCGTGTTACAGTATCACTGCACTGCAAACCCATAAAGGCAAAATACGGGTTTCCATATTGAGCTCGTGGGTAGTGGTACAGGATTTCTCGTATGCCGGCCACGAAAACGTAGGTTACAGTGCATGCCAAATAGGAGCAAGAGAATATATTCCTACATAGCTTAAGGGAAAGATGCCCTTGGAGGGGCATATTGTAGTCTCATGATGACTTCCCAATGAAGAGTTCAGATATATCTGGCAATCTGAACCAGTGTGCAGCTCCAGCTCCAGCTATAGCGGATAGCTTCGCCTACCCCGTTTTCATACTAAAGTAGAGTGGAAGCAACAAAAGAAAGGTTGGTTTCTGGTGTCCTACTTCGTAGTTTTGTGGCTATTGCTGTTGTTGTTGGAAGCAATGATGTACGCATTATCATAGCGTTTCGCACAGCAGATCGATGATCGCCATGCCAGTGGCGCCCGGGGCAGGGGCAACTAACCAATTTTGTGATGATCCAAACGAGTTCGCCCCTGCTTCTTTCACCCTTCAACCAACATATCATCAACCTCTTCAACTTCAACTTCACCGAACCACCTCCCCTTTGCCCTCCCCTCCCCGGGTCTGGCTTTCCCCACCTGTCAGAGCCGTCATCGTCGCCCTTGCGTCAATGATTATCTTGCCTGGCAACGCGCCGGGTACAGGCTGGGCCGGTGTGTACGAACGCATGACAGTTAATTGGGCAGTAAGACAATTCATTTCTGCCCAACTGAAGTATTCCACGGTCAACAACTCGCCCCATTACCGCCAGTCAAACTGTCCTTCCGCCGTCACCGCCTTCATGAACTCGAAGATCGCGCCACTGGGACTGCTCAGGGTCTCTCCTTGTATCCCCAGGGCTCTCTTCTCCGTACCGAAATGAACCCCTCCGCGGCCTGCTTGCGCTGTGAGCCAGTGCCTTCGCTGTTATGCTTGTATGCTGTCACGCTGCCACGCCGACGCTTTCGCTGGAACGCCACTAATCCCAAGTGCGTCAGCTCGTCATGTACTCGAGTACTTCGTATTGCCTCTTTGTTGGTCAACTTGGTTCAAAGTTGCCCAATGATGCCTGAACACGGCCACCAATCACGCCGTCCCGGTCAGGCTCGTTGACTTCCCAGCTTGAGCGCTTGTCCCTGAAAATTTCGATACAAAACAATATGCCGATCAATAGAGTCGGCATAAGTTGCAGGACCATTCTCAGTGAGGAATCCCTCTGAAGATCTCTCGAACGCCGAGTACCCCCTTCTTTACCCCTTCTTTCTGTTGATTTGGCCCGCGACGCCCGATTTTGCACAGTGGCAAATCGGCCGTGAACCTCAACTTTTCAGTATAGTCCATTTTCCTGGATTTTCATCCGTATCCTTGGCCAAGGCTTCGAGACCTTCCTTGGATCGTCCCTTACACACTCAACAGTCCCCGCCAACTACCGCTCGACCTGTTTCCATACAAGCGGGTCTGTTGCGCGCCAAATGAGAGTCTATAAAATAACAGCTTCATCTCTCACATCTAAGGAACGAGATCGTGACCGTCGCGAAGGGTTACTTGACGTACTTAGGTCAGCTTGCCTTCATTCACCGCCTTATTCTCTCTCCAGAATTTATCCTTATCTATCCCCGGCATCCCGGACAGGACCCATCTTTCCAGCCAGCTAGGGCCATTATTATTGAGGATCCAGGAATAGTTCTTCTGCAACCGAGGAGTCCAAAGGGAGAAAAACCGGCCTAGAAAATACTTGCTTGATTTCCTTTTTGTACCGTTGTACCTCTATCTCTCTCATTCTCCAACCCCACGGAAACTTTGGATCGCGACATGATGGCGTCTAGAAGGAGCCTTCCAGTCCAGCCAGACTATGGCTATGTTCGTTCCGCGACCCATGGAATCTCGGATCCCTCGAGAAGGTACTGAAATTGTTTTGACGATCGCCAATGGGATGCGCGCTGACAAGCCCCAGTATTACTGCGTATCCAGATGTCACTCGTGCGGGCTATGATGGTTCGTACTACCCCACCTCCAGGTAAGGCCGTTTATATCCAGAATTTGAAGCAAAAACACTGAAGGTCGAAATCGAAGCGCGGCATATACTGCAAATGTGGCCGTTTCAACTTATGCGCCGATTCCGCCCATAACTTCTGGGCCATCTCCCATCCGTACGGAGCCAATGTACAGTACCAATGGCTACAATTCAGGACCCTCTTCAGCCATTTATGGATCTGCAGGCCCCGGATATGGCTCATATCCAAGCCAAGCCTTAAATTGGGAATCCCAAGGCAGGACCTCGCCTGAAACATATTTGGATGATTATCCCGCATCCCCAAGTCCGACTGATTATGTGCTTGAGTCTTCAAACAAATCAGCTGCCAAGTCTAAACCAGACGGCAAAGGAAATTCCTCACAAAGAAGGCCCACCAACAGGGATGAGTTTGACGGCCCGCATCAGTTTCTGAAACGCCCCTCTCCAGAATACATAGCGAAGCAGGAGAGAGATTTGCCACATCTGCCGACCAATCTTTTCGTCCACGAGCAGGATAGTATCCTCACTAGGGTCAATGACCGTTTGTCTCAATGTGCCTTTGATTTTGTTGCCAAGTATCAGTTTCCGATACCTTTAGCCAGCGGAGAAATAAGACCCGTGGAATGCCCCCAAGACCGCGAATGGACTGAATGGGTTTACCTTCTGAAGCGACTGGCCACCAAAAGGCGCATACCTGCGAGGGTTTTGTATAATGGCCAAATCAAACAATTTATTACTGTCCTGGAGAATTCCTTGGAGATGCGACACGCTGCCAAGCACCAGTCTCGCCCCTTGAAGGACGACAGGAATATCCTCCAACTGATATCTGCAGGAATCCAAGTGGCCAGACTGTTACGCGATGCAAATGCAATGGATTATATGGATCAATTATACGTTCAAACGGAGAGGGAGATCCAAAAGAGAATTTCCAGCTCTTCCTCGAGATTGGTGATGTAGCATTCCTTTTGATTGCAATAAGTGGCCTTGTCGGAAAGTTGTATCACCGGAGTTACTTGTGTCTCACATTCTATCCAAGGTCAGGCTTGGGGCGTTGGAAGTGTGGAAATAGGCGGTGGTGATTGAAGGATCGTAACGCACTGGACGGCTGGACTGATGCTTGGGCTTTAGATCTTCTATTTTATACTATCCCTTTCGAGATAACTAATGTAAGCAATGGATCATACCACCAGAAACTTCTTTTGAACTCTAACCTTCTATTCCTTCTGACATAGACATTCAAACGACTCAAGCAATACATATCATCTCAGATATTCACCGTCTTCCTCTTCGGGCTTAGCTCCCCACACTGTATGTAGCCTTTTGATCCTTGGAGAGTTTACCTCTCCAAAGAGCTCTCAATACATCCTCCTCTTCTCTCCTCCTTCCTCTCCTCATTCCTTGACTTCCGATATTCGCTAAAGCCCAACTCCCGCAAGATGATATAGCACAAGATCCAGTGGAACGTAAGGCCTTCGCATAGCTATCCAACAACACCAAGGTGGAATTGGCGGCGCCGATTCGGGGCTCTGAGGAATTGAAACGAGTTGGCGACCCTGTTGATAATTTAGCCATCGGTCCAGCGCTACGATGAATCAGTTGAACTAAATCGTTTCACTAGCACGAGTATTGCTACTTTAATTACGGTGGAACGAGTTTTTTTGGTGGACATGGTTATGATCAGCCTCATGAGCATGAGGTTTCAACGAGAGCTACATGTACAAGCATTTGCACTTGTTGTGTGATAAGCGTTGAAATGTATTGTTTCACTGGGTGAACGGTTCAACAGGGAAAGGTTATTGCTTTGCGAGACAGATTAGCTTGCGGATAAGATATATCGGAGGTCAAGGAATACGGAGAGCTAGGAGAAGAGTGGAGGTGGATGTATTGCTCTCTCTGGAGAGGTAAGATCTCTAGGGATCGAAAGGCTAGATACAGTGTGGGGAGCTATGCCCGAAGAGGAAGACAGTGAATCTCTGAGATAAGAGTTAAATTCTGAGTGCCTACAGTAGTATTGTTTAGGCCCTTCATATCAAGACTCTCGTTATGAAAACAGAAGATGAATTGACGGGGAATGAACTCTTGATGCTTCCACACCTTTTCCGGACCTGGCCCAGAAATACACCTGCGTATCCATTACCCCTGACCATCTGTAATGCTTCGCCCGCGTGTTCTTTAAGGTGTGCAAGCCTCGCAGCGGAAGAGCGAATTTTTTTAATGATGTCGCGGCAGTAGCGACACCAGGTGAACAGACAAGCCGGCGACCTCAAGCTATATACTCCTATTATTAGGCCATGGGCATCGTACGCATGACTGACGACAGTCTAACGATCTGAAAACTCCTTAGTGAAACAACCTCAATAGCACTTTTCATGGTTATAGTGATTTATGAAATGGTACAAACGCTCCGTGGTCGATAGGGGCAAGATATGTCCTTTTCGCATTGAAAGCCATCTCCTCCAGCCTTTGGGGGTGGTCTCTGCCGGCTGCAATTGGCCGTAAGAGTGGACAGATAGGCGTCCCAATCAATCTTTGCGCAGTCATGCCCTGCCTTGTTGATATAGTCATGGGTGTGCGAATAGGCTGTGTTAGTTTAAGGTAGCTCTAAACACACGATGTAGTGATGGGTTCCTGGTGGTGGCCTCCTATGCTCCTGCAACTGTTTTGCACCGCGCTCAGATGATAGAAGCTTTAAGAAAGTATGAACTACTTCCTCCGAAGGTATGTTCTCGTTGCTCGTAGTGGACGTATAATAGTCTTTCAAACGAATGTTGAGCAGCACGAAGGAAAACAGGTGTGCCTGGGTGCGACCGACTGATCCTACAAGAGCATTCAACTCAAGTTTGGCCAATTTAATGCATTATGTACTGCTCGTTGGTAATGTTGATTGCCTCGGTGATAGTCTCGGTGTTCGCACCATAATATTAACAGTTGCAAGCTTCGGAAATCGTCTCTGGTAACACACACAAGAGACGAGTCTCGCAGTCTGCTCAGCTGTAAGATGCCCGACATCCTCAATAACTGCGCCACTGAGAGAATTCGAGGACTGACTTGCTTCCTCATCCTCTGAATCGACGATGTCTACTTATTCAGTCGGCCCTTTTTGCAACAGCCATGAAATACTAGGCCCAACGCTCTGCATATTTGGCTTCGCTGCTACACGTTCGTTGATTGCTTTCTCGCAAAATGCACAGAACCTTAGCTCAGCAAGCCTGTTCTACCTGGCGTGTTTCTTGTTATCTGCACAAATATAGTCCCTCTGTAAAGACGATGTAGCTTTGGCTCGACGCGCTGCTGCTACGCTCCCAAACCTCTCTGTGCAATCCCGTTTTGCTTCCTTCCATGCTGCCTCAACCACAAGATACTCTGGGGAGGAGTTGACGACATCTATTGACGCCTGGCCAAGGGTAATGGGTGCATCGAAAACTCCTCCGAAACTCAAGGCGGAAGAGATTGTGAGATCCTTGGTTGACTCGAGCTCCCGCGCAAGGACCTGCAGATGCATAGTATACGTATTAGAGAGAGTGGTAGAGAAAGTCTTCACCTCAGTCTATTGACCTATCAAAGTTCAAACCATCGACCGATGCTTGCAATGCTTTTCTAGAACATATACGTCTCCTCTTCTCGTCGATATGAGGGCAAAGCGGTCGTTGAACCTAGCCAGTCGTGACAGATGGGGCGTGATTTGGTAAACTGTGCCATAGAGCCACGAGTTTATCTCGGATTGGTACCGCTCATTTTGGTGTTTGCATAAGTGACGAGGGGCTCATCAAGGCATGGTTCTTTCAGAAGCAATCGGGCTGCCATCTAGACTCGGTGTGCGACCCATCAGATCTTTCCATGTTCGGAAGTGCTTGAAGAGACCCTTGGGCGGAGATAAATGGCAAGCAATCTGCAGGTGGCTTGAGAGGTAAATTGTGGAGAGAGCAGAAACCCAGTGAACGTTTTGTATCGTTGGCTGTTGTGACTATCATTCTTAAGCCATTTACACGTCACGATGATGAATATGGCAACGCTGTCGCTCTCTTCGTTGGGTAGTCTAACTGCCGAGTGAGGTCGTCCTTGATCCAGTAGCGTACACTCCTTTCTATCTCGCGGGAAAGCTGTTTATTGTAGTGATCGATGGCATAAAGAGCTGATAAAGATATCTTTCTGTTGTACTGACTGTGATATTGAGGTTCGGGGTTGCGTTAGATGGATTGTGGCTTGCAGGATATACTTTGCCCTGTCTAGAATTGGTGAGCTAGAAGAGGAATTGATGTAGTAGGAGTCCGCCAGGCAAATGACCACCCTCCTTGAAGTAGTCAGGCCCCGAACTCGAGCTTAAAATCTCGTTGAGGGATTCGCACCATCTACGCATAATGGTATCCATCCGATTCAGCCAGAGAAAGGTGTAGAGTTTCTTCCCTTGAAGGTCAAAATCAGACTTATTTAGCTAGTTGAGGTCTAGTGGAGTGGCGGATGGCTAATCAGGCAGCGGCTTGTAGCGCTTTGATGTCGACATACTGCCAAGAGGAAATAGGCGGCATCGATTTCGGGGATTCGGAGTAAAGAAAAATATGGTAGCTTTTTTTTCTCTGGTGCCCCCCAGTACCAGATATCAATTGAGATGCGTTTGGTGAGAAGGTGAGATGGTGAGATGGTGAGGTTGTGAGGTTGTGGGAAGAATCTCGTCCGAGAAGGAAAGCGCGCTCAGTAAGTAGGAAAGAAGCATTGCGAGCGACAAATTCCAGATCTTGTCCATTCTTGCTGATATCTATCTATCTCAAGTATCAGTAGAGGCAGCTTTTGGGTTGTCTTCCGAGGCATGATCCATCTTCTAAGCTTGGCGGTAGCACAATCAGCGAACAAAGTATGGTACTGGTCAAGGGCGGTGTAAATAAGCTAAGTGAGTATCGCCTTCCTGGTTTACGGCCATAGAAGGGTCCGGGGGCGGGTGGTGGGTCGTTCATTTTGCGTTTGCCTAAGTGTAGTGGTTTTTGCACTGCTAGGATTGCAGCTAGAATATGTAGAGATCCTACAATGGCTGGTACTGGGCCTACATGTTGAAGCTCAGGTTCAGGTGATTCAGCTGCTTGCTCTTGACGAATTTTCCGTATTAATCTCGAGGTAGATGTTGTCTTTTTTTCCTTTTCTTTTCTCGCCTTGCTTCATTATGGGATCTCAAAGAATCCCGCTTCGAGCACTATAGCATTGAGATCGAGTGAGTGTTTCCCTTAGGAGTAACAGCTCAAGATAGGCCCTTTATCGATCAAGCCTGATGCCGGTTAGGATGGTCTAGCCTGGGGGAATTCGGATGCCTCCGAGGAGGGTGAGTTTCGTCGTTCGTAAGATATAAGATTGGTGTGAAAAAAGGACCCGTAGCCGCCGTCCTCCTCTAGCTTGAGGAAATAACCTCCCTTTGCTAGGTACGGTCGGATAGTTTAACGTCGTCTCGGACGATGCCGACGTCAAGTTGGATCATAGAGTCATTTCTTATTAACTTGGCGGGGGAGGTAAGGAATGTCGCGTCGAAGCACGGAGGCAGGTTCCTATATGATCTCGTGTTGAAGGACTCCCGTTAGGATGAGGCTCATGTTGATAGAACCGTAAAGCTGAGCTGGCAGAGATGGTAGAGATGATAGTACTAAGGATAAGGAAGCTGTTGGAATTCAAGGTGACTGAATAGAAATCTGAGCGCGTGACGCGTAGGTGCTATTTGAAGCCATGTTCTGTGCTAGTTGCGAAGGTGAAAGTCAAGGTGAAAGCTGGGTCCTGCGTTTCGAGGTTAGCAAATGTGTAGCCAAGAAGATGGCTGAAGGTGAAAAGCCTGGTTTCAACCAGCCTACCTTTCAGATCTCTAAACTTCAACTTCGTTGCAACTGGCCAATACGTGTTGCAATTGATCAAACCAGAAAGGGTTAAAAGAAGAGAGAATTGATTTGAAGCAGCTGAAGATGTCACGGTGCTCACTGAATAGAGAACACTGGGTAGAGTGAATCCATTTGTTAGCTATGGGTGGTGAAGACGTCGCTCGCTAATGTTTTGCGGTCCGATGTTGCCAAAATACCACGTCGTGGTAGAGGCTGACTAGATTGTCTCGATCGTGGGCAGTGTCTCATGATCGTAATCATAATCCAGCTGAAGGACTGCGGAACAGTGACATCGTTGGACTAATTATACATTAACACCCAGAAAGAGATTGACGAGAGAAGGCTGAGAAACCAGTATCACTCTTGATCGACCCTTCTCAGTTTGATGGACGGGTTTTCAGATGCGCATGCAAGTGTTGGGAAAATTTTCAACATCTGAGTGTTTGGGCAGGCACTTTATCGTGTTCTTCCCATCTGACAGGTTCTAGTTCTATCCAGGGATTAGAGTGGCTCTCGATTCTTTATTACCTGTTACCCCTATTCCCGGAAGCCCTCCCAACTTCCATCTTTCAGTGGACCCTTTCCTGGAGATCTTGCAGCCTTCAATGGGTTTCTTCCCGAAAACTTTCAGCGTTTTAAATTTACAACTGATCGCATCTTGTTTATTTTGCCACATGCGGGAGACGCCTGTAGAACCCCGTAGGCTTCGGACCACATGGAGCTAGGTTATTGGATTGCCTGTATGTTGAAAGTACTGGCTAAGAAGGGTACGAGGGCATACAAATGGGAGAATTTACCAGCCATGTGTGTTGTGGAAGTACAGCTCTGCTTTCACTTGCATATCGAAATGTATCTGGTTTCTCTGTACTTTGTCTCTTGCTTTGGGGGTTTATTGGTTGAATCTCGCGAGTACTGCTAAGCCGGGCGTCGTGGCTGATTTTGATTTTTACTCCGAGTTCTCGCGATATGGAGCTCCTGAGGCAGCCTATTTTGTATCGGTGTGGAATGGGGAAGGAGACGCAAATGATTGTTGTCTGTATGCATATAATTTAACCACTATATACTGGTTCGCTTTCCTTTCCTTGCCCAGTGGCGCCCAATGAAGCCTGATTTGACTATCGATACGTAATCAACCTTGCCAGAACGCATCTTCAGCGGGCGACCGGTGACGGATTCGTTACCGGTAACTCGCAGAGCCTCTGCCCGGTCTCTGGTGCCAAAGGCCCAGGAAGGGTCAATCTTCCCTCCTTATAAACACAAGGTGGCGAGTCCTTCTTGGAGGGTAGAACAATCATCTTTGTACAAGCATTGAACCCCCTGCCACCTCGCCTTATAGGAGGAACGTCCCGAGTCACCGTCCCAGTCGCAGCCTTATCCATCACCGGGAAAAACTACTACCTAGATATATCTCAGCCTTACATATAATGCCACACCTGAAGGACTTTCAAGAAGATTTCCAGGTCCCATGCCAACCTTTTCAGCCTTTGCCTGCCGGGACGTACCCGGCCGAGATGACTGCCGCCCGGGACTCGTCGAACTATGCCAGTACGGTTGCAGATATGCTGTGGGAAGATGGGCTTGCTGAGGGCATGGGGTACTTGATGTCGCTGGTAGAAAGTGAGAAGCAGAGTTCGGATGTGGAGACGTCGAGCTTCGTCGATGTTGGGCCTGGGAGTATGATACCGACTGGTATGGGCAGTTGGGCGATGGTACGAGCTGGATCCCATGGATCGAACCAGACCTCTGGGCACGGCTCCGAGAATCTGGCCTATTCAGTGCCGAGTCAGGGATCTGGAGAATGGATTCCCGGTACCGAATGTGGTGTTGTAATGGAGGCTGATGAAGAGAATGATCGATCTATGCCTCATGATCAGGAAGTGATTCTCTCCAGCATGTTTCAGACAGGTAAGTACTATTATGTCCATTACATTCAACCGGCTGATTCTGGAAGAGCCAATGCAAGTGTACAACCCATACTTGCCAGGGCCCATCCTTTGTGCGAGTGAAGACATTTATATGGGGCAGGAAACCAATCAGTATATGCAGCAGGAACCCAACCACTATATGTCGAGTCTCGCAGTGCCGCCCGGAACCCAAACACAGGCCTCAATACCTTCTACCATGTTGCATTATGGATCCGAACCTCCGTGGACTGCTGTGACGCATCCCCGTCGTGCTCCCAGCCATGAACCAGGCTACGCTGTGTTCGCACCATCCCCAGGCCCGGCAGCCGAGCAAGACCCAGAGGAGCTCCGGCATGGCGTTGCATCTTCATTAGTAGTATGTTCGGAAGGTAGGTCAACGGATTCAGATAGCGAGCCTCGCTGATCCAGACAGCAACCAAGAGAAAACGCAAAACTAAAGAGCAGGAATGGAAGCATCATTCTATTATTCGCAGAGGTGGCGTGCAACTAATGAAGGTGCCTGATGAACCAAAGAGCCAACGACCTGGTGTCCGGAAAGGGAGGCTTGATCCACAGGTTGCGGAGAATGCTCGTAAGGTGCGCAAGTTAACAGCCTGTTGGAATTGTTGGATGCAGAAAGTGACTGTGAGTGCATCAATGTCCATTTGGCTAAACTTTGACTAACTGCTTAACAGTGTTCCGACGGCGAAACTTGCGTGACATGCAAAAGGTCATTTGGACTATCAGCTACCCAGTTGTGCTTCAGATCCCACTTTGAAGAGTATCAAGAGGTCTTCTATCCAGGTAAGCTTGCCCCGCATGGTTTATGAACCAGCTTACTGAGCACGTATTAAGAGTATCTTCATGCGCACCTCAAGAAGAGAAAGATCGAGGATCTCGTCACCGAGAACACCAACGGGTTCACTGATACCGTTCTGGAAATTGAAATTGGAGTGGGAGCATGCTTCACACCAATGCGGCTTCTGGTCAATGTGTTCCGACCAACGTCTAGAGAACTTCTCACCCAACATCGTTTAGTGGTTGATGGAGAGGTATCGGATAGTCCGCTCGTACTTCAAGAGAGCGTAGCCGTGGGGCTACTGGGCGTTTCACCCTCGGATATGAGTATAAAGTGCGAATATCATATCATAGAAATGATCGAGAGCTGCTGGTATGCAGCACAGGTCACGGCTGGAGACACTAGTCGGATCCCGTATGTTATTTTGGATATTGCCCAGCAATACTATGCCTCCACAAGAGTCAGTAATCCAAAATGATGCTTAAGTTTGAAATGCTGACAGCCCCTCCGTAGGCGAGCCTCGTACGACAGGTATTGATGCTTCATGCCATCCGCTACTACATGAAATCCCTGGTGACTTTATCGGAAGAGTCTGCAAGTGTTGTCTACTCAAGTTTACCAGATTCGCCACCGTATTATAGCCAAACCGCTTATCCGTGCTCACGGCTGCTCAACCGACAAATCAAATATGCCATGGATAAGCTGAGTCGAGAAATAACTCGCAAAGTCCTCCAAGGCCTAGAACGGACAATGAGATCGCGCTTGTCATGGGGGCCATCATTCTGTGTATTATTATTACTCTGTCTCTGCATGGAAGAGTTGGAGATTGCTGCACACATATTCGTCGTGAGCGATATTGAGAAGGAGGGCGCCAAGTCGGCGTACAATCGCAGGCAGAGTTCGACAGCTTGTCAAATACTCGAAGATAATCCGTTCCTCCAGTTTAAGAGGCTGTTCCATGACATATATCGAACTCACGGGGGATCGCGGAGAGGTCCAGGATTCAACCCTCTGAGAAGCGTTGCCAAGCATGGGGGATGTTCGGAATTAGACCCACCTGGAGATAGGATGGTGCAGTCAATATATCAAATGATATGTGGCTCATGTAAGAACATAATAGTCCCCAAAGCAACACCGCTAAAAACTCATAGATGACGAAATAATTGTGCTCTCAGAGAACCCCCCTTTGGTTGACATGGGGGATAGGTTTGATCCCGAAATTATTAAGAAGAACAACACCGGCCGTTTGGTAGCTAAGTTCTTGAGATCTTTCTTCCCAGCGGATTGGTCACCGCCTATTAAGAGTTGATTGAACACCATCACGATTCACGAATGGGAGCGACAGATATATATGGTGGGATTTGTCTACGTTGATCATGTTTGGAGTATTTGTAAGATGGATAGCATTGAAGAATAACTAATGCTGGACTGTTTACTTGAGAGATCGCATATTAAAACGGGGAATTTTGGTGAATGAGTTGTGTGTCCTGATTAGTCCTCCTGGCGCACTTTGTCAACGCCAGCAGGGTGGATGGGACTGGCTGTCTAGGCCGTTGGTTCTTTATCCCACGAACGATATTGAAATAAGTGACGCTCAAGTCCATTAAGAGGCACAGGAGGTAGGCAATATGTGGTTTATATGGCGCCATTGCGGCCGAGAATGAAAGAAATAGAAAGGGAATTTATTTGCAACCTTCGTGAATGACAGGTCTTGCGGAGCCCACTCGAGATTCGCCAGTGTGATTTGAGCTGTGCGATGCATTGACATGATATCAAGCACCAGCGCATCCCTCATACAGGAGTGATAGTCTGGCAACAGAAGAGCCATGGTCCGGCAACCTCATTATTTGCGGACGAACTTCAAGCAAAGTTCGCTGTTGAAATATTGTTGAAGAAGAAGAGAATTCGCAGGACGAAAATCTCGAGATATGCTCTCCAACTAGCGAGTTTAGTCATCGGAACTAATCCTAGTCTGGCACCTCGTCACGTGGGAGGGGGCTGGGCGGTGGGTTAAAATTGGCGATTCTTCGCGGTGAGAAAAACCCTTTCTTCCTCACATAAACACGGTCAATTCAACCGCTAGGGATTCACCAACTGGCTAGTCGGTCATATTTACGTGCATGAGTAATTATCATTGGGGATTATCTTTTGGGTTGCGGCTGATTTCCTATATGCCGGAACCCGTTCCCTGGTGTATGACATTGATTTCGTATTCCATTCTTGTACTACGTATGAAGTAGTAGCTTGTAAGACATTATCACCCGTCGTTCCGCACCGTTGTATTTAATATCTTCTGAGTCGATAAAATTCTTGGTCTTCAGGCTGGGTAAGGTACCTGGTACAAAGTAAAGCGATTGAAAGTTAGATAGAATGAGTGTTGCGCTTATAACTGCCGCGGTTATCGTCAAGAGAACTCCCTAACGTTGTCGATTTGAATCCGCCCAGAATATGTATTTATTCTATGTATTGTGTGAGAGAATTGTGCGAATAAGTCTGGTCTTATTGAATCCCAGTCTGGCTTCAGTTGGCACCCTGATTCAGTTCCGGGTTGGATTGGGTTGTCGACCTAGGTACGTAGGCGTATATATAATGAGTTAGACAAATAGCTGTCACATACGACCATAGACTGAGGAGAAATGGGCATCCCGTCCGCTCTGCCATACACAAGCCTCAGATCGGCAGATTAGTAGTTGGGTGGGTGACCACCAGCGAATACCTGCTGTTGTATGTTTTTGCATCCTTTTGTATTTTCTTTTGCTCCAGCTCTGAGTTGGCCTTTCACATCCAGAAGAGTTTTTATGTTGGTGCCAAGCAGCCGAGTAGGGGGTGTGATGCCGTCCCTTCAAGATAAATATTCAATAGTTGAGCGATATTTATATTAAAGAATTTTGATTGTTTATAATTTTTAATAATATTTTTACATATTCTTTTTATATTTCTTGGTTGTTTGTGAGGAAAACCACCCCTCCTCTCCACCCTGCAAGGTAAAGGTTCCAGAGTAAACAAGCTCAGAGTAAGTACCGATAATCGGGGCTCATATCCTAAAAGGTTGTCAGCATATTATCCGATAAATCAATAAAAGGGGGAGGTGTAACTTACACCCAACTCAGTCTTTTCATATTCCGTCAAGCCGAGATCTGTTGGGCTCTTATCCCTCTGTCTATTCTGTCTCACGACTGCCACCGCATAGACACAGCAGCTGGCCGCACTCAAACACAACCAAGCAAGACAAATGCTATACCCATTCTTGTAGTACGGAGCATCTTCCTCGAGGAAGGCATATGTTGCAATAATTCCACCAATGTTGCCAAAGCCCACTTGCCACGCCGTGCCTACCGCGCGCCGATGGTGCCCGCCGAGATTCATGTTGAACCAACACACAATAACAGGCATAGCGGAGTAGCATCCCATGGCCACCAGGAATAGGGCCGCGTACTGGAGGTTTACGTTGTCATGTACGGTTATGAGGATGCCGAAGCCAGCGATGGCAACACTGAGGGGGGCAATTGTGAAAAGGAATCGATGCCGCGTGTAGTCCGAGAGGAAAGCTATGATCATGGCGAAGCCGAAGGCGCATGCCCATGGTGGCACGCTGCGTAGCTGTGTCTGGATCGGCGAGTACTTAAACGTACTGATAATTTGGGGAGCGAAGAAAGCGTAACCGTACGCAGGAACGATAAGTCCAAAGTACATCACTCCCCCGAGTAATACCTTGTAGTCTTTGAATACTCGGCCAACGTCCCGAAGAGTTATCTTTCGTTCCGCTGCTGAGAGGCCTTGGTCGGCTTGGAGACGGGCTTTGACGTATTCCCGTTCCTCGGATGAGAGCCATGTGGCGTCCTCCGGGAAGGAGGGGATCATAAAAAAGAATAGTAATGCCACGACGCACGTGAGGACTCCTTCGAGGATGAAAATCCATCGCCATCCTTGAAATCCACGCATGCCGTCCATTTTGCCAATAGCTGAGGCGAGCAGACCGCCAAAAGCGCCAGCTAGAGTTGTCGAGCTAAAGAAAAAACTGTATCGGCGCTGGGCTTCAGACCGTTTGTACCACATTCCAATCAAGTAGAAACAGCCGGGAAACATCCCAGCTTCGAACAGCCCGAGGAAAAAACGTGTTGCCAATAAGCCTGCGTAATTCTTCACCAGCCCTTGGCAGATGGCTGCCAACCCGAACATAAACATGCAACCGGAAAGCCATACACGCGGGCTGAGCTTTTTCATAAAGATATTCGACGGAATTTCAAAAATGATATAGGGCACGAAGAAAATCGTGAGCGCGGTGTTGTACTCAACCTTCTTGAGGTTGAGATCCTTGACTAGGCCAAAGGAGCGCGCGTTGGCGATGTTGACTCGGTCGAGAAAGGCAAGGAGGTAGAGTATACAGAGGAATGGGATGACGCGGAAATCAATCTTGGTCATTAATCTCCTCTCGGTGGTATGCGGTGGACATACGACGTTCAAGTCGTCATACTGGTAGGGTTGCTCGATGGCCAAATTGGGGTCATAGTAGTTGTTTGCTTCATTCTTGACGCCCGGTTCTGTAGTAATATCCAAGGTGGCATGGGATTCCGTCTTGGGCTCTGCACAGTGTCAGTGACGGGGTCTTGATGCTATAAGCACAGCTTGAACGCGGCTGAAGTTGAATAAATGCAGCAGGTGAACTTACTCTTGCCAAACATCTTGGCGATATGCAACTGCACCCGTAGAAGGCTTGAAAACTTTCAAAAAGCTACGACGAGGCGAATTTCCTCTGCTTATATATAGCAACAGTTCTAGACCAGCGGCGAAAAGAAACCACCACAACACATGCTACACCAGAGGGGTTGGAAAGACAGGCTTGTAAATTTTGAAGAAAACGAGGGGAAGTACAGTAGTAAAGTAATAACGTGCCCGACCCTGCGTACTGCGTAGGGATCTAGGAGGAGGGCCACTGCAGTAGAAAATGACCTTCCCTTCAGGTCAGCAATGCAAGGATGGACTTGAACTTGCACGCCTCGGTATTGCTGATCGCCGACGTCTAGCTGATTCAGCGAACCTACATCGGAGGTGTTTTGCCTCAATTTGCGGGGGCGAGGGGTAAGAATCAACTTGACTTACAGTGCTAAGTAGCACAACACGAATCGCGTGTGTTATAAGGACTGTAACCCTAAGCTCTGGGAAGTCCGATCGGCAGTGGGGAGCGGGTACGCTGCGAGAAGAACAGTCAGCCGCCGTCCGCTACCCGCTGGCGTAAGCCTCTTCGGGGCAGTCTCCCGGACTAGACGACAGTATCTGAGTACGGGTATCAGCATAAAAGAATTAACTAATACTGCAAATCGCCACAAGTAGTCCGGGAGGCTTGAAAAGTCGAGTTGGTTGCAGAGGCAAGCCCAAAGGCAGAGAGGCGAAGGCTGCTAACAGGTGTCGATGTATCTTATTTGTGGATAATCTATACCTATGGTTAGACCATCCAACGTTACCTGGAGAACCTGGGCACCGAAGATCCACTAGGTACCTTTAGGTAAGGCACTCAAGAATTGTTTGATGCAATTAAAAGCCAATCTGATCTCATACCAAATATTGGTTTGATGTTTTTACATTTTTAACAGCTAGGGAATTGCCACTTCCATCTACCTATCTTATTGGTAGGTACCTTACGCAGGCACTGAGGATCACCGGTGCCTGAGTATTTTCCAGGCAAATCTTGGACATGGATATCCCCAGTAACTGGTTTGTGTTTGCAGAACCACAATACCACGAACGACTTCGACAACTCAAACAAATCAGTATCAGTATCTGCATATCCGTTGGAACTAGTTTATTAGCTGATTATATATATAAATATTATACCACGCCTCTTCCCTAGCCAAGCGCAAACGACAATGCTGATGGGCCATGTGATAGCAACACGTGATGTTGTGCACATTCATGACTCTTGAAGATGGTGATCAAGAGCTGGCAAGAACCTCTGATTGACAGCTTCCAGGCCCTCATCTGCGTAGCTAACAATTCCTCAAGTGGTTCTTTTCTATAAAATGGTTCCCTAGATAGATCTTAGTTGTCAAAAACAAAAGCCAGCTATCACGACCATCTGCCAGTCCGAGCCCACGGTAAGCTTGGGGCACGTAGAGTGACTTCCTGTCGCAAGGATTGGATTGCCTCCAAAGGCCAAAAGCTCCGAAACAATAGGGCGTGGGTAAATAATAAATAATCTTCGCCCATGGACATTATTTGAGGCATGCAATGCACGTATCCAGGACATTCCATCCCTTTACGCAATGTCTTGCTAACTAACGGTTTCAGCGTTCACGGTCATGCAAGAGATGGGTTTGCTTGCAGCCGGTTAAGAGCGGTCGGGATGGCCGTTGCATGGCATGGCATGGCAGCAGTCGTGAAGGCGAAGGGGACGGACGGACGCTGAGTTAGAGAGTTACTTCGTAGAGGGTTAGAGGGTTAAAGCGTCAGCTCCCGGGCCCCAGCCTAGACTGATGCCAACCCGGAGGCGTGAAGCCGTGGACTGGTTGTAAGGGGAGGGAAACGGTGCAAGTATTAGCATGATTAGTATTTGCACAGAGTATTTGTATTTCTCTTGGTCGTCTGCCATCGGCTACAGACCACCTTGACCGCCTTACAGGCCCGCAGGGGCAAATCTCGGAAGAACGACGAAAAAGAAGCGAGCACAAGCGCAAACAAGCAAGCCAGTCAGTCTAAAGATAGCGACAAGATACCAGTACATGTCCATGTACCGTGGTACGTAGCACTTAGCAGAATATACAGCAATAATAACAGCAGCGCCCTCTAGCCCACAGAGTCTAGAGCCTGGACGGGCCCTTCAAACCACACCATCGTCTACCTATCATTCGACGCATCTCTCTCCTCTGTCCGCCACCGTGCCATTCTCCACGAGAACAACCACAGATCAGCCTCATCCGCACACCACCAGACGACCGTCACATCCCTTCCCTTCCCTCCCGATCCCCCACCACCACGACCGCCCTCCGCGACAGCATCTACAACCTCCCAGAAACAGCTTCTCGCCGTCGCAGAGGCACTGCCGCAGACTTGACTGCACTCTTGTACATGCGCCAGGAGCGGGCACCAAACCAAGTACCGAATGCGAGCCTTCCAGGCTTAACGTCAAGTCACTTGGCGGGGTCCTCGTCGAGGTTGACCACCGGCCATTGCCCGCACTCACAGCCACCCTCGACGAGTATTGCAGCCCATAGGTGCCCTGCGATAGTCTCTCCCGAGTAGAAACAACAATGTCCGGGCATGGTGCGCCCTCGGAGGAGGTCCCGGGTGCGAGCGACGCCCGGTTGAGTCTCGATCAGACGTTCAATCATCCCGCGGGACTGCGAACTGCGAGGCACATCGTGGAAGCGCTCCTCGAGAGAGCAGAGATATCCTCCGGTAGCATCATCCACAGACTGCCAGGAGAGAGGAGCTCGCAGACATCGCATGCACTGTTTGGCTCAAATCCAGCCGTCATGGATGATCTCAAGGAGATACTTGCTTTTCGGGAATCACCATTTTCAAACGCGGGACGGAGCGAGGTTGAGGCTCGGGCAGGTAGTGTCACTCTGGGTGATAGCAGAAGCAACCCGAGGTATCCAAATAAAAATTGTAAGCAGTTCCTTCTCATTCTACAAGTGAATGTTGCTGCTAGAAGTGAAGCGAGCTCAGGGCTAATATCCAACCCAAGATTCCGCATCATCTTCCACTCTCACCTCCACCTCCACCGCCCGAACAATCCTCCAACACCAAGGACACTCGTATGCTAGGGAAGCATGTCACAGAGACGGACACGCTTATCCTGATACGCAATTTGCCGTCGAGAGCCGACCGCCTTCCACAGGACCTGCCTCTTCGTCGCTCGATTCCGAAAACACCTCACAACCTCACCTTCCACATCATATCGAACACCAAAGGTCAAGCGACGCCAAGGCCGAGTTTCTTCGCAGTAAAACAATTGGGGATACCACTGAGGGAGAGGAGGAATCTACAGCGCTGATTAGGTCAACTTTATCCCAGACCCTCAGGAACTCACCAACCTCGGCCTTGCCGTCGACTCCTAAGACTCGTCGGCTGTCATCTGGGCCTGCTAGTCTTGATCTCCCCGCCATAAGCCCTTCGTCGGCTTCTCGACCGCCTCCATCTTCCACGGCTCATCACCTTTTACCGCCTCTCGATCTCGCCTCAAATCAAGCAACCCGGTTAGGGTTCAACCCGTTCCATACTATCAAAGGCTTTCTGCCCGTCAATAAGGCAAACGAAGCCAGCTATTCGGCTAACAAACAGTTAACGCAAGCGCGTACGCTCTCATCGAATACTTTGCCAGCTCTCGGGACAGACGACGCTCTAAGACCATCCATTATGGCTAATACAACTGTATTTGGGAAACAAACGGCTTCAGTGGCTGGAGAAGAAGCTACCCACGCGCATCTCTCAACCTCCAATTCCTCGGCGTCACCGACTCCCTGCCACATTTTCTCCCAAACCACACTTGACTTCTCCCTTTCTGGTGAGTATCAAAGTACTATAACGAAAGGTCCACGTAAGAAGTCGGCTCCAAGAAAGCGCAAGGTCAGAGAAGATGGAGAGCCTGGTACCAAGAGGCAGAGACTCAACAAAAGTGGCTCAATGGCAATAAAGGCGGCCAAGACCGAATCCGCAAGTTCACCCTTTCCTTCACTTTGCGTGTAGCTACTGACGCGATATAGGCGAAGGAGCTATTGGGCCAAGACATCTGGATGCGAATTCTTGAGTTCACCCCACCCACATTCCTCAAAAAGGCCCGTCTCATCAACCGAGAATTCAAGGGTATGGTGGACAAGTTCGACTCTATCTTTGTGAATTGTCGCAAGGAGAATTATGGTTGGGATATGCCTCCGCCTCCTCCCGGGATGACGGAGAGACAATATAGCGACTTGCTCGGGGGCAAAGGTTGCCAGGAACCAGGCTGCGACAATAAGAAAGCAACCCGGACGTATTGGTCCTGGGCAAAGCGATGGTGTTCTGATTGCTGGGAGCACCGTATTGAGAGAGAGGACCGCATCTTCAAAAGGCTATCGGCCATTTACAGCAGGACGACACTAGTTAAGATGCTAGAGTCCATTCCCATAGCAATCCACGATTCGTTCGTTAAACCGCACGACTACATCGACGATGTCGAATCCCGATCCCGTGGCCCCCCGCGCCTCTACAAGTGTTACTTAACTGATGATTTGTCCGAAATCATGGAAGAGTACGAGGCCCTGACCCCGCCGCCTTACAAGGACGATCCGACCCATACCCCTGCTCAGAAATCAGCTGCTCTCGCCGCGCACAAGGTCCTGATGGATGCGTTGGACGACAAACGCTCTGAATTCTTCGCTGCCAAGAAGGCAAAGAATGATGAACACATGGCAAAGGTCATGAAGATCGAAGTTGCTATCAGAAATAAGCGACAATTGGAACGTATACCCAGAGATAAAGCTCGAAGATCTCGTATCGCTTTATTTACTCGCCGAGCTCAGGAGGATCTCCCGCATCTTAGCGTTGATTTCGTACAAAAGACGCTTTCATTTAAGGCTGCCTGTCGCATTTACCGTGATGGCGGCACTGAGCGCGGATGGCGTGCACTGAAGCCAAAGATTGAGAGGGAATGGGAGGAATCCGATCAGAACCCGGCCAATGGCACTACAGAGGATCTACCAACCTCACAGAACGCTGCCACAGGCGAATTTGAGAGTGGCATTGATGAGCCTGAAGACTTCGAGCTGCATCAAGCTGATATGATGTCCATGAACAATGAGCAGTATGCTTCTTTCCGCAACCGCACTGAGCATCAAGTCCTTCCCCGACCTAATAATTTCCCAAACATGGGATCTGGAGCTTCCACACCAGGAATCCTTGGGTCAGTCATCAACCATCGCAACAACTTCTTTGGGCTTGCCTCTTCTCATCAGTCGGCATTCTCCCGCACGACCCTTCCGTATCCTGGTCAAAACCTCCCAAACAGCCATGTTCCGTCTTCATCTCGTCCATCGCCAGTGGTTGCCAGCTACATATCGCTTTTCCCCCACATGAATCAAAACTCCTCTGCTAATCTTTCTGGATTGCCTCGGCCAAACCCAGCGACGCTCAACGCGCTGAGCACCCACATCCCAGTCAACTCTCTGCTTCGGCCACCAACTCCTGCAGGAGGCCCGAAGTGCTTTCCTTTTATTTGATAAAGGATACGAGTATCTGGAAATGGCTGTCCTTCGTATAGAATTCACACTCTCGAACTTCGCTCCTCCGAATTCGCTGGTTCGACATCAGGTCGTTTACTAGACATTTCATGTGTTTGTTACACATTCATTCATGCTACACCACATCACACTAGCCACCAGCAATCGCCTCATATCTGTACATACAAACATTCTATCACCAACCGCAGCGCACTCACCCGATTGCCCTACGTCCAATCATTTTGCTTATTCTCTCGTTCCATTGTCAGTAACTGCGCAGTTGCAGATCGAACGATAAGCTATTTGATCCGACGCCAAATCCTAGGGTTATCCCGTCATCCCCCTGGCCATGTACAAACCCCCCATTTGCAACAACATCTTGCTCTGACACTCCTCGTCACAGTCATCCCCATCTTCTCCATTCGAAATTCCTACTGCGATTCTAGCATTTATATGGTTCGGACGGGCGGGGTGGGTGGGCATAATCAAACGGTCTCAATGCTTTTCTCGAAACAATACCCAGGAACTGGCGTCATAATGGAAACCTGGAAACCGTGGTTCTGGCGTTTTTTATTCCCCCTCTGGTGGTAAATGGGGGGTTTGAGAACTGGCTTCAGTGGACCTGTCTCTTAATTTGTTTTTTTCTCGCTAGGCGCAAAGTGGATGATGGTAGACTCGAGATGATTGTTTCTCTCCCCGAGCTGCATTGATGAAAATTCTCTCCCAAGGTGCATTGTGCATGAGCATAGAACAGGCTTAGCGATAGAATTAATGAGTATTTAATATTATGAAATCATGAATGCTCCCTTTTTTATGCGTGACTTTCATAGAGTTCTGTTTGAAGTGAAGAATGACATGCGGGATAGGCATGTACTAAGCATATACATTGCGCACGGGTTGTGGATTAATATAATTATGCAATACGGACGGGAAGATACTGGTATCTGTATATATTACTCATTCTAATCGTGAGATGCACTAACAAGCCAGGAAGTAGCTACAATATTTCGTTGAACCCGATATTAAACCATCCACCCATTCTTCCCTATAGAATTTCCCCAACAAACGAATGAATCTACCTTAGGAATTATTAGCATCCACAAACTCCCACACGACGACATCGCCCTTCCGTCTCGAATCATCAATCCAATCCGTATTCCCCGTCCGCCACTTCTCCTTAACCGCCCAGCCCTTCATAACCTCATGACAGAACTCCTTTAAACTCGCTTCAATGCCCTCAAACCCCACAACGTACCGTGGCCACGGTCGCTCCCTCGTATTAACCTCCTCTTTGAGGAATTTCATTGGGTTGTCAAAGAAGCGGTCCGCTTCGTCGCGGTATGCTTCTCGTTCTGCGGTGTGGGCTGCAAGGTGGAGGGGCGGGGAACAGGTTAGGGCCCAGGCTTTGAGATTTGGGTAGAAGAGTCGAGAACGCCAGGGGGTGCTGTGGCAGGGCATCAGGAAGGCGGCGAAGGCGTCGTGGTCGGTTGTAGAGCTGGTTTGAAGTGGGTTACCTTGGGGGTCTAGGTAAAGGGTTTCGTATTCGGAGCGGAGGAAGGTCAGGACGGAGAGGACACCACGTTGGTGGTAGAAGGTTGTGTAGCCGCTGATGAAGATATTGGCCAGAAGGAGGAGGGTGAGGAGTGGTTTCCGACGGAAAGTTGTGGTTTGTTGCGTCTTGGAGCTGGTAGCGGAGGGTGTGGAGGGGTTTGTTTTAGTGCTGGTTGTGGTGAAGAAAGCAGCAATGGTGGGTGCTGCGAGGATGTGGAGGAGTGGAAGGAGGGGATAGATGAAGCGTACTTCCTTGTGGGAAATGAACGATAGTGCGCCAATTGTTACCAAGATTGTGATGTTGAGAAGGAAGGGAACGCTGGTGGAAGGAAGCGATGCCGACTTCCAAAGTCCGATCAGCCCAAAGGGGAGGTAAGTGGTGAGTAGCAACGGGAGACCTTGGGAGATGTAGTAATGCCAATCATTGCGGCCGTAGAACACGGCCAGGTCTTGGTTGACGTTGAAATGGATGAATTGATAGGCTGGGAACGTCCACTCCCCAAAGTACAACCGATCAGAGATTGCGAAGATGAGGAGGGTGACGGTTCCGCAGAGGACTGCTTCTCGAAAGAAAATGAAATAATCAGAAGGGGTTGCTCGGGTGGTGGGCGAGAAGATCCGAGTCACGGTTGGCATCATGATGCAGAACCATATCATGGCATTGGTGGGGCGGAGGATGCATGCGGAAGCTGCAAGAAGAAGAGAAATCCGAAGGCTGTAATGGAGAGTTAGGCGGGGTAGTGGATATTAGGAATATAACTCACCTTGTAATAGACCAGCGGCTTTTGAAAATGGAGGTTTTGGCAGGGACAGGAGCAGGCACTTGGGGCTTTCTAGAACCGGGTAGGTCACTGCTAGAAAGGGGGACAGTATCAACCGACATCTCCCAAGGCCAAAAGCCTAGCGCGGCGATAGTGAAACTTGTCTCGAGAGAATTTAAGAAAGTCCTCGTGGAGCAGAACCACTGCCAGGGACTGATAATTGTCATCAAAAGCTACATCGTAGTCAGTACCTTGCCGAGTAGAACAGGGTGGTTATATAGCATACGGTGGCCCAGCCAGCCTTAGATCCCCTTCCGTAAACATTCTCAGAGAGTTGCCATGTGTAATAGTCTCCGATGGCAGCAAAGTAGGCCTGTATCAGATTGGGCAGAACTGCGAGGATCATGGCTCGAAACTGGGGAAAGCAGCTCACGAGCTCCATGGCCTTGTTCGCAACATAATATGCCGCGGCAAACATTGCTGGGTGCAAAGAGGACCGGAGCTGATGCTCCCACTCCTGTTGAATGTCAGGACTTGGAACGAGATATTTACGAAGGAGTAGAGGAGGTAGATTGTATTGTGAGAGAAGTTATATATACCCACGTGATCCAAGCACCGCTCTGAGACCCAAAAGCCAATTCCCAGGCCGGCTCTAAAGCTTGAAAGTACTCATCGGGTTGGAAAAAGGTGCGTACGCAGAGAGCGTTGATGCACCGAAGTATGAGAAGGAGGATCCATATGTCCTTGCACCGCTGGTCGTAGACAAGGGAATGGATTGGTGCTTCTCCCTCTGGAGCAGGCAGTGGCTTGCTCTGGTGATTCGCGGTGTCCTTGTTCTTCTTTTGGCTGAATGGACTCATGTTGGAAAGTAAAGGGTTATATAGAGGACATAGAAACGCTCATTGACAACAGAAACATCGAGGAAAGGGAGCCAATCAGCAGTGTAAAGGGGGATGGAGATGCACAATGAATTGGCATTTAACACGTAGTTGCCTGAGGCCTTGCATGTGTTTCTTACTAAGGACCGTGTTTGGCAAATAATGCCTTAGGCATGAATAGATGGGCCCAAGGCGGCAATGCTCAGGACATCATATGACTTTAGAAGTCTAATATTACCTAATATCGTATATAGCACTGTTCAATCCCTCTCAAGCCAAGCTTCCCTTTGCTTTGATATTGTACAGTACTCTGTACTTTTGTAATAAGGATTCCTGCGCGCAAGGACTCGCCAAGTGGTCTCTTACTCAGTAGCACACTCTGACCGCCGGAAGAACCCACCAGCAAACCCAGTTCTGGAACGGAAGCAACAAAGCCTATCGGTAATCCCGATCTGTTGACTGGCTATTATCCGTTCGCCGCTCACGTGCCCCGGCGTCTTTCTGGGCCGAGAGGAGCAGCAGCAACCCCGCGATCGGCCCAATCCCCTAAGCGCAGGATCACACGAAGCCAACTTCGCCAACGCCAAAACCGATGATGAAAATGTTCCCTAAAGGCAGGTTTGGGCGCGTTTGCAACTCTTTAGTCAACACCCGGTCATGCGCTGGGAAAACCTCAACAACAGGTCGCAGCACTTGCACTTAGGGGTCTAGCGCTGCCCGCTGGTAAGCGCTGTGGCTGTCTGATCGTCTGTATCTTTTTTCCTTCCTTTCCGTCTGGTGCAAGTACAAAGAGTGGCGTTTCCACCTTTTCCGTTCCTCTTGTTTCCTTCCTCCCCATTGCTCCCCTTATATCTCCCAGACTCTGCCCCACTTACATCACTCTCCACAAAAAAGGAAGAGCGGCTACCTAGAAGATAGAACGTCACTTCCAACTACTAGACCATCTGCCAATTCCATTTTCAAAAGAATAAGTCTCAATTCGCTCCAACCATGTCACCACACGCAGACGGCACCACGGATGCCAATTCCAGCACCCTCAAACCCACCGCGCCAACATTCCAGCCGGTGGTAGCTTTAGGGAACCCCAGATACCATTCCGCGTCGACCGCAGAGGCAATTGACGCAGAGAACAAATACGCTGCCCACAATTACCACCCGCTGCCGGTGGTTTTTGCTCGCGCTCAGGGCTGCAGTGTTTGGGACCCCGAGGGAAAGCATTATATCGACTGCCTGTCCGCCTACAGCGCGGTCAATCAAGGCCATTGCCATCCGGAGCTTGTCAAGGCGCTGTGCGAGCAAGCCCAGCGGCTTACCCTCTCCTCCCGCGCATTCCACAACGATGTCTTCCCCAGGTGGGCGGAGAAGATCAAGGATGTTTTTGGATATGATATGGTACTGCCTATGAACACGGGCGCCGAAGCGGTTGAGACCGCAATCAAGATTGCGAGGAAGTGGGCCTACAAGGTGAAGAAGGTGCCACAAGGTAAGGCATTGGTTTTCGCGGTGGCAGAGAATTTTCATGGCCGAACGGTAAGACCCCGCGCCGATTAACCAATGCAGAGCCGGCTTGCTGACCTAGAGGGATTATAGATGACAGTCATTTCCATGTCCACGGACCCAGACTCTCGAGACAATTACGGCCCCTATGTCCCCAACGTTGGCGCCATCAACCCTACCACAAAGAAACAGATCAGGTTCAACAGCATCCCTGATCTGGAGGAAGTACTGGAGGCACACGGGAAGGAGACTGCAGCTTTTATCGTGGAGCCAATCCAAGGAGAGGCTGGAGTTGTCGTCCCGGACGATGATTATTTGAGCAAGGCTCACGAGCTATGCAAAAAGCACAACGTGCTCCTCATCTGCGACGAGATCCAGACGGGCATTGGACGAACCGGGCGTATGCTGTGCTCTGAATGGTCCAACATCAAGCCGGATTTGGTTACTCTTGGCAAGGCCATATCAGGCGGCATGTACCCAGTTTCTTGCGTTCTTGGATCAAAGGACGTCATGCTTACGATGGAGCCTGGAACCCACGGTTCTACATACGGAGGGAATCCACTAGGATGCGCGGTCTCTATCCGTGCGCTGGAGATCATGGAAGAGGAGAACCTGACAGCTCGCGCGGAGACGTTGGGGAATTTGTTCCGCCAGGGACTTGCAGACCTCAAGTCACCAATGATCAAGACCGTGCGAGGAAAGGGGCTGTTGAATGCTATCGTGATCGATGAGGCCCACACTGGCGGCCACTCTGCTTGGGATCTGTGCATGCTGTTGAAGAGTAAGGGGTTGTTGGTAAGTCCCTAATCCAATGCGCCGAAGTACTACTTCGTACGACATTTATGCCTATACTTACGCGCAATACTAGGCCAAACCTACACACGAGAATATCATTAGACTCGCACCCCCACTAGTCATCACCGAAGAGCAAATTAAGGAGGCCTTGCGCATCATTAGCGAAGGAATCACCGAGCTTCCCAACCTAAAGGGAAAGGCAGAGGAAGCGATTATTCCTCCTAGTGAGAAAGGCGTGCACATCAACGTCGATCTTTGAGAAAGAAAACACCGCATTTATTCGACGTGAATAAATTGGACTGGCTCGAGGAGTTTTTTTTTTTGGGGTTTTAAAGGCTATGACTTGTATGGGATGTACAGTTGGAAGCGCAAAAGAAAATCGGAATCGACCGTGTCTATAAGGAGGGGCTTAGATGATAGACTTCGGCTTTGCTATTTGTTGAAGGCAGGCCTAATCAACTGTAGCACCGGATAAAAGACGTAGCTGGCCAATATTATGGGGAGATGAAGATTGCATGCATACCTTTAGATGGGTATGCTTACCAAAGATGAGACAAATACAAAGACTACTTGCGCGGGTGCAGTACTCAAGTACCCTCGTTGTACAAAGCATCGTCGTTCAAATCGAGAATTAAATGTATCTCTCTCTCTACCTGCACGTGCCAGATAGCTACCTAATTCCAGGCATGCCTCGTAACAGCCTCCTCTCTCTCTCCTGCCAATGAAGCACCACATCGCCAAGGATCTGCCACGTACATTGCCCCGTACCGTACTCCCATTGCTACGAGGTATGTGATTTGCGAGCTGCCTAGTGCTAGTGATGTTGGTGGTGGGAGGGGGCGTTAGGGTCGGAGGGGTTGCGTGAGGTTCTGCCTGCAGGGACCTTTTCCTTCCGTGGGACGCGGTCCGTGTTCCTAGAGGCTGAGATAGATTGAAAGAGCTGGCCGAGGTAGCCACGGAGGGTGTCGATGCTGCAGTAGCTAAATAGCAAGGTTGTCGGCGATGTGGCTGCTTTGCTTAACGTGGGGAATGTTTGTTGTTGGCTTGCAGGTTGCTTCTTGGGGCATGGAGGGCGTTACTTGTGCAGAGCATGAGGAGTGTTGATGCTGATACGGTGCTTGATAGGGGGGTGGTTTGACTCACTAACGTCTCAATAATCATGCCGAGTCGTAGGCAGGGCGTTTAGGCGTTGTTTAGGGGTGACTACCTACCTACCTACCTACCTACTGAAAGAGCCCCCACAGACACCCCTAATGCGGCAGTAAAGCCTAAAGGGTATCTACCAGCCAGTTGACCCCTCTAGGATCAGGCATCGTGTTAGGTCGTTACAGGACTACTCCGTAACCTCTGCCTCTTCATCACCCCCTAAAACCAGTGATTTCAGCCTGTGGAGCCCCAAAACAGACACACGGTGCAGTTACCAGGTCTGCAGTACGAGGAGCTGTGCCCCGGGATCTGGATCTGTTTATGTCAGCGGTGATGTGATAAAGTGAGATAATGAGATGTGATGTGAGGCGAGGTGACTCTTTCGCCATTACAGCATTACACCATTGCACTACATATTGCACTTGCTATCTAATCCGCCTACAGTCGACAATCCTGATCCCCTGCATAGCGCCGAACGAACCACTCGCGTAGCGCGGCGCGGCGGACGGGTTTCCGGTTGCGGTGCTGTCACGTGCGGGTGTGCCTTGCGCCTACAGTCCTGACCTTATCGGTGTGACGATTGGCGATGGCAGATGGCAGATGGCACAACGGTAGTCGGTGCCGAGTACGAAGGAAGGACAAAGAGCAAGCAGAGGACAAAGAGAGACAACGAACGCCTCTTATTCCCTCTTTTCAGGATTACGTAGCCTATTGTTTTGTGTCCGTTGAGCCTGAGCAGTTACTGTACAGTCTTGGAGCAGTTGAACGCCTTTGAAAGCCTTTCTTTATCCAGGATGCCCAGGTGCTTCCCATGATGCAGGGAGCTGGTTCTGCCGGCGGCCACCGCTGTTTCGCTCCCCGATTCAACGCAGATGACGGGACTCGTGATGGTTCATGCGCACGCAAGTACACGAGTAACAAGTGAGTGCCACGGTGCACGGCACTGCGCTGGATGTAGATGTAGATGTAGAGGTAGAGGTAGACGTACATGTAGATGTAGGGTACAAGGTCTATCATCTATCGTCTACTAGTAGAGGTGACGAGATTCACGCGTCCCCTTCTTATAGCTTCTTAGCCTCCTTGTCCTGCTTATAACCATCTCAACCTTATCTATCATACTCTGCACCTGCGGTAATCCGCTCCCCATCCATCCCCATCCACAAACACATCCATCGTCCATCCTGGTCCCCGGCCTCGTCCTCCATCGCCCCTACGACACTACAACTCTACGACAACTACGGCACCACAGCATCCTTACGAAAGTATCAGCTATCAACTATCACATTTCATCTATCCGTCACCTTCACCTGCTCACCCCCCCGGTCTATATACTTCATCGCCTCTCTGTATTCACAAGCTGCCGCATCGTATCGCATCACATCTATTGCCGCGCCTGCATCTCGCCTCGCCGCTCCGTCGAGTCATTAACTTGACCTCGGCGCCGCTGTTCTCCTCTGCTCTCTGCTGTCTCTCCTCTCCACAGCCCATTCGTTCCATCTCCAGCTCTACAGCCAACAGTCAGCAGTCAGCCCTGCAAGTCCAAGACCTTGTCACGGCTTCTCCCCCGTATACAAGCATCCGCAGCTCTTCCCACACGAGCCGCCTCCGCGGGAGCCTACCTACAGCCACAACACCTCAACAGGCACGCCGTTCGGCTGTGACCTCTGCTACCTATTCGCCATTTCGCCATCGTCGTAAGGCAGCTTTACCAGCCAAGTCCTGCAAGTTTCGTTTGCCTTGTACTTCCTCCACTCGACGAAAGCTCTCCCCGAGTGAACTCGCTTCCGACCTCACCTACCACTACAATACCATTCATTCATTGCCTTCGCCCTCGACGCCAAAGCTTCCGACACTCCTCCGCTTTCATCACCAAGCTCGTTGTGTACATGCAGAACGAACTCACCTCAAATCTCTATCCCCACCTCATCCGGTAACACAAGCGGCTATCAACAACAGAGGAGCTTCAAGGGAGCTGATATACAGAGCCCGGATACCTCATCATGGCGGCTCTCCCGCCCCCGTCCTCGTCTTCGTCATCCCGGCGGACGAGGACGGGTGACAAAGTGGTCGGCTCCTTCACTATTGAGGATGAAATAGGCAAAGGCAGTTTTGCTACCGTCTATAGGGGAACCCACAAGGTATGTTTCTCTTCTATACTGTCATTTGACGCTGGCGGGATTCCCTTCACGCCCTTTCTCCAATTTAGACTCCTTATGAGAATGGGATATTTATATTCATATTCGCTAACGGCTATCTCTATAGGCTACTGGAGCTCTTGTGGCAATCAAGTCCGTCAACCTATTAAAGCTTAACAAGAAGCTCAAGGACAACCTCTACTGCGAAATCGAAATCCTCAAGGGCCTCCACCACCCCCATATAGTTGCTCTCATCGACTGCCGAGAATCGTCATCACATATACATTTGGTCATGGAGTACTGCGAGTTGGGTGATTTGTCTTACTTTATCAAGAAGAGGGATAAGTTGGCAGACAATCCAGCTCTAAAGGATATGGTCAGAAAGTACCCAATGCCACCGGCCGGCGGTTTGAACGAGGTCATCGTCCGACATTTCCTCAAGCAACTTGCTAGTGCGATGGAATTCCTCCGGGATCGGAATTTTATACATCGAGACGTTAAGCCACAAAACCTTCTTTTATTACCCTCGCCGCAATACATAGAGAAGTCGAAAGATCCTCCTTTAATAATGAGCGCGAGTGAGAAGGCGTTGGTCCCTATGGTTGGCCTCACCTCCTTGCCGATGCTCAAGATTGCAGACTTTGGGTTTGCTCGATCTCTTCCTTCAACCTCACTGGCCGAGACGTTGTGCGGTTCTCCTTTATATATGGCTCCAGAAATCCTTCGATACGAAAAATACGATGCAAAAGCCGACCTTTGGTCCGTAGGTACAGTACTCTACGAGATGATGACCGGACGACCACCATTTCGTGCAACCAACCATGTTGAGCTCCTACGCAAGATTGAACAGAGCGAAGACCACATTAGGTTTCCAAGGGAAGCCGTGGTCAGCTCGGGGATGAAGGATCTAATCAAAGCATTATTAAAGCGGACGCCTGTCGAACGCATCGAGTTTGATAATTTCTTTAACCATCTAGTGGTGAAGGAGCCCATCCCAGGCTTGGTAGGCGATGATCGGCCAAGCGAGATTCGAGCGCCATCCAAGGGAGATGAAGCCTCAATAAGTCGGACGCCGTCTACAAGGACCGATCGTAGACAAGTCCTGAAGACAGAGGTGCCTGCACCATCCTCATCACCTCGGGAGCGACCTACTGTACCCTCGTCACGCGCTCTTTCAGATCCAACCCGGCAAGTATCAGGACCACCACCTCGCCATGCACCCCAGCCTCCAACTCCACGGGAACAAAAACGGCCTTCTATAATACCGTCCGCAACCGCTCCAAACCCCGAGTATGTGCCATCCGGCCGTCCGTTATCTCGAACTTTCAATCCTGCTGGAAAAGGCCAGAGAGGTGGATTATCAGCACAATCCTCCACCGATGATGTGCCGAAGCATGAATCAGCAACAGCGGACTCTCAAACTCGAGAAGCCATAGCCGAAGCCGAGCAGGCAGTTCGCGATGCTCGCGAGTATGTTCTGGTTGAGAAACGTGCTGTTGAGGTCAATGCTTTTGCGGATGAAATGGCTGCAAATCCCAGGCTGCAAGGCGGCGCTAGACAGACTGCAACCTCCAAGGGCGGACAGATTGCAAGACGAGCCACAACCCAAGGCGTTCCCTCGTCAACCACAGGAGCCGTCCCGGCATCCCCTTCTAGAGCAGTCCAAATAGCACAGGGTAAGCCACGGCAAGAGGCAGTTCCGCGCCGTAACTCGGTTGGAAAATCATATGGGAGCCCTTCCGCGACTTCGGCCATCGCGAAGGCCCTTCATGGCGCCAGTGTAAGGGTATTTGGTGTTGGATGGTCTCCACATCTTATAGGTAAAGGAATGTCACCACCGCAACTTTACAGCCCTTTCCCAGCCTACCCGGCACCTCATGGCACGATCGGTCTACTTGGAGATGGAAGGCCGAGTGGTCCAGTTGATGAGGATCAAAAAGCTGTCAATATCATCGAAGAATCTGCAACACGAAGTGACGTGGTGTATGGCTTTGCCGAAGTAAAGTATAAGCAACTCATTCCATTAGCTCCATCTATGGATCATGGACTTGGAGGGCCTCCGGACAAATCTAGTGATTCGATACACGAGGATGAGGGTCTCACTGTCGAAGCTGTGGTGGTATTGTCAGAAGAAGCCCTCGTCTTATACGTTAAAGCCCTATCTCTGTTGGCCAAGTCAATGGACATTGCTGGAGCATGGTGGACCCGCAAAAGCCGAGGCGAAATTGTTGGTGGTAGCCATAGAGCTGAATCCGCTACCAGCGTTGCTGCTGGAAATCGCATTAACAGCGCTGTTCAATGGGTTCGAAGCCGTTTCAACGAAGTGTTAGAGAAGGCAGAGTTTGTCAGGTTAAAACTCATCGAGGCACAGAAGCAGTTACCCGAAGACCACCCCGGACACCCGAGCAACCACACGAGCTCGTCTCGGATCGCTGGTGCATCGTCGACCGATGGGGTTGTTTTAAGCTCCGGTATATCGGCTGAGAAATTAATGTACGATCGTGCGATAGAGATGAGTCGGACAGCTGCCATAAACGAAATCGCCAATGAAGATCTGTCAGGCTGCGAAATCTCATATATCACCGCCCTCAGGATGTTGGAGGCTGTTCTTGAGAATGACGATGTTATCCCTCAGATTAGGCGATCATCTGGTGGGAGTGAAAGAGACATCCAGCAAGAGAGCGATGCAGCAATTAATGGGATAAAGGTGGAGGACAGGGAGGCTGTCCAAAAAGGTAAGATCTATCATCTGCTCTAATACTTCATTCAGCCTCTATATTATTGCTGTACTTTCGAATAAATCTAACATATCATAGTGACGTCCATGATACGCACACGCCTCACGACCCTTAGGAAGAAGATGGCTATGATCGCGAAGCACCAGTCGCTTCCCCCATCCTCTCCTCGCCTCTCAACTGTTAGCTACAGTAGCGGCACTACCCCCACTGTTGCAAATACTCCGCCGCATTAAATATGCATCTGTCACGTTTACGAAGTTACGCAACCGCGATTTCCGGATCCTCTATCGAAAGAGCTGGAACTGGATTCCAGTCATCGGCATTCAAAACATGACCATTAATAAATGGGCATTCATGGCGTTCTTTGGCTTTACCAATTTGCAAACACTTCACATTATTCTGCTGTCTTATTGTCTAGATTTGGATTACTTTCCCTCAACTTGAATTCTTTGTATGTGTTTTAAACGCCGTCTGGCGTTCCGTGGGGTCGGTTTCTCGCCATTGCAGATACGAGGATTCGGCTATTCCCTCCACAGGGCTAGGGAATTTAACTCACGTTATCCACTCGGGGGGGCATCAATGGCGCTGGTGAATATAGGCGCCCCATCTTTCATTTTTGTGTATACCCCTACTTTTCGCTGCTTCATGGAAACTTGGATCTGGAGCCCTGGGAACTGGTGTTGTTGTGTTGAAACTTGTGGCTGCTTCACACCCTGGCGGGATTTCCGGGAATGAAATGATGCCACTCAGATACCTGAGGACTAAATAAACTGTGGAGAGAGATGGGGCTTTTAGGACTACTACTGGCTGTTGTTGGCATATGGAAAGGGATTGGTTGATTGGGTTTTGTTGGTTGCAGAGGATAGGCGAATTGATATAGTTGATTAGGTTGGGTTGGATTGGGATTGATTGGGATTTGGATTTGGGCTCTTGTAGCTATACCTTGTCTGTACATAGGAACAATGCGAAATGCTTGATCCTTGATGGCGTATTCTCTTTTGAATATCTTCTTCTCTCCCCCTTTCGCTTTATCCCCATCATGTTGGAATAGAAACTGCAGTTCTATAGTTATTACAGGCGGCACGGCCGACAGCTTCGCTGAAGGTCTTCAAGTTCGAGAAAAGTTTCTCTCCACACCTAGCTTCACAGCTTCTAGAGAAGCAAACCTTTCAGGCTCAATGGCAACCAACTACTGCCGATACACACATACCTTACGTACCTATACACCAATCACCCATCCACACATATCTCCACAGCATAACTAAATTATTACCATAATATTTCTCCCCAAGCCTATCTATCTATCCCATTGAATCTCCACTCCGCCTCCAACCCCACTAACGATATTTCAAACGCCTTCAGGGTTTACCAACCCGCGGTCTCAAATTATACATCTTCTGATCCGGCAGCGTCTGTATCCAACCCATGATCGCACGCGACCGATACATCCAGGCTGAAGGAGCGAAACGCTTCGACCCCCCGGGAGTCGTATGCGTCATTCGGTCGCCGCATGCGCAACCTTGGGGCCGCCGGAAGCGGATTATGTCGTTGCAGCCGAGACATCTTTGGTAAGGGGCCATTGGGGAGTTGTTTTTGTTGGTTGTTTATTTATGTATGTCCTTGATTTGGAAAACGAAAAATGTTGATAAAGGTAGTGCTGATTTGTGGGGGCAGTGTAAATTGCGTGGTGATGGGTAGGTAGGCAGGTGGGTTTTGCCAATGGTGAGGTTACATAGACGTGAATTGTTTGCTTGTGAGTTGATGGTGATGGGCCACAGGAGAGAGGGACGGGTAACATGACAGAGAGAGAAATTTATATATTGAGAGTTGTGTGACGGTTGCACAGTAGAGCCCGTCAATGGGTGGATATACTTCCTAAGTGCTGTGATTGAAAGAGCTCTTGATACACTGTTTGAATTGTGGTTCCAGATGTTTTATCTGCTTTGGGTGATATTGTTGCTATTAAATAAAGGCCTTTTGTTGCTACTAGATAAATGGTCCTTGTTACTATTGAACAAAGAGCTTTTGTTGCTACTAAATAAAGGGGATGTAGAATGGGTGATGGAATAGATAGAGGATGAAGTTGGGTGAGTAGGTATGCCCATATGCTCATCTTGGGTAGTAGTATCTGGCAAGTGAATATTTTTCAGAAGATGATCTGAAATTGCAAGTTATCATCTAGTTTACTTTTTGCACATAGGTCTTAAGTAGACGTGGTAAGTATATTTGGTGTTAATTCACTTACCGTTATTTAAATTAAAGGAGATTTTCCATGTACTGTACATGGACATGCTACGACGAGTAATGTTATCTCTAAAGTTCGGAAGCTAAATTCCGACGGTTTCCCCTATACTTTATCCTGGGATTAGAGAAAATGGTGTAGGGCACGAGAACATTCTTTAGTTCGACTACAAATTACTATGAATTATACGGCAGCAATAGTAATGCTAGGGGTAGACCTCGCTTAAATTTCACCAGTTAAAAAGGGGTAAAATTGGGAGTAAGGGAGGAACCTGCTATTTTAATTGCCTATGTCACTTCATTAACCAGCTCACATTATTTCAATGTCACACGATCCAAGAATATAAGTGGGCGAGTGACTTCATTGTGCATTCTTTGTGTCTATGGATGATTAGTACAAGGTACAAGACCTTTGTCTCATTAGAGAAGGTACGTACAAATTGATTCCCAGTATTCACCACACAGTTATAAAACACAACCCAAGTCTCAGCTCCAGATGATATACTCCATCAATTAGAAGGTCCAACATGCGTGTCTTGAAAGGAAATGTCGATTTCGTAGGGCCGATTGGAGGTTTGCTTGAATATCGAAAAGTGTAGCTGATGTAGAAGTAAGTGTAGCTTGACTTTGTCCTGGAGACTCGAACACTCTCGTTACGATCATCATTTTGGTGTGGACTCGTGGGCCCAACGTCGACGGCAGTTTCGAAGTCCTTCAACGATCAATAATGGCGGCTGCTGGAAGTCTCCACCTCGCCCCAACCATCCAAGGCCCTCCTATTAGCCAACCCCAGAACATTATTTCTAGCCCCCGTCAAACTCCAATACAGTGTGTTTATCATCTTCTGACTAAATCCCACCTCCGATAAGACGTGATCCCTCCATTCCAACAGCCGCTGTTCATGCGCCCATGTGCACATCATTCCAGGAGACTCATTCCATCCCCCGTTCCTAGCCTGCGACACTGCCGCCATTTGAATGCTCAGATGCCTGTCCAATGCTGTGGGATTCTCATGTTCCCAAGCTAATCTGTTCTGCCAGCTCATAAACATGGCTACAACTTCCCAGGAATTTGGCGCTGGAAAGAACGGTGTGGTTAAGCCAGGACACACAAAAGTTGTTATATCTGGGTTGATGGGGCCGTGAAAATCGGAGAGCACAATATTAGATCTCATGCTGAGCCATGTCGTGCAGATTTCTTCTTTTAGTTCCGGATACTCAGAGATAAGAGGAACGAGCATACCACCACCGAAAATGGGGTCCAGGTGGATGACGTGCGGGATGGATATTAGGTAGTCGTAGATTGCGAAGCGCTCCGAGAGGGAGAGATCCTGGGTGCTGGATACCGGGAGGAGACAACTTGACATTCTGAGAGACAGCTGTATCGTCGGATGATGATATCTAGCAGTACAATGAGGTGCAGAAAGATCGGATGTAAGTGCTGAGTAGATCGGATTGCTGGAGTCCTATCTAGTAGCGTAGCTGGTTGGTAGACATTGGGGAATGAGAACTGGTCTTCTTCCTTTAAAGTGATTCATCCGGAGCCTGTTCTGCCTCGTAGCTTCTGTTTTAAGAAGCAAAGCGGTGGGAAAATTAGATGCAAGGCCTCTAGAACAAACAGGATGTTCTGATCCATTGCCATGTCCTCGGTGAACACAGTTCTGCCACAAGAGGCTGGCTCTCTCCAACATGTGGAATCTCATATTGGAACTCTCCGCCTTGCCTTATTCACTAGTAAATATTCTGTCATTGTATTATCATTGCAAATCTTTCGACTTGCCCAAGAAGGACATAGCTTCTTCAAGAACTCTCTTGAACAAAACATATGAGATAATCCGCGTTATCGGACCACCAAGGATAGCTCTCAACATAACGCTTTGCAACTTCGAAGGCTCTCTCTTACTAAAGATTACGAGCTCAAAACAAATAAGCCTTAACAATAAAAATTTCAAACCCCCAGTACCTAGTAATAGGGGAATATACACCACTCCCTCACTCGCATACATAATAGTGTAGAAATAATAGTGCATTTTGTCTCGGCTAGTGGCTTAAACTAGATTAGGTTGTAGTTTAAATGGCAGCTTTATAAGACTAGATTTATTTATTAGAGCGAAGGTAAAGTTTAGATGCAAACTTGACATGCGTTTTGTTGGTGGCTGATGATAAATAGTAGGCGTTAGGGGGTAGGGGTTCAGCTATGAGTTGGGTGTTGGAATTCACAATCCTACCTGGGGAGAATCCTAGGGGTCTGTGATTATTATGTCAAGAGAGTTGCTCGGTTAAAAAAGGGATGGAATGGAGAATCGGAAGGCAAAACCACAAGAGGTATTGGGCGTACGGGATATAACTTCCTACCTCGTAGTTAGTTAGCGTCACTTCATAGTCATCCTCCCGAACTTCGGCTACTCGCACCCCCACTTCACGATGGGTTTTGCTCGGAGCAGCCAATTCTTCTTCAACCTCTTCAGATATCTGTTGGATTATTCTGCTCTCGCTCCTCGGGTGCCACTCTTTACGTCGTGACTGTCCTTAGATAAGAGTATTGTATCGCAGCCATGGCTCAGGTCGAGTTGGCAGAACCACCTGCTTACGATGACCATGACTGGGACACCGTCTTAGACGAGGCTCCTGAAGATTTAGGTAGCAGAGATATCACCCACCATATAAGTAGGTCCCGGTTTAGCTATCGTATTGACATGCTATCACATATGTTGTGGTCTCGTAGCCCAGCTCACCTACTGATATCTTCAGATGTCGCAATAAGGCTTGCACGCGACACACATCGAGTGTGTACGAAACACTCAGAGGCTTTCCTCTCTCTCGCCCATGATGTCGGAGCCTACTACGCCCTTCTCGAGGCCATAGTAGAGAGCATAGCAGATCATGGTGTAAATGACGAACAGACCAAATCTGTAATGCATAACCTATCAGCATCCAAGGATTGCTTATTGGATCTGCAAGCTCTGGTCACAAGATACAGAGATCTCCCAACAGCAAGTCAAAGAACATGGGATCACTCAATGCGCAGAACGGAAGAATCGGGTGGACTTCAAGGGCGGATTAGAGCCAGCATTAACTTGCTGGCTAATCTAAATAGTAATATCACTAGGTATAGTGCCCTTTTCAAGATTAAGCAGCCACCCCCCTTCTCCGCATCGCATACTTCCTTGGTTGAGCGACAGTCCCGGTCGAGAAGGTCGTATTTTCTACTTTTTATTCGCCTACTGGCTGAATCTTACATCTATTATCTGCGGATTGCCGGCAAAATCGCTTGCGAATGACATATGGCCCCATCGGTGCTACACCATTTTAGCCATCATCGACTAATTCATGTTTCAAGCTCGTCACAAACTGGTGTAACGGAGATGCTCCAGAAGTATATCAGCGAAGCTCGAAGAGGCCATCGCGAGGGGTCCATCTTTGTGAGGCAAAATCTTCAACCTTTACGTGAGGATCAAAGTACCATGTGGCAGCAGTTTCAAAAAGAGCTTCAAGACGTTGGAATAACACCGGAGATTTTCAAACGGGACCAACTTTTTATAAAGACAATTCTTCTAAAAGCCATGGTTGAGGATCAAGCACAAGAAATACCGAGGAGCTCACGCAATGAAGTGGATATGGATCTTGCTAAAAGACTTGCTGCAACCACGAAAATACAGGGAACTGCATATGGTGGTCCTGGAGAATCCAAAAGTACACCGAGCTCGTCTAAAGGAGAGCCTAATTCCGGATTCAAGAAGATATCAACACCGAGGAAGGTTAACAGCCATATGTCCGGAACTAAACAGACTCTATTTAGTGCTATATGTAGAGACGACCTTACCCTGGTGCGACAACTGCTAGATGAAGGAATGGACATCGACAGCCGAGATGACATCAACGGTGGCGATACGCCGCTAATTACAGCAGTTGCATATGATCAAGTTGACATAGCCGAGTTGCTCCTGGAAAGAGGAGCCAACATCGAGGCAAAAACATACCATAGCGAAGAAACCGCCTTGATAAAGGCTGCCGCGTCCGGAAGATATAAAATATTGCTCCTGATTCTAGAGAAGCGGCCAGATCTGGAGGCTAGAGATAGAAATGACCGGACTGCACTGTTCAGAGCATGCTCCAGTGGTTATGGGGAAGAGGTCTCGGCGCTGCTCGCTGCAAGAGCTGATATCGGAGCCAAAGACAAAAATAACAGGACTCCATTGATGGAAGCCTCACGGTTGGCCTACAAACCAACGGTTCAACTCCTAATCAAACATGGAGCAGCTCGCCGATGAAACAACATCAGGCAAGGACAAAAGTCACAGGCAAGCCACATGGAGATAAAAGATAGAAATATCCGATTTATTAGTTTACAGAAGTTCAAAGGATGCACAATGGAATGGGTTTTTACTCCTCTTACCGGCTCCTTCCCTTGTAATTCCCTCCTCCCTAGTGTATCTACTGCCACCTAGGTTTCCTGCTGTTCCTACTTCTCAAGGCCTTGAGCTATTGTGTCACGATAAGAAGCAGCCCCTAGCTCTTCTTGTTTACTACTAGCGATTTCAGCGCGTTCTCGCTTTCTTATTATAATTTTTCCGCCCCTAGGTCTCTTGGTATAAGGAAATCTTTCTACTTTCGAAAGATATTAACTAGGTTTTATTTGAAAAGCAGAAATACATAAGGTACAAGTCGGTAGTTAGAGGAATTTATATATTTCTAGGGACCGGATTTGGATTCTTGGGGGCATATTTAAGACTTCTAAAGATTATCGCCAAAACTTGACAAAAATAATATAACAAGGCTCTACTCTATATCCAGCTTGGTTAGCTAGGAGTTAAGAGATTAAATTCATGAGTAAAAAGGACCTAGGTAGGTCCTGCTTGGTGCTCAGGGACTGCCCAGTTTCCTCAGGCATCTCAAGTGATCTAGGTAAGGAGAGGGTGATCCGCCGGTGATTAGCGCCCAAGTAAAACTGGCTAGCTTACTCGACCTTGGGGCAAAGAAGAAAAAGGCTATGTTTTACAGCCGGGGTTTTATAATAATTGACTATCGTTTTTTTAGTTTGTCTTCAAAGTGAGAGGGACATGATATAGTATGATATGAAAGTACGGATTGAAGCAAAACAATAAAGCAGAACAACAGCAGGGTATCTAACATGAATCCCAACGTCAACAATATATTCTATATTCCATAGTATTTAGCTAGATAATAACACAGCGTAGTAGAAACCTAAACATAACTTCTCAAGCTTGTATCTCCCGCTAAATACATGAAAATCAATATATCCTTGCTCGTGGGCTTACCAAGCCTTTGCATAGGGTTGTCCTTCGCTTCCTCCGGATATAAAAAGTTTACGAATATGATGATAGCTTGCCTCTGTGTCCTCGACAATATATTCTAGGCGCGTGTCGCTGGTGCGTTACACCCTTACAATACCTCACGACTTCTACCCCTAAGTTTCTTAGGTAGGCTAAAGGCTGAATCGGTTATGACTTGTGACGCTTCTCACTTCTCAGCTCTCAGCTCTCAAGAATTAGCCCTAAGAAGATCGTCCCTTTGACAGGTGTAGGATAGTATGCGTCAATCTCTTGAAAACCAAATGCTTGGTAGGGTGCTCGAGCTGGGCTCATACTCGGCAGGGTATCCAGCCGGATCTCCCTAAAGCCCAATTCTTTTGCCCATTCTATAGCCTTCTCTAGCAGCATCCTCCCAATTCCCAAGCCCCGTCCTTCGCTGGGTACAAATAACCTCTTCATCTCGCAGCACCCAGCTGGTTCAATTGAGCGGAGCGCCACACACCCAAGCGCATTCCCAGGAATGGCCGACCGTGCAGTGAACAAGGCGCCTCCACGAATATTTCCCGGGAAGTGTAGCTAGTTCGTGGGCAAAATTCTGATACGTGATGTCGATTGGAAGGGCGGCTACATAAGAAGAGAAGAGAAGTTTGATTGCCACGAGGTCCTCACCGGAAGTTGCAAGCGCGATAATAATGGAGTCGGGCTGTGACATCCTTATGAAATAATGCTGCTCGTGGGATGAAGGAGGAAGGGAAGCCGTAGCTACCTATGTATTTTAAAGTTAGCTCAACAGTAAGAATAGAAGTTTGGACTAAATACGCTAGGTATGCGAGCAATGATGAAGTGGGCTAATTCCGGTTTCCACCACGCAGGCAACTATCTCCGAAGGAGTTGCCAACTGTACGCCTACAGAGTATACTCTAACGATATATCTTCCACGCAAGTTGAGACCTTAACACATACATATATAAAGACTACAAGGAAATCAAACCCGGTTTTCAGGGGGGTAGGGGAATATTACATCTACACGCCCAGGTTACAGTACCGACTGCTCAAGTCCAGAATGGATGTTGGTGGGAAATTTCCGTGTTATACTTTACTAGTAGCTTGTTAAATGCAAACAAACTGTCCCTCTACTAAATCGCGAAATAGGAATTTGACAAGACCACCGAATAGGATATATGCCCCTCAGACCAATATCAGGTGTCGACAGGTAGTCAATGGAAATAGAGGGAAATAGTTTCTAACAAGGGCTTATTAGTACACAATTGAAGGCTTAGTCGATAAGTTATTTTAAATCAGGGTTCCCTTTATACATGAACAAAGCCAATAAAGCTCCTCTTTCATAATCTCAAAATTAACAACCAAAGATAGTGGAACAATGAAAGGAGCTACCAGTCAAAGAGCCTCGCAAACTTCTATTCCGAAAATGTAAGATATTGATTGTTGTTCTGAACAAGGCTATTCATTCAACAGCAAGATAAAGCTCCTATATAAGTAATTTCTGCCTTCCAGCTATTTCTTGTTCCTGCTAGCAAAAAGAATCATTCAGTCATACATATGATTATACAAATTTTGGGAACTCTCACAATCGCCATATATTAACTACGGAGTGATATTCTCACCATTTACAAAGTTCAGAAAGAATATGCTGATTGGACTAGATAAATAATCATAAGATGATGGTTTATCATACAACATACGAGGATGCGCGGAGGGATGAGTCCACTACAGCTCGACTTTCCACCACCAAGAGAACAAAAAGTTACTGCTCATGTTTCTCGGAATCATCGGCAGATGAAGAAAGTCGACCACCTATGGAAACAACAACACGTCACAGGACAAATGCGCGTACTTCATCACTGCCCCCTAATCAGAGAGATGAGTATCTCATTCATTGCCAGGCGGTAAGCTCCCCTCACAGATCCGAACCACTGACGAAGCATGCGGATGCAGCTCGTCGCTACACAGCACTGAAATCGCAACACACTGCCACCGTTCCACGAACGGCGAAATTTACAAAGACGTGGAGGGGAAATGTGAATAGTAAACTTCACTTAGGTACACCAGAGCGGAAACGGAGCCTTACAGAACTACATAATCTTCAGAGAGCTATGAAAGCCGGAATATTAGAACGTGTTATCTCTCCCTCAGGGCAGACATCGAATAAACGGGAACTACAAAGTCCTCAAGGGAGCTTACACGAGTTCTCTAGATCGCCAACTGCTACTACGAAAGCCCAAAAGAAAAGGTCGATATCCAAAATATTCGAAGAGTATATCGCGACTACCGCAAATAGGTTGGATGACACTCGAAAAAGCCTCGGTATCAAGGTCCACTCTCCATTCGGGCGCCTTGGCCACTCATCTCTTCGCCGCAAGACATCTTCGAATTCAATAGATTCTTTCTATTGCATTGGCCTGACTGAGGACCAACAACGGGATTATGCAAGGGCAGCAGCTACAGCAGCGTTGGAGAGCAGGCAGCATAAACACGCGCAATCTCCGCTAGAGATGTTTAGCAGAAACGGCACAGACTCAACTTCAACGCTCAACTGCAGACTTTGCAGGAGATTGGCAAGTTATAGTGGAGGCCTGTGTGAAAACTGCAAGATGGAGTTCAGGAGGCCCAAGACCACAACCACCACCACTACCTTAGAGTATTTCTCGGATGATGAGATTAGACCTATACCACCGCTCAAGGATTCGAAGTATGCTTCTCTCGCACGAGGGCGCCATGACCGGTCGTATACGGACCAGCGGAAGGAAGAACAAGTAGAGAGGGCAACATGGGGAATAATACCGATAGGCAGACAGCCAACAATCGTTACCCCGGCCCTGCCTACACAACGCTCTTACGAAGTACTGCTGGTCGATGAGGACGAAGGTGACCACGGAGGTAGATGGCACACCGGGGCATCTGACGGTGGTTTCTTTTAACCAGACAGCGCCACAACACTTACTAGGAGCAAAGAGAGAGATCCAGGGACAGGAAACCGCATCACAGGCAGTACAATAAACAAAAATTAATCAGCAAAATTTATAAATTTCGAAAGAATCTAACACCAGAGACGGTGAAATCAACAACATCACAAGTATTGAATTGCCCAATTGACACTCCATAGCACCATGGCACACCGGCAGACAAGATAGGTCCGGTGCTATCTGCATAATCCATCCCCAACGGGACCCAGTGTGCCCTAGCCATATTGTGTGGTTTTGTCCTGGGTCATGGGCGACGCAGACTATGCCACCATCGACATGCCCACTCGCCATCGCGTTGGTGCAACCGCCTCCTCTCCAAGTATCGCGTCTCTATTCGGTTTGTCCCCTGTCATCGACATTCACCTCCCCTCGCCCTCAGTTAAGAGGACCCACGGGAGACAAACTTCCTATCAAGGAGCTTGCATGTGCAAAATTATCCATCTCCAGAGCCTCACACTCGCAGAAGCAAGCGCTGGCAACGCACCACTGTGGCAGAATTCGAGGTGGAGGTCGTGGCTGGCTCTGTTACTTTTTGATGAAGAGAAAAGAAAGAAAAGGCAAGTCGCGAGAATTTCCGCTGCTTTTGTGGTTCTTGGTTTGAACCAGCGCTAGGCCCAAGCGAGTATAGGCGGGGGTTATTTCCACGTGACCAGCTCCAATTCACGTGCACTCTAATAGCAAAACATAGGTAATTTCAAGACCTTCGTAGGTACGAAGTATCAAACACCTTATCTAATTAGAGGGCTGCATAGATTCTGGCTCTTTCCAGCCAGTTTTATTAATAAACATATAACCCTACTGGTAGAGTGATATTTGGCTCCTTAAATCATAAACCAACCAGAGCTACCTAGATGTAGTTTTCGAGTATACTCGCCACGATACATATCTGAGCTTTTTGTAAAGAAAAATTAGCAACAGCACTCTCTAAAAATATTGCACGAATATCACGTGCCGGACCCCGAACAAATCTCCTTTTCGCCTCCCCTGTTTTTCCTCATTCTGCCCTGCTCCACTCGCTGTCCACGTTCACTCACCGCACCCAAAACAACCGGCAAAAGGTGCAAAACATCGCCGTGCACAAAAATAATCCTCTGCCACCCCGCAACCCCTCCATCCCACCATCAACCCCTTCAACTACTCACGACCATCAAAATGGCACCCAAGAAAGGAACCGAAGATGTAACGTCCAACGTCGTAGCCTTTGGGCGCGTACGCAAGAACCTCAAGATGGGATGTGTCGGCCTGCCGAATGTGGGCAAGAGCTCGCTGTTCAATCTTTTGACGGAGCAGAGTGCGGCGGCTGAGAATTATCCGTTTTGCACGATTGAGCCGAATGAGGCGAGGTGTGCAGTGCCAGATGAGAGATATGTGAGTTATGTATTTTTTTTGTTCCCAGGGTGGTTTATTTTTTATAATTTTGGGAGGGGATTTGTTTTTGTTTAAGAATGGGGCCATTATTGTGTATCAAGCGGAACATATTAGAAGCGGAAATAGATATGAGAATTTTTGGCATTCTTCTGATGGTTTATTGCCTCATATTCCAAGCTACCTTTCAGTTCATTCAAATTTCACTATTTTCTTCCCATATTCTCTCTTTCCTCGGTCTCGCGATTAGGACTTCTCCTACAAAGTGATCTCCTAAAACCCAGAAAGTTCTACTAACAAACCTCCTCAGGATTTCCTCTGCGATCTCTGGAAGCCCCCGTCCATGTACCCCGCTTACCTCCAAGTGACCGACATCGCCGGACTCATCAAAGGCGCCTCTCAAGGCGAAGGTCTAGGAAACGCCTTCTTATCGCACATCCAAGCCGTAGACGGAATGTACCACATCGTCCGAGCTTTTGACAATGATGAAGTTCTCCATGTTGATGATTCTATTGACCCTGTGCGCGATTTGAGTGAGTGATTTCTTTTTCCGGAGCAAATGAACAGAAACAGGTGGGCGTGACGATTGTTGAAGCTAGGTCTAATATTTTGTAGATACTATCCAAAGCGAGCTTTGCAAGAAGGACTTAGGTAATTCCTCACTATTTTGCGTTCTTAAAACTTAAATTTACCGTGATAGATATTCTCCAGAAGCAAATCGTTGCCGAGGAAGCTATTGTCCGAAAAGCAGGCGGGAAATTCAAGATGAACCCGCTGTTCCCAAGCACCACAGCGAAAATCAAGGAAGTACGTCTCCCAAAGCATCCAATTCCCCCTCTCTTCCCACATTACATCTACTCACCTTTTCGCTAGATGCTAGAAAAAGATATGCCAGTCCGAGACGGGGCCTGGACCTCAGCCGAAATCGAACTCATCAACGAACGAGTAAGTTTCTCCATCGTGATCATCTTGAGAATAGACAACTGACGAACTTCTCAAAGCTCCAATTAATTACCACCAAACCGGTAATCTACCTCGTAAATCTCACCATGAAAGACTACCTCCGCCAGAAATCCAAATACCTCCCCCAAATCGCCAAATGGGTAACCGAGCACGGCGGTATGGACTCTTGATCTGTTATAGATATACATGTAGCTCTCACTAACGTATTATCTAGGTCTCCCCCGCGATATCATCCCGTTCAGCATCGAATTCGAAGAGAAGATTTACTCTTTTAAGGATGATCCAGCCGGGTTAGAGGATTTCGTAAAAGATATCAAAGTGAAATCCCGCCTCGAAAAAATCATAACAGAAGGCTTCACCAAACTCGGTCTCCAATATTACTTCACGGCCGGCGAGAAAGAAATCCGCTGCTGGACGATCCCCAAAGGCTGTCTCGCACCCCAAGCCGCTGGCGCAATTGTACGCTTCCTAACCCCCATCCTCCCTAAACCCCCTTCTGTCTCTCTCAACAAAACATGATGCTGATTCTGACTCTAGCACGGAGATTTTGAACGCGGCTTCATCAAAGCCGAAGTTGTGGCGTACCAGGATTTCAAGGATCTGTGTGCGGGAGGGAAGAGTATGGGGCCGATTAAGGCGGCGGGGAAGTATAGACAGGAGGGGAAGACGTATACTGTGCAGGACGGGGATATTATTCATTTCCAGTTTAGTGAGTTCCCTACTCTCCTTTATCAACGATGTTTTGTTAGGAGGAGATCGGGATGGTTAGGAAAGATGAGAGGGGTGGAAGAGGACGAATTTTGGAAGGAGAGTGCTAATTGTGTTATTTAGATGTTGCGCCGAAGAAGTAAGGAGAGCGTCGGGAAAAGTGGCGATGGGGGAGACGGGGAGGATTATGGCTTGGAAACTCTTCAAACCAACACACGTTGTGGTTGAAGCAGCCTGTGAATAGAGTAGAGCATCGCTAGAATCTAGATGAAAATTATACAGCATCGAAATTTCAAATTCCATTGGAATTTAAATCTAGTGCGGTGACGAGGAGTTTTTGGTGTAATAGTTTGTCAAAGCCGGGAGTAAGTTTCTAAGCAGGTCAATAACTAATAGGGAAATTTAAAGTGACTATCCTAGAAACTAGTTGTGCGTACAGGCTTGCTCTGCCCACCTGTGATTAGCTCTCTATCTCGTTCTTATCATCGCGTGGAATACGAATGCAATTACTATTCTACTCCTATCTGAAGATCTCTAACTACTTCCGAATAACCCTATACTTTGATAGTTATTTAAAATACATAAATAAATGCACTGCTTTATTACCTAATTTACTTCCCTGCGTGCTATATTCGTTCCGCTCCCTCCACTTCCCAGACTATGCCCCCCTTTTTCTCTCGGCTAATTTTCCAAATTAGGTAGTTGTCCCCTCTTTTTCATACTATAGGCAGGTTTTCTAAACAATGCGCCACAAATTGTTCCCTAGTAATATCGTCTTTCCTCATAGCCATCAGATATTGTTTTCCAGACGAGATTTTTAAAGTCGCCTAGATCCAATGGCTTGGGCCCTTAGATGCTCATACACATTATACAACCAGCTTTTCAACTTGCGTCTACATGAAGAACATAAGCTTGCCACTCATTAAACTAGCTGCAGATCAGGCGGGCTCCGGGGTAGCAAAAGGAAGAGCATCTGGGTTGAAATATCGAGCCACAAAGAGAAGTATATCTGCCGGAAAGAGGCGTAAAACCATAGGACCAAATCATCGTCAATCGCGGGAACATAAAATTCAAGTTAGAATAAAACATTGATGCAACTAAATAGGGGAGATAAGGGGATAGGAAAGCACGATACTAGATGGCCTCCCTGGTTCCAAGTTCGTTCGTAGTCCCGATAAACTTCAAACTTTGCAGAAGCTTTCCGGGGAACATCTGATAGCTGATGCCGCTGATGCCCAAGTGACCGGGGAAAGACCCACAAACTTTCCCCAGTTTCGCTGCTATCAAAGGTTAGAACTTAGGAGGAAAGTATGTAGCATTGTGTTCTGGTTTGTCACAAATCGGCATAGTTTGATTTCGTCCTTTTGCAGTTTCTTACAAGACATGAAACATTTAACATTTATTCGAAGCATTACCATACTGTCGTATTATCGTAGTCCTGCCGTCCTCCTCCCCACTCACATCTGGGTCCTGCCATTCCCCCCACTTGCCCCTGAGTCCTGAGTCCTGCAACCATCCCTTCCCAACTACCACAAAAAGCCCTGACCACCAAGCCGGCCGACAGGTCCAGCAACCACGGATCCGTAACTTTAGACTGTTTGAACGGGAGGGAGAAGATGTTCAATCAGTCATGCCGATGTATCGGAAAGTGCACCCAGGGACTTGAGCAGAATCCATCGAGATGGTGCACCGAACGACCTCGTAAGCGTCCGTCTCGTATAGCCGAAGGAAGTCTTCATGCTCCTTGGTCATGACGAGGAATGCTGACCCGGTGACACGAGATTCCTCTGGCCCATCTACCAAAGCGTTGTACTTGCCCGCACCCCAGGTTTGCATCTTGCCGTTGGTGATGGTGGCGGGGTGGAGCAGCGGAGTTGAGCCCTCGGGCAGCGAGAGGACGGAAGCGAGTTTTGTGACGTCTGCCAGCGTCCCGTAGAAAAAGTACCAGACTGGATATTGGTCCTGTGCTGGGAGGGCAGTAGGAGCGGCTTCGAAGAGGTGTAGAGGGCGGTGATGTGGAAGAGTTGCATCCTGGCCGAGGGTTGGGTAGAGGGAGCCGGGCGAAAGCTCCTTGAAGGCCTTGGTGATGCGAACAAATGTGGGCTTGAAGTTCAAGCCCTTCTTCCCCAAAACCCAGCTTTCAATCTCGAGTTTGGTGGCTCCGTCGACCTGGCAAAATGCCGCATCTCCATCATCGCCCGTGCCTTGGAAGACCTGGGGGATCTTCCGCAAACCGCCAGCGGCTTCGACCTTTGCCGGTGTATCAAGAGCCCCCTCAAGCTTGAGGATGTAGACAGCCCGTGCCTGTGCTGGTGAGAGCTTGGCTTGAGCTGTGGACTTCTTTGCCTTTCCACCCAACTCAAGCATATGCTCGTATGCTTCTCGGTCACACCACTGGGGTTCCATTTGGGATTGGACCAGGGCCCAGTGGGAGTCTGAGACTCGCTTTCGTGTGAAATCGGCGCGGCGCTCTTTGATAAGCTCCGCAGCCTCCATGTGTGAGTAACCAAATAATTGCTGCCATTGCTTGATTGTCTTCAGAGATAGCTCATCGGAGATCTCTTCTGGTTGGGCCGCGTTTGCGGCCATGTTTTCGAGCTCCTCGAAGAAATCCATAGACCATGATGTCGACTATAAAAGTTTACGAGGATAACAAAGGCTAAAAGACTGACAAAAGATGCGCCGTACAGCAGCTTGCCATCTTAAGTAAATGGACAGGTGCGTGAGTCACTAAGTGGTTAGCAGTAAGTAGTACCTTGATGAGTAGCATAGGCTCATAGCGCTATTGACGGAATAGGAATATGAAATAATAAAGATTTTCTGCATACAACTTACCGCACTAAAGCTGACTCCTTTCCAAGGTGTGAGTCAGTCACTAGTCTTAGACTCTTAGGGCCCGTCTTGGGGAATGGGACCGACTCCAGGGCGCCCAAAGTTCCCAGACCCCTTGAAGTTAAGACCCTTCAGAAGTTTAGAGTTTATTCTAGAGTCTAGAGTCTAGGCTTGTGATAGTTATTCGAGTTCGAGGATACACACCAGGTAGCGAGTTTGGTCCAAGATAGGGGTACTATGGTTCTCCTCTACCCAGGTATACCTACTTAGGTACTGTACACGTACGTGCCTAAGGTACCTACTAGCACCTACCTTAGGGACCTACCTTGGGACCCAACAAGTTTCTCAAGACCTAAAGTACCAAGGTACCTATAGGTAGGGCGTCGTCTCTCTCTACTTCTTTCCTTTTTGTAGATTATTCAAATTTAAAACAATAACAATTCCTCAACTTTGGAAAGATGACGGAGCAGAAGGAGCCTTCCGGTGCCGTCGAGATCATACCCGGTCTTGATCTTTCATCCTTTCCAGACACGATTGACTCCAAGTACACACATGTTCTCAACATGTGTATGACACCTAATAACATGGCATCCCATCCACCCGAAATTCTACGCATCCCACTGCTCGACTGGGATGACATCACGCTTCACATCCCAAAGATCCTAGAATTCATCGACACGGCGCTCCAGGACCCTCAAAATCGAATTCTTGTCCATTGCGCGCTCGGAGTTAACCGGTCGGCCTCCGCAGTCACTACGTATCTATGCCATCGCACTGGCACAAACTCGTCGACTGCCTTGGAATATATAAAAACCAAAAATCCTGAGGCCCAGCCTTCGCCGATATTCCTTCAGTAAATCGACAAGTACTTCGGTCGTGAAGATGCTTCCGAAAAGGATCCGATGGTGACTTTTCATGAGCGCCTTCAACGAAGGAAAGCAGGGATGGATCCGGGATAATGAGGCGCCTGCTGTCCTACAACATCTGCTAGCCATTGGTCAACAGCAGCAAAACAGTGAATCCCATGAAGCGTGAATATCACAAGGTGAGGCGCAGAATTATAGCAAATCACTGCCATAGTTTCTCAAACCCAGGGTATAAAGCTCCATCTCCCCTCGTCCATAATACGGTTCTTTCTGACCTCCACAACAGCGCTCTGGATTCTCATATACAAACCCGCCAGCCAACGACATCCCATACCATCGATCCTAGGCCACGCAACATCTCCAGAGTATTCGAAATTACCGTGGCTACTTGATACCGCCGCGACCGGAATGCGACAGACGGCCCAGATAATTCAACAAAGACCACCATCGAGATCATAGATACTCCTCCATAGCTCCTCCAGAAGTTGCTATCAGTGAGCTGCGTTGTATCCACGACCTCATCCTTTGCGCAGTGCAACCAAGAGACCTCCACAACCGATGCATTATATTCTTTCCTCGAGATCGGCAAGGGGCTTTTGATGAGTGTGTTCGAGGTTGTCGGTGACGCTGCGAAAGCAGTCCTTGAGAAATAGCAAGGACGGAGAGACATGCACAATGGGAAGCATCGACGCTACCATAGCTCTTCTATGGTATTGTAGGTGTCGCTCGTTGCGTGGATTCGAAGCTGGGGCTCGCTTTTGACGCAACACTTATGATGTTAATTAAACATTCCAAACACCAAAGATTACCTTGACTCGTTATTGAAACACATCAAGGAAATGTGTCCGTGACTAGCAAGACGTATTAAACAATTGGAGCCATATCCTTATATTGGGAGCCCTAATATTGCAGAATCGAACATTCAATGCCTCACCCGCTTTGACGCTTCTGTGGACCATTATCTAGCAATGGGTATTGGCTCACAAACAGTCATATGTTCAGATAGGACACCTCCAAGAAAGATCCTCCCCGTTTTAGCATCGTGCGCCGCAGTCGTCGTCCCAGTCGGCAGCAGCTTTCCCTCGCTATCCTCTAACACTTTCCACACACGATAATTCACGGAGCCTCTTCCCTTTCCCTTTCCTTCCCCATCACGCTCGCTACTCACTTTTCTAATTTGCCACACAGTGCTCGGCAGTGGCAAGCCAGTAACATACTTCACTTCTTTGATTAGTTTGAGCGGGTCTGGGAAGGCCGCCGCGAAAATATCGCCGTTTGCGTCGATAGACAGATTATCGATGGGCATCCCGACTTCAATTTCGTCGATTTTAGTCAGAGAAGTCGACGAGAGGGAGTAGACACCAATGCGACCGGTCATGGACGAAGGAACGTAGAAAAGGCCATCAAGACCCCGGACCAGGCCATTGGGGAAGGAGAGACCATCAACTGCGATTTTACAATCGTTGGACCTAGTGCAGTGGGCGAGGGAGCCGCCTCCGAGAAGGGGATCGAGTGAACGACGCTGTGGATTAGACGGTTATCTTTTGATCCCACCAATAGAGAAGTATATTTCAATGTCTGGGAGCTTCATACCAGACCAACTATAGCGTATTATTAGCGGCATGCACTTTGATGTGAGTTATAAAGGAGAGGCAATGAGGACTAAGACCTACTTGGAGTACTATGATCATTGGTCACCACAAATCCTCCGTTCAAATCCGCCGCAACTTTGTTCGGAGAATGCACCACTCCGCCGTTCGCGCCAAACGTCCCAGTCCACTTCAGCGTATCCCCACCCCTAATTAATTCAAACGACTCGACGGTACCATTGGCACCTACTTTCGTGGCATCCAGATACTCTCCGGAAACAGCGTCCACGGGCGGACGAACATTGGTCATCCAAAACCTCAAACGATTGTTTGGGAGGATCTCCACATCGAAGCCATTAGGGTCGATAGCTCTGGATCCTGCTGGCCCAAGGTAGTCGCCAGTGATTTGAAGTCTACTGGCTCCGTAGTTGCCGTCTGGCCCTGGTGAATCAATGTTCAGCGCTACAAAGTGGCCATTGGGGGTTCTGCCCGATGCGTTCAACTTGTCGCCGCTGGCAAGAGGTTAGTCAAAACCGGGAATTGGGATATAGAGTATTAACGACTCGGACAGGCATCCATATCGACGCTTACCCTGGACTCCATTCATGCCGAGACTTCAGATCAACACATGCTGCATAGAGGGTGCGGCCTTCGTCGTCCAGCCACACATCTTCGCAGCTTTCAAGTATATTTTCGGAGCCATAGATTTTGCGACAGCTGTAAGGAAAGTCCTCAATTGGCTGGATGATTCGTCCTATACCAATTGCGATGAAGAGGATATCTTTAAGAAAGAACTCATAAACCAGTGCAATAACGACAGCAACAAAGCCAAGAATGATAGCTTGGGATCTCATAATGAGGCGCAGAAAAAGAGATATGAATACAAAGCAGCATAGATCGTAAGCAGAAAACCCGGAAAACAAAGCGACTCTACCTTAGGTTACGAAGCTTACCTCGTCAGTCACTTATGTGGCACAGCCCATCCAGAAGAAGATGGTCTTATTTTGTGTACAAGGCTTATGTAAGGCTTGTAAGGCTCCTATGGCGCATTATTGGGTGGATTTGGTGCAAAACGCTGTACCCGGAATTGAGATATTCACACGACTCGAATACCTCAATTTCGGTCAAAGATCTAGGAATAGCTTTACTTTGCGACAGGCCAGATATTCGAATAATCCGACTTATCTCTGGGCAATGGCCGTTAGGCCTTATAATACTGGCGAAAAGACTTTTGCAACCAAATTCGGCCACTAATGCACCATAGGCTTGGTCCATGTCGACTTAGGCATGTGAAATGTGCCTCGGCCGCGCAGAACCCAGACAGATAACAGCTACAAGCTCCACTCTTAGACACAAAAAAAACTGTTGGGAATTCCTTGCTATCGATACTCGTATCTTGATTTCGTTGATATGTTAGTTAAGCGATCCTCGTTGTCGTTGCAAAATCAATATTCCTTCTTCTGTTATTGTTAGGTTGTCAATTTTGTGCGTGGCCTCTTCTGTCGCTTCTCAACATGGACAAGTCGACTCTGGCGCCTCTCTTATGGCCCCCACTCCCTCATTCCACACGGCTTCGATATTTCGTTATTATATGTTTAATCAAGATTTATCTTGCGGTCAGCTGGTCATTTCGTAGACTGCTTGTCCTGTTTGGTCACGCACCCATATCAAGTGGTAAACCAACATTCTCAAAGGTCTACCCATGCAGACCAAAGCTCAAACACCGAGTTTTCCTGCCCAAGTCCTACAAACCAGGCGAATCTCTCCCCTTATACATTAATATCCATGGCGGGGGGTTCGCCCTCGGCACCCCTGGACACGACGACGAGTTTTGCATCTTCTTCTCCCATCATTTCAAACTCCTCGTCATCAGCATCGATTACTCCCTCGCACCATGGACCGTCTTCCCCGGGCCCACCCAAGACGTGGCTGCCGTCGTGCTTGCCATACTCTCTGATAACGCCCTTCCCATCGACCACTCCCGCGTTGCCATCGGCGGCTTCAGTGCGGGTGGCAATCTCGCCCTTTCCGCATGCCAGCTACCGGCTCTCCAGGGGAAGATCAAAGCCGCAATCCCGTGGTACGCCCCCGTTGACTGGAGCGTTGGTTATGCTTACAAGCTGGCCTCGCGGCCATACCAGCGCCCTACGGACATCGATGGGTTGGCGGCAGTGGCGCCAGTTTTAAATAACGTGTATTTAACAGCCGGTACAGACCAGAGGGATCCGCTACTTAGTATTATATATGCAGACAGAGAGGTACTACCAACATGGGTTTATGCAATTGGGGCTGAGTATGATATGTTGTGTGACGAGGCCAGGAGGATGATGGCAGGGCTAGCGGGACTACGGGAGCTTACAGAGAGCGAAAAGGAAGCTTTTAGGAGCGAGGGAGGCAGGCTGCGGTGGACGATGGTGAAAGGAGTAAAGCACAGTTTTACACATTGGTGGTTAAAGAAAGGGAAGGCAGCGAATGCGGCGAGACCATTGGCGGAGAAATTGTTCATGGACGCAGGGATGTGGTTGACGGAACAGGCTTTTGCAGAGCAGAAGTGAACTCGGGCTAATCCTAACATTAGTTCTTGTTGTTACTTCTTTATACTTGCCTAACTAAACTCTAGCATGGCTTCAGTTCTGTAATGTTGTTTCATGTCCACTCCAGATTTAGCAACTCATTAAACTGAGACTCTACTAGTGTGGCCTTCTAGGCTGTGTCAGTGATGGCTCTGAGCTGCCCTCCCCTGTAAATCACCGTGAAGCAGTTGCTCACCGGAAACGCTGGGATATTCTTGCAAATTCTTGGCTTAACTTAAATGTTCATGTGGCGACGCTTATTTTTGATATGGCTTTTTTCTGAGCAATTGTGAAGTCACTGGTTAAACCTCGACAGATGGGCCATGGTTGGAATTTTAGCCTTGGTTGGTATGCACTTATGGATTCCATTAGCTGGGTACAGAGCGTGCTGTAAAAGCGTTTCGTTGGTTACAATACATGAGTTTGCAGGAAAGTTTCTTTGGACTCAAGTTGAGTGCGGTTTCATTAGTCCACAAATACTTTATATACAGCAGTCCGATATCCCTTCACCAATCCGCCCGGCACAAAGTCCATCTCTTTTACTTTCCTGAGACATCCATCCCCATTCCCTATGCTCTTTCCACGGCCCTTCTTCTCAAGATATTACCCTGTATAGCTTACAGTAACGCTTGAACCACTTTCTGCAGCACTCGTAAGAACCGTGTTGCTTTGCTTAATATCTAAAATATCCGCTCCACTTGCGCCCACAGAACCGCTGCCAGTTGTTGCAACAGCATTAGTGAAAGTTACAGTCCCAAAGTTGGCGAAATTGACCAGAGATCCATTCGATTCAAAATCTTCCACAATCCATTCCGCGTTCTGGCCACCAAGCGCAGCAGACGACGTCAGCGATTTGGAGACGGTCTTGCCCTTGCTGTTGTTGGTGATGACAGCCTTGCCGGCCTTGCTCGAAGTCGAAGTTACAGAGACTGTGATGGAGTCTCCAGCTGAGATGCTGATCCCTGAGAAGTCGAATGCTTGGGCGGGATACCATTCATACCAGGCATCATAAGACACGGCGCCATTTGAAATGGTAAAGTCGACACCAGTTTGGAGGATGGCGTTTTGGTAAGTATCACCATCAATACCAACCCATGCTGAAGCACTATATGTACCCGACTTGGACTGGCCCGAAGGAACTTTGGGAGTGGGAACAACGAAGGTGGCAGAAACACCATTGAAAGTCGTGCCGGCAGGTGGGGAAGTCAAGACGGCCCCAGACCAGTTGGTGCTGTACGCAACATTTGTCTGATTGCCGGTTTCAGTGACCTCGGTGGCTTCAGAGATTATGTCCGCGGGCCTGGTTTGACGACCGGAAGCTCTGTTGGATACACGCTCCTCCAAGGTTGTGCGAGCGCGGGGATGGGCTAATGCCGTACCAGCAAACAGAACATAGCTAAAGAGTACTTCTGAGAGCTTCATGGCTAATACTGTGGTTGGAAGTTGGCGATAAGATAGTTGAGAATGGAGAATGGAAGTAACTAAGGCGAAGATGTGACACGAAAGAATAAGTGCTCTCGAGAGAAATGTAATGGTGGGATCTCTCTACTTTTATAAGTGAGCTCGACTTGACCTGAAAGTTACGCAACGTTGCAGCAAGTTGAGCAATTCTGCTTAGCTATCACGAACTATTCACTCCTACCCCCTAAAGATCCTACTCGGTGCTGCCCGAAGTACCATAACATGGCCACTTGCCTGTCTGGTCGGTAGTGTCATTGGGGTTCGAGGTATCGTGTGAACGGTGAGCATGGTTATTTAATATGAAAACCAGGTAGTTGCCCACGGAATCCGCCAGACCCCCTGATGTGGATCGGAGACAACACTCATCGAAGCAGCTCAGGAGGCGGGCGTGGAGAGCTGGCATCCATATGACCGAATTCTATGCACGGATTGAGAATATTTTCCGACGGGCCTAGACAGTGGAAACTGTCTAGGGCAGTTTCTACTTCGGTAGCGTGCATTCTCAGATATCCAACTGACAAGTTAGGGTTTCAACTCTTGCCTCATTTTGTCAAGGGGCAGGGTTACTGACCAAAAATCTTCGAATTCTTGTCGGTATTAGCTATAAGAAGTCTATATAGAGCCAGGAACCTCGCACATCAAACCAAGGTGTTATTCTGACCTAGAAACGAATGCCAAGTAGGCGCCACATCTTATTTCCAAGTCTTATCTCGATGGATCAAAGCTTGATTCTTGGTCGAATTCATGGCTGCAAGGATAAGCGACACGCTCTCGTGGGCATTGCCTATCACAAGTGACAAACCTCATCACTATGCAAGCCATTCATACCCTATCGGAAGCCGGCGAAGGTGCTGGTTTAGGTAGGTAGATACCACAGATCGCCAAGCTGAGGGTGTATTTGAAGATTCACGCGGAACCTACGACGGCAGCTGTAGCTGGAGTTGTATTGCACCATTCGTACTCCGTACAACGTTCGAAGTACAGCAACGGACCCCCACGAAGCAAACAACAGCACATGTGCTCAAATATTGTACCACGGATTTATAACTCACGGAATAGCTGTAGCCGAATATGCGTACTTGTACCGAGTCCTTCGTAAAGCGCGAGGTTTCGTGATTCCCTCTATCCCTTCTCCTTACGTTTCGTTCTTAGTTATGGCCTAACTATGCAACCGCCTTGATCGTGGATAGCGATAGAAGGGGCAAGAAGTTACGGAAGAGGACGGGTGATCGATGCCCAACATGCCCCTACGCAAAACGAACGATTATGGGCCAACGATAAAGGTCCAGCCTATGCAGGCCCATTCGTGATGGTGCCGCAGACCTTCTCGAAGCCTCTCCCAGAGTCCCCACGGCCGAGTATTGGTACTGCTGCGAAACTCGGCTGTGCTTATTAGCCAAAATAAAGGGATAGGGGGGAAGGTTAAATAGTAGGTGACAAGCTTTTGGGTAAGACAACGTCCGTACCGCGTAGAAGCTTATCTAGACCACAAGAGCTTCAAGTGCTAAAGAGAGGACGAATCAAGGACGGAAATATGGATGCCGGTAATATGCCGGCCCGAATCAATGTTTCGCTCTATTTCCAGAAATTGGCCAGCCGGGCTTAACAGCTTCCTCAAATGGTGGCCTGCAAAGTTTAAACACCTACCTAATCGAGACAACGCGCATTTTTCAAAAATCAAGAAACCAATAGGGGAAGAAGCCTAAAAAGGGAGCACGGTTCTCACTATTTGATGGTTTTTGGGGTGGTGATGCATGGCCGTTCTTAGATTTTTCTGCTTAATTGCGGAAACGAACGAGACTTTAACATGCTAAATATGCCTGCGGCTTGCCTCCTTACGTGGAGCACAATGGCGTAAAATGGCCTATAATGGCGTATAATAGCGTCAGACTGGCTGTGATTGCAGCATTCCAATTGTTGTCCTATCAAGCATAATTTATCGAAATAGAGACATTAAAACCCAGAACGGGAAGCGTAAGGAGCGTCACTATTAAATGCATTAGCTGGTGGCTTTCATTATCGAAAGCTATAGGAGCGGCCGAGGCAGAGAATTCAGCAACCGTAAGTAGTATACCTATGCCTCTCATCTCCTGGAATTTTTTGCTGTAGTTGAGGGTCAACCTTTCATACATGCTAAATCGCCAGCCTCCTGGCCACCTTCCTTGTGTACCGTCGCAGGCTTTAGTTCGTTTTCCTCGTCCCAAGCAAATATCCATTCAAATTTATCATGTGGCCACAAGGCGCAAATCGAGCGGAGGCATAATACCGGTTGCGATAAATGCCCCTAGCTGGCTTAGTGGTTCGTGCCTAGTGATGGCATGATATGTCTGACATATCCGACTTGTTCCTCACTTTGAGGAATAACTGTCGAAGAAACGGAGCAGCAAGAACGATTGACCAGCTGCGTCACTAACTATATATCTGTAAAAAGCTGGCTAGATTAGAGCGAGGGCGCTCCGTCGAGTGCTAGCATAATACAAAACTTAAGTCAACTCTCGAAAATGGTTCAGAGTGCACAATCGCAAGGAGAAAAAGTAGCTGAAGACTTACAGATCCCGGCGAAAGTGCCTAGCTAGTGCAAGTGCCTTCAATAACGAGAATGCCAGTTGTTGTTCTTTCCAAGATAATATTACAGCTAAGCCCGGATGTCTATTACAACGAACTCCTTTTATATGCTGAAACATTGATACCCAACTCCTTTCTATGTCTTTGCCATATTATACACCACCTTCCTTAGCTGCCATTCCAGCGTGTTGACTCCTTCCCCCAACAGCGGCTCGAGGAGCCTCGAGCAACTTTCGTGCCCTAACCTCGAATGCTTCGATCATGATGCCGGCAACTTTTGGCGCGACTGCCTTACTTAGTGCGGCATATATGGGATTGGAAAATTGGAAATCAATCGATAAGCGCACTTCGGTTTGGCCCCTAGCGTCATGCCCCACCTTGTCCGTCTGTGGCTGGCCAAGGGGAGGTATGGGTTGGAAGGGTCTGATGGTCCACCGCGTGCTCAGCGACTGAAATATGCTATTTGCTCTTGCTGGGGCATTGAAAGTAGCCGAATGATGTGCTAGATCTGCCTTTGCAAGCTTGGTAATAGCTTCACCACCTAGAGCCTCGACAACCGACCCCGGAACGCAGAATAATCTGGATGTGAATGTTTCGTCAAAACCCCCCCAGCCTACTTTCAGGTCGGCTTCTGAGGGCCAGCGCTGGCCATTCTGATCAGGGGATGACCATTTTGTCACTCGAGACTCGGAGCAATACGGGAGGAAGCTAGAATAGCTGTCGACGTCCGCAATGATAGTGTAGAGATCGTTCGATTTGTAGGGAAGGATTCGCGTTGCCGCTAGACTCTGTTGCTCGGTGCCGGGTAGAGTTATGAAACTTCGAATTATCTGAGCTTGAGGTTTTGTTTGCCGCAGAATGCGTTGCGGGCGGAGTGTTCGAAGCATGGTCTTTGGTATGACAAGCTGGAGGATGTGCAGTGGCGTGGCTGACTGTAGAAGAGAAAAGAGAGGATAAATTCCACAGAATTAGAACGACGGAGGAAAGAAAGTGCTACGAATAATCCATTGTAACTATAACAAAACAAACCATCCGAGTTGAAGTCGTTTCTCGCAAGCCTGAGGTCATTAAGACCTCAACGAGGTATAAATCTGAAGTGCGCAAGGGTCCAGGCGGCAGAATACCTCACCGCCCCACTCTACTTTTCTCGGTTTTTTCGTTCGCCAATTTCTTCCCAGCTTCATTCCCACAACAACAGCAACTTCAGTTGCAAATTCGACGCCTTGACAACTCATTTGCTCTAGCTTCCTCTCGACTTCACACTCTTTTATGTATGAGCCATGGATTCGAGTCAAAGCAATAGCAATGGGGCACCTGTCTTGGTTTCGGCCGTCTCCAAATTAACGTTGACTGGCGAGGAATCGGTTGAAGCACCAGATTCTGGATCAGTCCTACTCCCACCTCACCTATCTCATGATCCCCAAACCAATTTGAAAAGGAGTGATCCCTTTCAATTTGGGTCTCGGCACCTCAGCGAGAAAGACAATGTCTTCGAGTTTAACGCGTGGGATCATGTAGAGACTGATGATATTTACAAAGAGTATGCAGAACAGCAGTTCGCAAAGCAGCGCGAAGCACCAGTCTCAGACTTTGATAAAAGTAAGCAGAATACTATTTCTTTCCTCCCTGGCGCCACGAGGGCGCCACCACCGCATCCTGATGATTTGATTACGCATAGTTCATCTGAAGCCTTCGGGCTATGAACGAAACAAACTCGCAAATGTCTTTCGCTCCTATCTGATATGCACTTTTATCAAACTTTAATTGTTCAAGTCTATTTATTACAGTGGCCTTGACTAACAACTACTACAGCTAGATTCAATTCCGATCCTGCAAAATGGTGGAACAACTTCTACAAGAATAACACGGCGAATTTCTTCAAAGACCGCAAATGGCTCCAGCAAGAATTTCCCGTGCTTTCTGAGATGACAAAAGCGGATGCTGGTCCTGTCACACTACTCGAAGTCGGTGCAGGTGCCGGAAATACTGCCTTCCCAATTTTAGCTCATAACCATAATCCAAACCTCAAAATACACGCGTGCGATTTCTCCAAGAATGCTGTGGAAGTGATACGTGCGAACGAATCCTATGATACCAAAAACATCCAAGCAGATGTTTGGGATGTCGCCGGTGATGAGCTTCCACCAGGACTGGAGGAAGCGAGTGTTGACCATGTTCTGATGATCTTCATATTCTCAGCGCTTTCACCGTCGCAGTGGAAACAAGCCGTCCACAACATCTTCAAAGTCCTTAAGCCAGGTGGCGAGGTGTTGTTTCGAGATTATGGGCGTGGTGATCTTGCTCAAGTGCGCTTCAAGAAGGGCCGTTATCTGGAAGAAAACTTCTATATCAGAGGTGATGGTACGAGGGTTTATTTCTTTGAGAAAGACGAGCTTATCGATATTTGGACCGGAGAGATTGCCGAGGAATCCGGAGCTTCCTTCGAAGTCGTCGACCTAGGTGTCGACAGGAGGCTGCTTGTCAATAGAGCCAAGCAGCTTAAGATGTATCGATGCTGGCTCCAAGGCCGCTTCCGAAAGCAACAGAATCAAACCCCCTGAAGACTAGGAACTCTCTCAACGGTTTAAACTTCTAATTGGACTTTCCATCCAAAAGTCTCATGGCTCACCTGGCCAAGATGGCATGGCGAATGGGATATCTACTCTCGATTATCCTCATCGGCAAGAAGCACAACAAGCACTATCTATCGGTGTCCCGATTCGAATGCTGGCCAGCAAGAACTAGGGAGCTATGGCAGCGCCCTCCAGGTCAATGCATCTCCAGAATCCAGTAGCAATAACTGCCGGCCCGGAGATAGCACAGCAGAGGAACAAGCTAGGCCCGCAATAGAGATGGCAAGCGTCAAGCTTTGTGCGGAGCACCATATTCTCAACTCCATAGCTTCCTGCCACAATAAATGCGGGAGATGGATGATATCGCAGCGAACTGCATGGAAACCATACCGGGACAGCTACCCGATTAAGTAGACTTAAATAGATAAATAAACTATGAGTCAAGCCATACTTAATCCTTGAATGAAACTTGCAAAAATTGAATCACTCACTCTAATCACTCACTCTAATCACTCGTAACCCCCAACTTCGTCCTCTCCCCGAACTCGGTGTATCATATATCAGGGCCCTTCCTCATGATATCCAACTTCACACAACACTGGCACATAAAGCCACCTACCTCCGCTTCCGCTCGCCTGCCCTCACTAGTCCCAATCTAATCCCTAAATCCAAAGTACCGAAACCTATGTATTATCACATGCTCACGTACACAATCGCCACAAACGTCACGTATTTCAGTTGTACAGTACTCTTTAGACTTTTTTAAAGAAGCATATATTGCTATTGCTCGCTACACACGATCTATGAGGTATACTTATATCCGCAAAAAATGCAAAAATAACTAATATCTTAGATGTATCTTTCCCCCTAGATCCCCTCTCCACCCTGACCACCCCCCAAAAATAACACCTATTCACAAGAAATACCGCACCATAACACCCCATTTCACCAACCCCCCGCCCCCATCCGCATCAATCTCTCTCCAGACCAATTTGCTCCATTAGTGCAATTTTCAAAACAAAACAGGAGGCGCTCCGCAAAATTTCAAAAACTTTATCCCAAAAAAACTAGGAGATGAGAGGTATCCGAAAAAGCCGCTAATATCAATATATGTCGCCCAAAATAACAAAGGAATAAAATAAAATAAAAACATTTCTCGAGGTACAAATGAGAAGTGGACATCCGCTAACTTCGTCCCCTGGTGAGAACAGACAAAACCCGGCCTTGTGAGCTGGGAAAAAGAGCTGCCTCGCTGAACATGCAGTGACACCATCCGCGTCCGCAACCACCACACTCCAAGAACCCACAGAAACCACCTCCCAATGAGGAATAATCCGAAAATACGCAGCGGGGTTTGAGAAAAAACAGAATAAATATCAGAGTGTTCCGCCCATATATTGACAGCTCCCTATCCACGTCGGATGGGATAAATGATGTGGTGAATCTAGATCGGGGTACTCTTGCAGATCCGTTCCTCATGATGGTAATCGGGAAAATATTGCCGATCCAATTTCATTCGCTTCTTTCGTTTACTTTGTATCCAGGAACATCCATGATGCGAGATGGAGTTGTAGGTATTGGTGTATGTCAGTTGGTTCCATAGATGGATCATTCACATGATATGACATGCGTCAGGTTCAGCTTTTTTTGGACCTAGCTTAAGTCAGAAATTAGAGGAAATCTTTTGGATGGCTGTAAAGATGACTGACCTTTTCCCGACGGTTTAGACGGCTTCCCTGCCATCCACCCTAACATTCCTTTCGCAGGTTCTTTTTTCCTACTTGGTTTTGCTGATGGGCCGGGATCTCTTGGGTCAAGGACCATTATAGGTGGGCCACCCGCACCGTGTCTATCAGGAGGCGGCCCATGCCTAGGAGGACCTCCAGGCCAACCAGGCGGCGGCGGCGGCGGTGGGGGGCCTCCCCTATGACCAACGGGTGGCTGCGGAGGGCCACGGGGGTTCCCCCCACCATGACGGTCATGGCGACTGCGAGGTCGTTCGTGGAGGGGATGGCCAGGTGGAGGCCCCGGCATCGGTTCTGGCTTGGGCTCAGGCATCGGCCACATATGCATTGTAATTGACCAATCCGGCTCAATCATTGTCTCCCAAACTTGGGGAAGAATGATCTCTCCGTTTGGACCAATTAAATCATAGTGTCCATCTGCTACATGAGGGCCGATCACATCTACATGAACGAATGCTTGTCTTATAAGCTCCTCCATTCCCTAGACGATGAGTTAGTTTAGCCAATATAAAAAGAAAGCGATTTACTTACAACCCAGGTTGTACACAGATGAAATGGAAAGCTGAACTTCCGCCCAACGGCGTCCTTAAACTTGATGGGCTTTTTCTTGTCTTCTTCGGGTTTGGCCATAGCCTTTGCCAAAGCGGCTTCCGCTTCCTTCTTGAGTTTGTCATTTTCTGCAGCAGCCTCTTCTTTAAGCTGCTTCGCCTCAGCAGCAGCGTCCTCTTTCAGCTTGTTGTGCTCGGCAGCTGCATCTTCCTTAAGTTTCTTGTGCTCGGCAGCAGCGTCTTCTTTAAGCTTCTTCAACTCGGCGGCAGCGGCAGCTTTTGCGGCAGCCTCAGCAGCCTCCATCTCAGCTTTCTTCCTTTCCGCTTCAACCTGCTTCCTCACGTTCTCAGCGCCCTTGGCGAGGGCAGTCTTCTTCTCCTCCTCAACTTTCTTCTCCCATGCTGCCTTTTCATCTGCGATTTGCTTTTCTAATGCTGCTTTATCATCCGCCATTTTCTTTTCCAGCGATGCTTTCTCGTCTGCTGCTTTCTTTTCCAGCGACGCCTTCTCTTCCGCCATTCTCCTCTCCCATTCAGCCTTCTCCTCAGCCGCTTTCTTGGCTGCCTCCGCCGCGGCTTTTTCCGCCGCTTCCTTTGCATCCCTGTCAGCCAGCTCCTTTTTGGCTCGTTCGTAGTCGATCTTCTGGCTCTTCATGAGCTCCTCAACAGCCAGAAGCTTCTTCTCGGTCTCAGGGTCGGCGACTACGGATGGGTCGCTTGGCGGCCATTGTGGATAGTACTGGTGTTGAGGCATCCCTTGACCCATCCCAGGAGGCATACCATAGCCGGGATAACCAGCAAACCCGGGTGCCGGCGGATAAGGCATTAGATCATGGCCTGGGTAACCTCCTGCCGCGCTATGAGGAGGCATTTGTGGGTGTGGACTGGGAGCATTGAAGTATCCAGCTCCCCCGGGCCCTGGAGTTTGCGGCTGAGGAGAGAATGGATTGTTTTGAGGGGCATATGGATATCCACCACCTCCTCCATAATGGGTTAACGCTCCCCCAGGGGGTCCGCCAAATGGTGGCGCATAGCCACCACCAGGCGCCCCCGAAAATGAACTTTGGGCATAGCCAGGCCCAGGTCCCCTCCCACCGTATTGCCCAGGCGGCGGGGCAGGGTAGCCTCGGCCATAGCCCGGGTAGTCCTCTAAGGGGTCCACGCTTGATGGTGGTACCGGCGCAGGGTGCCGATGAACGCGGGTTGAGGGTCGATGGGCTGTTGGTCGTTCCGCAGTTGTGTGTCTGCGGGTAGGGCGAGAAACGGGAGGTGGGCGACTCTCGCTTGTCCGATATCGCTGGCCTGTTCGCGGACGAGACGCCGGACGAGATGCCGATTCAGATGGTGAGATGAGCTCGTCGGCGTCGTAGATTGGATCCCAGGAATCGTCGTCGTCGGAATAGCTTGCTCTTGGGACTAGAGATAACAAGGTCAGCATTGCTTTCTTAGTTGGTAGAAAGAGTTAATTGTGAGAGAAGCGGCTTACCACGAACTCCTGACCCTTCTTCGTCAGTATATGAGTCCGCCGAACGAGAAGTAGAGCGGGAGGAGCTGTTGGTTGGAGACTGCTGGTAGATATCTGTATTAGTAAATGCTTCACTTAGAAAGTTACCAAGGGAGTAAAAATATGGCATTAAGAGGCATGGTGACTATCCAAAGCCGCCACCACTGTGAGAGAACGACAAGCTATTATCATGAATTATACCCCTCGGAGGACTTGCTGGGCTCGCTGTACATAACCAAGCACCTCACTAGTCCTCCCGGGCCCTATCGGGTGATATTCAAGCTACGGCGCAAAAATAGACCTTGCTATTTCTCACAAGAGTCCTCCAAACGCACACTCGGGCGGGAGCATAGTTGCAAACGAAGCGCCAATTATCGCAGAATATAAGGCAGTTGTAACTAGGAGTTCAACTAGAGTGCGCGGGAAGGGCCGGTCCATACCTCGATTGTAATAGTTGTGCTAAAGCGGAGCCGATGTTAGCAAAAAGTTCCCCAGGATCCCCAGAAAGAAGAATTAGTGGCATATTTAGGAATAGGAACGTACGTCATTGGGCTTGGTCCTACTCTAGGAATTTATCGCTCAAGCACGACTTTCTACCAGAGAAGAGTCGTGAGAGGATAATCCAAGACGGTTTTGTTTTTTTGAGGAGTGGGAAGGGAGGGCGGTGCGATGCGCCCTTGTTTCGGTGAGCGTGGGTCCGGCGACGATTTGGTCGTCAGGTGAGCGGTTCTCGAGAAAGGGATTCGAGAGGGTGCCAGAAGTGAGCTGCCTCTGAGCGGTCGGGATTTGAGGCGGTGAACTAGTGATGGTGGTGGTGGTTGACTCGCAGAAATGCGGGCGGAGGGAGGGCAGTAGTGTGCGATTGGTATCGAGGACTGGATGGCGAGCCTTGAGTGAGGCTGCGGTGAGGCGCAAACGCAGGATAATCACAGAGCAGATGCGATGCGCGCTCTCTCCTTCACGCGTGCCAGAATGCGGCAGCGAGGGGAGGAATGTCGACGTTGTCCCGGCGGCGAATATTGATGTTGATGTTGATGTTGATGTTGATGTTTGGGCGAGCGCTGAGCGCAGGGCAATATTGCAATAGTGTGCTGACAGCGGGAGGGAGGGATTCTGCAAGGCGAGAAGAGGGGTGTTGTGTTAGCGGGCCATCCACGGGGAAAAAGGCAAAAAAGCCCCGGCAGAGCAGCGCAGACCGAGACCAGAACAAACACAACTTGCAACAGCAAAAAAGCCACCCAGGCAAAATAGAAGAAGGGGAGACAAGAAAAAAGAGCTGATCCCTGACCCCGTCCAGGCTTTTCTTCACTTTACTTCACTGCCTAGGTACCTAGGTAAATAGGGAACTATCCCTCGTGAAATCGGCACTGCAACTGCCCTGCACTCCCCACTACTGCACTGACTGGCTGGCGGAAGGGAAGGATTAATCTTCCCAAGGCCTAAACTCAACTACTCAAGGCCTAAAGAGAGACCCAGGCCCGGCCCAGAACCCAAGGCCCAAGACCCAGAGTCCCCGGCCCAGTCCAAGACCAAGTCCAAGAACCTGTCGCCGGACCCAAGCGCCCCAGGATACGAAAGCAGACGGCGATCGAAGGGCCCCAGGGGGTCAAACGCCCCCCGAGATTCCCCCTTCAAGCGGACGGGGGCGAAAACGGAGGAGGCGGTTTTGGGAGAGCAACGTACCTTGGACTGGAATAGATCACTCGACCATCTGAAAGGGGTCCGACGTCAGTGACAGACGGGGATCCGGATCTTCTGAAACGGCGCTCGCGAGCTGCGACAGCGGCTGTGAGACGAGGGAGAGGGCGTATGTTGCGATTTAACAGCGGAATGCTCTATCTGCGGGTGGCAAAAGCGTGAGTGTGAGTATGAGGGTGGGTATATTATATATATGCCGATATTGCGGACGATGGTGTTGTTATTGTTATTGTTGGTGAGGTATGTATCTCGGTGCTGTATTTATATGCGTTTCTTGATTTTGTGTGGAGGCGGGGTCTTGTTGTTGCGGCGACTGTACAGGTGCATGACTACGACACTGTTGCACGGCGCCGGGGGGGAAATGCGAAATGCTCTTGAAGGGACTTGACGGGGTAATACGGTACAAGTATGTACGGTATGTACACGGTATGTAACTGGAGCTTCTGGAGGGACTGGATGGAGGTCCGGTACGTACTGGTGCTGTTGCTGTTGCTGGGACTGCGGATGCGGGTTCTTGCGGATGCGGTTGCAGATGCGGCGACGGCTGATTGCGAGGAGCGATATGATATGATATGATTCGGCTTGGTTTCCTTTCATTTGATACGCAATTGGGCTGTGCTGGGCTGGGTCACGAAAACATGAGACAAGAGGCGATGGTGGGCAATTGGCAGTCTGATTGTACGCTGGAGGGCCAATCTACATTTATACATAATACCGTACACGGTGTTCCCCAGCAATCCCCCCCCAGGCTGGCTTGTTCCCACAACCATGCTCTGGTATGATGGTCCTCCTCCAGGACGAAAGAGTCATTCCAGCGTTGTTTCAGCCGCCGAAAATATCATCATTGATGATCGTTGACCGCTCCTCGTGTGCCAGCCCACCGAGGCCCGCTTGCTGCCCAAGGAATCTGACCTGGCAAATGATGCGCCCTATGTGTTGTCATTGGTCCCCGACACCCCAAAACACCGTGGTTAAGTCGAGCCACGACCTAGCTGCGGGCCGAACCATGACAAGGAAGAAAGAAAAAAAGGCGCAGACAGGCAGGCGTCCAGCTGTCCAGTTGTCCATCACAAAAATGGATCCATATTGGGCAATCTTGCCATTTCCCAGTGAAACGTCAGCCTTGCCACAGGCCAGACCCAACCCCCCTGAGAACAAGATCTGGGCCCAAAGACCGATCGGGTTGAATTAGATACTGTTTGAACTGTGCCTTGCATGCTTCTTGAGTGAAAACGGCGGTAGATGTTACCGTGTAATTGGCTTCGCCTCCCGATTGAGCAATTCCTGCGCGGCAATAATGTCCGCCTTGTCGTATCCTTCCCATCCGGCTTCCCCATTGACGTTGCGTCGCACTATTTCAGACAATTTTGCAGTGGCCAACTCACTCAGACGCTCTACCGCCTTGACTTCTGGCGCCGGGAGCCCGGTATCTGCCTTGGACTGCCTGGAACTCGCCGGGGGCGTCGTCAGGAGGCGACTGGTCGTCTACCATTCGTTTAGCAAGGTGAGCCATCAGCATCTTTCTAATAGGGCCACATACCAACTTTAACCCATAATATCCACGTAGATAATCGTCACACAATTCGATGCTTCTGCAGAATCGCCTCATCGATTCTGCAAGCTGCTTGTCTGCACCGCCCTCATTACCAGCAGCCGCCACGTATAAGACTTCGCCGAGTCGAGCATGCATCTATATGTATCAGAACAAGTCCGGAAATTGGAACAATTGGATAAGAGCTCACATTCCACGCATTTGGAGCGATCAACAACACTTCCTCTAAAGCGAAAATCGCCTGCGGATACATCCCCTGCGAAAAATAAAGATCGGACAACTCCGCCCAGGCTTCGGCATCGATGGGAGACGCGTCCAGGAGTTGGGTGAGGGCCGTGACAGCGTCTGGGATCTTTTTCAATGACTTCAGAAGAGTAATTCGACGTTTCGACACAGGCTGACATGGTTAGCAAGCTGGCATGCCATAGCTGGGCCACGAAGTGGGAGACAAACCATATTACTCGGGTCATCTGCCAGGATCTTCTCATACTGCTGGAGCACCTTTTTGAGCGCCGCGTCATCCTGTGCTGTAGCTTCCTGGAATAGCCCCCTGAGTGCCATCAGCCGTTCGTTGCTGGCCCCAAACCGCTCCGTCAGTCTTTCCAGGCATAGGTGCGCAGATTGCTCATCGCCAGTACGCAGGCATGATAGCATAAGGTTTTCGTAAGTCATCCATAGCTCTGGAGATTCGGCTGCGGACCAGAGAGAGCTGAGGGAGTATGGGGAGATGGCTGAGGGCGTGTTGCGGAGGATAAATGGAGCTTGTTGCGAGAGCTGGACAGCTACGCTCGGCGGGAGATGGGTCTGGGGGCGCAACAGTGAGGAGCTCATGATGGCGGCGACACAGATGGTAGATTATGGGCACTAATGTTGATTGATTTTATCTGTTGCGGTTGCTTGGTTGTTGATTTGTTGGTTGGTTGTTGCGGAGGAAACGATTGAGTAGAGAGACCAATGCGATAATACATGCGCCTCATCTAAAAGCTCTCCACAGTCCAGAAGTCTAGAGTCGGGGTAAGGTTGCTCCCTAAGTCTCGCCGTACACCACCAGTGTCGTAATAAGTTAGTAATATTACGGGCGCCGCCATACCGACCGTACCGTAGTGGGGGAACAACCAGGTTCAGTCCTAAACATCTATCTCGTGCCCACCGCATCTCTTTCTACGCAACACTAGACTCCGATATTTGAACCAGATATGATAACGTCTAAGGTCCATTCCTACAACATGCCATCTCTACACCCGTAAAACATTGCTGGCAGTTGAACCTTGGCAAGCAGCGAATGAAGACCTCGGTCACCCACCGCCACGATGTACGCCCCTCCTCAGAGCTATCGATACCCTCGAGCTTGGGAAACCATATCTGATAATAATAATAATGCCCTGCTAGGTTTGAGAAATCTCTCTATGACCTCATCCGAGGTCTGCGGAACCATAAGGGGAACGAGAAGGAGTATATTTACAACAGCCTTAAGGAATGTCGAGCAGAAATCAGAGGGCAGGATATGGGTTAGTGATCAACCCCCAAAACTCGGTATGGTTACATGCTGAATGGATGTCATATTATAGATATGAAGGCCACTGCGCTTATGAAGCTCATATACCTCGAAATGTTCGGCCACGATATGTCATGGGCATCCTTCCATGTCCTCGAAGTCATGTCCTCCCCTAAATACTTGCAAAAACGAGTCGGATATCTTGGGGCGGTTCAGAGTTTCAGACAGGACACAGAAGTCCTCATGCTGGCAACAAACTTGCTGAAGAAAGTAAAGGTTCCTGGGAATTTGGCGGAAGGATAAAATACTGAGATTGGGCTAGGACTTAACCTCGACTTCTGCGATCACCATGTCCCTCCCTATCGTGACACTTCCGCACGTCATTACACCCTCGTTGGCGCTCTCGGTTCTTTCGGATCTGCTCCCAAGACTCACGCATTCGAACCCGGCTATACGAAAGAAGACTATTGTGACACTATACAGGCTCGCCCTAGTCTACCCCGAAACGCTGAGACCTGCCTGGCCAAAGATTAAAGACCGGTTGATGGATGAAGGCGAGGATCCAAGTGTGACGGCTGCAATTGTCAATGTAGTCTGCGAACTAGGTTGGCGAAGACCCCACGACTTCCTACCTCTTGCGCCGAGACTATTCGAACTTCTAGTGGACGGCGGTAATAATTGGATGGCTATCAAACTGATCAAACTTGTCAGTTGGATGTTGAATGAAACGTTTGGATCTTCTCTAACTAGTATTATAGTTTGCTACACTGACTCCTTTGGAGCCCCGATTGGTCAAGAAGCTACTACCTCCGCTAACTTCTATTATTCGGACGACTCCTGCCATGTCACTATTGTATGAGTGTATAAACGGCATCATTCAAGGCGGTATTTTGGGTAATGGTGACGATTCTGCTGCTGGCGAGGAGATTGCGACTCTTTGTGTTGGTAAACTTCGTGGAATGATAATGGTGGAGGGGGATCCGAATCGTAAGTCGTCCACATATACAGTTCTACTCTTATGGCTAACGGACAATAGTGAAATATGTGGCTCTGCTTGCATTCAACAAAATCGTCCTAACCCACCCATATCTTGTTGCGGAGCAGGAGGATGTAATCATGGACTGTATAGACAACCCTGACATATCCATCCGTCTACGAGCTTTAGACCTAGTTGTGGGTATGGTCAGCAGCGAGAATCTGATGTCTATCGTGGGCCGTCTAATGCGACAACTACGCAACTCTCGTTCGCCAACGACTGACGAACGCGGACAACGGCCGGCAGTAGGGGCCATCGAGCCTGCCGCGGATTCCGACGACGAAGCCCCTGAAATCGCTATCAGACCTAGTAGGGAGCCATCATCTGAGCCACCCCTTCCTGACGAATATAAGATTGATGTCATCAGCCGAGTACTTGAGATGTGCTCTAGCAACAATTATGGAAATCTTGTAGATTTCGATTGGTATATCGACATATTGATACAGTTAGTCCGGGAGGCGCCTGTTGTGCGGCCGGTGACCATGTTAGACGACTCAGACTCGAGATCCAGAGATGAGCCTGCCTTGGACGTTTCCGGAAGAATCGGAGATGAATTACGGAGCGTGGCCGTTAAGGTCAGAGCTATCCGGTTACAGGCTACGAGGGCTGCGGAGGCGATTTTGATTTCCGCATACAATGATAACTCATCGCCACTTACTCCAGCCAGTGGGGCATTGCGCCCGATTGCATGGATTGTTGGAGAATATGCGTCAAATCTCGAGACTCCTGACGGCACATTGACAGCCCTCCTCCATATCACGAGGAGTTCGGCCCCTCCAGAGGCACTCATTATTTTCCTGCAAGCAATACCGAAGACGTTCGCCTTTATAGCTGGTGACGATCAGGTTATATGGACGCCAGAAAGGAAGACTATGGTGTCACTTCTCATGGCTCGCATAATCCATGTGCTTGAACCACTGGCTATACATCCAGATTTGGAGGTCCAAGAAAGAGCTGTTGAGATTACAGAACTTCTAAGACTAGCCGCCGAAGCGGCGTCTGGACAGGAGCCATCTTCAGATGAGATACAACAAGATGCACCCTTATTGCTTACACAGGCCATTCCATCACTGTTTTCCGGACTGGAGTTAAATTCCGTTGCTGTTGGTGCACAAAGGAACGTTCCTGTGCCATCTGATTTGGATTTGGACGAACTGATCAATCCAAATCTAACCAATTTACTGCGTACTGTGGACATGACAGCCTTAGATGAGCCAGATGAAGACGGCTTTGAGACTTACTATCACCAACCACCAGCAGCAGCAGCACCCACCGCAGGTGAACCTGCCATTAACCGTCTTGGCGGTGCCTCTGAAGATGCTGTCCATTCATATCAGCAAGGGGGTGAGGAGAGCTATCTAGACCCGGACATTCTTGCTCGGCGGCGTGCAGAGCGGCTGGAGAGGAATAAAGACGATCCGTTCTACATTGCTCCGACAGATGCAGTCTCTAGATCGTCAACACCCCTTCATAACATCCTCCAAAGCAACAATGGCCCGGATTTCGACGTGGATGAAATACCAGTCATGCAACTAGAGCTCGACAGGACAAATACACCAGTGACAGGACAATCCTCACCCAAAAAGCCAATTATCCCAAAATCTCGCCAGCGGATTCAGGTGGCCGCGGACGAGACTTTAGTGAGTGGAAGCTCGTCTCCTGGAAATTACGATTCGGAAAGCAACCTCGATGCTCCTCAGAGGCCAAAACTCAAAGGAAAATCACTTCTCCAAGTAGATTCCAGTCATATTGGTACAATCTCCCTTGAGGAAGGCGACCATGCCGCTTCCGCCTTGGATTTTGAGCGTCAACAGAGGGAAGAAGCGGAAATGGCAAAGGCTATGAAGGAGGTGGAGAGGCTACGGTTAGAGATGCAGCGAGCGAATGAGAGGATACAAGCAGCTCAGGGGGTATCGACTGAAACCGTGGTCAAGAAGAAGAAGAAGAAGTCTAAACCTGTGGAAGCTGAGGCTGGCAAGGTGCCGACAAAGAAGAAGAAATCGAAGCAGGTAGCCACTGACGAAGGGCAAGGTGAGCCTTCCATTTCGGCGGATGTCGTGAAACCAAAAAAGAAGAAGAAGAAACCTAAGCCGGAGGAGGGGGGTTCTGAGCATCAGGAATCTCTTGTTAGCGGGGAGAATGGAGCATAGAGGGATAAAATTATCCCCGGCGTAAGGGCATTGTAGCGATTGTACACTCTTGGGTTGGCGCTCGGAGTGCTATATGAGAACAGCATAAGATTCCCATAGAAGCTCTAATAAGCACACTTTTTCTCATAAAACAATCAAGATTACGGCCTGGACTACTCACTGTGAGGAGTAAAACTTTAAGGCGGGTTATCTATTTGTGAATGTTTAGAAGCAGGCGGCCCATAATGAGCGTTGCACCAAGCGTAGAGGCTGGCTGCTCAAGGGAAATATGATGGCCTCGCATCCCTCGTTGTGGCGCCCGGGAAGTGCTAGGGGGGCGATATACTAGTAGAGCGTTAGCCGAACGGACATCCCGATCCCGCAACAACGGATCAACACAGATGTTCTCTCCCTCTCCTTTACTGGTCCAGTACTGATATCCCTCGATCCTCCCTCCACGCCGCTGTAGCTCGTACCATTGTACCTAGGTACCAAGAGACGTCGGGTTGATTCTACCACTATACCAACCTAATCCTAAACCGTGACCAGACCAAGATCAAGATCAAAAATGTCCGCCATTGCTGCCACGGATGCCCTGCGTTCCCACCTTGCCTACAAACCACAACCTCTGAAATTCGGCACCAGCGGTCGCCGTGGCGAAGTCATCCATTTGACTCAGCTCGAAATCTACACGAATGTTGTCGCCGAAATCCGTTACCTCCAAGCGCTCCCGCAACCCGAAGGCGGTATCAATGCCGGCGACGACTTTTATTACGCGTACGACCTTCGCCCAAGCTCTACAGCGTACGTGGAAAATGGCCGCGGCGCCCTCTGCCAAGCTGTCGAGCGGGCCTTGAAGGACACAGGCATGCGCCCTATTAACCTGGGTGCGATCCCTACGCCGGCCCTCACGTACTGGGCCCTTAAGCATGGCAAGGGCAGCATTATGGTCACGGGCAGCCACATCCCCTTCGACCGCAATGGCTACAAGCTAAACACCTCCAAAGGCGAGCTGATGAAGAAGGACGAACAGCCGATCAATGACACAGTTGCAACCACTCGCGAAGAGCTGCTCTCACAGGCCTACGTTGACTCGCCGTTCAATAGCCAAGGCGTCTTCCGTAACGCACAATCCGACCTGCTCCCCGTCACGGCCGCCGGCAGAAAGGCCTATATCCAGCGCTACCTGGATTTCTTTGCAGGAGAGCAGCTCCAGGGCGTAAAGCTCCTTGTATACCAACACTCTGCTGTTGGTCGTGATCTTCTAGTTGAGGTCTTTCAGGCGCTTGGGGCCCAGGTCACGCCTGCCGGCCGGAGCGACACGTTCGTGCCAATCGATACCGAAGCCATCGACCAGGCCCAGCTCGATACCGTCCAAAAGCTGTGCGATCAGGCCGGCCAGAAGTTCGATGCTATTGTATCCACGGATGGGGACAGCGATCGTCCACTGCTTATTGCTCCTGACGGAGACGCCCTCTGTTTCTTTGGCGGTGACCGTTTAGGCATGATTGTAGCTGAGTTTCTGGGCATCGGCGCTGCCGTCGTCCCAATTAGCACCAACGATGCGATCGATCGGGGCCCGATAGCCGCCATTACCGAACCAAAGACCAAAATCGGCAGTCCCTATGTAATCGCGGGGATGCAGCGGGCGACTGGTAATGGGCGTCAGCGCGTCTGTGGATGGGAGGCCAACGGCGGCTTTCTGACAGGCGCGGACATCGAACGCAATGGTCACGTGCTCACCGCGCTTCCCACAAGAGACGCGTTCCTCCCTCTCCTCTGCGCGCTGTTCGCGGCCCACAACCGCCAGACCACGCTGCCCCAACTCTTCGAGACGCTGCCCCGCCGTTTTAGCCGCGCTGCCTTGCTCCGGAACTTCCCTCGTGCAACAAGCATGAAAATCATCCAGCGCTTTTCACCCCCAGAAGCATGGATGCAAGACGTCCATTATTCTCCTGACCATGTTATTATGGTTCGCGATGCTGATGGAGCTACGCGCGAACTGCCAGAGGAGTCTTACGCCGAGCAGCTTGACCAGATTCGTCGCAACGTCCAGACTGTGTTCTCTGCAGATTCCGGCTTTACTCCAGTCGCCCAGATCAACTATACCGATGGAGTTCGGATCATCTTTGCTAATGGCGATGTCGCTCATTTCCGTCCATCTGGTAACGCCGATGAACTGCGCATCTACGCTGTTGCTGACACGCAGGAGCGCGCCGACTCGATTGCCAGCCAGGGAGTCGCGGAGCCAGATGGCCTCCTCAGGCGTTTAGAGCTGACGGTACGGGACTAGAGCTTGATTATGGATTGATTGGTTTAGCGTATTCAAGAGCTTAGATTCTTAGTATTCAAGCATCTTGTAGTAGTAAAAGTGACTACATGAAAATATAGGTCGAGGTAGTAGAGTATGCCCATTTTGCAATAGTTATATCTATATTATAACATTTATAATACAACTTACCTTAGTAGTCACGGTAAATAAGTAGGTATACTTGCCTTAAACCTTAGGTCCTCGTGGGTATAGTAAAGTGGAGGGACTCGGGGTGGAACAAAATCTTCAAATCAAAAGCACTTGCTGGAATTATTTTGTTTCTCACATGGTAATTCCTATAATACTTTCTATCTCTTTTCTAGGTGATTTTGCCACCATACTGTAAAGACTTTAAGAAATACTTTCTCATACAGAAAGCTGGAAAAATCTAGAAATCTACTATACGATTAACCACGAATTCAAGATCTCACGCTCGCCTTTTTCGTACCAGATGCGCAAGTGATATTATGGGAAAGGGACATCGACACGTGGTATCAGAGCTACATCGGTAAGGTATACTCCAGGCGTTTGACTTCCATTCACCTATCGCCATGTTCAGATAGCAGTATATTGCACCGTTCTCAAGTATCTACTAAAATACGACGATGTGGTACGGCATAGATGATTCTTCTTAGGGGGGTCTCACGTGACTATGTTCTTATCGCTTATCGGATCTCCAGAAATATTTTTTGCAACTCCTCCGCCATTTGACTTTCTCGCGGGACTAGCCACATCTAAACCTTCCAACACGAATTGACCACCAAGAAACTCCACGATGGAGGGAAATGCGAATTTCATTCCGCTTGGTGCCGTGGGCGAGACGGCCTACTTTGATACCGGAGAAAAACAAAAAGTTGTAGGGAGCACGAAAGGTATATATATCTCCCAGGGACTGCGCCGGGCGATGAGAGCTAATTAAGGAATTATAGAGGAGAGAAAGGAGATTGCCCGTCGGATCCGACTCGCTGCGAAGAAGGAGAAAAAGAAGATCAAGTCCGATGCGAAGAAACAGCGCAAGGAAAATGCTGTTATGCACAGACGAGCTGTGAGTTCCCTCCCAAGCTTGGGATTCTTCAATTACAATACTTACAGAAGGACTGACACAATTCTGTAGACAAAAAATCCCGAGAAGTATACGAAGAACAAAGACCGCAACACGACCCGTGCGATTGAGCAAGAGCGCTACAAGATCCGTATGGAGGCCGTTCGTCAAGCCGAAAGACTGGCAGCCAAACATGACCCAAGCGGCAAGATATTTAATGTCGGGGAGGTAATTGTCTTGGAAGATGGGAAGGTGAAGAATAAGGAGATCTGGAAGAGGGCGGAAGAGGTTAGAAAAGCGAAGGAGGCCGGGGTCGAACTGAAGAGGGAGCCAGCGCCGTCAAACCCCACTGGGGCCATGAATGCAGAGGGTGTGAATCCAGATCGTGTAGCTTTGATACAGACAGGCCACGAGCCAGCCAGGCCTGGACAACGGAAAATCAGCAAGAAGCAGCAGAAGAAATTGGCTTCCTTACAACCGAGGCCATTGCCTCCAAAGCCGGTTCTTCCTGAGGGTATCGACCTGCCAGAGGGCGAGGAGAATATTATCGCTCTGTGGGACATAAGTGATCAGGATGTCCAACATAGGCTATCTGCGGCTAAGGGTAAAAAGAAGCAAGCAGCTAAGGCTTTGAGAAGACAGCAGAAGGAACAGCAGAAGTTCAACAAGGCTATGAAGATTAAGAGGAAGCAGGCTGCCAACCAGGGTGTCATATGGGATCCTGAGAAGGCGAAGAAGGAAATTTTGGGCGAGATGAGTGAGGAGGCTGGTTCAGACTCTGACTCGGACTCGGATTCCGATTCGGACTCTGGCTCTGATTCTAGCTCAGACTCTGAGGATGATGTGAAGGAGAAATCCAAGACGGAAGATGCCAAAGACAAAGCTACCGAGTCTAAGAAATCCAAGCGCTCAGAAGATGAAGTTGCTGAGGACGAGCCAAAGGCCAAGAAGAGCAAGAAATCGAAGTCCGAGTCCGACGACGTTGAGATGGCTGATAATACGGAGTCAGCTGCGCAACCCGAGACCACCCCAGCCAAGAAGATGAAGATAAAAGACAAGCATAGGAATGTCCCCAAGGTGAGACCGGATCTCTTGAAATCAGAAGAGGTTGAGAAGAGAGTCATAAAAGAGCAGAAGAAGGCAAGAAAGGATCTGAAGCGCCAGGAGGCATTAGCGGCCGTTCAAGCAAAGGAGGAGACGGAACGCATCAAGCGCAGGGAGGCCAAGGATGCTAAAAAGCGTAGTGGGCGACCTGAGGAAACGGAGGAGGTAGAGTCTCAGGAACCTAAGGAATCCAAAAAGCGAAAGCGCTCCTCCAAAGAGCAACCGGAGGACGAGGAGGTGGAGACAACTAAGAAATCCAGCAAGAAGCACAGGCAGTCGGAAGCTGTAGAGCCACCTACAAATGGCCACGTGCCAAACGCTGAACAATGGAACCCCGACGCTCTCTCTGGTGATGCTGCCCGCAAGGAAAAGTTCCTCCGACTTCTCGGAGCTGGCAAGAGCAATGGAGTGGTCGAGGAAGCCGCGAAATCCAAAAAGTCGAGCAAGAAATCCGCCGAGGAGATATCACGTGTCCAGAGTGAGTTGGAGAGGCAATATGAGGCTGGTATGAAGATGAAGCATGATGGGCAGGGGAAGAGACGCGGTCTCGGTGCGTGAAAAGAGTTTATTAGCGTTGAGAAGATATGAAAAGGAAATTTCTTGACTTGATGGCGTATTGGCTGGGATACTTTGAGATGGTTGTTTGATTCCTACTTTGCCTTGCAAGTCATATGTTATAGGTCTTCCTCAATCAAAAAACAGAACCCTTAAGCAAAGCAAACTCCGTTCCCTATTCCCCTTTGTGACTTTCTGTCTTGTACACTAGTCTGTGACTATAACGGGGGGTTATCCCAAAGCTCTCAGCAATGTCTTCCGATCTCAACATCGCCAGAGCACATAAATGTATGCTCTATGTACTTTTCGTCCACGTCCCTCTCCACCCTTCCTTCAATCCATCATACCTCACGAGAAAAAGCGGCTCAGCAGTTCGAATCCCAATCCACCAAAGACCACAAAGCCGAGAACGACTAGAGGGTAACACAGTCAGCCAAATATTCATAATCTGCCATTTCTTCTCATCCATATTTCCCCAACCCCCTCCCTTACACCGCCATGTAGGAAAACGTACCTAGCCAAAATGTAGAGATCGGGCTCTTGAAGTCTTGCTTATGCTTGATCTCACTGGCAGGCTTGCCGCGCTTCTGGTCTTGCGCCTTGACAAATTGAGCATTGCGTTTGCGTTGTTCGGGGGTTTGGGCCTGTTGGGAGGAGAGATGGTTAGCAGATTGCTTTGTTTGTAGTTAAAGATAGATGGGATGATATGTGTATGCGATGGGGTGGGAAACGGGAGGGGGGCCACGAGAGCAAGTGCATACCATTGTGAATGTGAAGGTGTCAGTAATAGAGGATTTATGATTGTATTTGCAGTTTGCTAATGAGCATGCGACGGCGATCCGGCGTATTTGAAGTTGAAGGAAGGACGATGGAGGTTGGGTTTTATTAAGAGACGTGGAGTTTATAATTATTTCAAGACACCGTCGCGGTCATGGGAGTTGAAGATGTGTCCCTAGGGAGGTGTCAATTCGGCCAGAGTTGCAGTTGCAGGCGGCGCGCGCCGACATCATTCCAGGGTCACCGTGCACTGACTGACACTGACGCCAGGCTAGATTTGCTTTTTAAGGTTTTGGGGGCCAGTTAATAATTCCACGTCTGACAGCTTCAAGCTTCACGGCACCCATCGAGACTTTCTGTTCACCTACCGGTTCCTGAATAACTACGAAAATGAGGCTCCTTCCTATGTCTCGGTTTGCTGCGTCCATCCGCGCTGCACCAATATGCATGACAACCTCAACTCCATCAAGGCGAGGAATTCCTCACATACGCCTGAACTCGACGGATTCTCAGCCTAAGCCCTCATCTCCCACCGTACGTTACGTTCGTCCATATATAATGGATCTCGTCCCTATTCTTCCCCTATCTGCCAAAAGCCTAATGTAATTTTCTGATGATCTCGCCAGACAAGCTTCTACAAAACCTTCACCCGTCCGGTCGCAAAAGTCCTCCTCATGGCAACCTTCACATATCAATTGGCATACTGGGCGTGGGTGAAGCTGGAGAAGGATGAGATTAAGGCGCAGAGGTCTGGTTAGTGCTCTAGGTTTGCTTTCTGGAGATTCGAATTTTCGGGGATTATGCTAATGGATTTTTGGCTTCCAGCGGAGATTACGGAGTTGGAGGCCCAGTTGACGGCGCTGACGGAGGATAAAAAGATAGCGAAGACGAACCCTTGAATGGATAGCTTCTTGGTATCTTGAGATGTGGGAAGCAGAGACCACGATGTCGCCCGAAGAGCACGCCCGGTCTGGTGGGAGGTGTCGGAGGTGCGAAAGGACTCGACCCTCATTGAAACTCACGGTACCCATTTCCGAAATATCCGAAGTTTTGCGTCTACTAAGGCTATAGTGATCGATAGGGAGAACTATGATGGCCTATAGTTGCAAAGGATGTAACTTACTGAGCCAATAGCATGAGTTGGAGGTTATCTTGTACTGAGCAGAAACAGCCAACCTAGCACAGCGTTTTGATCGCAGCTTAGGCGGACGGGATAAGATACACAGAGTCCTTTTACCTAATGGAGTGGGATCGAGGTCCCGATGTATAGCTTTCTGTATACTATGCTCTATATTAAACTCTATCTAAATCATGCATTGTTCGGCCAGTCAATATCATATCTACCTAGTCACTATCATTATCAAGTGCTTCTTCACCACCTATACATGGCTGGCATTGATTAAGCACTTTCCTTAAGGCCATGCACGCGAACTCGGAGCACACTGGCTAGCTGGAAACTGTATTTCACGAGGTAATTCGGGGTATCATTTACTCGCTATCAGAACTACTACTTTCACCACCCTCCTCAATACCATCAAAGCCCTCAAACCCACTTTCATCACCATAGTCCTCTCCGTCGTTGAGCTGGGGTAACATGACAAATGCCTTCAAACAGGTGATGCGGTTCCCAGTCTTATATGTCCCCAGTAATTTCCCAACTGGCTTGGCTTCCACAACATTCTCGGGAAGCAGGTCTGAGGCAGAGAGCTTGAACACCATCAATGTGCCATCACTGCGTGCTGCTGCGATGATGAGGCATTTCGATGCCCCTTCGCCGACATTAAGCACTACAAAATCTTTGATTCGGGGAAGATTTTCTTCCGACTTCGTAGTCTTTCCTTTCCCCTCGTCATTCTTCGCGCCTTGGATATCCTTGGCATCGAGTACGGCAATCAACTTTGCAGCCGGAAGAGCTGCATCTTTCGCCTTCCCGGCGGGTTGAGCAACCAAATCAGCGGGCCGGGTAGAATAGAACAGTATTCTGCCATCTTCTGTGGACATGGCCAACACCTGAATATCCTCCTCTTGGCCAACTTGCACGTAGCATAATTGATGTATCTTCGTCCATTTCTGCTTTGTATCCCTTGGCTGGGGAACCACCTTGCACTTCGGCTTGCTGTCCATCCCGAATACCACCGCGCCCTTATCAAACCCAACACAGAATTCGTCTCCTGCATCCGTAGCTCCCCATGCTACCTTTCTCCCCTCGCCGCTTGTGAATTTCCCTTCTCCAACTTCCGCCAATATCTCCCTATCGAAATTGAGCACTCCAGCCTTCTTGCCGGTAACCAAATTCCACAACCGCATACACCTCTCTCCCTTGCCAGCGGAAATCATAAGCTTCATACTCGGATGTACCGCAAAATCATTAACCCCACTAGGTGTGCCTCCCAGCGGCGCCGTGTCTCCGCTAGGTCTTCCCATAGCTTTTGGAACTGGAGCCTTAATCGTGCTCAGCAAACTCCAATCCCTCGTCCTTGTCACCGCAATCGTATTATCCTCCGCGGAACTCAGGAGCTTACTCCTATTCGGGAAGAATAGGCCAGTCACGGAGCTCGAATGATGTAACAACGAGCCCAATTCTTTGTTTTGCGGGTTTTCAATGACGGCTTTTGCTGAGAGGCCGGCGATGGCGGGGACGGTAACGTACGAAGGTGCGTGGGCGGAGATATGGTAGAGGTTTATGCGTTCATCTGTGCTGCCGCTCGCGAGGATGACCTTTTGGGTTTGCTTTGGAACAGGTGCAGAGGGCGGGGAGAGGGCGAGGCAGCGGATGGCTGAGGCATGGGCATTGAAGAGAAACGTATCAGCGAATTCGACATCGTCGTTCTGTGATATGACTGCTGTTAGACCGTGAAGGACTCGGTCGTAAGACCCCGCGATTATCTGAATTGTGGTGGGAGATCCGGGAGATTTTGGAGGTGGTTGTGGGGTTGATTTGATTTTTTTGCTGGGAAGAGCTACGGTAGCTGCAGCCGGCTCGACATTGGTGTTACGCTTTCTCTTTGCCATTGTTATGATATTGTGCTGTGTTTCGTTGTTCTTGTAAAGCTACGGTCTTGAAAACAAAAAGTCGTTAACTTTTCTGGACTTTTTTCCAGCACCGGGAAAACTTCGGACCCATCGCCGCTTTTCTCGACTCCCGTCTTCGTCTTCATCCAACCTCACGCCCTCACCACCTTGCAATAATTATTCACTGTCCCTCCACGCCATAACTACTGTAGCAGCAATACGTTATTACAGCCTGATATCCACCTATTTGTTGTCTACCCCCCGATCCTCCTGGGTTTCGCCAAGCCAAACCATTGAGGTCGGGGTCTTCTTTGTAGCCAACTATCCGCATTAACTAAACTTGTTCAAGTACCCGGGCGTAGTTCACTTCCCTTCCATTCCCTTATCATCCTATCCTAATGCCTATGCCATCTACACTTCCGACTTGAAGAATCAATTCTCAATCTACATTCACATCAGCTACACTCTTACGTCCCGGTACTATGTCTGACGACTCTCTGCTTCCTACTGATGACGAAATCATCGCTGCAGCTGTACAGCACGCACGAGAAAGGCAAATCGGTACACCACATATAGGGACTGGCTTCCCTATCTTACAGCACGGTCAGCCAGTGGCTTGGGTTAAATATACCGGAGAACCGGATGGCCTGGAGCGCGAGGCTGCCACGCAAGCATACGTCTATGAGACACTTAATCAGCAACCGGCATCGTTAGAATTTATTCGTGTCCCCGACGTTAAACGCATTATTCGAAGCGATGACCCGCCCTATGTGTTGGTTGTGATGGAGTATGTACATGGCGACACGGTTCGACAGTGCCGAGAGAGAGAAACCACAGAGGAAAGGAAAGATCGCTTCTGGGGCCAAGTTTTTTGCGCTCTTAGCACCTTACTCAACTTCCAGCCACCACCAAACACGCCTCCTGGGCCTGCTGGCGGCGGTAAATTTTCACATTTGGTTTTCGGGGAATATGGTGAGCCAGAAATGGCACCCAGAGATTTCAACTCGGCACAAGACCTTGAAAACTACATTGACGAGACTATTGTAAGCTTCTGGCTATGTCTTATTTATTACCCCAATCAGCTTACATGAGACGGAGGGCATCCGCGGCGTTAATTTTGCCAGTGAGGATTTGAAACTTTGTTATTGCGATCCCCATCAGTCCAATTTTATACTTCCGTATGAAGGGGGTTCGATATACGTGATAGATTTTGAGCGTTGTTTTTGGCTTCCGCCCAGTTTAATGAGGTGGGCGCTATTCGTTAATTGGAGAGATGAGATTTTCGATTATTTAGGGAAGAACCTCCAAGAGCTACAGCAACTTTCGGAAACGAATCAAACAGCCCTCAGTCACGTCAATGCGCAGCACGTTCGTCGCGAACGGCAGTTCTGGCGCCCACCGCCGCCACCACCACCGCCACGACCCTAGATTAGATAGTATAACAATCCAAGTTCTCAAACTTCACATCACATAGGAATATTTCCCTATTCTCTTCAGCGAATGCTAGCATATGAGCAAATCCAACGTCTATTGGTGAAAAGTATTTCAAGCCACCTTGACTTAGCAAACACTTTCGTCGTTTATATTTGAATCTTCAATAACGGCAAAGTCTTAATTGCTTCAACTTTCTCTTTTCCTGAATAGCGAACAATAATCCCCAAAGTATTTAGTAAACTTTGAAAAAGTACTCACATTTAATCATGTGATTAAAGACAACCCATTTTCCGCACCGCAGGCTAAGCCCTCCGGGGTCCTGCTAATGCCCCCTAATTTGTTGTCTAGAAATTACAACAACAAAATAACATAGATAAGGGCCTTCTATGTTAAAGACCTGACGACTTACAAGGTTTTCAGAATAATACTGTCGAGGATAGAGCACGAATCGAGATCCTAGTTATTTAACCCAGATAGTGCCTCGTGCTAATTCAAACAACAAGCGCCGTCCATTTTGAAAGGCAGATAAATCTTAGGCATATTATGATATTAGAAAAGTAATTACTTAAATTTTTTTAAAAGCTATAACTTTAAAAGAAAAACTCATAGAAGGCTTAAATACTTTATTTCTTGTGGAACTTTTATTTATGGAAAGTAATATTACTAAATATTTAAAGATATTCGTTTAAATATATAATTTATAAAAGATAATTAGTAGAATTAATGGTATTTTTATTGACATATTAAGATAATTAAATTGTACTCTCAACCCGACTCACTCACTCCCTACCTAATAATTACTAACCTCCTACTCAAGGACTCAAGGACTCAAAACCCAAGAAACAAAACGCTAAAACACCAACATAAATACAACTTAACGTTGGAGTACAAAAAATTAAGCTATCCAAGTCAAACAATTCAATGTAGGTACCAGCCATTCTAATACTGATTTTGTGTGCCTTTCGGTATATTGTATTATTCGCTCAATTTGTTTTCCTTCACCCTTTTCTTACACCAGGTAGAATACCATACTTACCACTGATTACTCCATATCACCAAAGCTACTTGCTAGCCAACCATGCATACCCAGATCTATGTGTATTACCATACTCCTCCCAAGACTTGTGTATCTTATTGTGTCCCAGTAACCTCTCGTATTTATTTGATTGCGGGTATTATATCAGCTATTCGCCACATCTTCGACAAGAACTTATTGAGCACAGTTCAGTTCACCTCCTTGAGAACCGTTTGTGGAGTGCCACTTCGGATTTCAATATCTTGAGCTCGGGATTTAGGATTGCCGATGGGTTTGCCGTTCTTCTTATCGTTCCCGCCACTTGGTAGTTCATGTACCTCGTTAGCGGTGCCGTTTTCCTCGGTCCTGCTCTGTGCTGTCTCCGCCACTCCATTCTGCTGGGCCCCATCTTGTGCTGCGTCTACCACTCCATTCTCGCTGCGCCTATCAGGTGGGGTCCCCCCTTCATTATTCTCGTGAGTCACATCTTCCATCGTCATCATCATCGCTGTCATCGGTGATATCTTCTTGTTCTTCTTCTTCTTTTTCGGCGTATTCTCCGTTGCGGGATTATTTGTTGTGGTCTTTCCCTTCGGCTTCCCCTCCCCTGGGACCTTGACTTTCGTAGGGTTTTCATTTGCTGGCTTCTCTGCGGCATCCTTCCCTACCGTTGCCTTCTCCGTCGAGGCCTTCTCCTCTGTGCTCTTCTTCTCCCTTTTTCGTGGGCGAAGCATCTTTTTCAATCTCGCAAATGCTAGGCTTCTAACACTGATGTTTGCAAAATGCATTACAGCAATAATATCCTGGAGTCCGGGCACACCAGCCGGAAACACCAAGTGCAAGCCGGTTCTTTGCTCTTCATCCGGACACCACTTATCATGATATCCCTTCTTTCCTGAAACCTTTAGTCCCTCGAAGACGGACTTATGTGTTTTCCTCGTTATTCTCTGCATCCATGCCGGCATACCGCTGATCTCGCCGGACTGTGTCAAAGGTTCATATCCAAAAGACAAATATGAGCAGCCGGCTGCGTTTAACAATGCCATTGAAGAAAAGATCAAAAGATCACTAATTCCCCGGGGTGCCGATGGGGCGGCCACACACGGATCAACGTGGAAACCATTATTTGCACCAATTCTCCGCAACGCAGCAAATCCGTTAGGAACACCAGTCCGATCCATAGTATAGACGTAAGTCATGAGCCCTGTAATGGCAAAGGGATCATAGACTGTGATGAAGGCTTGAGGGTCTTGGGACTGGTTTCGGGCATCTCGCCAGGCGTCATAGACGGCAACGAGCTTCTGCTGGAGCTCAATATTCTTGACCGTGGATGGATTGTAAACACCAAGCGTGACACCTCCTTTCGTCGGGTTCAAGAGTTGGCGGTTTTGGCTGACGATGCGCTTCGCTGTCTCTTCATTCAACACGGGGTTTGTGACCGGATTGAGCACACGCTCGCTGCCAAACTGTATCGTCGTCCACTTATGCTCCTTTGCATAGGAGATGAATATATCACTGGCCCCGACAAAGATGATTCCCCAGTTGTGCTTCCGCCGGTATTGGGCAAATTGTTCCAGCACCTCTGAATAGAGCTCTTCAGGGCAGAGCGGATCGCCACCAACGAGGCAGATATTGTCCTTTACTTTGAAGTAGAGCGCCGCATTGAGAGCTTTGGTTACGAAGAAGCTGTATGACCCGTCTAGGATTCCCATGTGTGATACTCGGCCATAACCATCGGCGAGGTTGCTGAGGGCTTCCACAGCCGCGAAGTCTCCAAGCGTGAACACATTGCTGTGGCCGTCTTTGGTTTTGTTTAGAGTTTTGAGGTCCACGGAAGGGGATGTGCTGCTCCCAGATTTTGGACTGGAAACCGTCCCACGTTTTTTGTCAGGGTTGGCTGTCTGGAAGACGTTGTGCTGAAAACCCGGGGGGTATCCCTTCTCGACTGAAGCCTTGATTATCGGTGGCGTGACGGTCAAGGATGACTGGACACTGATAACCCCAAGATCTCTCAGTCTGTCGAGCAGTGTTGGTGTGTCGTGTGGTGCCTGGAGGTCCTCGATCAAATTATCAATCATATTGCGACCCAGTTGTTCAAAGAGTTTCGTTTCGGGCGTATTCGATGCTGCGGGACGCTGTGGGTTGGACGATTTCTTCTTGGACTTCTTAGACTTTTGCCCGATCTCCGACTGCGGCGGAGACAGGCTCTCTGCGCCATTGACTGATGCCATAGTTGCTGTATCAGGAAGTGGGACGGGGCAAGTATTGAATTAATTGAAGAAGGGAAAGAACGGAGTTGTACAGGAGGTCAAGCAAGTTGACCGATTAAAGAGGGAGGTGGAACGATAGAAAATGGGTTGTAGGAATGGAGGAAGGGAGATATTGTCTCGGAAAGCGACAGTCACACAGTAATATTGGTCTCCCTGTTCCGGATAAATTGAGCTTACTCTGTCTAGCGCTAGTCTCAAGGGGATGCCATGTCACGTCAACATCCAACAAAGAACATGCGACATGCGATATGCAGGAGCTGTGGTTGACAGGTTGTGAGACATTAAGGTCGATCGATTCCTAGGGCGATAAACAGGCTGCATATCGATGCCAAGGCTGCCCGGTTTACACGGCGATTACCCATGATTAGTACGGTTCTGGTATCGCGCCATATCGATACGGGCGTAGTACAAGGTTCCCTTCCCACGCCATCAAGCACTGTTGCTACTGTTGCTACTGTTGCTACCAAACTCTATTTTTGCTTACTCCGTAATCGAAATACGTACCGCTATACGTAGTACCATGCCACGTTGTTAGGATAATACGTAACCAGGATTTGTCATAATAATTAATTCACCGTCGACAACCTAGCTCGAAGACTTTCTTAATAAATGCATGTGGCTAACTCAGAATCTTTGATCATAGCAAAACAATCCCGGTTTAATTCACATTTACGTGAGCTTTGCATTTACGTGTACAACTCCCATTGGGCGAATATCTAATATGCGGAATTCCTGACAAAGCGCAGCGATGGGTGCCACGACCATATTTAGTTCGACAAATGCCTTCCCAACTCCAATGCCCCCATATAACACTGCATATAAGATAAACCATCTCAGCGGTTCTTATTCCGCTCGAGACCCTTGTTTTCGCATCCTCTCATGGCTTTCCAATTCGCTTTTGGAGCCTCCATCTTCTAAACATATAGATAAAAATGACAAAACCTAAAAGTTGAGTCCCAGCACTTGCAAGTGCAAGACTCCACGATCTGCCCTGAGAAAAGTTAGTCTCACTAAACCTATAGCGACCACGAGCTACCACGAAGAGGTAACAAGGAAAAGAGGCCCTGAACTTACCCCTCGTTTGCAAACTTTGGTAAAATTAACAACACCTTCAAAATTAGGTTGGATTTGCTCAGCAAGAGGAGAGCAAGCCCAACCCCAGAGATCATTCCCCGTCTTGCCCACTCGGTACAGAATTGCAACCACAATCCATGTGATAACATGAGCTGCTTCAACTGCATAACTGAACCATGAGTGAGCATTGCTGATGGCGTTGGCGCGCTTGACGCTGAAAGCGTAGGCGCCTATTATGAAAATGCCTGTGATGAATGTAATGATGGATACTGCGAGGAGCAATATCGCCGGCCATAGCGACGTGCTTGCAGACCATGGGCCCCGCCCATCGCGGATGATATCGCGCGTTTTAACAAAATTGTAGATGGTTCTGGCTTCCTGTTCTGCAGTCAATGCTGCGATGACCGTAGTTGCTAGCCGTGCGGCAAATCGCAGGATTCTAATTGTTGCCTTAAGAGACTAAACAAATGTTACCTGAATTAGCTGCGAGTTACATAGTGGCGATCGGGAGGTACTTACAGCGTTCTCTTCATAGACTTTGCTGGGGTAATGAACGTGATGTCCACCCTGAATAAATGGCTCCGACTCGGTATGACTCCCGGGGAACGGCATTCCAGGGGAGTATGAAGGCATCTCGCGCGGATGTAGGGGGATATCATGGCCTCCGGGCATGGTTGGTGGGGAATTCATTGCGGTTACAGCAGCACAACGAAGCGCGTTGTTGTTGCTGTTGCAAGGAAATGTCTAAAAGCACCACTGCGAAAACCAAGGCTCAGCTGACGGTCGCAATATACATCCAATCTCTCCAGCCCGAAGCACCGTTAAGTCAGGAAAGGAGCACCGATTATCTTGCTATTCAACCTTCGCAAATTGGATTCGAATGTTCTTGGACTATCAGCCTTCTCTAATCTAAACAACACGTTTGGTGCCGTTGTCATGGCGTGAAAGCTCCCCAGACAGCACGTACTCTGTACAGAGTATTATGCTAAAAGCTGACTACGGTCGGTCCGACCAGCCAATTAAAGCAAAGTACTCGGGAGAGTGGGTGGCTTCAACCAGCAAATAGAGTGGCTGAGTTGGTTACTGCTGTCAGCAGGAATGTGCAATAATAATGGCCCCGCATCCGCTACCCAGACCTGTAAGACGGACCCCACGAAGGTTACACCCACAATAGGCATCCATAACACGGCGCAGTCGATTTCGCGCCGGGATGTATCTCCTCCGTAAGCAAACTGGTGGTGGCGTACATAAGCAGAGTTCAGCTTGGAAGGAGACAAAATTACAATCACGTGGCTGTGCTCAATCACGTGGCTGTGCTCAATCACGTGGCTGTGCTCAATCACGTGGTCTACGGGTCGTCTGCGGTCCGAGCCACCAGCCACTCCACTTTAATCCGCCGTAGTTTATGGGCTAATCTAGATGGAGATTCGCCCGTTCGGCGTTAGGGCTCTGCCAATTTTGGGGGCTTGAGGTTTATTCCAACTCCCTTGAACTCCTCTTTGTTTGTGCTTCATAGACGAAACTTATCGCAGCGAGCATTACAGATGAAGAGTTTTATTAGAAGAATTGCCACCTAATTCTCTTATCGCTGTGGAATCGGTTCGGGCCCCACTGGGGACTTTCTTTAGACGAGTCTCAAGATCGAATTCTCTTCAACTACGATCGCTATGAAAGACGCAATGCAAAGCACTACTACACTGTACTTAATAATGGCAAATCGAGGTTGCACTTGCACACCATCATAAGGTAGCTGGTATATTACCACGTGGCTACGCGGCCAATGCTTCATACCGACAACCGGCATGAGCTGCGGGAAGTCCCACAGTCACTCCCGCATACCACGATACAGAATTGGTAAATCAGCGGGATAGTGCAGCTTGGCCCAGTAGACGAAGGTCTATACAAATACAAAATACCTAGGTAGGTACCTAGGTACTATGTAAGGGAGATAGGGAAAAATCCCACCACGCGTGCGAAGTAGTGATGCGTGCCAAGGTTATGTTAAGGCGTAGAAAAAACGGCCTCAAACAAACTCACAACCATCTCGTTGGACCAATAATTAATCGGCGCGCGCTTATGACATGGTTCGTGGCACGACGCTGAAACGGGGATTGGATCCCGAATCCGGCACACGGCCCCCCATTTTGAGCTTATTATTATTCAAACACGGGGGTGCTATACTGTAGCTAGACGTATAATCCGTGGGAGGCCTATGGGTTTACCTTGGGCTTGGGATTTTCTCTTTGAATACTTCGTGGGCATGTCCTGGGAGCTTCAACTCTAGTTTCCGCAATAATAGTTTTGTCTTCCATCTTGAACCATCACATACTACTTTCTCAAACACAAAAACCTTGGCCAACTTCATCATGGATATGTCTATGGATATGCCTATGCCTACAACCACCGGAGGCAGCACTTCCATGGCAATGCCAACCTCATCCTCCAGCATGTCCGGCATGACAATGGGCATGCCTGGCATGCAAATGGTCTTCTTCACTTCAACGTATACTCCCCTATTCTCTTCCTCCTGGGTGCCTACCACCACTGGCCAGTATGTCGGCACATGTATCTTCCTCATCGTTCTAGCGGTCATTCAATTCGGCTTGATCACTCTGAAAAGCAACCTCGATGCTACGGTTTGGTCACCTCGGTCGTGTTGCGCGCCTATGGGCCAGGAAAGCTCCGAGAAGGGAGGCGAAAGTGGACAGGTTTTGCAGAGGGCCAGAGCCTCGAGGCCGTGGAGGGTGGCGATTGATGGTCCAAGGGCGGCCTTGATTGTTGCTATTGGGGGCTTGGGCTATTTGCTGTAAGTTCAGTTCTTTCGCTCGTGGTCTCCTTAGTATTTTGAGAGCGACTGATTAAATGAGCTCGTATTAGGATGATTGCGGTTATGACTATGAACGTCGGGTACTTTCTGTCGGTGCTTGGAGGGTTATTCTTGGGGGCTTTTGTGATGGGACGATTTGATGGCGTGGTGGATTATTGAGGTGAGACAATGGCGGGATTGAGAGACCACCCGAATAGTTGTTTCGAACTGTGGATAAATGCTATATTTATAAATTAGCCCTCATGAATGCTGGTTCATTCTAAGTTATGGATTTGTCCTCAACGCTGCATTTGTGAGACTTCATAATTTATGTAAACACGTAGTTCATCCACTTGGGAAGATGAACCCTGAAACTAGGTATAGCATTACCACATACACTGATTTACAAGGCCGCTTCAAATGTCTCAATTTGTTCGAGGCACTTAGCGTCATGCGAACTCCTATCAGAACCTTCCTCGACAATGACTGGAAATCTTGATTTGGGTTGCGGCATTGTGAACCTTACAAAACAGGTTCACCTAGGATTGAAATTCTGGAGAAGTTGTTGAATTGTGGTAATTATCTGGTCTTCGCTCCTCATTAACGTGGCCTTGATGATTAATATCCTACCACCTATTCATTTTTATTTAGCTAGAATCCAATAAGAACGAGTAGGTTGAACTTACGAGAACATCTCCGAGTACAAATAAACCTCCTTCGAGCCTTCCTTTGAGTTCAGAATTCTCAGCTGCGCAGCAGCTGCTTCATTCTGCACCTCACCTAACATTGATGCCGGTCCACAAACAGATATCCCTACAGTCGTCTCCGGGTCTTGCGTTGTTGTTTGCACAATCGACTGAAGATTTGGTCGTCCAGTTGATACGTTGAGTTGTATACGAGATGTTACCTCCGGGGTATCCTTCGCTGAAGAGATTGCACCCTTTTCTTCCTCTATGGCGAGTGAATTCGTGCTACTTTCTGAAGCGTCTGTTGGGCCGGTTAAGAACACATTGATCCGCAGCCCGTCCGTATTGGCTTGTTCCGGGAATTCTGTCAAGATTTCATTAAGCTCCTCGGCGAACCATTTAACAAGATGCGAGTCCCGGGTAGCGATAACCACATCCATTTGTTTCTTCGGCTTCGTGTCTTCGCCACTCACTGTCCTATTACGGGAACGAAGCCAATCCAGGATAAAAGGTAGTGTAAATCCAGCACCACCTCCTCCAGCCACGACAAGACTTTGATCAAATTCATGTAGGTGTTTGCTTTTTAATCCTCCATAAGGCCCGTCAAGCAGGACCGGAACAGAAATATTCGGCTGTTTTCTGGCAAGGCTCGCAAGTCGTCCTGTGGTTCCTCCCCTCGGTGAAACGAGGAATACCAATTTCGATGGTTCGGAGACCAGTTTCGAGCTCGGCAGAGAGCAAATTGTGAAAGGATGGGAGGTGAAAGAGTGGATACCAAGTGTCATAAAACGGAGGAACATGTGTTGATCGGATTTCCACCGCATATTCGTTGAGATGGTGATTTTGAGGGTGTCTTCGGACACCATGGATAATTGGGCGCGGTGTTTGAAGCCGTGTTCGCAATATGTTCGAAGGTGACGATAAAGGAAGGATACAGTGTATAGAACGCCAGTTGCAATAAAGTAATCACTGTTTGAAATATTAGGAGGAGTATATATAAACGGGGGGGTCAAGTTACCAAGATGTCAGGCGGAACTCGCAGTGCAGAAAGAAGAAAACCATAAATACAATCGCCGCTATGTAATGCGTGGTCTTGAAAAACTCGTAAAAGCGGTTTCTATCAACTGTAAGTTGACGCTCCTCTCAATTCTGAAGGGTATCGTACCGTATCATGGGAATTGACATGAAAGTCAGGTGGGCCTGAGCAATCAAGGCGACCACACCGGTCCAGTAAACCACACTTGTTCTCCATTGAAGCATCATATCGCCCTTCCAAACATGGAATATGATGAATGGGAACGTGTGAATGAGGCCCAAGAACATCATGGCCCACCCGACCCAATTGTGGAAGACAATTAATCTCTCGTGCGATACGCCAGTCAACGAAGCGATCATGCTGGCCTTAGTTCCGAGTATCCTAAACAGCAATTAGGAAAAATTCCGAAAACGTTTGTCAAAGGAGGAATACATTAGGAACGGGAGGCAGGCTAAAGCCAACCATCCTGTTCGTGTCGCGATAGGTGGCGAATTTCCATAGCTCAGAGTTCTGGTGTTGGGCCAGTAGTATGGTTGAGGTCCCAAAGTCATGCCTGAATTGAATTGGATTCTATCAGTTTCATTATGACGTTGATAAGCATCGCACAAAGAACACAGTGTGACTTACCTAAGAAAAAGATAGCTCCAGCTACCCCAACTAGAATGACCCCGATTGATTGTGACCGCCAGCGAAGAAATTTAACTTCAAATCCTCGGTATGACAGAAATCGGAAGGCGCTCACTGCCTTCCGCCATAATCTATTGTTTGACAGCCATGATGGGCAGAATCTCACTGCAAGACGAGCAGCCGCAAATACAGTGATGAAAGCAACGAAGAAGTAGACCGTGTTCAGCGCGTAGATATGGTCAGCTTGGTACCTAAACCATCCGTTAATTCGATCTGGTAGAGGCTAGTATGTTGAACAGTAGAACTGACCAGTATCGCCAATGTCCCTTGCGGTATGCACATTGCTCTGCAGTCAATTTGCACATGTCCATCCGGGACGAATGCAGCATGAGCGGGTAGTCGAGCCATGGAGCACCCATTTTGGAATCCTCAGGAGCTTCCTGTTGTCTTAGTTGCAGCCTTAATTCCCAAGTACCGGCAGTCTAGAGTAAATAAGAGCCCAGGGTAATGCAGTGTCTCAACTAATAAGTTTCACGAAGAATCGCGAAGTTGCGAAGAGCACTGGCCTAATTGCAGCAAACACATTGCCAATATGATGTTCCTCCATCATCGCCAAGAACTGAAAACAAATACAATAGTGGCCTCAAGAGTCAAGCTGCCGTACGAACCGGCCCCGCTCTCTGACCCTCGATAGGCCAAGTTGAGTAATATAGAGTTGATTTGATCAGATGAGCATGTATGCGCAAGTTTTGATGAAGTTAACTCCTGGGTTCCGGTTATACGCCAGAAGCCCGCTACTAGAGCACGGAGTAATGCTTGTTTCACGGCCAACTTTATTAACAGAGTGGAGCGCAGTTAGTTGCCCCACGGATTGTACGTAGAATTACTACGAATAACGGTTAACGGAAGTATGGGCCCGAACCTATCATCCCTTAATAAGTAATAAATAGCCTTGGGTTCAGGGGTTATTGACAAGGTACTCCGTATATGTACCGCAAGGAATTTAGGTCCACCAATGTCGTAAATTGGTCAATATTCAACGACCCTAGCAACATAGTTGATAAATCCGAGAAGTATCTAGGGCTTATACTCGGCAAGTACTACGGAGTACATGCTTTTCTAAATAGGCTCAGGTAGGATATATGATTTCGTGGTGTCGGCAGATTCAGTCTGCAGCAAGGGCTGATCCCGGCCAAAGATCGACACCGGCGGAACGGGCCCTGGAATCGTGAGGTTTGGGGATGAGTGGATTGCGACTTCTAGAAGCAGTTCTGGTTTTGAGGATTTTAACTAACCTGATTATAATTATAGAAAAGGCTCATGGAAAAGTAAAAACCTCAGTTTGGTGGTATCTATCGGAGTCTAACATCGATCAACCGCGAAGTGGTAGTGCAATGCTAAAGACTCATCAGAGAATTGCCTAAGCTTGTACTCCAGACCAGCAATTAGTAGTTAAATAGGCCAAGGAATAGGAGAAAAGGGCAGTAAACCCCCACAGAAGGTAGAGAATAAGAGAAACCAGGAGGCGTGGGGGTCAAATTTTCGCCCTAGGATTTGAAAGATACATATCAAAATATGCACCTTTCTCCCTATACCTAATCGTATACCTTCAGACAATTGTATATCAAATTATCAAATTAAAATTATAGAATCAACAGTATCAAGAACGAGGAACGAGGTATAATTGGTGTACTTGATTGCTATGCAAAGGGTTTGAAGGAGAGTGAATAGGGCGTTGGTGAACCGCCAAGCGATGTACACAATTTCCCCAAGCGACCACGTGGCCTGCCATATGCCCATGCTAGCCGCCGTACGAGGTACGGGGCACCGCACTCGAATATACTACACAAAAACCAGAACGCGTTCCAAACCTTGATCCGTTCTTGTATTAAAATAATACAACCTAGCACTGTTGTGCAAGCGCCAACCCAAAATCCCGCAGTCATTTACTCGTAATAATTCTGAACCTTTAGCCCCTTAAACTCGAAGGAAGTGCCTTCACGCTTATCCAACACTTTCTTGTCATGAACATCCTTGACCCGTGCCCGAACATACTGGGTGCCGGTGACCGCCTCAGTACTGTCATTCTTGTCTTCTTCAGTGAGGAGCCCGAGGCGCTCGAGTAGAGGGGAAGGAACGGGCTTCATCGGCGTCTTATCTCCAGGTCGGCTGAAGTAGAGCAAACCGAGACGGGGTATGTTGAGCTGGTCCTTTGGTGGTGTCACAACCCGATGCACGGTAGACTTTACGAAACCTGTGGGAGAGATGAGCTACAGTTTCAAATATTGGATTGACCGGGGATTGCAGCACTCACCCTTAGTGAGGAAAGTTAAGGTATCCGCTGCATTGCATGTAATGCCACCTTCAACTGGCTTGACCCATTTCCAGGCCCCTTCTGGTGTGCGAATCTGCAAACCTGCAACATGTTGCGAGAAGAGTAGAGTTAGACTTCCGAAGTCGGTGTGGCCACCTTTCGAGTAGGCCTGTGCGCGGTCCCATTCGTCTTGTGTCCTTACGTTGTAGATCATATAGCGGAGATGGTCATCAGAGTTCTCATCGTATGCGTGCGCATCCGCGAGATAGTTTTCGGGCAGCTCCAGAATGATCGCAATGAGCACAAAGAGCTTGCGGGCAACCTTCTCCCAAACATCACGGTGAAACTTTGCGATCTCGTCATAGTGGGCTTTGACGATCTCATGTCTGCCCTCATCTTTATAGGCGGGGATTGCTTTGGGGATGTTGAGCTTAATGCAGTCAGCATATGGTATATATGATACCCCAGTCAAGAGGATATACGGACCATTTCAATATTCTCTTTGACACCAGTATCACCAATCCATCGCGAAGCATCGCGGTATCCGAAGTACTCTCCCTTGGGGAAGTTGCAAGGGAATCTGCTCTTCTCCTCTAGAGGCTCCTTGAAAAATGTGTTGCCGAGGCTGAATTGTTTAAGGACACGGTCGTCTTCAATACCGGAATTAACAACCACCCAGAAGCCAACCTTGGTGACTGCATCATAGAGCTGCTTGGCAAGTTCCTGCTTTCCGCCTGGCTCGTCGAAGCGGGAGAGATCGATCTTAACGAGTGGCGCCCAGTCCAGGTCCTCGGACGTGGGTGCAGGACGGCTCCATGGCTTGACCAGAACTCTGTCGGTAGTTGCGGTTTGGGGCTGCGTGTCAGTGGCTGAGGGCGCCATTGTGGAAGTTGTGTGACACGTAAGGGGTATAATAAAAGGTATTAGAATAGCTGAGTGTCGCCTAACTGAACCAGAGTTACACAGCAGGGCTGAAAATGATGTAGATTTTTATGCCCAAATGGCAGGGTTGCCTCCCAGCTTTAATAGCCATCCTCCTACACCACGACAACCTTCGATTTCCCATAGTATCAGGAATTATTTCTCAGTCGACTCGCGATACATCTCTCAATTGTTGCATAGATTACGTGCTTTGTTTGTCAGCAATACTTTAATGGCCGAGCTCCCCCCTGTCATCCTCGTTAACCACCTCACCTACTAACTTCGCGACTGTTAGATGTCGTGCTCGAAACTCAACATGGCATCAGCGTAGCTATATAATACAGAACCAAAAGATCATCGCGATGGTGGATTCGAAATCAGGGCACACACGGTAATATTTAAATCGCCGTTCCTCCCCTCTTCTGCTCATTGCTAACCACTCCTGTTAGTTAGTTGTGGATCGAGCAATGTCGTGATCCAACTAAACATAGCATAACCACTTAAGTTACTTGCTTGACACTTCATCTAGGACCACGAGGAGACGTGGGTGGTTTAAGCTCTTGCATATCTTATCTGGATGCAGGCCAATTCGGATATCAACACCGTTTTCTCCAGGACGAAGCATACGTCCTCAGGCGGCAGGAACAGGGGCGTTTGCATTGATTCGGATTTTCCACATGGAAGCCATCATCTAGCCGACGCTACCTTATCAGAGATGGCTTATTCGACACGTTCAATAGTTCTCCATCCAGTTTCCCATAATGGATACTGATTGGAGCCCAGGCAACCAAGTGGAAGCCAGTCTTTGATTACGACGCTCTCATTCAGTTTTGTCGGATAACGCTACTAGCGGCAAGCAACTAGCTTCCGAGATCAAGTTTCTTGGCCGTCCATGTCCTCGGAGTTAGCAGCAGTGAGAATGCAAGTGCAGAGCTCCATGGGGAAAATACCGGATCCCCACTTATACCCTCACATTGGGATTTCGAATATGGACTCAAGATGCAAAGATTGATATGTCGTTATTGAACGCAATTTATTCGTGATACCCGAAGCAATAATATTGATACATTTATATACCGACAGGTTGGTAGAACAAAATGCTTCTGTTCGTCGTGGGTCACAGTCACAGACACACTCCCCTCCACGATTTTATATTTAGTACACATATCCCCTTAACTTCCCCACTTCTTTCAACTACCGGAGAACATGGCGGAGACGGAGAAAGGTGCCAAGTCGTACGTCGACACCACGCCAGTATCCAGCAGTGAAGATAACGTCTCAATCGAACAAGAGTATGATGCAGCATTTGAGAAGCGAGCTCTCCGCAAAGCCGATATCTGGCTAGTCGGTTTCTACTCCCTGGTGTACATCTTCCGGGTGATCGATTCCTCCAACTATTCCAATGCAGCAATCATCAACAAGGAGCAGGGAACCAACATCAAGACGCAACTCAACTTCTCCCCGTCACAATGGTCATGGACACTCTCCATCTTCTCCTACAGCTATATGGTCTTCGAGCCTAGCAACACTCTGCTCTTGAAGAAATTCCGGCCATCGGTATGGATGTGTGTCCTCATTCTCGGATGGGGCGTTTGTGCTGCGTGCGTTGCAGCCGTCCAGGATTTCAAAGGGATGATGGTCGTACGTTTTGCAATTGGCATGGCGGAAGCTGGTTACTACCCTGCAGTGTTGTACCATATGTCTTTCTGGTACAGGCCTTCCGAGATGCCATGGCGTATCGCGCTCTTTTATTCCATCGGCCAGGTAGCTGGCGCGCTCAGCGGTCTATTGGCGTATGCCATCGGCTTCATGAACGGTCTTGGCGGTCTTCCAGGATGGCGATGGCTCTTCCTCCTCGAGGGACTCCCCTGCATCCTCTTATCCGTCGTCGCACTTTTTGGGCTTCCGGATTATCCTCAGACTTCAAAGATGCTTACGCCGGAGGAGAAGATTTTCTTCGTGCAGCGGTTATCGGCCTCGGCGCCATCGGGCGCGAAGGGAAACTGGGATTGGAAGTCACTTAAGCCTCTGTTTTTGGATCCAACGTTCTATACTTTCAGTATTTACTGGATTGCTCATGGAATTGGTGGATTTGGTGTCTCGTATGCTTTGCCGACTGTCATTTATGAGCTCGGCTTCACCACGACTTCCCTCTCTCAGTTGATGAACATAGTATGTTTCACCACTCCCTTTCTTTATTGATCATCTACTAATTTCGATATATAGCCTCCATTCGTTGCATGTTTCTTCTTCCTCAACACGCTAGGCTGGCTACTGCACAAACGATTGATCAGGCCATGGACAACGGCCGTTGCAAGTACTTACCCCCTCTCCCTTCTTAGCTCTCCTACCCTTTCCTCTTCTCTTCGCATACTAACACCTCCCTAGTCGAATTTACCACAATAATCTGCTACATCCTCTTAATCACAGTCCCGAACTCCACCGTAAAATACCTATGTCTCGTAGTAGCAACCTCATGTGCCGGCTCCGCATACCCAGTAATCTGGCCCGAACGGATCCGCGCCCTCGACGGTACTGTCGCAGCAGGAATGGGCATTGGATTTACCAATGCGATGGCGCAGTTTAGCGGTATTGTGGGACCGCATGTGTATAGTACGGTTTTTGGACCGTCATATCATGTTTCCTACATTATCTGCTTGTGTTTTTTGATTGTTTCTATTAGCGGTATTCTCTGCAGTTGGTGGCTTGTTTTGAGAAGGGATAGGAAGGCTGCGGAGTTGGATGAGAGTACCTAAATTGGTGTATGGGTGTTTTGGAGTTGTGGAAGAAGAAAAGATGGGGTGGAGGAGTTATATAGAAAGAAATTACAAAATTTTGCCTACGACTTTTTGCTCACCTAGCAAGTCTTCACTTTCGTTGATGCCCGGTTCATAAAGTAAGTTTCCTCTTTATGTAGTTTTAAGAAAGCATGCACGTGTCTATGTAAACCGCCAGCGCCCACGTACCACTTTGGGGAAGGCTAGTGTCTCTCACTTGTAAAACTATAACTTCATAAATGAGCCCTTCCTAGATATGATCATAGGCATATCCAGAACAATGTTGTCGTTTTTTTAGTTGCTACTTAGAAAGGGAAGGTTTAGTGAGTTGGAACTAACTACGGGAAGATCTTAGGTAGGTGAAGTCGAACGAACCCCTATAAGGCCGCTAAACATAAAATACACACTAGGCATTTGAGGCGAGTTGGTTAGAAAGGGGAGAGCTGATATTAATGCTAAACGTTATATGGGTATTTAATTCGTCATAGCCGCACCAACACAAAAACAATTATTAGATATTGGAATCCTGCGCATCCGATGAACTTATCACGCCGACTTTTGACCCCACCCACGGCGATCTCGCCGACCTCCCACGCCACTGAGCGCCAATCTGCGACCGATATTTCCAAAACATACAGTGCTGCAGAACAGCACGCTGAGAATCCATATCCCGCATTCGATGCTCTCTCTGCTGACGTATTCATCAATACCCATTCCTATCATGCCGCCCATTATATCGTTAGGGTTAGCGGTGGTATTGGTTTTGTGGAGAGAAGATGCGGGGCTTGGCATCATGTCTGGGTTTGAGGCAAGAAGTAATGCTGTCCCTGTTGCTCCGACGGCGCTGGAGAGAACAAATCCGGGTGTCGAGCGATCGATTAGATACCATAGAGCTGGATTAACGAGGAAAAGGGTAAGGGAGGCTTGGAGGCTTGATGCCCAGGGGAGTTTGCGCTGAGATGCGAGACATGGTTAGCAAAAGCCCTTCTAACCCTGGGAATGAGGAAATTGGCTTACAATAGCAAAAGCAATTCCAACAAAAGCACCCACACTTCTAATCACCGGTGTCCAATCCCCACTGAATATGCTACTCGACTCCTCCGCTTCTCCTTGGGCAAGTTTTGTAGGGCTCGCATTCCGACCTCCAGCGGCAGAATAATCTGAATTCGAGTTTTCTGATTCTCTAGATGCGCAAAATGAATCGAACCACGGCAACAAACTCCCTAATGCCACCCCCGCAAGACCCCAAAATACAAGGTATCTCCAATCATGTCGGGGCTTGATGATGTCCGGTACCTGGAAAGGTGCCAATTTCCTATCGCTATGCAAATGCCGGACCAGCGCCCCGTATCCCATACCAGTCCCAAATAATAGGATGCTTCTCACAACCAGGGACGAAATTGTGGAGGTGAGGGAAGGCGGTGGAGGGGGAGGCACTCTAACTTTCGAGCGGATTCCAGCGAGCGCGGGGCTGTTGCATGAAGGAGTCTCCGCGCCGGTTCCCCAGGGCGTCGAGGGCTCAGTATAATCGCGGTCGGATTGGTAGCCAGTCTGGGAGTATATACCAAGGAGAGTGGAGGAGGTCAGGTTTAGGATTGAGTGAGTTCGGGAGGGAGTCTCATCGGGTTGAGCGGGGGACAACAGTGAAGGTTCGAAGGGACGAAGAGGCTTCGGTCGGTGGATTTTGGGACTGCTGTCGTCGGTGGACATTTTTGTTCAACGGCCCTGTCAGGGTGACGAGCTAAGTCTGTCTGTAATTGCTGAACGAAATAGTGCTTGGAAGCTCTGTCAAATCCCAAGTGATTCCAGAGGCCACCGTTTCAGTAGAAACCTCGATACTTCCAACTACCAACTATAGCTTCTTGTCTAAAATATAGAACTATCTCTTCTCGGGACTCGTCAAATTGCGGTGCTTTTTCGTTGGGCGCAGCGGAATTGCTATACAGGGGAGACCAGAGCAAAAGGTGGAGGGGAAACAAGCGAAGGACAAGAAACGTGGAAATAATAGAGTAAGTATGATCATAGGCCCGAGTATGGGAATGAAGGAATTGAAATGATCGTGGCGAGGTGGAGAAATAGGGTTGAGGTTGGTGTTGAGGTCGACCGTGCCAGTCTGGTGTCCTGTGTCTGGCAAATACTTCCCCCCTTGCACAAAGCTGCCTCCTGGTTGGCCGTGGGGTCTTCACATGTTCTGCCAGTGCTGCACGTGATGTGGAACTGGACGGGGGACAAGGGTCCGATATTCCGTGCGTCGGGCTTGCCAAGTCTGGCCGCCGTGCCTTCCTGCAGTGGTCAGTTGCGAAGTTATTTCCGCTGTGAGAACGGCGCAATTCGGCTCCGGCGCCGAGGCTGAGTAATCCGAACCCTGGGTGCGACCGACACTGTGAGGATAGATAAATGACAGTTTGGTCGCCTGTCCTGATGATCGTCGTCTGCTGCCCCTTTCCATCGCTAAAATCTCAGTCGCCCTGTCCCTGTCTCTGTCTCTGTCTCTCCACATCAAGAAGTGCAGAAAAGGTGCATACTCGAACATGGCCACTCATGGCATCCCGAATACGTGAACTAGACGAGAATTATACGACGTAGCCGTATGTACTCGTACTCCGTATGTGAAACCTCCCCAGAAGGTGGATCCTCGAACAACAGGACAAACGTAGGGTGGTACGAATCATTCAGAGGGCAACAAGACAACCATCCAAACGCTTTGACACAAACCGACACTATAAAAGAAGATATTTATATCGTCAGCCTCCTATTTCGTGTGTCTCCTAACCGCGATTTTATTAACAAATTATGATTGTCAGGCTTTTCCTGTGGTATTCGCACGCTAGAGTTAGGCACCGCCGCCTGGTGCTACTGTACTGGTCTTTGAATAGAAATTTCTGCGCATTGATGGCTGATGAACGATGCCTACAGCTTTTGATCTATAAATAGCGTGAGGCGATCGTTCATCTAACAACGACCAACTCGCTGAACCCCACCCTCATCTTCCCCTTGCGTTCTATTAAAAGACTCGGATTTGACATTGAGATTTATCTAGAATCCCTCTGCTCCGAACGAGCAACTCCAGAATCTTGTCCTTCACCCAAATCCCGCATGCCATCTCACCATCGTCCAACGCCAAGCACTCTCTCTTCCTTGCGAGCACCCTCTTGATGTCCTTCCTCCGGTGTCAAGTCGCTATCAGATACGTCGGCATCTCGACGAGAGGTGCATGCTGTGGTCTTCAATCTTTGATGATCCCGTGGCGACTTTGGATTACCGTTGTCGATTGCTGCCGCTTTCTTGCTCAAATTCCCACAGCTTCGGCAACGCTTGTAGTTCTTTCGGCGCTTTGGACTCTTTTTAACGATGCCACCGCTATTCTTGTCGATTTGCCCTAAATCTATATCAGGTTTCGTACAGACTGGTTGGCCCGTGGAATGCCTTCTATCACCGTTATCGTCAACCATTTCCAAGTCCAACTCTGAAATGTCATCCGTATCGCAAATATACGGAGCAAATCTTTCCACTCCAATCCCTTCAAGCTGAGTATCTCCCACGTTGCTTTTCTGTGGAAATAGAAAGCTCCAGACATAATAAACGATAACGATGGGAACGCCCAGAAGTGTAAAGAAGAGCGCGTTGTGTGTCCACGCGAAGCACAGTGCCCCAAGAATGATCGCCTTTTGGGCGATTTCCAGGCTAATCATCAGGAAGCTCCTAGTTGTGGAAGCTAAGATGTTAAAAAGCGATGTGGTTGCCGAAGTGTCCATGCCACGAGATGCTATATCTTTTGACAGGCGTTCTTGTGTGATGCATTTGTTCGACATGGTGACTTGAATTGTTTTGTTTCGAGCTTCTTGTGCGGCAGGAGGTGCGGCGATTGTGTTGTGGAAGCTGACAATCAGGAGATTCTGATAGATTGATCTTAGAGGTGCAAACTTCTCAAGTCAAGAGCAAGCTCCTTCGGTATTGACTTGTGACTGCTTCGCTTAGGCGCCTTTGATTCACTTGTATTCACCTGTTTTCGTTCTTCCGAGGTGCAGCCTGAGCGAGTTCCCTTTTCGTCATAGAAGCTACTACGTATTTCCAATATGGTATAGCAGATTTATATACCGATAGCGCTAAAGGACAACAGCCGTGTTTAGAGGTCGAGTAGGGGTCATTTTGGTTTTGATTGATTCATTCAATTCGCCGTTTTCTCCACCTGTTATCTTCTTGGTTGAACCCGATGTTTTTGGCAGCAGAGAACAAGCTGGGCAAGGTCAAAGAATCGATATGCATTGCTGCGGGCGACTAGTAATCGCATAGCATATCATTAATCAAATTTGCGGAAGCGCTTAGCTTTCCAACAGGGATGTCACCCTCAAGCTGGGGAACCCCAGTTTTATGGACAAGAGCAAATTCAAGATCCAAACTTGCAAACTCAACGGCACAAACTCTCGACCGGTCTAACACTCTCTGTATCAAAATTAGATCTTCAGCGCCAACTGCTAAATTAGCAATTGCTGGATTGTACATCTAACATTCGCAAACAACAAGCTGCGCCTTTAACCTAGGTTGTGATTCCGTACCTATAATCCCAACTAAGTGTTTGCTATGTTATTCACGTAGGTTTCATTCGAATCTATAATTGGGAAGCTTTGATCAACACGTATGCTTCTCTGTAAAGCAAATGTCACCATTAGTAGGTGCAGCCCACATGTCACCCACAAGTATAGGCAGGACACTGACAAAATGTAGAGCGACATTGTACGTGTAGCTTGGTGTTCGAGGAACACTTCAGCATCGGGGTTATCCCAGGTGCAGTGAATAAGTTCAGTATTCCGAGGGGGGGGGTGGTCCCAGAGTCGAGCTAGGTAAGGGGTTGGGTAATTTTGACACTGTACGGAGGTGCATGATGGTAGTTCTTGTTGGATTTTACAATGCAAAAGCTAGCCATGCATCTGTATAAGTCGTCCGTGGAGTATGTTAAGGTGGGAAACTCTATGGAAAGCATTCGACACCAAGCCAAACTCTTCTACTTCTAGAATCGGTCTATAACCATAGCACCCATCGATACGTTTGGTCAAGATAGCTACTTAAGCATATATCGATACGTACCATTTTACAATCGTCACATTATACCGTCACCTTCCAGGCGGTGACCACCAAACGAATTGCCTATCTCGCCATCCTCGCCAAACCAACCCCCAACAAAAAAGAAAGACGTTATCCTCAGATAAATTCAACTTAATCCTACACTATGTATTTTATTTTTCTAAAAAAAGAAAAAGGTTTAAAGTAGCAAAAGAGTTCGGCCCGGTGTTGAATGCCTACATCTCTTGTCGATTTTTATTGTTGTCGCTTTTTGTTGTTGTTTCCCTTTTTTTACCCCTGTCGTCCCTGGCGATAACGAAAGTACAATTTGACCAGAACACACTTGACCAAGTGCCACGCCCTTGTACTCGTTAAGGGATATTTACTTATTTGGCCATATATACTTAAGGGGGGTTTGATCGCCCCAAAAAGCTTTTTTTGACAAGACATATCGACACACCACCGCTAGTAGGTAAGTACCTTAGATGATGCTATGTAATCTAGGAGTATATGCTTGCCTTTGAAGATGAATTGACCATGAGCAAGATCCATTCTTGTTTATCTCCCGCTTGTAGAGGAATATTTTTGCCTCTCTTTTCTAGGTCCAGTTACATTAGCGAGAGAGGTTGCGTACCCGAAATCTGCCAGTATGCTAGTATCTTCCACCCACCTCGCTCACCACATAATATCGTTAGAAGATATTCAGCCACATTTAATTAATAACTTACTTCTTATCCGAGTACCTACTATTTAACTGTACCCACGTTAAAAATATAATTCATATCGGAAATATTGTCTTCTTACTTTAGATATAAACCATAGCTGCCTCTTTTTAACACAGCCCTCCTAACCACGATCTGCGTTGACGTTGCCTCGAGGTTGCTTCCCCCTGGAGCCCCTTTATTAGCTAAGCGAGATGGGTAATTTACCTCTTAAGTGAGATGAAAATTTTTCATTAAAAAAGAGATACAGATTGTGAACAGATTCTACTAGAAGCGCCTACCCTTTTGGCACGGATGGAGCTATTTTGCAAGTTACAGTTCAATCATTCTAGCTATCATGGGTGTAATAGGCACAATAGGTACCCAGTGACCTCCTACTACGGAGTCTGGACATAGTGGTATGAACCTGGAAGTATGGTCGCATCACCTGGATTGTTAATTGATTTTTTGATTCCAGGGGTTTGCACTTAAAAGGTAGCATGCTTAAAGGAGAGCTGGGGCAAATAATTGATTTCAATAATATGGACGTAGTAGGTGATGGTTGCAACCCCTGAGCAACCCCGTGATACTAAAGTTTTCTCTGGGCCAAAGCCGACGGGAAGCGAATCAAAAAAGGCATGAGGTCATGCGACAAAACAAAACCACCTGCATGCGATGAGACGCACGTGACGCGGTTGCCCCCTTCTTCCAAGTTGTATCAGAGCAAAACAGAGATGGCCTACTTACCGATCTATATTTCTAAAGTACTTTGGTAGAGTTTATTTAATGTATTGCCCGATGATGGCCGCCACAGAATTTCTGCTAATACCTCGGTATATGTAATGTTGTAAGCTGTAACGAATGAATGAGGAAGCCATTTCTCGCGATTGTGGATTTCCGAGGAAAGGGGAAAGGACAGCCTTAGTTGGAAAATCATTTCTAATGTATCGATTTGAACACTTTGGGTTGAATATTTCGCCGGTAATACTTAACCACCTTTTTGTAGTAGTCTTTTGTTATTCATTTTCCTCCTGACCTAACCGATTGTATTTGTATCCGGAAATGGCTCCTTAGCTCCTGAAGAAGGGAAGCTACTAATTACGACCTGGTAGCAGCGACGAAGTATTATACTCAGTTTGAGTGGAAATTGAGGTATTGCGCGGCTCTTAAAGGTGAAGCTGAAGCTGAAAGCTGGAATGGGGCTTGTCGATTGTGGTTCGTTGATAGTTGGCCCAATGGCCCGATGCGCAAAGTCAAAACCCAGATGCCGGTGGTGGGCTTTGTACGACATCGGTTGGGTGCTACGTAGTGAACTATGTACTAGACATGTACCTAGTACGTAGTATTAATATCGACAGAGTGGCCAGAACAAAGAACGATGACAAACACCGGCAGGGCTGCCAGTGTATCTATCTACGGTGTAGGGAGGTGGAGGTGGAACCTGAAAAAGGGGCGACAGTCCTACGGTGCTACGTACAAGTTCCAGTAAATCCAAGCACCGCTATGTCCAGTCCATCAATGTCGTAATAATGGTGGCTCCTCTCTTATCGCTAGTATTTGATTGTAGAGGCACTATTTTCGCATTGTTCAGTTGATGATATGATGCCTATCTGTTCTCCCTCTCCCTCTCCCTCTCCCTGCGTAATAATCAATTCCTCGTCGCCCATGCCATGCCCGCCCCGAAGCAGCCTAGCAGCGCTCCCACCGCCCAGCGTCGCCTTCGCCCTCGACTACGACTACGACTACGACTACCGACCCCCCGACCTGCCGACCGCGCACCTGGCAAAACAGCGAACCCAGCACCACCAGCACCAGCACAAGCACCACCAGCAGCACGTTTGTGTGGGAGAGCAGTCCAACAGCCCGCCACTCTGAGCACGACAAAACTGATATTTTCAATTATTGCACCACAACACCACGACTTTCCATCAATTTCCGTGCTGGATCCATCTCCAGCAGACCCGTTAACCCCGGTTTCGCATCCGTTTTCTCGAAAAACGGATGTCGCGGTCGCTTTATTATGAGTGAGGTTGGGGCTGCCGACCGCTCCCGCCTTTTGCGATCAAAACGCACCGAACTCAGGTACATCAATTCTGTCACTTATATCGATCGAATGCGCGCGGAGCCGCGCATCGATGCATGCCATTTGCACATTGCTAACTTGGGTAGTGGAATTGTTACGTCGCGCAAGAGGAAGCTTCGCGAGTTCTTTGCGGTTTGCGACACCGAAGGACCGCTGCCCCAACTCACTGGCTTGAATCTCGACGCGCCCCCCGCCACCCCCGCTGAGGAGCGCTTCCTCGATGTCAGCGACATATTAAAGTACGTTGCATCTATCTGCGTATCGCGATTTCATTCGATAAAATGGTTGGTGAGGGTGCACGTCGTGTTGTTTTACTGACCCGGTGCCCTGTAGAGATCGCCTTTTTGACGAGTCGAACCTCCCTACGCGTCGACAATTACGCTCCAACACCCTGAAGCAAAAATCAAAATCCCCCTCCCGCAAACCCAGCCCGGATGGGCGCACCATCACGACGACGCGGAAGGCGAAAGCATCGCGCGATGGATCTAGGGTGAGGAAGAGCCGGGCCTCCACACCGGGTGCGAGGAGTGATGGAGGTCGAACCACGCCGGTAGTCGAGATCGATTCGAGTGCAAAGGCTCTGGCAGAGATGCAGACTCCGATGGAGAGATCGGCCTCGAAGGGCTCGCAAACCGAACTCCCTGCCGAATCATCTGTAGTGCTGGACGAAATTGTTGAGGAGACATTCGAGGAGGCAAAGCAACCCCAACCGGAAATGCCAGATACGGTCATGTCACCAAAGGACCTGGAGAGTGATCGAATTCGGGACGTGTTGGAGAGCGGACCTAATAGTCCAGGCGTTGACCCCAGGAAAGCGATGCCCATTTCCACGGATGATTCCGCACAGTTATTGGCGCCTGTTAATGGAATAACACCTCTTGATCCAAACCACAAGGCTGTAACAGCCCATCTCCCTCCAAAGGAAGTACAAGAACGACGCCTCAATGATGCGGAAAAGGCTCGCCATGAAAAGGAGAAAGCACGCGCAAGGCTGGCAATCAATGTCTCCCCGGATGGTGCCCGACCACCTGAACTTCTGTCTTCACCAGGTTCTACTGTCGGGGCACAGTCGGCTACAACACCCGCATTGCATGATGCTTCGACGGATACGAGCCCGGACAATGAGAGCTCCCGGTATGATGTGGACAGGCTTGAGAAAGCAGAGGAACCTCAGACGCCGCCCGAATTGAAACCCACCGCCAAGGAAGTTGCCGAAAAAGAGGAACACGACAGAATTCTCGATGCTCAGATTGAGATCGCGCGTGCTGACATTCTTGCCAGTAGTCCAACCGCTGCTGATAACCAGTTGCGGATGGAGGAGCATGCTGCATCACTAAATGCAGCAGATGAGCAGAGAGATGAGGCTCTAGGAGATGCGGAACCCGTGGTAGCCCATGAGACTACGGATATGCTCACCAAGGATGCGGCTGAGGTTGTACGGGATGTTGTTGAAGATACGGCTCCCGCTGCTGACACCCCGGCTGATGTCGACGTAGTTATGTCTGGGGTGGAGGTGCCTAGCGGGGAGCCCAATGAGCCAGAGGCCAAACAGCCAGAAGCTAAAGAGCCCGAGGTACCCGATTCAGACGCTGCAAGCCAGATGCCCGCCGAAGCTATAGAAGTCGATGCTACAACGGTCAAAGATTCGTTTGAGAGCAGTGAAGCCATTGAGAGTAAGACTTCAACTTCGCCGGCTGCCCCTGAGCAGATTGAAACAGTTGAAAAACCAGTCGTTGATTCGAACATCCCTTCCGATACCTTACCTACTTCCATGCCTCGAAAAGCGTCTTCCACACCTAGTGCAACTCCTACCGTGGAACGCATGACCACGAGAGTTTCCTCAGGTGCTATGAGGCACAAATCCGTGTCTGAGATTTTGGGAGAAATACCAAGACCAAATACCGCTTCTATTTCGGGCCGGAGCCTCGCAAAAGGTGCCACCGACTCTGCTTTGACTGAATATTCTACATCTCCATCACGAAGCTCAACACCACAGTCCCCAGGAGCTCGGATACGGACCCTGATTGACAAGGCAAAGGAACGAGAGCGAAGCAAACTCTCAACGGTGACTTTCTCTCGTCGTCCTCTTAAGCCAGGTTCAAATGATACGGCGTTGATGCCAGCCGGCTCCCAGGCCGCGAAAGCCCCAAAGGAGGATTATTTAAAGCCGCTTTTTATTGCTACCGCCACGACTGACAAGAGGGGTATCCCAGCTCTGGACAGCTTATTAGGCTCGGCTCACAAAACCATTACAACGTCTAATGCTTACGTCCCTATACTTGAAAGCCAAACAACAAAGGTTCTCAAGCGCATATACAACTTGCAGTCATCAAATAAATGGTCCCTGCGGCAACCTAAGCGCACCATTGAACCGAACAGACCCACCACACATTGGGATGTTCTGCTACAAGAAGCGAAATGGATGCGAACGGATTTTAGAGAGGAGCGGAAATGGAAGATGACTGTGGCTAGCAACTTGGCATCCGCTTGTGCAGAATGGGTTTCAGCCAGCCCCGAGGATCGTTTATTCCTCCAGGTCAAGGCTGCTCCACCAACGGAGTTACCTCTACCAGAAGACACTTCAAAAGACACCGAAAGGGGTAATTCTTCGAGTCAAGACGCTTCCCGTTTGACCCCTGACCTCATCCATTCAGGAGAAAACGACTCTTCACTAGATGATTTTGATGAGGAACCTCGCCTGGATCTTATGGAAACTGTGAACCCAACAGCAATATTTGGTCTGCAGGATGACGATGTGGTCTTCGCACTACGAAGATCACCGATGGCTGACAAGTTACTGGAGGAATTGCCAATGTATGGCGCCCCGCTTGTAGTTCCACAATCGGAGTTGCCGACTTCGGATCTTGATCCTGATCGCTTCTGGAGGAGACCTGCTCTTCCCTTAAGCAAATATGTCGAAGGCCGAATGGAACTGAAATCCGAGCCACCTCCAAAGAAGAGGAGCCGTTTCGAGTACGACGACGAAGAGGACGATGATGACGAGGTTGTTTTCGGGCAGCCTGGACATAAGCGGCCCATACTTCCACCAGAGCAGACCGATGTTGCATTGTTTAACCCGGAGCATAAACATATCCTAGACCGCATGCACTCATTGCATCAGTTCCGGCCCCCATCCGAATTTCCAATGCCGCTTCAGAGTTTCTTTGAGACTAGAGTTGCCTCACAATGGACCTGGGACGAAGACAACGAGCTCCAGACCCTCGTGCGGGAATACTCATATAACTGGTCGCTTATTTCAAGTATGCTGACAAGCAAGTCTATGTTTTCGTCCGGTGCGGAACGTCGCACACCTTGGGAATGCTTTGAGCGCTGGATTCACCTGGAGGGCTTGCCGCCTGACATGCAGAAGACTCACTATTTCCGGGCGTATACAACTCGCATCGAAGCAGCCAATCGAAATGTTACGGCTCAGGCTCAAGCTCACGCCCAAGCCACAGCACCCCAAGCCGGCGCAAATGGTCAAATTCAGCCGCCGCCAAAACGGCGGACGACTGGCAGCGTGAGGGTTGAGCGCCGCCGTAATCAAAAGCATCTAACCTTGGTTGATGCAATGAGAAAGCTCGCCAAGAAGCGTGAGACTAGTATCCAGAAGCAAGCCCAAGCTGCAGGCATGGCTGCGCTACGGAAGGCTAATGAGAACAACCATACTCCACAACGAGGCCCCATCCATACACCACAGGACTTCAGTCGCATCAAGCATGAGCGTGAAGAACAGCTCAGGGAACGAATGATGCTGATGCAACAGCGGCAGGAGGCTCAAAAACGGGTATGAGTGACCTCCACAGAAATTCCATCTAAATATTGCTTTCTTACTAATACCATTTAGGCACAGAGGAATGCTGCCCAAAATCCACAGCAAGGAGGAATTCCTCCCGGAGGACCTCAAGCGCGTGGTATGCCATCTGCCGGCGGCCCAATGGCGCCAAACGGAACGCCTAATGTACCTGGGCAAAATCTTACCGTACCTGGCCAAAACAGGCAGCCTCGTCCTATGCCCCAGATGGGCCAACCTATGCCTAATGGTTTGCGAGTACCTCAACTCCCGATGAATGGCATGTCACCTTCTCCGATGCAAGCGATGCAAGGCCAAATGCCAATGCCTAATCCAGCTGTCAGCGTCGGGCTTATCAACCAGGCAGCTCGCACGGCCGAAGAGCAGCGTGCGATGATTCAAATGCAGCAACAAGGAAAGCTCCCCGGACAATCCCCTCAAATCCACAATTCTCCTCCCCGCATGAATGGAATGCCGCAGCCGGGTTTCCAGATGCAAAATATGATGGCCTTCAACGCAAACGCAAATGGCATACCCACTCCCCCAATCAACGGTGTGGTCCCATCATCCAATCAAGGCCATGGCCAAGCGGGTTCTCCAAGGATAGGTCAGCAGCATCCACACTCCCAGGAATCTCAAAATACCCACATCGCTCGTCTGGAGGCACATTTTAAGAAACAATATCCGAATGCAACCCAGGATCAAATCATGGCTCTGATGACTGATGCTTTGAAGAGGAACGTGCAGAGCAAGCAAGGACTGGCACAGAGTGCAATGAATGCGGCGGCAGGTGCCGGAACCCCCATGGGTGGCATGAATGGACAAGGTCCGAGGATGCCAGTTGGAGTTGAAAGTAGTCCACAATTATACGCTCAAATGTTACGGCAACAGCAGGAGAATCAGCAGAAAGCAGAGCAGGCAAGGCAGGCAGCAAATATCATGGCGGTAGCTCAAGCTCAAAGTGGCGGGGTGACAAGCAATGGCCAACAGGGTCAGGGTCACGCACATAGAAATAGCTCGGGGAGCGTACAGAGTTCGAAGTAGGGGTTACTCGGGCGTAGCGGTGATATGATGGGAAGAGCGTGATATACATACTCTGGTGTGGCGTTTGGGTCATGCGGGGGGATTGCTGAAATGAATTACACGATAGAGTAGATTTACGCAGCTCAACCGTGAGTTGCAATGATAGCTGTCTTCTACAAGTGAAGAAGATAGACATTAAATACATAATAATTACCACTTGTTAAAACATTACTTGGTGCGCTTTGTGCAGACGCCCATTGTAATTATTTATCCGCTTTAGATATAGTAGACCCAAGCAAGGTACGCAAGTTAAGGGGGGAGGTAGCGCGTCATGTGACTGTGGAGACCTTTAAACCTTGAAATTTAAGGCACACTATGCATCGCAAAGGCGCCGAAAGTTGACTCTTCGACTTGCCTTAACGCTCAACTGGCTATCACTCACAAATCCTCTTCCACACCCTCCGACCTCCCAAAACACACCCTCTCAATGACCCCATCAAAAGCGGAACCCGCACCAGGGTCGTCCGGCCCAAAACTCGCAATAAAAGGGTTTTCCCTATCCGCGAAATCAAGCGCAAAACCCAAACCGCCACCCTCAAGTTCTCTAGGCAAGCGCCCGCGGTCGACGTTCCAAGACCACTACAACGATGATAGTGGAAGTGATTTGGAGGGCGATTCCGGCCGTGGCAGACACGAGGTCGTAACTGGCTTCGCGGAGGGCGGTGCGATTTCTCGGAGGGATGAACAAAGGAAGGAGCCTGTGGATTTGGTGATTCCTAAGATTGCGAATAGGGATTGGAGGGGGGAGATCAAGGCTAAGAAGGGGAAGAAGAATTTATTGCCGCCAGAAGTACAGAGGCAAATGGAGGATGATGCTAGGAGGAGGAATGGTGGAGAGGGAGTGAAGACCGAGGGCGTGGATGTTGTTAATTCTAAGGACGGCGAGATCAAGTGGGGTCTTACTGTGAGGAAACGGGAAGTTAAGGTTGAGGCAAACGAAGAGGTTCCTCGATCCGCTGAGGAGGCTGCTGAGAGACCTGGGGAGGTTGCGAAAACGGATCAAGCTGCCGAAGCAACGGAGGAGAAGCCGAAAACTGCGGATGAAGAAGCCCTCGCTGCATTATTAGGAAATAGGGACGAGAAGAAGGGCCCCGATCTCGTTATTCCAGTCGCCACCTCCACCGTAGAGGAGCCACTCTCAGAAGCAGACGCATACCGACGCGCCATCGCCGCCGCGCCCGATGCCTCCACCCTCGAAGACTATGAACGCGTGCCTGTGGAGGAATTCGGGGCTGCACTGTTACGCGGCATGGGCTGGAAGGGCGAGAAGAAGGGACAAGTGAGGGATGTTAAGCGGAGACAGAATTTACTTGGGCTTGGAGCTAAGGAGTTGAAAGATGCGGAGGAATTAGGAGCCTGGGTGCAGAAAAGCGATACTAAGAGGCTTAAGGAGAGGAGGGGCGGTGGTGCTGAGAGGGAGAGGCGGCCGAAGGTTTCGGAGTATAAGAGCGAGAAGGAGAGGAGGGATGAAAGGAGGGAGGAGAGGGGTGGTGGGGGGTATAGAGGGGAGAGGGAGCGAGAGCGAGAGCGGGATTATAGAGAGAGGGATAGGAGGAGGTAGTCATATTGTTTGGATTGTGGTTGATAGGCTGCAAAGCGTCGTATCGTAGTGCACGAGAGACGCAAAATTGAGCATATAGAAGAGAATTGTCATGATTATGAATATAGATGCCGGGTATATGAGAGTATTTCCATGCAGAGCTCTCGACATATAGTGTTTATAGCAGCATGCCAAGTGGGGATTGTCTACTCGTGCTGTTTGCATATACTATTTCGAATAGGAGGACATTAACTCCGATGAAAGCAAGCCCTTGAACTATCTTATATTATCCCCGTCCCGGATCCGACCCCATCAGGTCGTTACCGCCTCGCTAATTTCGTCGCGATCCGCTCTTTGTTTCCACGCCTCCACCGAATGAATCCACCGCTGCACGGCTCTGCAACGAGTCTGCAGTGCAACGAAGTACACGCTGCTCGAATCCCAAGGAGAACTCACGTGGACGTAACCCTCCCAATTCCATTGCACGAATAGGACGCAAGCACCTGCACCAGATTGGGCGAAATTGAAGTTTTGTTGCACGCCGGACTTCCTCGCTCTCGCTCTCGTGTTCGGCAGTGGCGTCGGTACGTCGGCAGCTCCGTATATCTCGTTCATCGTTCATCGTTCATCGTTCATCGTTCGTGATATTTAACCGCTGTGTTGCGGTGGGGTCGGCTGCGCGAGAATGCTTGTCTATGGGGCCATATGCACCGCATCGCTCCCAGTACGAAGTATATCAGCCCCACGTCTATATGCGCGCATTAGGAACGAGTCAGGGAGGACGTGGATCGATATACGGATCTAGCATCGTCGTATTTTCGTATTTTCGTATTTACGTATATACGTAGATCTACGTCGTCGCTGTGGGGTTTATGAAGGGTGCAAGGGGCTTGGCGGGTTCTCTTGCTGGCTCGCTTTGGACATCTCATGCTCTTCACGTTTAGTAAAATACGTCGGAACGAGAACGAGATTTTGCGATGTGCAACAAAATGTGAATAGCAGAGACGGTGTAGGGGTGGTATTTATATTTATTGGTCTAGTTAAAGGCGCTATTGCTGCTGTTCAGTAAGTGGCTGCATATTTGTACATGGCGGCTGGTTGCCATCTCGTTGCTTTTTGGGTTCGATCTACTATTTTGTATGAACGACAGTAGTCGATTGTGGAAGATCCCGTGGTTCAAGCGATGGGGATGGATACCGAAGACTGAGGTAGTTCCTTGGGACTTGGATTCTACATTTGTGGTATGCACTCTACATTTGGGTTCGCAGTCGAATGACCCGAGAGCGCTCGCTATATTCATCACATATCAGTATCACAGTCGAGCAAGATTCCTGCAGCAGTGTTTTTATGAATTATTCCGTAACCCCTAATATTCTAAAAGCAAGCATGACCTGTATGTTTCCCTCCTGCAATCGAGAGATGAACCTGTTGGTAGCCCACTGGCTCAGCTCAATTCTGCACGCAAGACAAAAGAAAAAGCAGCTTGCCGTTAGAGGAGTGAGCGGACATTCTGTACCGTCACCAAGTGCGCCCCATTGAGCACTAAGCCGTCCTCCACTCGACCTCTTTCGTGCTTTAACGCTCGGAACCCACATGGCAAGTGGTCGAAGTCTCGGACGACGCCTTGGATGAAGCCTCGGAACCCATGGGAACGTAGTCTGCAGACCGCATTACCATGATCTCGTAAACACCACTTCTCTTGGTCGGTGCTTCAAGGTCATCGAACTCATCCTCCAGTGATCCAGCTGTGACCTGCCCTAGATTGGTGGTATCGCCACGCAGAGTAGCTTCGATGCCGGGGAAATCTGACGATCGTCTACCGCGTCCAACACGTCCAAGAGGTCCAACAGCTGCCGACACGTTCGGGTCCCTGAGTACCATGATGTCTCCGTTTCTCAACATTGTCAGATACTGCTGGGTTGTGATGCCTGTTCCTTCGAAGCCAAAAGGCGAGACGCCTTGGTCGTTAACGCCGATTCCCTGGTTGCTCCGGACCATCTTTCCTGTATCCGGATCCGGAAAGTCGAAATACACGTTCAAGCCGAGGAGAACGATTGGCATAGTGGGGTCACCAATGTTGCAATTGGCCTTGATTACTTCAACCCAACGTTTGTCGCCTTTGATGCTGGCCCATGCCTCTTAGGTGTATGTCAGCATAAATCACCATCATGTATATCGATCTGAACCTACCCTTCATAATTTCATCAAGACCCATGGACTCAAGCTCTTTAGCGACGCCGGTACCTCTCATAAATGGCTGATCGCCCTCAAGAATACGAATGCATGCAGCTTAGGTAGGTATGTATGTTAGTATATGACCGGCGTCACGGCGATCTTGACTTACCTTTCAGTAGCTCATGGAGATTCACTGTCTGAGGCGCCATGTTGAATGACAGTTTCAGCCGTTCACGCTTGGCTTTGGTTCGACGCGTTGTGGTGAAAGAAGAGGCACAGATCTATCAACAGGTTATGAGCTTATGTCGTTGTGTGTTAAGTTACAGTTGGTTGGGGAGAAGAGATGTTACCTGGAGCTTGAGATGTAGTCTTACGGACTAGTCTTTCACGGTATCCTGTCCGCCAAAGCAAGTGATATAAGGTGTTGTCGTAGGAGAAAGGAAGCGAGGAGAGGAGAGAGGAAGCGAGATATTTAAGGACGTCGAACGCGATTCTGGCCATCGAAAAGCTGCCGCTTTTGACACCGCCTGTATCCAAGGCAACAAACGCACCTTTGGCAAATTTTCCCAGTGGTTTCTATACCGCCCTTATATTCGACGAGTGTTGAAGAATGATCCAATCATTAGATATAAGGGCGGCATGTTGTAGCCTGCATATGTCTCCTAGTTTTCATTGATTTGATTCACTGATTTGAGCAAGAATGCAAATACTTCCTGGCAGCCAATATGGCCACAACATGTCCTAGACATAGCCTCAATGCCGGAGTCAGAAACAAACAGTTGCCTCTGTAGTCTAGAATGCTTGCAATGTATTAAAACGGCCTCCGGGCGCTGTCTGGCACAAGCCAGTGTCCTAGCAATCATGCTAAAGTTAGACCTCTCAACTCATCCTAGAAATGGACAGGTACAAGTACGGATTCAATTTGTTACTTAGTTGCACAATGTCATCAGATGTTATACTAGAGCGGCCATTTTAATTTAATAACACAATACTATAAATCAGGGGAAAGGAACTTATTTTTGAAGAGTGATAGAGGCATTCCCCGGGGATTTGAAAAGGGCATTGACATTTTCCAGTGAATCCCATGGGGACAAAGATATTCTTGCACCAGGGGATGTGTAAAACCTGATGATTCCTCTCTTTGTTGTAAGCGACGATGTTACATTAGAAGCCTAATGCTAAGTATACCAAAGCAAGGTGGCAGCTTCTACGGAAAATCGTGTACCCAGGTAGCCACGATGAGTGGTTTTAAGCAAAGTGACCCTTCTATACAATGGGAATTATTTCAAAAATGCTATTCAAATTAGCCATCTCCTAGTTTGGTTTAGCCAAGTTGACTATTCAAATCATGACTGTATCATAGAATTCAACAAGCCCCAGTGGCAGATTTATAGGGTCTAACACATTGGCTCATATTTTGATATGTTGCGGATCACGAAGGGTTTCGCTATCTACTCTGGCTAGTCGGAATATGTTTGAAGCTTTTTGTTGGAGTATCCAATCTATTAATGCTCAGATGGATCAATACATTACTGCAAAATATTCTCATTTTATTGCTTATTTTATAGATGTTCGACTAAGTAAATCCCCAAGTGTCTTTGAAATTGCCAGCTACCCAGCTACCCAGAGTTATTGATTTATCGGTTGATTTGAAATGCCACAGTTTAAAGCGCCCTACCGGCACAGTAGCCCTTGATCACTTTTTGCTCCGTCCAGAGGAACCATCACTCCTAGTTTTTGGAGGTTATAAATCAGACCAACTATAGAGCAGAAACCGCTAGACCTCGCTTTTAATCTTCGACCGTTTGGCCCCAACATATTACTCCTTCGGTGTCGTTCATGGAGACCTCAACAAGTCTAATTTCATTGTTACTACTGACGGTCCTCGATACGGGCAAGGAGATCTCGAGAGATGACTTCTCACGCTTAAAACAAGATGAGCTTAATGGACTTTGAATAAGCTCTCTGTAACAACGAAAATTGGGGGAAACCTTAACTAGAATTGGAGCTGTGAATATTATTTGATCCTGAATAAACGAGAGGAAAGGCATGAAAGATCAAGAGTGCTAGGTTATATTTGTGAGTAGGAGCCCGTGAGACAATCCAGTGCTCTAGTTTGATAGGCCTCAATTAGCAAAGACACTTAAATATCCTAGGAGTAATAGAACATGAATTAAATTACGGATAAAATGAACAGGATAATCTAATCTTATAAATAAGGAATCAGATACTAGAATTTGAAGACTATTCTGCAGACTTGGGTCCGAGTACTTGGTTACAAACATCAATGGATGAACCGTAGGTGCAAAATGTGTAGCGAGCTGGAAGCAAAAAGGGGGGTTTGAAATAACCAAATGAGGTGCGCTGGTGCTACCAAAAGAAAACCAAGGAATTCAATCATACCACGATCGACAATCGTTAGACTTGCCGATCGTAATTACCATAGCTTGAACACGAGGGCAAAAAAAAGGAAGGAAAAAAAGAAAGGTGAAAAATCACCAAAAAGTAATAACCGACAGAGGCAGGATTTGAACCTGCGCGGCCGAAACCATACGCTTACGTGAAGAAATTCGAGGCGTACCCATTAACCACTCTGGCACTCTGCCTTTTTATTGAAGAAATTTCGCTTAATGAAATATATGTGTGGGATAAGCTTAACCGAGCTAAATGCGGAGTCCAACTGACAAGCTGATAGGTTAGATGAATTGTAATTGGCTAGAAAGTAAAGATCTCGGAAGAAGCCGCAATCTTTTTATTTATCGGATAGTTGACCTGCTAGGTACCTCACCTCAGTAGCTTTTTACTAGGTAGCTAAAGATATCCAGATAGTTTGGTTTTCAGCTGTGGCGAGGTTGCCAAGGGCGAATTTAGGTGGACTGTAGCAGGAGGTATTAATGACGCATGACTAGACCGTGTGATTAAAGCAATGGAATATAAGGAAACAATGAAAAGGAAGATAGTTGAGATACATGCACTTATTGAATACGATAGGGGCTATACTTTGTAAAAAATGAAGCATCCTCAAGAAGACTAAATATGTTCAACATCAATTTGAATATCTGGAAACCACTAGCGGTTCCCTCACTACGAATATAATACACCACCGTACTCATCGTGTCCTCATGCACCTCATTACAGTCAAAGGGCCTTATTAATCTGCCCGTTTCCCGGGAACTACTAATCAGGCGTCAAAAGTCGCTCAGCCAAGCACGCGCCCGGCAACCGCAGCTCCACTCTTATCTTTTGTCTGGGTCTTCTTCAGTTGTCTGCCCATCTGGATCTCACCCAACAATGCTGAGGGTCGAGCAGCCCCAGCTGGAGCACCTGCATTGGCGGCAGGCATTGGGGGCGGTGGAGGAGCAGGGCCACCGAAAGGAGGCATTGGCGGTGGAGGGGGCCCTGGGGCCATGTTTGGCATGGGAGGGGGAGGGGGAGCTCCGCCCTGGGGCATAGGTGGTGGTGGTGGGGGTGCTGAAGGAGAGTCTCTGGCTGGGGCGGGGCTGGTTGGTGTAGATCCGGGGCCACCAGCCGACAGAGGACGTGGAGGAGCCATGGTGCCAAAGAGAATAGATGCAAGTTGGCGAGCGTTGCCCGCACCAGGACCCTCTTCATCAGAGGAATCATCCTCGTTATCGGAGCCCACTACGGACCATTCATCCTCTTCTGGGCGGACACGAGAGGGCCTGTTGCCGGTAGGCTGCGTCACAATAGGCTCTGGCAACTTCGCAGGTTCCTGAGGTAGTCGGTGGAATGGGTTATTGGACTGAGAGGAGGACGGGGTTCCCTCAGTTCCAGCTTGTGCAAGTTTCTTCAAGAATGGGTTCCTCGTCTCCGTATCTGTTGGTGGGGTTGTAACCGGGAGGGTAGTTGTTGTGGCCTGTGGAGGGGCTGGTGGCACAACAACGGGCACTGGTGGAGGTGGAGGCGATAGCTCCTTTCTCTCCAGCTCCTGGCTACCTAGGGTTGGTGTCGAAGCTTGTGGTGTTACTTGTTCCGGACCTTCGTCATCTGATGAATCCTCGTCATCGATGGCCTCCAACTGGCGCTGCAACTCTCTCTCCCGGGCCTGTGCAGCTTCGATCTCCGCACGCTGAGCAGCCAACCTGGCTTCCTTCGCCTTTGCCTCAGCTTGGGCGGCTCTCTTTCTTCGCTTCTCCTCTTCTTTCTTAATCTTACCAGCCTGGACCTGCTCCTCAAGGGCTTTCAACCGGGCTTGAGATTCTTCACGCTCTCTAGCAAGCTCGGCCTCCTGGACCTTGGCATCATCCCTATTGGGGTTAGCATGTTGAAAGATATGTAGGATCTGGTTACTTACTCAAGATCCTGCGTGGCAAGAATTTGTGCTTTCTGCTCTTCTAGTACCCGTTGCTCCTCTGCAGCCTTACGCTCACTTGCATCGCTCCTGGCTGCTTTCCGGGAAGGTGGTGGCGGCGGCCTTTTCGCAGCTGCAGCTGGCGGAGGAGGTGGAACACCTTGCTCTTCATTGATCCTAGCTTGCCTCTCACCCTCGCGTCTAGCATCTTCTTCTTCGGCCTGACGTAATTTAGCTGCCCGTTCATTCTTCTCACGTTCCAGTCTCTGTTGAGTAGTTTCGCCAGGCTTGGATGGTGCTTTGATTCCAAGTTTCGCGAGACGCTCAGCCATGCGCTGCTCAGCCTGTTGTTTGATATACGTAGCTCGCTCTTCAGCGGTTTGGTACTGCGAATATGTCCCACCAGAAGCTGGTGCTGCTGTAGGCTTGGGAGGAGGCGCTTCGTTTCTGAGGGAGCTTGCTGGACTCTCACGACGTGATGAATCTGCCCGAGGCGAATCGCGAGTATTACGCCGGTCCTCCGTTCTGATCCTTGCAGCTCTGCTAGATCTCTGGAGGTCAAATATGAAATCTTTGACCTCATCTTCCACGCCAAGTCCATCTTCCCATCTCCGCCTCTCGTGCTCGCTTGTTGAGTCCTCGCCACCTTCTTTAAGGTTATCCTCCAATCCCCGAGCAAATTCACGTACGCTATCTTCAACATCTTTAACCATCCGTTCATTGTTTTCTTTCTCGTTTCTTATTCGGGTATTCTCCTCTTCCAAGCGTTTCGGGGCAGCATGGTCATCATCATTTGTCTCGATTTTCCTGCCAGTGAGAGCAGCGGTGCGTTGTTGCATCATTGCTTTTGCTCTTGCCTTTAGGCGATCTGACTCGGTGACAGCCCCGCCGGGACCCGTCCCAACAACGCTTGAGGCGCTTCCTGGATGAGCTTTTGCGTCCTTAAGCCGGAACAACTCTAGTCGAGAATCAGCAATGCTGCGTTCCGTTCTGCGGACTTGGGACGCGAGCTCAGGAAGCTTGTCAGTCAGGGTTTGCAACTGTCGTTTGAGAGCACGTGTTTCAGCACCAGAATCGACGTTACGCAGAGCTGCATCTGGATGGCTATCGATGTCCTCCTGAATACGACGAATACGATGGTATAAGTCCTCGGCTTCGCGGCGATCCCGCCGATCAAGGGCGTCATCCTCCTCGGCAGCATTCTCGTCCTTGAAGTCAATTGCATCAAGGAGTATTTGTTTCTCTCGGATTTTCTTCCTCAGTTGGTCGAGCGATAATTCGTCATTTGAGGTTGTGGAGGATGGGGATGAGGGGCGTGGGGAACTGGTGCCACCTAGCCTCCGCCGAGCGCTAGATTTATATCCAACATCATCATCATTGTTCTTGAAAACTGTGGCATCTTTTCGCCCGGCGCGTGCCGTGCCCGAGTCGCCTCTGAATGAATGGTTCTTGAGATAGCTAACTCCAGTTTTCTGTGGCAATAGAGTTGCACCAGAGTTTTTGCGGAAGTCTGATTCCTGATGGAGGAGAGATTTAACGGCACCGATCGAGTCGTTGAAATTCCGCGTAGATGGCGGCACAAGCTCGGGGGGCAATTGAGCTGGTAGGGGATAATTATTTAGCTTTCGATAAATCAAATGCATAGCAACCGCAAATTCATCCATATTAAGTCGGCCTTTGTTGCCATTGTCGGCCAGTGTCCAGACACGCTCCAGATCTGGCTTGTCCAGACCGCTTTGCCCGAAAACTTCAATCGCAACATCACCACTCATGAAACCTTTGTTGAGGCCATCCCAGGCCTTGAATATAGAATCATATCTTTGCTTCTCATCTTTTGTAACAGCCCAAGGGATTACGGCATTGCCTTGCAATCCAGATGTGGTAAAAGAACCTTGTTCGCGTCCTTGCTGGGGCATCATTCTTGACTGTAGCAAATCAATATTAGGTAGGCCGCTCGCAGGAGCATTCACCAAGCCCCACTGCCCCGGTCTGCCAGTAGGTTGGGTGTTCAGCGGTGCAGCCATGCCTCCCATTCCGGTCTGAGAGGGGGAAAGACCTTGATTCTGATTGAACCCAGTAGGCATGGGAGGCATGGGAGGGCGTGGACCCGTATATCCAGAAGCCGACAAATTCGACATGTTCTGGAATCCGGTCGGGTTAGCCTGTAGGCCGCCTTGTTGATTTTGGTTGAAGCCAGTTTGCATTGGTTGCTGCCCCTGAAACCCCCCCGAAAAGGAGTTTTGTTGCCCAGGGAATCCCGTCATCTGCTGGGTCAAAAGAGTCGAGTTCGATTGCATTGGTTGAGGTTGTTGAATTGTAGGCGGTGATGCAGCATTTGTTCTAACATTGAAGTCTGGAGCATTTGTCTGGGGCGCAGATTCGGGTCCATCATCAGCCACCCCAAAGTTAATTATGTCCACCATACTGGATACTTCATTCTTTATGTTGTCTGGGAGGACAGAGGGCAACTGCTTGCCAACAAGTTTTAGATTGCACAGGTACATGGCCAGCGCAAATTCGGGGAAATGTAGCTGGCCCGATCTTGTAGTATCTGCCAAAGACCTAGCATCAATATCAGCATGCTACTCTAGACACCAAATCAATATTGCCAAACCCACCATATTTGGGACAGCGAATTGCCATCGAGCTTAGATCGGAGCAACAAATCTCGGGATTTGTCGCCAGAAATTGTGATCCCGTCTCCAACCGCGGATTTGAACAGAGTCTCAAACTTCGCCTGGTCCTGCACAGTAATGAAAGAGAGCCTTATACTTGGAATCTTTGTGCCAGTCTTCGCTTTTGACGCCCGGCGTCCTCTAGCCGAACCTGTGGACGGTGCTGCCTTGAAGCTGTCGGCCATCTGAGCAAATCCCGTCGGTTGCGCATTCTGGACTGGCGCAGATTGAGGCTGTTGGCTTTGATTCTGGAACTGCTGAGGAATCTGCGGCATCGGGGGGGCTCCAGTCTGGAAGTTTTGCTGTTGCGGAGCTTGAGCATTGTTGAAAGGGGATGGGTTCTGCTGCCCAGGAAAGCCGGTCTGCTGCTGTTGCAACTGCTGAGGCTGGAATCCGGTCGGCTGACTTTGCATGGGATACCCCGTGAAATTTGGCTGCAATGGAGCTGCTCCATAGCCTGTTGGATTGCTGTTGAGATAGCCAGCTTGAGGTTGCTGTTGCTGCTGTTGCGGCTGCTGAGGCTGTTGAAATGAACCATACTGCGGCGCTCCGGCAGGCCGACCACTCTGTCCTCCCAGGTACGAATTCGACCCGGAGAACATGGTCGGGTTTGTCTCTGTGTGTTAAAAAACCTCGATGTGAAAAGATGCGAATAGATGGACGTGATGGAAACAGGTTATTGTCGGTGCTGGTGCTGTAACGCGTGGATACGGCAGAATGATGACGCTAAACCAATACCAGGCTTTAGCGAAGTGAGGCTTTGGTGGTCGAGGCGGTCCCTATTTAGAAATCCGGGGTGTTAAGTCGTTAAAAAGAGGAACGTGAATGAACGATATATTTAAAGTTTGCTCATTTATTAAAGGCAAAGTTATGAACCCAATATCTAATTTTTGACGCCGGTGGCTAAAAGTGCCCACGCGTCGGCACCGCTTTTCCATAACAAGTCCATAACAGCTACATGAACAGACCCTCGTTCTCAAGCAATCCGCAATTGAACATATTTGCAAGGCTACTTATATCTCGCTTTAAGCGCTTCATGTACCAATCCTACATATATTAGTATCATCTCCCCACCAAGCAATCCAATAGCCCAACACATCTCACGCCATGATTTGTCTGGCACCTATCCAGCTTCTACTGCACATTCTTTGGGAAGGCGGCCTTGCCAGCGGCCTTGCTTGCATTAAGTGCGCTGGAAAGGGCGAACTGGGTTGGGATGCCATCAGCACGGTGAGTGGAGTTCATGTTCTTCACAAGAGTGATTTGATAACATGTTGCGCCACCTTGACGAGAGATGATCGTGGAGTAAGCAAGGAAGAACTCCCAAATCTACAATGATTAGCAGCGGAACGACTGAATTGGCGCAGTGGAGTGAACTTACTCTATACCATCTGGTGCCATATTTGGCAACAACCTTCTCGTGGTTGCCGAGCCAATTGCGGTACCATCTCCAGAGCGTCGCTGAGTAATGAACACCAATAGTATCGATGCTCTTGACTTCGAAACCAGCAGCTTCCAACGAGCCAATGTAGAAGCCCAGAGGTGTGGAGGCATCCGCACCGGGGAAGATATACTTGTTCATGAAAAGCCCCCACATGAGATCCTCATATTGCCAAGGTTTTCTCAAACCAGCGACTTGGATAAAGAAGACACCATCATCATTCAGCATCTCATAGACTTGTCTCATGAAGCCAGTCAAGTGCCGAATGCCGACGTGCTCTGCCATCTCAAGGCAGGTGATCTTGTCATAATTGCCCTCGGGAATAGGAATGTCACGGTAATCCATGCAGAGGATTTTGCTTTGCTCTTCGGGGATGCCAACTTTTCTAAGCCCATTGTTACCCCAGGCTGTCTGGTTGCGGCCAAGTGTAACACCGGTAGCTTTGGCACCGTAGTTGACACTGGCAAACTTGGTAAGTGTACCCCAACCACAACCAATGTCCAACAGATTCTCGCCAGGTTGAAGATCGATCTTTTCGCAGACGACAGCGAGCTTGTTGTCTTGAAGCTCCTCAAGAGTTTCTTCCTTGTTGACATCGGAAATGATGCCAGATGTGTAGATCATACGTGGCCCGAGGAACCATCCATAAAAGTCATCACCGCGATCGTAATGGTCGCGTACTTGTTCCTCATCTGCGGCCAGTTAATTAGAGAGGCCACGTATCCAAGAAGACGCACACGTACCTTGCGAGCGGGTGTGCATGATAACTTCTGGTGCAAAGCTAAAAAAGATGAATTTGAACAAGCTGAGGGTGAAGGTAAAGCTGGCCCAGTCATGTCTGTACTCCAGGGCCTCCAAACAATCCCCATTGAAATCAACTTCGCCACCGAAGTACATGTTATGGAATGTCTCCATTGGAATCTTGTTCCTTCCGCTGTACTTAAGTCTATCGGCTTCGTTTTTGAATGTAAGGTAGTGTTCAACTGGGCGTCCTGGTAATTTAGCCTTCTCGTTCTTGCGAGGACTGAACATCGACGACAAGGTAAAGAAAGCCATTAGGATCGGCACTGTCGTGATGAGGCCAAAAAAGATGGAGGTCTTTAGACCCCCACCCATTTTCCATGCCATGTATGTTGGTACGATTGCGATGATGGCGATGAGAGCAACATTGGAGAAGCTATCGGCGCCCGCACCATCAGCAGGGAGAGGAGCATTCTTGATCGATGGATACTAAAAAGAGTCAGACAATTGGATTGATACGACGGACAATATGTAACATATGATGGCGTAAGGGATCGGGATGTGGTGACTTACAGATGTTGTCCTCACACCACAAGGTTCGGGAGTCTGAAAAGTAGCAGCAGGAGCTTTCGGAGTCTCAATGAACTCGAATTGGCTCTCTATGCCACTGGGGCCGGGCGGTTTTGACGACATTATCGGCCTCTCCTCAATTGAACTCGGAATAGGAGTTTTTGAGGGTTCAAGCGGTGAATCTTAAGGACAGGTCAAAAGAAGTCCACGAATATTCTCGCCGTGTTTTGTGTTTCGCCCAGGCGGTCAAATGAGCTTAGCTCCCTGAGCTCGGGCCAGGAACAAGGACCCGCTTCCCCTGCTTCCCCCCTCCGGTGTTTGCCCATGTCACGTGGCAAAACACACGGTGACCAGGAAAGATCAACAATAATAACTATTAAACGTCACTACTTAGTCTCTTCAAAGCTGGTCCTACCCTCTTCTTACCTTGAAGTGTCTCCCAATACTTCAAGCAAAATATAGGCCTCCAGATATCCTAAATTCGACATTCAAGCTTCAACGACAACCTCTAACACGTGATATCAACATGGCTTCCGCGAGCCCCTATCCTGAGCTCTTGCCAGGGTTGTGAAGTAAGCACTTTAAATTCAAATGCTCACTTCTATATGTTATCATCCACTTACTAACTCGAATTACTGCTATCTAGAAGCATGGGGAAATCCGCCAAACGTAAACCCGACCCTATACTTCGCGTGGGATTTCATGTTGCGGTCCAAATACTAGCTGAACGAGTACAAAAACCACTAAGCTGGGAAAGCTCTGCAGCATCCGGAGTAATTCAAAGGCGGCATGGGTTAGTGACGTATTTCCTGAGAAGACCTATATTCTAGTCAAGAATTGCCCTCCTAGGGTCACATGGTACAGGAAAAGGCTTGCTTCAGGATGTCTACGGTCGCACGATGATAGTTAATCTGCTTGTCAGTACTTCGTAATGATACTACAGATAAGACTGCCATGTTGACTGGCCACAATGGGTCCCGTCGTGGACTTCGGCCAGGACGTCAAGGATGCTGTCAAAGAGATTGGCGACGCGTGTCCTACTCAGCATCTGACGCGGCTGGTTTGGGCCCGTAGTCGCCTCAAGCCTGCTTCTGCAAAGGGGCTCGGGAAGTGTTCCCTTTGCTATTGCTTCATCTTCGCACTCTCGTAGGACTTCTAGAAAGATCCTAAGCCGTGAAAGATAGGTAGTGAAGAAGCGAGCTAGCTCGCTTTCCCAGCCGCCCGGGAATGCTAATAATAGCCACCACGGCGGGTTGCAAGTGAATCGGTGGTGGTTGAGTAAGTTTGCTTGGGAAGGTCGTTAGGAGGATAGTTTCCTAACGCAACCAAATCATTCATATTAAAGGTCGGCGCCCGTCTGTTGATGGACCACAGTCCAGATTCGTCCTGAGTGATGGCTCCAATGCGGGAGAACTGAACTGGCATTTCGATAACTCAATCAATATTCCCGCCAATCCACGATGAGCTCTTCTCAATATCGAATTTACTAATATTCGGGTCCAACATATCTCTTCCGTCTTAGCCGATGGAGCGGTGCGATATTGTGATAGAGGCTTCCCCTCAACGGAAGTTATGACAATGTAAAGGGACCACTGCGTAATTGCCAGTTCCCAGGACCGTGGGATAAAGTACCTAGGTTGGTATTCAGGTGTTGTGAGAGATGAATTTTATAGTTGAGACCGCTATGTCAACCTTCTTTTTAGGAAAAAGCTAACCTCGCCGTGTGTAGCGAACCGAACAATTGCGTCGAGAGCCTTTCTTCGAATTGCACTCTGTAGTAGCGGTTGTAGGAAGCCATCGCAAGATCCCTAGTCCCAACTTCTTTGCTCGGTCGGTGGGCAAGCGCGCTGGCCAATTTATCCGGAGAATTCTTTTCTAGATATCTGAACTATACTATGTACCTAGGTACATAATGTTATTATGCTCCGTTGGAAGACTGCCACAGTCCATGATTGCACTCGGGTTGTGCTTGCAAAAGCTTGTAGCACAAGTACCTACCTTAGGCCTAAAGTGGTGACTGGTACAATGAAGCCGGGAGCTGCAGAATCTGGCAAAGTGCCAGTAGGACGATAGTGCTGTAGCGCTAACTAGGCAAGTACATTGAGGAGTGTACGTCTGTACATGAAGACTGTGGTTGAGTACAAGTGGATGTTCACAGCGAACAAGTGAACACCACCAATACTTGTACTTCGTAGTTCCTCTTGCTTACTAATCCGTGGTTCCACGAGGCTGAAGGAGTGAAGGGCGGAACAGTTGGTCTGTGTGGTCCACCGTAAATTTATTTTTTCGCCGAAGAACCTCGAGTGGGAAAACATCACTCACTTCCCACCTGTGAAACTTCCAAAACACACCGCTCACTGCTACTTCTCCCCAAAATCAAAATTCAATCTCGAATTTTGATAACTGGTCAATTGGCTTACAGATATTGCCACCTCCAATATCCGCCATGGACGAGATTACGGTCCAGTCGACCGGGCAGGGCCAAGTGCAAGTGTACTTCACCACCACATCTCCTGACATAGAGCTTCCAGAGGAGAAACGTCAGCTGCGTGTTCCTACTTGTAAGTAGAATATACTCCCGGAGATCCGGAGTTTTTGGTAGTGCAAATCTCTAACTTTTCACAGCCGTTCGAAGATATGGCCTCTCGCAAATCCTCAATTCGGAGTCTATGCTCGATACTTCTGCGCCCATTCCATTCGATTTTTTAATTAACGGCACGTTCCTCCGCACTACTCTCGACGAGTACCTGATTGCACAAGGACTTTCCGCCGAAACTACCTTGACTTTGCAGTATGTGCGAAGTTTAATACCACCGCTCTACGAAGCCAGCTTTGAACACGATGACTGGGTCAGTTGCGTGGACGTCCTCTCGGCAAGCTCGATAGCGGGGACTTGGAATGGCAACGAAGTGTCTGCGGGACAGGAGCGCGTACTATCCGGCTCATATGACGGGTTATTGCGAATTTGGAATAAATCTGGACAGACAATTGCGACTTCAACCTCGGCAAGTGGTGGTGGACATACATCGAGTATCAAATCGGCAAAATTCGTTTCTCCTACGCAAATTGCATCTTCGGGTCTGGACCGCACGATTCGGGTATGGAAGTACGCGGAAGCTGCAGATGGGTTTTCTGGTGAGCTCAGGCCAAGTCTAGAGCTTTATGGACACAAGGGAAGCATAGACTCAATCGATGTCCACGGCCCGTCACACCGTGTCCTTTCCGCATCGTCGGACGGTACCGTTGGCTTGTGGACAACGCAAAAATCCCTAGCACCAGCTGCTTCGTCTTCTCTTATCATGTCTGCTCCAATCGCGAAACGAAGGAAACTTACGACCCAGACCTCAACCCCGCAGCGGGGTCCCTTATCCCTTATTTCCTCCCATACAGCGCCAGTCACGGCCGCAATCTTCAACCCTCTAGATTCAACTGTGGCATATTCAGCATCCCAAGATCATACCATCCGTACAATCGACCTTACGACATCGGCCGTGGTCGATACCCGGACAACGTCGCATCCGCTACTGTCTCTCACTGCGCTACCTGGCATAAGCACCCAATTACTCGCCGCAGGCACAAGCGCCCGGCATATCACTCTTTTAGATCCTCGAATATCCGCATTATCGACACAAATCTTAACACTCCGTGGACACACGAACAAAATTGTATCATTATCTCCAGATCCAGAAAGCAATTACGGACTTGTATCAGGAAGTCATGACGGCACGTGCCGCGTTTGGGATCTGAGGAGTACAAGACAAGGCACGAAGGATGAAGGAGGCGGATTGGTTGGCGAGGCCGTCTATGTAGTTGAGAGAGAAACTGAAAAAGGAGGGTCAAGACGGCCGGTGGCCGGAGAAGGTATTAAGGTATTCGGAGTTGCTTGGGATAAGGAGGTTGGAATCGTCAGCGGAGGGGAAGATAAGAGGGTACAAATAAATATGGGGAGAGGAGTGACTCGGGCTGATAGTTCGTAGCCTGTGATGAATATATCGTTTGATACCCAAATTCTCCTGGCTCTATGTGAGCTGTACATATCCATCCATCCCTCCGCATTACTGTTACATTTTGTGAAAACAAGGTCAATCTCAAATTTCTAGGCTCATTTGATTTTATGACAGTTTCACCTACCGGTGGGTCCAGGATTTGACGTATAAAAGCCGACCTCCTTTCCAGGAACCTTTCTAAACCACTAACAATGCAATGTTGGAATCATCGCCGCTATGCCGCCGTCCTGGTGTGTCTGTCATGTACTGTCTTGTCTTTGTAACAATTTCAATAACGCCATAGTACTATTCTTGTAATAGATAATTAATACCTAGTCTGTGAAATTCTTTGCTTATATATCAAGTTTAAGTAAAAACCTATTATTGTCAAGTTAGTGGTAGTTTGTTAAGTGTGGGTGGGGCCTGTTATTTAAATGCTGTACTGTTATTTTCACTAATTCTGTGTATTTATTCAAGGAGTAATTAGATGCCCACCTTTCATTCTGCACTCCTTTGTCATATCATTCACGATCAAGCTTGTCCCTCAATCAATTTCGCTGGAACAACTTCTGGCCAGGGTGGGGGAGGNGTCATGGTGATAGTGGTTTGAAGCTAAGTAGGGAAATTTTACAGGGAGACTATTCTAGAGGCATAACACTAGGACTAGGTAGGGTTTGGACAGGCTGCCTCATGTCGCTTGCCACTGGCCCCCCTATCTTGTTGAGCAACTCGCCATTTCTGGGGCTTGTTCGTTTGATAGGACGCACAGATATCGGATCAGTCAACTTGGCTTCCAAAGCATAGGTATTTCATCAATTTAATATTGTGTAGCATGTGCGTCTTCCTAGCACATTCGGGGCCTACGGCTCATACCTAGTTTGAGTTAAAAAGTGCCATATTCAACAAAATCACTCAGACCCATCCCCGTCACTCATTTCAGCATCTCCCTCATCAGAGCCATCGCTGTCTTCGTCATCCTCCTCACCTTCACCCGCTTCAAGGCCATAGCTCTCGTGGAAGCTAGATAGGGGTTGCGTCTGCGTCTTGAACCCCATGTCTGTGAAGTCCTTCACAAGTCCCTGATATCAAATGTCAGTACCTATCGTAGCACAACTACTCGGATTAAGACCGGTTTGATACATACCTCTTCCATGATTGGTGCACACGTAACCACTATATTCGACTTTCCAGGCACAAAGATCGGCATCAGAACATCCTTCATGACCGCCCTGATCTGGTCCACAGTGATAGCTCTGACCTGCTTCAGCATTTTCTGGTTATAGTCGTCTGCGACGCCTCGAACCACACCGTCAACAAAGTGAAATTGCCCCGCAGCTGCCATTGTCGGTTGCTCATCCGCAAATCCGGTGACAATCTGGCTCACAGCGCCCTCAAGAGCATATTGCTCAAATTTCGCAGTGCCGTCGATATAAGACTCCAAAACCGCTTTGGTAGCTGCGAACGCTCTATACGCATCGGGTGATCGGTATATGCTAAGCTGCACAAAGCCCCCATCTATATCCCTTCTGAAGCTTGCACCATATGCAAGCCCTGTTCCGCGGACAGCGGTCCAGACTGGACCTTCAACCGCATCGAGGAAGGATAGTGCCACCATGAGGGCAGGAAGTATGGGGTCAGTGTATGAGTTTGGCCCCTTTTCGGAGGCTAATAGGAACGAGGAGTCGATGGTTGCCATTGGGACTATGACTGCACCGTAGTTGCCTGGGGTTTCCCCATCGGGACTAAGCCGTTGGTCGAGTTTAACAAGGGGTGAAAGAGGCTTTGTAGTACCTAGATTCGCGATGAGGGGCTTCCATGCGTCAACTGGATTAGGAAGCGACTCTATATTAGCAATAACTAGCGTCCGCATGTTCTCGAAAGCGAAGAGCGATTTGCGCAGTGCCTCAAGCCAAGAAATCACCAACTTGGGGTTTTTCATGAGGAGTGACCTAAGTCTCTTCATATAGATCGCCTTGACTAACGTCCCTCTTGCTTTGACGTTCGACTCATTATCTAAGTGGATCATAGAATCCACGGCATACATCATGCTGTTGCCACTGCGCTTAGATTCCGGGATGTCGGCAAGAATCTTCGCAATGCCTGCTGTAAGCCGGGTCTCGTCGAAGATACTGTCGAACATCAATGCCCGAATCCACTCAATCGCAGCGGCATACTTCTCAGGCTCGACCTGAAACTGAATTACGAGGCCCTCAGCATCGCTGACACGGCCTCCGCCATTCATTGAGTAACTAATGGTATCTTGTTCTAATTGTGTGACAACCTCTTCGAACCCTACTTGCTTTCCATCGCGCATAATTGGGGTGTTGAAGAAATTATCAATGAACAATGGAAGCAATGGCCGGTGTTCCGTCGCAATCTGGGAGGTCCCTAAGAGGATGGTAATGTGCACGAAGTTGGTTGGCACATGCTCAAATTGGACGAAGAGTGGGACGTCGGGGTTTGGTTTTCCAATAATGTCCTGGATATTATTCGACGGCGTGCCTAAATCTCTTGCAAGGCCAGATCTCGCGGTTTTTGATTCGATGAAATGAATAGATTCAACACTAGGCACAGGCCATTTCTGAAGAAGTGAAGTTGGAATTTCAATGTCGTTCTTTGCGATGGCAGCCTTTAGTTGTTCAGTTAGCTTCGCTAAACCTTCGGGCCCTAATTCTTCTTTTCTTGCTGCAATGCGTTTCTCCTCGGTCTCGGTAATCTTCTTGGCCATTTCTTTCGATGGAGTACCAAGGAGTGAGATATGAGGGGCATCGGATATCCATTTCCTCAAAAACTCCCTCCATTGTCCATCGGTCCACTTCTCCAGAAGAGTGTACTCCGCGAGGGTGGACATGTCTTTCAGTGTCGAGCCGTCCCTTTTCCCGAAGAGGAAATCATTGATGATCGCCCCGACATAGAAGCCTCCAGAGCTTTCGGCTTGAAATTTGATCCGTCTGCGTTCTCTCTTGACACAATCCAACATATAACTCATATCAAGGGGGTTAGAAGCGACGTCTTTGAGAATTTCGAATAATCGCTGCTCGACATGGGCCAACTTCTCGGTCGCAACACCGGACGGCTGAAGCCAGATAATCGAGTTCGGCCTCCAATCGACCTGGTGGATTACAGAGCTAGCGAGGGCTTCTTTCTCCACCATAATATTCTCCAGAACAGAGACTGAAGAACCGGCAAGGTAGGTGAGAAGGACGTTCAAAGCTGCCGTGTCAACAGGATTATTGCAGTTGGGGCCTAAAAAGGCGATTGAGATTTCTCCAGTAGATTCGTCTTCCTCGGGGAATTCAATAGGCTCTACAATCGTTTGTTTTAGCACTGGTGGTTGCGGGGATTCAACCCATGGACTGCTGAAGTTAGGAAAGTTCTATATGTGGAAAAAGGGACCTACCGCTTGAAAGGAGTATCTGGCGATGGGATGTCATTAAGAATACCGTCCTCAAATTCATCCAGTATCTGGAGAAGGTTTTCTTGGTCTACTTCGCCTACAAGTACCAAGCACAAGTTCTTGGGCTGATACATTTCCTTGTGAAACTCCCGGATTCGGTCCGCTGTTAGAACCCTTAAATTTTCCATCAAGCCTCCTGTCTCATACCGGAAACCAACATTCTCCGGATATAGCAGGCGCCGAGCCCTAATGTCCATAATCTCACCGCCATTGTTCTGAACGCCTTGCATCTCGGAATAAACCACACCGGCGTCATTGCCGTCACCGTCAATATGATGTACTTCTGTATAACAGGCTTCATCTGTTAATGTCGGAAGGATGACGTGTTCCAGATAAACGGGGAGGATTTGAGCGAACCCTTCCCAGCCTGCAGTATCCAGAGTGTAGGCAGTATGGTCAGTTGCAGTCCAGGCATTGGTATTCGAATACGCTCGCGAAGCAAGTTTATCCAGAAGCCCCTTATACTGATAGCTTTTGGAACCCATAAAGATCAGATGCTCTAGAGTGTGGGGAGAACCGGAATCGTCAAAGATCTCAGTGGCTAGAGTGAAATACCCTTCGACCTTAGGCCCTTTCTGGTCTGCAACGACAACATGCATTCCAGTTCGCTCAGATACATACTGAGAGATAGATACAGGTGCATACTCCGTTTGGAAGCGCTGAACTGTCCGGAAATGGGTTTTCTTGGTCTGGTTAGACATGGTGGGCAACAGATGTGCTGTATGGCTGTAAAAGAACTTTGACTTCTTTAATGCTGAAAAGAATCGAGGCCTAGGGAGAAGTTTCGATAGTATTAGTGGATAGGTACTTGTACATTACATATTAACTATACACAAGATAGATAGAATAAACAGCGAACAGTGCAATTCCATCAGAATGGATTGGGGACACCGCACGAGTGAAATCATCACGTGATTAACAGGAGGGTTATTCATTCTGTGCTGACAGGGCCGGGCGAGGGCAAAGAAGGATATGGGCGTACCATTTGGGATATACCACTTGGTACAAAAGCATAGCGAGGATCCCGACCACAATAGCGGGCGAAATAAACCGACGGATCGACGGAAACCCGGCCATGGTGCGGATTCTGATTCTAGAAGAGCGTCACCGCTCAAAGCGAGAAGTGATGAACATTAAGAGAGTGGGATGATGACAGCGAGGATATGATGAGGATAGTAGTTGGAATAATATAGATAAGGGTGGTAGTAATAGTAGAAATGATATGGGTAACCACGACGGAGAAGAATGTTGTCGTGTATTATAAATGTAAGACTGCAGCTTCCATATACATACCTCAAGGTAGAAACCGAGGCAGATTGTAGCCTCGCGAAGGATCCAGGGATCTTCAGCTTTCTGGTTACACAAGAAAATAGGGAAGGCCACAGCTAAAGCCGTTCACGGTGGATGAGCGGGTGCCAGGCAGATAGTACTAGCAGTTGAGATGTTTTCAAAAGCCGGAGACGTATGAAGTTCCTAGTAACAAACGGTGGACAGGTGAAGATGCGGGCCAACACACACACAGCCTTTCTGATTAACAGTGTCTGCGCTGCGCTACGCGAAAACTTCAGTCAGCGTCACCAGATCACGTGCCGCATAGACGTCCGTTCTCGCGCAAGGCGGGCAGCTACCCTTGGCACCTTAGGTAAGCAGTATAGCTGTTTGTTTAGCTGTCATCTGTACTACGTGGTAGTGATAGCTTATCCCAGACTCTCTACTCAACTTACAATCCATGCCAGTGATATGTATCATTGCCCACAAGATGCGGTGTCTATCTCTGGGTAATTGTCGACTCTATCACATTTAATAAGTTCCAGTAAGAGACAGTTCGGTCAACATGGCCTCTTCCGACATCCAAGCTTCCCTTGGGCAAGCATTAGTTGGTTTCTCTAGGGATGCCCAATTCCCCGATGATGAGCTGGTGTCTGCGGCTTATGCTGATGACTCGGTTTTACCTGGTGCTTTGACAGCCCTGAGTGATGTTCAATCCGCGTTGGAGGTGAGTGTCTGGCCGCCGAGAACTATATGCGAAGCTGTCTAATGCCAATTATAGACCGAGATCCGACAGATCAGCCGCGAGGCTGCCCCCGATGTCGAACAATGGATCGCCCATGCAAAGACCATCCAAGACGATATCGAAAAGTCGAGACGGCTTGCCAATAGTATTGTGCGGCAAGCAGAGGCAAATGAGCAGCGGCTGGAGGCGTTGGAAGAGCAAGAGAACTATGTGACTTTTTTGATGAAGGAGGCCGCATTCAATCAGAGACTTGATGACACGCTCCGGTCAATACAGCAAGTAAAAGATCAGCTAGATAAGGCCTTAGAACTTGCCGGGGAGAGGAACTTTATCCAGGCCATGATGGTGCTTGAAGGTAGCTCGAGGGAACCATTCAACGAAAGAGTATCACGCTAAGAAATGGGTAGATTCCTACGCCGCGATTTCAACCATTCCTGCCGATAATATGGTGCGAGCTTGGAGGATACTGGATTCGAAATGGGCCGACCTCCGTGGTTTGATACATGAGCAGGTCAGAGATGTCTGGAACTTGTTAATTCATGTTGACATGGAAAAACGGGTATTGACAATCAACAAAACTCTTCCAGGTATAGGCTACAAGCTATCTTTTATCAAGTCGGTTTATAGCCTAGCTAACAGTCTACAGATGAAGTGATGAATTTAGAACAAGCTATGATTGGTCTAAAGACTTATAAAGAAATTGATGCTGTAGCTAAAAAGCTCTGGGAGGATCTAGACCAGGCGATACTAAAACCCCGCTCAGAGCTTCACGTTGGCAACTTACTCAGCATCCAAATCGAACAGGCATGTTTAATGCATTCAATTACACTCTCAATCTGCATGCTAACAGATCCTTAGAATACCATCAGTGCCAATCAAAACCACTCCGATACCACAATAAAATCTCTATTCTTTGACCTTGAAAAGGTTATTCGCTTTCTGATCGACAATCTTCCACCCGAGCTCATTAAATCACTCTCGGATGTGATGATGCCCACTCTGTCTACTAGAATCAAAGAGCTATGGCTCGATACAGCGGTGCCATCATCGCTTGATGATATGGTTGATTACCAGAAAGCGCTACTGCAAGTAAGCGAATTTGCCAATAAGCTGGATGATATCCAATGGCCGGGGACAAGTGTTTTCCACGATTGGGTCGCCAATGTTTCGAAGATATGGCTTAATAAAAGGAGAGAGACCGCGTTAGATTGGACGAGGCATCAACTATCATTAGGTATGCGAACTTTCTACTTATTAAATTGTATCTTATAGTCTCTTCTATGCCCTTTTAGTCCCGCCGCCAAACTTGCCCCACCCCAGCAGAGGATTCCTATGATGGCCTAGCGGCCCTACCGCATCTCATACTAACAGCGCAACTCTTACAGGAGTCGGTGCCCCTCGATCCGCAGAGCGAATCGAGAAACGCATGGTACCACGGGATGAGGGTCAGCACATAGCTGCAACGGGGACTGTCGCTACTGAAGACTGGGATGCAGCCTGGGATAGCGAGCAAGAGGAGGCAGCTCGTGAAGAGGATACAGGACGCCCAGAACTGAGTAAAAACCGCAGTTCTGTAGAAGAGGAGCGACGAAATTCCGTAATAGCTACCCATATTAATCTTGAGGAACCTCAAGATGACGACGACGATGCAGCCGATGCCTGGGGTTGGGGCGACGATGATACCACAGAAGCCGAGCCTGTTCCCGATAACAACCCAATTTCACCAAAGTCTGAGAATGAGCCAGCTGTAGCAAGCCGAGGGCTGCCAGATGAAAAGCTCACAGCAGATGTCCGAGAAATGACGTTGTCAGAAAAATACTCGACATCATCCATACCACAGCCTGTACTACAAACGGTAATTGGGCTCTATGATGATTGCGCCACGTTAACAAAACCAGAGTTCGTTTTCTGCTTCCTGTGCGAGTATGAGAGAATCGCCTGACTGATTTATTGCAGGAACGAACAGCTACCTGTGGCTCCTGCGGCCCCTGGCCTGTTTAATCTTCCAACCCTTATACTTGCTATGTATCGTGCGGTATCCCCGTACTACTACGCAAGTGATCCAAATGGCAACATGTAAGAAACCTCATACTCGTGGAGATATTGAAATTAACTTTTTGTTTTCAGGTACCTCTACAACGACGCCATGTGGCTGGCAGATCGGCTCCGAGATTTTTCCTCCGAGTGGAAACAGCGCAAAGATCTTACCGAGCGTGCTTATGGTTTGGTCAAGCTAGACCCAGAGATAAAAAAATTGGAAAGCTTTGGCAAGCGAGCTTATACCAACGAGTTGATCAACCAGCGAACTGTATTAATAGATCTGCTAGGTGGTAAGTGCTGGATGCGTATCTTTGTCCATAGTACAATTCTAACATAATCTTCCAGATACTCAGAACTTCCTCCAGCAAGATAAAAGAGAGATCATTCTCGGTATCAGTGATATCGTCCAACAAACCCGCGACAAAGCCAGAGCTTGGTCCCAAATTCTAACATGGTCTGCCTGTGCTTCTGCCGTGGGGTCCCTCGTCAACACAATCGCCACAAAACTCATCGCTGACATCTTCGACCTCCCCACAATCGGCGTCGACGACGCCGAAAGCATCGCCACAGTTCTCACCAAAGTCGAAGAACTCGACGACCTTTTTATCAAACCTACGGACCCCAAATCCTCCGACTCCAGTCACTCCCGCGACGAAGCATCCACTAAAGTTTCCCTCGCAGCCCAATTCGTCGAAAAATGGCTCCGGATGAACTATCTGAACCAGATCCTGCAGAGCAACCTGGCGGATATCAAGTTCCTCTGGAACGAGAGTGAGCTCAGCTATTATTTCACGGTCGACGAGGTCGTGGATTTGATTAATCTTAGTTTCGAGAATAATAATCATGTCAGGCAGACGATTAAGGAGATTAGGGCGAACCCGAACCCCAGGGATAATGAAGGGGACTGGTGAGGTGGGATGGAAAATAAAATGGACAGGCGCTTTTGGTATTTGCTAGATGTGGAGGAAATGGTGTGGTCGAGAATGAGGATGTGCAGTTGTATACTTAGTAGAGACATGCATAGCTACTACACCCGTACATAATGTGGTCCAATGGAATTATGATACCCTATCATACAATTCATGATTTTGCACTCCACATGATGGATTGAGACGCCCTTGCCTTGCCAAAACGTGACGACGGCTCCTAAATCTTCACAGCCAGCTTTTAATTTATTGCGCTGTAGGCCAGTATAAAAGCTACATCTAGAGAGTGGGCAAGACAGATGTAGTTCTTCACGGGCGAGTAGCAAGATCTTCATGTAAATCTCGCATTAATTCATTCTCTCTAGGAGTAGAAAGGGCGGCTGTCATCGTCCCCTCAACCTATGTGGTTGTATGCCATGTGCCCCTTCAGTTACCATTTCGTATCGTACACGCTTCATCGTGATTCGTGTTTCATGGGTCAGCGTTGCAAATTTCTTCCCCCACCGTAACACTCCATTTTTTCCTTCCGTAGAAGAAAACGCCCAGAAAAGAAAAACAAAAAAGTAAAAGGAAGAAAACGAAACAAAAGGCAGCGGCTTTCGATCCACCCCATTCTCAACGCCAACGCTCGTATCACAATATCCGCCATACCAACGCCTCCGCCCCAAAGAACAATTTAGACCACCCTCCCCACGCCATCCTCCGTCCCCTCAATCTGTATGCCGTGCGCATTGGGAACCCCGATAAGGATCTTTCCCTTGGGAACCCGAACATCTCTAACGTCGAAGTTGCCAAATACAACAAGTATCTTCAGATTGGGACAGGTTTTGAAAATGCAGCCAACAACAGAGTCATCAACGCCGTGACAGAAGCTAACATTAACCTTCTCCAACTCGAGATAGAGCTTGCCGGGTTCGAAAGCCCGGGAGAATGAATCGCGGGAGATGTGGCGACAGGAGGCAACGTCCAGGTATTTCAAGCTCTTGCCTGAGTGGTGCATCAGGGCTTCGAAACCAAGGGAGCAGAGGCCGACGTTTTCCGGATTTATACTCGGATCTCTCGCATCCATAAGCCGGCATTTATGCAGGTCGATGTAAGTAAGCGGGGGATTGTCCCAGTTGGTGAAGAGAGAAACGAAGCCAGCGTCGGTTAACGCCTCGTTGTCTGTAATCCGGAACTTGTTGAGGCTTCGGCAGTTATCGTGAATAGCGTTGAGGACGCTATCATCAATAACATGGACAGCGCTCAGGCAGAAGGTTCTTAAGTTGGTACCAACAGAGTTTAGGATCTCAACATACGGCGGTGAGGTCGTTTGCCGGTATATTTGGAGTGTGATGTGTTCAAGGTTGGGCAGTTTAGAAATGTGAGCGAGCCCTTCATCCGTAACTTTCTGGTTATGAGACACCTTAAGCTTCTTAAGTCCCGGGGATGTCTTCTCCAGGAGTGCAAGCTGCTCGTTGCCGAAATAGTTGTCAGTCCAGTACACTTGCAGGGCTTTCAGGTGCGATCCCTTCTCCACAAGGAAACGATCCCATCTATCATCAGTGACCAAGTTGGACCCGTGGATACTGAACGTTTCCAAGTTGACGGTGGTAGCGAGTAAATGGTCCATGACAACATTGTTGAATTGGATCCCATTCCTAAAGCGGAGATGCTTGAGAACAGGCATATATTGGAAGACTCGGATGTAGTCGTTTGATGAGAGCTTCGCACCATCATAAACAGTTAGACTGTCAGACCCAGCTCGAAGGAAGATATTCAATGTCTCCGAAGTCACGAGCCGCTTCTTCGAAAGTATAGCAGCCACCTTGTTAATCATGGTAGCTGGCAGATCTCCTAGCTCCTCAGCATCATCAGCGTTTTTGGCGAGTGTTTCCACACATAGTGTCACTAGGTTCTTGATCCCTGGATACACGCCATCGAGAAGGTCGCTCTGCACCTTACGTCGGCGACCTGTGTTGTTCCGCTTTTGCCTTTTGGCTGGGCCCTCTTCTTTGTCGAGGTCCTTGGCACACTTGGGGCATATAAGCCCACCCTCTTTAGACGCACGGGTATATGGGGTGACCGCAAATCTCTTCTCACAAACTGCGCAGTTTGCTGTCTGGTCTGGCAGTGGCGCCACGGTTTCGAGGAAGACTGCTCTTGCATCATCATCCTCATCCTCCTCCACACCGTGTTGGAGTCTGCGACGGCGTTTAAACGACCTCGAGGCCTTAATCTTGGCGATAGATTTCTGTTGGTTTTATTAAGTTAATACTTAGGAATACGATAGAGCAAAAGGGGCGGGGTAAAGGTAAGAACTTAGGAGAGCCTATAGAGCGGCGACGAGGCGTAGTGTGGGAACAGAATGACAAGAAATAAGAATATAATAACATACCGCCTCCTGCTTTAGACGTTTCTCCGTTTGCGCCTTGGTTTCCCCCATCCTGGCTGGAGCAGACTCCGACTCTGAGGTCGTCTCAGGCTCTGAAGCAGCCTCTGACGTATTACTTGTGGCCTCTCCTGTTTGCGGTGCAGGTCGGGAAGCGGCAGCTGCAGCAGCTCTCCTAGCGTTATTCTGGTTACGCATTATGGTTGTATTCGATGGTAGTGTCTAGAAAGGATGCGTTAGTAACAGGAGTAGTACACATGGAGGTGGATTCAGAAACATACACTTAAAAAGCCGGACAAAGCAGACTGGCTGTGAACTGTGGTATTAGCAGTGTGCATATATAGAATCTTAGATTGATACTTACCGTCCCCTTCGGCGAGGCGGCGGCGGCTGGTTCGCGTTCGGCAGCGGGTTCACATTTGGCGGATTCACTCCATTGGGTGCACCTGGCCCTAGAGGAGGATTTGGCTGCTGATTGGGTTGGTTGGGCGGATTCCTGGTACCAAGTTAGATTATAGGGGTTCTTCAACTGCGTATTCTGGGGGATCTCACATCTTTGCGTTGCGTGGTTGTTGCGTTGAGATCTTTGGTTTGTTTTGGGGTCAAAAACGAGAAGTGCTCCTGGGACCTGGCTGTCCACGATCCGAGTCCTCGAGAGCCTTTAGGTACCTAGGTACTTATTGAGTGCACAGGTGACCGAGGATTCCGTACGGGTCTCCCTCGCCTTACCAGGTAAGCAGTAAGCAGTGAGTCAAGTATCGGCGCTGCTGTGATGCGACTATATGATGTGGTTGAGGTTGGTGTTGTTGTGGTGGAGATTGTGGTTGTGGTGGATACGAAGAAGAGGTCAAAGTACTCCGTCAAGGCGCAGAGAGAAGCAATAAAATACTGCCGCTGGTTGTGTCTGGCGGCGACTCGGGGAGACGCGCTGAGCGGGGGGGAGAAATTGGCGGGCGGGGTCGGTGGGCGCTGCGTAGCGTGGATAGGGGGGGATGTAGCGAAGATATACAAGGAATACAGAAAAACCGAGGAAGTGTTGCTACAATCAAGCGCAAAATAGCGAAACATGGTTGCGATATAGCGGTTGTGCTGGGGTGTTGCTGCCTGCTGCTGCCTGATCGCCGCAAATTTCAATTAAACTTCAGCTGCTCACGTGATGTCGCGCTCGAGTTTTTCCAGACGCGTCCCCCGAGGTGATTGAGGTGAATGTCCGAATATCTTCAACGACGCCGGCGGTGTCTCGAGGGAAAACATAAACAATCCTATTCAATCTTTTCTACAACCTCAATATTCACCGCCCCCTCTCGCCGCCAACTTTCTATTTCTACCTCGACCTTGACCTCGACCTCCATCTCCAACTTCCATCCTCCATCCTTCATCCTCCAACCTTCAACCTCCATCTTCCATCCTCCAACCTTCAACACCAACTTCCACTCCTACTTCCACTCCAACCTTCAACCCCTATTTACCATCTCCCATTTCCGCTACCACCCCTTCATCCCCTGATCCCCCCTTAATCGTGCATATCGACTCTCATACGCCGACCACGACCTCCAGACGAGCATCAACCACCCCATCGCAGCAAAGGCTAGCTATTGTCGCTCGCCGTCCGCTTGATACCATTCGAGCACTCCATACCCTCATCCACCCTCTCGACCAAGCACCCTGTCCTCAGAAGCTCTGACTCCCTTCATCAAACAATACCTCCCTCTCATCTCCCTCATCCTCGCTCTTGTCGATTATTACCTCAGCGCGCGCGATCTCTCTCGCCCTCTCTCGATAGACGCTTTGTCGCCTACGATCTAGTCAAGCAAGCCATCTATCAAATCCATTCCCTTGAGATATCGGGATGGCTCCCACCAGCCGACCGAGACGTGCTTCCAGAATGGCTGACGACTCAAGCCCAAGCACTGGTGCCGCGAACTCGGCTCCACCTGGTAAGTAAATTCCTCCTCGGGTACAGTTCATCTGCTGTACGTTTGCCAGCCATACATCTAACAAGCTTAGATGCAGCCGCCGGTAGGAGGAGATCAACCCGCCTTTCCATGGGTGCCCTCTCACTCTCTGCCACAACTAGCAACACCTCAGCCCCCTCGTCAATTATCGGCGACGATGCTCCTCCCCCTATCTCCACCTCCCACTTTCTAACCCCTTCGCTGGTCGCCGAATATCCCAGCACAATGGCGGCACAAATTGCGATGAGTCGCGCCTCATTGTCGTCTGCATCAACCTCCGTTGACTACAATGAGAGCAGTGACCATTCAACCCCAGCAACGAGCAACTCTGCAACTCCAGGGGCTCTGTCATTGTCAGCTAGCTCAGCCCCTCGCCGAGGACGCTCTAGAGTCATGGCCACGACCGGCTCCGAGGTCAACCTCGTGGCTAGGGCAGCAGCTCTCCGTAACAGCAAATACTCGTTGAAAAGCAAACGAAAACGAGTCCCTGATTCGGATGATGAGGATGCTGACGAAGACAACACTCCCGACGCTCAGCTTGCTCGTGCACTTCAACAACAAGAAGATGCGGCAGATACCAGCATGACTGGTATGACCGGTATGGATAGCGAGTCCCCCTCTTCCAGTTCTAGAGCTACACGCCCACGAATTTCACTCAGGGTTGCCCCACGCAAGCCCCTCCCACGCAAAATCCTTCTGAGAGCCAAACTACCAAACAACGTTCCCTCGGCCGGTTTGAGTGTTGATGATGGCGAAATTGACGACGACGACGATGTCGACATGGTAACTGTCCCACGTCGCAAGAGACCCAACGTTGAACTTTCCTCGAACGGCTCGAATGCTGTTAAATTTTCCCCAGCGCCGGAGTCCGATATCGTTATGGAGACCGACGATTCTGATATCCTTACTGAGCCACCCGACTCGGAAGATTTAGGTTTTGGAGGCTCCGACAGTTCACGATCCCGCAAGATTGTGCCTAAAGCCACCACCGATAGCGAATTTGATGATTCTGATACCGACTCTGATGTCGGTTCTGCTGCCGGTTCTGATGCTGACTCTGATGCCTCTGCAGCCCCTGTTGGTTCTGTAGGTGCTTCACGCGCTTCACGTGCTTCCGTACGTCGTGCTGGTGGCCACATAGCGAACGACCGGGAGACAGCGCGCTATACCAAAGTACGTACAACGAACCATAATCGTCTTCTAGATAATCACGCCAGCATCGATACGATGTGGGATACGCTTGAGAACCTGCCAGAGATAGGCTCCTTGAAAATAAAGCAGCCGACGAATATCACTCGTGAACTCAAGCCGTTCCAGCTTGAAGGCGTAGCGTGGATGATGGAAATGGAACAAACTAAATTTCGTGGAGGCTTACTGGGTGATGAGATGGGTATGGGTAAAACCATTCAAGCTGTGGCCCTCATCATGTCTGATTTCCCAGCCGCTGAACCATCACTCGTCTTGGTTCCTCCTGTGGCTCTAATGCAATGGCAACAAGAAATCGCCGCTTATACTGATGGGACTTTGAAGACATTTGTCTACCACGGTACCAATGCGAAAACCAAAGGCGTCACCGCGAAAGACCTCCAAAAATACAATGTGATCCTCATGTCCTACAACAGCCTCGAATCTATGTATCGCAAACAGGAAAAGGGATTCAAACGCAAGAATGGTACTCACAAGGAGGCGAGTATTATGCATCAGACAACATTCCATCGTGTCATCCTTGATGAAGCACACTGTATCAAGGTATGTTCTCTTTGTTCAAATGTTTTCGTAACTAACATTTGCAGCAACGTTCCAGCGGGTCTGCGAAAGCTTGCTTTGCACTCAATGCAAAATATAGGTGGTGTTTGTCTGGTACGCCCCTTCAGAACCGTATAGGTGAATTCTTCTCGTTGATTCGCTTTCTCGATATCCGTCCTTTTGCCTACTACCTCTGCAAGATGTGCTCCTGCTCCTGTCTCAACTGGGACATGGACGCAGATAACCGCTGCAGAGGTTGCAAACACAATGGCATGCAGCATATCTCGCTGTTTAACCACGAGCTACTGAATCCTATTCAGAAGTTCGGCAATGCGGGCCCGGGAGTAGAAGCATTCCGGAAACTCCGGCTTTTAACAAATCGTGTTATGCTTCGCCGAGTGAAAGTCGACCACTCCGGCGCCATGGAACTCCCGTCAAAGGAGATAATGGTGGACCGTGAATACTTCGGTGAAGTAGAAAACGATTTTGCTTCGAGCGTCATGAATAGCTCCACTCGGAGGTTCGAGACGTATGTTGCCCAAGGCGTGCTTCTTAACAATTACGCAAACATATTCGGCCTTATTATGCAGATGCGCCAGGCCGCCGACCATCCAGACCTAATTCTAAAGAAGAACAGTGAGGGCGGCCAGAACGTACTAATCTGTTGCATTTGCGATGACACCGCAGAAGAGGGTATTAAGTCTTCCTGTCACCACGACTTTTGCCGTGATTGTGCGAAGAACTATCTCCGAGCCTCGGGTATGTCGTCTTATTCTCGACTCTATCTAAAGATACTGACCTTTCTCAGAGACCCCCGATTGCCCACGCTGCCATATTCCGCTCTCCATCGACCTCGAGCAGCCAGAGATTGACCAAGACGAACAACAAGTCAAGAAATCTTCCATCATCAACAGGATTAAAATGGAAAAATGGACGAGTAGTTCGAAAATCGAAGCGCTCGTGCAGGATATCTGGCAACTCAGATCAATGAACAGCTCTCATAAATGCATCATTTTCAGCCAATTCACTACAATGTTGCAATTAGTCGAGTGGCGACTCCGCCGCGTTGGAATCACAACCGTCATGCTCGATGGATCTATGACTCCCGCTCAGCGCCAAGCATCTGTTAATCACTTCATGACCGACATAAACGTCGAATGTTTTCTGGTTTCCCTGAAGGCCGGTGGAGTGGCTCTTAATCTTACAGAAGCCTCCCGTGTGTTTATCGTCGACCCCTGGTGGAATCCCGCAGCTGAATGGCAAAGTGCTGATCGCTGTCACCGAATTGGGCAATCGCGGCCTTGTTCCATCACACGGCTGTGTATTGAAGACTCTATTGAGAGCAGGATGGTGTTGTTGCAGGAAAAAAAGGCCAATATGATCAATTCCACGATCAATGGTGATGAGTCTGCAATGGAAAGTTTAACAGTCGAGGATATGCAGTTTTTGTTCCGCGGAACATAGATGGGATATGCATGCACAATTTGTTACGGCGGGGCGGCGACCAAGATGAATTCACGAGCTCCTTTTGCATATGTTATTACGAATGATACCTTAGCGCTGCGTTACATAGAAATGAAATAAGGAAATGCTTTTTGTTAGCACTACGAAGTACGAAGTACACACGAGATCTCGCGTTGTTTTGTTTACTGTAGGTCCAAGCGCCTGACGCGCCGCCCCTATCCAATATTATTTACGCGTTCTCATAGCCCAGGTCGACACGACGTAGGTATACTGCGCACAAAGCACAAGATACCAATTGCACAGGCGTTCATCCTGGTGATCCGATTAAACCAACCCCACAGCAACAATGAGTATGCCGCAAGCAAAGAAAACTCCACTGGGTGTTGCAAACACCAATATCATTCGATCCGCTATAACAATAGCACCCTTAGCCTTAGTCCACTCTGTAGATATAATCTTCTTGATCTCGTCTGTGATATAGGTGCGGTGGACGGAGCTGTAGCTATCAAGGCTAGGTTGGTTTGTCCTCCGCACAGGACATGGCAGGACCGAGTAAATGTAGGATTCTTCAGCTCCGAAGGAAGAGTGAGAGTTCTAGGACCTGTATTCGGTTCTGATTCGTAAGGGATTCCTTGTACCTGCCGTGGAAAGTAGCTTTGGACTTAGTAAAGATCCATCTCTCTTGTGTTGAGTCCAAGGACCCACTCAATGGTCCCGAATGTATGGAAGTAGGTTACCAGTGATCAGGTACGGCAAGTGTATTAAAAGTGTGTGCAACTTATGCATTCTGGTTGGTAGGACCTCAGTGAATAGCGCCAACCCTAAATAATAACCTATCTTGAAATCCAGAGAGAGGTTTTCCAGGTCGGGAGCTGACTCTATTAGGTGACAGAATAATCGCCTGATGTAGGCTCCGATCAAAAAGTGGGAATACTAATATACTCATTTATCGTTAGGTAGAGTGAGGTCAGACTCCCTATAGCTGTCTGGATATCGCGAAAATACGGGGGATATTTACTCGTACCCGTACTATCACGCTAGAAGAAAGCCGGCGGGAGGCACTAACGCTCAAGGTGTCGAATAGGCAAGTTGGCTGCCCCCGTAGCTTATAGGATATCCCCGAGTTATTTGCCTAGATTGGCTATGCAGCTGTCGAAATACTGCTTGTATACTCTAGTTAAAAAATTATTGTTAAATAGCGAGGCGTGAAAATTTCTAGTTTTGTGGACGCTGGGTAATGTCTTGAGGGCGTATACTAGAAGATCTGTATCTTCCCAAAGCATAATATCAGTATTTCGATGTGTAGTGTGCTCCTCAAGCGAATAGTTTGCATAGTGTTCTTGAACCAAACTTTTCCATATTCACTACCTTCCTTTATCCAAAGGGCAACTTCTTCCACAGCGGGTGGGTCTTCCCAGTCGAGTTTCGTAATCGCTTGAGGGACTGCGGATTCAAGAACAACTAGTACAGAGGCAGGCATGGTATCGTTTCCATCCCTTATGCAGTCTCCTAGACAACTAATAATTGGCACTTCTAGTTTTCTGTGACTGGCTCGGACCTCTTCGGTTGAAGCCGAAGGAGTCATTCAGAAGGACGTCTATTCCTCTAGCAGTGCCATTTTTCAGTTTAATCAGTCCTGACTGGAGAAGCAGCCTATGAGATGGCTCTTGAGGAACAAGGACGTCTGTATCCTTTCTCTTTGGTGACTGAATTTTTGGAAGGAAGTGAGGTATAAAGGCTTAACTGACTCGTAGCATCCCATTCCGTGTGTGTATCAAACCGCCCAGCTCCCTCCGGACGGATGGGGTACTCGAATAAATATTCGCCGCCTAGTGCTTCCAACTCTTCCTCGGAAAAGAGATGCTCGCGATCCTTGGCTCGTGGGGGTAACTAGACTCTGTGATCTGCCACACTGACGATATAGTGGATCATAATTTTAGTACGGGGGGTTGTTACGTTCCTCATTGTGGTGCTCATGGGGATAGTTTGACCGTATCCTTGGATGGCACCTTTTAGGGCTGTGGCGTGTAGGTGTTGGGTCCAGCTCAGGTATATACATCCCGCTAGCAGGATTTTTGCCCTTAATTTGGGGGTCGACGGCATTAGGTGGTTGAACAAGTATGGACCACGGACTTTCTTCATCCATAGTCCTGTAGAGGAAATACGGCGGTCCAGCTATCCTCCACCGTAGAGCCATGGCGAAGGTAAGCAATGCAACGTTCAGTCATAATTCGATGCTCGATGTATTTATCTGCAAAGCACAACAATGACCAAATGCCTGCCCTATCAAGTACTTGTGAACCAATAAAAGTGCATACGCCTTTAAGGTGGAAAGTACCAAGATTGTATTCTCATTCCCAGTGAAGGGCGCCATCACTGGCGTATTTCGTCGTAATTGTTTTGTCGAGATCCAACAGCCACGCCATTTTCATGGCGATCTCGGTGATTCCTCGTACCAGGCTGGGTTGGTGGCCACCAGGGATATCATATTAAGGGGGTTGAAATCCTTTCCACTCTCTGATATTATTCTGGAATATGCTCCAGCCGGTCACGAGCATCGAAAAAGTCAAAGCCGGCCTGGGTCATTTCGCCTTTCTCGAGATCCACCTCCTGGTCGGCAACCTGCACGTCCTGTGCCCCGGAACTGATCCATAGTGGGATCCAGGGTGAGTCTTTGGCGGCGGTAACCTTGCGGGTCTTGGCACCATCTTTGCCTTTGGCCCGGCTCCCTCCCTTTCCCTCATGTGGTACCTTGCGAATAGCAGAGCGCGGTGCCAGTTTCCGCGGTGTAGCCATGATACTCCTTGTCGCCGTCCCGAACCGGGAAATGTTCATTGTCATTCGCGGTGAGCACTTGTTGCATGGTCATAAGCCAATTGAGCTGCACAATTCGAGTTGGCTTGGTGCGGCTAGGAAGGATGGTTGGGTCGAAAGGCACAATTGCCCCCGAGGTTACAAGCTCGACCTCCTGGGCATTCAGATTGTCCAATGTCTCAAAGACCTTTCTGATGTTGGTCTCGAGCCTGATCTCCATGGGCAACAGAAATTTGCGATCCTTAGCAGCGGAGAATCGAGTAATAATTACCGAGGATTCGAGTCTTTAATATTAGATTTCTGTCCCTTCAGCTGAGATTCGAACGGGTACATTTTTCGTCATGTCGATCCCGTATTTTATTCTGACTCGTCTTATCATCTTTAACCAGAATCACCCACACTAGCACCCCTAGAATAAACTCCGAACCTGATGAGAGACATAAAGCAACAAGGAAGGTACCCGGAGGTTCTGTAGTCCTTTTTGTGCCGATTTTAGCATAAAGATGCATCTGTAGCCATAGGGGAAACTAGGCTGTTTCTGACTGGGAGGTTGAAACAAGTCTTTTTGGCGACTTGTCTAGTCTTTATCGAAAATCCGAATACAGTACACTGGGTCGTTTTTATTCCCGGGCCGATCATGCCGATAAAACAGCTGAAGCTCATTCGCAAACTTGAAATCTGGCTCCAGGAGGATTATTGGTAACGCCTCGTCCAATGTCACCCCCACATTAAATGTGCTCGACATGCCTACCAAGTATCTCAGGGCATTTCTCAAACTAGATCTTATCGAACGTCAATTAATCTACTGAAGGGAAGCTCCCTTTCCCTTAACCTTGGATTTAAGGTAAAGGGCCAGAAATGATCCTTAGCTCAGGATATTGATTTCTTGGTATAAAGCAGGGTTAAGAATGCTGTTGATATCCTCGGGCTTTATTTGAAGGCAGCCAGCCTCCTTGCACGGTGGCAAGGCAGAAAAGGTAGCAAGAGCATTCAATTTCGTAGGTTTGTTCAAACCCACGTACCGCTAACTTGCTTTATGTCGTGCAATTAAAGCGTTAGGCCTGGGTCCCCAGCTACATAACACCCACCAGGTCGATATGACCTACCCGCCCATTAGCGGAGCCCCAATTATAATGGCGTATGCATCCAAAACCCTTAGAGACCCCGTCATCGGTCAAGCCCTAATCAAGTATAGCCAAGCTTTGCCATATTTGATCTGATCTCAAGCTGCCTGTTTCCGGGAGATTGTTTGAGCCCTACAGAGATCGGCCCAAGAGGCAGACAAAATGTCGATCTCCTGTCTTGGTGTTCCAGTTTGGCTTGATTTGATCATTTTCGACACCAAATCCATGAGATAATTGGACAAGAACGCCTCCCAGGATCTTGGAGTGAAGAAAGGGCTGTAGTTACAGCTATTTGATCGATCTCTGTAGAATTTCAGAAGGCTTGACTGATGAAACAGAACAGAGACATGCTCGTTCCTCTTGACTTGCACTCCAAGGTAGCAAGAGCATTCTCCGAAGCTTCACACCTCAAACTATTCTTTATCAATCTTTTCTTTTCGTCCGCTCCAAAGAAATTAATGTCGTCTACATATATCGTAATGTAGAGTTGATCCTTGTCATGAAAGAACACAGATTGATCGAAGGTAGTCATTCTCCACCCAAGGTTTTCTAATCGTGGACGAAGCTTTAGGTACCAGGTTCGTGGAGCTTGTTTTGGTCCATACAAGCCTTGTTTGGCTTTAAGACTCTGTCCAACGTTTTAGGATAGCTACATGGTGGTTCGGTAATCTCCGAATAGTCGATAGCTGCCACTCACCCTTCGGTCTCGTGGCCAGCTGGGCTAACTCTGAACCACAACCTGAAAAGCTATATAGGCCCCATTCCGTGATAGACCCTGCAAAGGGTGTGAGGATCTTCTAGGTTTGCGTTGCTTCAGATGCTGAATGCTGACATTCATCACCAATACTCCTCATGGGATCAATCCCATCGTATTAGTCAACACTAATATTGCGGTCTACCACCTCCTAATAGCCCTCGACATCTTTTGACGACCTTGACACAGGTCACCCAGAAATTTAGGCACCGCGATAATGCTTTAAGAGGTCCTTCTGCTAAACATCCTCTACGACTCCGATTTCGAGTAACTAAATCCTCGCGTAGCCCTGACTGTTTTCCTGTTGTCCAACAGGAGTCTCCCGAAACAGCCGCTCTTGCCCTTGCCTTTGAATAAGAGGGCCACATGTGTGTCCGTGGCATTAAACGGTCGGTGATGTATAGATCTATGAATGACGAACTGGCCACATTCAAGTTGACTGTGGGCGATTACATCCTCGTAGGAGACAACATTGTAGCAACCGTCACTCCTTCGTGGATGCGATAAACCTGCCGACGTTAAAGTGACGTGCCAACATATTCTGTGATGCTAGACTAATGGCATCACTGTCCAAGAAAGCAGGTGGTGCACTTCTGTATGTTACTATGCTACGGACAATTCCCCGGCCTGGGATATCATGCCAGCGCCGGACATGAATAGATATGTTGTTGATCTGTTCCAAGTTTGAGTGGGTGCTAGTGTGCGCCGGTGAGGCTCGGATCGATAGACTCTGGTGGGACGATGGCATTGCTTTATGGGGCGCCTCTCGAGCGTCCTGGGAGTTGGCCAATGGACAATCCAGGTGGTTGAGTATGATTTTGAGATGTAAATTCTGTTGGATGGCGGCTAGAGTGCCGTTCCCTCACATGGAGCTTCCACCGCACTTGATCAGGGCCCATGGAGCTTGAGGAGTTCCCTAGCGATGGTACCTAATTCATCTGATAGCTCCGGTTCTATCTTGCAGCCGGCCTCGCTGCAGTCAAGCCCACTAATTTCCCATCGCATAAACATCCTGGAGCCGCTCACAGAGGTCGATAAGAAACTTGGAGCAATCTAGTCCTGGGGAAGGTTGTTTGGTCCAACGCAAAACTATAAGAGATCGGGATCTCTTTGATTTGTAGGAAGGTCCTACCTCCAAAGTCCTGCAGTATACACCTAAGCCACTCGCGAACACCCGATAGGGTTGATAATATGTCAATTATTCTAAGAAGCTTCGTACGGGAATGGTTCGCTATGATATTGAGCCATCGGTGCCTAGGCGATATGGAAATAAAGATTCGTAGAACTTGACGATCGTAGGGTGATACATAATCGAATCGTTGCGGGAGTCGTTGAATGTAGTCTGGCCGCAGACCCAGGCCGTTTTCTCCCGAAATTTCCAGTGTCAGTCGTAAAATGTAAATTCGACACATCTGACAGAGAGGTGTTATTCCTGGAGCATCCATTATCTGCCACCTATCAGATCACTGGGAGTTGGTGGATAGTCAAAGAAGCCAGTGATTTTACGGAGCAGCGTATAGAGACAAGCCTCTGGACCAGGTCCATTCGAGGTATCTAACAGCAGCGGCACCCCCACCTCCATGTCCAGGAATCCACTGTGATCGGAACCGGAAGGTGCTGCTATAATGGCATGCGTAGAGTTGGCATAGATGCTAACCATATTGAATGCCTCCTCAGCATACTCTTTCTTGTCGTCCTAGATTGTATAAAACAAGTTAGTCGATAAGTAATTCGGTTCAAGTTCCATGGTGAATATGGAGGCGTCTTTCGATGTCTGAGGTAGATCCAAAAGACACCGATTGTATCCCGTATTGCTGTGAGAGGACGTCGTCTCGCGAGCTCGTCTTTGTCGGTCCAATAATCGCTCAGAGCGGGATCTTTATCAGTTATCTTCTCCGCAAATTTGAGGGTAGCCCGATGGGAAGTCTTGTCACGTTCTAGAATTTGTTTCGGCCCCAAACTGAGATCATCAAGCTAGTTTGGACTTTGGTTGCATGAATCATGAGTGCAGTTACTCAATTGTCTCGTGATGGATGAGAGACTTCGCAATGAGTAATGCAGACTCCTCTCTAGGTTCGTCTTCGGTCGGTTCGGAGGCATTTGAGGGCTCTATGCCAATGAGGGTCAGAAAGATGACATAGAAGGAGAATATTTCGGGGCTAGTACCTTCTGCCATAAATATATCAATACCCTCTGTATCTGCCTGTGATCCAGGATTCTCTAGGCCTACAAATCCATTTTCCGCATTCCGATGCTATTGTTACTTTGCAATTCGTCTCCCATATGAAAATATTAGAAGGAGGTAATGATGGACCCGCCGAACTGATAGACAATATGCCTAGTAATTTGAGCTTCGGCACGTCTGCCTCATTGTCATCGATATCTGACGAGAGGGCATGTAGAGATAAGGAACACAAGTTCCACTTGGGTGACGGCCATGCATCTCAGTCTTCCTGCTCACAGCTCGGCTGAGATGCTGAGTCGGAAGGTTCCGGACTTTTGGCTCCTCCGCTGATGCCGGTCCTGGAGCTGGAGCTAGACACGCTAGAAAACGTGTTTCTAATCATGGTATGATCAGGGATGAGGTGTAAAGTGGTACAGAAGGCGAGAAATGTACGACGAAGCACAAGGTTTGTCGAAGAGCTCTTCCACGTGATGGTAATTCGTGGAGGTCTCGGGGGAACTTCGTACATGATTATCAAAAACGTAGGACCGGGTTGAGATAAAGCATGGAGGTGAAGATAAAGTTTCGAAAATACGAGTATCAGAAAACTAGGTGCCGGGAAAATGTGAAGAGTAAGGGGGTGGCTCAAGGAATGCCTCGATGATCGTCGATCGGATTTATTGATTGATTGATTGCCCACGCTGGTTGGTATGAGACCAGGGGATCGTATTTTTGTCGGCCTCAGTTGTGGGATCATGGATTTAATCATTCAAGATGGTTTTGACACAGCGTTTGCTGTTCCTGGTGCCAAAATACTGTTGGAAGTTGAGGCGGGTTCATGCATCCCCGATAGCATCTAATGGGCACTTCTTCATTGGGACGACATGAACGCACCCAACCGCTCACACAACTGGCAGGTTGCCATTGGACCGCCAGGTTACACCACCGGTGCATCAATATTCGGCTCATCAGAATGCTTGGTGACCTGGTGAGGGGAAACAAGCGGCCTTCCGAGGCGCACATCACTGTCGCGAGTATCTTCCCGGGTTGCATATGCAGGTCATGGTATCATATTCGAACCGCATTTTGTTGCTTATCTCACGGAGAAATTCGTGGTCGATCACCGAATAGACCCGAAGTAGGCCATCCGGATATGCATGTAGTCGATGATTGATATAGCTTTCAACTTGGCTCCATCAGAATACACGTTTATGGCGTCAACTATGAACCCGTTCCCGGGCCAGAATGTGGCAGTATTGTGGACGGTGTGGGTGACACGGCTATCCTAGTTCAGACCTGGCTGTTTGTTTGGGGGCGTGGGAGAAAAGATAGTGATGGTATTTTTGCGTTTGTTCGTCCTACTCCCACGCCCACGCGCTGCCACTGAAGAAAAGTCGCCAGCTTCTCGGAAGAATCCATACCCCATTGGCAGCCCATCCTGCAGGCTACCATATGTCCCAATTCGTCTTCGGATGGACTTTCCACTTCCGAGATTCCCTGAACCAGGCTCGCTCATACGAGTATGGTTGATGACGAGGTCGGGAATTGCACCCATTCCCTAAGGGTGGCATGCCTCAGCTGATATTTCCATGTCCACAACCGTGCTATAGGGTGCATGCGCTACTCGTCATTGGAGATATCGTATCCCATGCCATGCTGAGAAGACTGACATATGCGGAAAGCCATATAATGTCAATATTTATCGCTTTGATGCAGTTTGTTCTCGGGATGATGCGGGGGATATCGTCCAGGCCATCGTTGGAATATTTGTACCAGGCGGGTTTGCCTGGTATATAATTCCGCAATGCCATATTTCCACCATATATATTTGAGGAATAGTTATGACACCCAGGATGAGTAAAGAAGGATGCTCGCAGAGAATGCGACCCTGGACAAGAGCCGTGGATGGTTGTTATAGAGCATTGCAAGACCAACGAATGTGATAATGCGGCTATTTCGTGATTGTGTTCATAAATAGCAAATATGCTGGAAGTATGAGATCGGATGGCAAATAGAGCGGATGACATATTTTCAACGAGATACTTCGCGAGAAATGAACGGCCACACATACCAAAGAGAATGACGGTAGGCCAATTAACGAGTCAGGAAACAATTATATGAGATTGAACTACCAACCAAGAGCTAAAGTGGTAGTATTGGCCACTTCAGTCAAAGAGGCCAGGGGCCCAAAGGAGAGGGAGGGCAATCAGGACGTAGGAAGTAAACCACTAGGGGTATGACATAGCCAAGAGTGAAAACGCCTGTCCAAGAGTCCTATTATCCTATATCTAAAAATCTCGTGCTCAGCCGAGCACGTACTGTACTGTACTGCAGTGCGTACAGGCGAGTACTGATAAGATAAGCGAGGGGAGCTGGGCATCGCATCCCCCAATAATAATCTACATCCTTTCTCAATCCACCTGCGAAACAAATTGCGGCATTGTGCTGGCGATTTTACGTCTCAATCTCCCCAAATGATCAGAACGAAGTCATTCATATTTCGAAGTACTGCCTGCTTGTTACGCCGACGGCGTACCAGCAGTATTGTCGCAATTAGCACGAACTGTTTCCCCCCTGAATGCAGTTTGAAGTGCATCTGAACAATACTTCGTGCCAACACTGCGCTTCCGAATCCCCTGCAACGTGGGTAGAGACCAACGCCGCAAAGAGAGAGGCGAAGGATGAAGTTAAATCACATTCTAGAGTTTAGAGTCTAAAGTCTAGACCCAGAGCAAAGCACTGAAGCGGAAGAGGCCAGAAACCTACCCAAGAAATCTGGGGTATAGATAGGGGATACGGAGCGTATTCAACGAGCTATCTCTGGCTCGGCGAATCCTTCAAGATCCCGTTATTACCACCAGCGCGCTGCTCTCCCAGAATTTTGCCGTGCCGTGAAATACTATGGCACGCTAGGTCGCTGGGAGGACGCAAAGCATGATTGCTACGGACTCGCCATCTTTCCATGGTTATGCCGTCTGCTTCCAGGGCTCCAATCCCCCAAAGGTAGTATTATGGCGGGAAAGCCCATGAATCTTTAGGATCTATCCCAGATAAACAGTTTGGCCTAGTGTGGCTCTACAGCATCTGCTTTGCCTTTGGATTGCAGACCACCAAGCAGTGACAGCTCCCTGGGGTCAAATTAAGCAGCTTCTTCGCCCATTCTTCGCGTCTTCGACGTACCTTGGCACGATGCTGGGGGGTCGCTGTGGTAACTCGCTGTGTGCAAGTCCTCATGCTCTTTGTACTCCATATGTACTGCTCCATTCTGCTCCGCACGGGGAATACGGCTTCTACTTCGTAGTACTTGGGACGTCATCGATTGTCATCGATAACTGGCGAACACAGAGTTCAGCAGTCTTTCGCCCCCTTGGCAATTCCAATTCTAACCCGATACAGTATTGGACTCCAACCGCTAATCCCTTCGCGGTCACTCTTGCTGAAGCCGCATTTTATTTGGCCGTCCCACGGTTGTCGCGATGGCAATAAGGTTACCATGATAACCCCCAGTCATTGCATCCCTGACATCCCATCAGCGAGATGATTCTACGTCGTACCTACCACAAAGGAGGGAAAGGATATTCCCCATAAAATTTATGATCCAAACTCTCAGCGTCACAGCTCTATCTCATAGGCCTTTCCATGATTCGTTCTTGTTCCCGCAAACAACAGTCCGTCACATCCTCTCTGGATAGACCATCTGCAACTCATTACCGTGCAACACTTTGCTGCTTGCTACCCAGTATATGTCCTCGTTCGCATCCAGGGCCGGTTGGCGTGTGCTTCATGTCTTTGTCTTCCTAGTCCCAGTTGCTGGCTGCCCTTCCCATCCCCAGACTAGGATAGCCGTCAAGGTATAGTGCAGCTCCACCGTATTAAGTTATGGATTCAGCGAAGAGAACTGGAGGATTTGAGGCTAGTGGGCTTCCCCATGTCATCCGGGGTCTATGAATGGTTACTTCGGTCTGTACAAGAAATTTTTTGTACAATTATGTCTGTTCTCAACAGCCACATATCCAAATCCAAAGGCTATGGAACCCCTGCCAACCTCGGACCCTCCTCCGAGAGCACATGCCTGCCTACCATAGGATCGAAGCCTAACTAAAGCAATTGCTCGCAGGTTACGACCCCTGGACCTTTGGAAGTTATAGTTGGTCCTGTGCAAGTACTTCCCCCCGGCCACGATATATAAAGAACCCAACTCCTCCCCAGTCGCAGACAATGCCATCGTAGAGAGACATTTTCTCAGCTCTCATCTTTGTCTTTCCTACCGATTTCCCACTGCCATCACCATCGGTACCATGGCCGTCACTGAGGAAGTTAAGGTGGCCGAGAAGACCGCCCATCCTGAAGACAGCGATATCCGAAAGGCATCAGTTGCGGTAGCAGGCTTCGCTGGTATCTCAGCTGAAGCCCGAGATGCCACCTCTAACGAGCACGATATGGGCTTTATCCAAGCCCTCAAGCTATATCCAAAGGCTGTCGGGTGGTCGATGCTTCTTTCAACCGCCATCATCATGGAAGGGTATGATGTCGTCCTACTTGGCTCGTTCTACGCTCTTCCCCAGTTCAACGAGAAATATGGCGTTCTCGCGGACGATGGCACATATACCGTCCCAGCCCCATGGAAATCGGGCCTATCCAACGGCGCTCTCTGCGGCGAAATCTTGGGTCTTTTTATCAACGGTATCATTTCCGAAAAATATGGCTACCGCAAGACCATGATTGCTTCCCTCGCCATGATGATAGCAGTCATCTTCATTCCTTTCTTCTCCCAGAACATTCAAACACTGCTTGCTGGAGAGATTCTCTGTGGTATCCCATGGTACGAACAACTGGCCAATATTTCCCTATGAGCTTACTAACATCCACTAGGGGTGTCTTCCAAACACTTACCACTGCATACGCTTCAGAAGTGTGCCCCGTTGCGCTCCGCGCTTATCTTTGCACATATGTTAACCTTTGCTGGGTTATCGGCCAATTTATTGCCTCCGGCGTGCTTCGTGGAGTCTTGTCTCGCGAAGACCAATGGGCTTACCGGTATGTATCGCCCTCCATCCCTTTTAGCCGTTCTTTATGCCATCTTTCCAATATAGCCTTAGATTCTGATTTACTCCAGTATTCCATTTGCCCTCCAATGGATGTGGCCTGTTCCCATCCTCATCGGTGTTATCTTTGCCCCAGAGTCTCCTTGGTGGCTGGTGCGAAACAACCGCACTGAAGAAGCTAAGAAAGCCCTCCTCCGTCTTACCACTCGCGGGGACCCTACTTTCAATGCGGACGCCACCATTGCTATGATGACACATACCAATGAAATTGAGAAGCAGATCTCTGAGGGAACATCTTACCTTGATTGCTTTAAAGGGATCGATCTCCGTCGTACCGAAGTTGCCTGTATCACTTGGCTTGTTCAGACCTTGTGCGGATCAACGTTCATGGGCTACTCGACATATTTCTACCAACAAGCCGGCCTGCCAACCACCTCCGCCTTTGACTTATCTATGGGCCAGGTAAGTAACATTTCTCCAAGCCACGGTTCAAATCTCTGACAAGTATTACTAGTACGCATTGGGAATGGTCGGTACTGTGGGAAGCTGGTTCTTGATGTCGCGAGCCGGCCGACGAACCATATATCTCCGAGGTTCTATTGTCTTGTTCGTACTGCTGCTCATCATCGGATTTACTGCCATTGCACCGGCGTCGAACGTACCCTCTCGTTGGGCAATTGGATCAATGCTGTTGATCTTCACCTTCATCTATGACTTGACAGTTGGGCCAATCTGCTACGCTCTTGTTGCCGAAGTCTCTTCCACGCGCCTTAAGGCAAAGACGGTGGTGCTTGCGCGAAACCTGTACAATATTGGCGGAATAGTCGTCAATATCCTCACAACATACCAACTCACTCCCACTCCGACCGGCTGGGGCTGGGGCGCCAAGTCAGCCTTCTTTTGGGCTGGAAGCTGCTTCCTGTGCATCATCTGGGTCTATTTCCGACTGCCCGAGCCCAAGGGGCGCACCTATGCTGAGATGGACGTTCTCTTCGAACGTGGTATCGCCGCACGCGATTTCCGTACTACCGAGCTAGATATCTTCAGTGGCGACCATACCACGGACAGTGAGAGTGACAAAGGTATAGAGAAAAGCGATGTCACTGTGGTTGAGAATGAGAAGAGCGGTGTCCCAGTGGCTGAAAGGTTGTAATGAGATGCATCATGATTAATTTATTGTCGGCGCTAGGAAGGAGCCGCAAATAACGTAAATATAAGAAACATAGCTTATAAAAAGGACGAGGGATACCAAGGGACAAGTGCAAATAAAAAGGGGAGAATTAGACGCAAAGCTATTTTGGCGCCCAGCTCAGCGCTACAATGGTCGGACCAGAGCGGCCCGCCCGCCCTTAGTGTCCCTAACCGAAACCTTCATTCGTCCTGAGATCCTCCATTATGTAGCACGATTCACGACCACTTCCCCTTCACATCTTCAACTAATTCCTACATCGCCACAGATGCGCCACATTCGATCTCGACCTATTGCCATGGCGTGATGGGTAATTAATGGCTGCTGTAGAGGATGGCTTCTGCAGTCCGTATATGCCCGACACGCCTACACCAACAGTCCAAAAGGATTTGAAGGATTGCGCAGCACTCACTGCCGCGCTGTTTCAAAGGATCGTTCCACTCGCTTCATCGCCCCTCTGCGAATCACCATCCGGGGGCGATTCATATGAAACATCTGCGATCCTATCTAAGCACGGCAAGCGCGCGCGACAGGCACGGCAGCTAAATCCGGAGCTGACGTACACTCTCTGCGATGCGACCTACATCCTCCATACAGTTGTGTGAGACGATATGCCCAGCAATCAGGATCATTATCGGTGTAGTCACCATCTCTAGTTTTTTTGGATCTCTTCGTCTTAATATTTTATCTCTTGCCTTGCAAAACATTATTTCCGTTTTGCTATATCGTATTAAAGTGCTCATGCTATCTAGAATTGGGACGTTCTTGAAGTTAGGCATGGCCGAACTTGTCTTCATCTACCTCCTCCATGCCTTCCTTTGAGCTTTCCGCCCTTGACCTAAGTACTGCGCCGCATGTTAGAAGCAGCCGTAAAGCCTACAAGGCACAGACGCGGCCGCCAAGCTCGACTCAAGTACTTACTCCAGCTATATCTGCGGAGTGGTACAACAGTGGGCTTCTGGGTGCGGCTAATCTTGTCCCCCCACAGCTTTGGAGAATCTTAGTCCTGCTATGGCTCCTGTTGGGCTTTTTATGGGCGCCTTACTCGCGTCCGTGGCCAGGGAAGGAGCTGATATAGCTCCTCCTCCCCCTCTGCCCAGGAACCGCTGGTGGACCGCCCCCCTCTCCTTGCGCATCTGAAAATGCAGTTCTACTGTCGGTGACAGCCTCACCTCCAACTATGTCGGTAGCAACGGTGCCTCCGTCTGCGATGGCCACACCAGCTCTGACTACGACATTCATTCCGAAGGCGTCAACATGTACAGAGAACCACTTAACGATCTTGCCAGATAAATCGAACGAGATATGGATGAATGCGCCTATTCCAGTGTCAGGAACTACCTTTTCGGATTGTTATCCCACGCAGTTTATGTCCAGCTATCTCCTAGCTGCAAGCAGCACTATTCAACCCGCGTTTAATCCACTCGTCTGTCCGGAAAACTACTCTACTGTGGGGGCATTTGCATCAAATTACATCGCGTGTTGTCCGAGGTAAGTGAATGGCATGGACTTCTATACCAGGAGAAAATTAATATCGATTTTCACAGCGGATATACTTGGGCTCAACCAACTACCACCCAGTTTCCTGATCGGCCGGCATATGGAGGAACGTGTTATACACCACTCCCGTCGGGGGTTCCCTTTACAGCTACTTCCTATGGACATGAAGGCGTTGCAACTATAACCACATTCCAAGCGACTGTGACCAACGCCAAAGCATATGCAAATCCGTTGGATGGCTACGCTTATGGAGGGGCTCAAGTGACGAGCGCCCCTACTACAGGCATAATAGCTGCGCCAGGCGTCAGACCTACACCAGGTATTTTGCCTGGCCCCAACGGTACAATTGTTTGCTCAGCCCATACAGTGAGTTCACGAGACTCTTTACTATGATAGCTTCTTAAAATCTATAGGTAATGGTGGCAGCTAGTCCATCGTTCGTTCCAAGTTCTGTAAACGCCAATATCGGAGATGAAGTCATTTTTAAATTCTTAGCCGGCAACCACACGATCACGCAGTCTACGTATGATAAGCCATGCGAGAAACTTCTAGGAGGGTTTGATTCGGGGTACATGGGCGGCCATGGGGACATCGCCGACGTATTTACCCTTAAAGTGAACGGTATCGGGCCATCATGTATGTTTACTGTCCACAAATACGGATCAAATCCCTCTAGCTGACCATTCACTTCCAGGGTTCTTCTCGCAACAATCAGGCGAATGTGGCAATGGCATGGTCTTCGCACTCAATCCAATATACACCCAGCCGTTTACGACCTTTCAACAAAATGCCATCTCCCAAGGTAGCTCTTCACCTACCTCAAGTAGTAAACCCGGCCTCAGCCAAGCAGTCAAAATTGGCGTCATAACTTCAAGCGTCGCCGGATCGTTCCTACTTCTATCGATAATATTTGTCTTCTGCTGGCAATACAAGCGCCGGTCGGCGGCTCAAAAGGAAAGGGGGGTTACCAACGATTATACATACGATCGCAAGAACAATTCGAATAGCAGCTGTTCCGACAATCTCGGTACTACAAATAGCGAATCACATATCGGCACATGGAATGACGCCCTAGGTCTAAAGTCAACAAATGAACCCCACAGACCGGCGGTTCCACCTAAGGATCAGAGAGAATTACATAGTTCCTCAAAGCACATGGAAATCCCAGCCGAAAAATCTCCACCAGCCGAGCTATACGGCTCAGAAGCCTTCATCTTCGAAAGCGAGGAGAAGGAAATGGGCAGTGGGAATAAGACTAGGAGCGCAAGTAAACCGCCCTGCAGCTTTAATGATTATGAAGTCCAGGGCTCCCCTTGGGATGACGAGCTTGATCCCATTCCTGAAACCCCACCCCTGAGAACTTGGCCTGGTAATAAGCAGCGTCGAGAACCAATTGATCCGAGAGCGTTGGTTAGTCCGACGAGCGACCATGGCTCCCCTCATGGATTTGGGAGTTCTCGATAGTGCGGTGTATATAAGAGGTCTTTATTCCCTGTATACTTTGTTCCTGATTGCATATTAGCTGTGGAGTTTTGGGTCAAGATCAGCATATCATTTTATTTGTATATACCATTTTCGGTATGAAATATACCCTTACTAGAAAGAAGTGTGTGAAGAGAAGTTTATATTATCACAACATCGATTAAAAAACAAATATGTAGAATACCCTGCCTAAAAAGCTAGGCGATTCAAAGTTTAAGGGGCCAAAACAGTATAGATAATTTGAATCCAATTCTCGGTTGGATAATTAAGGGGGATTAATATATCAGCTTCCACGTGACTAGTCGTCAGCGGTGCGAGATTACCCCGCCCTTACAGTCAGCTCGATTCCTTTGATTCCTTCGAGACTCTGACGCGTTTCTTACGGTCCTTAGAGTTTCTTGTTCGTCGCGGCCTGAGCGAAAGCCTAACTACAGTACGCAATCCGAGATATAAAGCTGACGAGAGAGACATACGTCACCTAGACCGTTTGCCGCGTAACTTTGTCAAGCTTACGAATAACGCCATATATATATTATTTCTCGAACGATTTCTTTCTCACAATTGTCCTGTCCTAGTAGCATAGTTTTGGCTCGGCTTTTAACTATTACTACTGATTCCCGCAATCCCCGAACCTCCCCGAAGCACCACAAAAGCCAGAAATAGTCCGACCACGAAGAATCATCAAAGAGAAGAAATTATTGTACTAAGTGATATCTGAAAACAGCCATGGGTGTCGTGCCGCCAGAATCCAAAGAGGCTGAAGCCTCGTCTTCGAATCCCCATGAGGACGTACTAGGCGTACCACCACCAGCTTATACTCCGCTCCCCGAGGCCTCGTCCTCGTCTTCAGCACCAGAAAACCCCGACATCCCACAATCCAAGGCCATCTCCGCCCGAACCTCAGTCAACCTGACTGGGCCCCTCGAAGTCCAAGGCTCCATCACCGCGTCCTCATCCATCACCCTCAAAAGCCGTATCGTTGTACAGGGGAAATGCAGTTCCTCCTCCAGCGTCACACTCAGTGACAACATCACCATCCAAGGCAAAATTGACTCCTCAAGTAAAATACTGCTTCGGGACGGGGTGAGAGTTGAAGGGAAAATAGATGGCTCTAGTAGTATAGATATCATCGGCGGGAACGGAGGTGTTTGGATAGGCGGGAAGATTGATGCGTCTGGACCTTTGACTTTCGATGGGACCGGCGTGGATGAAGAGAAGGGTGTCCAGGGTGTCCATGGTGCGGTATCGGTTCAAGGGAAAGTCGATACTAGTTCTAATCTGGACATCCGAGGCAATGTAGAGATTGAAGGGGACGTTACTGTCAGTGGGAAGTTCAATATCGTTTCTGCTACAATGTCTCAAGACGAGGGCACTGTTAGGTTTGGGGGTAAGGTTTCTGGCCGGAATGGCGCCGTGATCGAAGGCCATGTGATTGCAGAGTAAGTATTTTTTTTTATTGACTTTGTCTTTGATCCAGAAAATGGAATATGAGCTAATGCGCGATTTTAGGAAGAACTTCCTAGTCAAGGGAAATTTGAAAATTGTAGGGAGGCTTTATGTTAAAGGAGATTTGGAGGTGCGTGGTTCGGTCGCTTTGGGGAAGGGTTCAGAATTGGTTGTCGATGGCAAGAGGACAATTCATGGGACTTTGGGGGAAGTTTGAAAGACTTCGGCTTGAAACAAGTACCGTTGCGCCTTTCTCAACAACTGGATAGCTCCATGATACATCTGAAAACGCCAGAGTTGGAGTGTTCGACCAGAATATAGAGATCTGAAAATCAGCTTTCAATCCCGAGAGCCGAAACTTGGTAGCTGTGGAAAATACACTCACTACAGTATAAAATTGCCTCGCAACACAAAAAGCCATACTTAAGACCAGCGCTCGCTAAAGAGGGGTCTTCAAAACAATCTAAAAAAGAAAAGAAATCAAAACAAGAAATGCAGCCCCCGCCAAAAACTCAAATGGCAAAAGAGTTCATTGCCCACAGCCAACTAATCTCTGCCGTTTCGTAGTTGTCGCTAGACCTAGTTATATTTCTCTCCGATATGAGTTGTCGTGTGATGCTTGGGGGGAGCATCTTAAAGAGCTAGGTTGTCGTTAAATGCACTTTTCTTATTAAAAGATATATACCTACCGCTTTATAGTAGCTAGGTTGTGCCGGCCGGCAGTGAGCGGCAAAGGGAAACAGTCACCGCTAGTTGTCGAGGATGCCAAAGCCTTCTCAGTCCTTATAGTATTTGCTTCAGCTGAGCCACCACGTAAGAGTTCCACTACTCCGATGTCATCAAGGACTGCATAATATCTAGGATGGTTGTGTTCTTGATGCTACACTGAGCATTCAAGAATCACTACTAATGGTGTATAAGCCAAATCCTAAAACAAGATACGGTGTCCGCAGTCTTAGCTCTTGCAGTACAGCAGGAGGGAGGATGGGAAGACGCCAAGCTCTTGGTAGTCATCGCAGCGACAGGTTTTTGTAATCATAAGCATTGCAAGGTACCACATTTTACAATATTACATACAAGCGTGTTACGGGGAAACAGTGCTCATAGAGCTAAATCAATTGCTCGCTATCGCCACTTAAATAGACTTTGGCCTAGCTGTGGGGGTGGGTATGCATAACTTGGTAAGTAAGGCGAAACATAACCCTCCTCTTCATTTTCTGCTTTCCTAGGAGAACCCACGATGAAGGTTGGTGGATAGGCTAGGGCTCATACCAACACTTGTTATAATGCTACCATTTGGCCACTTGGCAGATTGTGATGATTCCATAAGCCTATCGTCATATGGCATAGGATAGCAAAACACAATAGCAGAGGAAACAGAGGGCTTCTAGAATAGTGTTCCATTTTCTTCACTTGAGGTATTATATACAATGTTGCGTCTTTCTCGCCTACTTCTTCACAAGGATAAGAACGCCATCCATCCATCCACCTACAAAAGAAAATGCTGTGTACAAGAAAACCCGAATTAAAACCAACACCTCACTAATAAACAATGCATTTCTTCCCCTACTTTCTAGGCCAGAGCTGTGTCGTATGTAGTCCAAGAGCCTCTTCTACATGAATTAAGTCTAGTATCGGTGGTGGCCACCACTTGGAACTCGTTGGTGTCCAGGCACTGGTGGTGCTCCTTCAGCATCAAATAGATCATCCAAAACAGCACTTGGCGCCCGCTGATCCCCTCCGTATCCCGAGGTCAAGTTCAAGGTACTGCTACTCGCCATGTTCCCACGGTTTCCGAGCAATGAAGGGCTATCTGGCGGAGAAGGGTTAACCATACTCCTTCGAGCGTAGCCTGGTGCACCCGGTCCAAGATTTGACATCGAAATAGCAGGACCCTGACCAATTGACACATGGGATTGGGCGTTTCCAGGCGATGCAGCCCCAGCAGCATAGTATCCCGCTGGGAGATAGGCTGAGCCCCGATTGCCCTGGTTAGCGAGTCCCCCAGCAGCGGCCGCCCCAGCAGTAGGAGAGAAGAAGAGTGAACTCGTGGGCGCAGGTCCATTGGAAGTTGGTGGCCGGTTTCCTTTTCTTGGACGATGCCCGAGTCCTGATAGGGAAATGGTGGACTCTCTGTCATGGTAGTCTTTGTAGAAGGGTGCAGCAGGAGTACTAAACAAAGCTTTGGTGTCGGACATGTTCTGTTGTTGCGCAGCGCGCTTCACTGATCGGTGAAGCGACCATGCTACTAGACCACGCCATAGCAGCACGCTCATGGCCATGAAGCCTAGAATGGCACCAACGGCAATGAAGACCGTGCCTTCAGGGAGAGTTGAAGCCTGCATATAAGGGGCATCATGGGTTGGCGGAACAGAGGCCGGGACGATTGTAAATGCGCCCTCGAGCTTCGGCATATTCGTGGGGAGAGGGCCTCCATCTGTACCTGTTGTCTCATCACCAGTGATGGTTGGGATTGGCTTAGTGTCCGTTGCCTGCGTCTCGGATCCGGTGATGACAGCCGTCGTAGGTTTGTCGGTGGTTGCCGTCGTCTTTTCGTCCGTCTTTGGGGCCGCCGTGTTGCTAGCCTTTTTAGTATCCGGTGCCTTGGTCGTCTCCGCCTTGTCCGTCGCGTCCTTGCTCGTCTCGGGTGCCTTGTTCGTACTGGGCGCCTTGTTCGTCGGGGTAGGATCTGCTTTGGTATCTACATCGGTCGAGAGGTTGGGGAGAGGTGTATCCGCTGCAGAAGCGGTCATCGCGAGCAAGGACACCGCAACGGCCGCCAGGAGCGGCGATCGCAGGAATCTCATATTTGTAGATGTTTGGTATCAAGCGCCCGTATCCGTCCAATATAGGTACACCAAGTACGAGATCGAAGGCAGAAGTTAGATCCGACTTGACTCCAAGTGTGGTTGTTGCAGCGAAAAGAGTCGAGGGCTGAATCGAGAAGTGGAGGTGGTTGATGTTGTTGTTGATCAGCTGCAAATCAATTCAAGCCGCCACAATCATCAACGAGAAGGAAGGTCGATGAAGTGTTCAGAGTTAGATTGGGTTCCTTGCTAATAGCTCAGAGCAATAGTTCCCAGCCGCATGTAGATGTAGTCGAGGTAAAACGGTGTTGTTGTGCTTCACATATATTCGGGTCGTCGTTTGGCGGCTATTCCTGGTTTCCGCAACACCTTGACCTGGCCCGCTCCGTCGTCGTCGTCGCACGAAGGCCCTTCCCGTCCCTGTCCCTTTCCCTTTCCTAGCGACAGAGCCTAACAGCACCAAAAAAGAGACGGGGGTTATGAGGTCTCTCACTGGTATAGAAATTATGAATGAAAGCGAGTGGTAAGGATAGAACGAGCGTTGAAAATGGAAGATTGGTGCAAAGGGCGTGCAAATGAGTTGCAAAGGGATGATGGGATCTTGATGTCTTGCACAGACTCCTCTCAATGTGGCTTAGACGAAATGTCACGTGCCTCCTATTAATAACCCATGGAAACCAGCCAAAGCCGGTGAAGGAGAATCACGACAGAATCGCCGATACAGACAAATTCTCTAGATAATCTCTCATTTCGCTCCTCCATTCCTTTATACAGGCAAAGTGCATAATAAGCCAGAATGATTCGCGACTTAAAAAGAACAAAGCTACACCCCAAAAGAAAGTATTTACATATCAAATCCTCCAATACATCATCTAAAATGAATTGGCTAGTTTTGTTAACTACGATGCTGAGAAATATTGATTCATTCACGGATGGCTCTTGCTATATTCGAGACATTAGAGAGAGCAATACTAGGTACAATTTAACAGCCAGGGTATTTCAAGATAGAACGGTGGAAATGGTTGGCAGGGTAATCGTAAGGGAGCAGCAGCGTATACCTTACTCTGGCTCGGATCATCTAACTCATAGAAGTAATAGGACGGTACTGATGTGGAGATAAACATATCTTTTAAATATGCTGGACTAATTGTATCGACCTCTTAGTTCAATCCAAACCTCCTCGGCCTTTCGTTCTTCTCTGCACAGCTTGTGGTCCCCCAAACACAAGGAACCTTGGATACTTAGGTATCGTATTGTATACAAGATATAGGACCAATAATCGATCAACCAATCATACATTGAACTCCAATTCCACCGAACCTATTCCGATCTAAAACTCAAATAAACTCACTGCTGCTTCTTCTGTGCAGCCGGGCCATTCTCCTTATCGAATGCTTTGTAGGATACCTGGAGACTGGATATCGCGCTGATACCTACGCCCAAAATCGAAAGTAGAAGCAACGAGACGAGGATGCCCATAAAGAGGCCTAGATATTGATATACATTATCAGCATTGGATATGATACGTGAGGACAATAAGGGGGAATCACGAACCTGGAGTGAAGAACTGGTATTTCTCGAAGAGGGGTCGTGTATCCCTTGGGCTCGCGCCCTCACCTTCCCTCCCTAGTAGTTGCCGCTTTAGGTCCATGTGCACAGCTTCGTCGAAGGCTGGCTCGTAGACAAGGTCATCATGCACAGAAGTAGATGGTGGGCTAGTAGTGTAGATGACAGTGTATTTATAGTCTTTTGGCAAATCTTTGAGGTATGTGTTTAATTCGGCATCTGTATGGCACGTTAGTATGGATCATATTGCACAAACGGCTTCTCGCTGCCGGGAGAATTCGGGCAGCAGTTATTAAGTACCATTATTCGCCAGTTCTGTCTTGCGTTCAGATGCAAGCTTGGGCAGTGCGCCAAAATTCCATTTGGCGTAGAGGGGCGAGTTGTCTTCACGACTCTCCAATGCGGAGTGGATGCCGGAGGGGTTCTGGCCCACAGCGGTTGCCTTGCACTGAGTCTCCACGTAATCGACCAGTTGATCAAAATGTTCCCTATCAAAGTCGATGACTTCCGAGACAGAATATCTCCCCCTGGCATCAGAATCTGAAAGCGCTTTCGTCAAGTGTGGTGGAGCATTGCTCGAGAGCTGGGCGGCGTTGACATCAAGTTGGTGGACAAAGTAGTAGATATCCTGGTCACATTTCCCCAAGATCTTCTTCGCGGTATTTAGGACATTGGAAGCGGATTGTAGCTGCTGACTCTGTTGATTTTGCAGCGCGGATGGCAACCTTGAAGCCGGCTGTTAGTCTGGTTTGTAGGTCGGAAGGGAGGGAGGAGCTTGGGCATACTGAGAAGACGCGAACAGAAGGAATGGTGAGGTATCTTTGAACGCATGCGCAGATGCTAGACAAGCTGCAGCTGCAGCTATTGAGAGACGCATCGTTGGCTTGCTTGAGGCTTCCTGAGCTGGAGGGTTGAGCTTGAGAGATGAAGCGTAGCCTTGGAGGTCAAGCTGCGTCTGCGCCAAGACTGGGCGGGAAATTCCGCTCCGCCCTCGAATTGATAAGAAAAAAGATACTGACCGCGAACTCGAATCTAGATCAGACTTATAGAAAGTCCACTCCCAAACCACCACAGTTTGTCGAACTACAAAATCGAAGTCTACATTAACTGGAGAAGTTCATAATGGAGCCGAAAATTTTCAATCTCCCGCGCCCGAAGAAATCCGTCCTTCCACCTCAGTCAAAAAAGCGGAAAATCGAACACAAAATCGAAGAGATATCCTTTGATACAGATGCACGAGCAGATTATTTGACGGGTTTTCACAAGCGGAAGCTACAGAGAGCAAAGCAGGCACAGGTGGAGGCGGAGAAGAAAGCAAGGGAAGAGAAGATCCAGATGCGGAAGCAGGTAAGTCTTTTGACATAGAATTTGAGGGGCTGAGAGTGGCCTTGGGCCGAGCCAGCATCAGGAATAACGGGGCTAATAGTTACATTCTGGCATGTAGTTGAAAAACGAACGGCAGCAAGAATTAGACGCTCATGTACAGGCTGTGAATAGACTGCTTAAGGATGTTGCTGGGTCAGATAATGACGAGGAGGCCGGTGACCAAGAAGAAGCTTGGGAGGGAATCCCTGACGAGAAGCCAATAGTCGAGCCAGTGAACCATGAGGAAGAATATGTGGATGAGGATCTATACACGACAGTTACGGTCGAAGAGATGGACGTGTCGAAGGAAGGACTTCTAAAAGTCGAAGACGGTGAAGATAGCGATGACACAAGTGAGGCGCCGAAACTAGTACAGAGCGAGGCCAAACCCAAGAAGGTGTGGCCGAAAAAGGAGAAGAGGAAGAAATTTACATATGAATCCAAGGCGGAGAGGAAGTTCACTAGAAATAAGCAGAGTGCAGGGAACAAGGCTAAAGCAGACGCTCGTAGAGGCAACGGTTGACGAATTTACTAAGATTCCTACTAATGCCATAAGAACCGATGGTATATGATGCCTTCCATGTGAACTCGGCGACGAAGCAACCTCTGTACAAGCTATGTATCACAAAGGCAATTCATGCGAAGCTAACTGCGCTAACTGCAATTACACCTGCGGTATCATCCCAACAAAATAATAAGCATCTTCCTCCGGTCTGCTTCCCATCACTCCACCATGGTTCCTTCAATAGCAGTAGTCTAGCCTTAGATATTGCCAATCTCGATCTGGAAGTCGGCCAGCTCCTTTTGAACCTCGGCGTACTTCTTGGACATTTCTTCGAACTTCGCCTCCCACTGATCACGGTCTGCCTCAAGAGCTTGGACTTTCCGTTCGAAGTGTCCAGCTTTGACATCTGTTTGGCGCAGCCTAGGAAAATATTAGTATGCATAATACACCAGCAAACATATCGTAACTAAGGGCTCCATGAAACCAATAATAGTAGACTTACTTGTCGTTTGTTTCGCGGAGGTTCTTATCGGCCTCTTCCGCTTCATCCTCAAGGAGCTGCAGTCTTCGTTGCAGGGCCTCGTTCTGTGTCATATGTCCACCACCCGCATCAGCAGCCTCCTTCAACTCCTTGTTCTTTGTTTCCGCAGCCTCCAAGTCGCTCTCTAGTTGTGTGTTCTTGTGTTGCAGGGAGGTGATTTCATGCTCCTTTTGCAGGTTCTCTTGCTCAAGGACCTTGACCTGCTTCTGGAACTCCTCCACTTTGGTCGCAGACTCATCCGCCTCGATGCGCAGCTGGTTCATTTTCTAGGGATTCCATCAGCTAATATTCAGTCACGTAGTTGTGTTCCTACGAGGCTGGCTGTTCACCCCAACAGCCGGTGCGGGCGGATCTTGACACCATATTGGAATTGCGGGGTTGTGTGGGGTGAAAGCTTACCTCCTTGATGCGATCCATGATGAGAGCAGTATGTAGATGTAGGGTATTAGAGTATCTCAAAGGGGTATCGTAGGTTTACGTTTGGATATCGAACAGTGGTGGGGGCAGTGTTTTGGAAGGTAGAAAAGGGGATATCACAAGCGTTCACCGGAATCGCAGACACCGTGTGGATTTGGACTGACGAGGCAGTCTCACTTACATCCCTGTGGCGCCGTGACCGCCTGGTTGCCGTGGAAACTCCGCCAAACAAACCCCCGTCAACCCCCGGTACAGCAATTGACTCCTTTACAACACGACATCGAATTCAATGTAATACGTGATTTCATCCATTTCCACCGCGAATATTTACATACAACTGCGGATATGTTGGCAGCTCGTGACCAAGAGAATCTGGTCTACGGCCACCAAGCCGCAGCGGCTTCGAAACCGCTCAACCAGAGCAACAGAACCCTCCAGCCCAAGACACCTGGAAATAAATTTCCCAAGACACCCTTAAAGATACCCTTAAACGATGAGAATGCGCCGACAGCTTTCGGAGGAAAGTCCGGGAAGGGAAAAGGCCTGGAGAATCTGATGACGGGTGGGAAACAGGGCTCGAACTTTGATAAAAATGGCTTCGTGACCCCTGTACTTGGTATGGGAGCACTTCGCACTTCATTGCAATGTACTAATCATCCTCAAGGTGCCAGAACTCGAGCTCCCCTTGGAATGAAAACCACAAATGCGAAAGCCAAAGCTATCCAGACTCCTGCCCCCCATCCGCAAAAAGAGGCCGAGAAGTCGCAGCCGAAGCAAACTACCGGACGTCGACAAAAGAAAGTTATACATGCCGACGCAGTCAGGCTGGAAGTCCATGGCGACGAAAGCCCATTGGCAGATAGGGATGTAGAGGTAGAATACGCGCCGCCACGACCAAAGGATATCCCATATCAGTCCGAAGACTTTCCTGAAAATTGTCTCAATCTGAATCCCCTCAAGCCAGGTAACCTCATGCGAGGTCGGTATAGCCATCACCATAATAGGCTGGATGAGAATGGGCTCACCAGACTCGAACGTGAATTGGAGGAAAGCTATATCAAATCAGCCAATGAAGCCGATGAGCGGTTTTTGAAGACGCTGGAAGAAGAGCAGTGGACTGTTGGTGATGTACCAGAGACGTTCCGACATTTACGCAAGAAGAAACCAGACCAGCATAAGGCTCCAGTGATCGATCAGCCCAAGAGATCCATTCCAGTGCCGAATAGAGCTCCTGCCACCATTTCTTCTCGGAACGCAGCGTCGGCTCTATCAGTCATGCCAAAGACTAGCATTGCGCATCCCAGAGTTACCCAAGCAAACCCAAAGCGAACAGTCTCATTTCTCTCCCGGCCCAAGCCTAAACCTGCACCCCTTACCACAACCAACCCTTCCAGCATACGAAATACCGCTGCTACAGCTGCCTCGAAAAGTACAATAGGTTATTCTAAAGGGCGGTCCGCTTCTGGCGCAATGCAGAAAAAGGACGAGGTCGTCACACGGGCAGAAACTTTGCAGAAGAGGACTGGTGGAATGATGAGAAGCGTTAGCAACATGAGCCAGGGATCAGACACCACCATCACCCCAGCTCGATTTGTTCAGAAACAGGGAGCCGAGGATGAGGAATGGAAGAAGAGACTCGCCTTCCTCAGTGCATTTGACGTCGATGATGAGGATCTAGAGCCAGGGTTGAGGGGTGCGTTACCAGAGTGCTTGAGAAAGGATGAGGACGATGAGGAGTTTGTCTTAACTTTAGGCGATGGTTCTGTATAATTGCTTTTTCCGTCCTGGGATGGTTTGGAGTATCAAGGACTGGAGTTGGCGGCTGGTTTATTGATGGTAGCACTGAGGCGTGGGAAGCCGTATCATCCCCAAAGGAACTTATTATTGTACCTATACTACTTCTATGAGTAATACACTTTGTGTTCTTTTATATGCTTTGAGTTACATACAGCCCTTGTGAAATTTCTAGCTCTCGTGTTAAATCAACCCTCTAATCTCAATCTATGAAAGTTTGCAATATTGCGGCGTCTTCAACTCCGTAATGGCATGTTGTGGCGTCGACAAAAATTGAGTGGCTTTATAGCTATTGCATATACGAACCTGTGTAACAGAGCATTTCACAATTGAACTTAAGAATTCCCTGGCCCTCTCTTTTCCCTAAACCAAAAAATCCCAAATCAAACATTTTGCTGTCGCAAAATGCGTCTTCCCATCGTTGTCCTCTTGATCTCCTCCCTCGCAGTTTCGATCCCAAACAGGAACCATCACACTATCTGCTCCTGCATTTCACCACATCTTTCAACTGTCACCGAAAACAGCACATCTACAACTACTCACACGATCACAAATCAATTCGTCCAGCCGTACACTACAATTTACACTACATCAACTTTGTACGCCGACTTTTCCCTTATTTCTCATGTTGTTTTTTCAGGTAAAGTATATTTAGAAAGGCTAATAGATGCAATCATAGCACCGAATTTGAGACCTCTACATTTACCCGCTCACATACTCTCCCTTCACCGCCGGCCCTGGTGCTAGTGTCACATAAGAGAGGTCCTCCAAAAGATAAAGAGCACCCCTATAAGGAGCACAGATGTCGTCAACATCCGGAGTTATGCGACTGTATTTGCGCTGCTGAGTCGGGTACGGGTGGCGTTGTTGCAGTTACTAAAGTAGTCAGTACGGTGACAGTTGGAGTTTTTGGCGGAACTGTAAGTCGTATGCTATTTATTGTCCCTCGACTTTCTGTTTTGGATTTTCAATATAGTATTGGAAATTAACCTTAAATAAAATGGTATATGAATCCATATGACCTTCGTAGGGCAGGTAGGTGGTGCTTGCCATAGAAGAAAGGGCTTGGCTTGTTGTGACAGCATCCGGTGCAGTTTTCTTACACATCTCACATATGCTACTCTTAAAAGTTACTCTCACGTTCGTTCCAGATAAACGCTAATGTGGATAATGAAATGATAGGGAACTCTCCCAGTGCTAACGGTAATGAGCACATCTGTGGTTACGGTTGAGGATGTTACTACTTTTACGGAATATCAGCCTTGATCACTGTTGAGCGGTGGCTGAGAGATAATTGAGGACAACAAACAATATTTTTAAGTGGCTATCTCCTAGAAGACTATGATATAAGAAAGGCTAAATATCGACAAATATACCTAACAAAGAATGATAACCTTAACAACGTACTACTGCGGGCTAGTACTTGAACTCAAAAGCAGTTTGATTACATTTGGAAATCCTAACTTCCGGCATTTTGCGGATTTTCGCATGACGCATACTAAGTACTTTTAAACAAGCTTTCTGTTATGCCTGAAGTTAATCGGAGCTACCGACTACAAAGTATTCCCAAAGCCCCTACTCAAAATATAAAAGTGGTCACGTGACCCGAGGCAGTTCATAACATCAAGTCGGGTATTAAAACAAGTAGTAAGAACAGTAAAGTAAAGCAAAGTGAACAAAAGCACAATACCTAGAACTCAGCTTCTCGGCCATAGCTTGCTATTGAGCTATTAGCATGCAATAGGCAGAGACTCACGTGCTGATCAATAAAAGGGGGTTATAGGCTTAAGAGTGGCGGAGTAAACAATCATCTATTTTAGATCGAACTGAGAAACCTACATGTATTTTATATATATGGATACTAGTATATTTAAACGCCGTCGTCGCGTCGAATTATTAAACTGCAATAACGCGGATGTTTCGTGACGACGATATTATTGTACCTGCGCAAAGTTTAGACGATCTCCATCGCTTGGCAAAGGTGACGCAGTCCGTAAAGTCGATCATTGTTGCAAAAGCCGCTTTCATCGATTCAGAGCGATAACTTTATTTGCATACCAAAACGATCCATGGTGGCTTAATAGAGCCAGAGAAAAAAGTAAATTATTGTTGCTATTCACTACAATATGAAGGATCGTGCACTCCCCACCGCCTTGGATTATTAGACATTAGATCTTGCATGTTTGCCCCAATGTAGCTTAGCGGCTTTTGGGGAATCTTTAGCCAGAGCAGAGATGGACTTCCACATTCCCATTCACATCAACCCTCTTGACCTTGACAACACCACAATACCACCACGACCCTATATCATCTCGAATACACGATCGCGCCTACTTCCCAGGGGATCCTCTGGTACTGATTGACCCTGAGCAACCCCTTTTGCGGTCCTCCCATCTTTCACTACACGAGGCAGCGCAAGTCACCCCCTTCCAAAGGCGGCGCGTGAATCTTAATCTCTCTTTCGCATTGCGCGCACCTGGCTTTTGCCCTCCTTCGCCGATGTATGCCGTCGCTCCCTGAACATCATACAAGAGATGATGATCGGCAGGCGGGGGGTGTGGTAGATCGATATTTGTGCCACGATGTCCCGCGCGTCTGGTGCCAGTTTTGCTCAGTTCTTCCCCTCTGCTCCGAGGGCCGCAAAGGACAAGGCAAAGGAACGAGAGAAGTTCAAATCACAGCAGTTGGGATCACCGAGCATAAAGCCTGTTGGCGACAGCCGAGCTGTAACGTCAACATCCAGTACTCGTCTCGACGATGGTCTACGTTCCCAGGCGGCAGAAAGCAATATCCCTACCGCAGAGCCAGTTCCTTCCCAGACAGATGATAACGAATCTCTTCAGGGCGATCTCCTGAATGGCGTTGGATCAGCAAGTTCACACGCGAGCACAGGATCTTCTGTTTTCAGCGCGCCGGCTCAGCCACCCAACATGTCGACGTTCGATGGTTCCCGCAATATGAACAGCCTAACGCCCTTGACGAATATTGATTCATCACCACATCGTGGCACAAGTCCTTATCAACATAAGTCGGGTGGCCCATCAAGCAGGGCCACTACAGACAAAACAATCACTCCGCATGACATCCCACAAGCGCAATCTACCAATCCAGATGAACCGCCCCCACCCCAGCGAATATTCGCCCGCGATCCTAATAAAGGCGTAAAGGGAACAATATGTACATACGATCCTCTCCTCGATCACAAAATTACATACAATGAGAAGAAAAAGGCGAAACCGATTTATAAGGAGTTTGGTTTGGTATGTATACAATCCGTGGGGAGCGTCATCTTTCTTGTGTGAATGTTTAGCTAATGGCTTGCAGGAAGATGACGCTCCCCCGGCGGATCCGCGGTTGGCCAAAGGTGGCAGGTTGGGTTATATCAATACGAATTTCCATAAAGCCAAATCGCAGTTGTTGCATGCGCCAGAGATGTTGCGGACGTACAAATATGATCCGAAAACTTCTCTAGGCCCTGGCCCGCCCACCCAAGTTGTTGTAATGGGATTTGATCCGCTTTACAATTTCTCGAATGTTACGTCCTTTTTCTCTGCCTTCGGTGAAATTGCTGAAAGCAGTAACAAACTTCATCCAGAGACTGGCAGTTGTTTAGGCTTTGGTACGTTCCGTTATAGAGATAAGGTGGTGAAGGGCGGTGTTGTTGTCTCTGCAACTCAAGCTGCGAGAATTGCTGTGATCAAAGGGCACGGGTTTCGCATGGGTTCCAAAAACATCAAGGTGGGATTCGATCCGGAAGGAAACAAGAGCCGGCGTATGCTCGAGGAGGCTCTCAGAAGATCGAAGCCTGAGCCGCTACCCACACCCATCGCAAAGCCTGCTATTCCAAAACCTCCTGAGATTGCGAAATCATCTGGGCCGCCCCCGACTGCACCGAAAGGACCGGCTGCCTATACAGCACGACCACCTATACGGACACCTTTTATACCTGCCGCAATTCCAACGAAGCCAAGAGCTCAGCAACTCCTCGACAATGACCAACCGCTCTCTCTGAAGTTGGATCGCGAGCCCTATTTATTTGTCTCGAAGGAGTCAGTACCAATATTGGCAGCGACCGTACCGCATCTGCGGAAGCGTCTTCGGTTTTTCGGCGACTTTGACGTCCAGTTTGACCGATATGGCTACTACATTGTTTTTCCTAACTCATCCTACGGACGAGAAAACGCGGAACGCTGTTACAAGGCCGTAAATGGCACGCCTTTCTTCACGTACGAAATGATGATGAAGATGTATCCATATGGCACCAATGGCTCCCGCTCATCTGCTCTTCGGACTTCTGATGCTTTCCGGAAACGAAGCCAAAGCCCGACTCGCCGGGATGCGGACCTAAGGGATAAATTGGACGAAGAAGCTCGACGGAAAGAGGAAGAGGCTGATCTAGAAGAAGAGAAAAAAGAGAGGGCTAAGAATTTTGATCCTGCTAGGGAGGCAATCGAGGTCATCCGAAGGGAATTGAAGGAACAACTCGTCAAGAATATCAGAACCAAAATTGCCACCCCCATTTTACATTCCTTCATGGATCCGTCAAATCATGTCACAAAAAGGCGGAAGTTCAACATCCCAGATCCAAAAGACCTGAAACTACCGCTTATATATGACGATGACACTAGAGGAGTCAGCCCAATCGGGACGCCTAACTCTCGTATTGATGCTCTAGAACGTCGACCCATGGGTTCTAAGGTCAATCTAAACGCGTTGGGACGCATTCGAATGGCCAAAGGTGGACAGAAACTCAATGTTGGATTCAAGGATCCTTTCGGGAGAGCAAGACCAGGAGCTCGAAAGTCTGTAGTCCGGCCCTTGGCCCACCGTTGGATCGAGGACGAATCAGATTCAGACGATGACACCGAGTCCCGTTCGCGGGCTTTGTACACGGAGGAACCAGACTCAAGGCCTCGAAGTAGAATGAGCCTTGATGACGAGTCATCCGATGATGAAGATGCCGATATCTTAGCTGGTAGAAATTACGTCAAAGAAGAGTCTGGCTCTGTAGATACCCGAGATGAGGACTCCGCGAGCGAGGTTGCTTTTGTTGTAGGAGACCCAAGGATTCCTTCGAAGAAAAGAAAGCTTGACCTACAGGTGGAAGCAGCACTAAAGCGACAGAAAAAATCTGATGAGGAGCTCTTTGGCGTCGATGCAGATAAGATTGAGCGAGAATTTCCGCTCTCTGCGTCAACGGTTGATGAAGACACCCCTATGCCAGATATCGATGGGGTCATCAACGATGAGGCAGCACTTGAGGAAAGCCGGAAAAAGGTGGCCAAAACGAAGAAGAAAAAGTCGAAGAAACAAATCTTTGAGGAGCGCGAGGCCCTTAAACGACAACAGGAAGGCATCTACATGGATGAACTTCTTCAACCGCCAACCGAAGTTGCTGAGATTCATGTCGATGACGAGGACGATATCATGGAAACAGCCCCGATAGAAAGTTCTGTTGAGTGGGGTAGGTCTAGGGAGATTCCTCGTCCAACTGTTGATGATAATTTTGAAAACATCGTGGATCTGGATGGTCTTCAGAATTTGTTCAAAGATGATGAAGACACCCTAGCTGCCTTGGATCTCTTCAAGCGATTCGAACCTGGTAAGTTGGTCGGCCTGGAGACATGGACTTGGCAGCAGAAGAACATGAAGACTCTAAATCGGCCCGGCTGCAAGGGACCTGTAATGGCTGAGACTACCGTTGACGGATACTACGTTCCGAATGTATCCGGTTGTGCACGTACAGAAGGGTTCAAGAAGATCCTTAATTCCGAGAAGTCGAAGTATCTGCCTCATCGCATCAAGGTCCAAAAGGCGCGTGAAGAGCGTGAAGCTCAGGCGACAAGAGCTGGGAAAGATCTCGCGGCGGAGGCGGCGGAAGCAGCAAAAACTGCCGCTGAAAAGCTATTGGCTAAGGGGAATTCTCGAGCAAACCGTGTCAACAATCGTCGCTTTGTGGCTGGTCTGGAAGATCAGAAGAAAACTCTTGGCGGCGACTCCGATGTGTTGCGATTCAACCAGCTTAAGAAGAGAAAGAAGCCGGTGAAATTTGCCCGATCAGCCATTCACAACTGGGGTTTATACGCTATGGAGAACATCGCAATGAACGACATGATTATCGAATATGTTGGCGAAAAGGTTAGACAGCAAGTCGCGGATCTTAGAGAGATTCGTTATCTCAAGAGTGGTATTGGCAGCAGTTACCTCTTCCGAATCGATGAGAACACAGTTGTTGATGCCACGAAGAAGGGTGGAATTGCACGGTTTATCAACCATAGCTGCATGCCCAACTGCACGGCAAAGATTATCACAGTCGAAAAGAGTAAACGAATCGTCATCTATGCGCTACGTGATATTGCTATGAGTAAGCTCCCTGAACCCGTTGATCAGAAAGTAGCTAACCAAAAATAGATGAAGAACTCACGTACGACTACAAGTTCGAACGTGAAATCGGGAGCACGGACCGCATCCCCTGCCTCTGTGGTACAGTGGCATGTAAAGGATTCCTTAATTAATCTCATATCTCCCACTTTATCTGCATGGAGTCCATCTCACTAGCTGGGTGGGATACGTCCGAATACCAACCTAGCTTTCTCATTCTGGAGTTGTGCTGCATGGCGCAAATCTCACGGGCATTTGATTTCTTTTTCAAATTCACTGCATTCAGCTCGGCGAGGCGGTTTGGGGTCGGATGGGCAAAAAAAAATGTACTCTTTCAACCGAGTCCCTTTACGGCGTTTAAGATCTCTGACGTTTATTGGTTGGCGGTGGATAGCTGATTTCCCAATGTAACTGCTTCATCAGCGGGTAAGGAGGAGATCATGGTAAAGAAATGATAGGAAGCACTTGTATAAATAGAGCGCCATATTTTGCCAGCCATGGTGGGGAGCTGGTTATGAGATCAGAGTGGCGCATATCTGATAATTCTGCGATCTGCAGAGAGAAAATAGAAGTTTATGAAACGTACTATATGGGAGACTGTTCATGATCGATTTTGTTACCGGTACTCTCTGGCGACCTAAGGGCGTATGTCATTTAGTCTTGATATGTACTTTGGTGCCGTGCTACTCTTCCATCCGCATTTGGTCGATCCTCGTCTTCTATGAAGCCTGGGATACCATATCCGTGGGCAGTTAAGTAAACTTACTACATGGGGTTGTTTTGGCGTCCCTAATGTCCTTGACCATCCTTGACCATAGAAAGACTACAAAAACTCACTACTCTTACCGCAAAATAATCGGAGTGTTCTAATTTAATTCCTCTCCCCCGCCCCCTCTAATTATGCCCGCGCAGTCTTGGATAAATCCAAGCAACTAAGTAAAACTTCGACGCCAGTGTTCAAGTCCTAGAGCTTTGGGGTTATAAAAATTGGAAATGAGGCCATGGTCGCGTGTCATAGCATAGTCAAGCGGAACAGCAAACTCGATAGCGATATGTAAACCGTTTTGAGCGGGGCACTTCAGAACTGTCAAATTTCACCTCCATGAGTCCATGATCGTCTATTCTTTTATACAGTCATACTGGCCCATTCGTTTTCCATCGACCAGGCTGCGGCGTTCTTCGCACATCAGTAGAAACGTCTAATATCAATCCCATATCATCTGCCACTAGTCACTCTCCATCCTCATGGCCTTTGAATCCTCACACCCTCCTTGTTTGTCCGTAGAAAGCTACTATTACACTCCTCGTATGCCCGTCCCGCGCCAAAACCCAACCCAACCAACGCAGGCCATGCCCTCCGCTTGAATAGTAGAACCGAGAAGACGACACCGAACGAGAGTCCAAGACTGGAGCGGATGAGGAGGGAAGAGAGGCAGCGGTCCCACTGTATTTTCAGTCAGTAATTACAGGAAATCAAGCGCCGCGAATAGCTTACCTTCTCATTCAGTAGGGATTCGGAGACGGGCTTGCTTGGTCGTGCCACGACGGGCGGAGGAGGAATGGTAGTCTCAGGCATAGTTGCGTTTCTTCAAAATGATTCTCAGTACTCAATTGAAGTCGCTGGGATGCGATTGACTTACGGCGATGTTTATTGCAAAGGAGAGAAGCCGAATCGAAGCTTATGGGCTGGACTATTTGATTGTTTTCGTTGACGATGTTCCTGAGCGGATCAATCCGGTTGTCGGTGAGGCTTTGCGCTAGATTAGGAAAGGTGGGTCGGTATTCTGCCACATGCGAGGGAACTTTTTGTGAAGCGGGACGGTTTGGAGCTGGATGAAGAATCGTCGACTATTGGCTTTGCAAATACAAGTCAATAATGGTAAGTTAACTACTACTATGCCCAAGTACAAAGAAATAGCTAATAATTATATGACAGGCGTCCAAATCCCGAACCGCGCAAGAGCAACTGGCGGAACTGGAGAAGGCATCTGCGCCATTCGCAGACCAACTTGTGGAAGCTGCAAAATTCATTGGGGAGGATTTAGATACGCTCATGAGCTGTTCAGAAGATGCCACCAAAACCGAGAAATCCCTTAAATCTACAATCTATCATGGACGAGAAGAATGGTTGTTGCGCTGGTTGTTGAAGAAACTACAAGCACCCAAAGATGAGGTGCCAAGGTGAGAATTCTCAAAACGAAACCAAATGCAATAATTGACTGGTGGATTAGACAACAGCCTTCGTCATGGTGGCTCTTCCTCTACCTCATAAGAGCCATACCGCTGCCAATTGTGGCTCGCCTACTTATCGAAAAGAAGTTCATGGCCATTCTCCGACAGACATTAGACGAAGCACACAAGAGAACAAAATTGAAGGCAACGACAGATGAGAAACTATCGCAATCGAGTCCTGAGGAGATAAAACAACCATCTAAGAAGTCCAAGAAGCGGAAGCGCTCACCAGAGCTTATTCAGGGCATAGACGGTACCGAGGAAGGTGGATTGAAACCTTTACTCGAGTCTATACATGCAACATTGCAATTCATGGTTCAGTCTACAAGTCCTGCCGCAGGGGCATCGGACGAAGAAACAAGCAGCTCGTTCTTGGCGGAATACATGAAGACGGTCACTAGGACTTCGGCCCAAGAATCAGCTGAAATATTGGGGCTATGGTTGTCATTATCAGTCGAGATCTTAAAAGCAAGGGAAAACTCGATCAAGGATATTGCATTTTGGATTTCCCCTTTCATCGAGATATGGCAAGTTCGAGCAGCGGACGAGAGTGGTTTGGTGATGTTTTCTCTGCACACCACACAATCACTTCTACAACTGCTCCGAGCTGTGAAGAAGCGGCATCTCACGGTACCTGATTTGAAGGCACAACTGGAACAACTAATCGCCCGCAATATAATGATACCAGCAAAGTTGGCGAATATGGAGGACAGCCACGCCGTCCTTCTCGAAACTTTAACGAGGATCCCGGTTATTCAGGAGACTGCCAATGCTCCGGTTCTTTTCGATGTTGCAATCAGGTCGATCCAGAGTCATGGCTCCCGATGGCGGAGGCCACAGGACGATGCTTGGCTCCAGACTGTTTTCACCACGCTCCATAAAGCATTCGTACCTGAGAGACATGAAGCGAACAGCAAGGCTCTATGCTCTATGCTTCACAGTGCTATAAAGTTTAAGGTTGATCTTGATCTCCCAACCTTGAGCAATATTACCTCACAATACGCTTTGACTGAGGACCGCACCGACTGGACCCTCCTGGCAGCACTAATACAACTTGATGCCAACGTTTTCCTAATTCCAGATGTCAAGCTTGATCTTTTAAATAAGCTACTAACGAAGGTCACCAAGGCGTCTATTCAGACAGATTGGGCAGATATCGCGGACCAAATTGTTCTGGATGTCTGTGTACCACTCATGACTGAATTTTCGAAGGCCCGAGACCTCTCTGGATTTATACGTCACTGGTTTGCCCAGCTTGTTGAGTTTGAGAGACTACGACAAGAGACCCGGCTCTTCTCAATGAAACTGTTCAGTGCATGGGAAGATGATGCGCTCCAGGAGGAACTCGGCAAGCTCTTAGAGCCATCTTTAACAGCTCAACAGATTACTCAGATCCTCAACTGGCTGGCGTCGGAGGCTACGGAACATCCAAATGCTGTCTCTGTCATTCTACAGGCAATATCCGGATCAATATCTCAAGAAGAAGTTGTTGATATAGTCAATATACGTCTCTGTACCATCATGTTTGAGAATGGCAGATGGGAAAAACTAGATGTGCGGTACTCGTGGCGATGCTGGAAAATAATCTCTCAAAGCCTGCAGTGGGTCATGCCTCCAGGTATTGACGAGCTTGCTTCTCTACTAGAGGAGCAAGCAAAGCCATTTAAAGCTTTGATGAACAAGGCTTGTTCAGGCACGCTTCTTGATACTTATGGCGGAAACACAGTGAGCCTTGATGGTCTTGAAATGCTACGATGTGGGTGTGCTCTGTGGAGCACCGTAGGAATCGGGAGTCAATCGGAAGGAACATTACGATCAATGATGTTTCGATTCATAATGCTTCTATATCGCGATCTTAAGACGTTTCCTCAGGACTTATTGGCAGACACAGACCTTGGTCTGACGGCATGCAGCTCACGACAGAATACGCTCTATCGGGACATCGGCTGGACGGTTTGGTCTCTTGTTAGGTGCATATTTGTGGAGTATCCAAAAGCCCTCGAGTATGTTTCTTGCTCTTTGCCCTCTAGCCTCTCACTAATTCTGGCAGATTTGCCTCTGATATGAAAGGAGAGGATGAGTTCGGACAGCTACTACAGATTGTCTTCTGGCTCTGCTCTGCGAGTACTCGCGACGCTGACAATAAGATCGGCTGGCTTCAACTTAATTCGGAAGCTTTCCCCGATATATGGATGTTTACTCTACAGAGTGATATGGTTCTCAACTGCCCGGCAATCATTGGTTCGTATACGGTGCTAATCCTTTAACGTATTTTCATGTGCTAATTGAGATATTTTGCTAGAAAAAATTATGGACATCATGTTGGCAGATGATTCCAATATTAAAAATCCACTGATTAAGTCACCGTCTTTGAACATATTCGCCATTCAGTCTCTACTTGAACTACCACTCGAAATATTCTCTAAGAAGAATAGGGAGTGCATCATGACGAAATGGACACCAGTTCACGAAGAATCTTCGACAGAGAAGGCGGACGAGTCAAAGTTGGCTGCTGCAGAGCCTGCTGTTCTCAGCTTAAAGATAAAGATAATGCATCGTCCCACATTCTACGAAGTTAGTTATCAGTTCCAACCCACTGAACATACGATATTGATGGTTTTTAGGATATGAGTTTTCAACACCTGGCAAATCTAGCGAATGTTCTTGCAGATCCCGAAATCGACTCTCCAGATGTTAGTCTTAAGCTATTCAAAGAACTGGCCCGGCAAACTTTCAGGTAAGCATATTTCCTTATCTATAAAAATGGCGACTAATTGCACTCCAGTCAAATGACTGAAAATATGGATCAATCTCGGAGTAAAGCATATATCGGGAGTGCTCTAGGTGATATCAAGAAGGAGCTGAGCCCACATGAATCGAAGACGGAAAAGCGATTGAGCTACTCAAAATTGAGCTATTCTATGATTGCTCTGATCGACGTTGCCCTCTCGATTCTTCGCGATAAGGCAGCTTCATTGAATGACTTGGACATCATCAGCAGCTCCAAACTACGAAAACTTTCAAATGCTTTTAAGGAATATCTTCTCAGTCATCTAGAGATCCTTGTTGGCAAACTCGCAAAAGGAAGCTCTAGTAAGCGGAAGAGTGGCAGAGCTGGCTACCATCTAGCATTAATCTGCGCCATCGACGCATTATCAGCTTTGGGGGCGACCTCTTCGGAGCTAGCCGCCTTCACTGACAAAGCTAAGCTGCTGACTAGCTCTGGGAGCTTTATGAACGATTCTAGCTTCCATACTGGAAGAAAGCTCGAGGCGTTCTTAGCTGCACATAGCACCGAAAGTGGAGATACCAACTTCGCCGCTCAACTCAAGGGTGACATCTCAACAGTCGACGGACGACTATCGATTCTAGAAACGACGCAAGCTGCAACCGCGGGTAAAGATCACAAGGGGAAATTGAAGCTTCTTGATTCAATATTTGGAGTAGGACTTACCGGTTTGACGCAATTGGACAAGCTGTTAGCAGCCAGGGAGGTTATAAAATCATGCAAAGGCAGGTCCAACTTTCTATATCCAGTATAACGCGGTATGCTAATTCTATTAGATGTTCGAAAATCTTCCGAAGAGGAGACGGATGAGAACGACTTTGATCTATCCATGGCATATTCTATACTTTGCAGTCATCTGTGGAAGGCTACGGGGCTTCGTCAGTTCTGCCTCATAAGCGAGACTATGGAATTGATGCTCCAGACCAAGGTAACCAGTCCTTTAAGTACATTAATGTAACCCTCTAACATGTCATCAGGGCCGTTCCATGACTCAATGGAATATAGACAACACCCTCGGCAGCATAACCATCATGTGCTCCCGCAACGGCCCAAAAATCAATCCCAACCGAGCCGGAACGATCTATCTGCATCTCTGCCACCTCATGCAGGCAGTCCTCACATCGCACCGTTTAAAGCTAGAAGGGCATTTCCACCTCGTAGTGCAAGTAATGCAAACGCTCCTCCGCTGCCTGTTCACTCCACTTCCGCACAGCGCGTCCAAAACCACCAAATTCCTTGTCCCACCACCCTGGCTCTCATCGCCAAAACACCAACTCACAGCCAAGCACGCCGAAGCTTATACGCGTCTCGTAACCATGATCTGCGACCCGACCGTATCCTCAGTCACTCGCTCAGGCCACAACAGGCTCAATTCCGCAACAGCCAAAGCGAAGGGCATGGCGGCGCAGCATATGCAATTCGCACTCACCACGTATGTAAAATTACAACTTGAAATGCGCATGTTGCCGGAAATCCGAGAGAAGATGATTCCTGGCCTGTACGCTATCCTTGATACTACGACGCCTGAGATGAGGAGGATGATCAATGATGGATTAGATGCCAGTGGGCGTGCGGTGTTTGTTAGCTTGTATAGAGATTATATGAAGTTTGGGAAGTGGAAGGGCTCTTAGTTTATTCGTAGATAGTTTAGGCAGGATATGGGGGTGGAGTTCCTTAGTTAGTTGATGAGACTGGCTGGCTTAAGGACTAAGAATGAATATTTTCTGCATACCTCTGATTCGTACCAACTCCTATACATTTATAATCTGATGTGCAACTCTAATTTTATCTTTCACTTATTTTACCTTCTCCTAAATAGTTCCCATACCATTATTCTGTAACCCTCCGCCCGTACGCACTGGCCTTGTCATTATATTCAATTAATGTTAGTTATACGATCTCGGACTTTTTCATTTGAAACCCAAAAATAAAAAATACCCAAAAATAAACAGAACTCCCTACAAAAATCGTGCCATTAATAGGAGTAAGAAATATGTTTACAAGTTAACAGCTAACGGTATAACAGCCAAAATAAATATTTTATATCCTTTGGAGTTAAAATTTGAAAGGGGTGGGGGGTAATTACGCATATAGTCTACTTATTTTAAATACTCTAGATGGCTAGCTTGCGAAATTTACAAAGCGTTCTCCCCACCCCTTTTTAACGGACCACGTTGTACTATTAAAAGCACGAGTAGCAATACATTGTACTTATTAGTACGTCACCTAGAAAACCAAGCACTAACATAACAAGCTCACGAAACATTGTCTAGCAAAATATTAAGTTCTATTTTCTAAATAAAGGCCGCGCAATATGCATGTATGTAGCCTTTCTCCGTCTGCTTTTCGGTGTATTCTAGAAAGGAACAACAATCGCAGGAATGTGTATCTGAGCAGGAGTAACACAGGCAGGTAAACAGTAGTAGTATCTTTTTCTTGAAAACTTTTCCGCCGCAAAAAGTCATACAGCTTCTTTCGAACAGCGCTAAGTCGTTCTTTGGGTCCGTAATGCCAACTAAGCCGCTTGCGAAAAAAGACGAGTATGTGGTATTTGAAGATGCGGTCGAGTTTACTTGACGCTCTTTGAGGACTTTCGTGCGTGGCTGCTGGAACTGGTCTTAGATGCGGCTCGGTCCCGGGTTGGGAGCTCCTTGGTTCCGTTCGTGATACCGGCTTTGTTGGCCTCGATGTCGATGACCTTGGCAGCACCTGCGGCATCGGCTTTGTCAGTTGCCTTGTTTCGGAAGACCTGGCTACCCTCAACAAGTCTTCGCTCTGTGTTCTGGCGGCCATTGACAAAGTCGGGGTAGTTGAGCGTCAACTCAACAGCGCCGTTGACGATGTTATCAGCGGCCTCGACACCCAACATGAAGGAGTGATCTTGGTTGCCTATAGAACGTAAAGCGGTTAGTAGTGCTCCGGATATGTTAGAAAATCACAACAAACTTACCAACTTCATAACGCCAGCTACCGAAACGACCTCTGGAGTAGATATCCTTAGCCTGGAGCTTAGGAAGGAGCTCCTTGAGAACACCCTCACGCTCAAGCGAAGGAGTAGGGTATCCGTGGTCGAAACGGCGGTGATAGGTGGACACGATCTCATCGTCTGGCTTGATCATATCAGTGTTGATGAGGCCCTGAATAGAGTCTCTCATGAGGTTGGCCTGGTCGACAGGCTTCATGGAAGACTCGGAAATCTCCAACATGATGGACCAGTAGGGGCCTTCTTGGGGCTCGGTAGACTTGGGCTTGCTGCCATCTGCGATGGATTGAGTTGCGAGTTTGACAGACTTCTCTGGCTGGTTGTTTGGTGAGTAGTTGGAGAAGATGGTGGCTCGGTAGAACGGGCAATCATCCTCTGGGAAGTAGAGCTGTACCCTGGTCAGTATATTTGCCAACTCCGGCGCATCACAGAAAAACTTACCCAGCACTTGTCGCCAATTCTCTCGGGGCGCTCTCCTCGGATTCCAACACCAATAACGTGAGTAGAGGAGTAAAAGAGGCCCTTGCTTAGTGTGATCAACTCCTGGTCTTCCATATGCTCAACGAGCTGATCCACAGCCACGGTGGTGATCAACTTCTTGTAAGAAATAGTCTTCCCGCCCTTCAAGGTTACCTTATGTCCATCTGCATCAACTTTCGAAACCTCGCCTTGCTTGCCGAAGAGGGTCTTCTCTTTTGGCAGAGTATTGGCGACTGCGATCCAGATGCCGCCAGTTCCATCACGCGCAGGGAAGCGGAAAGTGGCGTTGGGGCCCCAGTTGCCTGCGGACTTGTTGAGGATCACATTTCGAACGCAAGTCTTAACATCGGGTGCTGCTACACGCTCTCCGAGCCATTGGCATTGCATCTACAGGTAATTCTCATCAGACAGAATCCTGCAAAAAGGATTTAGCGCTCACCTTGGTGGTTGGAACCGCCCAGACCTTGAAGTTATAGGGCCTCATGAAGATATCTGCTAAGCCCTCGCCCATCATTCTGACGATCCACTCGTCGAAGTCCGCGGGCTTTGTGGTGGCCGTACGAGCTGCAATAGCAGCATCGATCATGCCATCAACACACCGGAGTTTGTCCTCTTGTGGCAGCATGGAGACGTTGTTTTGCAATGGGTAAGGAACCCATTGGTTCTTGATGCGCACATAGGAGATGCGCTGGTGAGTGTACCAGTCCTCCGCTTTGGGGAGCGCCTCGTCGATGCAGTCGTCGAAGTACTTGTAGTGGGAGAAGATAACGTGGCCGCCGACATCGTACAACTGGGTAACGATCAAGAGTTAGACTTTCTTCCGATTGAGGGGCAGTTGCTGCAGACTTACGAAGCCTTCTGGGGTGACATCTGTCGAGGCAAGACCGCCGGGTGTCTCATTGCAGTCGATGATCATCCATGATGGGCCATCCTAATACCCAAGTCAGCTCCTTCGTTGGCAGGTATACTTGGGCAGTATTATCTCACAATCTGGTTCAAGCGCTTAGCAGCACCAAGGCCCGTTGGGCCAGCGCCGATGACCAAGACATCGACGTTGCTACAAACTCGAGGTCAGCTATTGTCCTACGCTCCTACTTGTAGCCCTTCTCGTCGTTCTTTTTTTGAGAGCGCGGGGAGATGGGGCCTGCACGTACATATCCGCAGGGGCCATGATGCTCTGCTGTTCTGGTTCTAGGGTGGGGAGAAGCGTAGGATTTCGCGGCTGGATAATCTGTCTATGGCGGAATTCGTACCGTATCCAGACAGGAGGGTATTTACAAAAATCGAGGCAGCAGAAGCGGAGGAAAGGTGGCAGAGGCAGATGTAAACAATGGGCACAACAACGAGAGAGTTACGGTGAGGGTTCAAGCTCAGGGGAATTAAAATTATCGGCGGCGATTGTGGCCGTGGTGGGGGTCAGGGGTGCGATTGCGATTTGTATTGATTTGATTGATTAATACGGTCTTGAGGAACAAAAGGAAGTACTCTTTCGAGGCTACGCAATGCTTGGTACTCGTACTGTCCTGGTTCTTGGTACAAAGTACGTACTTTTGCTTTTAGTACCTGTACGGCTCCACGCTTCTTGTCTTGCGTGACGCAAGCATCTTGTTCTACATTTAATACCCTATGGGATAATGGCAACGCAAGTAGCAGTTGAACAAGTAACAAGTACAACTGACTTACTATTAAGGAGTCGGCTGCAGCTATTTTAAAGAGTGACCACCTCCTCCCGTACAAGTTCCTCGTATATGGCAAAAGTTATTATTACTATCTTGGTATTGCGCTAATAGAGAATCACACCCCATTCTGCCTTCAGTCAATGACATGGCACCAATGGAAACACGTGTAGTAAGGACTAGTCATGTTGCAATGTCATAGCTCATAAGTAAAAGGACGATCTACCGGCCATCAATTTTATCTCCATTATTTGTAGCTGTTGCCGAAGTTTCAGATTTCGCACTTTGCCCACTTTTCTACTGAAGAAAGGCCTGGGCTGAGTTGGGGTCCTTTTGGTGGAGACTTTCCCTGAATTTTACTTGTACTGTACGAAGTACCAAGTACAGTAAGACACCGTGTTACAGCTCTGGACTCAAGTTGCCAACACCCGTGTGCGACGCCAAAATATGTCTGATTGCAGACCTCGAGCCTTCGAAGGCTTAGTAACAAAACTTGGAAGTACGTAGTACCCTGTGGTGTATGAAGTATGAAATATCGAGTATTTATATTGCCGGGTAGCCGCGTGTGCCACCAAGTACTGTACTTATCTCGTGCCACAAAGATTGGCTTATTATTGTCGAAGCCAGCTGTCACTACCTAGTAACCCTAGGAACGCTCCCTGATGTAAATACCTATCTCCTGATGGTGTACTCCGTAAAGTCTTACCTGAAAATCCCCCGTTGGTTTGGGCGGACTATTCTACTAAGAGGGGAGTGGCTGGATAGTCATTAGTAGCATTCCCCACAATCAGCATCATATCGTTCGTTTTATACTTCGTAGTATACCCAAGGTACCTTAGGTAGGTAGTAGCTAGGTATTTTGATCAACGCAAGAAGAGTACGCAGACGGGTGGCCACGTCCGAGATTGAATGGTAGCTTTGCAGAGCACAAAGTACGAGTACTTATTATTATTATTATTATTATTGTGTTTTCCTCTGAATACCTCCTACCACTACGCACTCTGCCTAGGGAGGTATTTACTGGAGCTGACCTCGTAAAGGGGGGAGAATTGGTTGGCCTAAGCCCCCAAGCCGTAAGCCCCCTTTGCCTGCAATTCCCACCCGCCCACTACGCTTTCTGCCCTGCTGCTCTTAGCCGTCATCACTACCAAGTACTTCTCCTGAAATAATAATTTGCAATCTAGGTAGACATTCAATCTCCTGTCATCGCGACCCGATCTCGACTCTCTCTCTCCCTCCGCCATCTTCCCCATCCGGGCAATCTTTGTGTGTCGCTGCATCCGTCGTCGTCACCTGTATCGTCCCCTGTGCACGCGCCAACCGCAGCCCATCTGTCGTGCCGCTCGCTCCCTGCGCATTTCCATCCGACATTGCAAACACGACACGAATTTCGAGAACGAAGTATACAGTGACCACCGCTCGCCCCGTGTCGTCAATTCGACCTCGTCCCTAACCTTGAGCGCCCTCGCGACATTCCCACCCTCACAACCACCGTCACAATGGGCGAAGAAAAGGTCCGCATATCGGGCGAGTCTGGAAGATCGCCCCAGTCCCCCATTCTCCCGACTGTCAATCCAAATATCGAGAAGCCACTGGAGCCGCCATCAAACGGGATACATCCTGCATTTTACGTGATGTGAGCATCTCCAAACGCATGCGCGTCCAACCCATGCCTAGAATACGCTGCTGATATACATGCCCCGCAGAGTATGGATTTCCCTCAGTTCTAGTGTTATTCTTTTCAACAAATGGATTTTATCCACTCTCAAATTCGGTACGTCTGGAATTGGAACCGCCCTCAAACCCCCCTGCTGACGCGATGAAAAGAATACCCCATCCTCCTCACATCATGGCATCTCGTCTTCGCGACCATCATGACGCAGGTCATGGCACGGACGACATCGCTCCTCGATGGGCGCAAGAACGTTAAGATGACCGGACGGGTATACCTAAGAGCGATTGTGCCAATTGGGGCCTTTTTCAGTTTGAGCTTGATCTGCGGGAACTTGACATATCTGTATTTGAGTGTGGCGTTCATTCAGATGCTCAAGGTATGTTGCCATGGCTTGGGAAATTTTGTTGAATACGCTGAGCTAATGGCACTTCGTAGGCTACCACACCCGTTGCGGTTCTTGTTGCAGGTTGGTTCCTTGGGCTTGAGAAGCCCGATTTCAAGAAGCTCGGCAACGTCTCCTTTATCGTTATTGGTGTCGTTCTGGCCTCTTTCGGCGAGATTGAGTTCGTCCTGATTGGATTCCTCTTCCAAATGGCCGGTATCGCGTTTGAAGCCGTCAGAATCTGCATGGTACAACGACTGCTTAATGGATCTGAGTTCAAGATGGACCCTCTAGTGTCGCTGTACTACTTTGCTCCGGTCTGCGCTGCCATGAACTTGACCGTGGCCCTCTTTTGGGAATTCCCGAAGGTCACTTTGGCTGAGGTCTACGAGGTTGGTCTCTCGACATTCTTTGCGAACGCCTGTGTCGCATTCTTACTCAACGTCTCCGTGGTCTTCCTGGTATGTTCCTCCAAGTACATTATAAATAAACTTTTCTAACCCCCATTTCAGATTGGCAAAACCTCTGGCCTCGTCCTCACACTTTGCGGTGTCCTCAAGGATATCCTCCTCGTCATGGCATCCATTCTCATCTGGGGCACCAAGATCTCCGGCCTCCAGGTCTTCGGCTACAGCATCGCTCTCTGCGGCATGCTCTACTACAAGCTCGGCAACAAAGAAATGAAGCCTTTTATTCAAGAGGGAACCCGCCGATGGGCAGAATTCGGCGCCAACCGCCCTGTCCTCCGGAAGCTGGTGGTATTTGGCCTCGTCATTGTTACCATCCTCATTATGCTTGGTAATCTTGCACCAGTCCACCCCAAGGCGTATCTAGACGGCATGAAGAGCCCCATTAGCCATTGATTTTGAACGACAGAAAAGTTTACATGAATTCGATATTGATGGGGGACGCGGTTTGGAGAACAAATTATCTTGTTGTAATCCTCGGCAAAGCATTCTGGCGGCATTGAGGACTAAATGGTCGGGCGTATGGAAATTATGGCCGTCCTCCCTGTGCTGTTCCAGCACATTAATCATACTTTCCATTTCACGTTCCTACATTTTCGACTGTTTCATATCGGGTCACCGTCACCTAGGAGATGTACTTGGGCTCCTCTCTTGGGGATTAATGCAAAATGAGGAGATGGGATGGGCGGGAGGAGGTGCTATAGAGTGCGCCGGAACTGTGCACTGAAACTTGGCTTGGTTGTTTGCTATGTATAAACTAGGGGCGTCTGCAAGAGCATAAAAGATAAGCGAAACTAGACTTGTGGGAAATAGGAAGACATTATTTTTTTTGTATCTGAGGGTTTTAATGGGCTTGTGAACTCCTGTAGACTGGGCTGTAAACTTGGAATATCTTGTTAATGCAATCTTCATGTCTACACAGCGACAAAACCTAGCGCGGGGCATTGCTCATCTTCCTTGATTTTTCTGCACGTTACAGACCGGAATTGTGTTTCGACTCAGTCAAATGACGGGTTTGCAATACGTGAGTTGACGCAACAACCCTCTGGAGTGCAATGATGGAGGCGGGAGTGTACTTGGGATTTGGCAGCTTGTCCGGATCCAGAAAATTACTTTTGTTGCCTAGATGCCGTTGTTTGTACTTTCGAATTGAGTTAGCGGACCAACTCATCCCTCATGACTTCATTAAGTGGCTTTTAGAGGGGAAGGGAACGGTATTTTAATGGAGGAAAGGTAGGCTGGAAGGATAGGGAGGGGAACAGTTTATGGTTCGTGGCACGTCTCATTGCTGGTGGGCGAGTTTTAACACTTGCTTCTCGTTGAATCCAACCACGATTACACATTCAACGCCTCAAAATAACAGCTGTGCGCTGATTCGGTTTTAACCTGGGAAAAATTTCATGGTTCACATTCATTACGCTGAGCCATATCGTATGAACATCGAGTGTATCGCACAGTTGGTTGGATGCAGCTTTTTCTTAGCTCGTTATGCGACTAATGCCATGATGTAACCCCATTCCGACCGACCCAGTGACGCAGAAGAATCGCTCAAAATCCTATTAGTAGGTTAGTATATCTGTTTTACGAACTCCAGTTGAGTTGTGAGAGATATGGGGGCGGGGGTGAGCATACTAAGAGGAGTGAAGAACCATCTGTTCTTTCCTGACGTGTATCTCTCCTCCAAGGCCTTCTTCACGGTCTTCTTCGCATCCTCTCGCTGGGAAACCTCCTTGAATGTATCTCCCGTAATAACACCCTTCAATCCCTCCAACTCGAGCGTGTATCTTGTGGGCATCAAGTGATTGTAGTTGATGACCTTGATGAATGGCTTGACCTTGCTTCGCTTGGCTTGACGGGCCTTCGACATACGACGGGTTACTTGCGATGGGTAGCGCTCGATACCGGCTACCAAAGCGTGAGGGTATGGGTGCGACTTGGTGCCGTTATCTTGGGGTTGGATGAGAACGACCTGTAGAAATATCCCATCAGCGATTCTGCCCGTGCTGAAAGCTCAATTCATTTCCTCTCCAAAAATCCAATCCAGCGATCTATGCTATCCCATCACCGTCTCTGCATCCATTCTGCCGCGATCGTAGGAATCGTTGCGAAAGGGTTGGGTAGTGGGGAATTTGAATTTACCTTCTTTCCCGCATATCTGCCCCGGGTGATGATGGCAACACGGCCAACCTTGAGGACTGTAATTGCACCGGGTCAGTATATTTTCCTTGATCGATTCCCACGCCCATCATTGTCTCTCGGGAGCAAACTTACACTTCATCTCGACTGTCGCTGGTTGTCGATTTACCGTCGTGCGTGTTGCTTGGTATCGAAGTTGGCGAATTCTTTTCCGAATATTCAATGTGTGGGCGCCTGCCCTAGCGTGGCCTAGTGCGCGTGTCCATCACGTGATGATAAACTTTAGCGTCGACTCCTTTTTCTGTCCGCCAGAAGAACACTGAGAAAATATCACCAACTCTTTCCACGGCCAATGGGACGAAAGATAATGAATATATTTAAATGAAGGCCTCGTTATAGTCCTATATCCTGCAGAATTCGGGTATAGTAGATTATGGTCCTGTAAGGAGTAAAATCCTCAGCTCGTTTCCCATAGTCTACCCGTAGACTATTTATAATCTCTATTGTATTCTCAGCAGAGTAACTAAACTGCTGATTTTGCATTGTAGACTGGACTGCGATTATCTACAAAATGGCTGGCCAATTACCTCAGTGGGCACTCTGACATCTCCGAATCTATTATTAGAAGCCGGGATATCCATAGCATCACGTGACCAGGATGTTTCCAAGGCGACCTTGGCTTCAAAACGTTGTGCACTGTTTGCGCATGCTACGGAGTATTGATTTGAACTTGCAATATAATTAAATCCACTGTATTCGATACGCTACTAAAGCTAAATTGATAAAGGGGCCCGCCGAGAACGATCCACAGCAATCGCGCGGTTCGGCTTGGTGCATCACGCTAAATGTACGCCGACCTGATTGGTTGTCGCCCCGAAAGTAAACAATCGCAAGTAAACACTGCCCTGTTATCTTATGACGCCGCTCCTCCAAGGACTCAGCAACAACCCTTGAACCCGTCAATTCTTCAGAAGATGTTCTGAAATATCGCTCAAAACTACCATTGCTTGGGCTTTTTCAAAGGCTTTGAGACCCACCCCATGGTTTGAGGTGTCTCGGGTTTCTACCATCATCACAACATTCCATCCATCCCGCATTCCATAGCACCATTGATTTCTGGCACCATGCCATCAACAGAACGTGATACCTCGCGCGATAGCGAGCGGGTCTTGAAGCATCAACATTCTGCTTCATCAGATACTAGTCGAGCCATTGTCCCTATGTAATTTACTTTCCCTGCTGACATGGAAAACGAAATGCTGATGTTAGCTTTATCAGGTGGGACAGCTCCGACCCTGAACGCGCACCTCCTCCATTGCCCATGAACCCTTCGTCGCCAAATGTTGCTTCGAAGCCAAATACATCCATTGCCATACAATCCGCACATGCTGCACTGACGGAGAAGGCTAGGGAAAGCACCTACATGACAAATCCTCCCCCAAGACGTGTCGAAGTCTCTCCTGAGCGGTCTCTGATCAGAGGGGCTGCTCATAAACGCATGCAATCACTGCAAACTGGAAACGTACGGGATTTAAGTAGTTTCCTGGAAGGAGGTTCGCTATTTGGTTCACCAAAGTCGCCAGAGAAAAGTGCAACGCGGCCGGTCACTCCACATACAAGCAAAGATTTCTCATTGGAGGGAAGACGCACAGAGAAGTCGCCAGAAAAGCTGCCAGAGAAATCACCGGAAAAGTCACCAGAGAAGGAGAGAGACCGCTCAGCAACGCCAACTCCGGGCCGGGAAACGCCAACTCGAGATTTTGCTACAGTAAGGCCGTCTTTACGGCGGCCGCCCCAAAGCATACTGGGCGATAACACACCACCTCAGTCAGCAACAATGCTCGCTTTACAAAATATGGGTAGGGACGTGGATAGTCCTATCTCAAATTCCACGAATGGTTCTACGGCGCTGGTTCGCACTCCACAAACATTCGACGCGATCTCGAATCAAATCCTAAGCCTTACCAGCATTGCTACCAATCTACAGCGAGAAATGGCCCAGCTCAGCAGACGAAGCAAAGACAATGCTACCGACCTTGTAAGCCTGAAAGAGGCAACAAACGCACGAGATGAGGATATCCGAAAGAGTCTCCGGGAGCTGGTTAGCAACCTAGCTGAAACTGGCTCAAGGTCATCAAGTGCTATATGCGGAAACGGGCCGCTTTACTTGGACTCTAAACCACACAATTCCCCAGGCTCAAGGAACGCCAAAACCGTTTCACTACCACGTATTCCAAGCCCAAATAGCTTTTCAGCCTCACTTGATAGAGAATCGATGTCTAGCCCTTGCCCTATGAGTTCTGATGGTGCTGCTAGCATCGCCCTTCTTGAAAAGGTCCTCCGCGAAATGGGGACCAAGGATGGCCAGGAGAATCTTGTATCAAGGTTAACCGAAGTTGGGGACCGTCTCTCACAGGATGGAATGTCGACTGCAAAAAGGCTTGATGAGTTACTTGAATTTATCAAAAGCAACAACCCACACATGTCTGTGGCACAGAAAGATGGAGGTATAGGCAATCAAAGACCTAGAAATTTCAGCTTCGATGATCCTCCACGATTGGAACTAGATTTCGACCAACCGCGATCTGGACCAATGACACAACGAGTGGAGGCTCTCCTTAACCTGGGCAATAACAAGGAGAACGCCGGGAGACCTAATACAGCACGAGCATCTGAAGTCATAAACGACGACATCCTAAAGATCATTCGATCGGTTAAGGATAGTGTTGCCCAAGGGGGAGGCCTTACTGCTGAAGTCAAGGCCCTCGTCCGTGAACTACGTGGGGAGGTATTAGGCATGGGTCGCGAAATTGGACGTAAGCTTGACCAGGTCGGCAAATCGAGCGATTCTACCGCAAAAGACTCCAATGCAGAAAAGGGGAAAGTAGCCCGAGTGGTACAGGACGGACTCGATGAGCTGAAACAACACCTGGAAGAGATTGTGCGTGAGAATCGACGTCAGTCGGCTACTTCCGCGATCTCCCGCAATACTGTTGACTACCAAGAAATCTATAATGCTATGCGAGCTGCCATCAACGAAAAGCCTCGCGAGTCAAGACCAGCCGGACTTCAGAAGGAAGACATCATTGAAGCTGTCAGAGAGGCCTGGGAAAATTATAAGCCCGATATCGAGCTTCAACAGTTTGGATTGGAGCGAGAAGAGCTTCTAGAGTGCTTGAAGGAAGGCATCCAGCAATATGCCCCTCAAGAGAATTCCCAACAAGCGGCAGGTGCAACACGTGACGAGGTTTTCACAGCTGTTATCGAGGGTCTCAAACACTTTTCGCCTCCCCGAGTAGAGACAGAAGCTAGCCTCTCCCGTGAAGAGATCCTTGATGCTGTGAGAGAATGCCTGGAAGAATTTGAATTTCCGGCGGCTCCTGCACCCGAACCAAGAGAAACCGGTATCACTCGAGAGGACATGCTTGATGCTGTCCATGAAGGCCTGCATGGCTTCGATTTCCCTACCAATACAAATGCCGTAAGTCGAGATGTTGGGGGAGGCGTTACCCGCGACGACATGGTCGATGCTGCCCGAGAAGCACTTCATACATTCGATTTCCCGACGAATGCGACTACTTCAAATAGAGATGTAGAATCGACATTGACTCGCGACGATGTTCTTGATGCGATTAAGGAAGGCCTCCATAGCTTTGATTTCGCTGCCAACACAACTGCTTTGAGCCGAGATGTTGGGGGTAGCGTAACTCGAGACGACATGCTCGATGCTGCCACAGAGGCACTTCATATGTTCGATTTCCCAGCTAGTACAACTAGTCCCAATCGAGATATAGAACCGACCGTGAATCGCGACGATGTGCTTGATGCGATCAAAGAAGGACTCCATACCTTTGATTTCACAACCAGTTCACCAAGTCATGACGACGTACTCGATGCCGTAAAGGAAGGTCTCCATACTTTCGACTTCGCGGCTAATACAACGATTCGAGAGGATGTACTTCGTGCGGTCAATGAGAGCCTTCAGGCCTTTGATTTCACGGCCAATCCCATGGCCTTGAGTCGTGATGTTGGTGGGACCTTAAATCGGGATGATATTTTTGATGCTGTTAAAGCCGGTCTTGAAGAAGCCCCCTTGCAAATCGACCCTTACGGGGAGCAGATTATGGAGCGGTTGCAAGACATAATGCAGGAAATGCAGACAGAATTCAGAGCCGTATCAGACGAGGCCAAACAAAATGTATCGGCTCATGGGAGAGACACCGAACAAGTTCTCGACGCAACAAAAGACGGATTTGAGAAGCTCCGTACCGATATTGAGTCGTACGTTGACCGTGCCGCTGGAACTCCCGGGAAGGATGAGATTTTGGGCGGTATCACCGAGAACTTCAACGCCCTTCGTGCCGATGTAGAAGTCTTGCTCTCCGATAAATCTGCTAGCTCGATGGAGGCTGTCCAAGGTGAATTGGAACATCTCCGACAGACAATGGCTACTTCTTTAGTTCGCGGAGGTGGCAATATCGACAAGGATGAGATTCTAGATGCTCTCAGGGACGGCCTAGATGGAATTCGTGCAGATATCGAAAGACCTCGAGACACCAATGAGAGCGTTGTCTCCGGCACAGGCGACATCCTAGATGCTCTCCACGACGGACTGACTGGTTTACGTACCGAGGTCGAAAAGGTTCATAATAAGCCTGTGGATATGACCGTCAATTACGAGATCTTGGACGCCTTAAAGGCTGGGTTTGAAAGTCTCCGAGTTGACATTGACCGTCTCCGTGAAAACGGCTATGGGGAGCGAGCAGTCGCAGAACTTAATGATGGCGCTGTCATCGCTGCTGAAGGCTTGAAACGAAATGACATCGAAAATCTTGAGGTTCTCATTACGCAGTTACGCATAAAAATTGACGCACTCGAGTCCATGCCGCCGCCTGCTGCAGAACCCGCCCATGGGTCGTTGTCAAAGGATGATCTCTCAAACGTTGAGCAAAGACTTGCTGAAGTTCATGAAACAATTGAAAGGATGTCAAGTCGTGATCGCTCCGTCGAGGAGGATACTGCCACAAGAGAAGATGTAGCAGCTATTGAGACTCTTCTTCGGAATGCGAAGGCCAAAATTGACGAAATGGATCCTGAACAGACCGTCAAAAAGGACCACCTCGACGCCGTTGAGCTTCTTCTTTTCGAAACTCACGAGAGTGTGAAGGAGTTGAAAGTACAAATGGAAGATGTATCAAAGCGAGATGATGTCAATATGATCGAAGGCCTCCTCCGCGGTGTAGTGGAAGGGCTTGACGAGATGAAACAGCGCGTGCCAACCGACGAGGAGGAGGCTGAAAAGGTTACTAAGACTGACGTTGAAGCAGTAGAGGCACTCTGCCTAGATGTCAAGGACGCCATTGAGCAAAGGGTCTTATCGGACATAGCAGATTTAGCGTCAAAGGAGGATGTTAAAAATCTTAGCCAAATGGTCAAGGAGTTCAACGGCCGAATCGAAACTCACGCGGGAAATAACGCCAAAGCATTTGAAGAGCGTCAAGCAGAGACAGTCGGAGTCGGCGAACGGGTAACGGAGATCAAGGTCTTCCTGGAAGAGTTCAAGGAAGCAATCAAGGAAAAATTGACCGACGGAGCTACTAGCGTTGAGACTCTGGGCAAATTTCTTGAGGGCATGGGGGAGACCATTGGACAGAATGCAAATGTTGCTGATGATCTAAAGGAGATGTCTGAGACCATGAAAACTGAGTTTGAGAAGTCCAACGCTGGCGTCGTTGGTTCGAAGCTTGAGGCGGATGAGAAGTTCCTGGCCACCTGGGAAAGGTTTGATGCGAAGCTCGACGAAAAGTTCAATGAGTTAATGTCAAAATATGACGATGCCGAGATAGCAGCCGGAGCGAAGGCAAAGACTGATGACGAAAAGAACGCTGAAGTCGAAGCAGCAATGCTAGGTACAAAAGCTGTTGCAGAAGAGCTGAAGGTGCTAGTTGATACCTTGGGTGTAACTCTAACCGACTCAGTCGAAAAGATGGATGAGGCTTCCAAGACCGTCTTCAGTCGGGTCGACGAGACTTTCACAAGAGTGGAGGAGGCTCATGCGGACGCAAAAGCAGAGCACCAACTTACCAGGGAGCAAGTTTCCAAGACTATTGGAGCAGTCGAAGGTGTGCACAACCAAGTTACAGAGTACCATCCCAAAATTCTCGAGTCCATAAAGGATATTTTGCTCATAGTTGGTCAACATTATGAACATTCCAAAACAACAAATACTACGCTTCAAGAGAAGATCGAGGGAATACCACAACCAGCACCACCTCCAGAAGTTCCTCTTCTTCGGGACGCACCCGTGGCCGAGAAGTATGATGACGCCCCAGTTCATGAAAAGCTTGATAAGCTAGTTGATCACATGCATGCTGCTGGAAAATCTTTTGCACAGTTGGATATGCTTGACAAGATCCACCGTCAGGTAATGCACACAGCTGCGGAAGTTTCGGAATTTGTGTCTGTTCAAACCCAACGCATCTCCGATGACCACGAGGACAAGGAGAAGGCTGTCGAAGCGGCTTCAATTGCCCTAGAGACACGTCTCGCACAGAAAGAACAAGTTGAAGCTAACGTGGTTAATCTTCGAGATGAAGAGGAGCGCTTGAAAGAGTCTGTTTCAATCCTCAAGGCGGAGCAAGATGATCTTGCCCACCAGAAGATGAGACTATCAGCAGATGTTTCTAGCCTTGAAACAGCTTTGCGGATCCGACGTGAAGAACTTCAAGCGATGGAATCAAGGGCTGAGGGATTAGAGCGTCGCATTTTGGAGGGCGTTATCGACCACTCTCGTGCCATGCTGCTCTCAAAGTCCAATAAGGGCCATGATGCCATGAGCCGCAAACGCGTCCCAAGCCATGCTACCTCAATTACTGGGTCTGTGTCCTCCGCCGCCACCTCAAGGGCTTCATACACAACTCAAAGTGCCGTTAACATGGCTATGGGCGGGAATCGCGCCATGGTTAGCGTACCGATCAACAACCCTGCTGGAGCATCCCGCCGTATCCTTTCACTCAATCAGATTACACATAACGTCCCAACCGGTGGCATGAAACGCAGTCACAGCGTTAAGAACCCTGGAGGCTCGGGGGCAATGAGAAAATCCAGCTGGGGCGGGTCACTGAACCAAAAGTATGGCGACCTCAACAAGGAGAATCTTGCACTAAAGGAGCTGGTAGAAAGTGACGAAGATGACGCCAACGAATCGGGGGATGGCAGTGATAGTGAAGGCCATAGGCGTAGTAGCCGGGGAACAACCATAATGACTGGTACCGGGACGGGATTTACTGAGAGTACCATCGATGAGGGTACAGAGTGGACTGGAAGCGTTGACGGCGAGGACCACGATGGGAGCGATGAAAACTCCACTACGGGGCCATCTCAAATAGTGTTATATGAGGAAGATGGACTGTTAGTTTAGTGTCTGCTATTTTATAGGCGGCTGTAGGTGGAGTTCTTGAGATTCTTATTATGCTCTTTGTTGGACAGTCAGGATGGGCCAGGGGCGTTTCCGATGGAATGGGATATTGGCTGTGTCCACTTATGACTAATGAATAGCGTTTTAGCGAATTGATATTATCTTATTTCTCCATATTCCGCTTCTTGAATATTATATTCAGTGACGCAAGTTGGAAACCGTGCAATAATGAGCAGGGCACTTTGAATGGAGCACCACACAACCACCCAAAATGTGATTATATGATTATTCAATATACATAAAAATACACAATGCTATTAATGCAGTCTCTCCTTCGGCGTAATTATCTTGAGTCCATCCATCCATGGCCACAAACACTCCGGAATCTTAACCTCGCACTTCTCCTCATCCCATCCATTTTCCAAAATAGCAGCCAGTACCCGCGGCACCGCCAAGGCCGTCCCATTCACGGTATATGGGAAGGCCAGCTTACCGCCCAATGATCTTACATCCACCCTCGTAGCCAATCTCCGGCTCTGATAATCCGTACACATGCTTACACTCGTAACCTCACCATACCCATCATCTTTCTGCCTCCTCGATGGGAAGTATGCTTCAATATCCAGTTTCCGCGTTGCGGAAGCGCCTAAATCCGTGGTTGGCATCTCCAGTATCCGGCAATGCAAACCTAAGGAATGGAGGATTTCTTTTTGTATTATAACCATTTCGTCGAAAACAGCGGTTGATGCCTCGATTGATGGCAATGTCCAGGCAAACATTTCGACTTTTGTGAATTCGTGGACGCGATATAGACCTTTCGTATCGGCGCCCCTAGCTCCAGCCTCCGCACGATAGCACCGTGAGACGCCGAAGCGCTTTAACGGCAGCTCAGCTTCTTCAAGAGTGGTGTTCGCCTTCATTCCCGCGAGAGGGATTTCGGCCGTGCCCGAAAGGCTGAGTTCGGGCTTGAGGCCTACGTCTCGGGCGTTTTGCTGGATGCTGTAAACTTGCTGCTCGCCGTTTTGATCGCGGGGCTGGAAACCGCACGCTGAGGCAATATGGCTATATACCATGCTCGGCGGTGATACGTGTCCCCAACCATGTTTACGTGCCACTGATAGAGCAAATTGTATCAATGCCTGCTCCATCTGGGCAGCCTCGTTCAGCAGATAATACCAGCCCCATCCGGTAGTCGTTGCTGCACTGGCGAGATCCAAGAGTTGCAGTTCCTGGCCAATATGCACATGAGAGCGCCAGACCCGTGAGGAGGCGGAGGGATCTGATTCAGGGTGCGTGTTGATGTAGGAAATGAGCCGTGGTTCTGACCCGCGCGGTGTTTCATTGCTTGTGAGGTTTGGGATTGCCGCTGCTAGCGAGTCGATCTCAGTTGTGATCGCAGATTCTTTTTCCTGTATGACAGAAATCTTGTCCTTCAATACCCGCGCCTCTTCTAGCAGCTGCTCCCGTGTCATGTCCTTCAGCTCTTGAGCTTCCGCGGAATCACTATCTCGATCCGTGGGTGGATTCGCTATTTGGAGCTTCACACGGTTGTTCCGCTCTCGTAGACTTCGAGCTTCCCGTTGATACGTGTGCCATTCTTCGAATATACTGTTTATTCTAGCGGGATATGTGGCTTGAGTCTTGTAGTTGCGCTCGAGGCAGTTTTGTTCGTAGAGAGCTGCATTTTGTCGGATGTGCTTTATATCGATTGAGACCTTCGGGGCCACGGACGGTCGCGATGCTTCAGCCTGGAGCTGCGTGGATGCATGATAGAGCCGCCGCGGGTTTCGTCTGGTGGATTGTAGGCGGCATCGTAGACATATGGATGATATTGTTGACCTTGACATTGTGGTATGACCAGTGGTCGTTCAGGTTTATGCTTGCTCCGCGAGCTTAGTACGGAAGTTTAAAAGTATAGCGGGGTGGCCATCAGTCTACGCGATTGGGTGATTTCCACCAAACGTTCACTGGGTTAGCACTTTGTACTTCAACAAATTTGTATAACACATGGTCCTGGAAACAATTAGGATGATGCGGGGAGATATTCTGCCAGTTATTGACAAGCTTCAACGAAAGGGTATATCTATTCATTCATACATATGTTCTACGCCAAGGGCACTTAGTCCACGGGTTATTCCTCAGTGACGTTGTAATACATGAGTCCAGCAAGTATCATCCATCTTAGCCCCATAGTCCTAATGTCCAGCTTGATCTATCTCCAGCACCAGACTTTACATTAAAAGCTCCTGGACCCATGCTCTGCCGTTGAGTACTCACTGTTATCTCGCCAGTTCTCGACGCGCCTGCAGCTCCATGCAGAAGCCATTGCTCTCGCTCAACCACCGAGACGGCGGGTATTTTCAGATGTGAAAGCAGACTGCCGCCCGACCAAGCCCCTAGAGATTCAACGGCTCGAAGCTGGCCCATGTCATTTGGAGGGTCACGGTCCCTTGCCTGTTTGTTCAGTACGGTTCCAATTTCGTCAGGTTCTTGGTCCTGCATTGATGCAGGCGTGGCATCTAGGTGTAAGACCGGTGTAGGACTGTTGCTGGCTTGCCTGCTCCGTGTCCTCTGTAGCTTCGGGTTATTTCGAAGTCCGTCTATTGCTTTTCCTTGTACTGGATCCCACCCCCGTTGTTCAATAAGAATGGCTACCTCGTCCATAACACGGCGTTTCAGCCCAGGCAGGTTCGAGCCTCCTCCAACGAAAATAATGCGTGACATGCAGACCGATCGAACATCCCGAGGAAGCTTGAGAAGGCTTCGATAGACTAGTAAGTGTAAAGGCATTTCTTCGTCATCTAGATTTTCGGGCGCCGTTCCATCAGCGAAAAGCACCTTTTCGCAAGGCTCTGCCAGCTTAGAGAATCGAAGTCGAAGGGTCCGACATGACTTTGTCGAGGCTAGTGGGATAGAGACTACAGGGTCTGTTTCCTCCGCACTACTGATATGTAGAGATCTCACGCTTGCTCTTAATTCATCCTCTTCCTTGACCGGCGTGAGGCCCTGGAATGGAGCTTTATGTTCCCCTCTCTCCACAGGTTTGCACCATGCCATGCGGGAAATAATTTCTTCACATTCCTCGAAGCTTAACACGTCTCGAGCATGTTTGCTGTTCTGTGGATCTTCCGAGGCCGCGGGTGATGAGGCCGGATCGATCATCTCCGCGAGCATGTTGTTCATCTCTTCTCCGAGCATCTTGGTAGCTCTAGTTGATCGTGTACTTTGCACTTCCCGATATTGATAGATGCCTGATACAACTGTCTCAGCCCAGCCTATATCTACTACAAGCGCAGATCGTAGACCTGCCGCTGCAGGAACAAGACCTGGCGCGGGCATCAGAGATATCGTGGGGGTGAGAAAGCTAGTGAAAAGCGTATCTAGTATCGTCGATAAAAGGGGTAAGGGTAACGCTGATGGTAATACCAACGTAACCCGCCTTGGCCGAACGTCAACTATTAGGTATCTAGCAAGTTCGTTAGCTTGGGATACAGCGAGACAGAATATGCCCACCTACTGACTTTGCAATTTCTCTCACAGCTCTCTCAAGCTTATCGGCTACGAGTCCCAGATCCAATCCCCGCAAATCTGGCCTCCAGAGCTCATATGGCTCACCCCATTCCCCCTCTCGTATTCTCTCCCGCCACGCTTTGTCGTAGCCTACACTCCATTTTCTATAATCTCCAGCTCTTCTTTGGCTATCAGGCCCGAAATCTAACACTGCCTTTGGCAATGCATCACCTGCAATGCCAGCTCTGAGATATCGGCTGCCCAACTCGATTATAACATGTTCTTCTTCAGCGCGTATGGCGGACGGCGAACCAAATGCTGACGTGATGGTGCGAAGTGGTGTATGGGGACTTGCTGGTGCAGCTGGATTCGTGCTTGGTGGTGATCGAATACTTGCGACATTGCGGTGAGATGGGCCGCTGGGGTTTGACATTGTGCTACATCTGCTGAGAGAAGTTCTTCCCAATACCTGCAACCCTTATTCGCCGCTATTAAATGTTATGTTGACATTATTTGGCGCGTTTGTTTAGAAGTAGTAGTTGCAGTATCAAGGTGTCGGCGAAACCCCCGTTTCCATGCCGACCTCATTTGTCCAAATCAGGCCTAGAATAAATATTGCTCGGGATGCTTCGTCACAACTTCTTTGCATCCCAACCTCACGTGCGATATCACAATTACCCATTTCTTGGGTGTGACTTTCTATTTCAGGAGTACATGGTCATGAAATTCTTCTTGGAGGATTAGGAAATTTGTTCTGTAAAGACGGAATTCTTTGGTTTATTGGCATTATGGGTATCAAGGGGTTTGTAAACCACCCATCATATTAGTACATTACTAACCGTTTCTCAGAATATACGGGGAGATCGGCCCAGGTGAAAGGGTAGCGCTCTCTAAACTTGCTATTGAGAAATTCGAGCAAACTAGCCGGCCGTTGCGAGTTGCCATCGATGTCTCAATATGGCAGTTCCAAATCCAAGCTGGGCAAGGTATGTAACGAGGCAAGCCAAAGTTAGCCGTGCTTATATGTGTATAGGCGGTACGAATCCAGCAATTCGAACCCTATATTACCGTCTTTTAAGGCTGCTCTCCGTCTCGGTACAACCTTTGTTTGTGTTTGATGGGCCTCACAAGCCTCCTTTTAAACGCAACAAGAAGACTGGCCAGGGTGGGGCCATGGTTCCGAACATGTTGACCAAACAACTCCTTAAGCTATTCGGATTTCCATTTCATACCGCTCCTGGAGAGGCCGAGGCCGAGTGCGCCTTGTTGCAACGCGAGGGCCTTGTTGATGCCGTCCTTAGTGAAGATGTTGATACTTTGATGTTCGGATGTGGTTTGACTTTCCGAAATTGGTCTTCAGAGGGCACCAAAGGGAACAAGTCACCAACCCATGTCTCCGTATACGATGCCAAAAAGACTAAAGCAGGAAAATCTGGACTTGACCGCGAAGGCATGGTTCTGGTAGCCCTCATGAGTGGCGGTGATTATATCACCGAGGGTATTCCAGGCTGCGGCATTAAGGTTGCTTGTGAAGCTGCCAGGGCTGGTTTCGGGAAATCACTGTGCCATCTATCGAAATCAGATGCCACCGCATTAGAGACATGGAGGAAAAGTCTAGCTCGCGAAATTCAGACAAATGAGAGCAAGTATTTCAGGGTCAAGCACAAAGCGCTCAAGATCCACGACAGTTTCCCAAATACAGAGGTTTTGGGTTATTACACGCATCCGGTGGTCTCATCTGCGTCCAAACTTCAGAAATTGAAGGAAGATATTTCATGGGATAGCCAGGTCGATGTTCAGGGACTTCGACTCTTCGTCGCCGAGGCATTCGACTGGACTCACAAAACGGGAGCGAGGAAGTTTATTCGAGGTCTTGCACCTGTATTGCTGGTTCACAAGCTGCGGTTAAAAGCAGACCGGAGGGACTCGGGTTATGGGGATCTAATCCTAACTGCCATGAATGAAATGGAATTAGTACGAGAGATCTGCGGGAAGAGGACGCACATCACCTCGGACGGGATACCCGAGTTAAGAGTCATATATCACCCGCTTGATATTGTCGGTATCGATCTAGATGCCGAGGACAGCGATAGTGAAGATTTTGGAAGAGATGGTCTAGCTCCTGTTAATGACGATGATCAAGTTGACGCATATCAATCTGATAACGACAGACGATCAAGGTCAGCGAGCCCGACGAAACGGGCTCCATCTATATACGACCCCGCTCAACCAGATAAACTGTGGATGCCTGAAACGATTGTCAAAATTGGTGTTCCCTTAAAGGCGGAAGATTACGAAGCGTCGCTAAGAGATCCGAAGAAAATTTTGAAGGCAAAAGCCGCTGCTAAAAGAGCTGTGGCCCAAGGAGGTGTGTCAAAGGGCGCAATGGACCGCTTTGTTAAGGTCTCGAAACCCGGCTCAGGGAGTACGGCTTCGGATACTTCTATACTATCCAAGAAGCCGCATCAAGACTCGGACCTGCCACCAGTTTATTTGGCTCCTATATTGAAGAAACTTCTACCTGAACAACTACCCCCATCAATCGCGGCTAGCAAGGCAATCCGAACCACACGAGTAACAAGAGGTTCAGTGGCTCAAAATGTGCCCTCATCAACAGCTGCAACAACCAGGACGAGAAGAAAGGCCGCAACCAAAGAAAAGCCCCAATCATCCACCAACCCGTGGACACGGTCCAACCCTAATTCCTCCTCTCAAGCAAGTCCGGCAGTTACTAAATCCCTCAACCAACCTACTAAATCAAGTCCCCCTCGATCCTTCAAGCACTCTGAATACCCGATTGATATACAATCAAGTCCACCCGCACGGCAACCCTCCCCACCAGCGAACACCTCATCCCCTATTGCAAGGAAACATAGCCATTCTATCACCCCATTCGACAGCGACTCTGAAATCGAGGCCTCTCCGGAATCGCCAAAATCCCGATCCAAAGATAGCCGTATTGACACACAATCAGCAGCAGAAGATGATCGGCCCAGGCCATCCCCACGCAAGAAAAAACGTTCCCCAACCTCGCTCCACGAGAATAACCCCCCAACACCTCCAGACTTTCAAAGTGGGAGACCAGATTCACCATCGCCCTCTTTTTCTCCTACTCAGAGCATAAATCTCGGTTCACCTAATATCAAAAACGCAAACGAATCAGAGATAAGAGCAGCAAGAAGCTCACCATCCCCATCGCCGGAACTCTACCACCCAGTACGAGAGAAACCCTCCCCTATATCTCGAGGATCAAGAATCCCCCAGCCCAAAGGAAAAAGCCGAGAAATTATATCCCTATCCTCATCGCCTCCCGTTCCTTCCCCGTCCGCATCCCTCCTAAACCCCCATGAAGACACCGAGTACCAGGAGCATATAGAATCTAACGAAACAACGAGTACTACGGGAGAAGAGCCAGAGCCACTGAAGAAACCGAAAGGAAAGAAATACCTCATGTTAAGGGAGAGTTTGCCTGGTGCTTGGAAATCAGTCGGGGAGGAGGAGATGGAGAGGAAACCTAGGGGGCAGGGGAGGGCGTGGAGGATGAGTCAGGTTGAGATTTTAGATTTGTGTAATGATTGAGTCGAGTACTGGATGGGTTATGGAGGTTTAGGAGGGAGGTTTGGTTTTTGGCTGGGAGTCACGAGCTTGAGTAGGTGGTGGGTTGGGTAATAGGGGCGCAAGGCAAGGCGTATCGTGGAACTTCTTTCTCGTCGGTGGATACGCAAATGCATGTCCTAGCAGGAATAGCATAGTATTATTATCCACAATGCAAAATAGCTTGCAGATTTAAATACCCTATTTTCTACGGAAAGGGAAACTGCAGAACCATCAATCTAAATGCAAGGGGCAGATATACAGCACATCACCCACTGTACGTGGGGTTCTCCAGTCTTCGTTATATTCGAACCTCAGCATTTATTTTCATATTTTCATTATTCTGCTAATTAAACAAATCATACACAGATACACATCTACATATCCAACTGCCAACTCCAACCAAGCACAGGGTATCTGAAAATAAAACACCCACTTCCACAAATTCCTCCCTATACAAGAAAACAACATAAAACACACAAACAGAGACATAAATTCAATCCCAGCGGTGATGAGAAGAGAGGAAAAAGTTCAAAAACAAGAAATGACAATACGCTTAGGACATGCCGTTATATCATTACCATAAGTTCATCAACAACTACACCCATCACCAATAAAGCACCCACCCATTCGTCCAGCGTAATAGGTGTGCCCTTTACCCCACAATCTACTCCAACCACGGGAAATCCCTCTCCTCAACCCTCGTACACGTTAAATACCCCACATTATTAGCCTCCGCACCGCCCAACAACGCGCATCTCATAAGCGGTCTGACGATCTCCCTCGCCATGCCTTTTAGTTCGTCCACCCGGCGCTCAAAGCGCTTGAGGTTGTCGCGGGAGTATTGATCCGGGGAGAGCTTAAGGAATTTCTTGCACTCGTCGTGGGTCAGGTAGGTTGATGACGAGGTGGTGCCCAGGGCGCGGATTGTGCGGCCGATGGAGGGGTTTGGGGAAGTGTGGTCGACGGTTGTGGTAGGGTGGGGTACGAGCGTTGTGTTGGTGTTAGTGCTCTGGCGGGAGTGATGGCCAGAACTGCTACCCCGTGAAGGGGGAGCGCGTGAGGAAGGCGGTGGGGTAGGTGGTGGAGGAGCGGTGCTATCTGAAAACCACTGTCGGAATAGCGACACGACCAACCAATCTAGATGTGAATTATACGGAGTCACGCGCTCGCCTCTGCTCGTCATGAGTGTTAATCTGAAGAGTCTACCCTCAACTTTCCCCACCATGTCCGCGAGATCTTCCACCTTGTCTTCGATGATTTCGAGGACCGCGTCGGGGAGCTGGTGTCTGATATGGCGTTCGCCTTGCGGCCATGCACCAACCACATGAATGAGAGCTTCCTGGAATATGGTTTTCGATTGCGCGAGGTACCCTAGTTTTAGATATGAGGACGGGTACTTGGCAATTTGCTTCCAGAGCCGGGATTGGAATTGCAGGAGGTGGTGGTCGATTCGAGGTCCCACGACCGCTAGGGCGTCGTATTGGTCTGCGAGGGTAAGGAGGGATTTGCATTGGACATATGCGCTAGCGATATCGATCGAGTTGAGTGCTGGAGGGTGGTTGTAGAAGATGCGGAAGAGGTTATCGTAGTCGGTGAGGAGATCTTGATCTTGTTGGCTGATTGGGGGAGGAGGGGGTTCGTGAACGTGGAGCGAGAGGTTTGCAACAGAACGGAAGAACGATGGGTTCGAAGTTGGAGGCTGAGGTTTGTTCCGGACAGTTGGAGGACGACCGTCATTTGAGCCGAAGAGAGATACTGCTGTATTCTCTTTCTGAACCAGCATGGGGATGTCGTCGCCGTCAGCGCCGGGATCAAGCTCATACCTCCACCGCTTCTTGACCTCCTTATTCCTGCCCGCTTCACTACTACTCAAATCCTCCCCTATCCGCGCCAGCTCTGCTCCTGTTCTAGGTTCATTCCCACTGCGCGACCACTCCTGACTGGTGCTTGCTTCAAAGAAGCCCGAGCATTGCGATAGTATGAGTCGGTGAAGGAGGTAGCGGTTCGTTCTCGAGCCGGCCTTGACCAGTATCTCCACATCACCGGTATGTGAGAATTCGGGGAATTCATTCGAGACGTAGCCCTCATGTCTACGATGTCTGCTAGATCTGCGATGCCTCGACGAGCTGGCGACGGAGGAGGGACCCCTCCGCGTCAGGGTATTAGAGTGGGAAGGCCCAACTTCCATTTGCGAAACCATTATTCGACTTGAGATTTAGTCGCTCATGTACTTCCGGCTATTTAATTCAACATTAGTATTTGCTTTTGCGCGTTTCGGCGCATCATCGATGCGCGAGGAAAGATAGAAAGGGGGACGAACCTCACTAGATCAACATTCTAGTATAGTATAAAGCTCAGCGCTTCGCCCGCGGGGTAAAGAGAACAATGCAAGATGGAAGAATATCGACTGCCCGAGTTGTACAACTCTTGTTCCTCCTAGCTCTGCTCTGCTCTGGCGCACTGCGCGAACTCGATGCTTCTATCCGTGTGAATATCCCGCGAGTATCACAGCGTCGCTTGTCCTCGGCTTTGGACAAACTGCCTTGGGTCGCGCGATGCAGCCAGCCTCGCTCCAGTTTTCGTCGCGTTGTACAGTACAGTCCGTAGTAAATAGAAGGGAGAAGCTTGCTTCAGCTGTACAGAAAACAGAAAACAGAAAACAGAAAACGTATACAGAACAGAACAGACAAAGAATACCTACCGTGACTGTGGCCTTGCCCTTGCCCTTGGTTGGCCCTCAGGGTTGGCGACCGTCTCCGTCTCCGTCTCCGTCGTCCACAGCTGCTGGTGCTGGTGCTGGGAACGGCCTTGGTCGTGTTATGGTGGTGGCAATCAGCTGCCAGACGCATCGCATCGCCCGCCGACGTCGCTCACCCAATACTCTGGCACACAGCCACCGTGGAGTTTTTCCTTGGGGCTGGTTGCGGCCAGTGGCCACGCGAGCTCTGCGCGCCCTGAGACTTCCGCGCTCAGGGGAATCAATCAGGTTTCCCTTCTTTGCTGCCTTGGCCTTTTGCCGGCGACGAGCTGGTAATCCCCCCCGCCAATAATAATAATCATCATATCCGCGGATGTGCATGGTGGAAAGATTTCTGGTCTTCTTCTATTGCTGCCTGTCCCTCTCTGTCGCTGTCTGCCATGCCGGTGCTTTGGGGACCTTCACTTAGTACTAGTTAGTGTACGTATATAGATTTTGATTGTTTGGCTCAAATTGTCTCGAGTGGAGAGGTAGAAGTTGGCAGAATTAATATTACAAAGGTGAATAATAATTGAGATATTGGAGGAATTTTGTCATATTAGGTATGCTATCAGTCGGTTACTTCTCAAGCTGCTCCATTTGCCAGTCTTTTAGGTCGGACGTTCCTTCCTTTAATAGCTCGTTTGCCCCATTCCAAATGAAAGTCTTTCCAGGCAACTCTCTTCCATCCGCCAATTTAATCCTGCATCCCTTGAGCCTGTAGGTCTCTGACTCGTAGCACGTCAGGTATTCAACGTGTACCCCCTTCTGCACCTCGAAGGCCATTCCATGCGTGATGTTGTTCGGTTTGAAGATCAAAGCAGGATATTGGCCCCACATCATTATATCCCACCCCGTAATGCTAGCGGATTGCAGGACCGGAGTTTCTTCGAGCTGAAGTACCTTGCGAAGTTGCCTAGCATCCATCAGAGAGCCGTAGAAGAAGAAGTACTGTGGGCGGAAGCCCAGGAACGTGTCGTAGTCTGGGGGCGGTTGAAATGCCCGTCCGCTTATTAGAAATTTGCGGTTGATCAGAGATAACTCTTCATCATCGCTATCGTTGGCGACCTTGGTAGATGGTCCATTCATGTTGGTGGATGACTTTTTATTTTCATCATTGTGTGGCTCCATATTAAAGAAGAGTGGAACAACTGAGGAGTTTGTAAGGAGAGGGTTCTTGGATCCTGTTGAGACAAGTAATGGCTGAGTCACAACTAATAAGGCACCAGGACAACCCTAAGCTATCTGATATCACTTAGCTTTAGGGCCACCGGCAACAATATAAATACCCACGTGATAAGATAGGTACCTACTTACCTTAGTGTTTTATATGTCTGAACAGGAGAAGTTAGTTAGGGGAAGAGAATTTACATTGTACGGATCGGGTCAGTGCTGAGGAAGTAGTTAGGGGTTATAATACTCTAACAGATCCTGAATTATAAGCTGGTATAGGACGAAGGCTACTACGGATCTGCGAATAACCTCACTTTGCATCGGCTAAATGAATGTTCCACGAGTTTTGACACTCTCTAGGAATTACGTAGGGCGTTATTTCGGGAAAAACAGTTCCTCTAATACGCTATACCTAAGTAAACGATCTATAGGTGACAATAATCTAATGTCTATTGTAAGGAGAACAAATTTCTAATAACTTCATAATAAATAGGAGACCAGATATCGTGTAACGCCAGGTATAAAAAGACTGCTCTTCCGCGATATTCTGACGCGAGACCACTATAATAGAAACGAAAAAATACTATTTATCCAATGGCTAATTTTCACTTTATCTAACGCCGTGCCCGTCGACGCGCCAATTTCAGTTGCGCACAATATGATATCTTGGCTATAACTGTTCAGTCCTCCTCATATTGTCTATGGCTGTGTCACCCTCTTCGTCTCGTCTCATTTCGACTCCTCACTTCTTAGCCGGTGATGCTTTTGAAGCGGGATATTGCTATGGACAGAGCCTCGCGCATTATGCTCTGTATCCATAGATCGCTTTCTGGGGATGATAGAGCTTGGATGCCAAAAATTGAAAATCGCCATAGCCATAAACATCAGTGCCGCGTCGAATATGTAGAGGTAGCTCTCCGTCGAAAGAAGCACCCCGTCCTGTCCTCCAATATATTCCACCACGCGAAATGTCGATCTAATCAAGACGAGGCCGCTCGTAGCGTAAAGGACGAAGAGATACCGTTGCCACGGAACGCTAGCAGACGAAGAGGCATCCGTTGGGACCTTACGCAACCGGTAGTTGAAGAACCCCGAGACAAATATGAAGAACCCAAAGAACGCAATCTGAATAAGAAGACCACCGGTGATGATCCAGGTCCCTAGCTTAGCGTCATCCTGGCTCTTTGACTTCGCGAGCATGCCACCGCCGCCAGACTGAACGAGGAACGACAAGACATCCCCACCAACAAAGATCTTCGTGAGCCATCTGGCTCTGATGATAGCATGGGATTCGCCGTCCGTCAGGTGGATGATGCGGCCGAGGACCATGTAAATCGAGGCTGCGAATAGGGCGGGGGCCAGGAGGAGAAGCAGACTTTGCATAATGTAGGGGGGAAGCGTCCACTCGCCGGAGGGTTGTTTCGAAGAGAGAGCTCGCCCGACATAGCCGATGGTTTCGACTAGACGATGGAGGAGTTAGTTTGATGTCTTGGATCTTGGATGGAAGGGATGAAAAGTTGACTTACAAAAACCTCCGATGACGAAGGGGATAAAGTACCAGGTTCTGAATCTCACCAACTGGATGATATGGCCTAGCGTGGAAATGCCAAAGAGGACGATGAATATGGCTGCGGCAACAAATGAGGGATCATAGTGATAGAAGCGAAACTTCACTTCGGCCATCGTGATCGATAGCCCGAGAGTAAGTAGAGGGCGTGATAGGGGCTCTTAAGATTGGTATAATAAAGAAACGACAAAGGTAAGCAAGTGCCTTAGATGCTATCTTGACGGCTTGTTGTTATGAAAGAGTGTCCGATGCGATTGACTGATTGTATTGCTTGCTGAATTCTAGAATTTGGAACCAAGGAGATATATATATTATGTACATACCTTACATGCCTGACATGTCAATTCATCGTTTCAATTCCCTAGCCATGACCGAAATGGCAAATTTGCCTTACTGCTTTCATTTTCACGCTGCAGAGTGGTACGTAACGAAGCAACGACACCAATATTTCTTTTGACGATCAAATAGCACTCACTCACTCGCACTCGCCAACGCACTCGGGATTGACACTCGTACTCGCACATCCATTGGGGCCCCATGTGCACGTGCCTTCATACGACACCGCCACTGTTTATTAATACGTTACTCGTACTTCGTATACTCCGCAGCCCAAATTCTAATGTCAATCGTCACCAAATAATACGGAATATCCCGTCTGAAATTCTTCCCGCCAGAAGCTCTGCCTCCTTTAACCCCTGCTCGGCAAGTCCCGAGTTCATGAGACATGCTTCCGTACGAGGTACATACCTCCGTGCCCGGCAGTTTTTGACAAGCTCACGTTTGATCACACAAGTCATCGACATCTACCGGCACATGGATATCGCATAGAATTCTCTTATCGGAGCGCGTCGTACTTCGTACCGCAGGCATGTTCGGACTCGGACTCGTTATCGTACTTCGCAGGCTTACAGCAACTAGTTTTGGCGGTAGTCTGTCTATACTCTACACTCTAGACTTTTGATTACGCGTACCAAGTACTTCTATTACAAGAATTGGCCGGCATGAGTCCGACTTAAGAGTAGAATCTCCGGTTTTCAGTCACCTTGGAGGTCTCGGCAGGGCTGAGCCTCAAAGCTAAGCCCGCTGTTAGACAACTTATACGTGCTTGTAAGTTTCGAACTCTGCTTTGGTGCCAAAAAGGGGTTGTTCAGAACTCAGGGGCCAACTAGCTATTCCTACCAAATGTAGGTCTATGAATGCAATGCTGTGGGCCGTCAATAGTTGGGATTTGCTTCTATTCCTTATGTTTCATTGTCTTCATTGTCTTCATTGTCTTCCTCGTCTGCACTCTCTCCATTTCACATTTCACGTCTTAGAACCTCTCGAGCTTAAGGTGAGTTGTTAGAGGAAACTCGACAAGAGCCTTCGCTATAGTGGGAAGGGCAACCTGAAACTATGGAGAAAGGGAAACCGTCTTTTCCTAATAATGCCTTCCTCTACCACTCGTCTAACCCGACGAATCCGTCTAACACCAGCCATCCCAGTGACGTTGATGACGCGTCCATCACTGGTCATTCCTTTGGTGCTGAGAATGCGATTTACGACGCAGACGCAGCCCCAGGTTCTAACGAGGAGGCACCTCCCGCTTATCTTGAACTTGAAATTGAAGGTGGCAATGTCTCTGCAGAGGTGATGCGTAGGTCATTGAACCATTCTGTTATAATGATCAATCCTGTTGCTAATAGCCCTTTGACCAGGAAATGGCAGAGTCAGTATACTCGTCAATTCCTCCGCGAGGATTCCAGGCCGTGCCCAATCATTAGACCAGGCACAGAGCCAATTGATTGGAGCAAGCCCTCCTAATTACGCAGACTTTAAATATCCCCTCCTCAATATCGTGATTCAAGTTGTTGGCAGTCGCGGTACGTGTCAAATCTGGGCCCCCCACTTGCTTATACGTGGCTAAGTGTTCAAATAGGAGATGTCCAGCCTTTCGTGGCTTTGGGGAAAGAACTCCAGCGCGCTGGTCACAAAATCCGACTTGCAACTCATGGTGTCTTTGAATCTTTTGTCAGAGAAGCTGGCTTAGACTTCTTTTCTATCGGTGGTGATCCAGAAGAGTTGATGGCAGTATGTTTTACCCCGACCCTATTTACTGTATCGACAAATATTAAGCATCACCAAACTATAGTATATGGTTAACAATCCAAGTATAATCCCAAATTTTGTATCCATCCGTGATGGAGAGCTATCTAAGAAGCGGAAGATGGTGTTAGAAATGCTCGAGGGTTGCTGGAGGTCTTGCATAGAGCCTGACCCGAAAACGAATAGGCCATTTGTTGCCCAAGCTATTATAGCCAACCCTCCGAGCTTCGCACACATCCATTGTGCGCAAGCGCTGGGGATCCCCGTGCATCTAATGTTTACCATGCCGTGGACTGCAACAAGAGCATTCCCGCATCCTTTGGCGAATATACAGACATCCTCGATAACGGACGAAGGAACGAGCAATTTCATGTCGTATGGCCTGGTAGAGTTGATGACATGGCAAGGGTACCGGCTCAAGTTACTCTGTCAAGTCGGCACATCCTCAAGACAAAGAGCTGACTTTAGTGACCAGATTGGCAGACATAATCAACCTATGGAGAAATACTTCGCTGAGTTTGGAACCAGTAAGAGCTATGATGGGGGCAGGGCTGGCTGACTATTTACGCGTGCCTTTCACTTACTTCTGGTCGCCGTCACTTATCCCTAAACCAGATGACTGGCCTTCATATGTCGGTAAGTTAGAGATATTGGATTCGGCGCGAATAATAAGACATGGGCGACTAAACTTCACAGATGTCTGTGGATTTTCCTTCCGAGGCGTTCCTGAATTTTCGCCATCACCTGAGCTAATGAGATTCTTGGAGAATGGGCCGACGCCAATATATGTTGGATTTGGAAGCATCGTTATGAAAAGCCCGCAGCAGATGACGGAAACAATATTAGGTGCTGTTAGAATGGCTGGTATAAGAGCTATCGTATCAAAAGGGTGGAGCAAGCTTGGGGTTGGGGTACAGGATCCTAATGTGTTCTTCCTGGATGACTGCCCTCATGGTCAGTCTTTTGAAGCTTATGTGAGACGTCTACTGAAATCTTTGGGATAGAATGGCTCTTTAAACGTGTTGCAGCAGTGGTTCACCACGGTGGAGCTGGAACCACAGCATGCGGGCTTCTCAACGGTCGGCCGACTGCTATTGTGCCCTTCTTCGGCGAGTAGGTTTTCCCTTGGACGCTCATTCTATCAACTAAATTGGCTAATTAATACAACAGCCAACCTTTCTGGGGCAGCATGGTTGCAGCTGCTGGAGCAGGTCCACGTCCAGTCGATCACAAACTTCTGGACATCACCTCTCTAGCTTCGGCAATTCGTTTTTGTCTCACACCGAATGCATCGAGAGCCGCACAAAGTCTTGCAGAAAAGATGTCAAGGGAATGCGGCGTTAAAGAAGCTGTCAACTCATTCCACCGAAACCTTCCAATGGAGAAAATGAAGTGTGATATTCTTCCGAGAAAAGCGGCTGTTTGGCGATACGACCTGGGAAATAAGCAACTGAAACTCTCAGATGAAGCAGCATTCATCCTTATGGGGGCAAAGAAATTGGAGATGAACAAAATCAAACCGTACGTGCAACTTGACTAGCAACGTAAGGTTCTATCTGACCGAGCTGTACAGATACCAGCCCAAGCCCATCGAGATCGAGAACAAGCGGTGGGATCCTCTCACTGCGGGCACATCTACGCTGGTTGATACGCTAATTGATCTCAAAAATGATGGGAAGAGCATGTTTTCTCAGCCGTACAGGGAGCTTCAAAAGGCCAATACTCTGCGAAAGGAGAATAGCGGCTTGGGACCCAGTGGTGCTGCGGCTGCAAGTTTCGCCGCGGGGAAAGGACTAGGTAAGATGTCAGGCGGCTTAGCAAAAGGCATAATTCTTGATTTGCCAGTAGCAATGGCAGATGGCTTTCACGCTATACCAGTTTTATATGGAGATAAGCCTATGCGCCGTGGGGTGGTGACAGATTGGAAGACCGGGGCTCTGGCTGGTGGGAAGGTGGGTACACTCTGAGCCCATTTCTAATGGCGCAACCAATACTTACCAACCTCATCTAGAGTCTTGCTCGTGGATTCTATCATGGGTTTACGGGGCTTATCACAGATCCAGCTAAGGGAGCAATAGAGAATGGGGCAGCCGGGTTTGCCAAGGGGGTTGTCACCGGATCACTAGGTGTTCTTTTTAAACCTGGAGCAGGTAAGTCACTCACTTCTCATCCTTCGGCCTCGGGCCTCCATAAACCAATACGTTCTATTCAGCTTCTTCCACATGGTTCTATGCATAATGACACTCTGCTAGCGATGCTTGGTTTCGTTGGCTACCCTCTGCTGGGCGCGTATAAGAGCATAGGCGCGATGAACGCAACGCCGGCGGAAAGCAAGATCTTGCTTGCGAAACAGATTCAAGGATCTGAAGTTGGGAGAAATGTTTGGCACGACCGGGCGAAAATCCAACTTGTGCTTCACGAGTTCGACGAGGCCGTGACGATGAGGAGTTTGAGAAATTTCGCAAACTCCATCGCAAGCCAGCAACTTTAATTTTTACACATGTCAACGATTCAGAGATCTAGAGTTCTCGGTAAGGGAAGGACAAGGGATTCAAGGGGAACACAAATGTGGGAAAAGGTACCGAGTACGGTGACGCAGGTTGAGCAACAATTGTATAATGCAACCAACGAGAACGCTGGCCACCCCCCAGCCAGATGCGCACCCTGGTTAGCGAATACATTTCAATATTTATGCCACGAGTACTCCGTGCTAACATTCTACTTCCTGCAGAAGTGGGTAGAGGTAGAGCTTCGCCGCAGCAAGCCCGAGGAATCCTTTCGTTTGTCGGCTTACCGCGCCGCAAGCAAGTCACGGAGGACTAGCGGATAAGTACCCTACCTCCCTAGGTACTTCGCAAAGGATGATCTTTGAAACCGCAGTACTCCTTCATCAACAGCGCATGGCGGAAAGTATCCAATTTCTTAATTGTCGCATCTACTTATAGACTATAGTCGCGTAAGACTTTCTGCAATGTTTTGCCACATTTCGTGGTTAAGTTGTGAGGGATTGTTTGTTTTGGACCATGGCTAGGTCCCTGTCCCAAATACGCAATACTATGCCCAATGCTTATACTTACCCGGTGCACGAGGAACTGTGGACATGTACCTCCCTCCGAATACATCAACATTGGGTTGCTCACACCGCGTGCCCCGGAACTTCCGTATCCCATCCGCCTGTTCTTGGTACCCCTTCCACACGAAGAACTAGTAATTTATTGCTTTGAACAATACAATGTAACGCTGGACTGCATGCAATGCATTTCCCACGCGGCGCGCACGCGCATACCTAGCTTCTTACTTAGTACTTGCCTCTTCCAGAACTATGCTAATTGCTTATTACGCTCGCGGGTTTTATTAAATAGTAGTTGTCACCGCTTCAAGTCTCGACTCATCCTGTTTCCTGTTTCCATTCCGTCTGTTTGGTTTGTCACTTCTATAGGGCTCTTGAAGATGGGACGGTTTCATTCCTTTTCTCTGCTTGCTGTCTTGGCCTGTGTTCGATACGCTTCGTCGACGGGTATCCTCGAGTCAATCACCGGCTTCAACACAATCGGCGATCACTTCGGTTATCCGGCGTTTCAAGATACAACTTACGATTATGTTATCGTCGGAGGTGGGACAGCTGGCCTCGCCATGGCCGCAAGACTGTCCCAAGGGGGAGCCGGGACAGTCGCGGTTATTGAAGCCGGCGGCTTCTACGAGCTTGACAATGGCAATCTCTCCACAGTGCCTGGCACATCAGCGTATTTCATAGGCACGGCGCCTTTGGTGAAAAATCCTCTGATTGACTGGCAATACCAAACGGAGCCAAATCCAGTAAGCATAGCCATACTTGTGTTTTTAAGCACATGGTTTTTTAATTTTGGAGATTGACTAAATATTGTACTTAGGGGCTTGGAGGCCGTAGCATTCTGTATAACTCTGGGAAGACTTTAGGAGGCGGCAGTGCGCGTAACTACATGGTCTATGCTCGGTAATTGTTTCTAATCGTCTCTCGCATGGCCTCTTTTCCTAATGTGATCCACCAACAGAGGATCCAAAGGGTCGTATCAGAAATGGGCCGACGAGGTTGGCGACAAGAGTTATGCGTTTGCTCAGTTCCTGCCTTACTTCCAAAAGAGCGTCCAGCTCGACTTTCCTAATAACGCTGTTCGGGCACGCAATGCATCTATTTATCCTAACCCGAGGGCATATGGGACCTCTGGGCCCCTCAAGGTGTCCTTTTCCAACTGGGCCAACACCATTGGATCATGGGCAAAGCTGGCTTTGAAAGAACTTGGGCTATCGGAGCTGCCAGACTTCGTTAGCGGTGATATCTATGGGTATCAGTACACATCTCAGACAATTGATGGTAAGACGCAAACGAGAAGCTCGTCGGAGGCATCGTACCTGAGGCAGGCCCTGAGCAAAAATTCCCAACTGCAGGTCTACAAGACGTCCTTGGCAAAGCAGATCCTTTTTGACTCGAACAAGCGCGCTACTGGCGTCCTCGTTGACACTGCTGGCGTGAAGTACAACCTATTGGCGAGGAAGGAGGTCATCGTTTCCGCCGGTGTCCATCGCTCGCCGCAGTTGCTTATGGTTTCAGGCATTGGACCTCAGGAGATATTAGAAGACCTTGGAATTCCCATCGTGTCGAATTTGCCTGGCGTTGGCCAGAACATGTGGGTAAGTATTTGGGAGGACCCGCCCTCCTTGTCCTTTAAGTTGTCTCCATGCCCCAAAATGTGCCCTTATTATACCATCCAGCAGACCTTGTCTTTTGCCTCTTCTATTTCGCTGTTTCTTACACAAAATCTAACATTTTAAAACAGGATCAACCATTCTTCGGACCGTCGCACGCAGTAGATATCATTACGCATAGCTCAATGAGTTCGCCAGTGTTCATGGGTAAACAATTCGACGACTATCGCAAGTCACGCACAGGCTTCCTCACCAACCCGGGCTCTGACTTCCTGGCATGGGAGAACCTGCCAAAGGACCTGTTCCAGACACTTAGCAACGCAACACAGAATGATCTGACGACACAGTTTCCAGCAGACTGGCCGACTCTCCAGCATACCTTCGCCGACGCCTTCTACGGCGACGGCCACGACATGCTGCTCGGTGCACCGCCCGATAATCGCCAGTACGTCGGTATCCTGCCAACACTTGTTGCGACCTTTAGTCGCGGCAACGTGACCATAAAGAGCACCGATACCAGTGTCAATCCGATCATCAACTCAAACCTCCTGTCCGACCCGCGCGATCAGGAGATTGCCATCGCGGCCTTTAAACGCGCCCGCCAGATGTTCGCAACCAAGGCCCTTAGCAAAATCACTGTAGGAACAGAGGACTACCCGGGCTCGAGCGTCTCTACCGATGCCGAGATTCTTGCCCACATTATGAAAACTACAGCACCTATCTGGCACGCTAGCAGCACCTGCAAGATGGGCAAGGCCAGCGACAAAATGGCCGTTGTCGATTCCAAGGCTAAAGTGATGGGCGTTAGCGGCTTAAGAGTCGTCGACGCCTCGGCCTTCCCGTTCTTGATCCCTGTCCATCCACAAGGCACAGTTTGTGAGTTCTTCCCTCCTTCCCCCGCCGTTGTACCAACGAGAGAACCGAGGGGCTTCCTGCTAACTTACGTCTCTCACTTCAAAGATGCCCTCGCTGAGAAAATTGCCTGTGACATTCTATCGTGATAATAGAGACGAACGGCTTTACAGCTGGTTTTCATCACTGTCCGGTTCCGTTGCGCTGGTATTAGACATATGAAAAAGGTGTTGGATTGGTTAATGGGCTAGCCATGTGCATAGAGTAAACATTTAGTAGTAGAGATACTTTATAATGCATATAATTAATTTTTCTTCAGAAGTAGCATAGAGTACTTGTTAAACACGAATTCGACCGTAGAAGGGATGTTTATTCAAAATGACTAACGACTACATATCTAGTGACCAAAAGTCTAGCTATCGATCTTCTATGTGGCAGCCCCAAGCTGGTGCTCTAGTGCATTCAAAGACCCTTGATAACATCTGCAGCCTTCTCTGCCACGGCATAAACTGTAGACAAGATGTTGCCACGAGGAATGAGGGGGAAAATACTCGCGTCAACAATGCGCAAGTTGTTCGTACCATATACGACTAGCTTCTCATCCACGACACCTCCCTTCTGCTTTGGTAGCATTGCAGCAGTGCCACAGGTGTGATATGTTGTAAGTGCGGTGTCGAGGACGTATTTCTTGGCGCCCTCTAGATCTTTGATGTGGAACGAATCTGGATGGTTACGTTTCCCGTCGGGCTTAAAGAAAGGCGCAAGCTCCTTGGTTTGGCGCAGCGTCTCGAGCGACTGAACGTGGCGCGCCATAATTTCGAGATCGGCTGGGTGCGAGAAATAGCGTGGGTCGATATCGGGAATGGCATCAATATCTGCCGAGGATATATGAGTAGCTCCGCGAGAGAAAGGATGGGATTGAGAACACCCGAGACTAGCAAAGTTCTCCGCCTGGAGCTCTGAGCCCACAAAGCTCTTGCCCGCCTCGTGCAGGTTTGCTTGGGCAAGGAACATCAACCAAGCCGCTGAGCACTCGTCCGGAGTTTCGATAATAGAGCGCACAATATTGTAGTATTCTTCATCCTCTGGTTTGGGAGGATACTTTTCGAGTAATTCCGCCTGGTGTTTTCGACCCTCTGCGTCGGCAAAATCTAAAACGGGCATAAAAGCGTGGGATTGCATGCCGCCGATGGTAAAAGGGCCGGCTTTATGCTCAACGTACAAACTCTGGGCCATTTGCAGAGCCTCGGGCTCCTGGCGCATCAAAGGGTCGCCAGTCATAACTCCGTCGACAACCTCGAAGCTGACACCGGTCATCAAGTGATCCTGCAAATTCTCTCCGACGCCAGGACTGTTGATAACAATCGGTATCCCATGTTTCTTGAGTAGCTCCTCATTGCCGACGCCGGATAACTCGAGCAGCTTAGGGGTGTTAAAGACGCCAGCTGCGAGAATAACCTCCTTTTGAGCATTAAACGTCTTCAACTGGCCTTGGACAGAAACCTGCACGCCGGTTGCGGTAACACCACTACCCGTCGTCTCAAACAAGATCTTATGAGCGGTCGCTGAGGTGACGAGGTGGAAGTTGGGTCGCTGAAGAGCTGGGATACCGTACGCAGACCCGGCGTAACTCCGAACTTTGTTGACAGGGTCGACGGTCGCAGCATTGCTATATCCACCGACGGAGTTACCGGAGAAAGGATCTAGATAGACATATAAGGATAAGGCATTTTTAAACGAGGGGAACACCGCCGTGCTAAGAATAGAGTCACATACCGCCCGTAGTTACTTTGTTCAACCCATCGAAGGCATCGATCCAAGCCTTACATAGTGGGTTTTGAATGACTCCGGGAAAAGAGACCTGGATAGGCCCCGAGGTTCCGCGGTAATCTTCGTTGATCCAGTTGATACCGAGGTGGTCGAGAGTTGCCTGATCGGCAGGCGGGGTGAGCGTATAGGACTTCTTGTAGTACGGGGCGAGGCCAGCCCAATCCCAGCCGACGGTTCCAAACTTAGCCCACGCATCGATATCGCGTTGGGAGGGCGCGATGAATGCTTGGCCGTTGATAGCAGACGATCCACCGAAGATCTTGCCTTGTGGCTCTTTGACTGATCGACCGCCCAAACCTGGCTATATCAAGTGAAGCAAAATGGATTAGTCCTGTGGGTCGCATGCCGATGGGAGAAAGGGAGTGTTTCCTGCTTACCTGGTCAACCGACTTGTACTGCCAATCGGCCTCGGAGCCCATGAGGGTCGTCCACAGGGCGGGGATATTGACTCGAGGGTCCTCGGCGTTGTTCAGGCCGGCCTCGAGAACGATAACATGGACGTTGGGGTCCTCTGTCAAGCGGTTCGCGACAACCAGACCTGACGTCCCGCCGCCGACGATAATATAGTCGGCCGTGGCGGGGGCATCTTGGGGGGAAGCCATGATGCAGATGGACGGGGCAAGGTGAGGATAAGTTGACTGATCGGGAACGGGAGTGTTAAGGAAGGATAGATTGGGCGAGATATGGTAGCGTAGAGTAGAGTAGGAGAGAGACGGGTTCAGAGAGTGAGAGCGCAAGAAACCAAGATATTGAAAGAGAGAAAGTGAGCGAGTAAGAGAGAGAGCCTATGTGTAAGAAGGAGAGAGAGCTTGGAGACCCCTTGTTCCCATGATGCAGCTATCAGCGCATGAACGAAGGTTGGTTGTTGGTTGTTGGTGACGCGACCAGTGGTACGAGTAGTGTCGTTGCAAAGGGTGGACGACGCGCTCCTGTCACAATTTCATAAATGCCTAAAAGCCATATGAATTATCCCAATCTAATTCGACTTCGTCCCTGACGTATGGGTGGGAGGGTAGGGAAGGTACTCCGAAAGGAACGAAACCGATCTAGGCAAGGTCGGTGGTCGGCGGCAGTGCGCGTATGCAAGATGCACGATGCAAGATGCAAGATGCAAGATCCAGGTAGTAAACATTCAGGGTGTGCTCAGGGCGCCCTCCTTACCTTACGCCATATGGCTTAGAGAGCTTACGGAGGACAAGCAGCGGTTAATACGGAGTGTACACCCCGAGTATCTTAGGTGGTACGTGCCACCCTAGCTAGCGTACTTACCACCTAGGTCCGCTCGGTAAGTAAAGTTCAACCGCTTAATTAATACAATTTCCCTACTGTACTAAAATATTACGTTTCGACTAATGTACATTGTTCACATGTGATGGAGTCTTTAGGATTAAGTTCTATAATTGCCCAAGTATTATTATAGCTAATTTATAATATGCCTACCGACCTACCTAGGTAGGTATATATTCTCATCGTCACATGAGACATATTAGCGTAGCAACCTAGAAGGCCAGTATCGACTCTCGCCGTTAGGAAGTATCTTATCTTAAATCGCCGCGTCGCCGCATCGGATAATTACCCCATCGAGTCGGCTTAGCCTAGATCGTCGCCGCCGCATCGGCGCCTCCGACGCTTAGCGCCTCCGATCAGACCTAAGCATTGTGATATCGATTCGCACTTCCCTACCGAAGGCACCTGCTCCGTAGGTAGGAACATAGTACAGTATATCATCATATCATCGTATCGTCGCCGCCGCCGCACAGCTGCGTCTGCACCTCACGGTGTATCGGCACATGTATGAGGTAGGTAGGTAAAGTAGGTGCCTACCTAGGTATAGTACTGTAAGTAGGTCAAGGTAGGCACAGTATTGGTGCATTGCAGCAACGCCGCATTAGTGCATTAGCGCATCCTACACTGTCGACGTGCGATACTAGTATGGAGTGCCGAGGTATTATATTAAACCGTTTATAAATCGCTAAATAAGGTAGATAAAGGTTAATGGGAGTATATCCTAGGTTTTGCTATTATTTATATAGTAAGCAATAAAATGTGTACTTAAAGTATAGGCATAGATAGGAAGCCAGTCTACTTCGTGCCTAAGGTACCTTTAGGGGGGTATATGGTCGCTAGCGTTAGGCGTTCAGCGGGAAATTGTAAGTTAATAAGCTGCTACACAAAGTACGCAAGCTAGGCTATACGTGGTTCGCTTCCGCCCACTGCGACAACGGGTAATCTAAACTCTAATTTTACCTCTGCTCACTTTTGCGCCTCCCGAGTGAGGAACTGGAGGACACATGCGCCGCGCCGCGCGCACTCATATGGTAAGTACGGAGATGCAGTACGTACAGAGCGGTCTTCGTCCGGCACTGCTTTGTATAAAGTATAGACAAGTACAAAGGGCCGGAGGCAAGGCCTCTGGCCCAAGAAGAGAAGCACAAAGCAAGCAAACCTTCAGTCCATGCACATCATGCCTCCCCTGGCCCACTGTCTCGGTTTCTTCCTCTTCCTCTCTATCTCCCTCTTCTCCTCCGTCTCCTTCTCCCTCTCCCTCCCCCACGGCTCCCCCGCTGCCCACGCCTTGGCTGCCGGCCCGGCTCTCGAGGCTCGCGATGTGAACTATCAGCATACCTATCCGTGGTCGCTGCCAGCTCAAAGCCAGCCCGCCGGGCGTTGTCGCTGCTTCCCCGGCGACGCATGTTGGCCAACCCCCGAGACGTGGTCGGCCTTCAACGCTACTATCAATGGGAAGCTGATTGCAACCACGCCCATTGCGGCCCCGTGTCACGATACATCGTTTGGGCCGTATGATCCCACGGTTTGTGCATCTCTCCAAGCAGCATGGTTCGGGCCCGAGCTTCACTATGAATCGCCGTCGTCGATCATGGCGCCGTACTTCACCAACAATAGCTGCAATCCCTTCCTTCCGAAGTCGGCGTCGTGCATCGTCGGCTCATATGTGAGCTACTCGGTCAATGTTAGTGAGCCGATGGATATTGCCCGGACGATACGGTTCGCAACGTACTTCAACATCCGCATCGTCATTAAGAACACAGGCCATGATTATAGCGGCAAGTCTTCGGGTGCCGGGGCCATTGCCATCTGGACCCACAACATGAAGGACATCAGCTTCGTTGACTACAAGTCATCAAACTACACAGGCAAAGCCATCAAAGCCGCCGCTGGCGTTTTAGTCATTGATGCCTTTAAAGCCGCGAGCGCTAAGGGCCTGGCTGTCGTGGGCGGCGAGTGCCCTACCGTCGGGTACTCGGGCGGCTATACCCAGGGCGGCGGTCACTCGGCGTTGGCATCCAAGTACGGTCTTGCCGCTGATCAAGTTTTGGAATGGGAGGTTGTCGACGGGCGCGGTCAACTGCTTTGTGCGAGCCCAACCGAGAATGCAGACCTCTACTGGGCTCTTGCCGGCGGTGGCGGGGGCACGTTCGGGGTCGTCACCTCAATGACCAGCAAAGCGCATCCTGACATTCCCGTCACGGGAGCCAGCCTCTCATTTACTAACGACGGCGTCACTCAGGACCAGTATTATGATGTGCTCTCGACCTTTCAGGCATCGCTGCCTAAGATCGTGGACGCTGGCGCAATGGTCGTGTGGTTCTTTACTAATACCTCTTTCTTCATTGCTCCTCTGACGGCGCCAGGTCTGTCCACGGAGCAAGTCGCTCAACTTCTCTTACCTATTACCAACAAACTTAGCGAACTTGGTATCAACTATCGTAAGTCAACATACCGCTTGACCATACGCAACTGTTATTCAGCATCGTCCGCTTACAGGTAGACAGTTCATAATATTCAGCAGTTCCCCGGTTACCTCCAACAGTTCAACGCTATGTCGCAACCTTCACCCGTCGGAGTTGGCCAGTATGGTGGTCGTTTCATCCCACGCTCTGTAGTTGAAAAAAACAACGCCGGCCTGACGGCAGCGTACCGCTACATTAACGAGCACGGCGGCCAAATCGCAGGCATTGGCCTGAGTGTGTCGAAGGCCGTTGCGGGCAATGTCTGGAACTCGGTCCACCCGGGATGGCGCGACGCGCTCATTGAAACTGTGATCCAAACGTATGTCCTTCCCCCCCCCCCCTGCCCCCAACTCTTTTCTTTAGTCATAAGCCCAAGAGCACAGCAAGCAGATGCCGATGAAATGGAAAATTAAATTGAATATCCAGGCCGTACGACTATACCGTTCCACTTGCAGACATGGTCGCCAGCCAGAGCGAGATGACAAACGACCTCATGCCTCAGCTGGCCCGGCTGACGCCAAACGGCGGAGCATACCTCAGCGAATCCGATTTTCGGCAGCCAGATTTCCAATCGGTGTTTTACGGCACCAACTACGACCGACTGAATGCGATCAAGAACCGCTATGACCCCTTCCACATGTTCTACGCCGTAACCGCTGTCGGTAGCGAGTACTGGGTTCCCCAGCAAGACGGAAGGCTCTGTAAAGCTTGATGACAACTCTGTTTACTTGCCAGATTTTGGTTTGCGGGTTGTGTGGGTGGGTGCTAGTGAAGCCAAAGGAAAAGCGAGTCCAAGTGTGCTACTTAAAGGCGTTAGGGTGCGCTAAAACGATAAAGACTTGCCATGGAGTAGGCAGCTTTCTTTGTCTTCGGGACATACTAATAAGCGTCATAAAAATCTATTTACATATATATCATATTCTTCATAATCCCAAACACTCTCTCTATTATCCCTCCGTATCGGTCCGGATCGTTCAATATATAAACCAACTTCTTCCAGTTCTGGCTACTCAGAGAGTTCCTTGAAAACTACGTCTCAAACGCATTCTCCGTGTACACGGCTTTCAGCAAGGGCAAGCCGTAGAGCGTGACCAACCACAGATTCCACCACCTGAACGTCGTTTTGTCCGCTGGCACGCTCCTAAACATCAGAGTCCTGGCGGCCACTAGTCCACCCAGCCCGACAGAGATGGCAAAGCCGGCAGGCGGACTGCCCAAGTACCATGGGCAGAAGAAGCACCAGAAGGCCATGGGCACAGCGATGGACCAGCGTCCCTGTGAATCGCCAAATACGAGGGGAATAGTGCGGCGGCCGCGCAGGCCGTCACCCAATTGGTCGTACATATCCTGCGTCTGGACGGTAGTGAAAACGATTGCGGCAATGGAGAGCTGCCAGAGCATGAGCGTGCTAGTTGCCGTGTGCCGCTTCCCACCGAGCATGACCTCGAGTGCCCCAGATGCGAATCTATTAAAGCCACAGGCGTTGATCAGGTTCCGAATCACCCAGCTATCATCGCCACCACGCAAATCATTATACCAGAATCCCAGCGCCATCAGCGACATGCACTGCTTCGTGCCGCCGATGCATAGGCTAGTCGCTAGCGCTAGGGGGTACAAGCAGAGCATAAGAGTCCGCGCCTGGGAAGGGGTCATACGTTTCGAGGGCATCGTACGCCATGGCTTGTTCAGCGCATCCTCGGCGATGGAGTCCGGCTGGCGTTGATTATCTATGGCGAACGGGAGAAGATTGATCCAAAGCCAGAAGACCGCGAGAGGGGCTCTGCGTAGGATATCGGCGGCCTGGGGAACCGGCGAGATGCCGAAAACCGACGCGGCCGGTGCCGTGAAAATAGCAAATGCAAAACTGGGCGCGATGATGGTTTTGATGTCGCTGAAAGTAAAGAGCCAGACGGAATAGATGCAATACGCAGCTCTGCGTTGAAAATGTTGGAGGCTGAACCTTGTCTGCTGCTGGCGCTGCTGGTGCTGCTGCCCCTTCGAGCACGCTAAATCAAGACTCAAGGTCGAGGCGAGCACGTCCTTGCGTGGAACTAGAGCAAGTGCTCCTAATTTCACAGACGTTATGGACATGACTTTAGGCTGCCTTGAAAAAGAAGAAAGCTCGCAAAGCAGTAGGGCATACTTTGCAATAGGCAGGATTTGCTTTATTGTAAGATTTGAATTTGAAGAAAGGGTGAGAGATACCAAGTTACCAACCATCGGTGCAATCCTTGAATCCTTCCAACAAATGTACTAGTGCAAGTGCAAGTGCAGGTGGGCAGTGATACTGGATACTGTACCCTGTCTCCACGCTTGGCAGGTTCGGTACTTCCTGCGAGATTGGATAGGTACGATAGGCAGGATATGATTTGGGGTTCAAGTTGACTCCCGTTTTGTCCCTAAACTTTGAACGGAACCGGCGGCCGGTACTCACAAGAGTCAGAACTTCACGTAATCTTAGCTTAGGTGCCTTACTACGAAGTTCTAACGTGCAGGTACATGCACGTCTGTGGCGTCACTAGATACGGTAGGTAGTATAGGTACGTACGTCGTGTATATGTTTATATATGGGACTGTACATCATCACATGTACATAGCCGGAGGCGTATACTAGTAATAGTTTTACGCCGTGACTTTACTCGTATCAGCCTAATTGTAAAAAATGGCCCTAAATACTCAAGCCATACTATCACCTCGGTTGTATATTGTATATTGGTTTATCTAGTGGGTCCGAAGGTGCACATGTACAGAGTATAGCGCGGCGCAGAGCTAATCCTTCGGAAGTTCTGGATCGCGAAGGATCTAACGCTCGCTAGTCGGTAGTCAGGGGTCAGTGTCGTACCAGATCAACACGATCCGTTTTCAGATAAACTTTGTGGGGCCAAGAGGCCGGTAGCCAACCGGAGCCCTTGTCACTGCGCCGTCAGATCGGAAGCCACATGCCCGTCCTGGCTAAGCGCACGTTGGGCGCGACCAGGTCCAGGATTCCTCTGCAATCTCTATAAACACGTCGTGTTGAACCCCTGGTATACGGATGGCATCACTTAATCACAGGACATACTCTGTATATGCCCACCCGGACTAGCGCACTATACTATGAATACCGACATCCGCCGAGCCCGCCGACCTTCGTATTACACCGTTTACACCTACAGCACATAGTACCTACCCACCTAGGTATGCACTCTGTACTCTACAGTGCCTTAGGAACTGTCCTGTTACAGTACACAGCCCACACACATTTTCCACCGGGCTCCGCGTTGGGTGGTAACGACGCAGCGACAGCCAAAAGCGGCCGGCAAGCTGCAGCTCTCGGCGAGCTGACTGCTCTCTTCTGTTGTATTTTCTTTGTCGGGGCTCCCGTCCCTGTCATTACAAGTAATGTTTTGGTACAGGGAGATGCAGGAGATACAAGACCATCGCCTCCACGACCGCGGCACGGGGCGCGGCACAGCTATTTTCACCTGCCTGACGAGCGCTTCGTACGGACTACTCCGTAAATCTTTGCGAATGTTCGGCTGTATTAGTACGAGTAGGTATCAATTCAACATTTTATTTTTCTGGAGTAGAAACTTAAGCTGATGCGTACATGTTGCCAGAATGGTAGCAGCAAACCATACCAACGTTCTCGGGGCTTGCCTTGAAAATGCGACAAGCTACACTATCCAGGCCAAAGGTGCTGTTACCGCGAGTCCTGTTCGTATGCGTTTATACACCGCGGCGGCACTGGCGCTCGCCCTTCACCACCTCGTCTTCAGGAAGGGAGAATGGCACTTGAAGGCTCCCATGCTCCTCACAACCTGGCTGGTGTCCTACCCTCTACTGTTAGTCGCAGAGCTGGTTATAGGTGCGAAGAGCTTCGGCGGCAGCGTATCTAACACCCTCTTGACCCTGGGATGCTTCACCATAGTTTCGTTCGCCAGCATTGCTGTGTACAGGCTGTTCTTTCACCGACTGGGAGGCTTTCCTGGGCCGGTGATGGCCAGGGCCACGAAACTTTGGCACGCCAGTCAATGTCTTGAGGGCAAAAACTACCTCGTGCTGGACGAGCTGAATCGGAAATATGGCGACTATGTTCGCACTGGTCAGACTTGCTCTCTGCTTCAGCGTCGATAAGCTGACAATCCATATCAAGGTCCGAACGAAATAACGATTTTTAACCCCGAGGCTCTTTTCAAACTTGACGGGCCGGGCAACAAGACTACCAAATCCGTATGGTATGACTTCCTGATGCCCGACATGGGGGTGACAACCATTCGAAACAAGACGTTTCACGACCAGCGCCGCAAGATCTGGACCCAGGCTTTTTCCGCGAAAGGTGAGCTCCCAACCGCAAAACCGCGGGTCAAACATTCGTCAACGAAGCTCACGCTAGCACAGCCCTCCCATTTTATGAAGACCAAATGGCAGAACATGCCAACAAGCTTGAGAGCTTGATTGGAGCGGCTGCTAAGGATCGAAAGGCTGTCCCTTTCTCCTCGTATGCATACTGGTTTTCTTTCGATGTCATGGGCATGTTCGCCCTGTCCCAGTCGTTTAACATGTTAGATGATGAGAAATGGCATTACGCCGTCAACAACCTGCGACGTGCAATGTCAATCCTCGGTCCTCTATCACCCGTGCCTTGGCTAGGCCAAATTGGCTTCAAGTTCTTGGAAGGCTATTGGATTGTCAAGGATTGGCATTCCATGATGGGATGGTGCAGGGCTCGTATGCAGGACCGGATCAGGGTGAGTAGGGCGCACATCCCAAGCCCGGTAGTTAGATAGTCAGGATCACTAACTAACCGAGCTATGCATCAGATTGACGACGACAACGCTCCAAACGTGGCGGCTTACCTGATAGCCGACGCCAAAAAGAAAGACTCTATAGAAAGCGACCATCATTTGCTTGCAGGAGACACAATTGTGGCCATTGTTGCTGGCAGGTGAGCTAATTTCTCGGAGTATTTGTCTGAATAGTGGTTCCTTGGGACTAACTCGAGAATATAGCGATACTGTGGCGCCGACATTGGTATTTCTGTTCTACGAACTCGCCTTGAACCCATCTCAGGCGGATAAGCTCTACGATGAACTCAAAGACATCGACGTTCATGACCGCGAGGTCCTACAGACACTGCCACACTTAAATGCGCTCATCAATGAGACTTTGCGTATTCACCCAGCCGTACCAACAGGTGGCTACAGGGACACGCCACCAGAGGGCATGACCATCGGCGGCCGCTACATTCCTGGTAACACCACCATCGTAGCTCCGCGTTACACCATCAGCAGATGTGAGTTTCCAGGTGGCCTCCTCCGGGATGATATTTAATAGTACTGACCCCTCGGCTAGTGGAGAGCTGCTACGAACAGGCGGACAAATTCATCCCAGAGCGATGGTACAGCCGGCCCGAGCTGATTAAGGACAGTCGTTCATTCCTTCCTTTTGCTCAAGGTACGTTCGAATACATATATATATATACACGGACATTAAATAACGCAAGCTAATCCATTTTTTCTTTCTCTTGCTATTTAGGTCGCTACACCTGCTTAGGCAAAAATTTAGCCCTTTCCGAGCTGCGAGTCGTTACCGCCCTGCTGGTATCAAAATACCATATTCGCCTGGCGCCCGGGGATGACGGCTCTCGCGTTGAGAAAGACATGCGCGACCAGTTCACAGCGGTGCCCGGCCAGCTTAATCTTGCCTTCGAGAAACGTGTTTGAAGTGCGAACTCTTTCCGGCGTCTTATCTTTTGGGGGGAAGGCGAAAAGGGGCGCTCTTATCTGTTGAAAATTTTAGCGACTTTTTTCCTTGGCCTTCGATTTGGTGAACTTTTTAGCTTTGTATAAGACTATAGCACCTTTTCAATGTGTATGCACTTAGTACTTCAGGCAAATAAGTGCCAACGATGTCGGTCGTTAATTAGGATATAATTATACGTCCTTTACTCTGTAACAAATTCGTGGTCGCTTTCAAAGTTATTGACTACAGTAATATGACTTATATTCTGATTATCGAGCGACTAGGAGAACAATTATTTACCCAAGGTACCAAATACAAGGAATCATACAAAGAAGTTCATCATTTGAAATCCTTCGCCGTTCTTAAATGCCCCATTGTTGACACCAGCGGTCTATCAACGTTTCATCGACGGCCCCCATGTCCGCCATAGTGCGGCTCGCCTTGACACTATTGGCTGTCTCGAACTTGGGCTGCAGCTCGGTCCCATGCGCTGCTGTCTCGGCCAGGTGCTGGAAGAAAGGGAGGATTTTCATGGACGAGGAGGCCTCTTCCTCAGACATGCTCTTCGGGTCAGTGCGAGCCAAGTGATCAACCCACTCGGTCAGAGTCACCTGATTGGCTGTCACGCCTAGCCGCTTGCGCAGAACCTCTACGAATATCGCCCATTCTGACAGATGCGGATTGACGACGTTAAAGATCTTGAGCAGGTCTGCTTCTCCTGCGCCTTCCAAAGATATGGAAGCCTGTTGTCCTTCCTGCGAAAGTGCTAACTCGCAAACGGCCCGAGCCATCAAATCCACCGGCACCCAATCAATGGGCGGGATATCGGTGGGAATCAGCTTGAGCGTCTTTGAGATTGCCGCGAGGGAGGGAATCCACTCGTCCGTAGACCACTTGCTGCCGGTCCCCGTGGAAGGGCCAGCGACCTGGCCGACGCGCAGGATGGTAACGGGGATGCCAGATGCAGCGCTTGCTTTCACCAGGATACGCTCCGATACGTGCTTAGACTGGCCGTAGCCAAGTGGCGACGCGACATCGTAGGACTCGAGGGGCGTCTCGGAGACTGGAGTTGGATATATCGACGCCCACTCCTGCACGGAGGAGATGGACGAGACGAAAATGATGCGCGGTTTCAGCGAGCTATGGCCGGACAAGTCCACCAGGTCGCGGATGCTGTGGAGGTGCTCGACCTTGTACGAGTCGAGCGTCCAGCTGAAATCGACCTTCCAGGCGTTGTGGATGATGATGTGTGCGTTGCGCGACAGCTCGGCGTAGTGGTCGTCGGAGAGCCCCAGCCGTGGCTGGCTAAGCGCGATGGGCATGAAGGATAAACGCGCATCGTCAACGTCGCACGCAAGACCTTTGTCATTAAACGTCTCTCGCATCCTCTCACGCCCGTCTTCGCCGCGGTTCAGGCAGTACAGCTTCGCAACTCGTGGATTGAGCAGGAGTTCCCTCACAATATTCGGTCCCAGCGAGCCTCGCGGGCCTACCAGGACCACGTTGATTCCCTCTGACGGAGGCAGAGTAGTTGCGCCTACAGTCTTCTGCGGTAGGTTTTCCGTGAAATCCTCCACGGCACGCTCCATGCTCTGAGCATCGCGGTTGATGGCCGCATCTGGTACGTCGCGATCGAATATGGTGTCGACGATAACGGATGCGAGCCCGTCAATCGTAGGATGCATGTATATCAGGCGCAGCGACACCGCAAGAACTCTGGCGGACTTCATCTGACTTGCCAGGCCCACTCGGAGTTTTCTGCTGAGGCCGGCTGCACCCAGTGATTCCAAGCCCCGAAGGAAAATGTTGTCGCTGTCCGAAAGCACCACGTCCGGAAGGAATTCCTCGACGCATTTGCGGACGTACTGCTTCACACCGGGCAGAATGAAGGCGTCGATGCCTTGGAGAGCTGTTCCATTCGACTCGGCGTGCGGGAGATCGTCTGCATACGCTGCCTCGATCTCATCCGCGTAAGCTTGGATTGTCAACTTCCGGGCAACGCTGCCCTTGGGTGCGCGTAAGAATGGCCTCTCAGGGCTTGCGACTACCACTTTTGAGCGCTTTATTTGGGCGTAGGTTGGTGCAATGGCGTTCGATTCCTTGACAGAATGCCATATACGATCAATGAAGGCTTCAAGGTTACCGTCATATACGCCAGGTTTGGGTTCCACGATCAACAACGGTTCCGGCTTCCCCTGCCCTGCAATAAGAGCTCCCGATAGCAGAGGATCGCCTTGTATAATGGTTTCCATCTCGAGTGGACGGAGCTTATGACTGCTAGAAAGCACGACGATGTCGTCTACGCGAGAATGGAAGCGCCAGAGGCCTGGCTTCGAAGGATGTGGCATGAAGAGATCGCCTGTCCGCCATGACTTGACGTCTGGAAAGTTGTGCCATAGAGAACGGCGGTTGGCAAACTTCGGATCCTGATGCAACACCATCTCGAAAGCGCCGTCGCCATCAGGCTGCATGTCGGCTTCCTCGAATGGGTTGAGCTCCAGATAAGACCATTCACCGGTCTGTGGAACGAGAAGCTGGACTTGGCCCACCTCTAGTGAGCCATACATCTGACAGACGTCTGTGATTTCGCTCAACTTGTTACCGATAGCTGGGGAGAGCGGACCGCCACCGAAAAGAACGAAATCAAGCTGTTTAGCTTGCTCGGAAGCAACGGGTTCGGCTGACCATTGCTCTATAATGAATGGCGGAACATAGAATGCGCGCACGTGTTGACGCTTCAGAATCTCCGAGAGTAGGTAGCCACTAGGTGGTAGCTGGGTTGGGCCAAAGACGACGGTTGCGCTCGAGGAGAAGATGGGCAGATCAATGTACGCATGAACGCCTGCCAACTGCCATATGTGTCAGACAAATGAGTTACTTCAGATGAGCACTATACAATGGTAATCTCTCCTTACGTGATATGGTGGAAAGCACGAGTAAAATTTCCCCCCTCCTTCAAAGTTGAATTGGGCTGCGTTTTGCGGACGGCGCCCCTCGGGAGCTGGCATGTTCCGGTCATTGTCGGTGACGGCGAATGTACCGTGTGTCATAGTCACAAGCTTGGGGATACCTACGCGGAGTTAGAAGAGGTTTTGAACAAAGAGATAGACAAGTTCGAACCCGTCGAGCCCGAGGAGTGTAGGATAAGGCAGGGCTCATTTTGAGCCTCGTCGAAGCTTTTATCGAACGGATAATGCTTGGTATCATCACGCGTTTGAAGCATCTCATTGAGCGATTGCACGCTCTTTACTATCATGTGAGGCAGACTCTCCTTTAGCGATGTAGCGGCCGGGGCCAGTTCCTCTGCGTAGAAAAGCGCCTTGCAATCTGATGCTACTAGCATGTTTTGATTCTGGGCGACTTGATTCCTCGGTGAAATGAACAGCATCTTGAAGCGTGTTAGTCAATCCATGCATCTCGAGCGGTACGACCAAAAAGTGGTGTTCATGCCTTGTATCTGCATTTCACGGCCGCCAGGAACATCACGGCATAGCGAATGTCTGCTGGCCCAATGTAAGCTATCGCGTTGAGGCTGCCCACGCCCAATGTACTCTCGAGCCACCATGACAGACTGTCTACGATAGATGCCAGTTTGGCCATGGTGACATCTTGAAACCCATCTGACAAGTCTGCGGCGGATTTGGGTATAGAGGCATACACGCGGCTGGGTTCAGTTCGTGCATAGTGATCAACGACCTGAGGAAGCAGTCGTTTCCCGAATTCTACCGAATGCTCTGTCATGTTTAAAATTCGCTCGAGATTTGGTTGAACTATGAAAGAGAACAAAAGCTCGCTGGTGTTAGAGATTTTTGAAGTAGGTTACTGGAGTAAGTAGGCTATTGGTTCATGGAAGGGATTAATGGGCACTGCTACGTAGGTAGGTAGGGTTTAGTTGTCTTGTCAGTAGAGGAATTACACTGCTAAATAACCTAGAAACCGTTTGTCAGCTGTACGTATAAACTTAGCGTTCACAAGCCGAAAGCGATACGCGCTGGATCTGAGGTAGTGCATGTACGAGTATATTAAGCAGGTGCATGCAGGCGGCGAGCATCGGTCTGTCTTCGTGGAAACCCGCAACGGCAGTCTGGGCTTCGAGGGCTTCCTTGCTAATACTTACAGGGTAACCGTGGTGTGCTTCGTGTCGCCTATCCACATCCACTTGCGGAGTACAGAGATAGGGGACACGGTAAAATATAGTTCTTCCTTTTTACCAAATCCCTACTCTAAATTTAATTACTTGATTAAGCCCAGTCGGCGGAGGCTACCTTTTATTATTACTAGTATACTTTTATATAGTTCTTTATCTAGCCCTACTAGTAAAACTTATATTAGCCTATTTTCTCTCTGTATCTAAGTCTCCAAGCAGTTCGTACGCAATCTGTGTCGAGCTTTAACTGTTATAAATCTACCTGGCTTCTTTGTATAATTAAATAATTTATTTGTAACATTATTATTTGTAGTTGTAGTGTAACTTGTATACAAAGTGCAAAATTAGCTTTTTGCTGCTCGTTTCAAGTTGCGTTATGGTGTCCCCTCACCCAAGACGTTGCGCGTTCTTGTGTTGGGGTTGGGGAGGGGAGGGATTGCCAACCGAATGGAAGGCGATAATGCGATGCAACGCCAGTCGATAGGAAGAAACCACGAAGGTTAGATTGCACGTGGATGGGGCCAGCATTCGGTATTAATATTCGATACTCGGTGGCCAGGGGTGCGCATCTGGCAGGGAATCAACTCCTATGAGAGCGATGCGACCACAGAGACGAACTGAGACTAATAACAGAGTGCCTCGTAGAGTCTCCGGAGCAGGTCTTGACTTAGTTAGGCATGGCATCCTACGGCGCTCCGACTCCCGGCTAGCGCCCGTTGGACAACATCTAACTTTAACCTGATCGGTGGGAGAATCCGGTAATATGCTACACAACATACGCATCCGCATCCGCAGGCGCATACGTCGTGCAACGGCACTGTGATGATTTGGGCGCTGACCCATGCTAGCCTGCGGAAGGATCGTTACTCGAATGAATATTACTCGGACTTGCCATAGTCCGAGGCGAGAGGATCAGTTTAGACGGTTGAGTGAGAGTGGGCGCTGCTTGCGACTGCGCCGCTGTATTCAGTATTCAGTTTTATGGATGCCATGCCATGCCATGCGGGTGAGCTTGCCTCTAGGGTAGGATCGCCAGATCGAAGTCTCCCTGTACCTATGGAGGACCCCGGAAATAGTACAAGTGTCAGTGTCACGGTATGCGCTGTGCTCGTGTAAGATCGCGCCGTCGCAGGCGGGTCACATCGCCGCCGGAGGGATCGTGACGGGAGCATGGAAGGAGCGTCGAGGGAAAATACTCCGTCCCCTCCCTAGGAAAAACGTACCTTCTGCAGACCATAATGTGACCATGTACAAGTAGATACGGTTCATTAGGGCTAGGCTGGATTGGAGTGCTGCGCTTCGCAGCACCGCACCAAGACCGCCCTCCTATATGTGTTCCCGTCCTCTATCTACCGATGTTATCTCAGGCTATGGGCCGTACTCTTCTTTCGACTCGTCCATCCTTTTACTCTAATCCAACAATTCGGTCTTTTGTTGTCCCACAGATGGCTGGTGATCCGCTACCTTCGGGTGGCATCGCCATCATTGTGGTGAATACGGTTTTCCTCGTCCTCGCCTTCGTAGCGGTCATTGCCCGCTTTTATGCCCGGTACCTTCAGCGGAAGCAGATCGCCACCGATGACTACCTCATTGTCGCGGGCCTGGTATGTCCATCTATCTTGCCTGGCAACCGCCGCATCTCGATTCTCGGCCCAGACCCGCTAACTGTTCTACTCTACTAGTTCTTTACTGTTGCAACTGTCGGCATTGGTTATTCGCGTACGTTACCTCGTGGATTTTCCAAGTAACTCATGATCTGACTCTTGTGGAATAGTTGTCCTCGATGGCGGTGCTGGGCGTCACATGGAAGATGCCACGCCAGAACAGATAGCCATGGCGCTGAAGGTATGCATCTCTCGTTTCGACGGCAATAATTACATAGGAAGGGGCTAATGAACTCAGCTTTTTGTTCCTGCCCCGCTCTTATGGGCAATCGCAACCACATTCGTCAAGCTCTCCATTTTGTTCTTCTACATCAGCATTTTCACAATGCCAAGATTACGCAGCGCTGTCTACGTCGTCATTGCCGTTTCAGTTGCCCTTGTAGTCGTCGTCATCTTGGAATCGTTCTTGTTATGTCGGCCGTTCGAATATACCTGGAACAGAACAATCCCTGGCGTTTGCGGTGACACACAAAAGGCTTACCTCTCCGTCGCCATTGTCAACCTGGCTATCGATCTAAGCATCGTAGCTCTGCCAATGCCGGTCCTCTGGAGCCTGAAAATGGCCAAGAAGAAGAAGATGGCCATCAGCGCCATTCTGTGCCTTGGTTTGTGGTGAGTCCTGAGACCTCCCCTCGCCCCTAGACAAGATATTGACCGTCTTAAAGCATCTGCGCCATTACCGCTGCTCGCATCCAGTCTGTCCTCAACCTAGACCCAATGGACTTTACCTACACCGTGGTTGAAGACACTATTTTTGGAGGTTTGGAGCTTGAACTAGGTATCATCAATGCTTGCTTGCCTATATTACGACCTTTGTTCAGCAAGGCTTTCGGATCAAACTCCGCCTTGGCCAGTATATGGACCAGGAAGACAGAGAATGACAGTACAGACAAGAGCAAGACGAACTGGAGCAGCCAAAAGGAGTCGAAGAGGTTCCACCGCTTGAATGATGACACCTACCCGCTTACTGATTTGACGACGACGACCATCTACGCTAACAATGACGTGGAAAGCCAAGTTGAGCAAGGTCGTGATGTTATGATCAAGAAGGATGTTCATGTATACACGACCAATAGTCATCCAATGGGTCGTTGATAGAAAAGATTTGCAGCGACGCGTTGTTGGAAAACCTAGCGTTGGGTTATGTATGACGCTCCTATGGTATCTGTGTCTATGTATAAAATAATGAAGTAATGGATCTATTAAGTTATTGGTCATGGGGTTGAGTGCTAGGTTTGGGATTGATTGTGTCCGCTGAAGGATAAGGAACATTAGTAAGGTCTATGTAGGCCATTTTCGTGGCAGAAGAAGAAAGTCCTATGTAATAGAGACAAGGAAAAGGTTATGTTTTATACAGAGCGGCCGAAGTAGTCAAATATGGTAAAATATTAAAGTATAACAAATAATCTCTAAATACCTCAGTGTAATACATATACACATACATAAGCTAGGTTGTATATGACGAATATAAACAAAGGGTGCTCAATAGTAAGAATAACTCCTTTAACTAGAATTATAAGTATAAAGGTATTAAGCTAAAAAGAAAATAGAAGAAAAGAGAGTTTAGCCTTAAAAGGGGCCTGAGGGGTATTGAAAATATGTATATAGATAAGTATTTCTAAGTCAGGATTAGTATAAGCATGTTCTATATAACTACTTACAAGGCCTTTGTACCGTTATAATTAGATTAATTGTCCTAATCTATACTTTTGGTTACCCTTACTTTAACTATATCTACTTATAGTTACTATAGCGGGGCAGCCACAGCCACTGCACGCTACTTTTGTTTTGCCTCTAAAATGTATCAGTTAATGAACGTTGATAAGAGGGACCAGCCGGGCTTTAGAGCTCCTGACCCTAACTCTCATTTACATACAAGTATGCAGACATGCAGGCATAGGAGCCAGTTATTTGGACTTTTGCAGATACATACGAATAAACCGAATTGCAGTACATGATTTAATTGTTGGATCTTGTGGCCATTAGTCCTCCTGAAAGCTACCACCTGGGTGCGCCTTGAATAGTCACTCCCGAGAACACTGAACTATGGTTCGGACTTTTTTTCTGCCACATAAAGACCTGACGATACGACGACAACGCGACAACGCGACCACCTCTGAATTACCTACATACAGTCTCACAAAGTGGCCTCCTGACCAGTGATCTTGTTGGTTGTTATGCACATTTCCTCCTAGTATCCATAAAAGTCCTTCCTGCTCCTCTGCATTACTACCTTGGCTTATTCGTTGACCTATAGTCATAACAAAGATCCACCGAGGAGTTGTACGTGGTGCCCTCTACAAAGCTAGCAGTATTACACTGCTAGAGCCAAAATTTAGTCAACGGCGAAGCTGTACAACGATACGAACACAGAATAGAGAATCGCCACGAGGCCTCCTCGGCTACGGAAACAAGACAACCACCGTCAAATCAAAGAAATAGCATCTCTCTACGATACTCGAGTACTGTCTACGGACCTCCTCTTGCCGCGATATGAATGCTTCTCGAGTAGATTAGAATTCTCACCCCTACTTTTGCTCCGACTATGATTTTTCCTCTCTCTACGACTCTAGATAATAAGACACGAAGAAGGAGGAGGGGAGAGAAGAGAGCTACATTGATTTTTTTTAGGTATATCCCCACTGTCTCCTGGAATACACGGCAGGATATTTAAGGGAGCTCGAAATAGGCTACCAGTCCATTAATATTGGCTAGTAAAGTCCCTAATATGGCCTTGAACTCCGATTTCTTTCGTTTTTGCCTACTGACGAGTATACATAGAACTACTATCGACCTGATCTCTTCTAAGGAAGAGGCCGTTCTACTATAGTCTTCGACGTACACAGACAGGACATGAAAAGGAATAATCAATCAATCAATCAATCAATCAAAGACCCATCGATAGATGGCCACGTGATGCATAGAGCTGGTATTTGCCCTCATAAATCAGCGACCAAACCCGCCGGATTCAGCAGCTCAAACACCACGTCCTCGACTCCATGTGCAAAGAATGTATAGGGGGTCAGGTAACTAAGCGAATGACCTTGATAATCTATACTGAATCTTGCCCTCACTAGAGTCCATTTCTGTCTTTGGACCTGAGCAGTCGCTGCTCTAACCTGAGCCGAACCCTGAGCACGCTAATATGTCAGCTGGATTATACTCAGTGTGATCCTCTACTCAGGTTACTCACTTATTTTCCTAGTTCTCCCTTCTAGCTAATTATAATCTATTTTACCACTTGGTTCTGTAGTACGAAAACTGTTAATAATACACGACTATATTCAGGGGGACGAAGTCGACTCCCAGGAACCTAAACAGGATCTCTCTAAAAAATACATCGTTCAATCTTAAAGCAGATCCTAGAGGGTAATTCACGTAACCTAAGTAAGTAAGGACAAAATCGCGTCTTGCAACCAGCTTAGCTTTTCTCTTTAGTTAAAAATGCTCTTAGTTTTGCTCCGTCCATATTATAGTTATACCCTACTACAGTGTTTTATACCAAAACCTAAACTAACGCTCCTCCCTATATAGCGAGAAACCCACTGTGCGAGAAAAACAATAGGTACTCTAAATTTAAGTATCTCAAATTTTTTGCGTATATCGATATTTCCTACATCTCTATACAGGTCGTGTTCCGTGGCCACTATCAAACACTTTAAACCTACTAGAACATCTCAAAACTTTTTTATACTTCTCCCACGGCACCGCAAGTCTCCAGCCTTGAATGCCTTATTCCCAATCTCCTTTAACTCGGTTACTATACAAGCATAGCCCTATTCATACAACTGCCCAACATGGCTATTTGGGAAATCCTCATATGGGTCGCCTATTGAGTCTATTGCTTTCTACCGTTTTGTGACGTTTGTTTCCCGTCGACTTATTACTTTTCACAGGTTGACCCTACTTCTCAGGCCGATTCTTAAGCGCTGACGGTACGTTGTCTATGGTACTGATCCCCAACTTCTCCGTCTCCCACGCTATTAATGCTACAGAAGAAGATAAAGTATAAGGATTATCGGCACCCAAGGCTAGCGTCAGCGAACTTACACATTCCTCCATCAATTCGATAGCCTCTGCAAGTCGACCCTGCTGCGCTTTCAATGTAAAGGCAAGACTAGCCATGCTAGTCAACGTGCCTATATGTTCCTTCCCTAGTACTCTCCTTCTTGCCTCTATCACTCGCACAAATAGCTCCTCAGCCTCCTTCCATTGGCCTTGATAACTATACGTCCCCGCCAGATTGTATATACTAGTCAGTGTGTCTGGATGTTCCTCTCCCAGTATTCTCTTCCTCGTCTCTATCACTTGTACCTGTAGTACCTTCACCTCCTTCCATCGCCCTTGATGTATATACATTAATACAAGATTGTTTATACTAATCAATGTAGAAAAATGTTCCTCCCCTAATACTCTCTTTTTTGTCTCTATCGCTTGTATAAACAGCTCCTCTGCCTCTTTCCATCGGCCTTGATCCCTGTACCCTGACGCAAGGTTGCTTATAGCTATTAATGTATCTGGATGCTCTTCGCCAAGAACTCTTAGACTTATCTCCATGTTTTGCATCTCTAATCTTAACGCTTCCTTCCATTGGCCTTGCTTCCTATATATTAACGCTAGGTTGTTCATAGTAGTTAAAGAATCTGGATGCTCCTCGCCAAATAACCCTATACGCGTCTTCATAACTCGTGTAAACAACTGCTTAGCCTCATTCCATCGGCCTTGACTCGTATATGACGACGCAAGATCATTTATACTAGTTAGTGTTTCTGGATGTTCCTCCCCTAATACTCTTTTTCTTATTTCCAATACTACTATGTTTAGCCCCTCGGCCTCCTTCCATCGGCGTTGATTTATATAAGTCGCTGCCAAATTGTTTATACTAGTCAGTGTATCTGGGTGCTCCTTGCCAAGTATCTTTATACTCCTCTTCACCGCTTGTACTTCTAGTACCTCAGCTTCCTTCCATCGCCCTTGATCTCTATACATGGACGCAAGATTATCTATACTATTTAATGTAAAAGAATGCTCCTCGCCAAGTACTCTAAGACTTATCTTCAACGCTCGCGTCATTAACTTCTCCGCATCCTTCCATCGCCCTTGACTTTTATATGTCAAAGCCAAATTGGCTATGCTAGTAAGTGTAAGAGGATGGCCTTCACCAACCACCCTCTCAAAAACATCCATCACTCGTACTTCTAGCTCCTCTGCCTCCTTCCTTCGGCCTTGATTTGTATATGTTGTCGCCAGATTCCCTATTCTAATCAGTGTGTTTGGATGCTCCTCGCCAAGCACTCTCTTGTCTCTCTGCACCATCTCTAGGAAATATACTTCAGCCTCATCGTATCGTCCATCCCTAAGCAGGCTTATAGCACACTTCGATATGAGTTCAGTGTTGGCTTCATTACCTTCTCCAATGAGACCAGATTTAAGCGCATAACTAGCATGCGGTAGCAGCCTTCTCCATTTGCTTCGGTTCTCATGGTTATCATCTGGGAACATGTCAAGCAGACGTGTGATGGCCGCTTCGGTCCACATAGCCAGAAGCGAATCCTGACTTTGAAGCCAATTTCGTGTTGTACGGTGCACTAGTTCGTGGAGATCGATTGCCGATGCAGCCGGTCGTTTTACAATCATTGAATAGGCAGTGAGCGTGCCTATCGCAGTTATTCCCTTCTCGCGCGACGGGCCCACAGGTAAAAGAGACTGCGGAATATCTTTTCGGTCTATACAAGCCATGAATAACATGTAATCAGCTGCCAACATATTGCAGCGGCGGATCTGCTCGAATGAGATGAGCCACGTCGTGGCTACCGGATGCTTTGCTCTGTCGTATCGCCCTGCATCCTCAAATCCCTCGCAAAGAAGTTCAATTGTCTCCTCTTGTTGTGCTAAAAGTGACCGATATTCCTTAAGCGCTATATCATTTGCATTAATATAGGCTGCTGCCAGCGCGATAGCTAGCGGGAGGTACGAGAGCTCCTTAAGCAAGATGTCCGCCTCTCCCTGGTCATTCATCAGACTCCGGTAGATGAGGCTCCTCATCAGCCTCTGAGCTATGTCAGGATCTCTATCTGGTACTTCTACAATATCCGATACAAGTTGTATGGCGGTTTCTCGCTCGCACGTTGTAAAAATGATACGTCCATTCTCAGAATTTGGCAGGTACTCCATCATAGTAGATCCAGACTCACTGGTCCACATACTACAATCGCCCACGTTATCGTATATGAGGAGCCATTGCCCTGCACTTTCTGTGCTTAAGTGACGTTGTACGAGCCTCTTGATATCTGCCTTTTCATTATCCCAACCAGCAATGTTAAGTTGTCGAGCAATTTGTTCGTACGTTTGATGAAGGTTCTCCATATTTATCGCCGGGATCCAGAAAACAGAACAGTTGTACTTTTGTTTTGTTCTGTACGCTAGCTCGAGTGCTAACTGCGTTTTACCGATTCCGCTCGTTCCTGTGATTGCGACCTTTGTATACGCATCAACGAAAAGCTTTCCTTCTATCTCGTCAAGTTGTGATTCACGGCCGGTGAATTGGTTGTTCCGCTCGAATGGTATAAAGAACGGAGTAGTGTCTGCTGTACCCTCGCCCACCACCCTCAGTAGTTTGTTTACTGCATTCTCCTTTCCTTCGCCATAGATGAGCTGCATTTTGACATCGAAGATTCCCAGAAGGCAGTATGCACCATCTTCTGGTTCAGTTGTTTGACGGCTGTCCGCCCACGCCCTTCGCTCGGCTATAGTGAAGTTATTAAGAGGGTGGCCCTGTAAAGCCTTGATTGGAATACCAGTAATCTCGTGGATCTCCTGTTCCAGAGATTGTTTATCGCCAAGTCGCTGATGTTCTGTGAAGAATTCGACCGACGCTGGAGTAATGAGCTCTTGAAGCGTCCAGCCTCGAGTAAACCATCTGTTAGAATATAGGAGTTATGGGAGTTCCCCTGGCCGGCTGGTCAAGCCACTTAGGCACCCCACTTGGCAYATCTCCACCACAAAGGAGAAATGAGATATGTGTACTCGCGATGAGCCGAATACACGGATATCATCGCATCCCATACTAATTAGTATGGCACATGATGATGGAGGCCCTGGGAAGCCATTCGGATACCATCGGTATTATTTCCTTGAGTCACCTGATTGATCACCTGACCCCATACATTCATTTGCCTATATATGTGAGGATTTCACCCTATAGTATTAGGCTTCTTAATCAATTCAATTACCCCATTCCATGACCCATTCTGACCAATCAATTACCTGTATTAAGTGTACCAATTTGGGTCCCATTAATCAACACCATCTGTTCTTCCGGAACGATTCTCCCAATATGCTCTGGTCTAAATGTGCTGCCCCATTGATGGATGGAATGTCGGATAGCAACACGTAGCATTTATCTGCATTCCGATACCACCTAAACATAGAATTAATCGCCTTAGAGAGTTCTTCGAGGTTCCATTTATCGATGCAGCATGTGTCCACCCAGAAGTATTTTAGATGGTCACGGGCCGCTTGTTCGCCGCAAAACAGGATCTTCTGGTAGCCGGTCTTGCTCTTTTCAGTTCCATTTACTAAGTCTTCGAAGGTGACCTCGCCATCGCCCCAAGTGTGTGAAAGAATAGCATACGGTGGGATGGCGCTGCCGTAGAACGACCAGGTCAGCCTTCCAGTTTCCGATTCGATATGTAGAAGTCGCATCACTTCGTCAGGGAAGGTAAATTATGGTCACAAGAGTTGATGTAGGCAAAATCTCCTCGCTAAAGGTAGATATGCAAAGGATAAAACCGCGGTCTATGGTGTTGGGCTGAACAGGGTGCGCTTTTGAGGCTCTGCAAATCAAGCTGTCGGACAAGATACAGCCTCACCATCACGTGTACTGCAACTCGTGACGACCAATGTCGTCCCTAGTATTGGGGCAGAATCCCAATAACCAATCAGATGATTAGTACAATATAAGGGAAATTCATTTGTATTGTTCGCTATAACAGAGTAAAAACCCTATAAGATTCCTAGAGCTCACTGTTTAAGGGTACTAGCTATATATGTCCTTATACTTAATATCTGAGGCCATAGAGATTTCAACAGAAGACTGGTTTCCCTTATAGTTTTATCTTAAGCAGCTTTCTCTTCTCATAATTAATTCAAGATAATATAGTTATAATTGCTCGTACATCCGCTACGCGTGCTTTTGTTAAATTTTGTCTATTGCTGCTAATGTCTTTTCTATGGATTTTATACCTACCTCGCTTCCTTCTCACAATATTTAAAGTTAGTATAATATAGACTATAGGAATACTGTAGATTGATATCTTATTAGCTGAATTAGATTAAGGTTTAATGATTTTTTTTAGTTTACTCGAAGTTCTATTAGGCTAAATTTGTATACGTTATATAAAAGTAGTTTAAGCAATAGTAGTATAACTCGGACTACTTTGCCTTCAAGTATAAATAAGGCATATATACGATCTCGTAGTATCTTAAAGTATCCTACTTTAGATGTAACTACTTCAAGGTGTATTATTTCATACCGATGTAATCGCAATTGTAGTACTTCGAATCTATTAATAATTTCCGGGTATAGCTACTCAACTACAGGGTGGTTGAGTTGTAGAGTGAGGGCTAAGTTGAGCCCCAAGGCACTAACGTTGGGAACGGGGCAAAATTCGGCTCCCTAGCGCCGGCGTATCCATTTTGCTGGTGCTTGACTTACGTTGGGCGGTGGGGGGCTGTTTGGGCTCCTTGGGAGCCGACTTGGTCCCCTGAATACAATCCTGTAAAGTTGACAACTTTTATGCGGCAGAGTTAAATAGGAAGTTAATCGCGATTGGTCAATAAAAAGTAGAGCAGGAACGTGACTGCCTGAGCAGATGGTGAGGCGAGGAATTAATGCGCAGTCGTGGTACCTATAGATAGGTACCTTGGCAATCGGTTGACCCTATCCTTGGCTTCCCTCTCAGTGCTATATGGCTGTTACTGGTACAAATATGAGACATCAACTCTAATTCGAGAGAGCTTCCTCGCGCTCTCCATCACCAGCCTCATACTCACCGCGTCGCTATCAACGAAGCGCGCGCTATCGTGTTTTAGCCCTCGAATATTTGAGACACGGCGGAATTGTGGTCGTAAAGAGACGCGCGCTTCTCGACACTCTCAAAGTGTCCCTAAATTAACGCCATCCTTCCTGCCCAAACTTTTCTTTTCGAAGAACGCCTTGTGAAATGGTAATTTCCACCATGGAGTCCCCGCAGCACAGGGCTGAAGGTTCGGCCAACAAGATCGACATTTACCTGCAGGGTTCAAGAATCCTGGGTATGACCACGTTAACTGTCACCGCCGCGTACGTAAAAACAGGCATCGGCATCGACCACATGCATTTAATTGCATTTAATTGTGGTTTATCAAAGCTTGTGCCTAGCTCTGACCATCGACTATTGTAAAAACTCCGCCCCTATTTTAGCAGCGAGGACCGGACCGCCCCTTGGCCGAATGCTCCCTAGTCGTCGGCTGAGGCTTGAAATATCGGCATCGCGATCGTGTGTGTGGTATTGAACGGCTGGCGCCTCTCCACGTCCAGAGAACTCTCCATGTTCTACGGAGACCACCAGCAGGAGACATGAAGCAGTTGAAGTGGGCAAGCTTTGCGCCCGGCGACCACTGTGATCACGCCACTGTACGGAGTGCGTACCTAAGTAGGTAGAGTACTTTCCGCAGCAGCCTTTTTATACTCTTCTACGGCCTTGTCGCAGGATCACAAATTGCAGAAAGTATCCGCTAGCTGTCAGCCCGCAGACAAAGCCACCAGCCATGTCTCATTCTGTGGTAGATTGGCGGCTCTCAAAATATCGATCAGAAACAACTTCAAACAAGCTTGTCTTACACGTGTCGATTCGTCGAATAATGCTCTTATGATTTTAAAATCCTGCATGCAAGTGTTTGTCTTGGCTTTCTTTTGCAGCCTATTAGTACGAAGTATTTTCTACACAAAATAGACGTAGCAGACGCAGCCTTCTTGGGGGGTAATATGTACCCAAGGTGGCCGCCAGGGGAGGCGGTCAAAGCGCGGAAAAGTGTACGGAGTAGGGGTTATAGGGGGGCTGAAGGCTTTGGCGGACTAACAACTCAATTGGGGCTCTTGGTCCATAAAGGGCTGGCCATACTGTGTTTGACTGGTTGCGACAATTCTTTTCTCTTGGAGTGCAATTTTAGGGGCCATGGCCAAGAGTCGGGATGCTTCGAGTCCCTACTGTCCCTCCCGTTCATCGCGATGTCTACAGCCCTACTGTTTTGTCAGTTTCTCTCCATACATGGGTAGATTTCCCTCCCTGCTGCGGCCAAGAGGCTCAGTAATGGCAGTATGCCTATGAGGCTGACTAGAACTCCGAGGAGGTCCTCCTACTCTCAACTGCGTATTTTATCTATATTACATCCCCTAATTTGCCTTTGGGACTTTCAATTGTCTTTGCCATAGCACCTACATTCGTTGCCATTCCGCATTAGTTAATTGCACATAAGTCACTCTTTTATTTTCATCTGACGGAACGCTCGTCAACATGCTCGGCTTTAATATCCCAGCTACCGTAGCCTCCTGTGCTCTACGTAATCAAACTGTCAAATGTCCATTCTCCCTCTACAATGTTACTGTACTTGGCGAGGCCCATAGGCTTGCACCAAATAACGATATCACGGGCAGCACTGTAAGAGCCAGGCTTTTACTTGCAACTTCCCCCATCGCAGTCTCTAATGTCTCCACCAGATCTTCAAGGCATTCATTGGAAGTGCCTGCGCATCACTCATCGTTTCCCTCTGTCTCATCATCGACAAAGTTGTACTCCACTTCTATGACAAACACTCCGATGAAGAATCTAGATTACATCACCGCTTCTACCTTCAAGCCCTCAACAGTGTCACCACCTTGATTCACACAATCAGCGACCAGGCATTTGTGGCATGCTTAGCACTCCTCTTCACGCTCAGTCAACAAGCCTGCACAATATCCGCGTACCACTACAATCTCGTCTGCCTTATGCTGGTTATGGGCATAGTCACGCACCTCAACACTCTCGTCTCCGTGCCGGATTTCTTCACCAAAGGCAAGATCGTTGCTACATACCGGGTTATCCTCATCATCATTCAGATGGCCCTTACAGGAGTTGCTCTCTCAGCACGTCACCACACGAGTTTTCCACTAGACCCGAGCGGATTAGCTGCTTTACCTGCCGCCTGTTTTGCCAACGCGAACGCTGGAGACGGCTTGGGATTTGCAGGTATCATCGACGTGGGAGCGAATGTCACAGCCGGAATCGGGTCCAACTCTACGTCCAACTCTACATCGACCACAGGCACAGAATCAGCTACAAAGGGGATGGGGATCTATATTACACTCATGGTGTTCGGATTCTTCGCTTTGCTAATTCTTATTGGTGATTGGATTGAGGAAGCCTTTGCCAATCGCAAACACAAATTCCGATGGTTTAGTATCTTCATCTCGGTTGCAAGTTTAATTGCTAGCATAGTCATTGTATTCTACGCGCTTGCGCAGTACAATGCTCTTGTTAACGGCATGGAAATCCCCAAGTGGTACAAGACGACCATTGAAGACAAGTGGACATTCTCGCAGTATATGCCTGTCATTCTGTTAGCGAGTGCTTCTATTCCTCTTTTTAAGGCCCTAACAGGTATGTGTAATATGCCTTGCTCGGCGGCTTTTAGCTCAAGCACATGTGCTAACAATAATCAGATTCACTCCTTGGTCTCAGCGGTCGACGCTTTGAGGTTGGGGTTAACAAGCTTGTTAAAGGGGCAGGAGCTGTTAAATATAGCGCGCAGACGGCCGGATACCAGTTGCCTGGATACTAGCCATACGGAAGGATTCTAGATCAATGATTGGTGGTTGAGGTATGCGGGACAGGCTGCAGGCCTATCGCCAACATCGGCTCGAGCACGATTTACCAACATTATCTAGGCCCAATATCCTTCTCTCGTTTCTGAGTTATTGTTGTGACACACAGTCAGCAACACAGCCTTTATTTTCATCTGTACTATCCTTGAGCGAAGATTTCTTACGTGGTAATTTCTGCGGGGGTCGCATAGGAGGAGTTTTGCGTGTAATTTTAGGAAATGGGCGTACTGGTTGGATGTGCTACTTTTATGAATTTGATGAACGAGTTGAAACTAAATGTATAGGTATGACATAGCTAGATATATAGATCCTGTCATTCTCTCGCAATTATAAAAAGGAGTTTAGCAACATCCGTTCTATATCATACTAATATACCCTACTTCGCCATTAGTAGCAATGACATGAGCCGAGTCCGTGCAATAATGCAGGACCCGGCGCTGGTGTCCATACTTCCGGGCTTGCTTGCTATAAAGGATGCCATTGCTATGTCGTATCCTTACCTCAAACTTTTTTTAATAAGTTGAGCTCGGAACGGAGACTTGAACTGTCTAGATATCAGGTAATCAGCGCGAATACACAAATTGTAAGTTGAGTAACTCAAATCCGCTAAAGTATCCATTTAAGTTTTAATAATGACTCGAATTTGTTGAAGGCATCCATCCATCAATCAAGATGGATCCAGATTCTGGCGTGTACAATCGTTCGACCAAATGATTGTCGATTTACCGGCACCGCTCGGACCAAAAAGGGCGCAGAATTTCCCTGGCTGAATATCAATGTTCAGGCCATTTAACACTTTTATGTCCGGCCGAGCAGGGTATGAAAAATGGACATCGCGGAGCTGTACGCTCGAAGCCTGGTTGCTAGAAGGATAAGTCTCCCTAAATAGATACAGTATTGTAAAACAAAAAGAAATTGCCAAAAACGACAAAATAAACATACAACAGCAGGTATTCGCTGGTGGTCACCCACCCAACTACTAATCTGCCGATCTGAGGCTTGTGTATGGCAGAGCGGACGGGATGCCCATTTCTCCTCAGTCTATGGTCGTATGTGACAGTTATTCATCATAAATAGATATATAACCACTACTCCGTCGGCCACCATTAGAACTTCTTTGTGCGGTAGGTTATTTACTCCCTACGCGGCCAAGGAGTTAGTGCTCCCAAATCGCATGGTCCTTGAAAGATGATGTAGTAGAAAACATATTGCTAAAAAGGCCAGCTATCACGGGTAGGAGATGCCAAGTTGGTTGAGTTTCTAGGACATATCTAGTCCGCGATTCCTTAGATAGACACTGTCTTGGCTCGTTTATCCACATTCGGTAGATGATAGTAGGATATGATAGGAAAATCCCTTGCGGGGCTTTCGCCGATATAGATCTAACAGTTACGCTCTCGTAGGCAGAGATCCGCAAGACCTAATAGCATAGTTCCAGTTGCCTGCGGGAAATAGTGGCAGCTTTTCTAGCAGGATTGGAGGGAAGTATAGGTTATCAATCTCGTAGCTTCCTGGATCAATAGTAATGCACTTAAAGTGCTTTATGTCTACCAGTATTCTGTAATAGCTAAAGGTGTTGCTGTCAAGATCAATACCTTGATTCAAGATCTCGACTTTGGTAGCCTTTGGTACGATTTATGGCTTTGGCGGGCCCGAGACTTCGGGAGTACAATAAAGATGTTGTTCGATAACAAGATTTGACTCGGCTTCCTCTACTAGGAGTTGATATCTAGCTCTATAGTAGATTGGCGCGGACGCTTGTCCGAACATGTTGTTGCAGAATGCGAGTGCTACAATTACTAGGCCGTCATCCAGAACAGGGCATCCAGCAAAGTGTCGCGGGCCCTTGGCGCTTATCATGCGATCTCCGGATGACCAACGACGCTAGATGATACATTCTCTAATCGTCTCAAAATTTGAAGTTGCTGAGAAACCCCAAAAATTTGGCGTCGTTGCTGGACTGACTCCCCCCAACATGCGCGATATATCGTGGCACCACGGTTCTCCCTATCTGAGACACCTGGCACTTTTGAAAGTGCTCTAGATACCCAGCAGCACAGTAGAGAGCATTCCAATTGTGATATCCACGTCCCTCATCTCGAGGTCCGAGGCGACATGCTTGGCATGACACTCCCAAGTCAAGGTTTCCGGTCCTTCGATCTAGCGCGGGGAATCTAACCATTGCCATAAAACGATATGGATTCTGCCCCTGACTATCGAATTGCTGTAGTGATGAGGCATTCGGGTCATCATGCGGCATCGATCCAGCAGCACTGGCTGAGAGCATACGCACCAATGATATTCGTCTTCGATAGGTTCTTTCACTCTCAGCATATTGACCCGGCGGACTTAATAAGGTCGGCAACGTGCGCATTGTCTTCGCGTTCAGACCGAATTCCCCCTTTGCCGAAGTTGCTGTCATGGATAACAGGCCATCAGAAAATATAACGCAAGTGATGCAGCACCGCTGACCAGTAAACATGTCGAGGAATGGTCCAAATTCTCCACAACGGAAACAAGCTTGCGTGCAGAGTGCGTTGAAAATATCGCGCGTAATGCATCGGGGGAGTGACGGACTATTGTGCGGTATGGTGGGAACAAGTCAACAAGTGCCCGAGTGCGCCAGCTAATAGCTCTTAAGTCCGTTAGACTTTGCAAGTCCAGTATGCTGAAAACCGAATGGATAATCTCGAGTAGAAATCCCCGATATTACAATCAGACGCCGTGGATTTCGCCTTGCACACAGTTCGTGACGGCAATAGCCCGTTGTCGAGTGGACAATGTTGCTGGAGAGAATCAAGTTGAATCGTCATTTGGGTGAACCCAGGGCGTAGCCACGTCAGAAGGCGGAACTCGTCCTTGGTCAAGCTTATAGGCGAAGCCATCTGTTGCGCACCTAGGTAGATAGTATCTAAAGAGAAATCGCGCCCGAAGAAGCCAAATGGAAACGCGTACGAGGAGATAACAGAGGTTTGAGCTACCTGGTAGCTTGTAGAATAAACGGTATTGGGGTGCACGGGTGTCCTATTCTCAATCAGGCCTAGGGGGCGGTCACGTATTATATAATCCACCGACCAAGGGGAGGTACCTAGGTACTTATCATTTTCGGGTGCAGTCACGTGCAGCTCTCCCTCACCACCAAGTGGGAATCAAATCAAGTCAAGCTTGGTGTACGTATCTGCCATTTGAACTGTTTCTGCTCGATAGGTAGACTAGAACATGCCCAGGCGTTCTGCAACGCAACTTGCACAGCGGTGTTTTTGCTGCCGCGATATGATAAATCAACTAGGTGGCTAATGACAACCTAATACGCGTGATCAGATATTTGAATAGTGATGTGATGTGCTGTGCATGTATTTATTTTTCTTGCTTTGCAATGAATGCAATACCTGCTGGCCGCTGTGTGTTCTATGATACATGAGGGAGAGCTATGTTCCGTGCCATCCCATCCCATAATTGTCCTGAGCCAACCTCAGAAAACCAGATGTCCCCCATGTCAACCCCCAGCCAACCAAACCAAACAAAACAATAGCAAAACTAGAAACTCCTTTTTGTAAGAATGAATAGACAGCCGGGTAACTTTGCGCGCAAGTCACAAGGCTAGCTCATATCCATATCGACTTCCAGATCATGACCTTGGTCCAGTGCTGTGTTCATGGCCGTAGGCGCGTCATTATTCACTATCGGCTGCGTCGCGTTGAATTTGGGCGTATCGCCGGCTTCCATCACCATTTCGCCGTCGAAAATCGGAGTAGGACCCCTGAGGTTAGCCCACACCATCTGCAAACAAGTACTTACGAGCCTTCCTTGCTTCAAGTCCTCCCCAAACAGGAAGTATCCTTCGTTCGCCTGTACTAGATAGCTCGAGAGGCCTCTGCTTTGGAGCGCGATCTTCGCATCGGTAATTGGGTAGTGGTTTTCGATAAATTTGGTCCAGCCGCGAGCAGCAGCCTGGATATGGTCCTCGTTGCTGATTAGGGACCAGCCGATGCCCAGATGGCGCGTGAAGTCATCAATGGTAGGTTCTGAGAATCCATTTCCTCTCTCTGGGGACGACGATAGAGGTGTCGCCAAAGCTCCGTTGTGCATGAACTCTTCGGCGATCGAGGGCGTGGAAGTCAGGCCCAGCCTTTGACTCTTGGACGGGCGCAGAACGGGTCTCTCTGGGCTCAACGACCGGGTAGGTGGTGGTGGTTGCGCCAGGGCTTCGGCTTTCTCTTCGGCCCATGTACCTGTCTGGCTGCCAGCTTCGATGATATATCCTCTGCCATTCGGCTTTATCAACGTCATCCCCTCGCCATACTCCCACTCGTCCTCATTCTCTGGCTGCAGCTGGGGAGACGGGGCTTGGACGGGGAAGAATTCGTCGTCCGAAAGGTTGGACGCGGCTTCGTCGCGTGAGCGCTTTCGCCCAGCTTTGGAGAGCAGGCTGGTAGATTTGGGGGGCGAGGATGTGGAGACGGGCCACATTGACGACGCGGCTTGGGGATTGCTACCATTGCCATTGACATTGCCGAAGGGCGAAGTAAATGATGATGGCGGGTTTGAGTTTGAAGGGATGTTGTAGGAAGGCTGTGGTGGGAGTTGAGGCGGAAGCACTAGAAGAGGTGAGGATGACGAATATGATTGGTCGAAGGATCCCATGATTGATGGAGGAGTAGGTAGAGAGATAAAGTAGTAGTAATAGTAATAGTAATAGTAGTTCAGTTGACTTAGAGCGAAGTACTGCACTTCGTAATTGAAGCCGAGAGGTAGTAGGCGATGGAGGGGGGCCTGAGACTGAGATGGGAGAGGGGGATGGGAGAAAGAGTGAGAGAGTGAGGAGAAGGTAAGAGAGTAGGTAAGAGAGAGGACAAGAAGGGGACCTGGGGAAGTAAATAAAGTGTGGATGGATGGGCGATGCGTGATGGGCGCTGAGGCGGCCGGATGCACAGGGAAGGGCAAGGAGGGAAAGGGAAGGGAGGGATGGGGAAGGCGAAGGCAATGGGCGATGGAAGGTTTTCACAGTCTGCAAGTCAATACTACGTATCCCGATGATAGGGTTTCGGGGCTTTGCCAATCAGAGGCAGCATGACGGGAGGCGCCCATGATTGGAGGTGTATATAGTAAATAACAGAGTATAGCAGTACAGTATAGCAGAGCAAACTACGGAAGTTGCACGAACGAGAGCGAGAGAGTCAGTGAGACTGAGACTGCAAGAGACACGGACTGTGGACAGCTGATGTCAAGCGTCAAGCATTAAGCAGGTACGTACTGTGATGGGCCAGTCAGCATCCAGCCTGTCAGCCCCAAGACCCCACAGCAGTGAAACCGCGGGGAGACGCATTGGCGATCATGTGATCTGTCACGTGCCACATCAAGCCGTAAAGGTTCTTACCTTGGTAGGTGTACTCTGTACCTGGCCGCCATGGAAGGGGCCGCGGGAAGGAAGGCCCAGAATCCAGATAAAGGGTTTCATTGTGGTTGGTTGTTGGCCAGATGCTGTCAATATTAATGCATGTAATAATGGCACCTGGCACCAGCCACCGCACAGGGTTACAAACTCTGGCGACTCAGCGACTCAGCGTGTCAGAGAGTGAGATTATTGCCAGAGTCCAGCCATTTGGTGGTTGTGCCAGCAATCGTAGCCTCAGGCATCAGATATTTATCCGCAATTTATCCGACTGTCAGGTGCCATCCGTTATATCCGTGGGGGACAGGGATTACTAATAAGTGAAAGTGCCGTTTTCTGGCCGTGGCCATGGCTGCCTTGGAGCCTGGAGGCCTGAGCAGAGCGGAATGGAACTGACTCGTGTTAGTAGTGACGGAGAGGGATTCCGCCGGACAAAGGGCTGTAGTGGACACCTCAGGCTGCCACTCGGCTCGCTCGCCACTTAGGTAATAACCAGTCACGTGAATTTCCCGCCTGCATACCTCAGGACCAAGGGACCAACCCACAAATATGTTGGCCTTAAATTAAGCCATAATTGCAGCCTTACGGATCAACAGTTCCCCCGCCACCCGCTGCATTCCTGCCTCGTTGCCTCATCGGGCTCCTGCAAGCCCGCCGCCTCGCCTCGCCTGCCACGCAATATCCAAGATCATATCAACAGCGAGGGATTTCGTCCTCCCCGCCGTCTACGTAGGTATCCTGCGGAAAGTTACACCACGTCCATATCCCCCGATCTAGTCCGCAACCATGGCTTCGGTCACTTCTCTCGATAAGGATATGCGCAAATTGCGCTTGGACAGATACACCCCGCAGGCTGCGAATGAAGTGCGCTCCTTCATCGAGGAATCCCTGGGAGAGCGCCTGGCGCAAGGAGATCTGCTTGAAAGTCTCAAGGATGGCGTTGCGCTTTGCAAGTATGATATGATTCCTTGCACCAACAAGGCAGATTCTATGCTCAGATGCCATTTGCTGACCACTATTCTAATAGACTCGTCAACCTCGCGGCCCCAAATACTCTCAGATTCAAGGCCAAGGCCGTAATGCCATTTGTGCAAATGGAGAACATCTCCCTCTTTCTCGACGCTTGCCGAAACCCGCCCTTCAACCTCCAATCGCACGACATGTTCCTCACCGTGGATCTGTACGAGTCAAAAGATCCGGCCCAGGTATTACAGTGTATCGGCGCATTTAGCAGAGCTGCCCATCGAATTGCTCCTTCACATTTCCCCAACCCCGTCGGTGGAAAGTCGCGCGGTGGTGTTATGAGTCCGCAAGGGACTGGTACAGGTTCAGGTGCCGTTGGGGGAGGGAGCTACGGAAACCGGGGCCGAGGGGTGTCAAACGCGAGCAATACATCTTCAGCCTACAATCCAGGCGCAAGAGCCGTGGCATTGACACCGACGAAAACTGGCGAGTCCAATAGTGGGCGATGGAGTCCGACAAAGAACGGTGGCACCCCATTATCCCCTGGTGGGGTCAGTAGTTGGAGCAAGAAATCGGATGAAGGAGCCACGGCTCCTGCTTGGAATATTGCGCAATACGGTTATATGGGCGGAGCAAGTCAGGGGAACTTGGGTGTCTCATTTGGTGGTAGACGGCAGATTACTAGTGCGGGCCCGTTCGTCCCAAATATGGCCGAGAAAGAGAAGAAGCGGAGGGAGAAGGAGGCAGAAGACGAACGGTTACGGATCCAGGCGGAAGACGAGGAGCGTAGGGTGCGGGAGGAGCTGATTGCTGAAGAGGAAAGAGCCCGGGTTGAGGAGGAAGCGAGATGGGCTGAGGAGTCGAGAAAATTAAGAGAAAGAGAGAAACGGAAAGCCGAGGAGGAAAAGCGCAAGTGGGAGGAAGAGGAGCAGAGATGGCGGTTAGAGGAGGAGAGGCGCGAGACGGAAGAGCGGGAGGCCGAGATGACCTTACAGGAAGAGCGTAAGAGAGCCCGTGGAAACAGCGATGCTCGACTACGGGGACAATTTCTCAGCCAATACCAAGCAGAAAACGGTATCGCACGAAGCAACGGCGACAGCTCGGAAAGTAGCCGTATCAAGGAGCTAGAACGCGAGCTCGAGATGGCACGAGAGCGAGAGCGTCAATATGAGAGAGAGAGGCAGGCAAAGCTAAACCAAAGGAGTCGGCAGCAAGTCGAGGACCATGATATGTCTAATCGAATCAAAGCAGAGCAAACCGCCAAAGTCCGCTCCCGGTCACGCAGTCGACCAAGGATCCCAGAACGGAAGAGCAGTGATGAGCAATGGCGAGCAGACGAGCGAGAATACCTACGCAAACAATGGAGCGACCAACAATCCAGCGAGAGCCCAAACCATACCACCCCAACACCATCCAAGTCCCCTCGCCCTCTACCAGAACCCACAGCAGCACCCCGCTTAACGAAGAACAACACCGGCTCCCGACCCCTCCCCGACCCAGCAAAATACGCATCATCATCCAAGCCTTCAACTCCTCAAACCTTCTCCCCACCACAAAATCGAACAGACCGTTACCTCTGCTCAAACCCAGCGCCCCAACCAGCTCGCTCAAACGCTACGTATTCCAATGAAATTGGCGGTTTTGACAGCACCGCCGAACGTGACGCGGAAGATCGCCGCCGTCTACAGTCACAGCAGAAGACGAAAGCCGGGGGCTGGGCATCCAAATCCCTGTTAGAGCGAGAAATGGAGATGGAGAGGCAGCGACAGCAGGAATGGGAAGAGAGCCAGAAAGAAGTAAAGAGTAAAGTCGCTAGTGGATCAGGTGTCGATGGCATCGGTGGTGGTATCGGCGGCAAATGGGACGTCAACCAATGGACGGGGTACACAGGCGGCGATGGACAGAACCGCGGCAGTCAAGGAATCGGAACTGGAAGACGACAGATAGTCGGCCCTCGACCGCCTCCTGGGCGATGAAACCGGTGACTACCCAACTAAGTAATTGGAGCATTTCTTTTTTGATTGCTTAGCTTGGCTTAACTTATTTGGTTACCTACCTAATCTTATTTTTATTTTTTTGAGGCGCCGGGGTTTTGGTATAACGAGCTTCATGAGTTTAAGGAAAACTGGATTGGAGCAGCGGGGCGCGGCGCCTTCCTTTTTTGTTAGAAATGAACGGAGAAAAAATCATGATGGTTGGTTGGTTGGTTGGTTGGTATGATTGGTATGATTATTATACCAGGAAGGGATACTACATAGTACCTAGGTAGTTAGTGAAAATTATAAGAAAGACTTTTCCAGGCTTGAGACAGAGAGAATATGTTGATGTTTCCTTTTTATTTTTTTTGGTTGTGTGTAATGCCGATTAAGCTTTCTTTTGGCGGTAAGGGTTGAGGAATGGGGGTTTAATGGCTAGTACGGGTTATTATGCTCCTGCCTCTCCCCCTCTTCTACTTAGGTACATGCAAGTATGTAACCCATTATGGATTAATTAGAAGAACTTCCTAGGGGTACTGTTTACAAATTGTATTGATTGTGATGTGCGTGTGTATTTGCATTTTCAGGGGTGGGGAGGGGAGGGAAACAGGAAAGGGGCTGAAGAAGGTTAGGTATAGCAAAGTACAGAAACTACAGGCAGTATAGGTGAAATATCCCTACATAGCAAGCAAGTAATACGGGGATCAACAGAGCGCAGTATATGCCAATACGGCCTTCTCGGAAGGGGCCTACCGCTCACCGACTCACTTATCTCTCGACCCTGATCATCATCAGTTAGCAACTGTTTACATAGTCAACCAAGCATTCCCAAACACAGTCACTCATTTTCCATCACACGAATCTGAAGTCAAGAGCAAAGTTATGTGAAGTAGGTATCGAGACGACCATTCAATCATTGTATTGTCATTCATTGCTCTCTTGTCCTATGCCAGCCACCCCATTTCTCCAATCCCTGCCTCCTAACAACCACCCGTGGATGAAGCATATGCAAGCAAAGCGCAATAAATATAAATTACAGGTCCTCTCGCCCCTTCCAAATTACATTCACTTTCTCTCGATCAAGCTTTGTTCAAACAGACAAGCGATCGTTTTCGTTTTTGCATACGAATACAGGAAAATCAGGAAAATTCTCGTTTAGGAAACACCCTTTGGTTTCCATTTCCCATTTCATGCTGGGTTCCACCCACCAGAAGAAACCCAGAACCAAAAAGCCCATGAAAAAAATTTGGCTGCGAAATCCCCCGTCGGGGAACCCGGGATTTGCGCGGGAAATTTGATGCGATTCCTTGCTTCCCATTTGTATGCAGCCAGCCAGCCCCTTTCCATTTCAATGTGTGTCCCGGTGTTCATGCCCAGTAGTCATAAAAAACACCCTTCAAAAAAACGCCAAGTTGCAAAAGAATCCCTCCATTCAAGGGTAATTTCGTCCGTCTCCACAGGAGAAGTTAAAAAGGAGAAGAAGAATCGTACGCACGGGAAAGCAAGAGAGCCAGCCCTGCAGTGAGTGCATGAGCAGCAGCACAGCTGCCACAGTTTCGGATATTTGCCACCATAACGAAAAAAGCTGGAGCCCAGTCCGACAAAACAGAACTAAAAAGATCCCTCAAGGTAATCTGATGGACGAAACAAAAGAAATGAATGAGTGGATGGTGCAGCAGAGCAGCGCCTCCTGACGATGCTATTATGCTACCGATGAATATGCGAATTCGCAGCGCGAGCCACTTTTGTTTCCCTTTCCCTCTTTATAATGCGTGATGAATCCCAGAAATGCAACAATTCCCATACCCTTTCTCGCTTAATGCGCCTGATAAGTCCAAGAAACGATGGAAAACAGCAATGACAGAAGAAGAAATAGATGAACTGAACGAGTATAGTCCGAGTTGTTCGCTCAAATACACGACGAATGTTTTGTACAGAAGAATCGAATAGTTGATGGATGAGATGTTGTGATAGGGCGGGTTTATGGAGAGGCGCCATCTCCAGATGATTTGGGGAACGCCTGAGAGCGGTTGAAGACGGTTTGGCGGATAGTTCTAAAGACGCCTTCCTTTTCCGATGTCTCGGAGCTGTGAACATAGATGCTGGTGGCTGGCTCGATCTTGATGTTGCAGAATAACGTGGAGAACAAGAACTGGTCCCCATTACCATCATACAACGGTAGCGTGCGGTATCCTTGCTTGAGACTGCTGAGCTTTGCTGTGTAGGTGGCTAGAATTGCCCCTCGATCATTGTAGTTGTGGCCATCTGATGAGCACCTAACGGTCCAGCGAACGAAGACTAGGTCTGGGTATTTCGTTGTGAGGGCGAAGTTGAACTTCTTTCCGAAAACCGGGTTGAAGCCATTATCCCTAACGATCTGAGTGCGTCGCCTGTGGGGAGTTCCAAGGCCGGACGAGCCAACCTTGGCAGACGCATCCAAACCGCCATCGCCGACAACACCTCTATTCTCTTTGGTCTTGTCATCAGCATGGTAGACCTCAACCTCAATGTAGGGATCGAAGCTTCGGTTTGGAGCAAGACCCTTTGGTCGCATCAACTGTTGTGCTGAAACGACATCGATCGAGAAGTTGACGTTCTTTCGCTCTCGCTTGATGTGGTCAGCGCCAGCTTCTTCAGGGACAGTAGGAATCATCTTGATCTCTCGGAGATCGCTCGGTTTGAGTACATATCCTAGCTGATCGGTGCCGCCAGCGAACATTGCATCAGTAAGCTGCATACCGAGATCGTACGTCTGCCAGTTAAGAGCAGCCATTTGAACGCCGCGTCGCCAATACTTCAGAGGATCAAAATTGCCGGACTGGACACGCCAGCCGTTGGGGTAGACTCGCATCATATAGCGCATATTATGCCGAACCATGGCGCGTTTGTCTTCTTGAGTTCTGCTGTGCCTGTCGAATGTATTTTCCATGAAAGAAAATATATGGTTGTACGTCTTACTGTCTGGCGTGTCGAAGCCCTGGAACTTGACGCCGGCACTGTAGGCACCAAGTTCGCCGAGTACCTTGATAATGTTGCTAGTCTTATGCCTTCGGCTGCTTTCCTTTGCTGCCCGTGCCATATCATCGGTGAAACTTTCACTGTCACTAGTGTTGCTGCTGCTCAAGCTCTCCTGGCCTTCGCTTGCGGCATACCTGAATTGGGCACGGTTAATTATCCTTGGGGTCGACCTGGGAGGGTAAGCACCGGGCGGTAGAAGACCGGCTGAAATGGTGCCGTTATCGAGTTGCAGAGGACGAGTGTATGGAGAACCTAAACTGGCACCCCGCCTCCGCCCGGAGGGCAGCTCTGTCGATGGTGGATCTTCAATTGCGTGGGGCTTTTTTACCTTGATGAGAATCCGATTCATCAACTGTGATGGAGAAGGGAGCTGCTCTGACGCATCGAGCGGTTCCGTGACCAACTTCGCGCCACAGGTTTCTTTGATGATGTCGGCCATCATCGCTTGCTGTGCTGGGTTGCAGTGAACCTCGAGCGAAATCCACAGAGGATATTGAGACTTCACGAATGCATATTTGCTTATCGTGGACATGACGTCCCTAAAGGAGACTTGAGTCGTTAGAGTTCGACCGTGCATCACGACGGGCGCCTCATTGCCGTTCCAACAATCCACCTCAACGCATCTGCACCCGCGCTTCAGGGCGGAGATATACGCTTCGACACTCGACTGGCCAGCCACCTGACGACCGAGCAAGTAGGTGTTGTGCGAGCTGGAGATGTAATATTCATTCATGGGTCGATCCAACGTGACCTGCGTAGGAGCGCTGCGGAGCGGTAGATTGAACGTCGAGATGAGGTAGTTAGTCAGCGCTGCTTCGTTCATGCGTGGAGTTTCACCCTCGAGTGCATCTTGGTGTGCCTGTTCCCTCGACTTGGATCGGCGAGCAAACTTCGCAAAGACGCCTTCCCAATGGCATCGGTCGGCATCAACATCCTCATGTTGAACGGCTTTGAGGAAACCAAAGAATTCGTCCATTGAGATGCCTTTTCCGCAATCGGCTGCCACTTCCTGGTAGATGGATTTGACGTCCTCTCGCCTCTTCATCAGCCTCACAAAGTCCTGAAACTCGGTAAAATTTAGACGTCCGGTGCGTGACACGTCTGCCTGATCGAACCTATGATGAAGATAGGTCGACGAACCGTGAATGTGGAGAGAGCGGCAAAGTCGTTCCACGCCAACGATATCAATCTCCTCCTCGTCTTCCGCGTGGGGCCTATCATGAAATAGCTTGCACATCTCATTGCGCCAGCACGCTCGGACTGCCTTGTCGTGGAATGAGGATAGCGAGGCCATCAAATCTAGCCGATGTTTTGATATTGCATCAAGCGTGGTGGTCCAGAGATCAAACGTCTCCTCGTCATTTGCAATCAGATGCATCACCTTTTGAGCGCGGCCTTTCGATTTGTCTGGCACCGCATAGACAATTGAGAAAAACTTGGACTCGTCTGCCGCCGAGACACCAAATTCTTGACGGTAGTTTCGAGCATCCGCTCCAACGCGGATGTCCTTTATGTCATCAATATAAAAAGACTTCGAGGGCCGGTTTTTATCCCAGGACACCTTCGCAGCTTCGTTTTCGAGGACAAATTTCAGCAATTTCTTCTTCTTCTTGGTTACTTTTATCATGTTCGTTCCTTGGAGTAATATAGATGGGATCACTGGGCCAGCACTGGAAACTGGAACAGTCGACGAACCGATCGAGGCCGTTGTGCTAGGAAAGTCCCGGTTCCCGTCTGGGCCTGGCTGGTAATAATAGTAGTCCTCTCGATACTCCCCATTGATTTCCGAATCCGAGTCGGAGAAAGGGGGACCTCCCCGCGAGCCATCGGGAGCCGTATTCGTACTGTCACTCCTCCGCCGCATGATGACAGGCCCCGTGCTGTGATCCCGACCCATTGCAACAGCAGCAGCAGTAGATGACTGCCGCCGGCGGCCAGCAAACTTCGTCGCCCGGTTGGATAACCTCCTAATCAACCCTGGGGACTTGCTTATCGCCACCGCGTCACTCATGGCGCTCTGGCTGGATTTCCGGGACACAATGGATTCTGGGAGCTCGAAGGGCGGTGGGGAGAAGTCTGGCTCGCGGCCGCGCAGGCCGTCCGGCGAACCTTGTATGGAGGAGGCATTCGTGGTAATCTGGGTGCTTTCGGGCGACGTAATTGGCGAGGGCTGGAAAGAGCTCGCGGCAGTCGTGGCCGAGCAGGCGCTGACGGCCGAGGCAGGGACAGAAGGTGGATTGTAAGAAGTCGTGGGCACAAAGCTGGTCTGCACATGGCTCGGCTTGGAGAGCCGTGCCGAGGAGGACAGGGAGGATTGTGAAGGTGAAGACCGGGGGGCCATATTGGTAGAGAAGAAGGAGGAGGGAGAAGAAGAAGTTGGTACAGCTGGAGCTGGAGCAGCCGCGAGGGGAAGGCTCGAGGAAGAAGTCGACGACATCGCGGCCTGCTTTTCAAGGAATGGCACCAGTATTCCCCAGTTCGGCCCAATGCTGCAGCCTTGCCCTTGGACGGCGGCCGGTAGATGGGGGGAAAGGGAGGGAACGAGGAGGTATTAAGAGAAAAACGCAAGCCCTGTAATTGAACGCATGTTCTTCTCGAGGGTCCCTGCTGGCCGATTGGAGAGGAGAGGTGGGAATGGTTTGGACGAATGGAGCAGACGGTTCGCAAGAAAGTATGGTAGGGGACGGGGGCGCGGAGGGTCGACTGGGGGTCTGCAGACGGATATGCTTGGTGGTGCTTGGGTTCGGTCAAGGCCAGTCAAGTCATGCGGTGGTGTAATGTAATGTGTAATGTGCAATGCACTGGGGCTGGTATGGATGGATAGTGGTGTTCGTGACGAAGTTGCATTCGATTGAGCCTTGATCGGTAGTCTGTCGTCGTCGTTGGTGGCAGATATAAAAGGCATGCAAGTGGCCAAATCGAGCGGGAATTTCGAGGACGGGGTGGGTTGACGAGGCGGCGACGAGGGTGATTCGGCAGAACAGGAGGCAGGAGGCAGCAGGATGCTTTGTAGCTTGCTTTGTAGCTTGCTTGTTGATCGTTGATCGTTTTGTGTATTATCCAGGCCGGGGATGTTTGGGGAAGCTGGTGGGGG